AGAGGTAGCTGGACCAGAAGTTGCTGGACCAGAGGTAGCTGGACTAGAGGACTTAGTGGCTGGGGAGGAGGTAGCTGGACTAGAACTAGATTCAACTACAGTGACAGTGCTAGGAGAACCAGTAACCACAGTGGTAGAGGTCTTGACAATGCCGGAAGACGAAGAAGTAAACGACGAAGCGGCAAGCGTGGTGGAAGGAGTAGAAGAAGAGGAAATGGCGCCACTGGATTGAGTGGCGGGTTGCGAGGAAAAAGATGAGAAAGTTGATGGAGAAACAGAACATTCTTCCAAGTAGACAACCACGGTTGAGTAAACGGTTTTTGGACACGATAAAGTGGAAACGGTGGAGCTGAAAGTGAATGGATTGGAAATATCAGCGGCCGAAACCATTGCTGACATAATTCCAGCACTGGCAAGCAACTTATTTGAAGGAATCATAGCTACTGGTAGAGGCAATTGAATACGGCGTAGAGAGAAAAAGCCAAATAGTATCTATGACGAAGGAAGTTGTAAGAAATACCAGAAAGAGAGACTTTTCGTCATATGTCTTTTTCACGGGCAAGCTCGGACGGTCGGCTCTGGCGGAGTATGGAGTATTTATTATTTTCCTATTTCCAACAGGACAGAAACAAAAGTGGACAAGGCGTCCGAATTTGGTAGAAATGAGATTGGGGCGGCGCCAGGAGTGGAAATGCATTACAGGTACACGCAAGGAGCGCTATGGTCATGCAGTAAATTCACAGCCGTCTGTAGATAATAATTCCCAGACTGTTGGTCATCGTATGGTACTGCCTCGAATAGTCTCGTCCGTCTGATGACTATATTTGTGAAACCTGACTTAGAGGTGATATGCATCATGCAACTCTAAATCGCCCCGAGTGCTAGGCGAGGCGGCTGCAGGCGGGAGGGAAACATCTTTGTCGCAGGTGCACACATACGCGAGATGCGCCGAATTATGAGCCAGGGCAATTTGATTATATTTAGGGGTGTATACGTGACATATAGCTACTCAGGAGCAGTTTTTCTCACAATTTGTCAGAGGTTGTTAACCGAACCATGCTTTAGCTCCAAGAGATTGGTTAGCTTCATACAATAATTGCCATGGCTTATTATTTCAGAGTGAATCTATAAGCCAAAAAGCTCCTGCAGGTGCATAGAGCATAATACTTCTCTTTAAGTAGCTATCTTTTATGGGACGCCTGGCACCGCCTGAGTTGCATATTCTGCGGGACAGCTAGCGTACGTATTATTTTCTGCGAGAGGATACCACCTGTAAGGTCCGCCAGGGGTGTTGTGGGAGGATCCCTCGGCCATGGCTTATCGCAGGGTGACCACTGTCCCCCTGTCATGCGTGGAATATGCCAAGGGTGTCACCAGCGTAGCTACAAACCAAGTTCGCGCGGAAACGATTATGCAGACACCTTGCTAAAATAGACCAGACGAGCTACCATATGCAATGTCGCTTGAATTCGGGACAAGGGCTAAGGCAATGTACGCACGCGGCGCCCCCGGTGCCACTGTCTGAAGAATAGGTCAGCATGAAACGCCACTTCTCCCGGCATGCTGCACTAGAGCCCTGATTTAACTCATGACCTGAGAAGGTGAAGTAATATGGATGTGAACTAAACTGGTAAAATTACCTCTGCTACAGCTTGTGTACCTCCAAAGTGCAGACCGTCACCTTTTTCAATGCAATTTGAGATGGACGCAAAATAAGAAAGCTAGAAACGTTTACAAATGATTTGGGGTTTGGTGCGTCAGGGGAGGCTAAGCTACCTCAGATCTAGACGAGATACTGTGTGGTAGCTATAGACCATTTGACTGACGTTAATATGCTGGCAGTTTTAGAAACGAGCTAGCGGACCTTCGGTCACAGGTCTTTAATTTACCTCGCAGCGGGTTGTGTAGTTCCAAATATGGTCTGCTATACTTTAGGCCTCCATTTAACGACGCACTGGAACCTAATAAAGAGGGGTTAAGACCCGCATACATGGAATTATAAATAAGGGAAGTTCTGGCACTTTACCCAATAGGTTGCTTCCGGGATATCATGTACTACCGTAGTCTGCCTAGACCACGTATATGTGGAACAGGATGTCTTACAGTGGTATCCACATCACAGACGGCTTATTTTGGCGGCCGCGGGGCACTGCTGAAGGAGATACGAATTCCAGTAAGGGGAAGCGGATCTACAACGGTCTTGGCCATGAAGCTAGCGTCCTACGCTAACGGGGCCGTGTCTAAACTAGACTTTTCCACGTGCATCCAAGCTCCAAAATTGCGGTAGTCATTCTAGTATTAAAAGTCGTTCCCCGCTAAAAAATAGAAGACAATTCTTAAAATTATAAGAGGTATTCTGTGGGACAAGGTTGAGGCCTGTCTAATTCTAGGCTTGCGGGCTTTGGCGTTACCCTGGTACAAATCCCTTGTCGATAAATAAACAGACGCATCCACATGCATAAGACTGCTGTAGCTAACCGGATTTGCTCGACCCCGCTTACTTTTATATCCCTCCTGGAACGCCATGACCGGCTAGTCTGACAATGGCGATTCAATATACTGATAACCAGCGAGGCTACTTATGGCGCACTCTACAGTAACAGGTTAGGTCAACGCATGTACCATGTCAGTCTTGATTAGGATATAATGCTTTCGAGTCTAGGCATGGAATTCTGTTTTAGGAGAAAATGTCGTTCGAGAGCTGAAAGTAGTACCTAAGGAAGCTAAACAAAATCCCCGCTTCTTGCATTTAGGAAAACTATCTTGTGACAGTTGCTAGTAAAACTTATATAGCTTCTTTCCACTAAGTTCATGCACGCTACGACAGAAGGGCATTAGTGCCGACAATTAGAAAACCAGGAGAAATTCCCTGAAACGAGAACTAAATATAGTCTCTTTGACGGTCTGTGAAGGACTTTACTTGTTTTGGATTGAGTGTGTACCGTTAAGCCAGAAATAGCCGGTTCCCCCCGAACGCCTATTAACGTTTTTGGGCATCTCAAACAGCGTGGTTCTAACACAGTTGGTCAGCCCTATGGATGGTATTTCCATCCATTATCAGGTAGCAAGACTGTTACCAGTATTTCGTCCTCTCTTAGCGTCTTTTCGATACAGGAAAACTAACTTTCTGACCGTCACTATTACACGAAGGGAAGTGAGATCTGATGGAGGAATGGCTATAAATAGGTTGCTATGCTCTAATTATGTAGAAGGTTGGAGCTCCCCGTACTCACAGCCGTAAAATCGGCCCTGTAGGCAGAGCAACCACCGGAAGTGAAAGGTTATATGTGTGGAGGCATAAAGCTATTTTTAGTACAGGTATACATCTTAAGCAGATATACTCGTATCGCCGTACGGCTCGGTTTATGAAATTACCGGAACACCTCGGAGAGATGAGTCTTCAAATACCAGTAACCATATCGGAGTTGCAGGTAAAAGTGCGGTACCTTAATACCCACACACTATCTGATACTACATGTTCGTATAGCCTATAATGGTGCATACTCCTGAGAATTCGACGATGTAAAGTCAATTAAACGCCAACATTCCACTTTAATGCGTTTTCTATCATTAAGGAGTGTACTTAAACTTCAGCAATAGCCATAGGCGTGTACGAGCATCGGACCTTAGATTATATAATACTGTATTTCCACACAATAGATCTGCAGTCGGTTATAAGTGAAATTGTGCCTAGACCCAGACCATTACTGAATTGTATTGACCATTTTCTAATAGGCCCTTAACGTATAAAGCTATTACTTCTAGCACTTACTAGACCAAGGTCTAGTGTAGAAAGGAACTCACCTAGCGGAGGGAAAAAGTAGTAAAACCAAGTAAATGGCATAATCCATAGAGACTGAAGATATGCATTGTTGTAAAGATATACTCTACTCGGTCATCTTTGCCCGTTGTTCCAGATCGACATGTACCTAGCTTCGTATACGGGCATTTGGACCTTTGTTCAAAAGATCCTTACAGCGGACTTCCAGTTCCGTCGGGATTCAATAAGTGGACTTCGGATACTTTATATAGCTGTTTTAATGAAAACCATTCTATTCTAGTCCAGTTAAGCTCCACTTACCTTGAGAGATATCGTACATGTATATCTAGATGCGTCATGAAATGCAATGGGTAAGAATTGGAGCTATCACAGAGCCCCCAGGTAAACATGTGACAGAGGGGTCATACGTATGTGCATTTATGAAAATTAAAATCTTTAAAGTACCCTGCGTGGCTGTAATAAGGATGCACCAGTCTTAATAAATAAAGAGGCATGGGGCTATATAGATGGCTCGCCTGTGTCTGCTTTGTTCTACAAATGGTACATATTTTTTCAGCAAAACGCGTCTGCAGGTTCTCCACTTTTCGGCGCTTGTTTACATTTAAAAAAAATCCTCGGCGTCTATTACCCTTCGCGAATTTAAGCAAAATCAGACCATCAACCTACCCAACTCGTTTCCTCTGTGACTATGCCATAATATGATCGGTAATGCGCAACTAGAAATCACGCTGATCAACGGAACCTCCGCCAGGTCATACAGCCAGTTTGCGGTCCAGCACAACGTCATCGGCTATGCCGCCAGCGGGGGTGTAGTGGTTTGTCATCTCAAAGACGGTGCCGCACAGAATCAGCGGTTCTACTGTGCCAATAACTTTACCCAACCTGAGACGCTTCTGGGCCTCGACACCTACTTGCCGTCCGATGGGCTGGAAGTGCAGCGAGATTCGTATGGGTATGCATTAAACTGCGACGCCTTTACCTGGGGGGCCGCGCCATCTCCAAGCCATGTCGCTATTCCCAGCTCGCCTAGTAGGTCGCCCATAAACTCAAAGTACACTGGAAATGATGATTTCCCCGCCAAGCTGAAGCTCAAGTCCATCCATTGTATTGCTATATCGCCTGACCGGAAGTTGCTCGCAGTGGGGGAAAGCGGCCACCAGCCAAGAATCTTACTCTTTTCCCTTGCTCCAGATGCTTCTGGTACACCAATAGCTATTATCAACGAGCACCAGTTTGGAGTGAGCGCTCTTACCTTCTCGCCCGACTCCAGTAGCCTTTGCTCCTTGGGGTTCACCAACGACGGGTTCTTACACGTTTGGAAACTCCATCGGTCCCCTGCAGCATTGACAGCCACGCTAACCCAGAGTAACAAGTGTTCTACCATCATCAACAAGCTCTTGTGGATCAACGGAAACATCATCACCCTTGGATTGCGGTTCATCAAGTTGTGGTACTTTGCCGAGAACCTGGCAAGTCCGACCAAAAACACAGCCATCAAGGGACGAAACGTTCTTCTAGACGAGTTTATGAACTCGAACTTTGTTGACGCTGAAATTGTGAACGCCGAGGAAATTTTGTTTGTGACTGATCAAGGCGAGTTTGCCCTTTTACCCGTCCAGGACGAACAGTTGAGGCTAGTCAAAATGAAGCGACTTTTAGATCAAGCTCAGTCTGTGCTTGTGGACCACGAGAAAAATCTTTTGTGGGTAGCCACTGACAGGGTTGAATGTGTATCGCTCGAGTCGTTAGTTCCAGACTCAGACCTCAAGATCAAAAAGACACTTCATTCCGTGCACGCCCTGCCCCACAGAGCCAAACCGTTGGAAGGGATATTGCTTATGGACGAGGTGAGCCCGAATGTGCTCGTATACCTAGATTCCAACGAGCGTATCTCGAGCTTCAACAAAGAAACCAAAGTCGTCCAGGTGCTTGTTAACTCGTTGTTGAAAAACTTGGGAGGCGTGAAAGAATGCACGTCAGGCGCCCCCCTCGTCTTTTCCAAAACAGCAGAGATCAGGAAGTTGGTGAACAATAACAGTAGCCTCGAACCCCTAATGAACTTCCAACTCCCCTCGAATGCATTAATTGAAAATGCGCTCACATGTCTTGATGCATTCAAAGACCTCCTCGTTCTCGGCGACAAGTACGGCAGTTTATATGTTTTGTCGAACGCAAACGAGGTCAATACCCACAAACTTGTCTTTAATGCTCGGGCACACGAATCTACGGTGAACGATCTTGTGGTTTTTGAGTTTAAGCAGCTCCAGGTGATTGCTTCTACCAGTAGGGATAAAATGATTCAAGTGTTTACCAGGGATTCTTCTCTTCCAGATAGTGAGTGGTCTTTGCTCAACACCTTATCAGTGCACAGAAGCACAGCCTCCCAGGTAATTCATCATGAGGGCAGAATTATTGTTTCATCACTAGATAGGAGCATCTCGATCCACAAACTTGAAGCCCTGGAAGGAGAAGGAAACGCAGAGAAGGTTAGAATTGTGCAAGAAAAGATTATCATTCTCAAGAATTCGCCTGTGGCAATCAAGGTTTTCCGAAACGAATTGATTGTCTCCACCAACGACAAAGTATTGTCTGTGTTTGACCTCAGCAACTTTGAGCTCATTCGAAATTTGAAGTTGTTCAACGATTACAACCAGTCACTATTAGTTGAACACCTTCTCATCCAGAACGACCAGATTTTTGTTTCGTGCAACGATAAATCCTTGAGAAGCTTCCTGTATAGTACCGGCAAACCCATTGCCACCAACTGGGCCCATTCAGATGTGATTATTGGCTTGATGATGATAGATGCCTCCCTCTTGACCATCAGTAACGATGGCTGTGTGTTTAACTGGGAATACAAAAACCGGGAGTCTAACGCTACTTTCAAGGAGGCCATGTCTCGAGATGACCCTGAGGATTGGCTCAACTCCCCGCTCAAGCAAAAGGTTACCAGGAAGATTTTGTCTGCCACACCGGTAGCCCTCGCTGCTCGAGTTGGTAGAACGGTTCCAATCACCACACCGTCTCGTAAACTTGCACCTGCTTCCCCCTCTCCGAGGAGGAACCTAAGCTCTCCAAGAGTTTATACGCCGGTATCGAGCCCTCCCAAATCACCGCTGCGGCCTGCTGTCACAAGACCCTTGGCCCCTTCCATGTCGCCCACACCAAGAAACAGATCACCATCGCCTGTGTCTTCTGCGGTTCGCGTGACAGCAGCCAATATCATGTCCTCTCCTCGCTTGAAATCAGAGTCAACCCCACGACTTGCCAACCCGCTGACAGCGCGTCTCTCTCTATTTGGCGGTGCAAACCAAAAATTAAACGGCTCGGGATACCTGCCCGTCGTTGAAGCAGCGATTGCGTCTCGGGGGATTGCCATTACTGAGGAAGCCAAACCGAATGCAGAATGCTCCGACATTACAACGGTCTTGACCATGTTGGGGGCACTACAGAACGCGGTCAAGAACAAAGAGTATGCCGCTGAAGATTTAGCCCAGATAAAGAGTGCACTTATGGCTACGTTGGGGGTTATGAACGAGGGAATTCTTGAGGATTACAGCGATAAATTGCTTGCCATGTTTGAAAGAAAGCTTGGTGAAAGGAATGAGCGTAATGTCACACTGACACCAAATGACCGAAAGCTTGATCTACAGTTGACGGAAGGATTCGCCGGCTTGGCAGTCGGTGACTAAGAACTGAGTATAATGGAATCCACGCTTATTCAAAACGATATGCATTTCCATACGTATCATTGACAACAATACGGTAATGATAGAGCCTGAAACCTCGCTATTACTTTTCAAGGGTTTAAAGTAAACCAACTTCTATTCATGTATTGACGTTACTCTCATAGTGCGCCAAATTTTCGCGGCTTAAGCCCCAATTCATCATAAAGTTTCAGCAATTCAGGTTAACATGCACACAACAGGGAGCCAGTAAAAAGAAAAATTCACATTTACCGTCATTTTTTTTACCGAACTAATTAAAAGTCATTTCCCACGTTGAAAGCAAGCTCGCGATATACTTTCAATTGGCATGGGCACATCTATTATCAAAAGCTCAATAGTTGGTTCATGCCCCAAGATTTGTAAAATTTACAAATCAGGTAATCTGGGTATCCAATAATGTGTTAGCCTCTGAGGTTTTTAAATTTGATATTTCGCCATTAGTACTATCTACATGTTTACAAAACAGTACAAAGTAAAATCCCCGCTTGGCATCAATCGAATGGTACTTATCGCATGGATTTCGCTAAATAGTCACGCTTACGGAGCATACGCGAGGTTCTCATTGACCTGGCCGGGTAGAAGAAGTTTATAGAGATAACTACAACCTACAAAAAAGCTCTGAACGGTGATTAAGCGATGAAAGTTGCGCGTGTCAATCCTGGGTCCCATCTGTTTAGACAGAGACTTTAGCTGAACCTTCAAGGAGTTCACGCGCTCTGATTTGCAATGGGTTATTCAGATTTGAGCCGGCGAAACGCTCAATATCTAGATACATCCCAAGACGAAATCATTGATATATAAATTATCTAATCCTCCACTCATGGATGAATTTTGTTGATCGCATAAATATTCCCCTGCCTATATGTGAGTCACCTTCACCCCACTGGTGACGTACAAAAAACAGTGCCCACGATCCAAATCAATCTAATATCACATTACAAATCTTTCAAGACATCAAGTATCCTGCCAGGACACCTATATACACGAGTAACTATCCTAACGTCTTGGTTTGATCACAGCAGCCTCGATAGGGTCTTCCTTCAGCTCCGAGCCGGCCCACGGGTTTGACTCACCGGACTGAGGGTCTTGAATATTCTCCTCACCCTGGGTACGCGGGATCCCCTGGGCATTGATCTTGCCCAACTCCGCCAGCAACGCCGCCTCGTGCTCGCGCTTCATTTTCTCGCCCTCCAACTTCCAGCGCTCGTCCGCCTGCCGTGCCAAAACCTTGATGCGAATCTGTCTTTGCTCGTCGGCGATTAACTCCTCCAACGTCGGATGCTCCTTACGCATGTGTCGGAGCCACTGCATCCACTGCGGCGGGGTATCGAACGTATCAGCAATAAATGCACGTTCCTTAACCGTTTCCTTAATACGGCGCATACGTAAGAAGTTGCCGTCGTTGGTCCACTCCCAGTAGGTATTTCCATTGAGGTCATAGCCGATGAAGAACTTGGTGCGCCACGGCACGTTGCGGAGCGCACACCACTTATGGAAGAGTTGTTTGAAGGGGGTGACCTTTCCGTTCAAGCGTTCCATTATGAGGTAGATATGGGTATTTAGGAGATATTATTTGGGAGATGTTATTTAGGTATTTGTAAGGTATCGACGAGTGTAGAGGTAGCTCCGATTTTATGCATGTGTACTGCACGGAGCGAAAATTATTCGTAGTATGGGGGTTGCCACCACTTCAGACAAGGCTGGTTGAATTTTGATATAACAATCATGCTTTGAAAGTATTTTAGGATATTTCAATATTTGCATGTACCTGGGGATGAACACACATTGTTTAGATAGATATGAACTGGTTATGTGAAAGTCACACGGCAGTCGGGTTACCAGGCGTATTGATCATTCGAAATGATACAAAACTATTTAACCATGTAACGTGATTGAGAGTAGACTAAACTATTTTGTCATAAATATTTACACAATTTCTCATTCGGCGAGGTGCTTTTCATGTATACTAGCTCAGTTATTCCGGAGGCTTTTCTTCAGAATTCGCCCAAACCCTTCCAGGCTGAGATCGTATGGGGTTATGCTATTATATCGCTCTCTACCATGTATAGTCAGGTTTACTTCAAAAATTTTCCCTAGAATCTGCGAAACCGGATCAAGGGCTATCCAGATTGACAATCATCACTATGTACATGATAACCCGTACTGCACGAAAAATATTCGTTATGCACACTCAAACAGCCCGCCTATTTACTTGAGTCATTACTCTAGTTACTCCAATTTTACGATTAACCACTTACCATAGCGATAATGATTCAAAAGTTACACACACTTTTGGGCCACACGGACAAAGTGTGGTCGGTCTCGCTCCACCGGACGCTTCCGCTTGTGGCTACGGTCTCGTCAGATAAGCAGTGCCGCGTGTACGACCTCGGTTCCGGGCAGTTGGTGACTGTACTCGACGACACACACAAGCGCTCAATCTGCTCGGTAGCGTGGAAGCCTACGAGTGCTCTCGAATTGCCCGCGCTCGCAATGGGCTCGTTCGACGCCACCGTCTCCATCTGGGGCCGGGAGGACCACGAGGATACGGGCGACGACTGGAACCTCTTGGCCATCATCGAGGGTCACGAAAACGAGGTCAAGGGCGTGTGCTGGAATAAAGACGGGTACTTGCTCGCATCATGCTCGCGCGACAAATCAATCTGGATCTGGGAGACGGACGAGTCGAACGACGAGTTTGAGTGTATCTCGGTCTTACAGGAGCACTCGCAGGACGTTAAGCACGTGACATGGCACGGTGCCGAGGATTTATTGGCGTCGCTGTCGTATGATGATACAGTCAGGATCTGGCGGGAGGACGATGACGACTGGAGCTGCGTCGCGGTGTTGAATGGGCACACGGGGACGGTGTGGTGCTCGGACTTTGAAATTCAGACGTCTCAAACCGCCAGGTTAGAGAGCGAAGCAAATGGGGAAGCGAATGGGGAAGCGAATACGAATGGTGTCGGGCGTGAAACCCGACTTGTGTCCTGCAGTGATGACACAACTGTGCGTGTGTGGAACCGAGTCGCTATCTCCAGCTCCTCGGCCTTCCGCACGAACGAACAGTGGGAACAGCAATCGATTTTGCCCCAGATCCACACCCGAGCAGTCTACTCGGTCAGCTGGAGTCCGTACTCACCGCGTATTGCAAGTACGGGGTCTGACGGTAAATTGGCCGTGTATCGTGAGTCGGCTGCGGGCTGGGTAGTGGAACTGGTGCAGGAGCTTGCGCATGGAATTTACGAGGTCAACTCGGTTGCGTGGGGGAGGCTGGGGGAGCTGGAGATTTTAGTGACTGGGGGTGACGACGGGAATGTTCATGTCTGGAGTGTGAGCAATTAAATAGGTAATGAAGGTAAAGAAAGGTTGAATTGAGATAGAGAATTGAAGGCGTATGATAGAAATGAAATATTCTGAAATTTTACATTACCTTCAGTAGTAATAATGCCGACAGATAACACTATGTTCACTTTTAAAGTTAAATTATTGCTCATTGACTCATTTATTAAAGCTCTTTAATGAAAAGTAAAGCTGCACAAATATTCCACTAGAACACACGGTTTTAAAGTTAGGAGGAGGAATGGAGGAAGGAGAGATGAGAAGGTGTATAGGGATACTTAAGACTGCTGTGGATGGAACAAGGGCAACTGTATTTTCAATATAAGGGGATAATCAAAGGCAGATTTGAGAGATTTACTATGCTATAATAGCGTAATAAAAGGGGGGATGGAGGGTGTCTGTATGGTGATTCAGATAGTCCACAGAAATATGTTTGCAGCAAAATCGATTAGTAACTTCTCCGGAGACATAGTTTCCAGGAATATCCAGATTTGAGTTAATTGCCAAGCAGTGAAAAATTATAGACAGCCATCGTGACATATTAGCCATTCTATCCATCCGCTACTTACTAGCCACCTTGTACTTACGAATTTTTTATATCATTTCTTGGTAATTTAATCCAGCTTCCCGTTGAATGTCATCCTTTATAACTTCGCTGTTAGATACGTAAAATATCCTGATCACGAGCTAATGTACTATCGGTATGCACACGGAGAGAGATTTTTGTCCGACTTCCAGACTATGGCTCCGAGACATCGATGGGTGGACTTAGATCATAGTTCTGGGTTATTTTATCTCATTCAATCCTAAGTCTTGATACTAAGTACAGTTGGTTCAGATCTATTGACGCCGTAGGTAACATGCACCCGTTAGGTCAGCCAAAATCTACAACCCTAGACCTTATCAGATGTCTTGAGACAAGTCAGGCTGAGTAAATTTTCCGAGTATTTTTTTAAATCATGGTTTAGGTCTTAACCTAGGTCATTAACTCACCCTAAATAAATTCTACTTCATCTCTAGATCGTAATCCTGTGTCAAATTAAATTCATATATTGGCTAGACTTTACTGCAGGCATGATTTTAACCATGGTATTATGCATGATCACAAGCATGGTTTTAACCATGGACCATATCATACACTAGGGTGGAACAAGTCCTGGCACGCCTTTTCAGCTATAGATAGCTCATTTCGCTCGTCATGGGGATGCTGGTTATACCCGACCTCGCGTCACACGACCAAACTAGGCAAACATCGCCAACATAACCACGCCCATAACCACACTCAAAATCAACAACAAGCAGCATGACCTCCCTCCCGACCGCCGCTGGTACCGCAACGCCTTGTGAAGCTCCCTGCCAGCCATCCGTGTCTCATCTGCCACAGTATACAAATTAGACTCGATATTATCCACCATCGTCCCCTGCTCCGTCACAATGGTTCCCAAGTCTCTAAAAATCTCGTTCAACTCGTCGACTCCATGTTGGATCTGCGCTATCTCGCGTTCCCTCTGCTCCACGAGATTCTGGTGGTATTCCAACTCCTCAGCATTAAGCGGTTCGTGTTCAATAATCAACTGCTGCGATTCTTGCGGTTCTTCCTCTTCCGTCTGGGCCATTGCCACACGGGACTCCTCATTCAACCGGAGGTTAACCTCGTTGTACGTTTTCTGGAGGTTGGAAAACTCCGCTAGCGACGCCTTCACCTCTCGCATCAACTTATTCCTGGTAAAAGATTGGGTTGTGGTGAGTTCCACTCCGCCAGCCTCTAAGTCCTCGATCAACGCTTTCTGTGCGTTGGTGGCGTCGCGCAAGCCCTTGAACGAATCGTTTAGCTGCCCAATGAGTGCCACCGTGCGCGTTTTGGCAGCATCAAACGCTACAGAGTCGACCCCGGAATCAGCTTTACCGAGGCTCTTGATCTGCCGCGACAAACTCACAAGGTCGTTGTTGATTTCAAAGAGGCAGTTGGAGATCTGAGAAGCAGCAGTGTCAAACTCCGGTGTGTCAGTATATGGGGTGGTCATAAGGAAAGGGGCCGTGGGAAGTAGAATGGAGGGGCACCAGAAAATATATGCTAATTAATAATAGGGCAATGGAGATCCGTTAGAGTAGTGTGCTAGAGTAGAGATATGTTGAGGATGACCCAGTGGTTGGTGTCGTTTGCGATATATCCTGAGGCTTGGAGCCGTTGAGGCTGTGACGTAGCACGCAAGGAACCAGCCACACTTCCTTTGGGGGACATTAGCATGCACGCGCCACGTATCTCGTTTAGCCTCAGTTGTCAAGAGAAAGGTACACTGGCGTTTTATCAGTATAAATATGCTCTAACAAATCATTCTATTCATTTTTTCCCCAGCTTTCAGAGTGTTGAAGCCACACTTGATTTAAATATCATTTACCTTTTAGTCTTTATAACTCCATAGGATCTAATCCAGACAGCTGAGTGTCCAGTACTGGAAGGGCATCCGTAACCGATAAATAAAAGAGCTTAAACCCAAAAGCTTTCCTTAGTGAACCAAACAGAACGGTGTTCCAAACTAGAATACTGAGATCCTATCAACCTCAAATCAGCCCCCTCAGTATCTTGACTATCACGTCTACGCCACTGATTAGACGTTCACCAGAAAGAAATACTAATCTTCGCAAGAGATTGTTTTCCTGTGAAACTTGGATTATATATGCACCGCTGGTTATACTTTCATCCATGACACAGACCATACTATAAAACCTTCATTATAGAGAGACACTACCGCGAAGCCTGGCCGAATCCGAAACAACTATTTACTTTTAAGACTATACCACGCATACCGACAAGAGATGACCAAACCTTTGCTCGATCAGAAACGATGGCCAAAGATTCAATGGCTAGTCCTCCTTCTTCTTTCTAAATATATACGACTTAATGCGGATAAGAAACAAACTAAGCATGGTCATCAAGGAAACCACCATTAACAAAATTAACACCTCATTTTCCAAGAACGATTCCGCGTCCCAGAAACTCACCTCGTTATCACTCTTCATCAACACGTTGTGACGCGGCTGGTTCCACTGGGGCTCGATCTTGCCGAAATGGTTGTTACGCTCCACCTCGTGGAGCCGCGAAGGATGCTGCGAAAGGTCCGCAAAGATTTCATACTTCTCAGGTTGCGATTTCTGGTAGGCCGGTGGCATTGGGTGCACGTTCTGAGCCGTGTCACTGACATAGACGACCGAATGGTAGGGAGACGGCATCCGCTTCAACATCATCCCCAACGTGGTGTCGCGCACCAATAGCGCCTCGATGCGCTCTTTGGGATCGGTAGGCAACGGCGGAAAGGTCAAACGGACGACCCGCTTGCGAGAATCGATGAACTCGTGCTGCTTGAAGTCTACCCAGGAGTCCCCGTTATAAGTGATTGTTTCAGCCGAACATCGCTCAATGATAGTCTTTTCAAGTGCATCAAGATCCAAGACCCCCCGCGTGTGCGGAAACGTGAGGAGCGTGGAGGACAGACTCATCGCCTGGCGCAATGCCGGCCAGTGGTGCTTGTTGGCGAGGTCCTGGAGGGTCAACCCGGGATGGCTCACTAAAACGTATACATTGGATGAGCAATGACCAACTAATTCATTTGCCACAGAAGTGACTTCATCGAGCGAGAAGGGAACAGGCTTAGGCGAAGCGAGTTTCAGTGATATCCCCGGAACACTAGAGGTTAGCATGCGCTTCGGAAGGGAGGGATGAATACTTACAGGCTGTGGGAGAAGATGACAGCGGGAGACGACTGGAAACATATAGCCTGGGAAATTAGACCACAGAGGACTAAGAGCAAAAGTTTCATCTTGAATAGGGGGAGAGAGCAAAGAAAGTGTGCCAGCTTTCCGTCGAGTGGGATTTATAGTGAACGTTTTGCCTTCGATAGACGTGCGGCTCGGTGAGAACGTGGAGGGGGGCTCTGTGTCCGTCTTGGCTTGCGGTATAGGCTGACTGTGTTGGATGATGGAAATAAATCATTGGCTTGAGCATGAGTCTTTTTCTGGGTATAAGGAGGGAGCTCGTGAAAAATTAGCATTAAATAATCATAGACACATCACCTTGTGAAGCTTGCGCCCCGTCGAGTGGGGTGGCGCCCACCTAAAAGGTGTCACAGACTATTAACTTAACATAACTGGGGAATATAATAATTGTAATACTACTAGTTACTGGTAAGAACCAAGTCACAGTTTACAGGTTCACCCCAACTGAGGTACATTTATAGGTCATAGTGATGACGAAATTACATTCTACTAGCGCATGACTAAGCTGGATCTGCTTTACGTGCACTATCTAAACTGCTTGGCTAGAATTTTGAATACCTAAATGATATTTAACTAAACAAATGCCGTTACTTTCTTCAAACTAAACTCAAGAAACGCGAATTATATCATACTCTCTAGTTTCAGGGACAAGTATTCCCCTTTCTAATTCGTCCTTGGGTTACAGGGTTTCGTCTCTACGTCTTCATCCAAGGTCTTCCACCCGCTTTATGCACATGCGGACCTACTCTCAATTGTCACTAGTATTATAACTCTTTTATGTCATGTAAGCACACCGTAGCTCATTTAATCATAATTCATTCAGTCTACTTACAGATAACATCCACGGTGAAGTCTTCTTCCAACTCGGTATCACCCACGCATATGCCCATTTCCAATTCCTCGTCATCAAATACTAGCAGGACGGCGGTGCCTGCAGGCAACTTCTTAATCGTAATATAATGCCGTACCAACTTACTGATAAGGGTATCGGCACTAACCTTCACTTTGAGCGTGGTATTATCCTGGCTCTTCATTACGATGGGGAAATAGCCCTCGTCTGCACTTTCTCCCAAGACACCGGTCGGCTCATCGCCAAACTCGGGTAAGTCTTCGTCAGACAAGTCTTGCTCCACTTCCACCAACGATTCGTTCATAGAGGCGAACAACTTTGTGAATTTCAACTTGTTTGCAATCTCGGGAAACTCGCGGAACGTTGGTAATGCCCAAGATTCAATGAGCAAGAAGGTGAGGTGAGGTTTTTCCGTTTCGACGGGAATCGATAGCGTCGCTGGCTTCATGTGTGCCTTCACAGCCATTTTCTGCTCAATCCAGATCAACTCCACTAAGTTCAGAGCGTATATTCCGTGTAACTCAGAGGGGGCAAGCCTACAGAAACTAGACAAGGCCGTGAAGATTACCTTGGAAAACTTGGTCATGCCCTTGACACACATCTTGATGCTCAAATCCTGCGAGCCCGGAAGCTTTGACTTGATGTCTACCACGTACTCACGCCTTTTCTCCGTCTCTCGGTCGATATAAGACGTTGGAACAGTCACAGGAAGCACTACCGGTGGTAGATCCACGTCAAAGAGCTCTAGCTCGGGCCGCACCGGTGCCCTGGCCTTCTTTGTGTAAGTGAACTGTGCCGGTGGTGGTGTGATCGACCGCTTGAGCGTTGCTTTTTCCGCCCGTGAAGGTATAGGGGCAACCACCTGGTCTTTATCAAGCGATACCGACGGCTCGTCCATTTCGTCCAGTACCACTACAGGCTCTATCTTTGCCTTCTTCTTCTTCTTTTTCTTCTTTGGCACTTCAGGTGGCAGTGAGAGTGTGAAGTTGTATGCGAGCGAGAAGAAATCGTCTTCAATAGAAGCCAGAGGCTGGGCTGGAGTTTCGGCATGAGGAACAGGTTTAGAGTGAAAAGCTCCCTGTTGGGCGATAACTGGGATCGCTTGAGCTGAAACAGGTTCTAACCGAGCCGGAATAGCCTCAGATTGAGTTGTAATAGGCTGACTTGGAAGTTGCTCTGCATCAATAGGCACAGATTCAACGAGAGGCACTGCTTCAACAGAAATGTCGGGCACTGAATTAACAGAAATAGGACTGGATCCAGTTGAAATAGCCTCTGACTGGTCAGCAAGAGGCTGAAGGTCAACGATCAAACGACCCAAGCCCAGGCCATTGGAAATTGGGGTTGCGGGAATGTCAGACACCTTTGTGATATTCGACACCATTGGCGCGTCGACCTGCTCATTTACCGACATCTCCATGGTTATAAAGCAATTTCCGTGTGATTTTGGGGGATGTTCTCACAGGACGTATTGTGATGATGGAAACGGTTCATGGTTTGTAATCCGCAACGTTATTTTTCTTGTGCCGCAGCCCGATGTGTCCTAAATTCGTTGCGTCGAAATCCTCAGCTCAGTAACCCGTCAGGCGCGTGCGCGGTAGAACTGAGGTAAGGAGCTGCCAAATGGGATATAAAGAACAACCAGGTGAGATTGTCACGCAATAATAGTTATACTGAGGGATAATTTATATATAAAGTTTCTCAACTCATTCCAATGACCAAAAATAGAAAGTGTAATCAGCTACAATGCTGATTCATAATTCACTTTAATCTACATGCACCACAACCCCGCCAAGCTGCATTACTCACATTTGACTTGTGATTTTATTTGACTAGAGCTAGAATAATATATATCAGCATAACTAGGTAACAAGCACTAACAGCAGCTTTGGTATTAGTGTGATTTTATACGTCGTATCGCGGGGGAAGGCGTGTCATTCCTGAGTAAGTGAACGTCAAACTATACAAGTCTAAACTAGACTCCGCTTGAATTTGCTAGCTATTCGATTGATATAAAATTAATTCACCCATATATCGATAGAACCATCAATAACCAGTTTTATACAACTTTGGGTATAAAATACCAAACCTGCAGAGCGATACGCCAAGTTCTTTGCCGAGAGCGTAATTGTAAATATTATATTGGTATCCACAGCTATAGTTTAAACAGATATGAAACTCGGATCAGGTGGAAATTTCCCGTACAATCTCCTAATGACCATAATTTACTCTTCGGTCACCTTTTGGCCATGAAGTTCTTTGCCCATTCTAGGTTCACCACTACACCACCTTCGGTACACTCCACCACAACCCCATCCTCAGCCACCACAGCGTTGCTGCTGCTGACGTTGCCACCGCAGATATCTGACTCCCAATTAGTCAAGTCCCACTTCAACCCCTGGGTAGATAAGGTGCACTTGCGGCCCATAGGCAACAAACCACAGATGGGCCCGATCACCTGCTTGTCATAGTGGATGTAGTTCACACCACCGGGAACCAAAAAGACGATATCGTCTAAGGACACGAGGAAAACACCGAAGGAGGGACATTCTGCTGTAATCTTGTAGAGCTGGTTGATTGAATGGACTGTTTGGTCAAACCGGCCACCCAACGCATTCACCACTAGAAGTGTAACTGGCGGACAAGGCGCCGTAGAGTGCTCCTCCGCCAACCTGAGGAGTCCGTCTTCAGTGTCGATAGCCTCAAAGTCCACCGAACTCCCAGCTTGAAAGTACAACGATACAACGGAAATGGCCTTTTGGAAGTCTGTAGCATACTGGGAGGCCTGGTGGACCAAAACCGCTCCTTTGCCCTGGTAATACGTCTTGACTTCGTCAGTTAGCGAATCGAAATCACCAACGATAAAGTCTGGGATGTAGCGCTCTTTTTCCTCACCAAAGAACTCATACAATCGATTAGCCCCTCCATCGGCACAGACTCGGAGCAGACTATGGTCCCAGAGCATCGTGAGGTCTACATTGATGGCCTGGTTGAGGATGATAAGACACATCTTCGCGGCGTCGGGGTTGAAGAACGAAAGGATGTCAATTTCATTGGCACCACTTGGGACCGGGATTTTTCCCATGATGTCGGGATTTTCCACCACAAGGGACATGTTAAGCGGGAGAATAGCTGGGATATGACATCCAAGGAGGTGTTAATACGGGTTAAGTCTTCAATAAGCGTGTCCATCTAAGCGCATACTTTCCGTGCGGCTCATCGGTGTTAACAAAGTACGGAGGGCGTAAACGCGTGATGGTAGACTAGGGTGGTGATAGGCGTGACGGCTTAAAAAACGAATTTACAGTATACGAGGGGAATATTTTCAACATTTGGAAAGTCAGGTGCTATTTTAATGGACTTCTGGAGTTTGAAAGCTGTATACTGGTCTTTGGTGGTTTTGAAAGGAGTAACAGACAAGAAGAAAAAAATCCCATGGGTTGGGGTTTAGTCGTAGTTGCCGTATCCTATAGATGATTTTTGTTCAAAGAGATATTAAAAGCCAGGAAAACTAGAAAATACTACATATACCCTAATCCACAACGAAGGTAGCCTATAGCGAATTGAACGCAAATTAGTGGCCGCTACACCTCCCTCCAAGAACGGAGGCTTGGTACTGCGCCGCACCAAGTGTAAGAATACCACGTGACCATTACTCTATGGCTCTAACTGGAAATGAGTGCAGATTACAAAAGGCATATTGCTTTGATCAACCCCCTTCCCTTCTAGTCCAGATTCCTAATACAGCAAATATGTCTCTAGCATACAACAGTCCGGAAAAATACAAGTACAAGGTGGAGATCCAGCAGATGATGTTTGTGTCGGGGGAGACGAACGACCCTCCGGTAGAGACGACGTGTCTCATTGAGGACATACTCCGCGGCCAGGTGGTGGAACTTCTTCTTCAGGCGTCACGTAACTCGCAGAACCGTGGCTCCAAAAATGTGACCGCAGAAGATATCATCTTTCTCATCCGGCACGATAAGGCAAAGGTTAACCGCTTGCGGACATATCTCTCGTGGAAGGACGTGCGGAAAAATGCCAAGGACCAGGAAAGTGGCGGATTAGAGAACACAGACCAGTTACTCGAGGATGAGGCTTCGGCTCAGGCGAACAATGCGGGCAAGGGGCCAGCAGCAAACTCACAGTCGGTGATCAACAAAAACATGAGCAAAAAGTCGAAAATTAGACTTCCATGGGAGTTACAGTTCATGTTTTCTGAGCAGCCATTGGATACGGCTGCAGACGAGGACCAGGTTGACGAGGACGAAAAGGAGGCCATTGTGGCGTCGATGAAGCGGTTGAAGGCGGCAGATGACAGAACTCGAAACATGACGAAGGAAGAGTATGTTCACTGGTCTGAGTGCAGACAGTCGTCGTTCACATTCCGCAAGGCTAAGCGGTTCAGGGAGTGGTGTGGGATTGGCGTTTTGATGGACGGAAAGCCCCATGACGATGTGATAGATACGCTTGGGTTCTTGACCTTTGAGATGGTGTGCTCTATTACCGAAGAGGCTTTAAAAGTGAAGTTGGCACAAGAGAGTTACTCAAAGAACCACACCGAGGAGAAGGGAGGGAAGGAAAAGCGGAGACATTATTTGTTTGATGCGCCGGATGAGATGGCAAAGCCGATAGTGGCGAAGCATATTGAGGAGGCGTGGAGAAGGTTGCAGACAGTGGCGATCAAGAGGCGGGCGATTAGAAGCTTCAGAGGGGGGAGAGTCATGTCGAGAACCCAGCTTGTTTAGTGCATGGAGCTCCTCTTGGCATGAAGGGCCTTAAGAATTGGGTCTGGTATTAGCACAAAGTGCCTTATACAGATTTGTAATGTATGGATTATCGGAACAAAGTACTTAAAGAGGACTAAAAGGCATGGTATAGCGACAAAACAATGATCAATCATTGGTATTTGTGCAGAGTGGTTCAATATGGGTTTGAACGAGATATTACCACAACGTTTCCCGTTGATGGGGCCCAGTCGGTTGGAACCAAGCATCTTAAAGAGGTATATGAGACACGTTAGTATATCAAAATGATACCTATACGTATAGAAGGGTTAAAGTACGTTGATTTTTGGGCTTGGAATATTTTCCTGTGAATACAATTGGCTCACTTGCTTTATACAATAGTCCCTTATCGGCTGGGACTCGGCGCTTTCAGCAGCGCAATTCAAATCATATTAATAAATCGTTTCTCCAGTCACAATATAATTCAATTACCACTTTTCTCGAAACAGGTACCACCGCAATAAGAGGCCCTTCAAACAGTATACAAAGTAAAATATCAATAATAGCACTTATACGGCGCTATAATAGCTAACGACACCGCAATATTCAAGCAAAATGATATCTGCTGTTACGGTCATATTAATTATACCGCAATTAATGTTCTACTTCAGACCAAAGGATATTGCCTACAAACTGACTGATGAAATAGCCTAGTTTTTAACTCATAGATGGCAATTTCTTCAATTACATGTAACAAGGTGTCCTAGATCTTACACACGGCACATTAAGGTGATTATGTTAAAACAATAATATACTCCGTGGCCCCCTGAAACTATCCTATACTTCGGTAATCCGCATCCTTTCTATCCGACAGCTTCCATGTTGAGGAACAAGACATTTAACTCGAGGTTATAGGTTTTGGTACCCATCGAATCTGCTAAACCAGGATGGACTCCCACCCTTTCGCTAGACCAATTTCTTCCTTATTCCCCAGAGTCTTTTTTTAGTTACGATGAAACACTTCCAAAGTAATAAATACCTCATTTAATTTCTATTATTCTACTTGGATGAAACTGCTCAATATAGCTGTAAAGTCATCTGCCTCAAACCGCCTACCATCCCATCCGCCATAGTCTGGCACGATGGCCTCGTTTGAGCGAGGCAAGTTGAGAAGAAAGGTGGAGAAGTACACTCTACGTTCGATCTCACGACGAGCAATGTGGCGGATAACGGGAGCCAAGGTCAAGACCATTTCCTGGTTGGGGAGTACTCTGAGTGCGTCTGAGTCGCGGAGCTTGATGTTTTCTGGAACGTTCGTGTTGGCCATGCGGGTCTTGCGTTCCTGTAATATCGGAAATCGTTTATATTTGGATGCAAAGAAGGCTAGACATGGGTTACGAATACTGTTGTAGCTTCGTGGAGTAGGGGTGTCTCCATGCCAGATGCACCGTTCCTGGAGATAGTTCCCGATGGTAACCTCAAACGGTAAGGGATCGATGCTGAGCTGTGCCGAGCTTGGGATAATGTAGCTGTCCACAATTTCGTTCACCTCGGCTTCATGGTTAAGGTTGGAGCACTCACCAGTCAGAATGATGTCTGAAAGGGAGAGAGTATCTACGTTTTCAGCATACCGCGAGAGACAGGAGTAGCCTTCGGAGCACTGATCCACAGCGGAAGGATGAGCTTCTATCAGTATACCTTCCTTTAGGCGAATCGACGTCACCATGCGAGCCGGAGCTTCTTCGTCGACATCGATAGGTTCCACCGAGAGCTCTTCAGGTCTGGTGGTTTGGCAAACAAATTGTAATTCATTCAAACACTTGCGGATATCGCAATTATGCTCGGCCACCACCCGTTTTACGATGTCAGCGTCCACATCGTAACCTAATGCCATACAACACAATCCCAAGTAGTCTGCAAGATATGACGGCTCTGCCTTTTGGTACTCCAAGAAAGCGTATTCGTCATGGGCATACTGGATCAAGCCGCGTGGAATGGACCCCGGGTCCTCACAAGTGATCACCACCGGCCGTCTTCCCACGTTTAGCACGTTGTTAAGCACCACCCAGAACCCATTGTCTTGCTCGAAAAGCACATCCACGTTCTCAAAGAGTAACAAGCCCTTCTGGAAGCCATCGCTGGATTTCTTGTGCTTATGCACTAAATGTGTGGTGGACAACTCGTTAAGCTTGGCCATAATGTCTTTTTTGCCTCGGGCTTGACCAGAGTTGATCTCATGGACGTAGCCGTGGCACTCCTTCATACAGGCAGCCACAGCCGACGACTTCCCCGACCCCTGAGGCCCTGTAAGGATCATCAACGGCACAAAAACATCTTCTTCGGTGGATCCCTCGCCATCATCGATGAAATCATCCATTTCACTGTATGAAGCCTTCTTGAGCATCTGAAACCGCGGCCCACTGTGTTTTTTTAACCGCTGAAACGAGTTTTCAATCCACGTCTTCAACCGTGCGCTGTTGTGGGGGTTGGCAAGAAGGGCAGATGACGTTTGAGGGCGGAGAATATCCACCCACAATCCGTGGATCGTGTTGGAGGAACTGAAACCAGCACGAAGAATATCCAACAAGTACTCGAACTTACCATCTTGTAAAACAGACGGGACTCGGGCTGCCAAGTTGTGCAAAATCTCGGCATACGTCATGGCTTTCTTCAGCGAAGTCGTGGTTTTCAGCGCAGCTTCCTTTGACGGGTTAGGGACCAAATTCACGTCGCATAGATTGATGACAGGAGGATTGACCTTTTTTAAAGCTAAACCTAGCACTCTTGGCTCAATAGTCTCTGTTTCTGGAACAACATGGAACTCTTGCCGGCTGAGAGTTGGTAATGGGGTATCCTTAGCTTTCTGAAACGCCGTCATTCGCGGCTCCGTAGACGATCGATCCACCATCAGACGAAGAAACGATGTCAGTAGTAGAGGGGTGCCCTCATCAGCCACAATGACATTGCCCTTGGTGAAAAACGGATCCTCTTCCTCTACATTAATCACCACCTGTTTTGGTTTTATCGTTTCGAGAATGTGTGGGGAAAGTCTGAGGATCACGGAGAACGACTTTTTGAGTCTCGTTTTTCTTTCCTTTTTGAGCTTCTGCTCTTGTCTCTCCTGTTCCTTTTCCTGTTTTGATTGCTGGTCTTTGGACTTGAGGCTGGTGAAGATATCCATGGCGTTTACAGACTTGACATTCATTTTCTGGTAGATCTGTGTCTCTATTTGGCTGGTATCATTTCGCAGAGAGTCTGGTACGTCATATATTTCTGTAACCTCGATATACGACAGGTCTTCAGCGTAGTTCACAGGCTGGTTCGTACCTGGCATTTCAATCTTGGCACGCTTGGAGATTCTGTGACCGCAGAGAATGTCGTTGACACTGATTGCAGGCTTATTTGGAGAGATTTCCGCAAACGACAGCTCAGTCTCCGATAGATTCACGTGGGGGGTACCGTATGCCTGCGACTCATCCAGGGTTCCACAGTCTAAGAAGAACGGATCGATGGGGACCTCTTGTTTGTAACCTGTTAATACCGAACTGAGCAGATTGCCCGAGGCTAAAATCGGGCTTAGTTGGCTGCTAGGAAAGGAGTCACTCAGTATAGGGTCATGGTCTCTCCTATAACCGGTCAACACCGAGATAAGAGCATTAGGTTTCGGGGAGGTATATCCATCTGTCATTTCCAGGTCAGGAATATCAAATGGCCCCATAACAGTAACCGGGTCGGGTAATGTCTGCTTGGTAACTTGCTGCGGTAATGGTACCCTAGAAATCGAAGGTATGGCCTTGGGCGGTCTCCCACGTTTCTTCGCCGGCTTGGGTTTTGCTCTTCCGTTGAGGATATCGGTCATGGAAACCGGCTTTCTATTGGGAAGGGGTACCGATACCATGAATGTGTCGTGTGAGGGGTCCATGGGCGGGTTGGGCTGGCCCACGGGGTCCATGCTATATATAATGGGAGATGCAGGCAAACTAGAAGCAGGAAGTGGCAGAAAATAGAGATCTTATCTCAGATGACGGAGTAATATGAGCCGAGAGGTGTGGGGGAAGAGATGGATGAACGATCTTCAAAAAAACGTAGTGGGTTTTTCCTGTAGTAAGTGCCATATTTTGTCCTGTGTACGCGAAGTAACGCGTAACGCGCCTTAGAGTACATACGCGTCTACTTTTGAAAACAAAATTTGTTAGAGCTAAATAGATCACGTACATGAGTATACACCATGGAGAGCTTTTGGCTTAATATGAGTCAATGTATGTGAGGAAACATCACCCTCCCCATTCAGCGATGCTCTAGCGTTGTGTGAAGCCCAAACCCCATCATGGTCAATGACTATTGTAACAGACTGAACAAATTTAAACTCGAATATACTGGGTATACAAAAAAAAAACAGCTGATATAAGCACTGTGTGCGAGAGAAGCAAGGACGGCTGTTTCCAAGCTTTAGTAGACACGCATCTTCAGCTCATAGTCTTTGTCTTTTTTTTTCCGGCTGAGCGAACTAAAATACATATCTGATCTTAGGTAATTCCCCTTTTGGCAGCGGTAAACTCACCACTGGGCCACTTCAAAATGGCGGCTTGGGTGAAGGCACTGTATTTACGCTTCCCCGACACCGCCCTAGCGACCCGTAAATAGAGAAGAATATTCCCGTCGTTATCAAAATCACTCTCCAAAGCATGGTCCACTAGCGTTTCAAAGTCAGGATTTCCTTTGATCAACTCCTTCATATTTATATGGTTCTCCTTGCCTTCATACCGTTGGATATCATTGATCATCAACGCATATCCATCGAACTTCCCGGTCACAACAGCCATGGTCCCGTTTTCAGTTTTTTGCGCTGTCGGATGCCACGATAAAACGCCTGTCTCATTGTGATACCCCAAGAAAGACGGCGGCGACACCCGTTCATCGGGGTCCTCTCTTCTCAAGTGGGTGTCTGTTTCCAGGATGGAAGCAAGCCCCCATCTTGCCGCGCCGCTAATGAACAAGCCAATCAACACACCTTGGAACAACAAGGCCTGGGACCCTCTGGTCCGCGTTCCTGGAATGAGCAACATCCCAAGGATGTAGTGGTGTACTCGCAAGGTAAGACCCGGTAAATGGGAAAGTAACACCAACCCCAACACAAACAACAGGTATATGGCAAGGTACTTTCTAAACTTTCCGGCATGCCAAAGCTGGTACGCCTGGATCAACACACCAAGAATAATCACTGAAAAGATACAGGACACGGCGGTCAACGCTCCGGGTTGAGATGCCAAGTCTTTCCATGTGAGTCGGTCGACCGGCAATCGGTCGAATGTCAAGTTGTTCATGACGCCCAACCAGAACACCGGGTACCAGAAGAGGGTCCTCGTGAATGGAGAGGGTAAAAACGGCTCTGGTGGGTCGCTCATCGTGTGGCGCACGGCTACATGCCACATGGTGAAGGCAATGAAGCACGACGGAAGGAAGCGCTCCAATCCGAGACTGACCAACGATGCTAGCATCTCAGGGTCGGAGGGGTCGATCTTGTAGGGAGGATCAAGGGCAAGGATAATCGTCCAGAATGCCACAGTAAACATGGTCCAGAAGGAAACAACTGCAGGAGCGAAATAAACCACTGGAATTCCCATGATGATGTTCATAAGCGTCACCACCAAGCGTGGATCATGATTGACAGATACTTTGGGTAATTTCTTGAAAATGAAAGAGGATGGAAAGAAGGAATTGAATTCTAACGACGGCGAGACTCCGTAGTGGCCTATCTTGGACGGAAAGTGCTCCTGTTCTCCGGTGTACGAGATTCTGGCACACCCTCCAAAGAAGGGGGAGATAATTCCAGCGTGAATGGCAGCTCCACAAGGATAGGAATCAGCTCGATATGGAAGAGATAGTTCGTGCTCGTTCTGGTCTTCAGAAACTTCTCGATAGACATCCCCGCCACCGATGAAGTAGCCTCGGTATTTAACGGTCTGGTCGCCCACTGGGATCGAGGAGAAGGTGAAACTCTCGCGGTCACACAAGGCCGGACATCTGAAAACTACGTCTTCTTTGTCAAATGGCTCACAGGCCTTCCCGTTGAGACCGCAGGCGGTGTTTTTTCCCTTCCAGAAGAGTTTCTGCTGGTTGCACGTCACGCTGATGACCTCCATCTGCTTCCCGTTGGAGTCGATATACGTTGGAATCTGGGTCAAATACGGGAGGAGAACCAGGGATAAAAGCCAGAGCCAAAGGAGAAGATATATGGAGACTATACCAACTTGTAGCCATAGTGGTAACGTTTTTTTGAGGCTCCCAGGGAGGTTATCGAGACGCTTTAGGGCGCGAAAGCGCGGTGTAGGCTCGTCAGAGGGGGTTTCGGGGCCGGTCCAGATCAATTTGACAATCCGGATAATCTTTCCTTTGACGGTTCTGGGATACTTTCTTCCCTGGAGTAAACGTTCGATTGTTTCGTTGTCGAAGGCGGCTTCAGAGCCGGACGTGGAGTCACGATAGGGCGAGGGGTTATGGGAGCAATGTTTGTCCACCTCGAGAACTTCTAGCTCAAACTCTCCGTGCTGCGCCAGAGAGGGCGGTGTGTATTCGGTGTTTGTCATTTGGGGTGAAGTTTCGTGTTTGGATAGGTCTGGGTATTAGATGGCACCTCGGGCGACTTCCGAAAACAAATATGTGGCCCTCTCAGACGTGACGGGGATGTTGTAATACCCCAAGATTGCAATGGTGAAAAAGGGATTTAAGGTGTTATGCCAAGAGTTTGGATGCTGCCGAAAGGAGGTTGAAACTTTGTATTTGACAGTGTTATTTAATGTCTCGCGACCGAAACTATATTCTAAGCACCCTGCGCTTGCCGGAACGAAAATTCCTGTGCTGCATATGTAGCAATGGAGTGCCAGTTTCAGCAGAACCAACTTGGGGATGTGGTGGAAGTACAATTAGCCAATAAACTATGGTGGCGGGAGACAATATCCCTTTACAGAGATGACCCATAACTATAGTTTTGGTCAAAAACAGACATACATAGCTAAAGTTATAAGCCTAGTATTATGTAATGGGAAAGAGTGGACATAATCTATGACGCAGTGCTGCAGTAGTTGCAGTCTCCGAAGATGCCGGGTCGGGTACATAATCAGACCCGACGTCACAAAATTTTCGACGCGGCAAGTCTGCGACCCCGTGAACTCATGCGCACAGACCCCGTCATGGTTATGCAGTCACGTGCATACACTACTACAGTAAAAGTAGGGGACATTTACATTAGATAATATAGATCTCATTGATGGTTCTGAGTTTTGGTACGGATAAGCGTTGTAAATAAACATCACCGTAGGGGTATTACCAACGGGGCTCCCGGCAGAAAACCACTGGCAGGTATCTAAAATACATTGTAGAGCCATACTTTAATAGGAATACTCTGACGAGGCTAGAAAACTAAACAGTGATGGATATATGGTTATAGCCTAGGATTTTGGTCGCAGCATACATCCTCCTCTTTCGGCTTTAACGCAATTTATTGATCAATAGCTACTCAAAGCTGCGTAAATAGAATCACATTCTAATAGATGGCTGTTCTAGTACAATAATCTACATTAAGCAAAGTGTAAAACATTGATATATTAAAATGAAAACGTAGAGCCCCAAAAAACCGGAAAGAAATAAAAGAGTAGCGCGAGGTCGCTTAACCAGAACACATGGCGCAGGCTTCTGGATTGTCGATAGCACAGGCAATAACCTTGGAACTAAAGATATCGGCCTCAGACATGCCCTCGGTGCTAGCGTCAGCGGCTTCAGCAACAACTTCTTCTTTTTCTTCCTTGGCAGGGGTGTTTTCCGCAATGCTCAAGTTAGCAACAGACTCCTCAAGGATAGCTGGAACGCTGTCAACGATAACTGGGGACTCAGAAGAAATTGAGGTGTTTTGGGCAGGGTTCAATTCCTCAACAGCAAGAGATCTTGGCTTGTACTTTCTAGCGTTCAACTTTTCCAACACGGCAATGGTGTCTCCCGCGAGGCCGGCAGATGACTGGTCGACGGTAAACTGAATGGCAGCGGAGGCAGATTGGGTTCTCAAGTAGTACATACCAGTCTTCAAACCCTTCTTCCAGCCGTAGAAGTGCATGGAAGTCAACTTACCCATGGTTGGGGCCATAATGTGGATGTTCATGGACTGAGACTGATCGATATAGGCAGCTCTGTCAGCAGACATGTCGATGATGGTCTTCTGAGAAAGTTCCCAAACGGTCTTGTACAACGCCTTGATCTCAGCTGGGACATTTGGCAAGTTCTGGATGGAACCATTGTCCTTAATGATGTGGTTCTTCATGGAGTCGTTCCACAAGCCCAAATCAACCAAGTCTCTCAACAAGTGTGGATTGACAATCTGGAATTCACCAGCCAACACTCTTCTGGAATAGATATTAGAAGTATATGGCTCGAAGCACTCGTTGTAGCCCAAAATCTGAGAGGTAGAGGCAGTTGGCATTGGAGCAACCAACAAGGAGTTTCTCAAACCATGCTTGGCGATCTTCTGCTTCAAGGTGTCCCAGTCCCACAAGTCAGTAGGCTTCTTGCCCCACAAGTCAAACTGCAATAAGCCCTGGGAGGCTGGAGAACCTTCGTAGCTCTCATATGGCCCCTCTTCCTGCGCTAATTCAATGGAGGCCTCGAGGGCAGCGTGGTAGATGGTCTCAAAGATCTGGATGTTGACTTCCTTGGCCTCCACAGAGTCGAATGGGATTCTCAACATCATGAAGGTATCAGCAAGACCCTGGACACCAACAGCAATTGGCCTGTTTCTCATGTTGGATCTCTTGGCCTCCGGAACAGGGTAGAAGTTACGGTCGATGATCTTGTTCAAGTTTCTGGTGACAGTCTTGGAGATTTCGTGCAACTTCTCAAAGTCGTACCAGGTGGACTTGTTATCAGAAACAACGAAAGCTGGCAACGCGACAGAGGCCAAGTTACAGACGGCAACTTCTTCTGGGGAGGAGTACTCGACAATCTCGCAACACAAGTTGGAAGACTTGATAATACCCAAGTTTTTCTGGTTAGACTTGGCGTTACAGGAATCCTTGTACAACATGAATGGAGTACCGGTTTCGGTCTGGGCCTCCATGATGGCGTACCACAACTTCTGGGCTTTAACGGTCTGTCTGCCCTTACCTTCTCTCTCGTACTTTTCGTACAAAGCCTCGAATTCGTCGCCGTAGGTGTCAGCCAAGCCTGGGGCCTCGTTTGGAGAGAACAATGTCCATTCACCGTTGGCTTCAACCCTCTTCATAAACAAGTCTGGAATCCACAAGGCTGGGAACAAGTCTCTGGCTCTGATCTCTTCCTTACCGTGGTTCTTTCTGATGTCAATGAAGTCAAAGATGTCCGCGTGCCAAGGCTCCAAGTACAAGGCAAAGGCACCCGGTCTCTTGTTACCACCCTGATCAACATAACGGGCGGTGTTGTTGAAAACACGGACCATTGGAATAATACCGTTGGAGGTACCGTTGGTACCGGCAATGTAGGACCCGGTAGAACGAATGTTGTGGATGTGAAGACCGATACCCCCGGCAGTCTTGGAGATCTGGGCACAGGTCTTCAAGGTGTCGTAAATACCTTCAATGGAGTCTTCCTTCATGGCAACCAAGAAACAAGAAGACATTTGCGGCTGTGGAGTACCAGCGTTGAACAAGGTTGGGGACGCATGGGTGAAGTACTTCTGAGACATCAAGTTGTAGGTTTCAATCACCTTTTCAATGTCATTACCGTGGATACCGATAGAGACTCTCATGATCAAGTGCTGCGGTCTTTCGGCAACCTTGCCGTCAACTCTCAACAAATAGGATCTCTCCAAGGTCTTGAAACCAAAGTAGTTGTACTGGAAATCACGGTCGAAGACGATGGCAGAGTTCAACTCATCAGCGTGTTCTTGGACAATGTCGTAGGTTTCTTGAGAAATCATAGGTGCGTGCTTGCCGGTCTTAGGGTTGACGTACGTGTATAACTGCTCGATGACCTGGGAAAACTGCTTGATGGTTTGCTTGTGCAAGTTGGAGACAGCGATTCTCGCGGCCAAGATGGCGTAGTCTGGGTGGATGGTGGTCATGTAGGCAGCGGTTTCGGCAGCCAAGTTGTCCAACTCAATAGTGGTGACACCCTGGTACACACCGGAAATAGTACGTTGGGTAATAGCGACGGCGTCGACATGGGCTGGGTCTAAACCGTAACAGAGACGAGAGACACGGGCGGTAATCTTGTCAAAACGGACTGGCTCTTTGCGGCCATCTCTCTTGTAAACATACATATTTGGCGGGATATATTAGGGGAGGAGGGTCAAATATAGTATGGAGAGAGAAGAAGAAGAAAAGGGGCAAGAAAAAAGAGAGGGGGATACGCCCTCTTAAATACACCGACGCGTAACTGGAAAGCTTTTTCCCACTGGAATTTTTGTGTTGTGACGCGTCAACGAGCGCGTCAAAAACCTTTAGTATATGGATCATTGCAGACTAATATGGCAGTAACCTCTTTATGTAGGATATTATGGGCCGGGCAACCCCCATACAAACCTGCGATATCACTGTTTACACTTGGAAAGCGCACGAAATCGGGATGTTGATTTGTAATACAGACGCGTCGAAAAGCGCGGCGAAAAGCGTTGTTATACTCGGCACGCGTCGGCCGTGTGCTTGAAGTTACTTAAGCAGGGTGTAAATAACGCGTAGCAATCACGGTAATCGCGTCACATTGGTGGCTGGAGACTGTACGAAATACATCGGCAGAGAGTCTTATGTCCTGAATCGGGTGTTATGATTTCGGACTTATCTGGAATTTTAGAGGAAAAGCGTTAGTCTGGTAAATTGTCAAGTTTTGTGTGCTTTAAACTCGACAAGTCCGAGGCTCCGAATTTAACGAGTTATATTAAAAAAGAACGCCAGTATATTCGTTGCGTTGGCCCAACTTTATAGTGATTAGTATAAATATACATTTAACATGCGTAGACGAGTGTTGGTTACGTTTCCGGGGTCATATGACAAAATTAAAGCTCACCATATAGTTATGTTCTCTCAAACCTTGGTGCCCTTCGTCTAAGAATTTCTTGGAGATGCATCGTATTCCTACGTTTGGTGTCATTACCAACGACTTGATCTAAAAAAAGCCTATTCTTGTTTAATCCACAATTTATTGTATCTTTGGTTTAAATGCCTGTTGGAATCGAGGTCTAAAAATGATCTAAACTTTATGCACTGCTCAAACAACACGCGACCGCATTACCCACAATCGCACCCGTATCGGAGCTGTTATTAATGCTGTAGCGAAGGTGCCCCTGTTTGGTACTTCTCCCTTCATTAGAGAACTCGTGAGCATACTCACCCAAAGAACACTTGAACCCGTGGTAGTGTTGAATGACGGAACCGGAACCCGCAACTTCCACCTCCAAGGTAGTTGTCTTGCCTGTGTTGGAGTACTCCGACGAGATGAACTCGCTCAAGGACGCGATTGACAACGCACAAAGGATCTGGGATCTCAGAGAAAGCATCTTGACCAATGTGTGCACCACGTCCACGTCGTTGGTAGAGGCGCCGGTGAATGCCCCAACGTCCCCAAAAAGAAGGTGGAGGAATTCGGAATCGTCGTTTGCATTCCAATCCTCTTTCGAAGCCCTAAACAGTTCCATGTCATTTAATGCTTTAGTGGAGATTGAGAACGGTCTTTGAAGCGCGGCTTTCAATGCGCCTTGGTTAACGTTGCTGAAAAGGCACCCCTGATGAACAAGGTCCTGCAACACAACGCGAAGAATCTCCCCCAAGTATCTCCCGCCGGCCAAAAACTCGAGTGGCTGAAAGCCCGGTTTTTCATTCAGACTGTCCACGATTTTATCCCATTTGCTGGTAGGGAGCTGTGCGCCAAAGAAAGACAACTCGGTGTTGTACAACGTGTAGGTGTTATCGCCAGAGGGCAATATGATGGCGGCGTTGACACCCGTCCCCAAAACATAGCTGATGGTCGTGTTAGCCGATGGACAATTGTACTTGTAGGCCAAAAGAGACGACACCGTATCGTTCAAGATAGCCCCAATTTCTATGTGGGCCCCCAAGTTGCGGAACGCTGTAGAAAAGGTGTTGTTCAACTCCCACCCTTGGATGTCTTTGCACACGTTGTATCCTTTACCCATGGCCAAGATATTCCCTTGGGAAAGGGATATTTGCTGGATGGGAAAGGACCATGTGAGACCCATGCGTAAGTGGCCCGACCCTTTGTAGTTTACCCCGGCCAAGATGCACTGATTGATAATGAAACTGGCCAAGTACTCAAAGAAAGCCTCCCCAGAGCGATCTTTGACCTCTTGGGTGATAATAGATTCCCCGTGGTTGATTACTTGGAAGCTAGCGTTACCGTCCAACGCAATGATGGACACTCTGATGGTGGATCCACCAATCTCCACGGATATAAACCTGCCCTTTTCTGTGCCTGTAGGCATGCTAATGGAGCCACTGGTAACCATGGGGAAGCTCCCATCCATTATCTGTTTGGAGACAATGTGGGGTGGCCGGGCCAAGGTATCTGACAATTCCCGGACAAAGAGGGACTTGTAATGTGCATTATTGTAATAGACTTTGTGTCCTGCTAAATTGGCAAAGTCAGTTGTATTGTGGGAAATGTAGTCTAGTAATTTTGGACTAGAGGTAGCAGGAAAGAGATCAGAAACTCCCTTAGAGATTCTAGGTGCGGATATGGGCTCGATGTGTTCAATGCTACTATCGGGAGTGACCCGGGAGCAGTCAGTGCTTTCTGGGGAACAAGTGATGTCGTGTCCCATGGTCATAATCTGGCTCTATTGCTTCCACTATCGGTTACAGTATGAAGAGAACACTGGGAAGGGGGGTTATGGATCTGTGTATGCGTGGAACACCTCAGCCTGTAACCTGGGTGAGTGACATGCCAGGATTCTCTGGTCACACGTAGTGGCATATATACTCCCTCACCCAAACATTGCGAAAAAGTAAAATGTAAGCATGTAACATCAAACAAGTATCCTGTATATGCGAATGAAGGATTTACGTCACTAAGCCGTCACGGATAAGAATCCACGGGAATGTAGCAGCGTTCTCGTTCTAGATTCAATGCTTACGCCGAGTAAATTTTTTGAAAATTTCTAATATATTAGTCAAAAGTCCATCTCTCAAAGTATTAGTACTTTGAAAGAGTCTGAGGTTGACGTTAAATGCTGTAAATTGTGATACAGTCGTATGGTTTAAAAAAAGGGTCCGCCGTGTAAATCTTGGTCTCGTGACTCCCCCAGAAGCTTGGAATTGAGTTTTCCGATTAGTAAGACCAAATATGATCTATTTGGGTTTTTAGATGGAATTGCAACATGAGGGTAAGGTCAAAGACACACCAGAAAGGTGAAATTAGAGCTCCCATAAGCGTTCTTGCTAGTACTGGTACATCTCTACCTCAAGGGTAGAATATCTATTTATAGTATACTGGTTAGCTATATAATTTGTATAGAGTATAGGAGGGAAAGATCGACTTCTTTGTATAGAGTATCAATCCCTACCACGTGATAGCTATACGTTTACTACAAGTACTATGGTTTAGTGATATTTATTAATAATCGGTATATAATAATAATGGATGCATATACAAGTGCCGCTCGTGAAATTGCTGAATCTCAAAAGTACAAGAATATAATCGGGGCTCGCAAAGATAGTTCCTCAAATTAGCCCGGTGACTAGGCAGCGACAATAATATCCGTAGTTTGATTTGGAATGAGAAGGCTAGTATTGAAGGGTATGCCGTGTTAAATATTAGGATGGGCTTGACACGGTTTTCTACCCCAACGCGGCCCTAGCTGCTATATACTCCGAATAGCTGATTTTCTGTTTCAATCCCTTGTACTTCACCACCTTTAAATTCAATTGCTCGACCCAAGAGTCTGGATCATTCACAATTCTTGAGCTATTGAACCCCGCCTTCCTCAACAACTGTTGGAATGTCTCTACCTGGTCCCAGCCTTGCTCCTGGGCAACTTCGGGCAAGAAAGTTCCCGAGTACTTCCTGAATTTGTGGGAGAACGATATCTGAATTCCGTGTGTCCCGACAACCCAATTGTAGATATCGTTGATACGCTCAAAGTCGATAAGAATCGTCACGGCACACTCCAACTCTGAGACTTCCTCCAATGAAATGGGCTCGAATCTGGGATCTTCAAACGCACTGATGGTTGCGTACTCTTCCACTCCACTATTCAAGTCCAAATCAGCAAAAGTACCTATACATCCACGCAATTCCTTCTCATGGCGGCCATGCAACACGTTCCAGGTTACGAAGAGCGGGGCTGTGGTAGGCAAAGAGGATCCGGTTGGCAGGTGGTGAAGAAACGTTGCTAGACTCAAAGCCTTTTTACGATTCAACTTTGACACGATAACTTCAAATGCATATGCTGCGTATGGGGCTGATAAAGACATGTTGGGTCTCGTAGAGGAGTATGTTGCTTGGCAGTTGAGATACTAATTGCGTGTCGGAATGCTCAAGGACTTGGCGTACCAACTAAAAAAATCTTTTGAATTGGTCTATAAACGTGTAAAAAAGAGACAGCAAACGTCCTAAGGGAGGTTTTTTTCGGGTAGATCAGTACGGAATGTGCTGGGTAAAGGTTGAGGGAGACCTCCTTTGCTGTAGTAGCTTAGTAGTCTCCGCTAATCAACCCTCAGGGGGTAAATCTCAGTGGCTGCGGGGAGGATGGCGCGGATCAAGACGATACGTAAGCCGCATCTCGCATATGGGGGACACGACCTTTGGAAGAAGGAGCTTGGATCAACCTCAGCACAGCGACAAGGTGGATCTGATCTACAATAAATTAAAAGCGGTTCTACATGTATTCATAAACCCAAGATATTCGAGATTTCTTGCCGGATTACCACAGTCCACAGGTTTGTAACAGTGGCCAGCCTACTGTCTAGGGCTAAACATATCGTGAAACTTTGTCATTGTGGCATATCTAGTGGGTAATAGTGGATACTGTTAGCTAGCTAAAGGAGAATACTTTTCCTATGTAAGATATGTACAAGAGAAGGGTAGTCGGAGGCCTTGTATACTGAGGCGGATACGATGTCAAGGTGTTCACTTATCGGAAGTAAGGAGATAATGTACGCCGACCTCTATCTAGTTAAGTGGCACCTTTACTATGGTCATCTATAAAGGAGAAGTGCCCTAGCCAGTAACTATTTTTTTCTAAGCCCCGGCTTGGTGGAATTTTAATTATGGTCAAAAGTATGTGGTAAGACCATTGGGTTCGTTATACATTAAGGGCTTTTATTAGTAGACTTAAGCCCCCATAGGGCGAATTTCAAGGGAGGACAGAGGTAAATATTTGTTAGGGTAGTCCTAAGTTTCCATATTTCCGTATATAATGGCTGAGGGATACCGGTATCAGTACCGGGTTGTGCGAAGGTTGACACTTGCTAGCGCGCCTGTATGTAGACTTCCATATTAAATCCTTTTCGGCGCCGCCAGACCCGGCGACCAGCCCCTTTTGTGCCTCCGAAGGATATTAGCTCTATCTTGAAAGACCTAGTGAAGCAATATATCATCCTGTAAGATGAAGAAGCTAGTGGGGTATTTGGTAAATCGGAGAAAACTCCACTTGTAGCCACCCCAATATTTCATGGGGACCCTTCTCAGAGTATGCACAGATTGCTTGCAGGTCAGGGTCCTTGGCCTTAGAGGCCAGTCAGGCAAGGCGTGTTCGCGTAGCACATATGCACAATAAGCATGCAAAATATCTCTCGCCCCGACCTCGATAGCTACATGGTTCCCACTCCTAGATGTAGATCTAAAGCAGCAGTGTTGCTTAAAGTAGCTATTTTAGCCTCTAATAGCGACTTTTGGCGCCCTGGAGGTACTGTTCTTGTATCAGCATGTATTTTCACAACCATTATTGCTCCATCTATCGAAGTTCTAAATCGAATAAACACCGCTGTTATCTGGACACCGGAAGGTACCGCCGGCTGCCGTTAGCTTCAACCTTGCCTATTGTTTTCGGGAGGCTCTTCAAGTGGGGTACCCAGATGTACCCGAATTCCCTCTTCCTCTAACCTTTTAGCGGTTATCCACCCCCTACCTGGAAGAAAGAGTCGGCGATGTGGCTGACCGGCCTTATTGTACTTTTTAATGTGAATTTCCCCCCGGCTGAGAGCACTTGTAAATTCTCCGATTGCAAAGGGAACTCTCGGAGGGTTGGAAGTTTTAGGGACACTCCTCGGAGACTTACTCTTTGGCATGTTCCGAACATAATTCCGCCACTCCTCTATTCCTTTTGGTGAGGCTAGATCAAAAACCCGGTCACCAAGCTTTGCCAGGAGTGGGTGGCTACTTGTACCATTATTAACCTCACATCCGTTACGATCTTGGCTGTTTTGGATTAATTGCGGGATATTTTCCAGTCGCTCACTTAGCCCTCCGAAATTCTTGGGGATAGCCGGTGATAGTGACGACGCCGGGTATGACCACCTGTTACCACTCGATACCCATTTCTTCGCTATTCTGGAGTTTTCATCTTCCTCTTCTACTACCGCAACCAATGACTTTAGCTTCTGGATATCTTCAAAGTTTTCCGCCACCCCCAAACTGACTCGCTCCAATTCTCTCCGAACATCACCACCCTTGTTAAGCCGACCCTGAAGGTTTTTCGTTTCCGAATTCACGCTCGATGTCAAACTCGAAACTGATTTATATATGGAGATCTGTTTTTCGTTCATATGTTCTGCGTTTTCCGCCAAGTTGCGGATGGTGGTGTTTTGCTTCTCTGTTTCCTTGCTACGTAGTACAAAGGTGATGAATCCATGAAGGGCTATGAAAACCTGAATAAAGAGACTGATGGAAACCCCGATTATGGACCACCAACTGTGTGTATTACTGGTACGGTTAAACTGAGTCGCACGTTCAAGAATATCTGCCTGGTGAAAACATGTCTGAATGTTTAAGATGAGGGCCAAATCGTTTGCGTTTTTTGATGCGAGATCGAGGCAACTGGTGTGTTAGTATGGCTGGCGTTCTTCGGTGAGATATTAAAGTAGCACTAACTCTTCGATCTGGGCCTGGGAAATAACCGATAGTTTTCCTCTAGCCTCCTTCTTCAAAGCACCGCGATGCTTGGAGAAACATCCTACGCCATTTGCGGTGTCTGTGCATTCAACGATCGCTGCAAAAGCCTGCGATTTGGCAAGTTGGAAAATAGGCGCACCGGCGTTAAAAGGGGCCAGTGTAAAAATAGAGACGAAAAAAGCATAGCCACCAACCAACGCGAGTAGGAACACGATAAGCGGATGGATGCCATAGATATGCACGGGCATGATCTTAATTCGTTGCCACATTTCAAGTTGAGAGTGTTACACGATGAAAGTTGAAGATCAGAAATTTTTACTTTCATCTCTTAAATATCACTGGGTTGCGGGCGTGAATCCTCCACCAATCAGCCTGAACTCCGACTGGTGCAAAATCACCAGCCGCATACACAAACAGGTACGTATGCACAATGCAAGTTTTATCTTCAACTGCTCACGAGTGTAAGAGCGAATACCGATACAAACGGGATTTAACGGCAGCCATACCCGTGCCCACCAGATATTCCAAGCTTTGTCATAGGCTGACGCATGATTCATGACTTAAACCAATATTACCAAGGAAAGACGCTCCTTACACACTGACTAAATACGTAGCCCACACGAGTAAATGTTGCCTCACACACACTTGAGGGGCATAGCCAGGTCTTTTTATCAACCCCTTAGTCCTACGAAAGGATATATAATTCTTTTTATTAACACGATAGTTCTAAAGTACAAAATATGAGACAATAATGATCGCAGTCACATGACGAGATCTATGCGAAAACTATGATACAGGATAGGGATGATTAGTTGTCAAAGTGGGTTTGAACGTACTTGTCAGCCTTGGCTCTCACGTAGTCAGCAGCAACGTCGTCAGCCTTCTTCTCCTCCAAGGCCAACCACTTGCCAAACAAACTCTTGGCCACCTTACGAGACAACTTTCTGCTCAAGACACGCTCGAACAAGCCCTCAGCCTTCTCCTTGTTGTCCTTCTTGATCTCCTGGTCGATGTACACGTTCCAGATGTCGGCTCTCTTTGGCTTCTCAGACACAATACCCTCGAACAAGGAACGACCCTGTTCTGGGTCACCCTTGGCAAATTCTAAGACGGCAAACTTGCGCACGACGTCGATATGCTCCTGTTTGGACAAGACCTGCAACGCCTTGGCCAAAAGCTGGTGGGCGGCCTCGGCCTTGTTCTGGTCGAGCAAGAACGCGCCGTAGGCTTCCCAGACGGACAACTTCTGGCCAAATTTCTTTGGCTTGATCATGGCCTGGTACAACTCTTCGGCCTTGTCGAGCTTTTCGGACAAGACATAGATACCCACCAACTTAATGTGCATGATGAGAGGCTCCATGAACTGGCACGAACGCTTGAAAACCTCTTCCAAGGACTCATCGGAGCCAAAGGTGTTTTCTAAGTTGAGAAGGGCGATCCACATATTCAACTTCTCCTGCTCTTCACGGTAGTTGATGGTCTTTAACGCTCTCTCGCCAATCTCGCGGGCCTTTTCAACCTCAGAGAGCTGGAGCTGGAAAGACATATAGTTCATCCACATGATAGAGGAGTTCGGGTTACCAATCAAGATACGTTCAAAGTCCCCAGTGGACTGCGGTGCTCTGGTGTTAATGTCTGAGGTCTTGTCGGTAACGGCGCGCTTGGCCTTCTTCTTCTTCTTGTCCTGCTCGAGCTCTTCGTCGGAAGACGACTCATCGTCCTGGGCCTGGTCGAGGATGGAAGCTGTCCAATCGAAACCAGTGGAGAGACCGGCCACTGGGGAAGCGGAGACCTCTTCTTCGACTTCAGAGTCATCTTCGGAGTCTTCGGCGTTGAGGGCGTCGTCCATGACTTCGTCGTCAGAGCCTTCGGCAATCTCCTCGTCGGATTCAACCTCCTCGACGTCTTCCATATCCACGTCGTCGTCAACATCCTCAGCAACCTCAAAGTATGAAGCCTTCATCCCTAAGGATAACTGCTTCTTCTTTCCGTCAATAGCCAACACCTTGATCTTGACCCTGTCACCCTCGCCGAACAACGAGGTGACATTGGCAACAGCATTGTCAGAGATCTGGGAATGGTGGCACAACCCAGAGACGTTCAAAGTGCCATCCAACTTCACAAACACACCAAAGTCGGTGGCCCTTCTGACGGAGCCCTCGAACACGTCGCCGACGACCAAGTCCTCAAAGCGCTTCATAACGTTCAACTCGCCGTTGACCTCGCTTTCCTTCAAGGTCAAGAGCACACGGCCCTCCTCCTCGGCAGAGATGACCTTCCCGATAACCGCCTGATTTGGCTTAAAGTATTTCTTCCACTCCTTCAAGTAGGAGTCGGAGAGGTCGGTGATGCGAACTAATGCGTGCATGTTGCGGCCCAACGCGACGTAGACACCCTGGGCGGACACGTTCTTAACAAACCCGCGGACAACGTCGCCTCTGGTCAAGTCGGACACTGCGGTCACAAGCTTGTCCTTGGCCGCGGTGGTGCGGAGCGACACGGCAACCTTATTCTCAGCGGTGTTAACCTCCAAAACGGTGGCAGAGACAAACGAGTTGACTTCGAAAACCTCGGTGACCTTGTCAGCGTAGTTGTCGAGCGCATCTGTAACATAGGAGGCAGCCACGACGCCCTCGCCGAGCTCCACAAGCACGTAAGAGTCCTTGGCAACCAAAACTCTGGCCGGGTACTGCACCCCAACCTTGACATCATTCAATGACTTGATGGCATGCTGTCTGGCGCTCAAAGACACGGCGTTGTGGACCGTGTCGACGTCCTTAACAGCAACTTGGATGGCGGAACCGACCGGGTAACTGTCCTTCAAGTTCGCAAAGACAGCACCATCGTCGGAGAGGTCCATGAGCGAGAGACGGCCCTTGACGGTCGGTGAGAGCGAGACCCAGAAGTAGCCAGCGGCCTCATTGTTGATAAATCCCGGCCAGGTGGTCCCGACGGCGGTTTCGGCCAAACTCAACGGGGTGTATGGGCCGGCAACAAGATCGGACGTCTTGGCAGACAACTCAACGATGATGTTCTTGGACTTGCGATGGGTCACTGGTAAGAACCGGTGGGTTCTGGCGTCGTGGAAGCCGATGACCTTAACGTCCAAGACGTCGCCCTTCTGGAACTGTGCCAATGGGTTCTTGCGGTCCTGGATCGCCGAAACATCGTCAAACACCTGGGTGATATCCACACGTCCCTGTTGGTTGTCAGCCAATTGCACGTTCAACTGGGTGCTCTTGACGGACTTGACGATCGCCTTAGTAAGCTTTCCTGGGACGTACTCGGAGAGGAGCTTAGTGGAGGCATCAGCTGGATTCACCGCCTCCTCGGACTCGGTTGTTTCAGTCTTCTCCTTAAGGGACAACAAGAAACGTTTGTTTTCCAGATCCAAACGGATAACACGACACGTCACAGACTGGTTCTTGTGGAACACGGTAGAGAGATCCTCGACTGGTTTTTCGGTGGCGTATTTGGCCAACACCAATCCGGTCACCTTCCCGGCAAATCCGACAAAGAGCCCGAGGCTGTTGACAGACTTGACGTACCCATGGAGCATCTCATCATCAGCCTTGATGTCACGAAACGCAGTTGGCAACTTGCCAGCCTTGGCATCGTCGATCAAGGACTTCTTGGCCGATAATGCAACGACACGAGACTTGGCGTCCTTTTCAAGCACAACCACCTCGAGCTTGCTGCCCGCAGCGGTCTTCTTCAAGAGCGCACGGTTCTGCTCGTGGTTGCCGTCGGACAAGTGCCCGGCAAAAATAACACCACGGAGATTGTTTTCTGGTAACTCGACAATCACCGAGTCCTTGGTCTTTTCTACGACGGAAACCTCGACCACAGACTTGCCCGGCGTCAACGTGGAGAGTGCCTCCTTTTGGGTGGCGGTCAACTCAGCGGCAGCACGACAGGTCACGGTGATGCGCTTGGTGTCCTTCGCAACGGCCAAGAGCGTGACCTTGACGGTCTGCCCGAGGCGGAGATGTTCGGCAGGGTCTTTGACGAAGGTCTCGGAAATCTCCGAGTTTGGAAGGAATGCTTTGAGATCGCCGAAGAACGACACAATGGCACCACGCCTGTCCTGGAAGCGCTCAATGGTGGCACGGGTGCGCATGCCAACCTCGGCGGTTTCGATGCTGGCCAAGACCTCTTCTTCCTCGACGGTCACGAGAGAGTTCTTGAGGGTCACGGTGATTTCCTTCTGAACACGCGAAATACGCAAAACTCTCCCCTTGACCTTGGCGCCGACCTTGAACTTGCGCTCAGGGTAGATCAACTTGATGTCGGACATATGCGCGAGCGGCACGTGCGCCTCAAAGTCGCCGAAGATCTTGAGGGTAAGCCCCTTTTCCGGAGTCACCTTGGTGACCTCACCGATGACAGCGATACCGACAGGAATGTCCTGTGTACGAATGTATTCCTGGTTGAGCACCTTGGTGTCCATGGTAAGGATGTACAAATTATCGACGGAATTGTATCCAAGTACCCTGGCACGATGGTGGGAGCCGGTCTTGTAGTCGAGCCCGAGGTCCTTCTTGGCATCGAGACGCGATTGATGAACCTGCCCGGCGGTGGCGGCGTTTCCTACGTCAACAAAGAGGTAGTTGGCGTCGGAACCCTTGATCTCAACGTCCTCAAAGATATGGCCGAGCGCGAACGCCTCTAATGGGGAGGATTCGTCTTCCGCCCACGCGTGGAGCGTAAGGTTCAACGTGTGTGGGAGAAGCGAGAGAATCAACTTCTTCTCGCCGTTCCTCATGACAACACCCATGACTCTGGCCTTGACCTTGGACCCGACTGCAAACTTGTGTTTCAACTCCGCGGAGTCGTAGATCCCCGCGTGCGTAAGATTGACGGTCGCATCTAAGAGTCCAAAGACCTTGCAGAGAATACCGTTAGAAACTACATCCGTAACAAGTGCATCCACAAGGATACCTGCGAGCACTGCATCGATAGTCGAGATGGTCGAGATCACGTTCTGCTTCTTAAGGTTTGCCTGGAGACGGACAGTGACTGTACGGTTGTTTTTAGAAACGATAGTGGAGAGCAATGGCGTACCAACAAATAAAGACTCGGGTGCGACATCGCCGTTCTTCAACTCCTTGTTGGAGATGAAACCGGCGAGCCCGTCCTTGCCCACATTCAAGATCGCACCGTGGTCCTCCAAGGACTTCACAGACACTTGGAGCACGTTCCCGGAGATCAAATCCTCGTCCTCAAGGGCCTGGTTGACCACAGTTGGCTCAACGGATAACTGGATACGTTTTTTCTTGTTCTGGTTCTTCTTCTGCTTGGCCAACTCGGTAGACTCCACCACGGTTGCACGCAACCATTGCCCGACACGGAAGATCTTAGCAAGGTCAGGGAATGCCTTTTCGGTTTCTTCCTCGTCGTCAGACTCGTTTTCCTCAAAGTCCTCGAGTTGCTGAGAGATCTCGGCGGAGATCGCGGTGATTGGAATGTACCCGACCAAGTTATCGGCGAGCGCCAAGGCCACGTCCAAACGGTTGATCTGAGAAACTTGCCCTAAGACAATGGAGCCGGGAATCAAACTCTTGAAGTTGAAGCCCTCAATAGGCAACACCTTCTTCTCTTCGACCGGCGCGGCAGCCTTCTTCTTTGTGGTGCGCTTCTTCTTCTTGAGTGGCTCACCCTCGGCAGACACCCTCTTCTTGGCCTCGGCCGCCTCAAACAAGACGTCTCTGGCGGCTTCGTTGGAGATTTCCTTCACTTCGAGCGGCGTCAAGGCGGTGGCCCCGCCTCTTGGGAACGCGGTGTCCGCGGCGTTGAGCACAGACGGTGTCTTGAGCTCGCGAGCCTCAGTGGTATCGTCGGATCTCTTTCTTTTGTTGTCCATTGTGACAAGTGGCAAGAGAGATGACTAGGTGCAGAGATGACTAGGTGCAGAGGTTAACGTGATGAGGAGGTATGGTAGGCAATGAATTGACTTTTTTTTTTCCATGCGTAGGAGAAAAAAATTTTGCGCGATGCGCACGTGAGCGGTGCGCGCACGTTGTTGCAACAAAGACAATGTTGCGGTATCAAGGGCTGTAGTATCAGTAGCGGTCAATTGATGTCAGGTCAGGAGAGCAATGGAGGATACTTGGGATAGAGAGAATAAAGAAAGTTGCATAGGGTACTCGAATTTAATAGATGTTAGGTTTGGTATAATGGCTGTTTGTCAAAGCGTACCGGGATGAGGTATAATGCAGAGTAAACGTAGCAGCGTTGAGCATTATGGATAAAAGCTTTTGAAAGCCAATAAACTTGAAAAAATAAGGCCATTATTCTAGTAGAAAAATCAGTATTTATGTATATTGAAAAATACCGGCGTCATACCTTGGCCACACCGGATCTTAACTTTAGCACCGGATATAAGAATGGACTAATTAGGTACTAAATGTCAGTTAACCGATAGCTTCGATAAGCTCAAAAGGTTATCCATCGCTACAGGAAATTCCTGGGGTTATAGGTGACAAAAATGCTGATAACGATTCCGATAAAAAGCAGCACTCAGATACCGTAGTTACAACGAGAGCTGTCTCCCATTATGAAAACCATCATTCCGGCCTTGTTTATATCATATAATCTGGCTTGATACTTCCGTTTTAACCCCCTTTGTACCTTACCCGCATAGATATTTTTGGCATGATCAGCATGCCTTACCCAAGGTATTACGAAATAGAGAGACACAACAGTAAGAGTGCCTAGTGCTCTATATATAATACTCCTACACCTCTTTTGGGCCCTGTATGTATATACATGTTCACTCTATAGCTAGATAAATATATCATGAGATTCTCAATGGCTAAAATACAATTAATGCCCTCGCAAAACTGTTCAAGATTGTCTGAGACTCAAAATATGAGCTGTATATACGACTCTAACGAGAGCAATGCAGGATACTATATGTAACTAACAAATTTCCCTATGAGCCGACTCCAACCGTCGCACTGCAGAAACATCCAAAAAATTTCAAGCCTCTGCATCTAACACCACGTGATATGCTATGTATATGGAGTTCACGGCCAAGTCTTGCTAAAAAGCGAACATTAATCACACTTACACTGAACATCCTCATGCCACTACGATAAAGAGTACGATTAGTCATTCATTTCATTAAAATTTAAAGCCAAGTCAATCCGATTGAAGTAGTATAGAACGGGTGGCTAGCATGCACCCATACGCAACATACATAGACCCAATAACCTCAGGCGGAGCATAGTCATTGGGTAAATTCAGATGGATCTAAGCTTCGTAGAAGCTCCACAATTCTAAACTTTCGGAGAAGTTCTGAGGAAATGGGATGGACAGGCGTAGCCTCCCGGGTTCTGCTTCAAGTACAACTGGTGGTAGTCTTCGGCATCCCAGAACTGCTGTAATGGTTCCTTGGTAGTGACAATCTTGTGGTTGGGGTAGAACTTGGCCTGTACTTCAGCTTCGACCGCGTCGATCTCAGTGGCCTCCTCGGCGGTGTTGTAGAAGATCCCAGATCTGTATTGGGTGCCCAAATCTGGGCCCTGGGCATTCAAGGTAGTTGGATCGTGCATCAAGTAGAAGAACTTGACCAATTCCTTCAAGGAAACGACGCTCGGGTCGAAAGAGATTTGCAACGCCTCGGCGTGGTCGGTGGTGCCCTTACAGACGTCACCGTAGGTTGGGTTAACGGTAGACCCGTTCGCGTACCCGACCTTACAGTCCACCAACCCCTTGGTGCCGAAGTGCTTGCGGAACATGTGTTCAGTACCCCAAAAACAGCTGAAATGGTTAGTAAACTGGACAATGGCAGACGTCAGAGGTGGACTTACCCAGCGGCGACAGTGAGGATTTGGTCGTTTGGGTTGACCTTCAAGGTAGGAGAAACTTTGCTCATTTTGATGGATGCAGTGGGTGGTTTAGTGAACTTAAATAGATTGAGTCTGAGTGGGGAAGAAAACCTCATCTCAACATATCGAGTGGAAAGGGATTTTATATATTTTCTGTAAGGCCTGCCCCGAGATGCCAGAATTTCACGTGGCCCAGAGTACTCCGCCGTCGCATGCAGAGGAGTCTGCGTCTTACTAATCTCCTGAGCCCCCCCCCCCCCATCGGCGCCACCGGTGCGTGCGAAGCAGACCCGCAAAAATGTGACACACTGGCGCTGTGTACCGAGCTGCATATTGCCGCACAAACTCTGGCTTGGTGCGCTGGTTGCCGAGAAAGAGCTGTGCAACACCGCTCTAGTGTGGCCGAATTGGGCCCCAGTGTCGTATACTGGGTGCACCTTCATTGACAGGGTATGGTTACATATTTATAAAAGTTTTGCTCCCAAAGCCATCCATAATCCATATTACCTTTAATCAGCCTCAAACAGAAATTGTGGCGCAGAGACGGCTACTGACGCAGTCTCCCAGTACATTACGCCCCATCCTGTTCACGCACGACTTACCTCTCCACCTTTGCCATCGAGCATATCAACCACTGATAACCAACAAGCCTTGTGTGTCATTGCCCAGAGACACCGCTTTCCTTTAATCTTAGACAATGCTCTATGCAGCCACGTTTTAAGCACTAAAATGCCCCATCGTGTCAAGTACCATATAGTGATCGAGATTCCAGCTAACACACACTCTCCCATCTCAAGCCAGTGGGCGCAAAAAGTAATTGAAACAGAAAATATCTTTGCCGATTACTCAGAACCAACGAGGCTGAACGAGAAGAAACGGTACACCGATACCATACTGAAACAGAACAGCGACATCCCAGATTACCGCTACTCGCCACTCGAAATAACGCTGTTTGCCAGTAGCCAATCCGGAAATCGCATGAATTCGTCGCTAGAACCCTTGAGAGCCGAGTTCCTCGGGGAAGGAACTATCAAGTTGTTCAGAGAGTGGGATTTCGAGGATGTCGATGAATTTGCCTCCGATCTCGGAGTATTCCAAGCAGGAGACCAGGATGGTACAGACGGTGAAGGTACAGTTATTTCCATCATTGCAATTCCGAGCTACTTCACCGCCACTGACATCCTCGGATATGTGGGGCAGGATGCCGTTGCAGCCGTATCGTACTTCCGAGTCATCAGATCGGTCACCCCTAACCGGCAGATGGTCCTTATGAAGTTTACGAAACCGGAAGATGCGTCAAAGTTTGTTGCACAATACGATGGGAAACCATTCAACTCCATGGAGCCAGAAACCTGCCATGTCATAGTGGTTAACTCAATCACATTTTCCACGGGAGAGGAGGAAGGTAAAGCAGCCAACTCCAGATCCGGAAAGAACCTGATACAACCTCTCACCCTCCAAGATATCCTCCAGAAGAAGCCGCCTCCGCCTCCAACTCCCACTCTCAAGGAACTACCCACGTGCCCTGTCTGTCTAGAAAGAATGGATTCAGCCCTCACAGGACTCATGACGATCCCCTGTCAGCACACTTTCCATTGCCAGTGTCTTTCCAAATGGAAGGATGACAGTTGCCCTGTTTGTCGGTACTCCAACATGAAGAGTAACTTTATCCAGACGAAACAGAAGTTGGTGTCGGCAAAGCAATCCTCCTCCTCCTCCTCTTCATCCTCGCAAGCGCCTTCGACGGATGCTTGTTCGGAAACTGGCTGTAGCGAAACGCAGCATCTTTGGATCTGTCTAATTTGCGGGAATATTGCCTGTGGAAGGTACAATAAGGGCCATGCTGTCACTCACTTTGCTGCTACCGGACACTGCTTTGCGATGGATATGCAGACCCAGAGGGTGTGGGACTATGCAGGCGATAAGTACGTGCACAGATTGATCACCAACCAAAGTGATGGTAAGTTGGTGGAGCTAGGGCCATCCCGCGCTGGAAAGGTTAGGCACGATATTGAAACGCTAGACGCTGACTACTCAAAAGCGGCCATTGATGAAGATGTCCTTTCATCTAAAATCGAGGCTGTGGGGCTTGAGTACTCCCAGCTATTGATCAGCCAGTTGGAATCCCAGCGGGAGTACTACGAAGATAAGTTAGCGCAGTCTGCGGATATCAACCACCAAATGGGCCAGCATATCTCGCGTTTAGAAGGGGGGAACCGCCAACTCCAGGACAAGCTTGACGACTTAGCGGCAAAGTTTCAGCTGTTTGAGGTACTAATCCCACAGTACAAGGACCAGATCGACCTGTTCAAGCTGGAAAAGCGGAGATTGACGGAAAACTACAAGGGTGTGTCGCATGAATTGGCAATCGAGAGGCAGCTTAGTGAAAAACTATCGGAGAAAATTGACCACTTGACCAAAGTAAATACCGACCTGGCGTTGGAAAAGGAGGACTTACAAGAACAAGTGAATGATTTGATGTTTTTCCTTGAGAGCCAGGAAAAGTTGAAGGACTGTGGGGAAGACGTGCGTGAGGGCACGTTGGTGATTCAAGATAAAAAGTTGAAAAAGAAGACCAAGAAGAAGTAACGGCGATTGACCCATTTTCCAGAGAATTAATTATGGTGGCACTGACCCGAACTTACAACTTTCACCTGTCCGTATGAAACGTTGGAGGCGACCTCAAAGTTCACCAGACATTTTTTGCACGCCCATAGATGCATGTTAGCACCCATTGACAAATTAAATTTATCCTCTTGGATGTGCATCAAACCTAACATACTCTATAACATAATATAATAAAATCCTACTTTAACCCACCCGTTGTCATGCTCGATGTGTGGTGCTTCACTTATGGGCAGAGTCGAAGGGAAGAGTCCTTTGCAATTTAGTTCCTCGGGTACAGGGAAGCGCCACATGGCTCCTAACCATAATTTTAATAGGTCCACCCATGCACGTAAAAAAAAATCTGTGGTTCTATCCAGCAACAGGATTAGAAAGAAATATATATATAATGGTGTCATCAGATTATAACCCTTGATTAAACCATCCCACTATATCACTTTTTTGCATAGATAATATAGGTCCTACTATCGAACAGATTTATATTTCTCCCCACTCTCAATCACATCATGTCCAGCAACTCCATCAAATTATTAGCCCCCGATATCGATTGTGGTTTGGCGCAGTTGGTCTCCAAGAGATTGGGTGTCAACTTGACCCCGGTTGAGATGAAACGTGACTTCTCCGGTGAGGTCTCCTTTAACATTGGTGAGAGTATCAGAGACGAAGATATCTATATCATCGTCCAGATTGGTAGCGGTGTCGTCAACGACCGTGTCATCGAAGCTTTAATTATGATCAACGCCTGTAAGACCGCGTCTGCCAGGAGAATCACCGCTGTGTTGCCAAACTTCCCATACGCCAGACAGGACAGAAAAGACAAGTCCAGAGCCCCAATCACTGCCAAGTTGATGGCTGACATGTTGACCACCGCTGGCTGCGATCATGTCATCACCATGGACTTGCACGCATCCCAGATCCAGGGATTCTTCGACGTTCCAGTCGACAACTTGTACGCCGAACCATCGGTTGTCAGATACATCAAGGACAACTTGAACGTCAAGGAGTCTATCATCATCTCCCCAGATGCCGGTGGGGCCAAGAGAGCGGCCGGTTTGGCCGACAGATTGGACTTGAACTTTGCCTTGATCCATAAGGAAAGAGCCAGAGCCAACGAAATCTCCAAGATGGTGCTTGTAGGCAACGTTGTGGGTAAGACCTGTATCATTGTTGATGACATGGCCGATACCTGTGGTACCTTGGCCAAGGCTGCTGAGATCTTGTTGGACAACGGTGCCAACAGTGTCATTGCAATTGTTACTCACGGTGTGTTGTCTGGAAACGCCATCAACAACATCAACAACTCCAAGTTGGACAGAGTCGTCTGCACTAACACCGTTCCGTTTGAGGAAAAGGCCAAGTTGTGTCCTAGATTGGACACCATTGACATCTCTCCGGTGTTGGCCGAGGCTATCCGCCGTTTGCACAATGGTGAGTCTGTCTCATTCTTGTTCAAGAAGGAGACGATCTAAGCTTCGTATTTTTCTTCTATGGATATCTTGTCATAAAGGAGCCGGCACTAACCCCCTTGGTTGATTCTAAAAACTGTGCCATATTTTATATAGATATTATTTATTTACTTCTTACTTCATGCGTTCCTGGACGGTATTCGGGCGTTGGTCGGCTTAGAACATCTAGGGCTGGCAAACCATGGAGTAACCATACCAGGGAGAGCTCTTGGGATTGACAAGTACCAAGCGCCACTGTCTGGTATTGAGGCCCCTTCACTGCGGGTACGAACGGCGCAACAAGGTTTTGCATAGTCGGAACGGCGGTAACTGTAGAAACCGATGCACGTGTATGCACATAAAATTGCTAACTGCCAGTGCGTTGAAGTAAGTTATCGGGGACTGTGGCATGGCAAATATAGTACCAATCTACGTCCAAAATGTTTTCATGCATGTCAGTTTGTATGACGTTGACTCTTAATAAAAAATCTAGCTTACAACCCAAACTTGGACACGTCGAAATCGGCTAGGGAGCTCAAGATTTCGCCGCGGTCGCCGATAATATCCTTCTCCTTACCGTTCAAAATACCCAAGGCTCTATGGTCTGGAACCCAAATGACGTAACATCCAGCGGCAATACCAGCTTCGACGCCTGGAATCCCATCCTCAAAGACAAGGCATTCCTCTGGCTTGATTTCTGGTTTGCCCTGCTTGGCTTGTTCCTCGTTCAACGAAGCCAACGCCAAGAGCCAGCAGTCTGGCTTAGGCTTACCTCTACCGACCAATCTTGGGTCGTCGCCGAGAATCCTGTGATGCTTGAACAAGGAGAAGCCATCTTGCAAGTGCCCGGTCTTTCTCTCGTAGTTCAAGGTGTTTGACCCAGAGGCCAAAGCAAACGGAATGCCCTTTGCCTGGCAGTAATTGAGTAATTCGATGGCACCGGGCATGTACTTGCATGTTGGCCACAATTGCTCTTGGGCGATGGTGGATTTCGCCATGAACTCTTCGCTAGTAAGCGGTAACCCATAGGCCTCAAGCATGATCTTGTTGGCAGCCGGGCCGGGAAGACCCTGCAATCTGATTTTAATATCCCAAGTCATAGGACCCTTGTTGTAGGTCTTCAAGACGATATTGGCAGCGACGGTGTACTTGTCTTCACTATCGATCAAGAGACCGTCCATGTCGAAGAGACACGCCTTGATATTCCTCCGCTGTTAGTCATTAGTCAGAGGCGCACACCATCCGGCTATCATATCAGACAAACTTACGTAGGAAACATGGTATAGATCTCCAAGGGTCCAGCTTGAAGGCTTAGATGTACGGGCTATTCATGCTTCGGCTTGTCACAAGCGATTTGTCGCATATGCCTCATGAGGGATTGGCGGCCAAAACCCTGATGGCGTATCGTATTACATAATCATTTATTCACGTGTCACATCACATGACTGCCTACGTTCCTGCCCGCCACGGCTATTTTTTTTATTTTTTCAAGAAATGCCCTTTTTTCTTCTCTTTCATCTTCGCAGTCACGGATGCAAAAATGCATTAGACTCCCGATTGGGAAAACGCAACGCATTCAGAGCGAAAACGTAAGTGAGTTTTTCGCAGCAACTTTCGCGCATGGTGAGCAAAATTTTAAGCCCTATTACTTTACACGTGATGATTCTCCTGTCTCTAGGTCGTGGACGAGCGCATGAGCGTAACAATCTTTTCATCTCCTCTCACAACCGCAGAGTGGCAGCCAGACAGTGAGAGGGGGCATAGTGGTGTTCCGCTTTGGAAATTCTTGCGCAGAGGTCCCGTCGAGCTCGTTAAAAGAAACATAAATCTAGTCAAAATACACATATTTTACCTTTCTAGAAGATTGTGAACTAAAGAATAGGTATGTAACCAGAGTGCTGCCATAATGTTTCTTTAACCTAGTGGTTTCAAGCGGATGAGGTTGTGAAAACCATTTCCTGGAGGTGATGCGACCAAGAACAGTGAAAAGACATCAAAAGCACACATCTCGAAGGCTTCCAGTCAACCAGTGCATCGGCAGCAGTCTCAATAAGGAAAGGTCGAAGCTTTCCCCAGTTATCGATTTTTGACCTTTCGGTGGCTCTTGCTATGTGGACGGTTATCTTGGTACTCAAGTAACTGGGACTGGGTCTTTATCGAAGTGTTAAGCTACTCTTTGGTTTGGAACCGTCTCAAGCTTTTCCAGCTTCACGCAGTGGTTGTGGAGGGATGGAAAATTTTTCATCCTGCACTGCATCCCATCCTCTCACCACTCTTAAAGAAATCCCTTACTCTACCAAGTACACGTTTACTAACACCAATATAGCAAAATGGGTATTTCTAGAGATTCTCGTCACAAGCGTTCCGCTACCGGTGCCAAGCGTGCTCAATTCAGAAAGAAGAGAAAGTTCGAGTTGGGCCGTCAGCCAGCTAACACCAAGATCGGTGCCAAGAGAATTCACTCCGTCAGAACCAGAGGTGGTAACCAAAAGTTCAGAGCCTTGAGAATTGATACTGGTAACTTCTCCTGGGGTTCCGAAGGTGTCGCCAGAAAGACCAGAATCGCCGGTGTTGTTTACCACCCAACTGGTAACGAGTTGGTTAGAACTAACACTTTGACCAAGTCTGCTATTGTCCAGATCGATGCCACTCCATTCAGACAGTGGTACGAGACCCACTACGGTCTCTCCTTGGGTAAGAAGAAGGTTGGTGCCACTGACGAAGAAGTCAAGAAGTCCAGAAAGGTCGAAAGAAAGTTGGCCTCTAGAGCTTCTTCTGCCAAGCTTGAAGCCGCTGTTGACCACCAGTTCAACGCCGGTAGATTGTACGCTTGTATCTCTTCCAGACCAGGTCAATCTGGTAGATGTGATGGGTACATCTTGGAAGGTGAAGAATTGGCTTTCTACTTGAGAAGATTGACTGCTAAGAAGTAAGCTGTCTAATTACGTTTTAACTATATTATTTCTTATTTAGCTTTCCACTTAGTTTTTAAAACTCCTCCTTATATCATGTTTCAATAGAAAACGGGTTCCAATATTGTATTACATCACTTGTAAGGAAAAGTGTGGGGACCTCCAGGTACGGGCATAATTTAGGCCTAAGCATCTGTCAGGATGGGTACTGATGTATTTAACATGAAATCCCTATTTTGCGCCTTGGTTACTCATTGTATGATCTAAGCAATAGTTTCAATTAAGTATATATTGTTATTATAGCCGACGAAGCAATCACGTTGAGATCGCTGGTGTCTCTAAGTTGAGACATGTGAAGGGAACTATGTACTATATTAAGGAAAAAAAATTATACCTTGTGTTCTATATATACGTAGGACCAATACTTCTCAGAAGCCGTTACGTCAAGCTCCTCAATATTTGTCGATTGATTTAGGTATATATACGTTGATGCAAATGTTAATTAATAATTCAAAAGTAAACATTAAGACTTGTAAACATTAAAACTTGTAAACATTGAGCCATAACAGATTCAGGCTAATAATCGATGAGTGACATAAAATTAATACTGCATTATGTGCTAATATTTCTATTAGTGGAGTAACTATGCACATTTAAATATGTATACACGTATACAGATAGGCATAAGGGATGTCAGTATGAGTATATATGCATAATTAGGGATTTATCAACACCGATACTTCTTATACTATAGGTTTATGCATGTGTTTTGGCTTGATGGAGCAGAAATTACACGTGCAGCGATGTCGGACTTGCACTGCCTCGATACTGGCGATATTGAGGCAGAAAGCAGATATAACGTGCCAATGAATATATAAAGCTAGCCTCTGGTAACGAAATGTCTGTTTACAGACTCTTCCAATATAATGGTGAGATTCGTTTCATTCATTGTGGTGTCAGTTTTTTCGATCCTAATACGACAAGCCAATATGGCATGATTTTTGCATGCATAATTTCACTCACTTGCATACGATAGTATGGCGACAAAAGGGCTCTACAATGAGATCAGCTTCAGTTTAAACGACAAGTTGCTTTAAAAAGCTCAGTTTAAGTTAAATTAGCCTATGGCGAGCATACTTTAAACGAGGATACGACGAGTTATGCGTCAACCAACACCCGATACACCGTATAAATTCCGGTGAAACACCATAACCTATTTTTCAGATCACAAGATAAACTGGCTTATATTTCACCGCCATAGAAGCTTCTCCTACTCCATATAAAAATTTCCGCATAATCCCTCGATGAACAGCTTAATTCCAAAGATACAAGACGTATCTGGCTTCAACTCGACTTTAGTTGGTATTTCCATTCACCCCGCCGCGCCATACTCCGCAATCTTATCCAATGTTTTTGAAACGCAACCCCAGTTAAACATTGTGGAGAAACTTTGGGCGTCCTGGTACTTGTATATCAATAGTGACATCCTTGCAACCGGTCTTCTCTTCTTCACAGTTCATGAGCTAATGTACTTTGGCCGGTGCTTACCATGGTACATCATCGATAAGATGCTGTATTTCAATAAATACAAAATCCAACCCACCAAGATTCCTTCGGATAAAGAGCAATGGGAATGCCTAAAGGCGGTATTGAAATCCCATTTCTTGGTTGAAGCAGTACCGATATGGTTGTTTCATCCCATGTGCCAACGCTTAGGCATATCCATCCTGGTGCCGTTCCCTTCTTTATACACCATGCTTGTTCAGATCGGAATCTTCTTTGCTTGTGAGGATATGTGGCACTACTGGGCCCATAGGCTCTTTCACCATGGCTGGTTTTACAAAAACATCCACAAGCAGCATCACCGCTATGCCGCTCCTTTTGGGCTAACCGCGGAGTATGCCCATCCAGTGGAGGTAATATCTTTGGGGTTCGGAACCGTGGGGTTCCCTATGATCTACGCCTACTTCACCAGAGACTTGCATTTGTTTACCGTCACTTGCTGGGTTGTCTTGAGACTATTTCAAGCCGTGGACTCGCACTCTGGCTATGACTTCCCCTGGTCATTGAACAAGTTTATTCCGTTTTGGTCGGGGGCTGAACACCACGACTTACACCACCGCTACTTCATTGGTAACTACGCTTCCAGTTTTAGATGGTGGGACTTCTGTTTGAAAACCGAAGCCGGTCCTCATGCCAACCGTTTGCGAGAGGAAAGAATGAAGGTGAGGGTCGAAAAGAAGGCAAAATTTCATTAAACACCATGACAGGGGCAATATGATCGCACTCCCAGACAATTCTTTTTATTAGATGCGCACACTTTCACAGCAAATTCAGGTAACGGACTACGCTGTTTGCTAGTTATACCTACGGGGGAAATAATGCAAAAAAAAAGGTATTTACACCAGAACAATATAAGTACTCAAAGTCTCGCCGTTGTAGTTATACCATCATTCCAAAGCTAGAACAAGCGGCCAATCAAAATACCTGGTTTATAGAGTAAAAATAATTAACTAAACCCAGATTATACTGAAGATTACGGCTAATTTGGGTTTTGTTAAATATGTGTACCTTGCCGTAACCAAGCGCCGTTGACCAGCAGCACTTATCTTTTATACACAGGATTCCCACCCCATGCCGCAAGGAGTATGACCGTATCGGCGCAACTCTTGGTTGCGCGCCTAGCATTTCTTAGACTCTAGCTTAAGGGTCTCTTCAACACAACTCTCAAGACTATCCATTTTGTCATTAGCTATCTTCTACACCATCTAATTAATATACCCGCATTCTACGCTGTGACCTTCCCCCACATAGACCAGTAACATAAACAGCAATGGAAATCGATAGATCAACCCTACTCTTCATCATACTCTTCTTCATCTTTATGATGCCCAATGAAAACGGAGACCCTCCCACCGCCGAAGAAAAGCACCATCTACAAACATACAGACAAGAGGAGCTCGCAGCTCGATACACGTTGGGGAACTCCACCTACGCCTCGGGGTACGGAAACTTAACGGGGTTCAGGCTCACGTACAATGATGTTCGCCACCACCGCAACATCTCAGACTGGCCGTTTGACACTGCCAAGGAGGATAAACCGGATGGCGAGAAGTACCATGAAGACGAAAAGTGGTCCATCTTACCCAATGAGGTCAGCACTAGAGCCAGAGCCGTGTGGACAAAGTTCGAGGGCGACGGGGTGTACGACTGGGAAAGCGGCGATAAGGTGGCGGACAAGACATACCTCTTCAATTTGACAGGATCACTCAAGGGATCCTTCACTAAGTACAATGAAACGTCATTGTTGGAGGTTCCAATGCCCCTTCCAGAATACCTCGTCTCCAACCTTTCTCGGGAGCCAGACTACATCTTTGATCCCGAAAATCCACAGAACCATCGTGAAAACCTCGGGGGAGCTGGTAAGGAGGACAGTTGGAGAATACGTCAGGACTACAGACCGGGAAACGTTTCTGACGCTACGGGTGAAGTCTCCTTTAGCATCCTTAATGAGGAAACCCCAAAGGAAATCAGGGAGATTGCCCAGGACGCCACCTACACTACCCTTACTTTCCACATCCAGGATGTTGACGAATACCACAAGCATGATATTGTTGCCTCGGGGGTTTACTTCCAAGAAACCGGAAATATGATCGCCGTGACCAACTCTGCGAAGTTCTGGGCCGACTACGCTTTCCCCCACTTAGCCTTTAACAAACACTACTTTAGAAAAGCCAGGGAAATCATGATGCACCGTTTCAATTCCACTAACGCCCGTGTGCTCGACACGAAATCCATGAATGCGAATATCGAAGCTGCTGAGAAGTGCGAGTACATCGCGTACCTCCATTTCAAACCAGCCAATCTCACCGCTCAACAATTGCAAGACATTGACGAAGAGTTTGTGAGACCGGTGGGGAGACCTGTTCCTGCGATGCCTGCAATGGAAATCTCCCAGGGGGTCCTATATTCCCCAGACTGTGGGATTGTGTTGACCATTGACGAATCCAACCTCGTTTCAGGGATGCGCAAGCCAGTACGTATCTGTTCCATTAGAAGATTGTTGCTCGCAGGGATCGTGATTTTAATGGGCCAGTTATACCTTTCGATCCGCCAGATGAACCACACCAACACCCCCTCGACCATGTCGCGCTTGTCCTTCTGGACCGTGGGTATCATGAACTTGATCGATGGCTCCTTGGCCATGTTATATCTCCTTTCGTCAGCCATGATCGAGGAATTGTACCTACCATTGGTCGTCAGCGCATTCATCTCCTTTGCCTTGGCTAGCATTTTTGAGTTGCGTTACATGATCTTGATCTACATGACTCAGGTCAACGAGCGGTCAATTGACATCAGAACCGCCCTTAGAGGACGAACCGTGGATGCCCCAGTGGGCACCGCGACTGGAGAAACAGAAACTTTGCTTCCAACCGTCAACCCTCCGGTGCAGCAACAGCCAGTCACACCAGTCATGCCGGCTGATGAAACTGCTGTCACCGGAATCGTCTATTCTCGGTTCTTCTTTACCCTCATTGCCTTCTCGTTCCTCATATTGAATGCCTTCTTATGGAGACGTCCGATCAGATACAGCTTTGAGTTCATCGTGGTGGTGTGTCTCAGCTCCTATTGGCTCCCTCAGGTGTACCGGAACATTATTCGCGGCTCGCGCCGTTCCTTCGCCTGGGAATTTATCCTTGGGAGCAGCATGTTGCGTCTCTTACCCGTTTACTACCTTACCTTATACAAGGGCAACCCCTTCGGCCACCATTACGCCCCGAAGCTCGCGGCCACCGTCACCGTCTGGCTCTTGGTCCAGTTGGGATTGCTTTACTCTCAGGAGATTTTGGGAGCCAGGTTCTTCCTTCCGGATAGTTTATTGCCTAAGGCATATGAGTACCACCCGATCCTATGTATGTCCGACTTGGAAAACCATTCCTTGATCGGCGAGATGACTGTGGCGTCCGATGGCGAGTCGGCGGTGTGCGATTGCGCGGTCTGTATGTCTGAGGTTGTAGTACCAATCAAGAGCGACAGAAACCCTGACGTGGGGAATATCGCTAGAACGAAGTACATGGTGACTCCGTGTCGCCACGTTTTCCACACCGACTGTCTCGAGGGCTGGATGAAGTACAAGCTTCAATGTCCTGTTTGCAGAAACGGCTTGCCTCCGTTATAGACTCGTAACATATCGAATAAAGCAATATAAGTATGTCGTAAATCAGAGTCTGTATCTTTTATTTACCCATTTCTAAAACGACAGGCAACCATTTAGACTCGTAGAGTCCGCATGCGGGGTTATCCGAGGTAAGCTGCGGCTTGTTAACGTCTTTCTCCCCCCCCCCCCCCCCCCCCCCCGCAGATCGCTGAACTGGCCTCGGACATCCGCGTGCGTCTTAGGGGGTTAGATTATCTACACGCGAAAATTTGGAACGGTGACAAGTAGCGGCGGTTGCCATAGATAGTGAATGTATCAGAGCGTATATCCCCTTATTCTGATTCTCGAATAACCATTGCCGAATTTTTATATACCTACATTTATATACCTACAATGTCATTTGGAAAGGCTGCGTTGACCCGTCTTATGGGCAAGACCATTTTAATCACCGGTGCTTCGGCCGGCATTGGTGAAGCAACTGCTCGTGAGTTCGCTGCTGCCGCTAACGGTTCCTTGAAACTCATTCTCACTGCCCGCAGAGTAGACAAGTTGGATCTGTTGAGAGACTCATTGCTCGCCGAATACCCGGAATTGAAGGTGTTGGCCTCTAAGTTGGACGTCACAAACTACAAGGACGAAATTCCAGCCTTCATCAAGAGCTTGCCTCAGGAATTCAGTGAAATCGATGTTTTAGTAAATAATGCCGGTTTGGTGCACGGCGTGGACAAGGTTGGCGAGATTAAGCCGTTTGATATTGACGTTCAGTTCAACACCAACGTGTTGGGCTTGATTTCCTTGACCCAGAACGTTTTGGTTGGCATGAAGCAAAGAAACAGGGGTGACATTGTGAACATGGGCTCCATCGCTGGTAGAGATCCATACCCAGGTGGGGCCATCTACTGTGCTACTAAGGCCGCTGTCAGCTCGTTTTCCCATACTTTGAGGAAGGAATTGATTGACACCAGAATCAGGGTGTTTGAAGTGCAACCAGGTGCCGTTGAGACTGAGTTTTCCAAGGTGAGATTCTACGGTGATTCGGACAAGGCTGCGAATGTGTACAAGGGTACCACCCCATTGGATGCCCAGGATATTGCCGAAGTCATTGTTTTTGGCTGCTCCAGAAAGGAAAACACCGTCATTGCGGAGTCCTTGGTTTTCCCATCTCACCAGGCCAGTGCCTCTCACGTCTACCGCAGACCTGAGTAACAGCCAATGGATTAAAATAAAGATATCATAAAAATCATCGAATTTGTAAACTATGGACTTGTGGATTTGAGGAATTTCATTACCTAGCTCACTCATTATGCGGTGAGGTGGTTCGAGATGTGAAGATGTATCGATAGATCTAGACCACCAAACGCTCCAAAAACATTACCACAAACTAAAACATTATACCCTCCCCCAGACCCCTTCAGATTTTAGTATCATAAGATATCCACTGTATATTATCTATGGGAGGCCATCTACTCCATTTCTCACACGTAAGTGGCTCCTTACAAATGTCATTACACGTGACTTCACCCTCTGTCTCAACAAAACTCAACAAGTTGTCTCACGTGAGCTGCACTGCCTCCCGAAGCTTCCTTGCCGTTCTCTAGATAAACTTCTACCAGCATGTGACACGTATTTAGTCGATCTCCCAAAAAAAAAAAGCCATAGATCAAGCGGCCTCGCAGCACTACACAGCGATTTCAAGTATGTGCAGTATTAGCCGGTTCAGTCTGCACTATAAACAATAGAATAAACTTACATACCGTCAGGCCTTAAGAATACCCCTCTCAGCCGAAAATAATCTTTGACCTTACAAGCCCCTCCTACATTTTCACTGTATATTCCTTATCTCTCAAGTCAGTTACTGCTGCTACCACACAATATGAGCGCCACACAAGAAGACGCCCACTTGCGTTCGAGAACCACCAACGTTTCAACCAAGTTCATAGACACTTCGTTCAGCGTATACACCGATGAAGATGATTCGGATTACGCGGAAGGGACTACAACGGTTATTGAAGACGACGACGACGTATCGTCATCCGCTTCCTCTATTATTTCCCATGAGAGCCATCGCACCATTGCCGCCCAGAATGATTCCTCTGATGACTCGCAACTCACGATCGATAACATGGAGCTGCAGAAAGACGAGAACTTGTTGGCCGTTCCACCCCTTGCACACAAGCTTTTGGGCCGCTTGTCGCCCTCTCAGTCCACCACCAACTTGATCCTTGAGTCGCACAAGCGCTTTGGCAAGTTTGTCCACAAGTACGAAGTGCCGCGCAAGGTGTTTCACGTATCTATCGGTTTCATTACGTTATATGTCTACACTCTTGGGGTGCAAGTGCACCACTTGGTGCTTGGTCTCCTGACCGCCTTTGTCACTATCTTATCTACCGACTTGTATCGTTTTAGAAACCCAAAGTTCAACGACTTGTACTGCAAGTTCATGGGATTCCTTATGAGAGAGAAGGAGGTGATGTCGTACAACGGTGTCATCTGGTACTTGCTCGGGTTGGTGCTTGTGTTCATTAAGTGCCCCAAGGACATTTCCGTCATGTCTGTGTTGTTGTTGAGCTGGGCCGATACCTCTGCTTCCACTTTCGGTAGAATGTACGGCCACTTGACCCCTAAGGTGAGTGGTAGCAAGTCTTTGGCGGGTTCGTTTGCTGCTTTCCTCACTGGTGTGCTTTCTGCCTACGTCTTGTATGGTGTGTTCATTCCACGCTTTCCAGAGGTGAACGTCGGCTATGTTATTGAATGGACTGCCGAGACCAGCAAGCTTAACTTGTTCACGTTGAGTCTCTTGAGCGGGTTGGTTGCCAGTGTTAGCGAGGCAATTGACATTTTCGGCTGGGACGATAACTTTACCATCCCTGTTATCAGTGGCTACGTGTTATGGGGTGTTGTCAGCTACTTCAAGGTATGAACATCCATCGCATCGAACTAGACCTTCGATAAGGAACGACTTACAGCACGTTGGATACATTGTGAAAATGTGTAACCTCTTCCAACGCTGTCCCTTCATATTCTTGTAATTACATAGATAAACTAATACATTAATATCACATATGAAATCACAGACGTAACGCACATTTTTCTGTCACGATACGTTTCAGGATCTTGGATATTCGACGCTAGACGTCGTTGAATAAATATTATAGAACGCGGCTCTAATAACATGTGCCCTGTAAATATATGGGTTTAGGTTGGCCAAGCATTTCATACACTACACCTGAAGTGGTGCATGGTAAGTTACCGCGCGCGAGATGCCCTTACTTTTGCCTCTCTTCAATAGCCTCCTGCTTCATAGCCTTGGTGGCATTCACCATGATAATGGCCTGTTTCCCAATCTCTCTCAACTTGGAAATCACCACCTCATTCCCTTTACCAAAGCCGTAAATGTGATACTGCAAGCCGACTTCCTTGCAGAAATCAATCACCATAGGCTGGGCCCGGCGGAAGTTATGTCTTGGCATTCTTGGGAACAAATGGTGGATGGCCTGGAATTGCAAGCCACCGTGGAAGTAGTCAAACCACTCAGGACAGTCCACATCCATCGTGGTTCTCAACTGCCTGCTCACGAAAGACTCCGAACAGCCCAAATCAGAAGTTGACATGGCGAAGTGCGACAAGGTGATCTGGACATGGACCATAGCGGTAGTGAAGTGCGAGATGATGATGTAGACGATACGGTCAGACCAGTTGTCAAGCGACTTGGTGATCACGAGGTAGAAGAACCAGTAGAAGAAGAGTCCCAACCCCAAGATTTCGTAGTATCTGAACATCGCAGCCTTACCCTCGCGTGGGCCCTGGCCAAGCAACAAGTGAGTCCAGGATAACCTGTACAAGTTGAATCTACCAAAACAGAGAAGTGGGTAGTACATGTAGTTCTGGAACGGAATCAACTTCTTGGCAAACCAGTCAAACCACAAGTACTTCTCGTAATACGTAGAGTACACGTTGTTGAAGAGCTTCACACTGACCGCAAAGAAAGGTAAATGCTGGATATCTGGGTCATGTACCGGATCGTTGGGGATTATGTGGTGCACATTGTGGTTACGCTTCCACCACCCGATTGACAACCCCCCGATGAAATCCGCAAGGAAGATCCCCAAGAGGTTATCAAACTGGTAGTTGTGAGTAATCGCGATGTGGCCGGCATCGTGGACAATGAACGGTAACTGTTGCCAGGCAAACCCTAAGAACAAAGCACTGGTCTTGTAGTAGCCCAACTTGAAGAAAGAGGCTGCATACAATAAAGAGGAACCAATACGCACAAATTCCTTGAAATATTCAACGTAGCGACATTGGTAAAAACCCGCATCCAATACCTTCTGGTGTAACTCTCTGTATTTCTCAGACAAGGTTTTCTGTGTCTCGTAGTCAAGTGCCGGAAGTGTCACTACGTCGTGCTTCGTCAACGTGTTGTCGTAATTATTCATCAACACCTGTGGATCGACGATGGTTTGGTTGGACACATCCACCACGGGGAACAACTTTTGTTGCTTATCGAGAGAAACAATGACCTCAGGGGTGAATTTCCGTTCAACCTCGACGGCAGCCTTCCCTAACGGCTTATACATCTTAGCGTCAGGGGGCTGTTCGAACACACCTCCCTGGATTGGTGGTAACATGTTCTCCCAGATGTAATCGATCCGACCCACCTTTCTTCTGGAAAAGGTCAGGACGGTTTCGTCGCAGTGGTAGGCATTCATCTCGTCAGTTGCATCACGGCCGATCAAGTGGAAAATAGCAACATCACCGCCAGGGTGTCTTGAGAGCCAGCTGGTGAGATCCAACACGAGGGAATCGTAGATAATAATAGCTCTCCCCTGAGCGATCATATTTTCAATCTTTTGGCGACTCAATACTGGAGACTTGTAGTGATTGTTTTCAGAAAATGCAGATCCGGATTCCGTGGATGCCATAGAAGCTGACACTTCCTCGGAAGGCATGGTTTGCGTGGTCATGCTCGGAAAGTTTAGTTCGTGGCCGTAAAAGAGGAACGAGTGGTTGTTGCTGAATCTGTAGCCAAAATTGGTGAGCGTGGAAACCGCCGGGTATAATTCCAAACGGGGAGTGAAAGAAATAAAGCGAGACCGCTGAGCACAGGGAAGTATTCAGACGCGAGCATCGGATGTTGCCAGAAAAAGACACGCGCATAGACCTGATGCCGTCCTTTTTTGGTGGTTGGTGCACGAGCAAATTATGCTTTCCGGTTTTACTCCGCCCCTCTATCAGTGCTTCTGTGCATCTGCTCCGTTTGCTCTGGGGTTTTGTATTAGCAATGCGAATTGAAATTATTTCACACTGAATTTCAAGCAAGGTAAAATTGACTTTCAAGCACGGTAAGATCTACTTTCAAGTGCGGTGAGACATATTTTGATATGGAGAAAGCGCTTTTACGCGATCTGAGCCGTAGATTTCGCCCAGTCATCCATCAACTCTCCACCAAGAAAACGTCTAAGGTGCAGAATGTGCGGCTTATGCACTAGTGACAGGATCACAAACCCAAGGCTGGCTATCTGTCAGGGCGTTAATTCACAGTGGGCGGATGGATTTGAGTGACATCACACATTCGTGAAAGTTGAAAACACTTTGCGGATCAGGGAAATTTGCGATGGTGCGTGTGCATCCAGTAGACGATAGTGTATATAAACCGGCGCTAACATCCTGATACACTGGACCTATACCCCGAGGAATACGCAGAGCTCCTGCTTTATCCTTTATTTCCTTTGAACAGAAATCCATCTATTTCGCCTATGGAAGATGCTTAACATTGCCGCAAAAATACTCCTTGCCTTACTCTATCTCAAAGGGGTGCAGGCGGTGGGCATCACCAGTAACGTGGGCGCTTCGTGTCTTTATATTGCAAATAATTTTACGACGTATCCCTTCGATTGCGAAGCTCCCGATATAAATTATGCCTGCCGTTGCTCCGATCCGGCGTTCTTAGGCACCATTCTTGTCTGTATCGATGACGTATCGGATACATACGAAACAATCACCCAGGCCTACAACTACATAATCGACGTGTGTTGTTTGCAAGCAGGAAGGACGTACAAATTCAAAAGCCTTGTCGATATTTTTGAAAATGCCACCCAATACTTGATCCCGAGCCCGGATATTCCCACCTACAAGACCAGAAGTTTGCGATCACCTGTTTACCCTCACACCGCTCGATATAATGATTCCAAGCGGTCTATCGACAGCCTTGTTAGGCATCGCATTCGCGCAACCGTCTACGGGTAATTAAGAACCTTTGTGTTTTTCCGAGATCTGAACTAACATAAACTAGGGCCTGGATGGCGGGTTACTGGGGAGTCATTGTATTGATAGGTGCGATGAACAACATAGGCATCTGGTGCTTACCATATATGCGAATGACTATGAACGGGCTATACCCCCGTTGGGTCCGCCGTAACATAATATCTCCGAAAATACTCGGTAGAAACGTGAATCGACCACGCAGCACCCCATTGGGGCGGTTATTATCGTTTCTTGTAACCATTTTTCCTACCCGGATCCAATCGCTTGCCATAGCGGGGTATTTTGTGCTCTTGACCATTCTTTTATCGGTGGATTACAAATTAGTGATGCCCAATACTGTTTTTGGTCTTGAGTGTATTGAGAGTAACATCTATATTGGCGATCGTGCTGGTATCATTGCCATTACCCAACTCCCTCTAATCTTTGCATTCACGGCTCGCAACAACCTTTTCTCGGTAATTACCGGTTGGCCCTATCGTACCTTCAATATATTCCATCGTTGGATCTCGCGATTCGTGGTGGTGCTAATTTTCCTCCACGCAATTTTCTACTACGATTCCGCGAGGAGAAACGGCGATTATATCCAGCGCTGGGGATTAACGAAATGGCGCTTTGCTCACGTTGGCATCCTTAGTGGGTTCATCCTTGGTATCACCTCGGTATACCCGTTCCGCAACAAATTCTATGAAGCTTTCAAGAGCTGCCACCAGGTGTTCTCCATCTTGTTTATTGTCGGAACCTGGTACCATTGCGTCACGTTGGGATGGATGGAGTTTTTATATGTGACAATTGGCTTATGGGGACTAGACCATATGATTCGCTTCTTCAAAATCATGGTTTCCGGGGGTGTTGTTGCCGCCAACTGCGAGTTAATCATCAGCAAAAGAGATAGTTTTGGGAGCCTTTCGTCCGAGATAGCGGTGGGCCACACGATCAAAGTCACCATCAACCACTCTGGTTATTGGAGACATTATCCCGGGTGTTATGTGTTTGTTTATTTCTTGAAGCCAAATATGTTTTGGCAATCCCACCCATTCACTACCATCGAGCCATCCGTGGTGCAAGCAGCCAATCAGTTGGTACTCTTGATCAGGGTTAAGGAGGGGGTGACTTCACAGCTCTCAGAGTTCCTTTTGTCTCAGCCAGAGTACAAAGCCAAGATTAGTGTGCTTGTAGAAGGACCTTATGGCTCTCCTATCGGCTTCCGGGGCTATCAAAACGCGATTTTTGTGGCTGGTGGGATTGGCATAACCGTAGTATACACCCTCGCCTTGGACCTAGCAAGGCAGCATAAAGCCGAAATTCTTCGGGGGGACGCAAAAGCTTCCGACAGATCTGTCACCTTATACTGGATAACTCCATCCATTGAATCCATTGAATCTTCCGTTGATGAAATAGCAGCAATGTCGGAGATTGGGTGTCTCAACTTGAAGATCTTTATCACACGCCAGCACGGCTTTTCACTTCCTCATAACCGGGGTATTCCCTCTTTTATCGATTTATTAAGTACCAAACCGGAGAAGAACCGTCTCGGTGGGATCCAAAGTGCCACCCTGGAGATGTGCATCCCGTCTTTCGTCCAGGAATCTGGATCGAAAGATTCTATAGTGCTCGATGAGCTTTCTCCTCTGATTTATGCTAATATGTTGTACGGAGAGATTGGCAGCTTCAATGATACCCCTCCCTTTACTCAACACAGAGAAGAGCAGGTGAAAGCCGCCACTCCGAGTGGCAAGGGGTCTTCCCGTGTATCACACACACAAGAATTCAGTTGGGCTGGAACCCCTCCATTAACTCTGTTGAAACCCAGTGACAAGTTACAGTTGTACCACGATATATTGCTTGAGAACCTACCTCGGGTAGAGATCAAATGGGGCGTAAAGCCGTCTATGAAGACCGAGATTGTCGAAAACGTGGGGAAACTTAGTGGAACAACAGCTGTGGTTGCCTGTGGGCCAGATAGGTTGAACTGTGATACCAGGGATGGAACCATAAAGGCCATGCGAGATTCGGGAAATGAAAGGATAGACTACTTTGAGGAGAAGTTGCTATGGTGAAGCGATTTTTAGAAGCGTGAATCAAATATGCATGCTTATCTGGGTACAGTACCTGGTCATATTCACGGCGCAAGCGACTGTGGCTCGGAACTAATTGGGTTTCAATGTGAAGTAAGCCTCAACTCATAAAAGTTTGTATTTCCATTACTCCATTCAAAGTAAGTATGGATAAATAACCTGTTTAAAAGAGAAGCCTCCCACATGACACCAGTTTCTGGCTACAAGGTGTGGCGGATGATTCTCGCATACGCGTGCCGGATGTGCGACACGCATGCACGTCGGCCATTTACCTCCTTGCGATATCAGCCCCGCTTTCGGGCGCGATATCTAGAGGATATATAATCGCATTCCTCCGCACTCGGTGATCACAACAAGGGTACAGCCTAATTTAGACAAACACAGACTCTAGTCTTATATACGATGTCATACGGATCTTCTGCTGCCTCTAGACTTGCAAACAAGGTCGTGTTGATCACCGGAGCCTCCGCTGGTATCGGGGAAGCGACGGCCCAGGAATTTGCCGAAGCCGCTAAGGGCCAAGTCAAATTAATCTTGACGGCCAGAAGAAAGGATAAGTTGGACGCCTTGAAGGACGAATTGACGAAACAGTATCCAAACATCCAGGTCTTGACGGTGGAATTGGACGTTAGTGAGATCTCCACCATTGTCCCGTTTGTGGAGAAATTGCCTGCCGAGTTTAAGGAAATCGATATCTTGGTCAACAATGCGGGTAAAGCGCAAGGTGTGGACAGAGTTGGCGATATTGCAATGGAAGATATTGAGGTTATGATTAACACCAACGTCTTGGGGCTCTTTACGTTAACGCAAGCCGTGGTGCCAGGGATGCAGCAACGAAACCGGGGTGATATCGTCAACTTGGGTTCTATCGCCGGTAGAGATCCGTATCCCGGCGGAGGTATCTACTGTGCCTCTAAGGCTGCGATCAGATCCTTTAGCCACTCGTTGAGAAAGGAGTTGATTAACACGAGGATCAGAGTTTTGGAAATCGATCCGGGCAACGTCGAGACGGACTTTTCCATCAATAGATTTGGGGGCGACATCTCCAAGGCTAAGCTGGTATATGCTGGGACAGAGCCTTTAGTTGCGGTCGATGTTGCCGAACTCGTCTTGTTTGCTTGCACCAGAAAAGAAAACACCGAGATTGCTGAGCAGTTAGTGTTTTCCACTAACCAAGCAAGCGCTTTCCACTTGTTCAAGCAGCAGATTTAAAAGAGGCAAGCAGAGCCTATATATTTATAGGCAGGCAGAGCCTATATATTCGTAGGAAAGCAGAGCTTATATGTTCATAGACAACCTTATCTCTATAAAATGTATTAAGATCTATAATAACCCTACAGGTTTCATGCATACAAGTCCTGCTACGCTGAACCGGACTAGTGGACTCCCCCATTATTCCTCAAGAATCTTCTTTACCAAGCCGTTAAACTCCTCTGGATTGTCCATGTACAAGTTGTGGCCGGCCTTGCTGACCTTGTAGAACTCATTCTTACCTCCACCGTTCATAGTGTTGATTTCGTTCGCAATCATCGCACCGGCCTCACCATTCATCCAGTCGAACTCACCGTAGATCCAGTAGATGTTGCTGATTTTGGCCATCTTGTCCAATCTCCCAAACAACGGGTTTTTAGCCATCACCGCCCCGTTCAACAACTTTGTGATCGCAGTCTCAGAAGTTGACTTGGTCTTGAATAAGTTGTAGGAGTACTGGTTCAACTGAAGAATTTGAAGCAAGTTCGAGGCGCCGCGCCTGGACTTGCTCATGGTGTACTGGGACAACATGCGTGGTCCCAACGGACCGACTAATCTGATCAACGTAAGGAGGGACAAATTGTTGTTCCAGATGTTGACAAACCATGGTGGCATGATTGGGAAACGGCCTAAGAAGCCAAACTCTTTGGGGTTAAGGGTTGGTTTTAATTCCGCAGTGGTGTTCCTAGACAGCGGCGGAGCAAGCAATGCAGGATTCTGAATGGATAAGGGATTCTTTTCGATCCCGACTGGAGACACAAGCAACAACTTCTCGATGTTCTCAGGGTACTTCATCGCGTAGGCGGAGGATAAGTAGCCACCGTAAGAATGGCCCATCAAACAGATCTTGCCCAAGTTTCTCTCTTTTCTCCAGGCTTCCAACGCATCGATGTAGTAGTTTTCAATATCCTGCAACACCGCGGCGGTGCTTTCCACGTACTGCCTACCATGCAGCGGGGAGTTGTAGTGTAATTTATAGCCCTTGATCAACCGGTAGTACTTGTTGTGGACTTTTGTCATCATTGGATCTTCGTAGTTAACAGTTTCCAAATGTGGAGGTTTAACGTATTTTGTAGAAAGCTCGATTTTAGGGTTAGAAGACCCGCCAAACCCTAACCAGTCCAACGCGTGGATCTTCACGTTCCGGTTGGATTCGAGGAGGCCCTTGAAGTTGCGGTGGTAGCAGCCCAACCCAGCACCGAAGCCATGGAGCATGACCAAGTTCGTCGGCAACGCCTTGGCGTCGGCAGTTTCCATATTCTCAAAGCAAACCTCGTTGATGTGTTCGGTGTGGTCGTATATGGGCACCTGCAAGCTCTGCACCTTAATGCTAGGATTGTCCACTTTCTCTAAAGTTATATTCTTGGAATTACTACCAACAACCTTGTACTGAGACTTTCCCAATGATTCGTGGATGAATTCATTCTGAAACGCCACCAAAGAGTTAGGCATCAAGCCAGCTAACCAAATTCTGAGCGATTCCACCACACCCAAAGCCCTGGGAACATTGATCGTGGACTGGGGGGTAGCGACAGGCAACACCTTTGCGTTCACTTGGATATCAATGCCTTTGCCGAACTTTTCCTGGAGGACGGAGGAGTCCATCACAGAGTGCGCGGCGGTGTCTTTGGTTGGCACGTTATTTTGGAAACGTCTGATAGATAGGAGGTTGGTGGAATGTAACCGATACGTCGGGAGTCTCTCTCTGGCTACATATAACATCCTTAAGGTGCTCAGGAGTGGATATAGGGCTGCTATGCTAAGCAAGGGGAATGGCCCAACTGGGTAGATCGGCTATATATAAAGATAGCTTCCCTGAGTTGTCGTTTCTTTTTTCACGCATTAACTAGCATGCAGGTGGACCTAGAGATACGCTACCGGACGCTACTTAAGGTTTGAACAAGCGCGGACCGTTTATTCAACGCAGACAATTATCCGACCGGTCATCAAGACGGCATATCTCACATAACCGCCCACTCTGTCGATCGAACAAGGTTTCGCTATCAAGGGAAGATACAATACGGATAAAAGAGATCTTATAGTTCCTCGGGGTCATCACTATATGCGGATAGGAGGGCTAAACAATCATAAGGCACACACAGTCGTGTAGCCGCACATGCTACTTCTCGCTTCCGGCCCGGAGCTATCTGTCCGAACGCCGAAGATCGCAAAACGAGTATCATTGATACCAGCATGATTTCAGTTCAGATATGTATTAGTTACATATCTGAACTACAACAATCTTAATTGTAAATTTATTTTCACATCCTCGAGGGTTACTATATCTGAATCATTTTGAGTCTTTATGAGTATTTGTTGTCAGCAAATGGCTTTCTCCGCATATATTTACTGGTCGGCGTGCAGAAGCAAAGTTTTGGGTGCATGTGATAGTAATATCATCATGTGACATACACGTGGGGTTACCTAGGGTTTATAACGCAGGATATATTTTAAGTCACGCCGGACTGACTTTGGGTTACGAGTCTCATACTGCGTAAATCATGCTTTATCTGCGTACATCTCTTCCCATGGGGGTGAGAAACTTCATTGTCCAGTTCCATGCACCTCCCCCTTGCACCTTCTCTCCCTTTCTATTCCGCCTAATCGCTAAGATTCATCGCTTTCACCATCACTGAGGTCGTGGACGCCGAATCCCCCCTGTTGACTGCGAAAATTTGTGCCGGACATACTGTCTGTGCGGGCTAGTGATTTCCTGCACCAAGCACGAAAAATTCTTACTCCCCACTTACAGTGAGGGCTGGGTGTGTCTACTGCTGCTACTCTGTGCGTAGACACACTGCCAGAACGTGGTGGTTGAAAATTCACCTTATTGAAATACTGTTTAACATAATAACACACGTTCGGATTTTCTCATATTGTATAGGAATATCATTAAGTCAAGAGTAAGTCATTGTCCTACTACTCGTGAAGTTGATAATGTGAAGGAATGGAAACTGGGAATTGAAGATGCGACAAGTGAAAAAAAACCCTTCGTGAATGAGACCACCAAGAGCGCAGACAAGAGGCTCTATGAGGGACTTTACAAGCCAGGCGAAAGGAAGCCGAGCTGCAAGGGTTTATGGAAGGTACCTCTTCCCGTTCTAGTTTCAGTCATGGATGAGAAAAATCTTCCATAAATTACACCAAAGACATTGGCCCCCAACGGGCCCGCCCCAGGAATGTTGAACCTGACCAAACCAAAAACACGTTTTTGATTCTCCCAGTCCCATGCTCTTCTGATTATCAACCTGTCACGATATTGCAGACCCAAATACTAACATTATAGTGTCTCGCTTAAACGAATACCAAGTCATCGGTCGTCGTCTCCCTACCGAGACTGTCCCTGAACCAAAGTTGTACAGAATGAGAATCTTTGCTCCAAACACCGTTGTTGCTAAGTCTCGTTACTGGTACTTCTTGCAGAAGTTGCACAAGGTCAAGAAGGCTTCTGGTGAAATCATCTCTGTCAACACCATCGCCGAAGCTCACCCAACCAGAGTCAAGAACTTCGGTATCTGGATCAGATACGACTCCAGATCTGGTACCCACAACATGTACAAGGAATACAGAGACGTCTCTAGAGTCGGTGCTGTTGAATACATGTACCAGGACTTGGCTGCTAGACACAGAACTAGATTCAGATCCATCCACATCTTGAAGGTTGTTGAGTTGGAAAAGACTGACGATGTCAAGAGACAATACGTTAAGCAGTTCCTTTCCAAGGACCTTAAGTTCCCATTGCCACACAGAATTCCAAAGTCCAAGGCTATCTTCTCTCCAAAGAGACCAACTACCTTCTACTAAGTTATATAACCTCTTAACTCTGTTATTTGTGTATAATGTCGTTTTCGCGATTGGTTTAATATTATTGCCCTCCGTTTAAACTCAGTTTTACCTTTTTACCTGTTTGTAGTTTATAGAATTTTTAGTCGCTGAACCTTTGGGCGGAATGAAATTTTCATCTCGTCTGTGAGTGCTTGAAATATTGAAAGCGAGTTAAAATTCGGACATTGATTCTGGGGTTATGACAGTATCAAAGCAATGCTTGACTAGAGTATCAGTTTTAATTTCTATAAATATATACTATATATTTAACTTGAAAACTTGAAATCGGCCTATATACGTGCAGTGCAGAAAGTTAACCCAAGTTAACTCTCCTTTATATAAGCAAGCTAGTTCCCGTATAAACATAGAGTAGAATTTGCATCGCCGGATATACGTACACGCCTACACCCCTAGCTTATTCTATAACCACGATTGAATTAAATCCAGATTCTGCCATATCCCAGAATTATCTGAACACTGATAACTGCGATCTTATCTTGCCTTTCTGGTAAAACATAACCTGGATGCCCACCAACCTGGTAAGGTCATTTGGCTGCATAGCCTTTATCAACGGCCGTACGTCATGCAGTCCCTCCGACATATAGGAAACCACTTGCTATACAAGGTATTTTCTAAGTATAAAACTTGCGTACCCCATAACTTCCGATCATTTCCACACCACCGTTACTATGTCGACAACTAACAGCCCCGAAGATACAACGTCTAAGTGGTACAAATGCAGCATTTACTTCCCGTACGTTACTAGTGCCATCATCGCTGCGTCCATTATCCCAGTCTTTCTTCCGCAGCTCCTCTTAAGGCCCCATTCGGGCGAGTTGAAACCGCCTGACAGCCATGGAAGGGATCCGATCGGAATGTCTAGACCAGTCAACCCAACTTTCTATCTCTTGAACATTATTGTCATTTTCAATGCACTGTTATCACACAATATGCAGGGGTTCATACAAGCATATTTCCCTCTGCCGGTGTTTTACGGTGCACTTGGCTTCCAGGTACTATTGATGTTTATTCTGCCGTTCCTCTCCTATTCTCAGCTGCACCTGTATCTTATCTGTTCCATAGTGGTGATGCAGTTCTTCACAAGTATCTGTGTATATTTCTTCAAACACGAAGCCTTGCACAAGATAATTGATGCTTTGCGGTTAGAGTACGTGCTCTCCCATATTCCTGAATACTGGGATGCCCGGGATACGGATGGTAGCCTAAGTGAGCCAGCAAGCCCTGACACAAACATGATTATGACAGCGATTCAGAAGAACGGTAACACCCAAATTAAAAAGTGCGTGTTATTACTCTGCTTAGCAAAAGTTAATGTGGTGGTTTATTCATTTTGCTCTCAGGTATTCTCGTGGGAGTTATTGAACACCTTTCGCTGGATGAATGAGTCCTCGATTCAAAACTCCCCTTCGTCGGTGTGGTGGGTTTTATGGGGTATCATGGTTGGGTTGCATATGGTGGGGATCTACTTTTTAGTCCTTGGGGTGTCATACCCTCGCCTACTTAAATTCACCGAGACTGAAAACCGCGAGGGGTTGAGATGGCTAAACATTACAATGGGCTTTATGGTGCTCAACGACATTTTGTTATTCGGCACCACGGCCTACTTCCACTAGTTGTGGACAGAATTTGCTACAGATTGATGTATCAGTTATTGTGCCTAATTAAACAAATAATTCTAAACCTCCTTTTATGATACGCTGGGCAACCTTTACCCTGGGGTGTGTATGTAGTTTACCTGATTATGACGATTGATGAATCAGTGACCGTTATTTAGCAAGCGTGCTCGCCATTCCTAGGTTTACCCGGTCCGCCAAGCTCTTGAATCAGATGAACATCGTATTTCTCTCTTAATATCTAGAGCAAGTGTTAATAATTAGTTATTGAGTTAAACTTGAAAAGAATGGCACATCGGTCCTACACTTCGCCTTGACGTCACATGCCGCACGTTATCAGCGTATTATAGCCGCATGAACGGAGTACAATCTACTTTTTCGAACCTTTCCAGTTTCACTAGAGCTGGAGGGAGGATAAAATTACCCCTTGTTTCGGAATTCTATAGTCTTATTCCTAGAATATTGGTTAATTTCACAGTTTCTAATGTTTACAATATCTCCAAGCGACGCAGAAAACGACAAGTCGCGGTGGTACAAGTGCGGCATGTATCACCCGTAAGTCACCAGCACTATCCTCACAGTCTGTACGATCCCGGTATTCCTTTCACTGATCCGTCTGATAATCCATCACGATGTGACGATATCCCCAGATAGCTTTGATAGTCATCATATGGTACTTGGTAAGCTGACCAGCCTGGCATTATACCTCAATATTTTTGCCCTCATCAATGCATTGTTATCTTATAACATGCAGGGATTTATCAAGAGCTTCTTCCCTCTGCCGATTTTCTACGCAACGTTGGCCCTCAAAATAGGACTGATGGTTGCCTATCCATTCTTTACCGCCATATCCAATCAGTATTTAAAGTATTTTGCTTTCGCATCGGTTTTGTCTCTGCTTTGTTATGCAATCAACGAGTACTTCCGCTCATCAGAGGAGTTGCACAAATCATTGGATTCTTTGCAATTAGACTACGCACTCTCTCATATCCCCGGATAGTGGGAAACTCGGGATACTGAAGGAAGTCTTACCGAGTCAGTTAGCATCATCACTGACAAGAACATGGATACAAAACAGGAGAACGAGATTTCCGAAATCAAGAAGTGCATTTTGTTGATTTATCTCACAAGGGCGAGTGCTTTCGGATATATGACCATTTCCCTAGTCTTATTAGACCGGCTGAACATTCTAACTTGGTTGGAAAGGACAGTCGAGACTGACACCGGTGGGTGGTGGGCCATTTGGGATGGTTTAAGCTGCATGTACATCTTGGATACATACTCGCTCATATGGGGACTGTGGTTCCCTCCACTTCTTAAATTCGCGGAGACTGAAAACCACAAAGGGATGAGATGGTTAAACATTACGATGTGTTTTATGATGTTCAACGAAATTTTGTCATTCGCGGTCACGTCTGGGCTGAAGTAGCGTCTGCAGCTCTGAGCTCTGGTTTACCGTGCTGCGCCAAACTTTCAAGGTACAATGCTAGGTTGTGAGTATTAACCTACTGTTATCTATATATTACGAATGACATTCTCCTGGAAAAACCCACTTTGGTGTACCTGGAGGTATAACAAATGATTACCTCATCCCCCATTTTCACTTACCATATACTTGCCCAGCCGGTAGGGTTTCATCGATTCTCAGGACAATGGAGTGCCAGCATAAGTCTGGGTTAAGGATGGAAAATACTGGATTACTTCTAAACGCTTATGTGCGTTCAATAATTTGTGGGATTGGGCCGGGATATACGTTCTAGTGGGGGAGAATGTCTTGACTGACCTTTATAGCCCAAATTTTTCAGACATCTCGATAGTAAGATTTAGTCAATATTTTATTGTCTTAGAGATGCTAAGACATCTGAATACCGCTTATAGCAAACGAGTAGCATTACCATCCGTGCCTTAGGCTTTAAGTTGATCCTTGTGGAAAGGCCGAAGCATTGATTATATATCAAATAATCACATACAAAGTCTAAGAAAATTAAGAATATGTGACACAATTCGCTCTTTCGAGGCTCCTTAAATCTAGTACATGGAAGCGCCCAGACTGCATATCACCCTGGCGGATGAGTAAATCCTGTTTTAGTAGTGCGCGCCCGGACTCCCGGTTAATCTGTGGCCGGTAAATTCTTATCTTCGTACTTATCAAAAGCTGTGTACACCATCACATTTGCCCTGCCTTGTACTCACAAAATTTGCTAGATTTTATTCAGTGACACCATCTAGCTACTTTTGATTCCAGCTTTTCACTTATAACCATGGGTATCTGCCTATCTTGCTTGCGTCCCGAGGAGGATGAAGAAAACCCACAATTGGGCGAACGGACGCCGTTGCTCGGGCAGAATACCTTGAAACAGGAAGAGATCGCAGCTGAGAACCGACAGAAGGAGCTCGACACGATTGTGAGCGACTTGACTGAGTATGTACCATCCATAACTCTCTGTGAGATTCAATACTAACAGTACAGAAACTTAATCGACGTCACCACGTTCTTGCAGGCGCCAGACGAGGGCGAGGTCGAAGAAACAGGAGCTGAAGAGGAAGCCGAACTGCAGCACGAGGCACCAAAGCAGTTACCGTTCACCTTGATGACCGAGGACCACAAGCGCTCGTTACGCCAGATTAGTCAGGAAGTATCGACGATATTGGAACGGGAATTGACAGTAAACAGTGTTGGTGCGTTGGTCCTTGATTTTGGGGCTGACTAAGCAGTGATGGCAACAACCGTTCGCAGAACAATCTACACTCAGCAAATAACCCCGAGACACTACCTCCAGGGAAGGGCTGCTGTCAGTCATTTCCATCGGGAGACCGAGTGCCTACAAAAAACGAGGTTGTACAATACGACTAAGAGAATACGCAGGGTGATATCGCGTAGCTGAAAATTATGGGGCTTAGGGTCTAATTGAAGTAACTAATTTAATGGGGCACGTAGATACGGCGTTGGTAGAACAAGCCAAAGTAGGAACAAAGTACTGTATTCATAAAGACAAATGGACTTAAGTCCGCCATAAACTGCTATTATCAATAGCTTTTAATTCAAATATCAAGACACCGGCCGTTTACATCTCGGCATACAGAATTTGCAAACGTATCTGGCTTGGTACAGCTATAGTGGCCTGCTTTTACCCACACATGCCCTCTCTAGGTCAGTTTTCCTCTAAAGCATTGCATCTTATACCTGTTATCATATAAAATCACAAGCTACCAAGCCCGAGAAAGAGCTACTTTATCAGACCATCCAGCAGCGCCTAGAAATGGTGACTGGCCAAATGCGGTAATGTCCCGATTGAGCATTTGCAGTTCTCGGAAAAAAACCATCGCGCTCTCGCGCCCAACTACAAAACAAACACTTCAACATCCGACAAACACGTCTGTGAAAAACAAAAACTCTACACAATGCCGCCAAAGAGAAAATCACTTGAGGCGCCGGACAACACAGGCAAGAAGGCCAAACTCGAAGATGATTTGGCCGAATTCTGCCGTGCCACGGTGGAATTTATCACTGACTACACGCCGGAGGGCAGCGAAGAGAACATTGCCACGGACTTTTTGAAGCTCCCATCGCGCAAGGTGTACCCGGAGTACTACGACATTATCGAGCAGCCAATCTCGCTCCACGAAATAGCTAAAAAAGTGAGCAAGGGCGAGTACCGTTCGGTTGACGACTTCTTGCAAGATTTCAAGTTGTTGTCCTCCAACTGCGACACTTTCAACGACCCGTCTGCGGCGATCGCACAGGATGCGCAGGAGATCTACAGACTTGTGGCGGAAAAGGTTGCGCAGTTCCAGGAAGCCAGGGTCGAAGCGGCCCCGAAGACTCCAAAACTTATCTTGAAGCAGAAGGTAAAGGAGGAAGCCGTGCTAATCACCAAATCGACGTTCGTGAATGCAATAACCAAGGTTGTGGATGATTTAATCGGGCTCCGGGTGCCGAAAAGAGGCATCATCTCGGATGCGTTTTTGGATGTGCCGTCGAAAGAGGCATACCCCGATTACCACAGCGTGATCGCGCAGCCACGCGCATTTAACTATGTGCGCGCGAAGATCGCAGCGGACGAGTACACGAGTCTCCGCGCGTTTGAGGAGGACTTGGAATTGATGTGGCAGAATGCCAAGAGCTACAATGCGGACGACAGCATCATTTTCCGCGATGCGGGGATTTTGGAGCGTTCGTGCAACAAGAAACTCGAGAAGTTGAAGCGCGACTTTGACCCCGAAAAGAACTACTTGGAGGTTGCGGACGAGGAGGAGAAGGTTGGCTTGAAGTTAAAGATTGCCATGAAGCCCGAGGCGACGCCGGCCAAGCGTGGTAGACCCAGAAAGGATGGCACAGTGAAGCTGGAGGGCGAGACCGAGGTGCCAGAGGAGCTCAAGGAAGAGCCAGAACCTGAGCCTGAGGTGGAGGAGCCCGAGCCAGTCAGCCCATTCCCCCCTGGGTTTGCCCTCCGCAGCGACAAGCAGCCCCAGGTCAAGGAAGCCTTCATTCAGGAGCTCTCTGTGGCGTCATCCAAGGTGGCGCGTATGCAATTGCTTCAGCCCAACGTGCCCGTGGTTGGTGCGTTAAATGACTACTTCGAGTTCCGCTTCACCGCCAGTGCGGCCAAGACCAGCAACTACTCGTTCTCGCTTCCGGAAAACGCGTCATCCATCTCCATCGTAGCCACACTCAATAGCTCACTCGCGAAGCGTGAATACACGCACGTGCTCTTGGTGAACAATGAGAAGGTGGTGCCGTCACCGTCAGCCCACTATGCGGACGAGGACGACAAGGCGTTGAGTTCGCGCTTTGAACTCAAATTGGCCTTGGGGTTGAACCAGGTCCAGTTTTGCGTGCAAGCACTGCCCGTTGTGGCTGTCGACCTGAATGGTAAATTGCCGAGTCGCACTACCATCAGCAATTTGCTGCCGGAGATCGAACGTAAGACGTTATGGGTGAGCGTGTCCCATTAAGCGACTGGAGGTGAGGTAATGATGGGGACTTGTGTGTTCGAGTGCCATCGAGCTTGAATAATTAATACTTCTAGAAAAAGTTATTGTAAATGTGATTAAGGCTAGTGGGAGTGATTCGAGAAGGCTCGGATAAGGCTGTAGTATGAAATAGCGTGATACCCATAAGCCCAGATCTGGTGTAGATTAGCATAACATACTCTTTACGTTTTTGCGCGTCCTACATCACTCCGTGCCATTGGGCAACCCGATCCACTTATATTTTTCGTTTCGGCGGTACATATTTCTGAGCTTTCGAAATTTTGTATTTACTCAATAGAGTTAAGATAGCTCCATACAGAGTCATCCAGCCCTGAGTCAGCCAGAGGAATATAATTGCCTGAGACAATGACTGTGGGACGTTGACCTGTAAGCCGCACCAGTGTTATGTAGTAGTGCCCTCACCGCCTTGTGATCGGTGCGTCGCAGAGGACAGCGCCATCGATAGCTCAGGATTGCTGATTAAAACACTCGCACGCTACTCACCACCCCATCGCAATTGCTTTCCCACACAACTAAAATGGTACGTGTGATGGGATCTTAGATCACCAGTGCGTAACTAACACCACATAGGAACTCGATTCTCTCGTCGGCCTTGCCATGCTCGGTGCTGCCACTTTCGTCTTTGCCTACTACACAACCTGGACCTTTATCTTGCCGTTTGTCAGTGAGACCCACTTCTTGAACCTGTTCTTCCTCCCACGTGAATGGGCGATCAGAATCCCAGTCTTCCTTTTGTTGGTGGCGACCTTGGGGGTCGGTACCTTTATCGGTAAGACCGTCATCAAGAGTGCCCAAAAGGAGAAGGCCAAGAAGAAGAACTGAAGTCCTGTGTATGTGCTTGAGGAGGGTCTTCTACGCCTGGGGACTCCGTTGCAGATTTAGCACACGAAATGTATAACTACGATTAATAACCGATACTGTAATACCCCTAGGAGTGGAGCCAAAGCGGTGTATAATGATGAGACGAGATTACATCTCAAATCCATCAGTATGTAATCTCTGATATTAAATGGTTTAGGTGGAGTGAATGCCATTGGAACGATTCTTTGTAATATGTGTTCCCAACTAGCTCGATGTCTGATTTGTACGAATAGGCATATGGATGGTGTGCATAATAGAGAAAGGTCTGATGGTTCCACAAAAGTATTGCCACAATACTCAAGATTCATTTGATGCTAGTTGAAAATTCGTTATAAAAAGCCTTTTAATTTTGATATGGAGGCCATCATTGTCTGGCCATGGCGTAATACGGCAGGCACGAATGCAAGACAATACCCCACTCAGATCAGGCCCGACATAAATTAGCCATTCATACACCAGTGTTTGGAAACTAATTATACTCTAACGACCTCAACGATCTTGACAATCCCAACAACCCCAACTCCTTTCAAAATAAGATAATTCAAAAATAGGCACTTCGAAATTATATTCCTTGAAGTAATGTCGCAGCACAGAACACATGCCGCTGGTTTTCAGTTATGTTTAGCGTCAACCAGGTCATGAACCCATGAATACGCCGCACCATACCAGATAATTGAATTGCCTGAGTTCATAATTTTGTGGTCATTTTTCCCTGGTTTCCACTTCCTTAACAACAAAACACATTTTACGGTGTGCGGCGTATTGTACCTATGATGTAATCGGGTCGTGTGTGGCCGGGCGCTGGGCGCCTGGAAAAGTAACTCGAGTCAAATCCTTGATTCATGGTACGACGTCACAGATCACCATCTTTAAACCCGACCAGTCGTCAGGAAACGGTACAACACAAGTGTGCCTTCCCCATTAGAGCATCCTTGCATAGCACTACTTCCGTCTTACCCAGAAGTCTACCGGCGAGATCAAAGACCTCCCATCAAGTTCATTGGCACGGCTTGAACCACGTTTCTTAAATAGCACTGCCAGGCATCGTCCAAACTAGTAAACCGTTCTACCCCATCCTGTAAGGACCCCCATTGATCTCTATCTTCTAGGACGCATTCTACCCCTCATACTCAATCGCATCTCTCGGAAGTCTAGTCTCAGGATACGCTTCACCCACCGAATCTCTTATCGTGTCCTCAGAAGATCTCAGGACAGACCTTCCTTAGGTACCATCCGTCTCCTCTCTTGCCTCGAGCTCATTGCTCACACACACTCGCTATGTCCCGCAAACGGGCTGTCAAGGACTACCAGTTCGGTAACTGCATTGGTGAAGGCTCCTACTCCAAAGTCTACTCTGCGGTAGACCTTCACAACCGCAAAACCTACGCGGTCAAGGTTCTCTCCAAAAAGCACATCGTCAAGGAGAAAAAGATTAAGTATGTCAATATTGAAAAACATACGCTCAACCGTCTTGGAAACCACCCCGGGATCGTTCAGCTCTACTACACGTTCCAGGACGACGCATCGCTCTACTTCGTGATTGACTTTGCCGAGTACGGTGAGCTCTTAACGATCATCCGCAAGTATGGTTCGCTCAATGAACACATCACGCGCTTCTACATGGCGCAGATCCTCGACGCGGTGGAGTTTATGCACTCCAAGGGCGTGATCCACCGCGATCTCAAGCCGGAAAACATCTTGGTCAACCACCACTTGCGCTTGATGATCACCGACTTTGGCGCAGCCAAGCTCGTCGGTGCGGACACGGACGCGGACGTGATTGCACCGGACACAACCATCCCGGGTGACGAGTCGCCGCGCGCGTCGTCGTTTGTGGGCACAGCCGAGTACGTCTCACCCGAGCTCCTTCGTCACAACCAGGCCGGCTTCGAGTGCGATATCTGGGCCTTGGGTTGCATCTTGTACCAGTTTATCCTCGGCGTCCCGCCGTTCAAGGGTAAGACCGAATACCTTACCTTCGAGAAGATTATCCTGTTGGACTATGCGTTTCCGCCCGCGTTGTACGTGCCGCTGCGCATTAAGAGCCTCGTTGGCGGCTTGCTCCGCCTCGATCCGCTCGCGCGTTTGACCATTCCCGAGATTAAGCAGCACGAGTTCTTCCGCGGTGCCGATTGGGCAGACAAAAAGACGATATGGGGGACAAAGGTACCCAAGTTCGAGCCATACAACCCGCGCGTCTACCAGCGCGAGGAGCCGTCGCCCAAGAAGCCATTCCCTATCAAGCCTCCTCCAGGGGCCGCCAAGGCGACAAATAATAAGCTCCATGCGGCAATGATGGGGCTTGCTATTACCCCACCAGCGACGGCGGAGGGCAAACTAAGCCAAAATGGAACCCAAAGTGGTCAAAATGGGGCCAAAAGTGGTCAAAATGGGATCCAGGGTGGCCAGAATGGTCACCAAAACGGACAAAACGGGTCAGCTATTAACCAAAATTTGAATTTTTCTCCACAAAGTTTGCCTCCCACTCCAAAGCTGACCCCTGACTTCCCCCGCAAGCCGTTGCTCACACAGCAGCAGTCGGACCAGCAAATGATCAACAAAATCCTCCAGGAGAAGATGGTGATAAAGAAGACGGAGTTGCAGATGAGACAGAATGTAGCGCCTGCGATTGCTCCGATTCTGCTGTACCTGAACGGAAGCGGGATACCATCTGTAGGGATGGTGACGTCTAAGTCTAGCCTGAATCTCCAGGCGAAACTGCCACCGTACCCTGGATCGATCCACGGCGTCCGGCTGGTCAGTCAGATGATGGCGAAGCCTACAGTGAAGGCAAAGCCGCAACTAGTCCCTTCGTCACCCCAGCCGCCAACTCAGCCACCACCCCAGCCAAAAATTCCATATCCGCCAAAAATCCCATCTCAGCTGCCAGTTCTGCCAAGACAGCTCTCTCAGGGACAATCCCAGCCGCGGCAATCCGAAAATCTGATTCCCGGGGAAATCGCACGCAACTTACTCCCGGACGAGGCGATTCTCAAGCTCGACTTGATCAAGACATCAGAGTTGCCGTACTCGTACCAGACGGACGGGGGTCCCGCCACGCCCGTAACGCTTGATTCCTCTCTTGACGACACGGTGATCCAGGAGATCATTACCAAGAACCGGCGGCGCTTGGACTTTGTGGAACTGACGCGGATCCTCGTCATTACTAACCAAGCGCGCTTATTCTTACTCTACGTGGAGCAGAATACTATCGGCAACATCCAGGTGATCAACCTCACCAACAAGTATTACTCCATGTACGACTACGAATTCAACGACGACACCTGCACTGGCTACTTGATTCTTGAGCTGCTCCGCGACCGCAAGTTAATCTTTTTGAAGCCATACAGCCTGCATACAGCCGACCGTGAGGTGCTGGTACCATATCGCCGTGGTACGAGTGCGGGATGGGTCGAGTGCTTACTCCAGGCGAGGGAGCTCTTGACTGAGGAAGCCAAACCGCCAGCCAAACCCAGACCCACCACCCCGACGACAAATGCGCCGTTAGTGAACCCGCCGTCCACAACAAAGGTCATGCCGCGGCCTTCCTCCAAGGCCCCCGTCAAAAGGGTCGTTTCAGCGCCTGTAAAGAAGGCCGCAACCAAGCCAGCTGTTTCCACAAAGCCAGCTGTTGCCATAAAGCCAGTTGTTGCCGCAAAGCCAGTTACTGCAAAACCAGCAATTACAACAAAACCAACACCCAAGCTAGCACCAAAACCAGCGCCGAACTTTGCGGCTGCGGCTGCCATGAGTGCTGCCCGGTTAAGTAAGGCCAAAACTCAGAAGTAGTCATGGATACCCTCATCCTACTTGATCCAATAGATTGTTTCATCATGGTGCCAGTATCTGCATAATACACTATTGTATTTTATATGACATTGACCTATTATGTAGATTATAAAGCATGTGAGTTAGGGGGTTAGACTTAAATGAGTCGAAGGTTGCCGGTGTAGATCACGGGTTGACACTGGGAATGTATTCGATTTGCTATTGTGTTCTATCCTGGACCTATACAGGGTATAGCTAGAAACTACAACAACTTTGGATGGCTCTTTTTGTAGTTATACGGAATGTTATCGTTGCTGTGTGTATGGGCGAAGCTATTTACCAAAAGGCCGTACTCCAACCGATGCCATGAATATACATTGATTCATATCCACAGATGGTAATAGGCACCAATGAGCCATGTATCTGAATGCTGCTCTCATTTCCTCTTACAACCACACGCCACTCCTATAAGGAAGCGATGAAATAACCTTGTCGCACTACAATTAGTGTGCCGAAGCATGACTCGGGTCTCAAGAAAAGTTCAATGGGGTCACTTTCTATGTCAGAGGCCTGGAACAAAGCCCCAACTTCAGGCGTGACCTCTCTCCACCCTACTCCAGCACAATAAGCCAAGAATAAATTTGCTAGTTATACAGCTATTTCCTACGCCTAATAAAACTATACACATGTATGGGGGGGGGGGGGGGGGGGATAAATAAATATTAATATAAAAATATATTATCTTATAATTATAGCAGAAATATATACACGGGTCTACCATAAAACAAACGAGCACTATAGTGCTTCGGGAGAAAATACCGCACGCTTGAAGTGGGTTACCTTAGGTTCTGAAACCAATTTTCAACTATGGAGGGATGTACCCTTAGAGCTAAGCATTTTTCAAATACGCTTCAAACTGCTGCACAACCGCCTCATGGCTCTCAAAATGACACAACTCGGACATCATCTCCACACTTTTGCCGCACACAATTTTCTCGACGGCGCGCTCAGTGCTAATCCAGTTCTCCATCTTGACAACGTTCTCGTACTTTTCAGTTCTCTGTTTCACATAGTCCCGCTTGGCATATGGATCCTGCCTGAGATCAAACTCTGGGGCGTCAGTGGCGGCTGCAGCGCCTAACTCGTTTCTGATGGCGGCGGCCTCCCCCGCACAGAACTCAATGGCATCCACGCGGGCTTTCCACGCAGGAAACAAAATCTGGTGCTGGAATTCGGTGCATAAAGAGGCCTTTTCGGTGCCCCCAACCTTGTTGAATTTGACAATTCCGTTGATTCGCTGGCTCAAAACATCGTCAGTGGCGTATCTCGAGAAATAGAGGAAAGACCTCACACCCTTTGGCGAGAGGCAGAGTGCTCTAGTGAGATGCGGAGGTGGACTGGGGATATCTGGGAACTTGTCCTCCGGGGTGGCCCAAAGTTTAGTCATAGTGGATTGAATAGTGGTAAAAGAGTGGCGTTAGCTTATCGTGAGATCTTATGTGGGAGAAATATGCGGGATCCTTGCATTAACTGCACGTGATGTTGCTACCGACACCGGGGGTTCGGGCTACCGAAATAAATTAGCGGGCGGATATAGACTATAATCGTATAGGAGGATTAAAAAAAAATAATTTATCAAATTTTAAGGCTATTCGTGTTAAGACTAAGGTATGAAAGAGAGATAATCTATCAAGCTAATGCCTAGTCAGACAAAATGTAAAATTTCATCGTGTTTTACGGGTGTGCCCGACAGGGATTTCCAGGAACTCACAAGGTTTAACCACGATACCAGGCAAAGAAAATAAATTGTTACTTAGTGTCTCTGCATATATCATAACTAAATAAAAACATAACCTCCTTTATCTGTGCGTATTGTAACCCCCAAAGCTTTCTTCTGTATTAGCTCAGTGTTCTGACCATAGAGCAAGAGGCGACGTAGACCGTCTCTACATGGTGAGCCAAACACTTGCCATTGATAGCAATTGGGCCACTAGAGTAATATATATCTCTATACTAGAAATATTGAGCTGGCTTCCTCTTTCAGGCCTGAAGAGCCCACGGTTTCCGGCACAGGTCGTGTGCGTATTACCAGACCTGCAGATTACCACATAACTTCAATCGAGATTATCCACACGTCACACCCTCCTACACCCTGTCTTAAACCCACATGTCCCAGTTATCAGCCCTTACTCCTGGTGAATCCGCCGGGTTACTCCAAGGGATTGCGCAGTACCTTACCCTCACTCTGGACACAGTGCGTGCTGCGGCTGACGATGTTGCCCACACCGTCACCTTCCTATCGCTGCAAGCTGCCACCCAGGCTAGCCTCGACCTCGCAGAGACCAATCTGTTGGCAAAGATTTCCGCTGATTTGACGGATGACGAGGCATCTAGATTCCACTGGTTGATGTTACACGGTTGGAAGCTCTTCAACCAGCCGCGCAACCAGAGCGAGGCTGAGCTCCAGCAAGACTGCTTGCGTCAGCGCAACCAGCACCTCTACGCGCAGTTCGACTGCTACGGTCTCCTTCCATACGTTATTTCCCTTTTTTTGAGAGAATTAACGAGCGACGAAGCGGTGGCACGTGTGGCGGAGACGTTGCAGAGCTACTCTGTGAGCGTGAACGCGAGCCTCAATAACACGGTACCGCACTTGGATGCTTTTGCATTAGTGCATTCGTTTCGCACGATGTTCTGGCAGCAAGTTGCTGCTTTCCGTGTGCGTAATGGCCCGGTAAAGGCCGAAGCGTTGCTCCGGAAGGCAAATGAGGCCCAGGCGGCAAAGAAGGCGCACAGGGCGTTGGTGCTCTACACTGAGGCGCTCCATTGGGACCGCACGCCGCATATTTTAGCAAACCGTGCTGCCGTATTCACCTCCATGCGTGACTACAAGTCCGCGATCGATGACCTAGTGGAGGCCACCGCGCTCAACCCCGCGCACGTTGTCGCCTGGAGCCGATTGGGGTACGTGTACCTCGTCACAGGCGACTCTGTCAATGCCGTCACCGCGTACGTGAGTGCACTCCAGGCGTACGACTGCGTCTTGCTTCCGCTCGACGTTGCGGCACGGGGGTCTACCGTGCTCGCCGCCCACCGGATTGCGGTCCAAAAGGGGATGTTACCACAGTACATCCACCGTGTGCTTGATGCTTTGTGTGTAGCAGAGGACCGAGCCACTCAACAAGGCCACGATACTGCGGAAATTACTCTGGCAGTGGCGGAGCTTCGCGCCCGGCTCCGCCCGTCGGCCAACAGCGATGAAAGGGTGTCGCGTCTCAACCACAGGGCCCCTGTGACCTCGGATACGCCCGCCGTTGGCACGCCAGATTCTACATGGGCTGATACCGAACCACAGGATGACGAGGATATGATTGCAATCGATGTTGGCGTCGCGCCAGAAGCCTGGGGCGAGACGGGTCCGTTCTCCACGTTCACAACCACGACTGCGAACACCGGGCTGGGTCAGGACTTGGGGATGTTGATCCTGAACGCGATTACCAACGCCCAGGCGCAGTTTGGGATGATGCAGGGTGGCATTCCTGCCACGAGAAGCGCCAACACCACACCGGCGGTCATGGTGTCTGGTGCCGCTGGCCCTATCACCATGACAGTTCCAGCAGCTCCACCAGTCACCACACATGCCTCTGCTGTTTCTACTCCAACCACTGTTACGTCTACCAGCGTTGCCCCTGCCCCTGCCCCTGCCCCTGCCCCTGCCCCTCCAGCTCCCAGAACTATCGCTCCAAATTTTGGTGGTATGCCCGAACACGTGTTTAATAATCTTCCGGAACACGTGCGGACCCACCTCCAGAATGCGACGGCTGCGATGAACAATATTCGAAACATCGGTCAAAATGTGACCCAAACATGGACGACCCACAGCAATGCCAACAGAGCTGCTCAAAACCCAACGCCAGTGGGTAACCCAGCTCCCGCTCAAGTATCAGTGCCAAACCCTGCTCCACCCCCTGTGCCAGCTTCTGCTCCGATGATTCAGACCCCTCCTAACCCACACGGAGACGCGGAAGGCGATCCGGATCTTGATTTAGACTAATTACCTAGCACGATATTACAGACATAATCGATTGACATCAAGCTATCGAGAGTTTTTTTTAGTGTAGGCGTTTTAAGGAAGCCAGTTGCAGCTGGTCGTAAATAATAGTGATTTTTACGGGCATACAGGGTCTTAGACATTGCTTGATACTGGGGGTAAGAACACGCTAATACCACACCAACAATTGGAAACAAAAACGCAAAACTAGATAATGATAGAGCTAAGCAATGGAAGGTAGAGTTTATGGTCAATCAAACCGAGTCCCAACTTAAACCGAGTCCCAGCTTAAACCGAGCCCCAGCTTAAAGCTGCACCAGTTCTAGACACCTGCAGTCAACCCACCTTATATACCTTTTCAACAGCGAGGCTACAAGAACCACTACAATTATTATTACCGATAGTTTAGTTTACAGAGATTTCCATCCCAAACCAATTAGCTAATTAGAACCACCACTGTCCATACAGGCCTTCCCAGCCTCACCACACCTTCGTTATATTCTCGCATCTACGACATTCCGAATTTGCTCTTGAACGCTCCCTTGACGATCGCGTCATTGGCTTCGTCGGCCTTCTGAGAGGCAAGCGCGCCGGCGGTGTTGAGGCGTTCGTTCACGGTATCAATGCCCGACTGCACACTGCGGACGAGACCGTTGAAGTTACGCGTGGCGGCGGCGGAGTAAGCGTTCTTGCGCTCGTAGTTTCCGACCTGCTCGTATTCCTGTGTCTCGCGTGGGGCATAGATCGCTGTCCCCGCCACGATCTTGTCGCCCAATTCGACCTCGAGAATGGTTCCTTTGCGGCGCTTCGGGCCGCCCATAGCCTCGTTCAACTGGTCGCGGGTGAGCGGCTTGCTGCCACGGGCGTACGACATCACGTTCATCGTCGGGCGCGGCGGCAAGTACATCTTGCGATTAAACAATACGTCAGGTGGGTACGTATGCTGGGTAATGCCTTTGCCCAAGATGCTCACCAAAGCCACGGAGGTGGCGCTCTTGCGGAGCACCACGTCGCCGCAAGGTAAAACTGTCACATTGTACGCAGCATCCGCAGCGCTCACGCCAAACGGTAAACTCAGGGTCTGGAGGTCCCTGAGCTCCGGCACCGACAACACGCGCACCGAGTCCACGAGAGTAAGTACGACGGCGGTGCGCGGTGTATAGGTCGGGTTCGCGGGGTCACGCGAGAGATCTACGTGCACCGTAACGGTCCCACACCCCAAGACCCGCACATCGAAGCTCCGCTGTGCAACTTTGGTCTTGAGGCCCCTCAACACCCGGACGGACCTGCTAGAGGCGACAATGATCATTGGGGGTACCACCACACCGGCGCCGAGCGTCTCGAAGTGCTTGAGCAACGCCGCGGCGGACTCGCCGGTTTCGGCGTTGAGTGTGGTGATGCTGTGGATGGCAGAGCCCTCGGACAGAGCCAGCCCGACAAATCTTGCCATGTACCGCCCCTCTCTGTCCGGCAAGATCTTGAACGCAAACAAGCCACCGGGGGCGGTGCCCACATAGCAGAGAATGGACGAATAAGTGTCGTCTTCGTGTTGCATTATGGAGAATTCTACCGCCGTGACGGCCCCTCGGTCACCATACTTGCCAATGTTTTTGTCGAAGATGACAGCTGGGCCTCGGTTGTCGATGATTATCAACTGGCCGGACTCGTATCCCACTGCAATCAAACCGATACCGCTGTGCTTTAGAGCGGTGACAACCCCGGGGCGCTGGAAGTAGTGTGTCGGTAAGAGCCCCTCCTTCACATTGGGGTACCGCTGCACCAAGTCACACATGCTGTGCTCATTAACCACAAGCTTGCGCATGGTGTCGACACTGCCCCAGGCCGCAGCGGCAGAGTAGCGCACATTGCGGCCGAACTTGAGCATCGCAACACCGCTGCCCATGGCGACAGACATTTCGGCAACGTCCGTTGCGTAGGAGACACGTGAAATGGCCACGTGGGTCGCAATACCCTGCAACACATCGCCCAAATTGGTCTCAAGCACAGCCGTCTCGTCGATCTCACCGTAGCTGGCGTCCCAAAGACGCACGCTGCCATTGGCGTGGCCCGTGATCATTACAGAGCGCATACCATAGAGGCGCACGGGGCGCTTGGTGGGGAGTCCACCCTGTAAGATCTGAGCAGAGCGCTGCGCTTTTAAGGCCGCAGATACCATGTTCAACCAGGCATTGCGCTCGATCTCGGTCGCAGCGATGCACGTGCTGGCAGGGAGGAGGTACGTCAAGTCGGGCGGGAGTTTGCACGCACGCGTGTCCGAGCCCCACGTGTCGCAGTCCATGAGCTGGAGTTGACCGTCATCCTGCAAGACAAGCAAGTGTGACGGGTTATGAGAGCCATTGAAGTGGGGCGACAGGCGTGGCAAGGGGAGGAAGTCAATGATCTGCGACGTCGTGTGGAGCGGGATCTGCTTGTGGGACGCGGGATGCGCGTAGTACTCGGCCATCTTTTCGTAGGACGTGATGGAGTACGTGGGTGCGGCACCAAAGTGCATTACGGTAAGCGAGTGGACGCCTCCGTCAAAGTTTATCTCGCCACCAAGCATCACTAACGACGTCACATCCGGATTCTCACCCGTGATCCAGCACACCTTGATGATGGGGGTCTGCTCCACTACGGGGCACGTGAGTCGGGTAGTTGCGCGGTCCACATAGGTGTCGTACAAAGTGCGCGCCTGGAGAAGCTGGCCCGAGACCGCGTCCCAGAAGACAAGGGAGTTGTCTTCGTAGAAGGACACGATGTTAAGGCCGTTGGGGTGCCATAAGGCGTTGGTGACGGTTGGGTTCCGCGTTCCGTCACGGTCGCCGCCGCCAGGGGCCCCCGCGGGGATCGCATATGCAAACGTCTGCTTGACTTCTTCGGTCGCAACGGAGTAGATATGGACCGCGTCCGTGGTTGCAACTAACAACGTGCCGAGCTCGCGCGGGTGCCACTTCAATGACACAATGCGGCCGCGCGGGTGCGTCAAGTTTGCAATCTTAAAAGGCGCCAAGCTAAACCGGTCCACGTCGAACGCCACCACTATCCCGGTCGCAAGTCCCAAGAGGAGCCAGTCCAACGAGGGGTCTGACTCCACGCTGATAATGGCGGCGGCCGCTTTATAGTTTGAAAGGAGTTTCTTTGACTCGAGCGAGTATACCAAGATCGTATCCTCTGAATCGATCGCCACGAGATACACCCCCTTTACAAATTTGAGCGTGATCACGGGGTTGGGGGTGGGCGTCTCGAGTGTGACCGCCACTTGATGTTGACCGTAGACATGGATCTGGCCTGCGGAGGTCGAAACTGCAAGCAAGCTTTGCACTGGGTCAAAGCCCATTCCGTCAATGAGCCCGTCGACTCCGTAGCGTGCGAGGTCGTCGAGCTGGAACGAGGCGGAGGAGAGCTTGTCGGAGAGATCCGTCTGTCTTACGGTTTTGATGGCATTGGTCACGGAGCTGACAGATTTAATCGCAGAGGGAACAGAGAGCTTATCTGTTTTCGTTTTGAATTTGTTGAACATGGCAAAGGAGTTGCTGGAGTTGAGTGATGAGGGCGTTTGGTAGGTGCTCGTTTTGCTTAGCGTTAAGTATAAATGAGCGCCGAAACGGACTGACCATTCACGTGACATGATTGAAGGCGGGTGACTAGAAACACTCTTTAAGTTCTGTAGCTATTTTAATACCATATGATTGCATTTTTTTCTATACTTTTTTGGAACTACAAAATATTAGTAACCAAGCACAATGATACCTTTTATAGTCTCATTATACGCACCATATTGGTAGGTCTTGCAGCTATCCCAGTATACTACGTCGTATGGTTCGGCATGCGTCTATACGGTCCTAGTTGTAACATGAAGGGAGAGATTGTGAATAGGGCAGTTACTTTTTCTGGATATCTGGTAAAGGGTCATGACGGTGAATATGATCTTGACTCCTGGTTAATATTTGCGCTGGATTAAATAACTGGGTTATGCTTGAGTAGGGCGCAATGCTTATGCTTGAGAGGTCTTGGTCCGGCTGACCAAACTTCTGAACTTGTCGCCAATCTCCTTGCTGAACGAATTTGACCGTTTCTCTTTCTTTGGAAATAGCGGTGGCTCAAACGATGGGGTAGGCGCCGGCAAGATTACCAGCGCGGCAAGTGCTGGCGGGGCTATTGGTTGCAGAGGCTGCGGCGGGGAGGGCAAGAACTGCTCATTAAACCTGAGAAACACAAGCTTATCCTCCTCTGTTTTGAACTTGAATGTGGCAAAATTGTGTTCCTTCAATTGGGCAACGTTCGGACGAGCACTGGGATCTTTGACTAACGTATACTGGAGGAACTCGCGGAAGGCATCGTAGAAATATACTACCCGGCGGTGCGCATCCAATACTAACTGTTTGGGCGGTTCGTTGTACCACTGGAGGTTGTCCTTTGTGATTGACTTGAATAACTGGTACTCGTTATCGCCATTGAAGGGCAAGGATTTGAAGAAAAGACAGTAGAGGGTGACCCCTAGGGCCCAGACGTCCATCCGCACCCCCGTTTTCTTAGGCGACTGGAGGAGTTTCGTGGGGGAAGCCTCCTCTCGTTGTTGTTTCATCGTCTGTTCATCAGTGAAGTCGTACTCATCGTTGACGAATTGGCATAGTTCGGGGGCAAAGAACGCGGGCGTGCCCACAGTTCGGAATATCTCTCTGAGCAAAGCCCTTTTGTCTGGTGCCGCACTATTTGATTCATTTTCATTTTTAAGGAGCAAGCTTACACCAAAATCGCCAATCTTCACGTTTCCATGTACATCTATGAGCAAATTCGACGGCTTAATGTCCCTGTGAATGATGTTGAGGCCGTGGAGATACTCAATTCCCTGGAGAAGATCCTTGGTGACCTTGTGTATTTTCAACACTTGTGTGATCAAGTCGTCTTTGGGGGCGATTGTGGCGCGGTGTGCTGGCGTCCATTTGAGCTCGCCGTTGCTGCAGTAGTCTAGCACCATGTATATCTTTGGCATTTTTGGATCATCCACAACCTGGAGCAAGTTGATGATGTTGGGATGCCGCACATGGTTCTGTCCACACTTCACCATGATTTCGATCTCGCGCCGAATCTTCTCAGGAGTTGTCGTGTCCACGCCTTTAGAATGTGAGTAGAAGAGCTGGCGCTTGTCAATACGGTTCACAGACTTGATGGCGACAAGTTTGGGGTTCGTCAGACTTCGTGGAGTGTCCAGCACCGGTGAGGCGGCAGAAATGTCTTCTCCAAGTAAAACCTTCCCGAACTGGCCTGTGCCCAACTTGCTAATAATCCTGTAATGGTTTAACACCCGGTACGTCCGCCCGTCAATGTCTTGCTCTTTGATCTCTGCATGCTCTACCAAGCTCATTTTGGGAAAGGGGGGTGCAAAAGGCTCTATAGCTATGGAGTAAGCTTCAAGAAATGATTTCAGCTTTTGAGCTATGTTTATAGACACGGCTGATGACTGCCATGGCTCAAGCCTTAGATGAACTTACACTTGAGATTGGACTAGGCACTACCCATGTGGAACAGCTTAATGTACATTTACGTCATCTCCGAAACGAAATTTATAATATTTCACGTTCAGGGATTAGACTAACTCCAGCAACTAAAATAATAGACCAATATTTATTCCTTTATATCTTTTTTTTACCTGCTACTGTAGTGTATCTTTATGGCTGATTTAGTGCGATAGATCGTGTAGCGGAGGCGGACTTGTCAGTGGCATGTGCTTGACTAAATAAACTCGGTGGAATGCCCGGCCGTTATAAAAATAAGCTAATTGTGGACTCCCACCATGGAATTTTACTTTTAAAAAAAGAAAAAAAAAACAATCGAGGATAGGGCAAGTCCTCTTAGCCCATTGTAAAGGTCCTGAGGACATTTTGTCCGCATGCCCGTAAATGAGGCTACGTGCATATGAATCTGAGACATCGAGATGAAAATATACGAATAGTATACCTTTACGGCTGGAATTCTTTAGAGCACCCCGCTTCAAGCCACCTGTGCTACACTCTCTTCCACTTACCCATTATAACTAACTGCAACAACCGCGTATTCATTAATCAATCTAGTGTACAATTATCCTAGGCTTTACAACTGAGACTTGACCCAGCCTTCCAAACCACCCTTGACAATAATCTCCTGCAAGTTCGTACCTAATTCACCAACCTTCTCTTGTAAAACAACGGCCCCGGTGTCATCCCTAACAATGACTTGGGCCTTGGTGACGTCCCATTTCAAGGTCCAGCCGGTTCTTCTGGTCAACTGAGCTGGCGCATCGGCGTACTTGGCTCTTAACATACCCACCAAGGTTGGAATCTCCAAGGTCAACAACGCGTTGTTGATGGAGTTTCTCGAGAAAATGTTACCGAAGGAGCCCGCCACCACGAGTTTCATGTCTCGCGCCAAGATGCACGTGGCAGCCTGTTCACGCGAGGAGCCGGTCCCGAAGTTGAACCCTGAGATGATAATGTCACCCGCCTTGGTCTTGCTGCCGAACTCAGAATCATAATTCTCCATACACACCTCGGCCATTTTTTCGCGCGAGACATCGTCTTGGTAGGTATACTTTCCCGGGTAGATCCCGTCTGTGTTGATGTTGTCAGCATCACACAAGATTAATTCTCCTTCGATGGAGGCCGGGAAGCCTTCCAAGACTTCAATAGAACCGCCTACGGCAGTAGCTCCGCCCTGAGGTTTTGCATTGTTGGTAACGGTTTTGCGGATTGCCGGAGCACCGCCCACTGGACCGCCGCCAATTTCCTCTGGGCCGGCAATCTTTCCTAACACGGCAGAGGCAGCAACAACCTCTGGAGAAGCCAAGTAGGCAAGGGCATCCTTGGAGCCCATACGACCCTTGAAGTTTCTGTTGGTGGCAGAAATACCCACCTCACCGTCTTTCAAAAGGCCGGCACCGAGTCCGATACACGGACCGCAGCCAGCTGGCAATGGGATGGCACCGGCGTCGAGGATGGTCTTCCAGGCTCCACTGGCCTCGGCATCTCTCTGGACATTGGCGGATGCAGCAGCGACGTAGAACTCCACACCTGGGGCAACCTTGTGACCCTTCAACACATCAGCAGCAGCCTTGATATCGGACAAACGCGAATTCGTACAGGAGACAAGGTAGGCCTTGTCAATCTTGATGTCCTTGCCGGATAACTGATTCAAGGAGGTGGAAACCTTGACGGAATTTGGCCCGGAGATGTACGGAGACAAGGAGTCCAAGTCGATGGTCAACTTCTTCGCGTAGTACGCGTCGCTATCGGCCGCAGACTTGTTGTCGATCAAGTTCTGGATAGTTTGGGCGTTGACTCGTGGATGCGGCTGTGGTAACTTGGAAATGCGCTCCTGGTACCACTGGATTAAGGTGGAGTCTACTGGGAACAAACCAGAGAGTGCACCCCACTCGGTAGTCATGTTGGCGATGGTTAATCTGTAGTCGACTGGAAGCTCGTGCAAGAACTCGCCGGTGAATTCAATCGCGTGATTCAAGACCTCATCGTTGTTGAAGACACCGCATAACGCGACAATGACGTCCTTACCAGTGACGCCCTTGGGCAACTTCCCCTTTAACTCGACCTGCGCCACGGGCGGAATCTGCCACCAGGTCTGACCCGTAGCCCAGATCGATGCGGCATCGGTACGTACAATTGGTGTCCCGAGCGAACCGATCCCACCGTAGGTGTTGGAGTGAGAATCGGAGGCAACGGAGAGGTTGAGCGGGAAAGCGTAGCCCTGTTCAATCATGATCTGGTGGCCAATACCGGTTCCTGCGGGGTAAAAGTCAATACCGTGCTCCTTGGCAAAATTCTTGATATTTTCATACTTTTCCAAGTTCTTGTCGGTCTTGTTTTGGACGTCGTGGTCCAAGGTGCACACGATCTGGCGGTTGTCCTTTACGGTCTTGGCGCCCAACCCCATGAACTTGAGTGCCACCGGCCATGAATTATCGTGGGACATGCAATGTGCCGGTCTGATAGAGACGTAGTCGCCGGAAAACACCTGCTTACCGGCGGGCAAGTCGACGGCGTAGCGCTGCACAATCTTCTCGGTCAAGTTTTGGCCCTGCAATGCGAACGAAGAGCTCGAAAAGAGCCTCTTGGATGTGAGCTGCCTGGCAGAGAACATGCGGGACATTATGGATAATAAATAACGGGTGGAGGAAAGGAAATGAGAAAGATGAGAGAAACAGTGGTAGATAAATAGTGAAAAGTCTCGCAGGATTTTCTGACCATCAAGCCGCAAATGATTGGTAGCGTGTAGAGCGCTTAAGCAAGTCCGGTACAGAGACCACGCAAGTGTGAATCACCAGAAGCATGCAGGATGCGGAGATCAGATAGACCTAGTAGTGGTCTCGGTGGGTACGCCGTCGGTTGAGGTGAATGCGTTCGTAGCCAAACCTCCGTGATTTGCGTTGTCAGGCTTGTATGATGTGGAGGTGGTACAACCACTGTTGAAGCTGGGCGGTGAATACTGGTGCAGCCTTATCAGTTCAGAGGGCGTCCGTACACCAGGTTTGCGGGGACAACCTACAGCGAGCGCTCGGCACTGGTTGCCGGAGCACATAGGGACAAGATAGGGTGACTCTTCAGGACTGAGCCACAGCCAAAAGGAGCGACCTAATAGCCTGTGAGGATCACGGGGGAGGGAAGTGTTAGTTCATAGCGGGTATCTAGGAGATTAAACAAAGAATTGAATAGTTGGTTGTTATTTATCATATCGGGGGATAATACTACTTGGGCGTCATGCGTAGATCACTGAGTAATAGCTTGTATTTAGACATTTGCGCTATTGTCTCGTTGAATCGCGTGCAAGAATGCTTCATTATCCTCCTTACGCCCTTTTGAGTGAATATGACCAACATAGATACAAATCGACCATCGAAATTAATATATAGCAGTTATTATAGGTTCAGCAGAGCTCTGCGATGGGTTAGGACAGTTTCTCCGGAAAATGGCCCTTGATAGTTTTTGCCAATAATTCGGTATTTTGGAGAAGTTCTCTCAAGCTTCAAACTTCTATTTTTTTTTGGATATCGCGTTGGTAGAACCGCTCAGTTATCAAAGTTTGTCTGATTTAAAATCATTCTCCCTGAAGTACGCAGAATGATCCTGATTGTAACCGGTAATTAAATTTTAGCCTAGTACTAACTGCAAACAGAATCCAAAAGCTGTCGTGAAAGGTGTCCATATTGGATCTTTATCAAGTTACGGTTTCTACAGACATTCTTACTGATACATTGATTAAAAGCGGTTCCGGTGCACTTCGCTAAGAAACTTATTTGGTGTAGCGTTTTTCGGCCTCCTTCCAGTTGATGACATTCCAGATGGCCTTGAAGTAGTCAACCTTGACGTTCTGGTACTGCAAGTAGTAGGCATGCTCCCAGGCGTCAATGGCAACCAATGGAACGTATGGGCCGGTGACAGTGTCCTGGTTGTATCTCTGTACAACCTCAATCGCGCCGTTCTCGGTGTTCTTGACGATGAAGGCCCAGCCAGAGCCCTGGATACCGGCCAATTTGGTGTTGGTCAATGAGATTAAGCTGTCGAGCGAGCCGTACTGTTGCTTGATGGCAAGACCTAAGGCGGAATCGGTAGCTGGCACCTCACCACCACCGTTCTTTGGAGCAGCCAAATTCTTCCAGAACAAGTTGTGGTTGAGGAATCCACCACCGTGGAATTTGATGTGCTGCTGCAACTCAATGGTCTTCTTGACGTCACCAGCGTGCTTTGCCTCGGCAAGCTGTTCAATCGCGGTGTTGTACCCGTTGACGTAGGTCTGGTGGTGCTTGGTGTAGTGCAATTCGTTGATCTGGCCGGAAATGTATGGCTCCAAGTCGCCGAAGTCAAAGTCCAAGTCTGGAAGGACAATCTTGGTCCTGACCATACTTGGGACGGTCTTGAAGCTGCGGATAGCAGTGTTACGGAAAGGGGCGGCGAGCATTGTGTGTGGTAATAGTGGAATTGGGTGAATTGAAAAGAAGGAGGGAGTTACTTATATAGGAAGCCACAGCAATTCCCGACGCGGAAAAGATTTTAGAGCCAGCGGCACACGTGATAGGCCCGGGGTCGGCAATGGGGGCACTCCAGGGGGCAGGCGCATATTAGTAATCGATGTGGGGATACATCATCGCACTGTCGATATTATATTGCCGCGATTGCTCCTTCGGATTTATTCAGCAATCGTCATTGTTGACGAAGGGAGATGCAATATGATTCTAAGGGTACCTAAGTTCTGTGGCATCTAAATTATATCTTCCACACTTGTAGTTAGCAAGGTCTGTGTGTTATGGTGCTTACACACAGTGCGTCACTGACGTCTTTCGGCTTGCCTAGACCCTTCCCCTTATCCAGAATGGCATAATACAGTTATCCTTATGGTTTATAATAATCTTCTCTTGATCGTATATCTGCCGCATGAAGCAGCCAACGAAAACCTTGGTCATTAACCTCTTCGATACATGGATTTGGCCAACACAATCAGATTGTCAACTTATAGGTAGCAACTGAAGGAAAGGGATAATGGAGTGGAATTTGTATAAACTTTCGGCATAACAGGGCAACTGAGTATTCTTGGTGTACAGTGGTGTCAGCGATTTAACTAGATTTATGAGGTATTTACAGGGCAAAGTGGAATTGCTGAACGCGAATTTGAGTACTTGGACAGGTCTAGCCGAGGGTTCCCTATAACACAAATCAACATCACCAGCCTGGTACACAGTACAACCTCTTACCAATTATTGATAGTTGGTAGTGTCCCAATTTTCTCTCCCCACCAACCGTACTTCTCATTACCATTTTAGTATATGGAAAATTACTCCCGCTGCTTATATTAAAAGCTTTTTCGGATATCTTTACGCATCGTCGTATCTTGTTGACGTCCTTGTGGCGGAGCCGCCACCCCAGCCACATGTGCGCACACGACTTTTCATTTTTCTAGATCTTTCCACGCTAGAATTACCCGCCAGCTTCAGCATTAGATAAAACCCTGCGAACCCACCCCTCAACTTCAGATCTCACAACTAGCACCTACACATACAATGGTTGTGAATAATCCAAACAACTGGCACTGGGTCGACAAGAACTGCATCGACTGGACACGCAGGTATTTTGACGAGAAGTTACTCCACGTGAGCGCGCAGGGCGCTGATTCCGTCGCCATCAGCAAAGTTTCCTCCGTTGAAGGTGACGTAGAGGTTTGCCAGCGCAAGGGGAAGGTTATTTCCCTATTCGACATTAAGTTGGTTTTGGGGCTTGCGGGAACGCTCAGCGATGGAACCCCAGTCGAAGGGTCCATCACTGTCCCGGAAATCGCCTACGACTCCGAAGAATCCGACTTGCAGTTCGGGGTTTCCGTTTACAACGAGTCTTCATCCAACGAACACATCAAGGACTTGGTCAAAAAGGAAATGGTTCCGCAGTTGAGAAAGTTGTTGATTGCGTTTGGCAGAGACTTGATCACAGCCCACGGCAGCGACATTCAGGCCCCAGAGAGCCAGGTCAAGTCGAAGCTCACGTTGCAGAACCAAAAGGCGACCCCTGTAGTTACACCAGCTAATTCTGCTGCAGTTCTGACTGCCACATCGGCCAAACCAGTGGCTGCATCGTCGTCAGTGCCAAAGTACAACACTTCCACCTTGCACTTTGAGCCGGTCTTTAACACCACCGCGGAACAGCTCTATATCACATTGTTAGAACCAAGCAGAGTCGCTGCATGGACACGTGCCCCGCCTAACATTCAACCGGTGGAGGGGTCCGATTACAACTTGTTTGGGGGCAATATCTCCGGGAAGGTGGTCAAGCTTGTGCAGAACGAGACCGTTAATATGACTTGGAGACTCAGCTCGTGGAAGCAAGACCACTACGCTGACTTGGAAATCGATTTACGCCAGGGTGAATCCGATACCAAGATGGTTGTCAAATTCCTGGGGATCCCAGTCGGGCAGGAAGACGCTGTTCAGAATAACTTCAACGAGTACTACATCAAGGCGATCAAGATCACTTTTGGCTTTGGTGCTGTGTTGTAAGGTGAACTAGGAGAGTATTTACAGATCCGTCAATATAGAAGTGTACAAGACGAGAAATCGTAACTGTAGAGGGACTATACGCTCACTTATGCGTGGCTAAGAGGGAATATTGGCGTATCACAGTTCGCATAAGCGTTTTATCCCGCTGTATCTTGTCTTCGGCAGGTGCATAGATCCCCGTCCTAGGTTAGTTACCAGGTTTTAGGCCCACTCTAGTTATCTGATCTCCGTCTCCAAGCACCTTTTTTGCCATTATTCATCTCAATATTGTAATGCTATCAATACTCCTAAAGGTTTTTGTACTGCTTCGATTCTCACCTGTAGACTCGGATATGCACCTTTGCTGCATCCAACGATGTAATTGCGCCTGACTTCCCTCTTCTAGATTCCAAACCGCGCTTAGCTACGACACTAATGGAAGTATCCAATCCTTTCAATATACCTCTACAGGTACGTCACCCCGCACGGTATTCTCACCTTGGATCTCTCTATGCGCCTACTGCCCACACGGCAGCTCTCTGCGGCTCGGTCCGAGTCACAGCTTCTAGCCTGCATGGTGAGCGATTTTCAAACCTTTTGCTTCTCCAGATTTTGCCTGCCTCCTTGCCTGTATGTTTCAGAAACGGTCACTTTTCCAATAGAGTCAAAATAGCCTCCTTTAAGGATCATTAAACGGTCTCTATATCGACTTATCTTCATTTATACCAGCTTTTATCATGTCAGCCATCGAAGCCGCGCAGAAGTTTGTTAACTTTGTCAACGTCTCGCCAACGCCGTACCACGCGGTCAACAACATCAAGCTCGCGCTCCTCCACGACGGATTCACGGAGCTTTCGGAACGCACCGGCTGGAACGCTGCGTTGAAGCCGGGTCAGAAATACTTTGTCACGCGTAACAATTCGTCCATCATTGCGTTCACTGTCGGGGGTGAATACGTCGCCGGGAACGGGATCGCGGTTGTGGGTGCGCACACCGACTCGCCGACCTTGCGTTTGAAGCCAGTTTCCAAGAAATCTAGCGAGGGTTTCATCCAGGTGGGTGTAGAATGTTACGGTGGTGGGTTGTGGCACACCTGGTTCGACAGAGATTTGTCTGTCGCTGGGCGGGTCTTTATCAGCGACAAACAGGGCAACTACGTGGGCAAGTTGGTGAAGATAGACAAACCGATCTTGCGTATTCCTACGTTAGCCATCCACTTGAGCAAGGAGAGAGAAAAGTTCGAGTTCAACAAGGAGGCCAAATTGGTGCCAATTGCCGGCCAGCAGCACATCAAGGCCGAACAGAATGACCACGAGCACTCCTCTTGCGGTGCCAAACCAACGGAGGAACAGTTTTCGTCGATTAAGGCCACGGTAGAGAGACACAACGAAGGGCTTCTTGAGCTCCTTGCGACAGAACTCGATGTGGCGGTGTCCCAGATCGAGGACTTTGAGCTTGTGTTGTACGACCACCAAAAGTCAACCCTCGGGGGTCTCCACGACGAGTTCATCTTCTCCCCACGTTTGGACAACTTGACTTCCTGCTTCTGTGCTACCGAGGGCCTTCTCGCGTCCACCAAGACCTTGGACACCGATGCGGGCATTTCGATGATCGCCTTGTTCGACCACGAGGAAATTGGGTCCTCTTCTGCCCAGGGCGCCGACGGGACCTTCCTTCCAGACGTGCTCGCGCGCTTGACCGCGTTTGACTTTGCCACCGGTGCCGCGGGGAACTTCAAGGAACAGGCGTTGTCCAAGTCGTTCCTCCTCTCGTCCGACCAGGCCCACGGTGTGCACCCGAACTATGCGGACATCCACGAAGCTCAGAACAAGCCGCAGTTGAACCGTGGACCAGTTATTAAGATCAACGCCAACCAGCGCTATGCCACCAACTCCGCCGGGATTGTGCTTATCAAGCAAATGGCCACCGCCGCGGAGGTGCCATTGCAGTTGTTTGTGGTACGCAACGACTCGCCGTGCGGATCCACCATCGGGCCAATTTTGGCGAGCAAATTGGGTATGACCACGTTGGATTTGGGGAACCCGCAATTGTCGATGCACTCCATTAGAGAGACCGGCGGAACGTTTGACGTGGAGAGATTGACCAAGTTGTTTGGGGCGTACTTCGGAATGTATGCGGAGTTGGAACCGAAGGTGTTGGTTGATGGGGTGTAATATTCACCGGTTACAGCCTGTGGAGTTTTATCAGTAGAGTATTTTAACTGTCTATGAGTTCTGTCCTGTTGATGTAAGACTAAGGGGCCTATCTCCCCTGGCGACCGGGTCTGTCCATGCGTTGGGTCAGTATTGGTAGACAGAGAGCAAACAATCTCTGATTATTTACTGAGAGTTTGCCTGTCAAGTTCTTTAATGGTTTTCTGTTGTTTTGTTTGTGTATACGTGTTGTGGGTTCGCGCTATGAGTTAACGTTGTTCACAGCTTAGAGGATATGCATGTGCATATGCAGGGCTAGAAGTTAAATATAATATGAAAACAAGCCAAGTCTCTCAAGATATTGGAATAACTAGAATGTGGAGGAAATTTGGAAAAAAAAAGAGCAAACAAGCTGAACGGAGATCTGTGTTATTCTAATAGGAATGTTAGGAGGAGCATCAGCCAAACGTGGTGCTTATTCTGTAGCAGCAAAATAAGGCTTGCCACAGAAGAACATGATAGGGTCCGGAAAGATACATGGTGATAGCCAACTTCTTTCTAAACATGTCGAGGAAAAGTGATTACGTATATACGCCAAGCCTGTCCTATCACAGGACTAACACATACAGCTCCCCCATACCCATCAACCTATCCTGCATGCACCTTCCCTATCCGGAAAAAGACATCAAATCACTTATAGCTCAATTCATCAAAACACCATCTCACACTTTTCTCACATACGTACAATGGCACGCCCGCGCAGAAACCGCACAGCTGTGAACTATTCTCTGGCAGGTGCCACGGATGACTATTCTTCCGACGAGTTTGACCCCACGAATCACGACGACGACGATGATGATGAGATGGACGACGAGATTCCTGACGAACTTGAGCCCGACGACGAGCAGGATGAGGAGGAAGAGGAGATTAGGCCCAGAATAAAACAGCGCGCACGGCCCAAGCCCATTGGAAAGGTGAGCTTGGTGTCGTACATCGCGCCCGATACGACGGCACTCGCGGCGCGCAAGGTCACCAAGACGGTGGCCGCGAAGCCGCGCGCAAAGACACAGGAGACGATCCGTAACCGCATGCTCGTATCTTTTGGCAGCAACCGTGAGAAATTGGCGCATGTGACGGAGTTGCGTGTGGACTGGGAACGCATCATGTTTGGCGTGGACGACTCGTTATGCGCCGCGCCCGCGCCGTGGGGCGCCGCGGAGTTCCAAGATGCTACACTTGAACCGATCACTGCCGAGGAGGTGCGTGCACGCATATCATTAAAGGGCGAAATACAAGTAGGGGTTAATCTGGGTGCGCCGGTGGGAATAACTACCGAGGCCGCGGTTCCGTTCCCGCAAGAGGTGGCGGACCAGGAGCGGGAGGGGGTGTTTGTGTATGCGGGGGGAATGGTGACGGAGTTAAGTTGGAGGGAGACTATAAGCGACACACATGCAAATAGCGTCAATGGCGTGAGCTCTACAAGCCCTGCTTACCTTGCTGTCGCGGTCACCGACATCACCTCCCCTGTTGATCCCCGTCTTGCCAGCAACCACGCTCACTCCTACACATCCGCGCTCCGGATTTACCGCCATGATAGCACCGGAATTGTGCTCCACCTGTCATACCTACTCGAATACGGTGCGGTATGGAACCTCCGATGGGTACGCACCGTGCGCGCGGGCCTCGGTGTGCTCGCGTTCGCCTGTAAAGACGGGTGTGTGCGATTCCTCAAGCTTCCCGACACTCCCGGTCACTTCCACGTCAGATCCCCCTCTCTTGAAATCTCCCTTCCCGACCAGCTTCTCACCAGCTTCGACTTGTTTACAGACAAACTTATTGCAGGTACGAACCGCGGGTACCTATGTGAGTTTCCATTCACCGGAACTGCATCATCCTTCGCATACCCCCTCCATACAGAGCTCGTGCACAGCGTGACGTGCGCGACGAACGCGTACGCGAACGAGCTTGTACTCTCGCTGGCGATGGACTTGAACACGTCGCTCGTGGACTTGCGCGATATCCGCGCCAGTAACGTGGTGATGCGGATGAAGCTCCTTCAGGCTTCCGCTGCGTACGTGCCGCAGCTCCACGCATTTGTAATCACCGAGGGTGCGTACCCTGTACGTGTATTCTCTGAGCGGATCTCAGTACCCGGCTCGGTGCTCATGAAGCATGACAGCTCCGCATCGTGCGTCGCGGCGTCTGCACGCCATCCCATGACGCTCTCAGGCGGTGCGGATGGCTGTGTGAAGATCACCAATGTGTTGCGCAAGCTTATGAACAAGAAAAAGTCCCCGGCGGACTTGTACCAGGTGTTGAACTTGTGGCGCGTTGAGTACGCCGCCGCGCGTGACGTGTTCCGTGTGGACCTGGCGTTCACGACCGAGACGGTCAAGAACGGCGAGGTTGCAACCTCCGCACCCGTCTACCCGCACGCCGTCAATGTGTCGAGTATCTCCTGGAACCAAAGCCCAGGAGCTGCTGCGTGGTACGCTGTCGCCTTCAGCTCCGGGTTGATCATCGTCGAGCGCTTGACCAGAAAGTAGGTAGTAATCAGAGGCTGCCTACATAGTTATGTTAGTGTTGATTGATCAAACGCAAATACGACAAGAAAAATAGGCTACAAGGAAACTACTCAGATAAAGGGAAAGGTGATGTTAAAGAAACAGGAGGGTTGGGTATTTAAATATTGGTGTAAATTTGTTTCATGGTGTATTTCTTTGATCGATCAGCCGATATCGTACAAAATGTATCGTACATCCACCTTTCATATGGTCCTTTAGGATAATGAGGTTTTAATTCTAGTATGTTTACAGTTATAGCTTTACCCACTTGTATACGTGGTCGGATTATATGGGTTCGGTAAAATTTATTACGAAGAGAAGGAGAGGAGCTAGCAGAATGGGGTCTGGGTAAAAATCACCCTAGGTCCATCTTCTCTATGCCATTCACCGTACCTCATTTCTGAAAACCCCCGATTCGGCCCGTGATTCATGTTAATATATCTAGTCCGACCCGATATAAGGTGATTTTTATTGAACTGGTGCGAGTCTTGGATTGCTAGTTGGGGGAGATTCATAAAAAAATCAGAACCCGACGCGGGGGTCGAACCCGCAACCTTGTGATCGCGTACTGCTAAGAGTCACACGCTCTACCGATTGAGCTAGCCAGGCGCTTGATAATTTACACTGGCATTCCGTCTGGACCTGCCTGACCTGTCGTTCTGACCAATATTTTATGACTGTTTCTGTAGTTTACCAGTAACTATCAACTGAGAGAGACTCTAATGGTTCACCTGGAGTTTCCAAAATAAAGGCCATTTTCTAACTAGAACAAAACCCGTATACGATGGTAATCTACGCTTATATATATTTATATAAATCTCTTTAGAGTTCAAAAATCGATAGGGCAGGCGAGATATTATCCAAAAATATTGGAGAACCAAGGCGTAATTATATTTCTATTCTGGCATGCTCTATACGAACATTATATCTTTGTAGAGATACATAGAAGAGAGACTGCTCCCTAGCTTATGCGTACATCAATTAGTAGATAAACAATGGGCATGAACATATGCCCGTTTTATGTTTTCCAAAATACGTGGATACCTAAGCAGTCGATGGTCTTTTAATTTACCAACTAGTCAAAAGTGAATATACATTTTAATACTCAATCTATATCACGTATACCATCTGATCGAGGATCTACGGTGTATGGCACGGCAGGACATGGACCGATGATGCACATGCATCTTGTCAGTAGACCAAGGGCTTGTAACATAATCAAACGTAGATAAATGGCTTCTTGGTTCGCGCAGGAGAAAATACAAGGTGCTAATATGTTTTTTCTCTTTAGTATCATTAACTAAAGTTCTCCTAGTTTCTCATATTTTCATGTCCAATTTCAATCGTTATCCAAGGGATATGTCTAAATCCAGACGCGTCATGTTCAGTTTAGTCTCGCAGCCGACCGATCATCCTGCACCTCCAAAAACGTACATCAATTTTTTATATCTCGTGTTTCACATATGCACAAAAGCTTTTACCACAAACAGTAGCTACATCTTATGTTAACGCTATCCAGGCTATTGGTAGTTCTTCTCGCTTCTATCTACGTGGCGAATGCCTTGCACTTTTACTTGAACACGGGAGAGTCGAAGTGTTTCTTCGAGGACTTGCCTTACGGCACTTTCGTTGTTGGTATGTTTTGGCAAAGATAGGAATCACCTTCTGAATCTCGCTAACCTTTTCCAGGGAAACTAAACGCCGAGGAGGTGGACCCAACAACGGTCGAATATTCCGCACCATCCTACCTCAAAATCGCCGTAACTGTGGATGTACGTACTTTCGTCTTTTAATATCGCCCTTACTAACCTATAGGAAACGTTCGACAGCCACCGCGTAGTAGCCCAGAAGATCACCCCCAACGGGGAGTTTACATTCACCGTGCTCGATGACGGTGAGCACAAGTTCTGTGTCACACCGGTCCACGATAAGGGCCACGGGAAAAAGGCCAAAACCCGAATCTTCTTCGACATGGCCTTTGATTCCACACATACTATCACCGGCAGCAAAGGTAAGACGGACCACCACTGGTTGACGGATCGTGTGAACGAGATGAACACCAAGTTAGAGCTGATACAGATGGAGCAGTTCAGCATCCGTGGGAAGGAAGCACAGTTCCGTAATACATCCGAGGCCGTCAACGCAAAGATCTTGCGCTATACGGTACTCCAGGTGCTCGTGTTGATGGCCACCGCAGGCTGGCAGTTACGCCATCTCAGGCGTTTCTTCCAGAAGCAAAAGGTGGTGTAGGAGGCTGTGTGTTTATTGCATATATTTCATGTATAAAACCAGTATAAATTAAGCATTGATATTATTGGAATGTAAAATACTTTTCCAACAGTCACAGCTAAAAACCCTCTTACAGCCAGGTTTTTAATCTATATAATAATAGCTTACCGCTATCGTTTAAGCATGCTTCGGTATTGTTAGCACGTCAACCTCGGGATCTGCGCCGCTTGAGCCGTGTATGCACATCTCAATCATAAAATTTTTATCTTCATAACCGCTTCTTCTAAGAAACCTTATACCCAACGATACAATCAGTATGGTGGATACAATCAGTATGGTGGACACAGTATCATACACTGAACAAATTAAAGCACTCAAGCGCGAAAATGAACAGTTGAAGCAGCAGTTGAATGCGCGAGTCGCTAAAGACGAGACACAAGTGGACGCCTTCTTCACGCTAGAGGAGTACCTGCGCTATGGACGACAGATGACCGTGCGCGAGCTCGGAATTTCCGGTCAGAGAAAACTTAAGACCGCTAGAGTGCTTGTAATTGGCGCTGGGGGCCTCGGGTGTCCTGCCTTGCTCTATCTCGCGGGCGCGGGCGTGGGGAAGCTCGGAATCGTGGACAACGACGTGGTTGACACTTCAAACCTCCATAGACAGGTGCTTCACTCGACTGAGAGAGTCGGACAGTTGAAGTGCGAATCTGCCAAGACGTATTTGCAGAAGCTAAACCCGTTTGTGGAGATCGAAACGTATCCTGTTCGCTTGCTCAACTCCAATTCCTTTGCCATCTTCCGGAATTACGAAGTGATTCTTGACTGCACAGACACTCCTATCACCCGCTACTTGATTTCCGATACAGCCACGCTATGTGGCCTTCCGGTTGTCTCCGGTTCAGGGCTCCGCACGGAGGGCCAATTATCCATCTTAAACTTTAACAACACAGGCCCGTGCTACCGCTGCTTCTACCCCCGTCCCCCTCCTCCGAATGCTGTCACGTCTTGCAGCGATGGTGGGGTTCTAGGCCCGGCAATTGGACTAGTCGGGGTGATGATGGCCCTCGAGACACTCAAGCTTGTCAGCGGAGCGTACACCCAGGATAACTTCAAGCCTTTCCTCACGGTATACGCGGGATATCCCACCCAGTCGCTCAGAACTTTCAATATGAGGGGTAGAAAGGCTGACTGTAAGGCTTGCAGCCTGCAGGCCTCCATCACCGAGAAGATGATCACGTCGGGCGAGATTAACTACACAGAGTTCTGTGGAAGGGTAAACTACAACGTGCTACAACCAGAGGAACGAGTGTCTGTAGAGGAGTTAGCGGAAGCGCTCAAGTCAGAAGTGACCTTGCTCGATGTGAGAGCCCCTGAGCAATTTGAAATATGCTCCTTGCCAAAGGCTACGCACATTTCTTTGGATGCCTTGGAGAAGATGTCCGTAGAAGAGTTGGTGCAACTCAAAGAACCGATCTATGTGGTGTGTCGTTTTGGTAATGATTCACAGTTGGCCACCAGACTTTTGAAGGAGAGGGCCGGCTTAAAGCGGGTATGGGATGTTAAGGGCGGTGTCTCCCGGTGGGCGGACGTTGTTGATCTGAAGTTTCCAAAGTACTAGAGACTCGCGAGTGAAAAATCCGATGCCATACAAAGTTGTCAGGGTATTAAAGTTTGGAGAAGATTACCTTTTGAAGTATTACACAGCAATGGGGAGACTTCAAATCTTGCGTGTGACTGGAGGTCTAAAGATTCGTCCTGGGTTGGAGGGTAGGCCATATGAGATATTCCAATTCTGATTAATTAATCTAGATCTTGAGAAGATAGCGTCTTGTTTATAAGCCTATTAATATAATGCTGCCCTCACACCCAGATGAATCTTTATCCATGCCATTACATATACTTAGTTTTGTCACATCGATAAATTAGAAATATACGAATTAGTATGTAAACTAAAGCCAAGCAATCTCTACCAGATATACGTGAATCAACATCGTGGCTGGTCAACATGTCTAGGACCGTCAACTCTAAGAAATAACAGTCACAAGGCTCGATAACATTCTGTCAATTATTCAATCAGCCAACAGGACTATTAACTAATGGTATAACATTTGGACAAAATATTGTACCCCGTCCTGACGAGTTGCAGACATTTAAGTAACACAAAAGATGGGCTGCTTGTCACCGGTATTTGGGTAGCTTATTACCGTTTTCAGGAAAGGTCCAACTTAAATGGACCCTCCACTGGAGTTGTGCTGTCCCACTAACCCTGTCATTTCCAAAAACGCTCGTTCTTCGCCCAAGTTCTTAATATTGATCTTTTGTCTCGCTTTTGCCTCCTTTTCCTCCCACTCCCATTGCTTGGCTTGCTCTTCCAACTCCTTCTTCCCCCCACAGCCCCAGACCTCCAAGTCGGTGATGGCAAAGCGGTCTTCCCATTCGGCTGGCTCGCCCCCGCTGTTGCCCAATGCTTTCCCTGGGTGGAAGGACCCGCCGAGACCCGCATGACGGAAGACCCCAAACTCCAAGCTTGGGTCTAAGGTGAGAGAAACGTTGCCAGGGGTATACTTTATAGTGTTATTTTTGACAACAGGCACGGGAGATCCAAACCCGATCCCACCGCCCAAAGTGCTAAAGTACACGTAGTTGGTGCCCACCAGCGAGGCTTCGTATAAGTCTTGCTTCGTGGAAAGTTGGAAAATAAGCGTAGAGCTGTCGCCAAAACAGTTTTTGTTCGACATTTTCCATGGCTGTTGCACTACCACACCAAAAATCAATCTGTCAGAGTCACCCTGCCATGGTAGGAGAGGCTTGTTCAAACGTGAGAGTGTCTCTTCGAAGGCCATATACCGCTTATTGGTGCTCGTGGCTGGGTTGATGCGTTTCCCCGCCACTATGAGAATGGAGGGTGCGTTCCATTTGAATACCTTGGATTCGAAGGACCGCATGGAAAAGCCTGAATCAGCAGCTACATACAACTTGCGCATCCGCGAGTAGACAAGATCTGGAGGGAGAAACGTGGCAAGTTGCGCGAGAGTGTGGGGGTTAATCAACTTGGTTTCCTCAGAAGTTTTCGCATCCATCGTCACGGTATCGACGTACAACAAGTGCTCAAATAACGCCTTCAAGGGATGAAACAAATTTGGCATCGAGTTTGTCATGGCATTGGCAAACCCTTCATAGGAAACTCCCTTGGTGGTGAAATTGGCGGGGGTGATGCTGGCATCCATGGTGAAGAGAAGTCTCATTGCGTGGGCTTCAAACAGCTTCCAGTTGCTGAAATTTGTGTGGTAGGCCTCAAAAGACTCGTGCGGGGCCACACGGGACAAAGTGAGGCACAATGTGATCAACTTGAGCAAATATGATGCTGGGATCTGCCAGGATTCCATGTCGATCGAGTCGAAAGATTCAACCACTGGAAGCGAGGACCAACTGAGCTTTCCCTCCACTGAAACCACCTTGTCTTCCAGGGTTGGATGCGGCTCCATGTTGAAGTAGCTGAGGGAGATGAAGAGCAACCGGGTGATGTCGTACTGTTTACTGATGACTTTTTGGTAGCGGTTGCTGTAGAAAAGAATTGCCTTGAAGAGGGTTGTAAGGGTGAGCCCTTCCGCAGTCATGGAGTCTCGTAAGAACGGAAACGAACCCATAACGCGAGCTGACTCGTACAATAGCTTCGTTGCCTCTTCCGGAACTGAGGTTGGAAGACCTAAAAGGGATAAACTAGGTGAATTAGTACGTTGCAAGGAGAAGGTTGCCCCGGGATGATACCCAGAGAGGTGGCTGCTAGAAGGCGTTTAGATCGTAGGCAAGAAGGTTTCAATATAGGATATATGAAACTGCCGGTCTGGGGGAAATTAACCTGATGCAGAAGAAATCATTGATGGCAGGGTGGCGTGAACGACTTCCCTAGTCGGACGGTTTTAATTCCCCAACAAACCATGCATGTTGATGCTGCAAAGAAACCTGTCTCTCTTCGTATTTGTTTTGTGATCTAGCGTCATAACAGGATACCTATCTGTAGTGGTACCCGTTTTTGGCTCATCGAGTGATGTCAAACCCCACAGGACAAGGGCGGTAAACCATGATATACATACAATTCATTCTCGGAAATCCGAGAGTTAGCGTCCAAATCGGCCGTTGTGAGTTTCTCCTGTCTTGTGTTAGTATTCAGTTTCGACGCTGTGTTTTTTTACTTACTTTGATGGAGTATAGCTCCAAGTCCGAGAACTGCCTTGAGGCTGAAGCGTCGAACATCGCTAAAACATTCTCCTTGGTGAACTTGGCAGATGTTGGTTGACTTATAGCGCCCCCCATTGTACGATGCGAGAATTTAGACGGTCAAAATAGCATTTATACATCCCGGCAAGATCATATTAAATGACTGAGCAACTAGACGCTCATCTCTGCCTTATCGCGAGTAGCCAGCGCACGACAGGGAGCATGAGCCGCACCATCTCCACCTTGGGTATGTGCAATAAATGGTAACAAGGCGGCAGTCCGTAATGCCAAACTACCGAAAGTTATGCCATTACTTTTCTTCAAGGGGCTATTGCTGTACCAATATACATAAGACCGTTAAATACTGACCTCCCTCGGGCTCCGGCGCACGGCAATGGCAGTAACGTTGAGCCGCACGGGTCTATTCTTTCTCCAAGTGATATTGTCACCCTATTTTCCATAACACTCAGCTAAAACGATTGTCGATTTTCTCCTATAATCTCCTCTCATAGCCAGTAAAATTAGAATGAAAATAAATACTCATCAGATCATGATAAAATCATCGTATCTCGCACTCTAATACCCTTCCGAGCTCTGAGGCTCATTGCGCTTGTTCATACACGACCGATGAGCTGGAGCCGCACCGCATTTTTTTTTTTGCTGAAAAATTTAAGTCTACAACTTTTAGTCTTCATTTCTCAGCACCATTCACACACAATATGGCCAAGGGTAACAAGGGCAAAGCCCCACACGACGAACCAAGACAAGCGATAACTACTGATGCCAGATTTGCCGGTGTGCATAGTGACCCGCGCTTCAAGTTGGCTCAGAAGAAGCACTTGAAGGTGAAGGTTGATGACCGTTTCACGAAGGAGGAGATGGATGGGTTCAAGGAGAAATCAAAGATCGACAGATACGGGAGAACTATTAACGCGGCGGATAATGACAAAAAAAGTGCGTTTGACAAGTACTATGAGGAAGCTGGGAAGCCTGACGAGTCCGAGTCTAAGTCAGACGAATCAGACGAATCAGATGCTGAATCAAGCGACGAATCCGGACCTGCTGAGAAGTTTGCTGAGGTTGAAAGTGAATCTGAAAGCGAGGCTGAGGAGGGTACTGTTGACAGAGCCAGAGGAACGGCTTTGTCGTCTGATGACGACTCCGACTCCTCCGACGCCTCTGACTCAGAAGCTGATTACGAATCCGAAATTGAGATCGAAGACAGCAAACCAGAAACCGGTGACCCCTCTACAACCTTCGCTGTGGTTAACATGGACTGGGACAATATCCGTTCTGTCGACCTCATGGCCACCTTTTCGTCGTTTGTACCACCCGGAGGAGTGATTGAGGCTGTCAGCATCTACCCGTCGCAGTACGGGAAGGAAAAGATGCAGAAAGAAGACACTGAAGGCCCGGCCAGAGACATGTTCAAGAGCAAGAAGAAAGTAGAGTCTGACTCGGACTCGGACTCGGATGATGACATGGAACAGGCGGCCAAGACGCTCTACGAAGAGGATGCTGGTGAGGACTACAACCACAAAAGCTTGCGTCGCTACCAGTTACAGCGCTTAAGGTACTATTACGCTGTGGTGAAGTGTAACAACGTGGCAACGGCCCAGAACATCTACGACAACGTGGATGGGACTGAGTATGAGTCGACGGCCAACATATTCGACTTGCGCTACGTGCCAGAGGGCATGGAGTTTGATGATGAAGCCCGCGATTCTTGTTCCAAAATTCCTGCTAATTACAAGCCAAATGACTTTATCACGGATGCATTGCAGCACTCCAAGGTTAAGTTGACCTGGGACGAGACCCCGGCAGAAAGAGTCAAGATGGCGAACAGGGCGTTCTCCCAGCGTGAGATTGACGAGATGGACTTCAAGGCGTACCTCGCAAGTGATTCTGAGGAATCGGAAGCCGAAGATGATATGAAGACAAAGTACCAAAACTTGTTGACCAAGTCTACTCAGATTGGCGACAAGAACATCTTTGACAAGGAAGATGATGCAGGTGAGGTTGATATGGAGATCACATTTACTCCAGGCCTTGATGAAAACGCCGAGACAAAGGAGGAAGTTGAAGAATCGACAATTGACGCTTACAGACGTAAAGAGAAGGAGCGCAGAAAGCGCAGATTGGAGAACATGAAGACACAAAAGGCTGAGGAAGTGGCCGAAAAGAAAACGGAAAAGAATGGGAAGAAGGGCAAGAAGGGCAAGAAGGCCCCAGAGGACGATGCTGCCGAGGCTAAGCGCGTTGCTGCGCTCGAATTATTGATGATGGGCGAGGACGAGGAAAAGACGGCGGAGCACTTCAGCATGAAGGAGATCGAAAAGGCAGAGAAGTTGAAGGGCAAGAAGGGCAAGAAGAATAAGGCCAAATTGGCAGCGTTGGAGTCTGTCCAGGATAACTTTAAGCCGGAGTTGAATGATCCGCGGTTTTCCGAGATCTTTGAAGGCCAAGACTTTGCGATTGATACCACAAAGCCAACGTTCAAAAAGACCGAAACCATGGGCAAGATCATGGAGGAGCGTTCCAAGCGTACTAAGGGTGGTAAATCAGCGAAGGTCGAGAAGCGTAAGGCGGAGGACGATGGTGAGTTGGATTCGTTGGTTGATAAAATCAAGCGCAAGAGCAGAAAATAAGTCAAAGATATGTATTATAGATGTGATTCACGCGAGAAGTGTAGGTCATGGACCGGGTAAAGGTTTAGTGGTTATCCAGAGGGGCTCATCTAGATATTTCACAGAAACAACCAAAAATTCAAAAGTTCTAAGCAAAAAAAAACTCCATATCGACCCTAAATGAACCACCAGTCTTAATAGCGAAAGACCAGGAAATGTAAGTAATGCCATATCTTCCTGTGACGACATTCTACAATAATTAATCATCATATAAATTCTATTTTCTCGATGCAGACTTGTTCACAAGTTTCTTCTTCAAATGCTTCTTCATCTTGGTCTTGCGCTTCTCCTGCTGGGCATCCTTCGTGGCCTTCTTTCTCTCCTTCTTGGCACCCTTGTCTTCGTTCTTTTTGCCCTTGTTCGAGGGCTCCCTTTCGACCCATGCCTTCCTTGGACTGGTATTTTCTTCATCACTTTCGTCGAAATCATCTTCCTCACTATCGTCTTCCGTCTCCTCTTTAAGCTCCCCATAGATAATCCCATCGGCATCGTCCACCAAACTCTTGAAGGTCCCCAATTTTCCCTCTGACATGTGGCCGAAATCTCTCTCCTCTAAGTGGTTCAACGAGCGTACCAAATGTACAGAACGGAACACCTCGTCGTCTTCATCCACAGCGGTACTGTCGCCCTTACGCGGCATCTGCTTGATATACTTCCTCATAGCGTCCTCATCCTCGTCGTTCACGTCCTGCAAGTGCTCCGTGATAAAGGAAAAAATGACCCTTTCTGAGAAAACGGCAGCGCCTCTCTGTCTGCCAAAGAAATCGTTGATGTTCTTAATGTCCATACGCAAGAAATCGAGCGACATCGGGTGTTCTGGTTCGACCGACTGTGAAACGTCGATGATGTAGAGCTGGCCCTCGTGCATCAAGGAGTTATACTCGGACAAGTCAGCGTGCACGAGACGGCACTTCTGGAACATACGGCGCATGTATATGAGCATGGTTTGGTAGATGGTCTCGATTTCATCTTCATTGGCAAACTCGTAGTCTCTTAACTTTGGGGATGCCTCCCCGTCGCCTCGTGTGAGGAATTCCATCACGAGCACGTGTGATCTCAAGTCGATGGGCTCGGGCACGGGGATTCCGTGGCTATGCAACCGCTTCAAGTTCCTGAACTCTTTCTCGGCCCAGATCTTGATCATTTTTCTCGGATTACTTTGGTTTCTGGAGTTTCTGAACCGGTATTCGCCGTCAACATAGCGCTCACGGTCCTTAAAGACCAAAATAGACGTCTTGTAGATCTTCACCGCGTATTCCTTCTCGCTTTCCGTGTTGACCCCGTGGTATACGTTCGCCTCTTTTCCCGTGGACAAGCACCCGTTGATGTGCGACAATACACCCTTGCGGATCAACTTTACCAAGAAATTGAGCGTGCGGGGATCCAAAACGTTCTCCACCGTCGCACGGTCCGACTTGTCTTTCTTCTTCTTCTCCTGCTTTACGAGCATCTCGCCCGTCTTGATGCGATCTCCGTACTTTGCGAGAATTTGCGCCTTGTCCTGTGGTGATTTAGACAGTGCCGCCGAAAGAGTCTTGCCTGAGCCACTGACACCGCCAGTCTGCCCCTGTGCTGCCTGCGAGTTGGTCGGACGGTTCGTAGCATAGTCACCGTCGTCGAGGTCGGAAAGCGAGGAGTAGTCCGAGTCGTCAGAAAACTCATCTGCAAACGTCAACTCTTCCATGTGTTGGGTAATCTCAGACATGATAGATATAGTTGGATGAAAGGGATAACTGGAGAAGAGTATCTGGATATATGGAGGTGAAAAAAAAATAATAAAAAATATCCCTCCTGCAGGGAATCTCATCGGTCACGTGTAAACCTGAACAGATGGGGCACCCTATGTACCATTTTGCTTTGACATAATATATTCCTTTGAATCTTTGGCAGTGGTAATATTATAAATGTCAAAATTGTCTTTTTATGGATAAAATCAAAGGAATGACATGGGCGGTATTAGCGGTAAGGTTACATTGGGTTGCAAACAATCGAAGGTATTGCTGTGTTACATATCACGACTGGTAAGAAACTCCTGTCTTTCTGTAGTTGTTATTGCTCTTCAGTGAATTTGGCAACATTGTCACTTTATGACTGTTTTCATCTTACTCTATGTATGCTATTTTTGTAACAATTTGCAAACTACAAAATTTCTATCCAGATCACGTACCTCATGGGAAAAGAAATTAATCCTGCACCAATCTGCATCTGATTTTCTGGCCTGGTTTGGCGTCAAGCCTGAATCTGCTTCTTGTAACACATACTTTTGCGTAGATCAACCTGGGTGTTAGGCAGGCTTGATATACCTCCACGTTCTATACTACACAAAATATGGCCCGTTTAGTCCTTCCAAAAGTATGTACCCAGCCATAGTCTTGCTAACTACAACTAACACCTCATAGACATTCTTGGGCTTACCGCTTTACATCGGGGTGGAGACCGTTCTTGGGTTTGCTGCCCTTAACAAAGCCTCCGGTTTCTACGGTATCATCTCCATCTTTACCGGACACCCAATTGGTTTCTTGCAGGCTATATTCAACATCTGCTCCATCCTCATGTTTCCTATTTACATAATGGGCTTGAAGGCCATTACCCGGTTGCATCCGGAGTCTCGTGTCAATGTCACCGGTCGTCTGGCTCTCGTGACCTTGACCTACCTCTTTGATTCCGCCCTCAGTGTCTTGTTTACATTGTACTTTGCCCATTTTTGGTTTGCAAACGAAGACACACAGGCGACTCACCCTGTTACTGACTCTACGACGGACACCTCTCAGTCCGCAACCCCAGCGTACGAATTGTTCTTGACTGTTTCCACCACAGTCATCTTAAATGCGGCCAGATTCTACTTCAGTTTGGTAATGTTGTCCTACACCAAGGGCCTCACCAAGGTTGCCCGTTCCCAGGGCCGGCGCAAGGAGAGAAAGCTCAGCGGGAAATTCCCACCGGCCGATGAAGCTAAGTGGTATGCTGAGAGATTTTACCAGATGGAAGACAAGTCCTTGGATGTTATCCAGAATGTGTTCAAGTACGTTTAAAAATGCATGAAAGTGGAATCATTTAAACGTTGGGCCATAAAGAGTGACTTGAAACCCCAATGTGAAAGTTGGATGTGTATTTTAGAATAATAAATTAATGATTAATATGGAAGAAGACATGTGTAAACTACGGGCGTGTGGTATAGAGCCACCCTACTAGTCCGACCTCACGATGATTGATTTCTGATTTTAACTAACCGGTGTGGTTTCTTGTTTTACGAAATCCACCCGCATGGGGCGGTGTAGTGTGGCCGTTGGTCAATTTCGCCCCAGCTCCTCCTTTTTACTATTCACTCTAAGGAAGCATAGATGAGTTACGGATGCCGGAGTATATAAACAACAAGCTTCGGGGGTGTACCATGAATAAGAATTAGCACGTGCTGAGAGGTATGGGGTCAGAGACAAGATGGCTATTTTTCTGAGTATACTATCGACAAGGTTCCGCAGTTCGGCAAAGTTCTCTGGCCTCGGAGTATTGCCGCGTGCCAGCCGACGACTCTTTCGGAAAAATACTGACAAAAGTATGCCGCCGGCATTGTACTCGCGCTCGGCTCGCTTCCCCTCTCCCTCTACTGCGATATCGGCGTTTATTGTTTCTCCTTAGATCGCACGGAGATACGAGCCCGGCGTTGGAGACTTACACGTGATAGTTTAACGAATAATGCGCACGATACAATCTTCAATAGGACTCGGGCTATAATGTCCACGGGTTTTATATCATACATTCTCTCTTCTGGCTTGTTGGGCGAGAAAGTAGGGGTCGGTGAGATTATGTACAGCTCAATATATATCCTTGCCCGTAAAGCTCCAATGGAACGTTTCGCCGGGATTTCTGTGGGGGAAGTATGCATGAGTTTGGCCATGCTAGTTGTACCGAAGTTATCGGAAAATGCTTTACGCCACTTATCAGGTTTGATAGGGGCCACGGGTAGGTATTTCGTAACGTAAAAACTAATAGCATTGATCCTGCCGCCTTGTCAGTATCGACACGTCATGTCTTTAGGGCTATTCACCGAGTGAAGCGGGTGCCATAATCATGAATTGCACAGACCCTGCTCGGGATTAAAACGAGGCTGCACAACCGTATTAAATTAACCTTTACTGTCACTGTTTACTATACTTTATCGGCGTTTGACTGGTAGATCCCATCAATGATGAGTTTATGACTATTTATATTGTTTATATTAGTACACTAGAAAATCCAGACCGGTGTCAGAGACTCTGTGCAAACGAGTTTTCAAGCGATAGTTCCGTGTCCAAGCACCCGGGATTCATAACGTCTGGTGAAAAGCATTTAAAATAGATAAGTTGACTTCTTACCTCGGTTTATTGAGGAAACACGCGTGGCGTCTCGAAACGGATTATACGCGAGAATGGGTCTGACTCCGAAGATTTGGTTAGATGCAATTTAACGGGTGGGCTTTTTCACGACGATTTTATCACTAGATCGGGTATATTTACCCATAGTGCAAGACCTTATATTTTTCAGGGAATGAAACGGGCAGTTTCTACGATCCACAGATCAAAGATACACCTAGAGCGTCTTGGTTCATCCGGTGAACAGTACGATTAGTTCTGGAAGGTTGTTAACGCGCGTAAGCCTGAAATCCGTCGCCCGTCTCACTAAAAACTCGATATAAGCATAAGAGCGACTAGCAATCAAGCCTTTAAACCGTTCATACTTACTATAATAACCCCATATATGAACCAAATCCGTTTGGGCTTACTGATTCCACGACCAACAGTGAAGCGATGCACCTCGCAGTAGTCCGTTTCCCTCGGAGCCGCGCCGCGCCTCGGGCACTTCTAGCCCGTAGCATACACGTCAACACTATGTGGTGCAAAGTCCCGGGCTCTAACCTGCGTGCAGGAAAACACATGCAGCGGGGGGAGAACTCGGGTCTCAAGGAGGGGAGCGCACCACGTACTTTTTCTGTAGCTGACAACACGCTTGAAAAGTCAATTCAAATCAGTAAAGATTCCTCTTTCTTCCCCCTTCTTTTCTCTTTCTCCATCAACATACTCCACACAACATGTTATCCCGCCAAGTCCGTTCTTTCTCTACCACTGCTAGAGCCTCCAGCTACGCCGACACCATCAAAAACTTGAAGGTTAACGCCGACACCAAGGTCATCTACCAGGGTTTTACCGGTAAGCAGGGTACTTTCCATGCCCAGCAGGCCATCGACTACGGCACCAAGGTTGTCGGCGGTACCAACCCAAAGAAGGCCGGTCAATTGCACTTGGGCAAGCCAGTCTTTGCGACCGTCGCTGAGGCCATGAAGGCCACCGGCGCCACTGCGACCGGTATCTTTGTTCCACCAAGCATCGCCGCCGCCGCCATCGAGGAAGCCATCGAGGCCGAAATCGACTTGGCTGTTGCCATCACCGAAGGTATCCCACAGTCCGACATGCTCCGTATTGCCCAGATCTTGAAGACCCAGTCCAAGACCCGTCTCGTGGGGCCAAACTGCCCAGGTTTGATTGCGCCAGATCAGTGTAAGATCGGTATCATGCCTTCCAGTATTCACCAGAGAGGTAGAATCGGTGTTGTGTCCCGTTCCGGTACCTTGACCTACGAAGCAGTTGCTCAAACCACCAAGGTCGGCTTGGGTCAGTCCCTTGTTATCGGTATGGGTGGTGATCCATTCCCAGGTACCAACTTCATCGATGCCTTGACCTTGTTCTTGAACGACCCAGAGACTGAAGGGATCATCCTTATCGGTGAAATCGGTGGTACCGCCGAAGAAGAGGCCGCCGAATTCTTGAAGCAGCACAACTTGACCAGAGCCGTTCCAAAGCCGGTTGTTTCCTTCATTGCCGGTGTCTCTGCTCCTCCAGGTAGAAGAATGGGCCACGCTGGTGCCATTGTCGCTGGTGGTAAGGGTGACGCCAAATCCAAGATCGCTGCTTTGCAAGCTGCCGGTGTTGTGGTCGAGCCATCTCCAGCCAGATTGGGTAACGCCTTGTACAAGGAGTTCGAAACCAGAGGGTTGTTGTAATGCTGGTAAGCACTGACTTGTTCTTCACTTGTTTAACCCCTTCAAAATTCTAATATATTACGAAAATACCGCGTGTAAGCACCGAGCCGGAACGCAGTCCGGAGTGTAGTGTCAATTCTGGTTCGAGAGGGGTATCGTCCTTAGAAAGCGCAGGACTCTTACCAGTGTACCACCGATGCGTTCAGTACTCTCGGTTTAGACTGTCATGGTATTAGTGATAAATTTAGCCCGTTTCCACGCTGGATCTCCGTCGGACACCTTGCTTAAAAAGCCCAGGATAGCTGCGCATGCCACCCGTAAGGTGTACCCGATTGGTTTGATTTAGGGAATCCCAGTCAATCTGCTGGGTCTTACTGAAGGCTGGATATTAGGCTCAGTCTTCTCGGGAGTGTCCGACTGGAACAATTGCCCAGCTCTACTTCTAGTAGCCAGATACGTCGGCCATCAAAGCCTCTTGTATAATCTCTGTCACGTGACTTTCATCACTTCGATTTCACGCGTTTGAGCTCAAAACCTCAAAGATCCGGCGGATAAAGCAAGAGGGAAAAGTTAGAGGCGCCGAAACCAGTAAATCACGTTTTGCTGTATTGCGAGTGCCAGACCATTTGCTTGACATCTCATTATCAGTCTCCAAAGCTCCTGGCTAAATTTTAGGCAGTGCCATTCATTAGGATCATTGTCATCACAAACCATTTGTCGCTACTCCACCAACCCTCCAACCATCCAAGCTCAGCAACCATGGCCGAACCCCGTGAACCGATCTACGACCAGTCTTCACCGCCGCCAGCCTCATCTGTCATCAACTCCCGCGACTCGTCGCCCGTCCGCGGAGACGACGATGACCAGCCTGAAGAAGAATCTACCAAGAGAAAGGGCGAGGAGGAATCTGACGCGCTGAAGAAGCGAAAGGGCCCGGCGCCCGGCGGTAAAGTAAGTGCCGAGATCCTCCAGCGCCGTAAAGAGGGCCGCCTTAAGGCTGCGGCTAACATGGCTGCTCGTCTCGAGGAGCTGGGGATCCAGAGGCAAGATAAGGTCAACGATGTGGCACAGTCGCTCATCAGGCCCATCTCCCTCATCAACCAGAAGAACTACTTCACCGACTACCTCAAACGTGATGAGCAGGTGTTGTTTGTGCGCAAGATCAGAGAAGAGAGAACCGCAAAGAGCTCCGGCACCGCCAAGCCCAAGCAGAAAGAATTCGATATCGACAACTTTGACTTGAACGACTTGGTCAAGGATGATGAGGAAGACGAAGAGGATGAGGATGAGGATGACGACGAGATTGATGGAAAGTCTACAGAGGCGCTCAAATTAGAGAAATCCGGGGCTAGAACCATTGTCATTCACCCGGGAACGGCTAATTTCCGCATCGGATTGGCCACTGACGTGTACCCTAAAACTATCCCCACCGTTATTGCTGTTGCCAGCTCCCAGAAAGGTGAGAATGAAGGAATGCCGACCCCACACCGCACGTTACAGCCAGACGGTGAGATCTTTATTGACGAAGAATTCAAGGACGTAAAGAAGCAGGTGTCGAAGGATTTCCGCGAACGAATGCGCTATTACAAGCGCCGTATCTTGCCCAACTCCCACGAACAGGTTACCAATTACAACAAAAAGCAGCAACACCCTGAAGATATCCCGGACCACAATGATCCTCACAAGATCGAATGGCTCACCGAGGCGTCATTGACCCTGCAAAACTACATCGTCGGACTGGACGCCTTGAAACTAGCCACATACGACCGCTTTCAGCTCCGTTATCCGTTGGCAAGTGGCAATTTCAACAACGACGATAGTCAGTACCAGTCCAAGGAAGAGGTCTTGGGTGACTTGCAGCTCATCTTGCGCTCCGCGCTTGCCCTGGAGTTAGATATCGGTGCCTCGCAGACCTCTGAGACCGGCGAAACCGTCGCTACTCCTTTCCTGCAATACTCCATCTTGCTCTTGATCCCCGATTTGTATGACAAAACCTACTGCGAGGCCTGGGTGTCGTTACTCATGCAGATGCTGTTCAAACAGGTTGCCGTCATCCAGGAGGCTGTTGCGGCTACATTCGGCGCCGGGGTCCTGTCGGCCTGTGTGATCGACATTGGCGCCAAAACCACCAAGATTTCCTGTGTAGATGAAGGGATGATCCATGCAGATTCGCGTATCCGTTTGGACTATGGGTCTGCCAATATCACCGAGCTGTTTGTGAAGATGTTACTTCAATCGCACTTTCCGTTCCAGGATATCGACTTGCGCAATCCTGCGCACTGGGAATTTGCGGACCAGGTGAAACAAAAGTTTGTCACCTTTCTGGACGGTGACATTGCCGTACAGTTGTACAATTTCTACAGACGTGTCCCGAGCAAACAAGCTGCCAAGTTGGAATTCAAGGTGTTTGATGAGGTCATGTTGGCCCCTATGGGCTTGTTTTTTCCTGAGCTCTTTCAGATTGCCGGTAAAAATACCCGCGGGGCTAGCTTGTTCCCCGTTTCGACGGATCAGTACACGCTGAAGCCAAATAACCCGTATTCCAAGGCACAGGAGACTTTGCTTGCGGGAGCTCCGTACGCGGAGTCGACTGAGGATGTGATTTTGGCGAAACTCACGGAGAGGGACGGTCCTGTGGCGTATGCCAAGCCAAAGCCGGCCCACACGGCGAATGTAAACACCTCGAAGTTGTTGACTCCGCTCGAGAAAGCCATCATTGAGTCCATCACCAACGCCTGCAAAGGCGATTTGAACAAGTTTAGGAAGATGTACGAAAATTTGATGCTTGTGGGTGGTGGGGCTAAGATCAGTGGTTTCGATTTCATTCTCACTGACAGAATCAACATCTGGAGACCACGCTTGTTGAGCTCCTCTGCATTGTCCGAAATATTGCTGTACGTTACCGCGGAACAGGATAAACGGACAGCAAGGGTTGCTGAAAAGAAAAAGCTCAGAGAAGAAAAAAAGAAGATCAAGGATGATAAGGAAAAGAAGGTTAAGGGGGAGGTTAAGGTGGAAAAGGCTGACAACGATGACGAAGAGAACCCGGAGGTGGTGGAAGATGACGAAGAGGATGAGGATGAATTGAAACTCGATTTCGATTTAATAGAAGAGATGCTTGAGGCTGGTACGACGTTGCCGGTGGATGTGTTGGCCCCTCCAAAGGATATTGACCCTCAGATTTTGTCCTGGAAGGGTGGTAGTGTGTATTCCCGTTTGAAGATTATATCTGAAATGTGGATCACCAGAGAGGAATGGGATATGTTTGGCGGAAGATGTTTGCACTACAAGAGTTTATTCCACTATTAAAGGATACTACTCTAGCTATTTTTTCGTCATCGCACTTCCATTGATGGCTCTTGGTCGCAGCTTAGGCAAGAATAGACTTTTCCTGAGTATGACCTTTACAAGCCCTGGTACATGCGTATTGAGTTGTCAATTATTTGGTATATATCATTATTCGTGTTAGCGTTAATTGAGCAAATACTTGAATAAAGGTTAAGAAACTGTCCAGGAGTAAGGTTAAGGTTACATCGTATTCTCGGCGGGAATTTTCCATGTTGTCATTCTAAGATATCTCCAGTTGGATATGTTTCCCCTCTGGGGTAACCTAGTAATAAGCGTATGCTAATTCAAAGCATCTGCTCTAATTTTTTAGGGTATACAGTGTAAAAGCTAGGCTAACGCAAAATACTTCTAGACCAACTTCTTGCTTCTAGCAAAGATCTTGGTGAACGGTTTGCCGAACAGCACGGTCAAACGGTACTCTTCCCCATCGTCTGGCTCCGACCCTTCTTCGGTCAACTCATCCCTCGCTACAAGCCACGCCCTCAAGGTCCACAAACTCAAAGCTGCTCCAAAGTAGCAACAACCGACAAAGATGGACACGGAACGGTACTGTGTAGGGTCGGATACCATTCCAGCGGGCGGGTCAGTTTTCAAGGACATTCCGATCACTGGCGAGACAATCGAGGCAATCCCCAAGAAAAACCAAACCATTCCAAAAAATACTGGAAAGATCTTTAACCCAGAAATACGTGCGAGGACTGTAGCGCAGGATGTGTAGATGGAACCCATAATCCCACCTTCGATGAACGCAAAAGCGATTGCAGTGCCGTAATTACGGCACGGGATCCACATCGCAAGTGCGAAAATACCAGTGAGAATGTGTACAATAATGTTGACGGTAACGACACCGTACTTGTCAGCGATGATCCCAATAACCGGGCGAATGAAGAAACCTCCGGCCGAAGTCATGGCAGAGACAACAGAGCCCTGACTCGAGGTGAAGCCAAGCGAGTGAGTGAAATCGGCCAACGTGTACTTGATAACCACGTAGCCAAACATGGTGAAGGTGACCCAAAGGACAGACATCCAGAAACCAAAACAGCTCAAGGCGGAGGCATCGAAAATCTTGGTCTCACCTCTCACGGCGACATTCTTTCTTTCTCTGATCAAGGCAATCGCAACGCACAGAGTAACAAAACACATGATCCCTTGCACTCTCAAAGCCCATTTATAGGTGTATTTTTGCATGATATTGGACATGGCCAAGTTGTACATGACGCCACCCGCACCGGACCCAGCAGCGGCGATACCCCCAGCAAGCGATCTGTACTTTCTGAACCACTGCGGTACCAACGCCGTTGCGGGAATAAATATCATGGTCATACCGAACCCTAGCATAACACCCTGGGTCATCAAAAACTGCCACAAACTCACGGACCACGAACCCATTAAGTTGGCTGCGAACTGGAGGACGGCACCGATGAGCATAACGGTTCTGACACCGACCTTGCCATGTAACCAGGTAATCAACGGGGAACAAGCAATACCCAACCCGATAGCTAGTCCACCGATAAGACCGTACAACTCGTTGGAGGAGGTGAAAAGCTTAGTACGCATGTAGTAGGCGAGGTAAATACCGTATGCAGAGTTGGAACCCCAGGTGCTGACGTCGATAAGGAACACCGAAAGAACGATAACCCAACCATAGCCGCCATCTGGGATTTCAAACTGGTCGCCATAGACTGGACCATCGGGGCTAAGGGCTTCAGAGGTCTCGATATGCTGTTCTTCCTTGTCGGAGGTGTGAGAGATTTCCCTGCTGTTGCCCCATTGTGTAGTGGACATTGAAAGAGATATACGGAATCTGAACTAGAGATGCAGGAGTATGGTCAGGCAAAGAAAGGCATTCGTGAATATATATACGATTTGGATTTCTCCATCTTAGACGTGAGGTGAAAAATAGATTGGTATGGAGATGAGCAGCATCTGCATAAACGTTTTTGGCAGCTAAATGCATATTATATACTCTGTATGGCCATCTAACGATTTAAACGCATAAAATATGCGATTCTAAAGCTGCGTGGTGGGGCTGAAATCGTGGGACCATCTCGCATACATGACTCCTCGGAACACACTCGATCTGGCCAGGGTACGGCATGTACATGGATAATGGTCTTCATAAACGGTGACGAAGTACTACCGGCTCTTAAACTTTCGGCCGACATCGTAAATCCCAAGTATACCCGGAAAGAGACTCTGCCGTAAGTTAAGAATGCCCCCCCTTGCATGGTGGCTTAGCATAACACAGCTACAGTCGGGAAACAAGCTTTGGTATGTATACTAAAATACCTATCATCTTGGTGCTGTAAAAGTGTAGTTGAATGTGGATTAAGTTCTAAGGAAAAGAGTAATGTGAAATAAAATAATGCGAGAGAAAGAAGAATGTGAGAGGATTTGGCCTAGTGTGTACTCCACTCTAGACGTCTCAATGTTGGTCTGCCTAATAACTTTATCAATGCCGTTAAATTCATATTTTTGTTCTAAGTTCAAGTGGAAACATTTCGTATGTAGCAATCTCATTTCAAGTACTAACCTCCCCGCCTCTAACTCAAGGAAATATATATGCTATCAATCTCTGGCAGGGACCTACGACCATTGAACTAATCTGACGATCATAACCTTTGCTAGTCTAACTCTATGTATACAAGTGGAGAGAACGTGTCTTTCGATACCCGTCTAAAATAACGCAAATATTACATAGAGCAATATAGAAATTAGTACCAGCGTTCCGCTGAGTAATCTGAAACGAGTATATGGTGATGCTTAAAATAAATACCAACACTCAGTGTTTCAATCTAAAAAATGCCAGTACCGATGCAATTAGTGGGCACGGAAAATTAAATAGCTAAACTAACTTGGATCCCATGCTGAAGAGTTTTCTCATGGTAGCCGCAGGCAGCACTCTGACGAGGAACTCCTCGCCGTTATCAGACTCAGAGCCAACGCCAGACATTTCATCTCTGGCTACGATCCACGCACGCAACACCCACAAACTCAAAGCTGAACCAATGTAGCAACAGCCGGCAAAGATTGCCACGTTTCGGTACTGTTCGGGGTCAACAAGTAACCCTGCTGGTAGCGCGCTCTTCAATTTAATTCCGATGACTGGGGAGGCTATGCAAGCCACCCCTAGAAAAAGCCATACCATCCCAAAAAAGACTGGAAATGTTTTAAGACCACAGATGCGTGCAATGATCGAGGCGATGGAGGGCCAAATACTGCCCATGAGCCCACCCTGGATAAACCCAAAAGCAATGGCAGTGGCATAATTCCGAGCAGGAATCCACATCGCAAGGGAAAAGATCCCTACAAGCAAATTCGCAACGATATTAACGGTAACCACCCCAAAGCGGTCAGAAAGACCACCCACCAACGGTCTGATGAAAAGCGCACCAGTGGAGATCATAGCAGAGACAACCGAGGCCTGGTGGGTGGAGTAGCCTAACGATTTGGTGAAATCTGCCATGTTGTACATCAAAACGACATAACCAAACATGGTGAAGATAACCCAGAGCACCGTGACCCAGAACCCAAAACTCTTCGCAACGGTCACGTCATACACCTGGAATTTTCCCTTGCCGGTGACGGTGCTGCGCACTCTGATCAAGGAAATGGCTACGCAAACTGTGGAAAAACACATGATTCCCTGGGTCCGCAAGGCCCATTTGTACGTGTATTTCTGCATGATTTGGGACATGGATAGATTATACATAATGCCGCCGGCACCGGAGCCGGAAGCAGCGAGACCACCGGCGAGTGTGCGTTTCTTCTTGAACCACTGCGGAAGGAGTGCCATCGCGGGCATTGCTAACATCGCCATGCCAAACCCCGCGAGCAAGCCCTGGGTGAGAAAGATTTGCCAGAGATGCACTGACCAGCTCGCCATCAAGTTAGACCCAAGCTGGAGGAAGGCCCCGATGATCATTACGGGTCTGATGCCGATTTTTCCCGTCAAGTAGGTAAATACGGGCGAGAAAGTAACCCCGGAGCCGATTGCAAGTCCTCCGATGAGAGCGTATAGCTCGGCAGAGTCAGTGAAGAGCTCCGTTCGAAGGTAGAACGCGAGATAGATGGCGAACCCCGAATTAGCGCCCCACGTGCTAACGTTGATGAGGAAAATCGCAAGAACTATAACCCACCCGTAGCCTCCATTAGGGATGTCAAACTGGTTCTCTAGCTTCTCGTCATCCGGCGTGTCAGAGTAGTCCTGGCGCTCCTCGTCGGACGGCACCTGCGAGTCAGGGGACTCACTCTTTGAATTTTTGTGTGGCAGGTGCATCGTGTGTACCCGGGAAGGAATGCTATAAGAGAGTGTACTAGACTGGCGTCTATTTTTTGAGTGTTTGGATGAATCATCTGCGTTAATATGCATTTTAGACCCGTAACTTATGGAGACGCTGACTAATATGTAGCTCGGCCCTGCAGGGTACGGGCCGAAAAATTCTTACATCGGCACGGTTGGCCCGAGACCGGAGCACTGATGACTACATCGCACTTGGGAAGGACAGTGGAAGTTCCGTGAAAAAAACAAGCCCAGGAACTTTATTATTCAAAGGTCGCACAAGTTTATTGCTGTATCTAGAAATCTTCAGCGCTGGAGTGAAGCTCTTCTTTCCTTACTGGCATTGGAAAATTAGGTTGTCGCATCGGTCCACCGGGTATACGGAAGGGAGGGATATATAGTGAGAAAATTCGATATTGGCCAAACGTCACTAATTGGCTCTTTTATTCCTTTGTTGAGTCTTTTAATCCAACTAGAGTGTAGTGTACTCTCGAAAGTCTCCTCTCAGACATCTTCCTCGAGGTACCTTCTGCACGCTTCGCCCGAACCCTACTTATTTGCTGTTGGAAAAGCAATTACCTTTAGCCGTCCGTTCAATTGCATTTATTAACCACGGATGAATATAGGCCCCTTTATTATGCCTGGTGTACTGTGTATATTGGTGACTCGGATTGGTCATTAGTTCCGAGATACCCACCATCCCGCATTCTACAGCCGAAATTCTGCACTCCGCACTGAAAAGACTTGTGCCTTCACGTAGTGAAAAGAATTCATACCGTACTTCCAATAGGTGAGATATGCTTGAGGCGACAAAAAAAAAGTCAATCATATATAAGCAGTAATTGAGACACTACCTCCCGCCAAAGGGGAGCAACCTCTGCTAAACGTAACTAAGCCGAGGACAGATATCGAAGGTCATTAAGGGCACAATTGGCTACTTTGACAACTGAGGAAAAGTAGGGCATCAATCCTTTGTATAACTGGTCGACCTTTGCCTGAGTTTCCTCTTTCAATTGAATTACCGCTTCCATACCAACGCTTCTGTCTGTTTTTATTGGGCCTTGAAGGTACCGGGTATGTACTTTAAATGGATCTATAGATAATGATTCTGAAATATAATCCTTAATCACGAGCTCTTAGCCAGAAGAAAAAAAACTTCAGTGAGAATGCTGTGTCTCTGACTGTCTAAACAAGCTTGCTACCTTTTGCAAACAACCTCCTTATGGTATTCCGTGCGGGAACTCTGATGAAAAACTCGTTCCCATTATCGGATTCGGACTCTGCTCCAGATAGCTCATCCCGGGCGATAATCCACGCACGCAACACCCACAAACTCAAGGCGGACCCGATGTAGCAACAGCCGACAAAGATCGCCACATTTCGATACTGATCTGGGTCAACGAGCAACCCTGCTGGTAGCTCACTCTTCAATCTGATCCCGATGACAGGAGAGGCCATGCAAGCCATCCCTAAGAAAACCCACACCATGCTGAAGAACACGTTGAATTTTCTGAGTCCACCAATCCTTGCCACAATTACACCCACCGAGAACCACAGCGATCCCATCAATCCACCCACTACTAGCCCAAAGATGAGAGCAGTGGCGTAGTTTCGACAAGGAATCCACATCGCAAGCGCGAAAACCCCCACCACAAAGTGCACAACCATGTTCACCGTTGTCACTCCAAACATATCGGAGCATATACCCACGCAAGGACGGAAGACTAAGGCCCCAAGTGAAACCATTGCCGCTACCACCGATGCCTGATGCGAAGAATACCCCAAGGATTTAGTAAAATCAGCCAAGTTGTACATCAAAACAACATAGCCAAACATCGCAAGGATAATCCAGAGAATCACGAGCCACGCCCCAAAGTTTCGAGCTACCTGCGCATCAAACAACCTCAACTCTGGTTTGACAGCAGTTCTAACTCGGATGAGTGAAATGGCAATGCACACCGTGACAAAGCACATGATGCCCTGGGCGCGCAACGCCCATCTGTAGCTGAACTCCTCCACAATCTTCGACATTGCTAGGTTATAGACAATACCGCCGGCCCCACTTCCGGCTCCTCCTATCCCAGAGGCTAGTGTTCGGCGCTTCTTAAACCATTGCGGAGTGATGGTCATCGCCGGCATCGCCACCAACGCGAGAGAAAATCCCCCTAAAACCCCCTGAGAAAGAACGATCTGCCACAAGTTCACCAGCCAGCTCGCACATAGGTTTGTTGCGAGCTGGAGGAAGGCCCCAATGGTCATGACGGTTCTAATACCAAAGACACCACAGAGGTAAGTAATTACGGGGGAGAAAATCACCCCAAGACCCACGGCACATCCACCTATAAGCGCATAGAGCTCGACGGAATCGGTAAAGAGCTTAGTTTCAAGGTAGTACGCGAGGTAAATTGCAAAGCCCGAATTAGCACCCCACGTACTAAAAGCAATCATGAAAACGGCTCCCACAATTACCCATCCATAGCCCCCATCAGGAATGTCTATAGCTTCGGTTTTAGCCTGCGCCTCAAGGTCTTTATCAGAATGAAGAAAGTTGTGGGAAAGTGATGAATGTGAGGCAAACAGCGCAGCAGGATCATGTGTGAGTTGAACGGGGATATCTGGAGATGACAGCATCTTTTTGGACCCTAATTTGTATGCAAGTGTCAGTGGTATCGAGGCTTGCTATAATGACGATCCCGGAACCTCAAGCCTATATAAGCTATAAATGGATATTATAGCCCTCACGATGCAATTATAATGTAGTAAATGCTTCAAGGTTTCTGAATATGAGAAAATGTATGGGTTATCCGGTTAAGCAAGCAATTTGTAAGCGCGCGGATAATGAGTCACGACTTGTCTCTCAGAGATCAGGATAAACGAAAATATGACCCACCCTAATTCGTTTTCCAGGGTGAGTTGGATATAGAGGTCTTACTGTATCGGTTTATGACCTCTGGTTCGTTGCAGTACAACCTGCGATTTTTCTCAGCGGACTTCGGATCAATGAGACTCAGTAACGTAACAGTTAATTAAACTCCAGTTGTAAGTGTGATTAGTGTCAGTTGTGGAAGTTACGGGGATAATATAGCGGATAATCTGGATAAGGTTCGTTGCTGAGTAATCTCATCGGCACTAATTCAGCTTTTTGTGGGGTTGAAGCTTAAAATTTGCGGCCAACCCACGTTATAAAATTTGAGTTGGACCTCACTTCTCCCCGCGGTCATAAAACGTCCTGCCGCGGCGTTCTACAGTGTTTCTCATGGAACTTTGACTCGCTCGCTGCCCCGCATTGAATGACTGCCAGTAGAGAAGTATCGCCTGAATTCCAGCTGCATACCGCCACACATCCGGATCGGGGGAGCTTTTGCAATACTGAGCAGCTCGGCCCGATAGGTACGACGGTTTCGGCCTAAGAATAGCGCACTAGGCTTAGACACAAGACGCTAGACACACGACATTGTGGTGGCGTAGCCCGTTATTAGGCAGAAATATGGACTGTTAGCGATAGTATGAAGATTATCTTCTCCTACGGCTTTTTTTTATTGTAAAACCGAGGCCGATACGACTTGCATATACGTAAGTCATCTTTTAGCCCAGTAGTTGGGTATCACTAAGATTAGATAATCATAAATAACGTATATTTCTCACGGTATACAAAATAGGAGAGTATTATAGGAAATTACCCCAGCATGGGGATACTGAAATGAATTGATAGCAAATGGCGTCAAAGGTACGTGGCTTCCAGTTTTGCCAATATTTGCTGTTGTGGTAAACACTTGGATGGAGATATAGGACCAGCAGGTCGGGAAATTCACAGGATGGATGGTGATTATATAAGTATATATTGCAGCTTAGGCCAACTTAGACCCCCAACAAAACAATTTCTTGAATGGAGAAAAGAACGGAACGGTCAAAAGCAACTCAGACCCGTTGTCTGACTCAGAGCTTTCCCCTGATAACTCATCTCTAGCCACAATCCAGGCTCTTAAGATCCACAACATCAATGCAGCACCGATATAACAACAGCCCACGAAAACGGCAACGTTGTGGTACTGTGTTGGCGCCACGAGGAGGCCAGCTGGAGGAGCTGCCTTCAACTTGATGCCTATAACTGGAGATGCCATGGAGGAAAGGCCTAAGAACACCCACAACATCCCAAAAAACACAGGAAACTTGGTTAGCCCACCCACACGAGCAACTACCGTAGCCACAGAAGGCCATACACTACCCATAAGCCCACCCAGGATGAATGCAAAAGCGATAGCCGTTGCGTAATTCCGAGCGGGAATCCACATGGCCAACGCAAAGATTCCACAGAGTAGATGAGCACCAATGTTAGCCGTAATGACACCAAACCTGTCGGAAAGGAAGCCAACCAAAGGACGAATGAAGAAGGCACCACAAGAAATCATGGCGGAGACGATTGAGGCTTGGTGGGAGGAGTATCCCAAGGACTTGGTGAAATCAGCCAAGTTATACATCAAGACAACATAGCCAAACATGGTTAAAATAACCCACAAGACTGCGAGTAAAAATCCAAAGGTGCGTACCACCGTAAGGTCAAAAATTTTGAACTCACCTTTGATGGTGGTTCTGACGCGGATCAATGCAATAGCAATGCAAACAGTGACAAAGCACATGATTCCCTGAGCCCTTAAGGCCCATTTGTACGAATATTGCTGCATGATCTTGGACATGGCGAGGTTGTACATCATACCACCGGCACCAGATCCACTTGCCGCTATCCCACCCGCGAGGGTTCTCTTCTTCTTGAACCATTGGGGCAACAAGGAAATAGCAGGTAATGCCAACATAGTCATGCCAAAGCCCAGAAGAATACCCTGAGTCATGAAAATCTCCCACAAGCTCACAGACCAACTAGCCATCAAGTTACCTGCTAACTGCACACATGCGCCAATAATCATCACAGGTCTGACACCGATAACGCCGCATAAATAGGTGATAACAGGGGAGAAAGCGATCCCGATTCCGATGGAAAAGCCACCGATGAGGGCATATAACTCAGCAGAGGTGGTGAAGAGTTCAGTCTCCAAGTAAAACGCCAAGTAGATGGCAAACCCCGAATTGGCACCCCATGTGCTCACGTTTATAATGAATACCGCAAGCACCATAACCCACCCGTAGCCACCATCCGGGATTTCAAACAGCTGGATGTATTCCTTTGGATCTGTGTCATAGGATTCATCGAGTGTGGAAGGGGTTGGTATTGGTAAATTTTCGGGGTCCGAATGCAAGGGACCATCTACAGATAGGAATTTAGTTTTCATGGAGGGAAATTGTTTTAGTGCAAGGTTGAATTTGAAAAGAAAACTCAGAAAGACTAGATTAATCGAGGCTATGAGTCCGTATTTATAGGGTAAATGAAAACAGAAAACAAAAAAAGAGAGTCCACCATATCTGCACGAAATGGTTAGACGCTCTCTATGTGGGGCTAACATGTTAAGGGTTTTATTTTTGGGTTGCAGTGTACCGGATTTGACTCGCCTACGCAGACGGAGATAATACTAAATATGGAAAGGAGCAATACATCTGCCGCACTCTCAGCCCGCTGGATGCTATTAAGGGCCGCAGATATGTCATCATATTAGGTAATCAACAGAAACGTCCGAACCCTTTACCGGCACGCCCTGGATGAATAGATAGTCTTGCATTAGAGAGCTTAGCGACATCGTACCCTCAGTGACAAACTTTATTTATGCGTTAATTTCTTTGGCTATTCCGAAAATCGGATAGCCTACTGGGTGGCGAAGCCGACATCGGTACCCCAAACACTGAAATTGTCTGTGAATATGGTGAGAGCAAAATACCTCCCCATAACTATCTGAATTCTCAAAGACAGCTTGTTCGGACTTGTCTGAGATGTGCTCGAAGGTTGGGAGCCTTGGAAGCCCTTCTGGAGATAAATCAAAACCTTCCCCCCCCCCCCCCCCCCCCCCCCCCCGGTGGCTGAAACGAATTACGGTTTAAAATTTTTATTACTTTGTCGTTCTGACAATGAGAAATTTATCTTGCAGTGGTTCCAGTGCGATTTAGCTATAAATGGCCCATTTGAAGGAGGCGGAAACTGTCGACCTTAAATATAAGGATTTTCTTTATGGTAAACATTGCTTGGCAGCTTTTTAAAACTTCAACTGTTTACCCTTGCGTTTACTGCGTGATTGTGGTGTTTATTGCCATTAAGATAACCTCCATGAGCTGGTAGAGTATGTTAGGCTTTATCGGGTAATCCTGTACAGTACTCGAGTTTGGCTCGTTGGAAAGTAGTCTCCCTGTTTAGCATCGCTGCAGACTTCCGAGTCATCATTTATCCGACATTATCTGGATATTGTATTGGTCCTGAGCCATATGACGTTTCAGTTTAACTATCTAGTATCTTCCCTAGCTTACACGCACGAGAGGCGAGCCGACTCGGAGATATGTCAAGCAAATAGCTATCTACGGACATTGGCCTATGTTTTGTTCTCAAGCGTTTCTACATTGATACGTATGGCTGTCTTGACAATTGATTGGTGGTTCAAGACTCTGTGGTGTAACTGTATTTGCACCCTAAACGAGAAGGGGCGGCACCACGAGATTTAGGGTCTCACTCAATCTCGGTCCGGCAGCGTGCATATGCATCGCGGAAATAGGTCCTAAAATGGAATAAGCTCGGGAGACTATCAAGAGGCTGCGCGGAAAAGGAGATTTACGGAAAACTGCTTCGCCATACGCAGCCACTTCGGATACTTGCTTTTACGTTAGGCGGAATAGATGCATATGATCATGGATAAGAGTTTCATTTATAAGAACTATGATTGTATCAGGTTGATTTTCAACGAATTGGTAAGGGCCTAACCGCTGTGTATATCATATTCGCTGGCTAGATTTATTCTGCTGTATGCATTGTCTAAACTATAGGTTGTCAAATACTAACTTTATTCAGTATAAATTAATACTACTCTCATGATATATATATTCAGTACATATCTTTGAATATTTATTTATATTCGAATCTAGCCAGGATAAATATATATTATTCAGAATCATATCGGCGTCAGCAGGTGCATATACACACCACCGCCCTAAGGGCTTTCCATTCTTTAGCTCTGAAAGTAAGCTTGTCTCGGTCTAAAATTGAATCAGTATGGCTACAATCGACCAGTTTATTACCACATAGACTCGGAATGTCAAGTATAGCAACGTTCCGCGGTCCGCGGGTTGATAAGCAATTTATATGCATCTCTGCAACGCAGGTGCATGGAAAATCCTATTCACGTACCTAACGGCTCTTGGCACTTTCTGGCGATGAGGACCAGTTAAAATTTTTTCCTAGTCTAAAAAATCACAATCTAACGAAATGACAAGCATAATGCATTTATCAAAATACATTCAACCTATAAAAAAGCTTAAAAATAAGGAAGGAAAACAAGCGTTTCTACGGGCCATGTAAGCTACTATACAAGAGTGGAAGGCAAACTGAATCATTGACATGATCGGGTAAGCATTTATGGCAAGAAGACGTCATTGCCTTGTTCCATAGCTCTAGCGGTATGGTGGACAATGTCAACGGATTCCCAAGGGTAGGCAATCCAACAGTCTTCGACGGTTCTGGCGGCAAAGTAACGGCTGTCCATGATGTCCTTCGGCAAGCCTGCCTTCTTGGTCTTGATCTTGTCGTGCAAAACAAAGATACCGAACTCGGTGTTGCTTGGGTCAGCGCTTTGTTTCTTGGCTTGCTCGACAACATCTTTCTTCAACTCGGAGACGGCGTAGTGCAAAGTGGTTCTGGTGTCATCGACTTCATCAACAATCAAAACCCTCTTATTAACCAAATCAAGACCGGCCTGGGCGTAGTCAATCCACTGGGTTCTGACAACATCAACACCGACAGTTTCGGTCTGGGTACCGACACTGTTGAGATCTTCGTACAACGACAAGATGATGGCGTAGATTCTGGTGGTTGGCTTACCTTCTTCTTTCAAGAAGGAACGCAACATACGGGCCGGGATGAACCCACCGCCACCAATGGCAATAATGAGGTCCGGGTTGAACGCCTTGATTTTGTCAGCCGTTTCCTGACACAATTGGTGGACGTTGTTGTACGAGATGTACATCTTATCATCGGTGGACATGTTGAAGTAGGTGTGGTGGGTTGAGCAGGGTGTAGCCAAAAACTGGGGATTATTACCAAGTCCAGATTCCAATCTCCACGTCTTACAACACTCAAGGAATATTATGTACTACGGAGGAAGAGACGCTCAACCGAAAGTGAAAGGAAAACGAGTTGGAGAGTGGGACGGGCAAAAAAAGATTTCCCTGGCACGAGGAAAAAAGAAAAAAAGAAACGAGCAATTGTTATATCAAGTTTCTGCGAAAGCGTTGTGGACGCTACAGCGTATGTGCAGGTCTGCCGTTCGCATGGAGCGTTCCAGTAGGGAGCAGACAGAGGGAACTATTTAGGGGTGGAGCACGAACGTACCAGGACCATTTGAGCCATAGGAAATTGCACTTATTTCCTTATTCTAATGCACCAATGGTATATGAGCATTTGCGGCTACGTGCCAGATTATTTTTGTGCCGCCCAGATCCCTGGCGGTTAACTAGCGCAGTCATTGTTCGGGACCTAACCTCTAGCCCCGTTACCCGGATTTAGATCAATAACAACCTCTCATCGGAAGTTAGTCCCGCCACATAGCCTGAGATAACAAATAATTTCAATGACTTAATATAGCTGGATTCTGATGGATTATGCTGTTTGTCTGATCTACCTGGGCTCCTCTACCCTCTAATAGAATGCGATGTCTCCCGCCACAGCCCGGCCCGCATCGGCCATTATCTCTGCACCTGCATCTTGATTATACACAGGATATTTTGAAGAAGATATAAAAGAACGCGGGTCTCCGGCCGAAAAATAAAAACAAACCGCACATGAACTAAGATACACATAATCGTTGCCAGTTTGAGTTGGCGCCCACATTCCTTTACCCACAACACCATGTCTGAATTCAGCGGCGCGGGAAATGACGACCTCTCGCTCCCAAAAGGTATGTGCCCTCCGCATATGCCTCTCCGAACCGCGTACTAACCAGTAGCCACCGTCCAGAAAATCATATCGGAGATCATCCCGCCGGAACTATCCTTTTCCAAGGATGCCAGGGAAGCGCTCATCGAATGCTGCATTGAGTTTATCATGATCTTGGCGACCGAGTCTAATGACATTGCCGAGAAGGAAGCCAAGAAGACCATTGCGTCCGACCATGTGGTGAAGGCCTTGGCCGAGCTTGGCTTCCACAACTACATCGAGCCCATTAACAAGGTCTTGGACGAGCACAAGGAGCATGCCAAAGGAAAGGAAAAGAAGCACAATAAGTTCATGAAGTCTGGCTTGACGGAGGAGGAGTTGTTGAAGCAGCAAGAAGAGTTGTTCAGACAGTCACGCTCCAGATTACAGCACCAGTCTTCCTCCATCGCGGTGCCCACGGTCAAGACCGAGGACGAAGACCCGAAAATCAAAACGGAAGGAGCCTAGGCCCAACGACGCGTAACGACCCCTGTTTTTATAGTGTATATTATTCTCACGAAGCTTTAATTTTGACCGCCACTTTGTGCCCGGAATTTACGTGTACACTGAGTAGAAAATAACCTCCGTAAAATCCCTGGGAGCTACAAGTATGCTGGACAAGCCATCTCGGGACTGTTCAGAGTCCTACACGAAGATGTACGCCATATTTAACACCTTTCCTGATTCCGTTTCGTGAAAAATGTAGCTAAATGGCTAGATTAGCGTGGTATAGATTTATCATACAGCCAACACCGTTCAGTTTATTTTGGAAAAATTAGACGGGTGATCATATAATTCCCTTGTATCGATCTTCGGCTCGGTCCTAACCAAAGCTTTATCGGATCTGAAAGCTTCGGATTAGACCACAAACCGCTCTATATCCTTCCAACAGCCTTCCCGCCTTTGGCTTTCACCATACGCCGCTAAACGGTCTTAAATTCATCACAACCAACCCATAAACCGTTTACATAATAGACCACCTTACCTGGGCTAGAATCACCGTCACAGATGCATTAATAGGTCATAACTAGTGTACATAATATCTGGTTTCCATCACAAACCGTTTGAAGCGGTTTAGACACTCTCGGTCTATCCTCAGTTTATCATCTATACCGACAGACCGTTTTTCATATAGTCTGCCGATTAGGCAAGCGAGTTAACATACGTCAAAAACTCCGGCGACAAAGATGCCATGAACTTCGTATACCTCTCCGGCTGGTTTGTGCGCAACTCCTGCACCGACTTGCTCACCAACGCAACCGCATTCACGTCGTAGATCGGACTGGTCTTGACCGCGTCGAGCTCCTCAATCCCCACATCAAACGTGTCCGCATCTGTGCCATACTCCTCGCTGTGCACGGCGTCACGCGCAATGATCTTGCGGCGGCGATTGATCGCGTCAGGCAAGCTCGCAAGCGCGGCCATTAACTTGGCGGAAATCTGGGGCAAGTGCGGCTCCAACGACAGTAAATGTGGTAACATCACCACATTGACTGTGGCAAGAATCTGGAGCTTCAAGCCAAGCACCGTATCCAAGTCGTCACTATGGTTGAACCACAACTCGAAAAATGACACCGCGAGGTCATTCTGGTGGAGGAACGCGATGGTGGTGCGCGCATCTGCGTACAATGCCGCGAGCCCAAACTTTACAAAGTCCACTTCGTTCAACTCAAGCTCGCTGATAATCCCCCCGTCTTGCAACTGGCGGAAAACATTGAATCCCACCGATAAAACATTCTCCAACGCGGGCAAAAGCTTCCCTTGCAAGGTGACAAGACAGAACTGCAAGATTTCATAAGCAGCCATGATGTCGGGGTTGTCCTCATAGGTTGTGCTCAAAAGATTGAGACACACGTCGAGCATTTCACCGATCCGCTGCGAATCACCAGGCAAATCGCAAAACCCGTAGTTGATTACAGACTCGAAGTAGTTCACGTAGTCCGCAAAGTAGTCCATCCCGTACGTCTGGAACGACAGCATCGCGGTCTGGAAGAGTGTCCAGCCGGTCGCGGTGACGGACTTTGACGCGTAGTTGCAGCTCTCCAAGAATTCCATCGTCTCGGGGAGGAAGGTGACCATCGCGTTGTCGAGTACGAACTGGACCAACGGTGCGATGGTTGCTTCTAAAGAGGCGGTAACCTCCTTAGAGCTGTTCATGGAGATGGCCATGCTGATGAGTGTGTTGAGCACTCCGAGCGCCTGATACTCCTTGTCATCGTTATCGCCAGTCTCGACAATCTCCGACGCGAGCTTCACAAACTGTGCGCATAGACTCGCGGCTAGCTGCACGGCAAAGGGCTCAAGCTGCGCTGCAAACACCTCCACAAAGTTCTCCATCACGTATGAGAGAATGTCGCTCTCGAACTCCAGGTTGAGCTTGAGAAACTTCTCCATCACGCGCGGTACGTCTGGCGCGAGAAACTGCACGACACGCGGCTCCGCAACCAACGCGCGGAGCGCGTCCGCCGCTTCGATCTGTACGGGTAACGCGTCGTCGCGCAGAAAACACGCACGTACGCCCTCAAATACGCGCGCCAACACCTGCTCGTCACGGTACGTGTGCGCAAAGACTGCCACACACTCGCACGCGCGCGCCGTGAGAAAATCCTCCGCCGCACCCAACTCCGGCACCACGAACTGCGCGAGCACCGCGTCTACCTGCCCGCGCACGGGGCTTCCCTCGCGCTCAAGTGCAAACAGAATCGCGCTCAACACGCGTAACGCTCCCTCTGTCTGGAATGCACACGCCGCGCTCGCGCGGTCCGCACGTCGCGCCGCAAACACGCCATCTACGAGCGTGAGCAACACGCCGCACGTGGCCATGCGCTTGCCCACCACCTTGTACACGAAGTTACCGGCTGCCACATCCGCGGTGTTGCCCTCACGGTTCATATCATAGTAGCGGCGGATATATTCCTCGGGGTCGGTCTCGAACAACTCGACGGTTTCAGTTGTCGCACAGAGCGACTTGAAAACGACAAGCTGGAGGAACGAGTCGAGATGAGGCTCCAAGAGCGCGAATGCCGTCGTGTCGATGAGCTGCTCAAAGAAAGAGATCAAGTGGTAGAGCGAGACCTCACTTAACCACACGGAGCCGTTGATCCATTGTTCCACGAGACGCCAGTACGTGGCCAAAATCTCTGGCACAAAATGCGTGCGGAAGAACTCTGCAAACTGCGGGTCTGCATTTGCGGACGCGGAGCCACCGCCATAGCGGCTCTGGAAGCGGTGGATGTTGGCAAAACACCATTTGATGCATTTGGCACGCGGATCAGCCGCGCGTGCGGCCGTGTCCATCGCCATGAGATCTTTCGGCGCAGGCTTGTCAATAATCGCCGTCTGCAATGAAAACCAGCGGCCGAGCGTGGCAGGGTCCCGGAAATAGTCTGGCAACTGTGAGTACGTGGCGAATTTGAAGAGCTTGACCGCGAGGTAGAGCAACTCGCCGCTCTGCGCGTCGGATGTGTCTGCGAGCGATACCGCAAGCGCCTCGAGAGCGGGGAATGCGCGTGTCACCGCCGTATTGAGCGTGTTCTCTGACGCGCCGGAAGCCCAGCGGTGGCGTTTCACAAGCTGATAGAGGCACAACACCCCAGTGGTGACGTATGCACGGTTCGTCGTCTCGCCCAACAACTGCATCACCACATCGAGCAATTCGCTCCACTCGCTGAGGGTCAAGATGTGCTGTAGTGCCTCCGTCAACTGCGCACGGATGTGTGTGTTGCCACAGGCCTGGATCATTGCCTGGACGAGCTGCGTCTTTAGCGCGGGCTTTTCGCTCTCGGGGATCACGCTCGCAAGCGTGCGGAACTTGGAGCTCGCTTCAAGCCAGTAGTTGGCCACACGGTTCTTGAAGAAAATGGCGGCCGCAATCTGTACGCCGGGCGGCGCAGCTGTGTCCACAGCAATCTCAAGGAACAACGCCGTAGCCTCGGCCTGGCACTCGAGCTCTTTCAACTGCGCCTCCGCCTGTTTGCGGACGCCCGCGTCAGCGCTCATAGTGCTAACAAGCACATTGACAAATATTTCCTTGTTCATGGCTGCTGTGAGGAGTTGATTGACAATCCATTGTCCGGTACTAAGATGAGCCATATGTACGGCTAAGTGGCCAGAGGTGAGTTGCTTGGCGCGACCCTGGGCAACAGCCGGTACAATAGCTGTCCCCAATTTTTCATGGTCCGTGCACGCCCAACTAGACGATGCGCCGTTCATATTTACAATAGATGTTCTTTGGGTATGAGGGAAAAACGGTGGACCAGAGATTTTTGGATATAGAAATGGTGGTTCATAAACTCTGGAATGGCCTTGATTTTAAGTGAACCCAGTGGTTATATTGTAATTGATTAGTTTACCAATTCAATCTTTTGAGGATGAGAACGATGAATTCCTGAATACGTATCTATGAGGACTTCACCCAGACTCGAGAATCCTGCACAGAGGCTTCGGTATGCTTTAACAACACAACCTTGTCTCTTCCTGATCTGGTTGGCTTTTCTCAATAATGATTGGTGGCTTGAACTGGCGGTATGTTTACTTCCTCTCCTTGGGGTTGAAGTTCTATTTTGCCCTCTCGGACTCCTACATCCACCCGGATGAACATTTCCAGAACTTTTCGGTTCTCACAGGCATGTACGTTTAGATCTTCCTCTTCATGCCACTAACACCCTCCAGAGCGGTTCTTGCACTTTTCGACATATATTCCATGGGAATTTACAGCGGAACATCCGGCCCGGAGCTTTGCACCTCTTTTAGCGGTGTACGGTCCGATTCTCACGGTCGTTTCGTACTTCAACACTGACGTGACGCCGCAGGTTCTCCTATACTTGTTTCGTCTCCAATTTTGTCTCATGTCGTGGATAGTTACAGACTGGTGTATCCATCGGTTATTGCCATCCAAGCCGGAACGTGTCAAGGCGCTTCTCTTTGTCTCCACCTCATACGTCACCCTCACGTATCAGAACCATACCTTCTCCAATAGCATTGAAACGTTGGTCTTGATGCCGTGTTTGGTGATTATCAATCAATTGAGGGAAGCGATGGAGATCAATACGTCGAAGGAAACCAATAAAGTCTCGCAGGACCCAAATGGGTCTCCAGAGGAACCAGCGAGCACTCCCGGCCTTGCCCAGCACCGAAAGCTCTTCACCTTGGGCTGTTTAATCGCCTTTGGGACCTTCACGCGCATCACGTTCCCCGGATTTTTGATCCTTCCGTTATATTACGTGTTTCAGCACTTTCGCATACACAGATTATCCGTTTCTTCTTGTGCACTCGGCTTTGGCCTCACTTCCTTCTTGGCTATTCTCATTGATACCCACGCTTTCCAATCCACGTCGTATGTGATCGCGCCGTTTAACAACTTGCTTTACAACCTTGACTACACCAACCTCTCGAACCACGGCATTCACCCCCGATACACGCACGTTTTCGTCAATCTACCGCAAATTCTCGGCCCGGGTCTTGTATTTCTCGTTTATCGCAACGGATACAGAAAAACCACACCGTTTTTAGCTCTTCTTTCTGGGGTGCTTTGCTTGTCGGTGTTTCCCCACCAGGAACTCCGCTTCCTTGTGCCGTTGCTGCCCCTCGCATGCTGTTGCTTCGACCTCCGGCCGTATCCTGCCACTACTGTGAAGTACTTGCTCTACGCGTGGTACGCGTTCAACGCGCTTATGAGCGTGCTCATGGGTGTGTATCATCAGGGTGGGGTCATTCCGGTGTTGGCCCATTTGCGGGAAGAGAACTTCACCGGGGTGCAGATCTGGTGGAGAACTTACAGCCCCCCAGAATGGATCTTGGGGTCGAAGAGCATGACGATTCTCAAGCCAGAGTCACTCCAAGGACTCCAAGCCTTAGACACCGGTGCTGACGTGCTTGTGGACTTGATGGGGGCTGGTATTGAGGAGGTGAATGCCGTTTTAAGCATCGCCAAGGAAAGGTTTGGTTCCGTTTTGCTCGTCACCCCTGTCGCTTCATACAACACCAACACATTTAGTGTGGCATTGGATCCTTCATGGACATACGCCTACCACCTTGATATGGACCATCTTGACTTTGGCGACTGGAAGTCACTTTCGCCTGGTATTTGCATCTACAACTTGATCTGAGCGAAGGATTTTGGTGAATACTACTTCAGGCAACATTTTTATGAATACTTTCTGTAGTCTATTAATTCACTGTAAATCCACTCAACAGTTAGCATTTCGTCTACAAACTTCCCCAGATATCCCTTTGTATTGACAGTCTGCCCAGCTTAAGACTTACAGTATTTGCACCGGCGATTAACCAGTCCAATAATTGTTTCATATTTCGTTCTGTATCCAATCCGAACCTAATCCAATTCAGGCTGCGGTGGCAATATACCAGTGCTTCCAGATATAGCCAAAACCACACGTATATAGCTATCCATATGTCGGGCCCTTTCTAAACGAAACCTTACAGCCTCTGACTATAGATAATCTCTATAAACCGCTACTCCACCCACCCACAGGGTTGCGATAGCTCTACAGCCAAGCTATACGCACTAACTCCAAGCTATACACACTAACTCTAAGCTATACACACTAATTCCAACCCGGGACAAGTCTGGTGATAATATCCCTTTATATATAACTCTACACCATACGAATTCTTCTGAAAATTATATTGATCGTCCCTCTACTTGTAAAACTCAAACTTATCGACGTCGGAACCGACCTTGACCTGGGACGTGTAGGCCTCCTCCAAGTCGCTCTGAATGATAACGTACCGGTTCTTTCTGACGGCACGCAATCCGGCCTCTTGCATGATGGCAGCAATAACGGCCCCAGACAAAGGCTCATTGCGCAAGACCAATGAGTCCAAGTCAACCTCCGGAGCCAAGGACATCTTGGCGGCAATGGTGGCGAAGATCAAGCGCCTTTCTCTTCTATCCTTTAACGATGGGAACTCGATCTTTCTGTCCAACCTGCCGGGTCTCAACAACGCCGGGTCCAAGGTGTCAGCTCTGTTGGTAGCCATGATGACTTTGACACTGGATGTCTGGTCAAACCCATCCATCTGGTTCAACAACTCCAACAAGATACGTTGCACCTCTCTGTCGGCACCAGTCTGAGCGTCGAAACGCTTCGTGGCGATTGCATCGATCTCGTCAATGAAGATGATCGACGGGGCGTTCTCTCGCGCCAATCGGAACACATCTCTGACCATTCGCGGCCCCTCCCCGAGATACTTCTGCACGAACTCGGACCCCACAACTCTGATGAAGGAGGCGGTCGAGCTGTTGGCTACAGCTTTGACCAACATCGTCTTCCCGGTACCGGGTGGGCCGTACAACAACACACCCCTAGGAGGGTCGATACCGATCTGCTTGTACAAGTCCGCCTGGGTCAATGGCAACTCCACGGCCTCTCTGATCTCCTGCTTCTGCATGTCCAAACCACCCACGTCTGCATAGGTCACATCTGGCTTCTCATCCTCGCCCACAATGGCGATGGAGGAGTCCGCCTCAGGGGGCAAGATGTCAACCAACGCGTTCGAGTGACGGTGCAACGCTACGGACGAGGACGGCTTCAATAATTCGCGGTCCAAAGTTGACAAGATTCGCACCACGTACGTGGAGCCCGTGGTGGACGACACAATGCCGGTATGCTGGTCGATCGGTTCCAAGAACTGCCCGATGACCAATGGCACCGATTGGATCCGCTTGACCTCCTCTTGGGCGCGGATCAACTCGCGCTTCAAGTGGCGCTGTTCATCCTTGATGTAATCCTCCTGCAATAACAATAACTCCAACTCCTTCTCCAACTTTTTTAACTGGAGGTATGCATCCGCGTTTTTGGCTGGCTCCGCGACCTTGCTGAGTGCACTCAGAGGGATCTGTAGCTTGGGCGCTGACGCGCTGGGGAAAATTCCGAGTTCTTCCATTTAATTGAAATGTAGTTGGAATGGATAAACGGGATGAAGGAGGTGGCGCTGTTGCTGCGTTTTGATATCCGGCGTGAGTTGGCCACCGAGAGAGTCGATGCGGGCACGACCCAACGGCTAAGCGAAGTGTTGAGGGATGATTAATTAAGGGTAGAAAGCTGACCAAGATTATAAGGCGTTGACTTTCTCGAGGGCAACACAAATTGACTCGAGGCTTTTTCTGATTCATTTCATTGAAATTCAAAGCGTTGGTGTGAAACGCCAGCTCTTTAAATATGTGTACACTATGCCGCGTACGGGGCAAAGGAACATTCCTTGTCTAGGTAAATTTCAGTAACGTAACACCGTAAAGTGCTTAAAAATAAATTGAATGGGGTGCAAAAATTATAATAGACCTTAAATAGTGAAATATCGATATTTCTGTTTGTTTCTAGTCTGTGCGAAACTGGATGTTCTCTCAACCAGCGAGTATAACTCCAGTGAACGCCTCGAGGTTTGGTATATGGTCTGGGACTTGGATGCTATAACCTATATACGATTATACTATGCTAAAACTAAGTACATCACCCCTTACCCATTCTTTGTTTTAGAGAATGGGAATCGGACACTCCATAAACCATAAATGAGGTTGAACTATCCGACTGGTACCGAAAAACACAAAATGCAAACATGTGTGGGCATATTAACGTAACCAATTTGTGAGGACGCTCCCCAAGACGCAGCCAAGTCCGACCGCAGCACCCCCGATGACACCAAGCTCAATTTTGTCAAGCACTACCGACTGTGACTCTGGTGACTTTAAACCATAGTAGTGGGAGATAAGAAGGTTCCTAAGCGCATTCCATGTGTATTCCTTGACCTTGAACGAGACGTAATATGCAGACAGGACCAGAGAAGTGACTGGAATAGCCATAGTATTTTCAACTGCATCCAGCTCTTTCAATGGTTCGGTAGTGGTAGAACCCAAAGTTTTAACGGCCAGATCTAATTGTTCTTTAGCGGTGGAAGTCTCTACTAACGGCTCAGTGGCTGAGACCAGCCCAGACAATTGCGCTTCAGCCAACGCCTGCTTCACCTTCTCCTCAAATGAGCCCACTAACCGCTTGCGTTTCCACGGCTCCAAAAGTAACTGCACTACAAGAAACAAGAATACGTTAATGCCCATGATGACAAACGTCCCCCACGTGGAGGTTCTTCTGATCTTATCGGACCAGATCTGTTCCTCGTGGTAGCGGGTTAAAATCGCCTGTGTCAAGTTCAGCTGGATCTCCTCCGCCTCATGCTCGGCCATCTCGAGCTTTTTGGAAAGTTCACCCTCGGTCTTTTCGTTCACGTGGTCGTTCTGGAACAACTCTGTGAAGCGCATCAAATCCGCAGACGTCCAGGTGTGTTTTCTCTGCAACAATTCGTTGACCTCCTTCTGGGAGGCCGACCTTTCACTAATAGCAATCGCGTAGGCCTCCTTGGAGGCCTTCACTCGACCGCGTGCACGTGCTAACAGCTCCTCCAAATTCTCAATCGACTCCTTCAATACCGCAATCCCCGAGTAGCCCGTCACATCGTTAAGGGTTTTGCTTGCCACCATGACGGTGTCTTGAATGGAGTCGAGGTACTCAGCGAGCTTCCGCGAAGCGTGGCTCTTGGCCTTATCGATCTGCGACGGCAACTGGTCGATCTGCTTCTTGGTGAGATGGATTTTGGACTGAAACTCCGCAGAAGTTGTGATGGGGGCGTGCTTCAGGATGATTTTCGCGAGCTCATCGGTAAAAATGGCGTCCTTACTGGATACTGTTGGGCTTGACTTTGTGGAATTGAACCGTCTGGCCAGTGCAAAGGCACGGGTGATTGTTGTGAAAGGTTTCACCAGTCGGAAGGGAAACATAGCGGGGGGAGAACAGATGCGAAGGGTAGGATGATAGTCGGTAAACGCCAAGAGTAGTAATAAAATATCGAGACCAGTAAAAGTGAAGTTTTCAAGCACGGTAGGATGTCTATGTTTCGCAAAGGACGCATCCTGGCCGATCTGAGGCTTCTATGAAAGTCTAAGTCCGAGTCAGAAGCAGGTCTTGTCGTTCCGCGAAGTACACTGTCGTATTTCCGCGAAATGCCTGGGCCTATCCGAACTTATGCACGAAAGTTTGTGCGTAAGATTTGCAGGGTGGGACACATTTAGAGCTCATTTCACTATGTTCCCACTGTCCTACCCACCCGACACATACAATGGCTGGCTTTGGTTTCAGTATAAAAAAGAATGAGAAAGTTTTAGATCCCCCTAAGAAAGTCTCCATTGGTTTTGGGTTCAAAAAAGCGCCAACAGCCAAGAAGCCCCTTGCCAAACCGTCATTATTCCATAACCCAAATGACGACGAAGAAGAGGAGGGAAAGATACAGAAAATCGATACCTTTGATTCCCGTAAGGGAGGCGCATTCCACAAGGATAACGTCCCAAAAATAGTTTCCCCGCTAATCATCAAGCCGGTGCCGAACAGGGACTGGCGTGCCGAGGCGTTGGCTAGAAAGGAACAGTCCGTGGATGAGCCACAAGAGAGGATGATTTATGGGTTGAACCAATTCACGACTGAAACCAACATCTCTAAAGATGCTCCAGAGACCGATGAAGTCATAAATACCCCACTGACAGCAGAGGAGCAGGCTCGTGCGGAGTTGCTAGCGAATCCATCTACGATGAGCACATCGGAAAAACTCACAATCCCCCTTGAAGGCTTCGACGAAGATCTGTACAAGCGGGATATCGTAAAAAGACCTGGAGCAACTACCCAAGACGAATACGAAGCAGTTCCGGTGGAAGACTTTGGAGCGGCCCTACTCAGGGGCATGGGCTGGAAGGGTAATAAGACCAAGAAGGCTTCTCTACAAAATGGAAGCAGTGCAGTTAAGAAGCGGCCAGCCTGGTTGGGTATCGGAGCCCAACCCTTAGACGAAGAAATGGCCAAGGGCCAAGTTCGTGGGATGGAAAGAGTGTATAACCCGATCGTGATGAGGGATATAACCACCGGGGAGATTATGGAGCTGTCACCGGCGGGTGGAAAACGAGTATACGAGAATGAGGGGAACGGAGTGGGGGTTAAAAGACGCAATGACAGGGATTGAAGGTGGTGAACAACGCCGAATTAACTACAGAGACACAAAGGGAGTTTGGAGCCGGGTCTAGAACCATTGTACTCTGCTTGCGCTACTGTCAATGCAAACGGCGTTAGGTGTATATGTACTATGAAATATCAATTAAATATAGTGAACCTTGAAACCCAAAACAAATGTCTTAGAAACAGAAAAAAAAAGCAAAACAGCAGAAACTTGAACAAAAATATACAAAAACCGAAGGAACAATAAGAAAAATGAAGATGAAGATGTGTGAAAACAGGGATCTGTGGATGAGAAGGGTGCAGGATAGGAATTGTGGCTATAGGGAGATTAGATCTACCCGGTAGCTTAGTAACGCTCCTTCATTCTGGAGGAAATAGTACGCAAGTTACCGTAGACCTTACCTGGCGGGGAACCCAAAATCAAAGAAACAACGGCTTCTCTGGCGATTTTAATATGAGTGAAACCACCCAAAATGTGGATTTTGGAGTCTGCTAACACGATTCTGGTTCTGGTGGCATTCTCAATGGCAAACTTGGTCTTACCATCCTTACCGGCAATACGGCCAATGGCACGGCCCATATGGTCGTTTTGCAAGGTCTTGACGTCCTTGATTTCGAAGGTTTCCATGTACAAATCGTCCAATCTCAAAAGGGCAATGGCGTCGTCGACATCGAAACCCAACGTAAAGGCCTTGATAAAGTCTGCACCCTTTTGCAAAGCACCCGGGTCGGTGGTGGTCTTACAGGTCTTGAGCTCGACGGTTCTCGTCTTCAAGTTCATTCTAACCTGCAACTTCAAGTGATCAACCAAGGATGGATAGATCTTGGTCCAGTTACCCTTCAATGGAGTCATTCTGTGGGGTGGGACAGGAACCTTACGGGACTCCAACTTTACCTTCATACCAGCGGTGGCGGCGGAGTTGAATCTTGGCTTTCCTGATTCGTCTAAAACAACCCCAGCGGTTTCCTTCTTACCAGCAGGAGTGGCGGTTTCTTCCGTGGCAACAGATTCTAACTGTGGAATAGAGGCATCAATGAGAATATCATCGTCATCGTGGACAATTGGCTGCGGAACTTGTTCGGCAACCTTCTTGATAGCAGTTGGGGCGGCCATGGTGGATGTATATATACGTGGGTAAAGAAGAACTGGAAAAATGGGGGATGACTTTTATCGGTGAAAAATATGTTGTATACGAGGGGTGAATCGAGTTGGCCTTGAGGTAGTGTTTCTCTGTGTTATTTGCCAAATCGGATTATGCGCCTAGTAAATTTTTCTGAAAAAAAATAAAAATTCCTCAGAAAAAAAGAAGTGCGGCTCTTCGCACCGGGTAACAATGTAGATACGGTGCCATGAGGGGGTCGTGAATGGGCGAAATGTACTGCACCGATCGAGGAGCTTTTAAGGTGGCGGCCCTAGAGCACAAGGAAGAGGATGTATGGATAGACCAAGCAAATAGGAGACTTTGGTGCGGAACGCTAGCATAGGAAGGGGCTGGGATAAAAGTTTTCCTGGAGACCAGGAGGTCCATGACTAAACGTGTATAAGACAGGTGGGTATTGAAAAATTGGACGAAATATGGTCCAAAAATAACCTCCAGGCAACTAAAACTGGTTTCTTCTCACGTAGCTCCAACCTGTCGGTTATCAGTTTTGTAGACGAAATTGACGTCTGCGATTTCCACCCCGCATCTAACCCCTTTATAAAACTTTCATGTCTTAAACTTCATCTTCCCCCCCTTTTCGCAGATCTAGAATTAACATTAGCCTTACTGTTGTTATGTATCCTCAAATACCCCTTCGCCACTTGTCAAAATTTATTTTTATTCTGGGGGAGGGGCACTACGGGCCAGTTTATTGGCGCTCTAACTTACTACGTAAATTATAGTAATCCTAATTTCCCACTTTCAAATCAATACAATGATAGCATTCCAAATATATGATTCTCGTTAAACGGCAGTAGCAAGCATAGCTAACCTCTCGATTCCTGACGTTGCCTCAAAAAGAAAGCTCGCATACTTGCTGAATGGCAGTGAATCTTGCTACTAATACGCGGTCTTGCTGCCTAGACAGCTTCCCCGGAGCCGGCCACGCGTTCAGCCCCGCCACGATCGCGTGCGGACTAGCGGGCAGGAAAAATTCAGCCAGTAGGGACGCGCATGCGAAAAAGGAACGTGATAAATCCCGCTCTCTCCTGCACATGCTACTAATTTTTCTAGAATATGGCGAAGTAGCCCTTGAAAGTTACAAAATAGCTTTCTAAACAACTAATTGCTTCGAGTTATTCCACTATCCAAACATAGTAAGAGTATATATATCCCGGGAAATATTACCTGCACATTTTCTCATAGCCAGACGCTAACTATACTCATCCGTGCTCCGTGCTTTCCGTGCTTTTGTGTTCCAGAATGGCCTCTTTTTTCAACCAAAGAGTTCTTTCAGGGCTCGTCAGGCCTCATCCACATAGCCTTCTTAGAGGCCACCCGCACATTTATATAGGCAACTCAAGCCTCTTCAGAGCGGGTTTTGCTTCCAGAAGCCCGCTCTACACCAGATCTTTCACATGCATTGCCTTCCTCCGTAGTAAACACGAGACGGTGGAAAAATCGGTGGCGTCTTCGCCCATTACCCCCATCTCCCCATACTCGCAATCGTACCTTGCCAAGAAGGTGACTAAAGAAGAGTTGCTCTTGCAGGCGGATGGGTTCGTGGAGCGGTTCAAGATCCGTAGCAAGTGGTTCCTCATCCGCAACCCCACACGGCCGCTCAACATTGACGAGTACAGCGCGGTTTTCTCGTGGGTGCTCATGGGCCACGTTTTGTGGTTTGTCTTGGGGACCACTACCTTTGTGTCGTTGTTGATTTACGGCTTCAATGTGTTGGTGAACAACGAAGAGTACACGAGCATGCTTTCCAGCGCCATCTTGGCCCACGGGCTTCACCTCAAGGTGACTCTCCAGGGCAAGGCCCTACCGGAGTGGAAGAATGGGATGCTTTCCTTTAACGATCTCATGGTGGAGTCGCTCCCTGAAACCGATCCTAAGATGGAGTTCGGCATCAAGATCGAGAAAATCAACCTTTCCTTGAGCTTCGCTAAGTGGAGTGAGGGAAGGGGGTTGATAGATGCGGTCGAGGTGTTTGGATTGCGTGGAGTAGTTAAGACGGAAAAGATGCCCGCATCCGGCAACTCCGACGAAGCCTACTGGTTGCCAAAATCATACGCCTTGAACTCCGTCAAAATCAACGACTCCTATGTCGAAATTCACCATAAGGATCACCAGAACGAAGCGGAGCCGATGAAAATCTCCATCTATAACTGTAACTTGCCGCAGTTGCGCTCGGAATGGATGTTGCTCGATTTCTTCAACGCGGATAACGTTTCCGGAGTCATTAACGGCTCCATGTTCACCATCCATAAGCGCCAGTCGTCTACCAAGGCCACGGCCTTTGTCAATGATGTGGAGGAGGACAATTCTCCATGGAAGAAGATCACCAGATTGCGGATCGACTCCGTCGATTTGAGCAAGTTTGCTCGCTTCAACTGGGTCAAGAAGGGCGAGGCGGAGTTGATCTGTGACATCATGTTGCCAAACGACGACCTCTTACTTGGCGAACATATGTCCGCTACCGAGCTCCAGGCTGGGATCACCAACCATCTCTACGGCTTTGTGGAGAACTTGAAAGACTTGTTCCACGATGAGAAGCACCACTCCTACGAGTACGACTCCAACGGAAACGACGCATTGTTGACCGGAGGCTTGCCAGCTCCACAGCAGAGACAATCTGCAGTTCCGTATGTGGTTATCGATGTCAAGTTCCAGTTTCAGGATGGCTTGAAAGTGTGTTTGCCCTCCACGTTGCCTGAGAACCCCCACACCCATGAGCCATTTGTGTCGCACCAAGATTTGAGAAGGATCATCAACTACATTAACCATGCCCAGTCAACGCTCAACAGCTCGGAAGCCGAGTATCCAGCTGGCGAACAAGAGTCCTACTTCTCTGCCTTATCTCCAGTCGTCTCTAATGCCGCAAACATCCCCGTTTCCGCCTTCCAGGACCATCCAGCCAACAGCAGTCTTGCCTTCACCTTCAGGGTCATTGCCAGACACGACCATTTACGCAACCAGACCACGATCCGCGACACCGGCTTGGTTGACCTCATTGTGCAAGAAGCGTACAATGAGGTGGTCAAATCTGTGGATGAATCCAACATCGACATATTGCAATTCAAAATTGAAAGTGAAAAGAACTACAACTACTGGAACCACTCTGTGTTTGGCTCGTTGTTGTTGGTTGGTTTAGGGTGGCTTAATTGATAGTTTTTATTTCCCCACCTATTTTATATTTCAGCATTTTTTCAGCATTTTTTTTCTGCCAATTGGCAGATTTTCATATTCTTTTACGGTTTTCGGTTTCTTTCCTGTTTAGTATTTTGTGCATTTTGGCTGTCTCTTTGTCTCATTATAAGAGCCCATGTTCGACTGGTGATAGTTCACCAAATATATCCATTCTATTTCACTGAAATGTGAGGGACAATGATTAAGCATGTGATTAAACATATCGTGATGCTTGACCAGTGTGGGATCTCAAGATTATGAATATTAAACTCAAGGTCATATCCAAGAAGCCTAGAGGTAAAAAGGTAGAGAGTTCAATGAGCCCTTTTATCTTCTGTTTTAGACCGACAGTACGATGTGTAGAATCTGTATCCAGGAAAGGATTGGTACGCTTTCTCGAGCCAAGGATTTAGAGCTCTACGGCCGGCAAACAGTAACCCTCAAGTCCAGAGGGGCCATATAAAGAGGTAGTTTCCAGTAGATGGAAAATGAATTTAGTTTAAAAATATTTTTATTCTTGTGGAAGATCGTGATTGTATTAAGTGGGTTAATTTGATAGTATCTTGTGAACAGATGACTGACTACAACCCCCTGACTGGAATCCTATCAGTAATCTTGAGATTGGGTGTTCTAATCACCCTTCCAAGATATGTTTTTGCTTCCCTGTGTATAGTTCAGGCTATACTCTACTGGGGATATTACTTTTGGCAAATGGGACTCCAGGTTTAGTAAAATTGGTACTTATTGGAAAATAAAATCTGGGCTTTGACACACAATAACTATCACAGAAAATATGTACTCTAACCGTAAAGAGCTTGGCTCCTATGGAGGCTTTAAACTAACTCTGAGGCTAGGCTTTAAGTTGTGATTTGCGCGATTTACTAGCGTTCTAGAAACAGCCAAGACACTGTACCCTTTACACAACTATTGGCAGTTCATGAATGACCGCATTATAGATTCTTTGATTCAATTCAGGACAAAAAGCTCGAATTTATGTATCAACATCCATCGTCATAACTATCACCGTTGAGGGTTGCAGGTAGATACGGCTCAGTTGGAACACAAGGTGGGTAGAGGACTATCTCATTGAGCCCATACTGCGAGAACCCCAAATAGATTTATTCTAACATTTATCTGGGAGCAAGCGAGTATTCCAGATATTCTGCATTTTGTAGTCATAGTCGATCTGGTTTACGACGTTAACTTCAATTTCCTATAATTAAAAAAACAGTCAAAAATATGCATCTTTTGGTTCTGTAAGTTAATCATACTTCCTTCCAGATAGGGAAATATCTATGTTTGTTAAACTAGCCTTATTCCTAAAAGGGCTACGCGAGCCGGTAAAGAGTCTCAGAAATTTACATAGCAATACAAAAACCAGGTTTCTGCATTCAGATATCGTTATCTAGCTGTATGCGATGCACCGACAAGGCAATATGGGGACACAACACGTAATATGACGATAACAGACAGGAATGTAAAATCGAATATTGACGAAAGCTTAAATCTGTAAAACGTAGTGAAAGTCACGCGGCGGCTGTAAATTGAAGATGTCCCCTTAGGAATTCCCCTACTCGCCCACACGCTTTTTAGAGTGCTAGACCCAGGTATCTGTATTTTCGCCAAACAGAACCCCCCCTCACTTAACTTCCTATTAGCAGCAATATCGCTGCCTGATGTAATCTTGGATCACTTTGTACCTGAGATATGACGCCCCCAATCCTTGAACTGCTGACCAGGCGTCTGTGGGCTAGCTCAGATGCAGGCTAAAATTTAACCAGATGAGGTAGTCATACCTCTGCGAAAGCTCAAAGTAGAAGTTTGTAACCGGCAGTTATACAAGGGGGGAGGTGGGATTTTAGGGTTTTCTAGACGCACAGGGGGATGGCTACCCGGAATATATATTAGTCATTTGAATAATGTGACATCAGGTGCAGAATCTCAATCACAGGCTTACCCTAACCGGTTATTTATGTAGAGCCGAACACATCGGGGGGGGGGGGGGTCCACTCGATGGCCCGTCCATGGAGATCTAGCACAAAGAAGGGAGGGAACATGGCCTGATATAGTGCCATCTCTCAACCGGGGAGTGTCTCTCACAGGCCAAGATAGGCATTTAACCAGACTACAAAAGGTGTAAATAAGTAACCTGTGACCAGGAGAGCCCTTTGAAATAACACAGAAATTTATACGGGATAGGTATTAACTGAGGAGTTTTTGATGCAGGGTGGTTGATACGGACATGTATTCCTAGCTATGGGATTGCAATCAGAGACAGATGGTGCTATATGAGCACGTTTTCAAGTCCACCCTCAGGGACGAGTTACTGTAGGAAGAGCCCTTGGTACCATTTATTGACCCACCCAAATTGGATATGTTTCTTTTTAGATGTGTCTTCATGTATTTTGCCGGTTTCTCCTGCTCGTGTAAGACATGTCTGCCACCGTTCAAGCATCGACACAGTTCTGTATGTAGACCCGGGCCCGCATGCAGATCCAACCCCGGAGATCCCCCAGGCGGCATTGAAAAAGAAACGTGTACTTCAAAGTCTCAAAATGAGTTAATAATACACTCGGATATTGGTAAGGGCAGGCCAGAAGACCAACAAGACAGGCGGGATCCATTCATGGCAAAGAATATTTAATTTCCGGAGCCTACAACTATTGTTAGATCGTAAAAGCTTTCTTCACCGGCTAGGATTAGGCTTCCCTCAGCTGGGATTATACTTCCTCCTCAGCTGGGATTAGTCTTTCAGTCCAACCGGGGTTAAACCTCTTACCCCAGCTGGGATTAGACCTCCAGCCCAGTTTTCAGATAAGATACGAGTTTACCGTTCTATTTTCACTACCCCATGGGAGCTAGAACACGTCGTGGTTCTGGACAAGGCGTGGAATGCTAGGCGTTCTATTCTGCCGGGATAGAGTTCCAATCGCCCGGTCCAGGCTCTGTCTAAACTGCACATCCGCATTTTATGCGCCACATAATTTTATTTATGACGTCTTTTGGCCCTACTCAAACCCCGGTAACACCATATCCACAAACGGCTCTATCCTTGTTGCACTCAAACCGCCCGTATAGCTCATTGAAATCCAAACGAAGTTTAGGGGACGGAATACACCTGTAGAGTATTTCCCTTAAACTTCTCGTTTTTTTTCCGGAGAGGTAACGTCCCATTAGGCTCGTGATGTGAGAACTCAAGAGTGCGGTGCCTCGGTGTTCTGATGAAGAAAACTTGAAGGTACATGCGTAGTGAAAACGCACTTAGGCTTAGGAGACGTTAAATTAGTGGCTTCTAGGCCAAGGGTGGGAAACTAGACCTTATGATTAGAGCCTAGTATATATAACGAGGAGTGCTTGCCGATTTTTCCTGCGTCAATATTGTGACACTAACTCATACACAGCTAACTAAACTTGTGCCTAGATAGATACGTATCGTGGTCGCTACGTCAGCTCCTTATTCCCGATATTGCTTACCCAAGACAAATTCGCACCTTCTGACAAGTCTCCTCGGTACAGCTAGCTGAGCTTTGCAAAAGTTTAACGTTAGTGCTAAAAACCTATTTATATCCTATCTGCAGGGAGTCTAGAAAGGCCTATTTCGTTCAAAGGACAATCACAGACCTGGCTGCGCCGCTGCTATCCACTTGCTTTTCGCATTACATCATTCTGCCTTGGCTGTTGAGCGAGAGAAAAATAGACTACGCAAACAAAAAAAAACTATTGTTATCCCACCTTGTAAACATTTCACAACGAGCACACACTCTTCCCGCTGAAACCACAGAAAAAACACGTATATACCAAAATACGCCACTAAAACACCCCCATCATAACGTAGCTCCTCCTATTGCTAGTTTTCCAACCCAGAGCTAGTCTCCTACTTCCAATATTAACCGCCTAACCAGCATATCGCCACCTAGAGCTATCACCCAGAGCTATCCCTTAGAGCTATCCCTTGGAGCTATCCCCTGGAGCTATCCCTTGGAGCTTTGACCCCTCCGATTTCTCTAATCTCTACCGTTACCCCCCATCTCGTAGCATGCTATCCAGTAGATCCCCTGCGATGGCATCACCCCACTCTATGGTGTCACCGCACTTCTCATTTCCACACACACCATCGCCGATATCACACGCCAGCTCTTCGCCCCACAGCCACAAGAAGATGCCGGCATATAACCCACTCCGAGAACTCAACAGTCCACGTCCCGCCGAAGGCAGTGATTACTTCAGTCTAGCACCCCCGAAGACATCCAAGGCTCCTCTCGTGACACATACCAACGATCCCTCGAGTCTCTTTGATGTGCCGCCCTCGCAACGGAATGGAAAGCAGTTGGTTCTCGATACGTGCCATTCAAACTCGTCCGTCACATCTTCCCACTCCGATTTCCACAGCGCCCAGCCCGGCCCCTGTAAGTCCGCCACGCCAGCGTCAGATGCCGACGGCGAAGACTCGCCCTTCCCCGGCCACAAGGCCAAGCAGCTCGGCCTCTCTCCCGCCGAGGATGTGCTCCCCTTAGGGGTTCTGCCGTTCAAGCCTCAGCCCCTTATCCGCAGCTCCACTTCTCTCTCACAATCTTCTGCCACCAGTGGCGCCTCCGCATCCTCTGGTAGCTCTGTCGTCACCATTCCCCGGTTCCCTCACTCGGCCATCGAATCGTCGTTCGACTTTGAACAGGGCGCAGTAAAAACTCCACAGAATATAGGCCACAAAACCACCATGTCGTTACAGCTTCCGGATTCCAAGCTGTTACCGTCCAAGTTGAAGAACCTCCTGACCAAGAGGGGCCTGCCGAAGGTACTCCTACCTCCATTAACCACCGCCAACTCCCCGGTGAAAGCTTTTGTGTCTACTATGCCCTCAGCCACGAAGATGTTAGGCGGAATTCCGCAGGGCCACTTACTCAATTTCCAGGCCCTTCCCTCGCCCATCGGCGGCCCCAGCTTACCTCGCTTGAAGCCGAAAGACCTCACGTGCCCGATTCCGGCGTGCGTGTCGTTTCTCCCGGGCGCGGTGCTCCACGACTACATCCGGAATATCGTGAAGAACGAGCATTTGGTACCGATGAACTTGCTTATCATCGATACCAGACCGTTCACCGATTACGTCAATGACCATGTGGTGGACTCGCTCAACATCAGTCTTCCTTCGACGTTGCTTCGGCGCCCTAACTTCAACCTAGCTCGTATTATCAACTCCTTAAGTGACTACGAGCAGTCGGTATTTCAGAACTACGGGGCGATGAACAAGCCTTCGACTATGGCTGGCCCTTTCTTCAACAACGGCGTCCCTAGCGGCGAGTTCGGGCTCCCGGCCGTGCTCCTCTACGATAACTCCTCCTCGGATGACACCGCCTCGTCCGTTGCCATCTCATACATGGCCTCCAAGTTTTCCCTGAACGAGCTGTGGAATGCGCCCGTTTTCATCTTGCAAGGAGGGATCCATCGGTTTAAGGAGGACTTTCCCGAAATGGTCGAGTCGGGCACGAATGAATCGCTTAACGTTCCACCCACTCCAAAAGGAAACGGCTCTTTGAGCAGATCCAACTCCCACAAGTCTCCCCGTCCAGTCGTCAGCTCCCCGGTGACTGAAAGCAGCACCTTTCAGCACTCTCCGGGCACTGCTCTGTCTTTCCACCTTCCAGCGACATTAGATACCGCGCGTGCCAAAACCGAGCCTAGAACCAAGGCCGAAAGCATCCGTTCACATACTACCGTTTCAATGGACTTCAAGCGCCCAAAACCCCCGGCCTTGGCCAGATTTGTTCTCCCGGCTGCCGCCAAGCCAGTCTTCAAGACCAGACACCACGAGGAGGTGTCTTCTGTCGTTCAGGATCCTACTCTCACTCTCAACATCTCCTTGGAAGACTGTTCCAGCGGTGAGGTTAGTGCATTCCCCGAGTGGCTCACGTCGTTCATCTCCGAAGAAGATATGGTGGAGTACATGGCCCTCAAGTTCCAGTTCTTGGAGAACAAGGAGAAGGAGCGCATGAACTTTATCTTCTCTCACTGCCCGGATTCCAGAGCCCGTGCCAGGGAGGCCTGTACCCGAATGCTTGCGGACGAGTTGGATAACATGGGCATGCCGAACGCCGGGCTCGAGCTCGGGGCAAAGAATCGCTACAAGGACATCTTTCCGTACGAACACTCGCGTGTGAAGTTGGGCAACTCATTGAATGGCTCTGATTACATAAATGCCAACTACTTATCGTCCACCGGCGCCGACTGCCCCAAGTATATTGCCTGCCAGGGTCCATTGAACGACACCATAGGTGACTTCTGGAGATTAGTGGTTGAGCAGGGATGCCCAATCATCTTCTCACTCACTGACAAGGTGGAGGGCGGCTCAGTTAAGTGTGCTGCTTTTTGGGAGTCCGGGGAGTACCACACCAACGGGTTGGCCAAGGTCACTGAGTTGGAGACTGTCAATGGCTTGAAGCTCAGCCATTGCGAATCCAGGATGGGGGTCGTCTTGCGCCGCTTACTCATTACCATTGACGACGCCCTTGGAGAGACCGTCAACCACGAGGTGCTCCAGATTCAGGTGCTCTCGTGGCCCGACATGGGCACCTCTGTGGAATCAGTTGATTTGATCTCTTTGGTTTCTATCAAGAGACACATCCTAGCACAGCTCAACGACGGCCAGACCAAAGGTATGAATGACCACAGCGGCCCGGTGATTGTACATTGTTCTGCTGGTTGTGGCCGCACGGGTACTTTCTGCGCCATTGACTCAGTGGTAGATAGCGTTTTGAACAATAACTTCTATCCCGAAAAGAAGCTCGGATTTGACCCTGTGTTCGATGCGGTGGATGGTTTTAGAAAGTACCGATTATCAATGGTACAGACGCTCAGACAGTATATGTTGGCGTATGATACCATTTTCATGTTTATCCGGTTGCAGTTGGGCAAGCAGAACGAGGAGTTCCTCAGACGCGACCATGAAAACTTGCAAATGGGGATCTTGAAGCGGTTTATTGATGACTTCAAGAATTTATAGGGCCCTCATTTTCCGTCTGCACCCTTTGGTTTGTCATCTTTCTGGTGAATCCGAAGGTGGGGCACGAGAATTCCGTTTGTGTGTTCTTGCCTTTCACGTTTATGTTTACGTTTATTATTTTTCTGGGCTTAGATTAATGTTTCATGTCTGCTAAAACTGTGTGGCTTTGTGCTAAAGTATCTGTAGGGTATTCACCCATGAATTTAAATGCCTTGCAGGTAACCAGGAGCTACCGTATATTTTAAGCATCTAACCAATGCGAGGTTTTGTTTACGGATCTGGGTAACAATACAAAATGTTAATTGGCCAAACAGCAAGAATCCGTTGAATTTTACATAAAACTTCCATTTCCAGCTACGTCCTAGGTATTGTGCTTCTGGCCTGAACCACGAAGGCAAATGTATCGGTTATGCGCCCTGCGCCAACATCTGTGAGATAACTTCTCCATACAGACTATTTTCATGAATATACGGGAAGTAAAGTGTAAACACCCGGGCTAGTTGAAGTAATATTACATCCTACATCAGCTGAGACGCTCGATAAAGTTACTACGTCTCCGACACAAGACCCAAAATAAATCACATCGCCCATCCGGCTACTTCCTGAGACCAAAATCCAGATACGCTTCTGTTCACATCTTTATGAGGCTAACACGAGCGAAAGCGCTACAAGAAAATCCCAGTGACCGAATACTAGTCTTTCGCGGTCACACACTCACTGGACGAGAGAGCATGGAAACGTTTATGGTCACCATTCGGTACAAGGATATCGCGCCCAAGAGACCTGTTGATTACACAGAGGGGATCGAACCCATCGAAGACACTCAGGAAAATGCACCTATAAAGAAGATAAAGCTCGTGTCAAAAGGGTTGAAAATTCGGATTCCTAGTGCTGCACTATCCACGTCGATTAGCAAAAACCCTGATATACCGCAACAGTGCTCCACGCCAGGGGACACGCAGCCCGCTAAACCGGATTTTTTTGCTAGTTTCGATGGTGACAGCTCTGAGGACGAGATTTTTACGAAAAGCGATGAGGAGTTACTAAATCAGCTATGTTCGCCTGCGGATACCGTGCAGAACTCTGCCCCGATCACTGCCCCGATCACTGCCCCGGTCACTGCCCCGATCACTGCCCCAATCACTGCCCCGATCACAACTCCTAAGGCACCTACCTTTGACGTCACTCTCAGACTCCCTCTGAGAAAAGCCGGGATCACCCTTAACGTTGCTTCAGTCCAGAAATCTATAGAAGTACCGCAATCACTAAATCTCACTACCTCGGTAGCCTCGGATACTTCTCCCACCGTTTTTGTAAAGACAGAGCACTCCACCAGGGAAATCCCCCTAGCGCTGGCGCAGTCACCCACCACTGATATACTAGGACAGTTTACCCTGATTCCCCACAAGTTCCTCACAGAGTTGGCGTTCGCAGGTCTTTCTCTCAGCGAGGAGGATGCGGAAATAATTGAGGAATCCATCAAAGTGTCGCTAAATGACTTGATTTTACCCACAAAAATCACAAAGCCTGTTCGTTCGTTCAAGTGTCGCCATATTCAGTGTTTTGACTTGAAAAATGTCTGTGACTTGTACAACCTCAAACCGCCAAACATCCCCACGGCCGCGGTCGCCTTTAACAAGCGACACTACGGCATGTCAGTAATGGCTTCCAATCCCAAAACGTACAGCAAAATCTCCATGGCAAGGCCCGTCCCGGAGCCCCAGCCCTACACGTACACCAGCCGCAAGCATGAGGTGAAGAGTGCCAAACCTCACATCGAGTTGCGCCGCTGTCCTGTGTGCGACGTCAAGTTTGACTTTTACAAAGATTTGTATTATTCAGACTTCTATTACTACATTTTGCCCAAGGTCAAGTACCGGGACGATATCGATGTGTTTGAAATCGTTCCAGAAACCGTGTCGTATCGGTTTGTGCTAGAGGAGAAGAAGCCTCAGGTAGCAAAGAAGCTGGAGAGCACACCAGAAATTATTGATTTAGACGATATCGACGAGAATGAGGATACATCTTATCTCTATAGAAAGACACAGCCCCCGCCCCCACCTCCGCGTGCCCCTCCACCCCGCCAGAGCTACGCCAGCATGCCGCTTGCCAGGCTTCCGCATCCAGTCCACGGAATGCGTCTGATTGCTAGCGCATATATTTTTGACTCAGATGACGGTTTGGACGACGGTTTGGATGAGTTGTTTCTTGGACTAGCAGAGAAACTGGGTGCGGTGGGCACCCAAGAGGACCCCCTTGTGATTGATTAGAAGATTCATTGTGCACAGAGACTAGCCACTTTGTTGGATGATACCAGAAAGGATGGCTTCATTGGCCAGTGCTCCTACCTGTCATACACCCTCTGTAGCTTGTCATGTCAGTCTAGCTGGTTCAACCAGTTTGCTCCCGCGGAGGAACCAGCAAGGATGGAAAAAGTTTTCTCATAAGTGGAGTTCATCTGAAATTACGGTATTCTACATTTGTGGTCTTGTCAAATACGGCTGTGAATGGCTTCTCGTTATCAATCCGGATGATGGTTCCCTCCGTGTACCAGCTTCCTTGGAATGCGACCGATAGGCGCAGAACAAGCCGGCCTGGTTATATATATGGATTCTAAAGCAAAGAAAAGAGCCAAACACACCAGATACGTACTAGTGCAAGGCGTTATCTCATGACCTAGGCGGGTGGCCATTGTAATTAATCCCCAGGACTTGGGCGAAGGAAATAGAACATAGCAGATCACTTCGGTGTGCCGTTTTCCGGTTTCAAGCCGAGGAATAGCCAATACCGAAATGGTAGTCGTGCTCTCTCTTTTAGGGGCTTACAGGACCTTCTGTGAGCCTCAGTCATTTCACTTTATATAACGGCAATATTAGCATGCTGGTCGACGTCATACCACCATATATGCAGTGACAATTTCCGCCGATCTTGCCAACTTTTATAACAGGAATACCTTAGATTTTTGGTCCCTTGTCTCTTGAACCTCATCTTATTCCGCATACTAATTGATTTTCCCTTCTGGTTTTAAACCTCCTTCAGCGGCGGTTGGCGTAGCTATATTGTAACAACCTTGGAAACCCACTCGGCATCACTCATAACCAATGCGCCAGTGCCTGCCTGCTGCGCCAAGCCACATATGGCGTGCGGACACCAGCCCTTTTAGGGATATAGCGGCGCCTGGCGTTTATCAGATACGTGTGCTTCGTTTTGACACTTTGCGATTCATTGCATTCAACCACAATGGATACCACAGAAGAGGCGATGTTCCGTAAGTATGATTTACTGCCACTTGATAGCAGTGCCCTATGGTGTCTATCTCTGACTTTGGTACTAACCGTCAGGCTCTGCGGAAATGTCGTTGATCCAGCTCTATGTCGCCAGCGAAATCTCCCGCGACGTCGTGTCGGTATTAGGGGAGCTCGGAACGGTCCAGTTTCGCGACTTAAATGAGGGCATTAGCTCGTTCCAGCGGTCGTTTGTTAAAGAGGTGAGACAGCTCGATATGCTCGAGAGACAGTTGCGCACGTTGGAGGACATCATAGAGAGCCACCCCGAGGTGCACGTAACGCGGACACACGTGACAGCGCTCATCCAGTCAAACATGTATAATAAGGCACCGGTCGCGGCGGAAATGGAGGACTTGATGCAGAGCATCGCGGGTATCGAGGCGCGCGTCGTAAACTTGCAGCGTGCGCGCGACGGTCTTGCGCAGCACCGTGCCGACTTGGTGCAGAACCGCTACGCCATCAGCATCTGCGATGCATTTTTCCGCGGTCCAAGTGCTAACCCTATCCGCGTTTCCATAGAAAGGAGCGGGTTGCTCGACCTGGAATTTGACATCGAGACTCAGGAGGTGAATGTCCTGGGATTCGACCAGGCATTAGATGCGCGCACCCAGGAGACGCCCCTGACTACATACGAGCCGCAATTGCGCTTGAACTTCATCACGGGGATCATTGACCGCGCAAAGCTCCCCCTTTTGACAAAGATCTTGTGGCGGACCCTTCGCGGGAACTTGGTCATGGACAGCCAGCCTGTCGACGCGTTATTACCAGACAAGAACGGTGTTCCCACGGCCAAAGACGTGTTTATGGTTTTTGTGCAAGGTGAGATGTTTAAGGCGAAGGTGCGCAAGATCATCGAGTCCTTGGAAGGGGTCATCTACCACGTCGACCAAAGCCAGCCGGAGCGTGTGGCAGCCTTGGAGGGGCTCAACGCGCGGCTCATGGAGGTGGAGCACGTTCTTGACGGGACCGAGGTGCACTTGGGAGCAGAGTTGGCGTACGTCGCGGAACACATCGAGCTGTGGGCAATAACGGCAAAGATGGAGAAGTCGCTTTTTGTGGTGCTTAACAAGTGCGACTACGACCCGACGCGCCGGTGTCTCATTGCAGAGGGGTGGATCCCGCGTGATCAGTTGGGCGGTGTCAAAAGCGCCTTGCGTGACGTGACGGAGCGTTCCGGCACCAACATCACATCTGTCGTCAACGAGTTGCAGACAAACCGCACGCCGCCGACGTTCCACCGCACAAATAAGTTCACCGCTGCATTCCAGTCCATCATCGATGCATACGGCATTGCAACGTACCAGGAGGTGAATCCTGGGCTCGCGACCATCGTCACCTTTCCGTTCATGTTTGCTATCATGTTTGGTGACCTTGGACACGGTTTTATTGTCTTCCTTATGGCGCTCTACCTCATTCTTAATGAAAAATCGCTTGCGGTATTTGACGGTGGCGAGATTTTCGACATGGCGTTCAGCGGCCGCTACATTGTGCTCTTGATGGGAGCGTTCTCGATGTACACGGGGCTCTTGTACAACGACATCTTCTCCAAGTCAATGACATTGTTTCGGTCGGGCTGGGTGTGGCCTGAAAAGTTTGCTGCGGGCGATACCATCCTGGCGAGCTTCAAGGGAACTTACTGGTTCGGCTTGGACTATGCCTGGCACGGCTCCGAAAACAACCTCTTGTTCAGCAACTCGTACAAGATGAAGTTGTCCATCCTTATGGGCTTCGTGCACATGTCTTACTCATTGTACTTCTCGTTGGTTAACTACCGGCGCCGCAAGTCGCGTGTTGATATTATCGGCAATTTTATCCCGAGCGTGTTGTTTATGCAGAGTATTTTCGGCTACTTGGCCCTCACAATCGTGTACAAGTGGACGGTCGACTGGCCGGCCGTGAACAAGCAACCCCCCGGTTTATTAAACATGTTGATCGGCATGTTCTTGTCGCCTGGGAGCGTTAACGAACAGTTATACCGCGGCCAGGCAGTGGTTCAGGTCGGTTTGGTCGCTATCGCGTTTTTGTGTGTCCCGTGGCTCTTGCTTTACAAGCCAATGACAATTCGTAATGAGATGAATAAGGCGATTTCCCAGGGTTACGCCAGTATTGAGGATAGACTCCACCAGGACAGCTTTATCATCTCGGACACAGAGTCAACCGAGGACTTTGTCATCCAGGACGTCGTTGAGCCCCACGACACCCACTCTTTTGGCGACATCATAATCCATCAAGTTATCCACACGATTGAGTTCTGCCTTAATTGTGTGTCGCATACGGCGTCGTACTTGCGCTTATGGGCGTTGTCGTTGGCGCACGCGCAGCTCTCGTCTGTGTTGTGGACCATGACGATCCAGAACGCTTTTGGTGCCACCGGCAAGAAGGGTATTGCCATGGTGTTCTTCCTTTTTGCCTTATGGTTTGTGTTGACTGTGTGTATCTTGGTGCTTATGGAGGGAACCTCGGCGATGCTCCACTCTTTACGTCTCCACTGGGTCGAGGCGATGTCGAAGTTCTTTGAGGGTGAGGGCTATGCCTACGAGCCTTTTGCCTTCAAGACTGTGTTGACTGAGAAGGAGATGTGATGCATAGAGGGAGGTTTGATGTATATAAGGTTCAAATGGTCAGCTGTGGTGGATTCTCATGCCCAGAAACAAATCTGAATTCCTGGTTGATCAGTTTTTTTTGAAACTTAACGGATGTTGATACAGCCGTGGTGTAGATGGAAAGTCGGCAACACACCATGGCAGGCCTATTTACGTAGCTTTTCATTGAAAATTGCTTATAGCTATCAGAATACATGTAATAGAATTTGAAAAAAAAAAAAAAAAAAAAAAAAAAAAAAAAAAAAACTGTAGTTTACCGAGTTAGATTCGAATGGAGGCTGACGCAACTCCATAACGATGATGTCATCGTCGGTACTTGAGGCTCCATTCAGGTTAGCCTCTAATGCTTGTCTCGAATTACACTGACGTAAATGTCTAGAAATCAACATAAATGCTCATAACTGAAAGTATTGAACTCACCAGATTGCTAGGAAAATGGCCACCCTGTTTCGTAGCCGCCTCGTATACTCGTATTTAATGCGCTCCTTGGCTTCAAGTTCCTTTTTCGGGAACACGGCAGCCTCCGGCCGAAGCCGCACGAAATTATGCGAAGACCTGCGACGTTGTCGTGTTTATTTCACCTCCATGCCTTGACCCCAGGACCTCATCGTTGACTTTCACCCGCATAATGACGATCAAGGAATCCTCTAGCCCAAAGGAGTTGACACAGCGGTTCACTCCGTTTGAAAAGCCTGTAAACCCCATTAAGGCCCCGGTATTTGACCTCACCCCGGAACAGCAGGACAAGTACGACAAGGTGTTGGCTCACTTCACCAGTTTGGATGGGATCGCTATGAACGAGGAAGCTCCAGCAAAGTCGCCCATTACCGATGCTGAAAAGTCCTGGTTGACCAAAGAGCAGTTTTTGCGGTATTTGCGCGCTACCAAGTGGAACGTCACCAACGCCATCAAGCGTATCGAGGAGACGATGATCTGGAGAAGATCGTTCGGGTGCAGCGGTACGGAAACGGACCTCCTTACGGCAGAGTTGATTTCCGAGGAAAACGAGACGGGCAAGATGTTCATTTTCGGTTACGACAATGATAACAGGCCGTGTCTCTACTTGAGAAACGGGTACCAAAACACAAAGCCCAGCATCAAGCAGGTGCAACATCTCGTATTTATGCTCGAGAAAGTTATCACCTTTATGCCGCCAGGACAAGACACATTGGCTTTGTTGATCGACAACAAGCCGCCGGACAGCAAGTTTGTGTCTTCCAAGTTCCCGCCTTTGGGTATCACTAAGCAATGTTTGCACATCTTGCAGTACCACTACCCAGAGAGACTCGGGAAGGGCTTGTTCACTAACCTCAACTGGCTCTTCTGGGGTTTCTTAAAACTCTCCGGGCCGTTCATCGACCCGTACACGCGCTCCAAAACCGTGTATGATGTTCCCTTTGTGGACTACGTACCAGCTGAGCAGTTGGATAAGGAATTTAACGGCAGTGCTGACTTCCAATACAAGCACGAGCAGTACTGGCCCACGATGTTGAAGATGGCTGAAGAGAGACACCGGACGTATGTGCGCAATTTTGAGAGATTGGGTGGCAAGATCGGGTTGAGCGAGTACGATTTGAGACTTCCTCTGGAAGATTAGTGGAAAGGGGGTTTATACAGATATAATGATTAATTGATATAAAGACGTATACGAGGTTGGAAGTAGGATTTGGGGTGTGGGGTTAGGTTGGACTGAGAGTGATAATATCGTTTACGTGGATAGTGTGGCAAAGTATACCTCAAAACGCATATATGTGGCGCAGGAGCTGCCGGATATGAATTCGCTATGTAAACACCAGAAGTAACGGGTATGATTGATCTCCCCTCCCTAATTACACACACCATTCTCATTATGAGCACCCGCCCATTTTTATCGCACATCCCATCTAGTACTGGACCCAAGAAGGGCCGCAGGAAGGACCCCATCGAGCAGTTCATTGGCAGCAACCAGGTGATACTCCAGTCTGGGTTGAACCAGTTGCGATACATGGTGCTCGTTGAGGGACTACTCACCCCTGAAGGATACGAGGTACGTTCACCACTAGATACTTCTTGGTTGATACTAACCTGTTAGACCTGCCCGTATCGAACGTATATCTGGTCTATTCTATTGCGGGTGCCCCCGCTAGACACCCAGGACTACTTAAACATCGTGGCGCAAGGCCCGCCAGGGGTGTACGCCAAGATCAGAAACGACACGTTCCGCACTCTCACCAAGGACCTGAAGTTCAAGAAGAAGGTATCAGAGGAGGCCTTGATCCGTCTTCTCTGCGCTTTTGCGTGGGTACAAGAGTACAACGTGGAACAACAAGGGCTCCAGGACTCCACCTTGCCTATCGGGTATGTCCAGGGTATGAACGTACTAGCAGCGCCTTTCTTGTATATCAGCAAGAGTGAGACAGAAGCATTTGCCTTATTTCAGGCGGTGATGGAGCGGAATATTCCGTTGTATATCCTTCCGACGCTCAACGGCGTGCACACTGGGTTGCGACTTGTAGATATCTGTTTACGTGTCGTTGACCCCGAACTCTTTGGATTTCTCCAATCCAAGTTCTTGAAGGCAGAAATCTATGCCTTTGCCTGTAAGTAATTTTCAAGCTTGTACTACATGGTTACTAATTCTTCTAGCTGTATTAACGCTCTCAGCATGCACGCCTCCGTTGTCCGAGGTACTACACCTCTGGGATTTTTATTTCGCCTATGGTGTACACATGAACGTCTTGGTGGTTGTTGCTCAGTTGATCTTGATAAGGACAAGAATTTTCGAAAGCAGTCAGCCGATGACTTTACTCCGCACTTTCCCAGATTTACAGGCGAAGGAATTAATCAAGCTAGCAATCAGCTTCATCCCCAAGGTCCCGGAAGACATATACAGCCTTCTTGTGCGGCATCCGTTTGATTCTGGGATCCAGGATATCGTCAAGAACACAAGGCTATAAATTGGCGCTAAGCTAAATCTCGGGTTACAAAGTCAAACACGCGCAATGTGGATAAAACTCCATGATACATACCAGGTCCAATGTAACGTCCAGTTTCCCGTAGTAAATACTTCTAGGCCCGCCAACTTCAAATAAATGGTCTCCGAATACTGTTCCATAATTGTACGGTTAGGGGTCCAGATATGTACATTCACTAACGCTCAGTCAGCGGTTTAAATCTGTATCTCGGGTCATGAAAGTTCTATATACATATACGTAACATAATTCTTCAACATCTTCAGTATCCACTAGTAACAGACCCTTCTCTCTGTTAACCCTTTAGCTGGTAAGAGCTTTTGTCTTAGAAAAGATCACACGTGAAATCTTCGTCGGAGTAGAAACTTCCAACCACGGTTCTAAAATCAAAGGTCCGCCCAACCATCCCGTGCAAAGCTTGCTGGGCCCCCGAGAGAGATGAGAACTTGACAAAAATTGCACCGACACCAGGCTCAAGCTCTGCACCAACGACCGGTGTCTTGGACGGTCTGGGAGACCTCACCGCAACTACCTCACCAAAGCGAGAGCACTCCTGCTCAACTTCGTTTACCACATCAGCGTGCAAGCTCTCGGAGCTCAACTCCGCGACGGTTAGTAAGTTGTAAAAGGCAATAGCGGATGACGGCTTGGACGAGGAGATTCCGGACCCACGAGCAGCGGCAATAAGGGTCTCGTACGTCACCTCAATCTCCTGTTTGGCACCGGTGCAACTACCAAAAGCAATGGCGGGTTTTTCCTTGGAGAACGTGTTTCCATTCAACTTTTCCAACGCCGGGTTGATCAGCTTTGAATCTGCAAACTCAAAAAAGATAGTCCCCAAGAAACGCTTAGCACGCGAGTATAACGGCTGGAACGCCTTTAATGTACCAAGAGTTGCTAGGAAAGCCTTCACTTCTTCGACGTTGACCTCAGGGTCCACGTTAGTGACGGTCATCTTGAAAAACGAATCAGCAACATAGGGAAGTATTTCCTCGGAGCGCGGTTTATCATGGTTGTCCACCACCCGGGGAGTGACATACTCCTGCGGTCTGGAAGCGTTCAACACCAACTCGGTACCGGGAACGGCAAAGTTCTTCATCGATACAACCACGGTTGCAAATACAGCGTTACTGAAGGTTAAGCACAACTTGGTCTGCTTATCACACACACGGGTACTGTCAATGACCGTTTTGGGGTTTTCTGTTTCGGGAATCTCCATAGACAACACAAAGTCTTCGATCCACTTGGCCACAGTGGCGGGATCGGTCTTGGAAAAGTTACCAGGGATGATCACACTCTTGGCGGAACGCGATGCAACGGCTTCAAGATGCGAGTCTTGGTGGATCTTTGCTTCACTCTCGTCCGGCTTCAAGCTCTCGATGGTTTCATTCTTAGGTCTGCCGGGTAAGTCAAAGAGACCGGACGCCTTGGCTCTATCAGTAGAAACGCTCTCAAACCCAGAGGGCCTAATGTCCCACTTAGATCCGGCTCTGTCATACTTGTTGATCGGAATCACGTCGGCCAACTCCTCCTTGGTGTATGCATGTTTGCTGCTTCTGGGAGGGTACCCTGCGTCGCGTGTGTCTCTACCCCCGTACCCACTGTCGCGAGTATCCCTGCCTCCGTATCTGTCTCTGGAGTCACGGTGCGCACCGCGTGGCGTATAAGAATCACGACCCCTATACGAGCTGCCCCTGTCATAGAGCTTGTCGCTTCGATAGTCCTCTCTCTGCATGTGTCCTCTGGTATCACGAGGCCCAGAACGGTCGTCCCTGTATGTATTTCTGGTGTCCCTAGTGTCTCTGGTGTCCCTAGTGTCTCTTTCTCTGGGTCTGTTGTCCCTGCTGTCTCTTGGTCTGGACTCATTCAGTCTAGTATCTCTGAGGTCTCTAGGTTTGTTGTCCCTGAAGTCTTTGTCTCTTGTGTCGTCACGTCTGGGACCTCTGGTGTCTCTGGTCGGATTAGGGGAGTAGGAACTGGCGGCCCTCAGTGGGTCTCTAATATCACCATGCTCGACTGGTTTTCTCAGATACAATGTCGATTGGTCTGGCCTGGCGGCTGGCTTCTCGCCTCTGCGATCGTTCTCGTAACCGCCCCTTCTCTCGTTTTCGTAGCCATTTGAGGCTCTTGGAGCAGTGGGTGCTACACGTGTTAGTAACTCAGGGGATATTTGGAAATATCTCGGTACATACGGTTGTAACTCATGGTGGGTGATGAATGGTTGTGTTTCAGGTGTGTTTGTGTGATATGAAAGAAATGTTTTAGTATGTAGAATTTGCTTCCCCCGGTCGGTTAGTGCACGCTCTGATTGACAGATATGCGCGTGTGATATAAGACATTTTGTGAATTATGAATTAAATCTGAATAATTACAGAGCGTTGGATTAAGCATGAGTTGTTTTTACAAAAAAAAAAAATATTCAGCTGTCCGTTCTAACTGAAAGTAGCCAGGACAGATGGTACACACGAGATGAGTACAGGCATGTCCCAATGAAGCTCTCTCTTTACTCAAACCAGTAGAATATGCCAAATATTGATTGCAACAAGTTCTATAGCTCCTTGAAGCTTACAATCAATGAGTTTCATTTTATAACTATTATTGTTAGCTTAGCTTACCATAAAGATCGGTATTGGAAAGAAATGACCTTAGTATGATCTGAGGTCTTCGGTGTACCCAAATATTATCGAGGCGGTTTGCCGAGACCCGACCCAAATACTCATTAGCCGCCGTATCACACCATCAGCGTAAACAGTACACGTGATGCCACTGCCAGCGCACGTCCCGGAGCGTCAGACACCTCTGAATTCTGCTGGCGTGTACACGCCCAGAATATCGATGCAGGCAACGGCTACGTATCATCTATAATCGCTGCCTTCTCAATTACTTATTTCCTCTTCTCTTTCCCAGCATAGCACCTCAACATGCAATTCACTACATTGGTACAGATTTTCATGGCACTCAGCCCTGCGCTTGCGGCATTGGTCGGGGTGGACTTTGGTCAGGAATTTACCAAGTCGGCGCTTGTGGCTCCTGGGATTAACTTCGAGATCCTCTTGTCGGCTGACTCTAAGCGCAAAGAAGTGTCTGGTCTCGCGTTAAAGACCATCGGTAAAGACGAAATTGAGCGTTTGTACGGCTCGGACGCTGTGACGATTTGCACGCGATTCCCTAACGCGTGCGCCTTGCACTTGAAGTCGATCATGGGCCGTTCCTTGGACGATGCCAGCGCCGTGGCATACGCCCAGACGCACTTCGGCACGATCTTGAAAGAATCCAAGAACAACAGAAACACAATTGCGTTGAACATCAACAAGCAGGACTACCTTGCAGAAGAATTGCTCGCGATGTCGCTCGCTGACATCAAGGCGCGCGCGTTGAAGGAGATCGCGGCCGCGCATATCGGTGCGCAGACTGCGGACGACTTTGCAATCACGGTACCAGGGTTTTTCACGCAATCACAGCGCGCGGCACTCTTGGATGCTGCGCTGGTTGCAGGGCTCCGCGTTGCGGGGCTTGTTGACGACGGGGTCGCCATCGCGGTCCACTACGCCAGTAGCCGTGTATTCACTGAGGAAAAGGAATACCACATAATCTATGACATGGGCGCCGGCTCCACCAAGGCTACATTGGTCTCGTTTGTCCAGAACGGCACCGCGACAACGGTCGAGGTTGAAGGCTACGGCTTTGACGCGACGCTTGGCGGGCATCTCTTCACTGAATCGGTCTACGAGGTCTTGAAAGCAAAGTTCCTCGCCACGAACCACAAAATTAAGACAAAGACGTTCTTGGCGGATGCGCGTGCGCAGGCGCGCTTATGGCAGGCTGCCGACAAGGCCAAGTCCATCTTGAGCGCCAACACCGAGGCCAAGGTTGCGGTCGAGTCACTCTATGACGACCTCGACTTCAAGTCGGTCATCACGCGCGCGGAGTTTGAAGAGTACAATGCTGCGGGGATGAGGCGCATTACCAGCCCTCTTCTCCACGCCTTACAAGGCTCAACAGTCACCTTGAAGGATGTCAAGTCTGTCATTTTGGCCGGTGGGTCTACGCGCGTGCCGTTTGTGCAGGCGCACCTTGCGATGTTGGCGGGCGAGGATTTGCTTGCGCGCAATGTCAACGCGGATGAGGCTGCGGTCATGGGCGCGACCCTTCGTGGAGTCCAGCTCTCGGGGATGTATCGCTCCAAGAACATTGTCGTGATCGAGCCGTCGTTGGACGAGTATGATTTGAAGTATACCGCCGACGGCAAGGCCACGGAAGTTGCCGTCTTCCCGCGCGGCTCCACGGTCGGCAACACCACGACTGTGGAGCTTGTTGGCATCGCGGACAAGCCCTTTACGCTCGACATGTACGAGAACGGACACTTGTTGGCGCTGCATGAGTTCAAAGACATCAAGAAGGACATCAAGGCGGTGGTGGATGGCTGCGCAAGCGCAGCTGATGTCACTGTATTTGCCACATTGTCGCTCGACCCGAGCCGGATCTACGATTTGGTCAAGGTCGAGGCCCGCTGTACGAAAATGGCGGAGACTGAAACAGAAACCACCGAAACTACTGATACCAAGACGAAACCTAAAGTTAGGGGTAAGGCCACCAGAACGTTACTCGGGGTAACAAAGTACCCAAATGTCCGCCCAATGGGTACCGCCTCCAAGTTTACCTCCTCTGACAAGCTCCGCGAGCTCGTGCGCAAAGATAGACAGCGTGTGGAGCTTGCCATTGTGCGCAATGACCTTGAATCTCTCCTCTACAGCTTGAGGAGCCTCTTCGACGAGGATGACATTGTAAACAACTTCGCTCCAGGGCGTCTTGAGATTATTGCATCCAAAGTTGCTGGAGAGTTGGAATGGTTGGAATATGACAGTGACGGCGCCAAATTGGCCGAGTTCAAGACCAAGTTAGCCGAGTATCAGGCGTTGAAGTCGGAGATGCTGTTGTTTGCGCAGATCAAGGATGCTTCGTTGGCGAAGGCCGATTTTGTCGAGTTGCTCAGCGAGGGCAAAAACAAGACGTGGAACTTGCAGGACTATGTGATGGACCTTCTCGACGAATCGTTGGAGTGGGAAGGCAAGTTTACCAAGTTGGGGCTTGACTTTTCCAAGGAGTCAGCTAAGGTTAATGTCGAGTTTCCGTTCAAGAACAACGAGATGGACGACGCCATGAAGCACTATCTCGCGGAGTTTTCCCGGATAAACGGCTTGATGGATGGATCTGCTGTGGGGGTAGACGAGACTGCGTTTGACGATATGACGGATGGTGAAAAGTTCTTGTTGAAGCTCTCGTTGGAGAAGATGCTTGATAAGATTGACGGAATTTCGGCGTCGTTGACCGCCGTGTCGAGCAAGCGGAACAAGCTGCTTCAGGCGAGACTTGCCAGAGCAATCAAGAAGCAGAAGCGGGAGGAAGCAGCGGCGTTGGAAGCTGAGACTGAAGCTGAAGCCGTAGTTGAGGCTGAACACGCTGATTCTGGTGACAAGGTCGAAGGTACAGCCGAAACCAAGGCAGATACCAAGACTGAAAAAGGTAAGACGGAAAAGGGCAAGGTAGGGAAAGACAAAATCAGAAAGGGTACTTCCGGGAAGGGTAAAGCCGTCGATGCCGAAGCCGAGAAGACCAAGAAGTTGCTTGATGATTTCTTAGCGCAGATGGAGGCTGACAACGCTGAGAAAGCCAGACAGGCTACCGAGCATGATGAGTTGTAGTTTAGAGTAGAACCTGTATATTTAATCAATCAGAGAAGGAGTAATCAGGGGTATCAACGGATATTATTAGGCATAATTGTTTTGTGCTTTTTATATGGAACCCAAGAACAAAATGCTGCTATCAAGGCAGCGATATTTTGGAAGGTTAATTACCGATATATATGTCTAAAGCAGCAGATGCGATCTCTGTAGTCATCGGAAGGTTTTTGCTTTCTTTAATACTTATACAACTTGCCCTGATTCAGGTCGATGCCCATCGTCAACGGAGTCTTTGCGGTACTATTCGATACATCGTGATTAGCAATACATTTCATATCATTAGCCATCCACGTAAACAAAATTGATTAAATTAACATCTATTGTTTATCCTCGAACTAGTCAGCTTGGCTACCCCTTACGGCCCACGTTGTCTCCCAAGCAACGGGGTGAACCGGCAATCTTAGATTTGATTTTGCGGGGGTTATAGCCAAATAATCACACAGACCACAAGTTATATATTGGTTAAATCATTCAAAATATATCACCTTCGTTACTACAACTCAGTTCTTATCAATTTCAATACCTATTTTCGATACAAACTTAGCTGCTAGAAGTACACACCTGCTTCTCTACAGGCCTTTCTCAATAGGTCGCAAATTCGCCCTGAGAACATGGTTAACCAGCGACCTTTAGCCTAACACCAATTCGTAAATAATCACTATGGTGTTGATTCCGATTAACGGCAATCTCAACAACGTTCTGGTGGCGCCAATTAGGTCGACAAGCCTGGTCTTGACGCTGCCCTCCCCCGGGTTACTGAAAGCAGCTTGGTCTGACGTGGACCATCCAACTATAATGTTAGTTATCATGTTGTGGTACTTTTCCTATTGGACAGACCGCAATACGTACTTCTGCTGAGGAATCTGTCCTCACTAAGAACCGCAATGCCGTTAACAAGTAAGAGAGTGACTGTGGGAGTTAGTATTCCGTAAGGGTTACCCATAAAGCTCATACGTACCATATAGAAATTTTCCAATACCAAACATTGTGAATGTGAATGAATTAAGATGATGGAAAGGTATGTCTTTGTGTGGTTTGAAGGCCATTGAAGTCTGATGTGTTAGCGTTAAGCTGGAGAGAGAAAGCTTGCGTGCAGGCCGTTTCTGCCTCCGGCAACAACTTGGTTGGAGGCGCGTGTAATAGTTTTAGGGTGTTGCGCATTTTCAGTTTGGTGTATATTGAGGAGTAAAAGGCCGATTAACTCTGAAAAAATCGAAGTCTAGTATTATACAGGTATTCCGTCTCCATTGTACGCATTAAGGTGCATATCATAGAAAGATGTGTCAGTACTATCGATATAGATTCCAGCGCTGTTTAACAAAGAGGGCAACATACAACTGGAGGTTACGCCTCAAATCTACTGACGGTTACATCCGTTTATTTGCACTCAAGAGTACGTATCGGGGCCACTTTTAGTACGTGCATTGTCTTATTGAGGATTCACAAGATGTTTAACTCAACACCCTTTTGTAACGTTTACTGAAAACCTAGGGAGGTAATTAGAGGAACCGATTAGTGGTTGAATACGGTAAAACCAAAGGCCAACCTAATAGAAAAGTATACAAGATAAATGAAAAATTATAAAGCATGTAATCCTATGGCACTGATCCACAAACGACGAAGCTCCTTTAGAGTACCATTTAATGGTGACGGCCATGATGGCGGTCATGACGGCGGCTGTGACGGCGGTCGTGGCGGCCATGGTGATCACTGTAGTCGCTGCCAAAATCGCCACAACCGCCCTGATAATTGTGATGGCAACCATGACAGCAGCCATGGCTATAGCCACGATGACAGTTACCGCCGAGAATGGAACCACCGTGAGACATAGGACCACCACCCATGCCACCAAACGGATTACCACTTGGTCTGCAGTAAGATCCACCGTAGCCGTTGTGCCTGCGGGAGGACCTGGTGAGAAGAGAGCCTACGAGAGCAGTTCCTATCGCACCCACACTGGCACCACCAGCAAACGAGCCCATGTTGGACCTGGACGAGGAACTGCTATTCTGCGCGGCTTGAGTCGCTTGGAAATTAGAATACTGTGATCGCTGCTGTTGGTAATCACTGCTGTAGCTTGGCGGTTGTTGGTTATTGCTATAGTTTTGCTGTTGGTAGCTAGCATTGTTGTTGGGATATTGTTGTTGATTGCTAGAGAGTTTTTGTTGGCTGTCATGGGTCTGTTGGTTGTTACGACTCTGGCCATCTTGGTTATACTGGGTCTGGCCACTATATTGCTTCACATACCCAGGGGAAGGAGAGGTTGGCTTTTCCCAGCTGGATTCACCGGTGTAGATATCCACATAGTAGAACGTCTGGTATTCTTCGTCAAACTTCGCACCCCAGCTGATAAGTGGTTAGTATTGTTGCCAATAGCGGAAACTATAAACCGGTACGTACCCGTGGGGCAATTCAGGGTCCTGTAGAATGGATGAGTACATTGTTCAAAATCTGGATAGTTAATCTAGAGAGGAAATGAGGTTTAACGACTGAGTGGCAATATAGGAAGAGGGTAAAGATATAAACCTTTCGCCCCGCCAGAAGTACAGGGCTCAAGTTTTGATATAATATCTGAATCCTGGTCTCGTTTGAATGCCCCGAGCTTGTGCTGCATGTACAGCCCCCAGAGCAAGAGACGATGAAACTGCGAACATTGTCCGGTACAGATCCTTAGAAGACGCTCGCTTCGTAGGCTTAGTGCTCGCAAGTACCCCTTCCCTGTGTGGCGGAGCTTCAGGAAGCCTAGTTCCTTACCTTGAAATTTACACAATAGATGGCATTCTCTGACGGTTAATACACCTAGTATAACATTGCAACTTGGTAGCTCTCTTTTTTCGTTGAGCTGGTAGCCAAAAACTCACAAATTTCTTCCAAAAATTTAACATATAAACTAACCTCGTGCAGCTAGTGGGAATTATCAAATTGTTCCATGCATACGAAATTGGACTGCGTCAAACCCTCAGATAGCTAGCAAACACAGGATAATACTGCCACACAATAACGTAACCGATAATGCAATGGATGCTTACCGGTTATTGTCGAATTGAACTACAAATGTTAAATCTAGCTGGTCTAGGGGCACTAGAGGAACCTGTAATTATTGAAAATTATATATAAATTAAAGGGGCTAAAGGCTGACAGCGCTTTATCGGTAGTGAGAAGCGATTTCGATATTTTGGAGATTCACCACTCTCACCAATCATTCCCCCCATCGTTGTTATCATCGCCATAATCGTTGTTATTATCACCATAATCGTTGTTATCATCGCCATAATCGTTGTTGTTATCGCCATAATTGTTGTTATCGTTCCTATCGTTCCTATCGTCATTGTTATCACCGCCATAATCATTGTTCTCGCCTCCATCGTTGTTATTACCACCATAATCATTGCTATCGCCTCCGTCATTGTTGTCGCCCCCATAATCATTGTTATTGCCTCCGTCGTTGTTATCATCCCTTCCAGAATCATTGTTGTTGTCATGGTCGCTATTACGGTTGCCGCGTCCAAATCCGTCTTCATGGTCGCCATCGTGTCGTTCGTCGTCGCGCCTATCACCGAATCCACCATGATTCCCGCCACCGAAGTCACCTCCAAACATACCTCCCGTGCCGAATCCGTCATTGGGAGGGCGGTTGTAAGAACTGCTGAACCCACCGTACCCAGGATAATAGCTATTGCTAGAAGATGAGTTATGGGAGGCACCATGGGATCCAAGGAGAGAGCCCAAAATCCCACCAATCCCGGCACCACCTGCAGCACTTGCAAGGGTACCAATGTTGAATTTTGAGGATGAAGACGCCTGTGTTGTAGATTGGTTCAGCAGCGATTGTGGTCTTTGCTGGGGCTGCTGATATTGTTGCTGGGGCTGTTGGTATTGTTGAGGCTGTTGTTGGTATTGCTGCTGTTGGTGTTGCTGAGTGTTCGGAGGAGGACCCGGAGGTCTGTCATTATTCTTTCTGCGGAAACCAGGCGAGGCAGTGTTTGGCTTTTCCCAGGTGCTTTCACCGGTATAAATATCGATATAATAGTATGTTTTGTACTCCTCGTCGTATTTCTTCCCCCATCTTTCAACAAAACTAGTTAGCAAACATCGGCGTCAAAAGGAATGTATACGTACCCTTGGGGAGAGTCGGGATCCTGTCTGATTGGTGCTGACATCTAAGCTCGGGTATTAGTTTACCTTCGGGGTACTCTGCGGAGTTGAGAGTATAAATATAATGGATATTTTAGGCAAAGTATGCTTGGTTCGATGTTTCTGTGAAAGCGGGTAAGCCCCAGGGATGGACCAGGGCGTCTGTGCTTGCAAGTCACGGCTTATCTCTGCGTTTCTGGAACCTCAGGGGTGTGGGCCTCAGCCCGCCTCAAACTCAAATGTGGTTGACACGCTAGTGAAATATTGTTTGCCCCAGACTGATATCCAGTTCTTGGAGCAGCAATCTTGGATTAATTTAAGTTATAAGTTAGCTCAGTAATGTGACTCCATGACCAATACTGAGTATAGCGATGCAACAACGTGACTCTGCAACAACGTGGCTCTGCAACTTATTTCTAGACCTCGTGACTCCGCTCATCTAGCTAACTCCCTCTATTTATATACTTTCATTCTGCGGATGTAGGGTGCGTAAAACTCTCCCTTCGTTCTCTTTTTCCTTCGATAGTTTGACAGACGCAACAAGCTAGCACAACGAATGCACTAAAGTGTAATCGCCAAAGTGATGCGGGATCATTCTGGGCCCTGGACCACCACTTCTATTAAACCCAAAACAAGCTCTATCGATTGGATATACAATGTAGATATTGAAGCTATGAAAGTGATACAATTATAAAATACGCGTGATAAAGGAACCAAAAGCGAAAAAAAGGATCCTGGGTACAGGCCGTTAAAGAGAAGTATGGGTTTTTTCTCTGATTTCGACCTCAACATCAGCCTTGGAGGTGAGAGACCCTTGTCCCATTTCTTCCTCCAGGGATCCAACGTCACCCAATAAGCTGATGTCAAAGCCAGTACTCTCCAAGTAGGTCAAGAAACTGGAATCTTCCTCCTGGATAGCTTCGGTGTCAACTCTTGGCAAGAGGAACAACACCATCAACCCGGAGAAGATACACAATGAAGAAGCAACCCAGAACGGAGCTTGGTTACCAGCAGTAGTATCCGCACCACCGGCGTTCTTGATGATAACTGGGAAAACCCATGTACCGACAAAGGCACCAATCTTACCAATGGCAGCAGCAATACCGTAGTACTGCCCACGGATGGCAGTAGCGCTAGTCTTGGATGCCAATAACCCAATGTTATCACCTGGTCCGAACTCACCCAACGTCATGAAAATGCCGTACACGACAACGAAAGGACCGGTGTGTTGACGCAATGTTTCGTACTTGGCCGCCATGATGAAACCAACCAAAGCCTGGAGAATAACACCCACGGAAAGGGTAAGACGTGGGCCAAAGTAGTCAGCCGAAATCGCACCCAAAAAGGCACCCGGAATGTAAAACAAGTTTAACACAATGTTCCAGCCAAAGGTCTTGTAGAGGTCCCCATCTGGGATAACCTGCGCGATAATGTAGGAAGAGTAGATGCCGAAGGCGTACGCCGAGAAATCGTAGATGAACCAGACAAGAGAAACAATCGTCAATCTAAACCAGTAAAACTTGATAACACTCCAGTACGGAACGCGAGTTCTCTTGAAGTTTAACTTGGTGAATTGCTCACCCTCCTTGAACTTCAAACGCAAGAAGAACAAGGAGAGCGGCGGAATAGCACCAAGGCCCAAAGTGATTCTCCAGACCGGAGTCAAATGATCCTTCCCACAGATTACGAGTAAAATGTATGGAACCACCGCCGAGACAACGAACCCGAAATCAATCATAAAGTTGGTGAACCAGCAGAACCATCTGTTTCTCTTACTCGGTGGCATTAAAGCAGAAGCTTCGGCACAGGCGACAGACCCGGCCGGGTATTCGCCACCAATACCGACCCCAAGGAAGAATCTGTAGACAGTTAATGCGGTAAACAACCCATTTGCATCGCTAGCGTTCTTACCCCACGAGCCAGCGCACAAAATGGCAAAGATAATCAAGATAACGGTCGATACCATCATCCCGAGCTTACGAGAGTGGTAATCAGAAATGTATCCGAAAACCAACTGTCCCAAAACGGTACCGGCAAAAGCAATAGAGGAGACATTGGAAATCACGTTCGAAGTCGCGTACTGCTTAGGGTACAAAAGACGCAAGCACGTAGAGGCAGTACCAATAGAGTTATTCACGTACCCGTCGGAGAACAAACCAGCACCAGCGGTGAAGATTGGCCATTTAGACGGTTTGCTCGAAACACGGAGCTTTTCGTTCTTCATGTCAACGGTCGCACTTCCACCGGAAAAAACTTCGTCATTAGCATTGAAGTAGTGGTGGGAAGACACGTCATCAACGACGGTGTTCTGCATCTTTCTCCTGTTTAAGATGGTCATCTCCGCTCTCGCCCGGGGAACCCAAGACGTGAAGGAGGTTGGTAAATCACGGGTAGCCATGACTAGTTGTTATGCCGGGAAAGATGCTTGTGGGCTGAAAAATACGTCACTAGATACGCGTTTATATTGGTTTCTTCCTGGGCAGATTAACGAAAAGAAAACCAGGGTTTGAAAGCGATGGCTTGTGGTGGCAGGTTTAGATCGTTAAGCTGAGCAATACAGGAGGAATGGAGGGTGAATAAAATACTCGCTGGGAGGTGCGTATTTATAGTAAAAGAAAGCAGCGGTAGGGTGGGAGAAAAGAGAATGAGAATCCCAAGTCCGGGTGGCCTGAGACGTTGGGAGGGTTTAAACTTGGATTCCCACGACGACAATCGTGCGCATGGAAAATAAATTGCCTGGATTCATCTGGGTAGAATCACATCACTACATGCATGGTCATTCTCGTTTTAGCACGGGGAGATAGTCAATTATTTAAATTTTCTGCCGTAGGTTTGACGCACAACGTGCATAAGTATTCCTCAGTAATATTAATACGTCGTCATTACCTGCACCGAAAGAAGTTTCCCAGTACCTCACGCACACGGACAGAAACCCAAAAGAGCTTAGACTGGAAACCAGACGGCGCTACCGCAATAAATCAAGTCACCGTCACGGTATTCAGGACCTCCGGTACCGAGTAGTGATAAAATTTGGATTGGCCCCCGAGGCATTCATCCTAAATGTCGTACGTGGTTTGGTAGCTTTAGTTTGGGTTGTATAATTATTCACCCGTCAGCGAAATTCAGTTCCGACTACCCTTCAGCTAGATTCGGGTCGCGGGGTATACATCAGGTTTTTCGTATGCACGTGGAGAGGGCTCCTGGGCGGAAATTTACGTAGCCCCTCCGCAGATCAAACTCTACGTGAATACATAAAGCTGTGTATCTGCCCAGTGCGTTGCCAAGCCCATGCGATATGAAACTTTCCACGTACGGCGATGTGTAGCCACGTTTCGATGTGTCGTTTATTTCTGTACTCGGATAGTCATCTAAGTTTGGTGGATTGACGCTGTCAATTAATAAGCTATTTCTCGCGCACGTTTATAGAGACACGGGGTTACTCCTTATGCGCCCATGATTTTGGGCACGTGCGGTTTTTATCTGCAGGACGAGATCTACCCCTCAACAATTCGAGGGTTCTCGGTGGTCCTCGGAGCCAAGCTACTCATCCATCCGAACCTCCAGAACATGCGGTACCGGTAACCGCCGGTTAATACGCTTGTATTGTTTCGGTTTGGGCATATTTACTATAACTGGGCCAGATTCAGTGTTGCTTTATGAAACTGGGTAGCATTCAAAAAACGACAGGTTCGAGATTTCCATCCGATAGCTGAGGATGTGTATCGCAAATCCCATGTGAGTCAAGCCACCCTGAAGCATTTTCTCCCGTAGTCACTCCAGGATTCCCTTACGTTCCGGAAGTATTCATGTTTAAAACTGCTGTATATGTCCCCACCCCCGGAGAATTTCTGGAAATAAGCCCCGTATTCCTGGTCGGTACAGTATTGGATATACTTTTTATACAGGGTGCCGCTGTAAGCGTTTTGGTGAGAGTAGATATAAATGTCTCGTGCTATTAAAGCAGTGACTATTTAGGTATACGAGTAACGTGTATATCATTCAAGGCAATGTAACCTACGTGCAATTATGTGCACGTGGTATAGTAATTATCGATAATAAAGAGATCTAACGTCTTTAACGCATGGTGCGGACCAGGAGTATAATTTACGCTAAACGCGCTAAAAGCGGAAAATTCGTGCGTTTCGTAAAAGCAAATTTGTATTCCTTGTAAAGGAAGCTTGGGTAATTTAGACTGTGATGCTTGTGAGATCAATAGGAGATGCCTGATAACACCTACGGTATGAGTGCTGAAGGCTGTTTTACCCCTATCGATCGAATTATCATTGGGATACTTGAAGATGTGAGAGATGCCCAATCTCAGTTTACTAGTCAAAATATTTCCATAGCCCAAATTGTTTCCACGGAAAATGTTGTATATTTTAATATAAATATTTTTAATAAACAATTCACGTAAACTTTACAGCTAATCAATTATGTATTTAAAAAAAGCTATATGGTATATGGATAATTTTATTATAATTATATTATACACACAAGCGGTTGAAGCAACTAAATTCAATCTCTAAAATTTAAATTCAGTTTTAGTGCTGGATGTAATGGTACTTACACGTCACAACCCTAAGGAATATATAAATTAACCAATTTCTATGCATCAACAATTATCAACAGTTAATACCCGTTAGGACTTTTTAAAAAGTATATGTACGGGACAACCCAAGTCCGGGCCTGTTGGCTTCCGCAGCTTTGATGCGGGATCTAAACCGCACTTGCATTCTTTCATTAAAGTCTTCCACATCGGCGTATTCTTCGAGCCATGCCTTTTTGAAGGGTGCACTTTGAATCTCTTGTGGAATACCCTTCATCGGAACCCAGAGAGATAACCCGGAGTAGACCACATAAGAGACGATGAATCCCACAAAGAAGTTCACATTATAAACATAGGTGGCTCCAATAGGGACAGGGGTGCCGACATTGCCAACAAACCCAACAATATTGGGCAAAATCCCAGAAATATACCCAGCATAGGCTCTCCAGTTACAGCCGATCCGGTTAAAGGTGTACGCGGCATCACTATCACCGGAATACAACTCTTCAAGGACGATATAGCCTCTCCTAATAAAGTAGTAATCGGCAGCAACCACGCCGGCAATCGCAGACAAGAAAATTGCATAGGCTGACAAGTAAGTAGTGAACTTGTTGGATGACTCCATCAAGTTCCATGGACAGATGCAGATGGAAATGGCCGCACAAACATACCCACCTCTTCTAATGGTAATGAAACGGGGCATAAGAGCTGTCATATCGGTACCAGCAGAAAGGGAATTGGCGGAAATGTTTGTCCCGAGCTGGGCTAACCCGAAGGCGACAGAAATGAAAAACACGCCAGCACGGTTCCCTGAGCTATAATTGTCCAAGAAGCGTGCTAGCACGTCTAACGGAGACCAATACGTTTCACCGTACATAGAGGCAGACGCGGAGGAAACGAGGATGCCGATTAAAGAGGTAAGAGAGAAACACACCGGAACAGCGACAAGTTGGGAATAAATTGGAGCGATCTTAGTATCTGCAAAACGAGAAAAATCTGGGGAGTTCACGATCAACGTGGCAAAGTTGGCAAGCGAGTTCATAGTGGAGCTGACAAAAGCCCAACCAAACGCGGAACCAGTCAACGTGGCTTTGGCGTGGATAACTGGTCCAATACCGTCGGCCTTGAGGACGGTCCATAGTAAGAACCCAACACCAGCCACGGGGACAATATACGCCTTAACCGTAAATAGGTGTCTTATTTGGTGTGGGGGAAACCAAATAAATGGCAACGAAATCAACCAAGTCAAGAAATAACCCAAGAACTGGAAGGAGGTGGTTCCCGATGATGGGATTAAATTTGGAATTCTTGTATCTAAATCAGTACCAAAGATGGACATCAACGTAATCTGCATGCACTGGCCGAAAATCCAGTTCTGAACGGCGTACCACACACACGCCATGACAACTCTGTTAATAACAGGCCAAACAGAACCGTAAATTCCGAAGGATGATCTGCAGGCAACGGGAAAGGATATGTGATAACATGAACCAACACGCGACGAAATAGTAATAAAACACCCGGCGATAAAATAACCCAACCAGACAGAAATCCAAACCTGCCACCACGCTAGTCCCAGGACCACACCGGTGGAAGCAATCTGCCAGGTGTTGACATTGAAGGACTCAGCAATCCAGAAGAAAATAAAGTTATACCACGACCACACTCGACGCTCGGCCTCGACTGGCTTCAAATCTTTATTGAAGAGGAACATTTCGGCCATGGTCTTATCCCCAAGGGGTTCCACTTCGAGAACTGACATGATCTTTCGCCATCTCGTTTGGGGTATTCTGGTATCTTGGATATCGTTCGAAGACTGTGAGGAGGTGGTAATGGTGCTTTCAAGTCTCTTTAAATCATTAGATTCCCCTTTTTCCACCATGTTGAATTGATGATCTATGGTCTGTGGCGTGATACGCGTAGCCAGACTAAAAAACCTGCTTGTTGTTTCAGATATCCAAAGAGAGACCTTCAAGAAGGTTAGTATAAGTAACGGTCATTATGCATTTTGTTATAAGTCCCAAAAGCTTGATGAAAAATTTTTCACTAATCAGTCTTATCACGTCTGTATGCATACCATCCGCCTATGCAAGTGTGAAGAGATAAGGTGAAAAATAAATTACGGGACTATAAATCACGTGACCTACATCCATTATTTGATAGACGTCTCTACCCGTTGAACAGAGCCGCTTTGCGAGCCACTCACAGAATATTGAGGTAAAATGTTGAACCGGCCACAAAATACATTATGCAACAAGGTTTTATTCTCTTGAAATTCACAGCACGATACCAAGGCTACAGGTTAGCGCTAAAATATCCTCATCAAAATTTGGCTCTTATCCTGAATCCACGCGTATGGCATGCTGTGCTGGACTATGGGTTTCAACGGCCTTGGCATACACAGGAGGGCAAACAGCGACGGTGAAAAATTTGTGCAAATAAAGGATGGAGATATGTTGCCGGAGATATTAAAAAAAAAAAATCTGTGACTTAGTATCGAAGCAAAACAAATATGCTTGAAATGAGAAATATTTTTATACCACTGGATATTTATTGTAACGGCTAAACATCAGTATAGGGCAGTCAAGCTAGGCGTATGACAATCAGCTTTGACATGCATGCATGGAGGGTGCTACTTACCGAAGGAGAAAAAAATGCACAAGGTGCATGACTTGGCGACCCAAGCCAGCTATGCAGCCCGAGATACTACAAATTATCATCATAAGAGTAGAAATTATCCCATCCCAGAGCTATAGTTGGATATCGAATTACCTGTTGTAAGTGAGGATTTACTGATACTCCGTGCAGCCGTTGTATGTATGGCGTAAAAATTGACATATGCCTATGTTAGTGTTGATCAACGAGCTCGAGGATTTACGCTTGATTGACTCAAGAGTCGACGATTATTACTAGTTTACCATAATATTTCTGGATTAAAGCCCGTACAAATACCAGGTTGCGGTGGTACATTCTTGCCACACTTACCTTTGCACACTCAGTGAGTATTCGCCCTTCTCCACAATCTTGATGTGTCTTCTCAAATTCATGTTGTCTTCAAAGTCTTCAACATCCGCCCATTCTTCGTACCAGCCCCTCCTAAATGGATCATTTTGAACCTCCTGGGGAATACCTCTAATCGGCTTCCAGATACACAAGAGCGAGTAGACAACGCCGGCAACAATGAACCCGGCAAAGAAATTCAAGTTGTAAAGATAGGTGGCGCCAACAGGAACCACGTGGGTACCGGTGGCCCCCACAAAACCCACAATGTTGGGTAAAATCCCACAAATGTAAGCGAGATATGCCTTCCAATTGCATCCGAAGCGGTTAAAGGTATAGGTCGAGTCGCTGTCGCCGGAGTATAAATCTTCAATAATAAGCTTCCCTCTTTTGACAAAGTAATAGTCTGCAGCAATCACACCTGCAATGGAAGACAAAAACACAGAGTAAGCAGATAAATAAGTGGTGAACTTATTCGACGACTTCATCAAGTTCCAAGGGCAAATGCAAATCGAGATGGCCGCACAAACATACCCACCTCTTCTGATGGACATGAACCGAGGGAAAATTGCAGTCATATCAGTACCGGCGGAAAGGGAATTGGCGGAAATATTTGTCCCAAGTTGGGCTAACCCGAAGGCGGCCGCAATGAAGAATACACCGGCACGATTCCCAGAGGTAAAATCGTCCAAAAAACGCCCCAAGACATCCAAAGGAGACCAGTAAGTTTGGTCAAACATTAAAGTCGAGGAAGAAGAGACAAGGATACCAATCAAAGAGGTAATGGAGAAACAAACGGGGATTGCGATGAGCTGCGACCAAATAGCCGCCTTGGGCGTATCGGCAAAACGGGCGAAATCTGGAGCATTAACAATCAAAGCGGCAAAATTTGCAACGGAATTCATAGTGGAGCTGACAAAAGCCCAACCAAACTCAGATCCGGTTAAGGTGCTCTTCTGATGGATAACAGGGCCGATTCCCTTCGCCTTGACAATCGTCCAAATCAAGAAACCAATACCCGCGACTGGTACGATATACGACTTAACGGTGAATAAGTGTCTGATCTGGTGAGGTGGGAACCAAATAGCGGGTAAAGAAAGCAACCAGGTTAGAAAGTAACACATAAACTGGAAAGTTGTGGTGCCTGAAGAAGGAATCAGATTGTGAATTCTGGTTTCCAAGTCAGTGCCAAAGATGGCCATCAACATGACTTGCATACACTGGCCGAAGATCCAGTTTTGAACCGCATACCAAATACAGGCCATTACGACTCTGTTTATCACCGGCCACAAAGAGCCATACACCCCAAAGGATGATCTGCAGGCCACGGGGAAGGAAATGTGGTAATAGGCACCAACCCGAGCAGAGATAACCACAAACGACCCAGCGATGAAATATCCCAACCAAACAGAAATCCAGACCTGCCACCATGATAAGCCCTGAACAACGCCGGTGGCCGCAATCTGCCAGGTGTTGACGTTAAAGGAATCGGCAATCCAGAAAAAGAGGTAGTTAAACCAGGACCACAATCGACGTGCGGATTCAACCGGCTTTAAATCACTGTTGTACAAGAACATCTCAGATGTAGTCATATTTCCCTTCGGGTGAACCTCCAAAAAAGTGAGGAGTCTTTGCCATTTCGATTGTGGAGGGTTGTATTCCAGGATGTCCCCAATCGAATGGGTTGACGATGTAGCGACGACTTTTTCGCCTTGCTTTATATCGGCGGAAAACCCTTTTTCGTTCATTCTAGAAATTTTAAGGTGTTTTCCTTGAGCAGTAGATTACCAGGTATAAAGCCTTGAGTGAACCATTTTCTAAAGAAGTGAAGGCTTGGGAAGGACCTAAACTTATATGGTTCTCCAATCAGCGATAACGTACCACAGGATATCTCAGGCTCAGGCTCATGTTACAGCATGCACTTTAGTCTATCTATGAGGGTACGTATTCACGGGGTACGTGTCAGAGATTAGATGGGGTCGAGATTCTCAGGAGTATGAGCAGAGATTAACCTTAATTGGCCCGGGCATAACCTATTCGTTGCAAATAATATTCACAATTGTTTAGCAACATCCTTGCATGCACTATTTTTTTTTTCATATACTTCGGTGTTCCCCGCTTATCTTGTCATCTTTCCCCAGAGCTGAATCTCTGATAGATAAGATGCCACGCTAAAGCTACCCAGCGATAAGAACTACAGGCTATCTGCCGGTTTAGACCAACGATCGCGCTTTCGTAAATCTTGTGGGGCACAGGAGGCTTGGGCAAATCCTACTCTCTCTGCACCACCATCCGAACATAACCTTTGAAACTCCTTTCAGGTTTGAGGACGCTGAAGTATCAGAACTAAGCCGTCGGGGACGCAACACCCACATATATTTTAAGTCTGGTTACATCTTGAACTGTAATCGCGAAACTGCATATTTACCTCGTTTCAACCGCGCATTGCAGAGACCTTATCCGAGCTCATGCGGGGGCCTCGGGCCGAAAAAAAAACGCCGTAGTCATTGCTATTACAGACAGCTACCATTTAACGATAATGACACGTGATCATGCAATACCCTAGTAGGCGACAGAGGCTTGTCTTGGCACTTAGAATAAATACCGGCAATTCACAACTCTGTAGGAAACTTTGTGAGATATTCTATAGCTATGATTAAACGGCAATAGAACTTCTAAACGTCCGATGAACTTTCCAATAAATAGGCCAAATTTCAACGTTCAAACCCCATTGGCCGAGAGTCGTACATTACTACTACGCCGGCTCAGACTTGTAACAGCGCTTGACTTTGGAATATAGACCATTATTTCGGTCTTCCCAGCTTGAATTACAAATCAGACAACTAAAGGATGCAGAAATATTAGCATGCATATTAATGGTGAACTGATGGCCGTCTATTCGGAACGATGACACCTACTGCAATAAAAGTTTGTAAACGTGAATATTCCAGCGACCGGATAACTTACAGCTTACGCGTCCGATTTGGTTGGGCAACAGATCAACGCCTTCCAAAGCCCAAATCAATACACAAATAATGACCTCTAGAACATCCTTTCATCCCAGTGTTCAGACACACAGCCACAGCTACTGTCAGGGGGAATAAATACGTCCAGTTTTAGAATTTATCTGAGTTACTCCCATTACATCTTATTTGGGTAACATCGAAGTATCTATGAGATTCCCAGGTCCTGGGTACTTTTCTGTATTCACTAAATGACCGATAGCTACTCTCATACCAGTGAACTGCCATAAAACATTAACTAGTTGTAGTAATGACGTAAAAGGGACATTGCCTTCTGTACTCTTTCGCTATTCTCCCCTAGCACAATCAACTTTCGACAAGCGAGTTGACTCCTGGACATGGCCCTATCTAGGACAACAACAGTATTTGTGGCATTTTCAATTTCATCCAACCTTGAGAACTTGGTTTCCTGTATTTCCAGGTACACTTTCTCCGATATCAAAAGGGATTGCATGTTCTCCCGAAATTTTTCCAACTTGGCTGAAATAAGGGAAAGGGCCTGGGCCGCGTTACTATTTGCATGGACCATCAAATAATTAACGGTTGTAGTATGTCTGTTGCTATCATATCTCTTTGGGTTCGCCAACCGACCGTCATATAAATGAGAAATACGAGTGTTTGATACCCTAGAAATATCATCCAATAAGGAAGCTCTGTGAGATATCGGCCCCCGTTTCTTGATGAAAGCATTAACTAGAAGCACAGAAATCCGGAGCGGGATAACTTCCTTCCGAAGTTTTTCGAGACGATCTGATATCGCGTTGAAAGCAGTTTGGGCGTCGTCTTTTCTCATACCCATTATCAAGAGATTGGTACACACCTGGGACTCGGCTTTTGTACAAGGCTCGGAGTTTGGCTCGGAGTCGTGTTTTAGGATGATTGCTCCGGTGTCTTTTTTAACTTTTTCGAAAAATACACCACCCTTACCAACCAACAAGCCCATGTAATTGTTAGGTACTTGGATTACGGTGGCCGTTTCTTTCAAGTGTGACACTTGCGATAAAAGGGATGCGTACGCTTCATTAACTTTGGCTTTATTATCACCTGTAACCATGATACCACTAGTGGTCTTCGAGCTAACTGGGCCCTCAGCCGTAGAATAATCCACTTCAATGGTGGTATTTGTATGAGCTTTGATACACTCGATATTTCTACCCTTCGGACCAATGAGAAAAGGAATGAGAAAGGTGGGAACCTTGAGGAGTCGAGAGTTTGCGCCCAACAAGCTTAGCCTCCGGCCAATGAGATCAAGGGCTCGATCAATTTGCGAATCAGACATACCATATACACGCAAAACCCTATCGGTATTATGCTCCTGGGAAGCCAGAACGGCAGTATCAATAATAGTACCGGTCTCAGCTCTAATATCCAGCAAAGCCATCCCATTCGAACCAAAAAAAGATGCCCGGTATTCACTGGGAATTGTTATTTCCTTAAACGCCTTTCCAGTGGTATCATGGAAAGAAACTACTCGTTCGATTCTGGCCTTCAAATCTCTAGCTACCCGTTCGACAGTGTATTTTTCAGGCCCATATAAGTTCACGAGCCGGGTCTCGTTGGCAGGCAGTTCGCTACTATGCACACTTTCCAATAAAACCAAAGTTCCACGGGGTGATTTAATCCGTGTGCTTTCAGTGCTTCCTCCCGCCTCGCCAAAAACATTCTTTGCGTAGGCCGATGGTAGGGATAACTCAACTCTGCTCATCATACAAGCTGATAGGGTATCTCCAAGCCGATTAAGAGCATTTTGAATGGCACTAGACGAGGTGCTATACACCAAGATGATCCTTACCGGTGTTCCTTTCAGATTATGACAAGCTTTGAAGACACAGGTGGTGGTTGTTAGTTTACCTAGCTGTTCTAGGCCAGCGACGTTGAATTGTAAGTCGAGAAATTCAAGTAAGGGAACCAGATCGGGAATGATGAAGGATTTAACATTCTGTTTTAGAAGCTGCACTCGCTGTTGAATGAGTCCTGTAGTTGCATTTATCGCTGCGATGGTGTCACCATATACTGTGACCTTTGTTCCTCCTCTGGGCAGCGGTTCTAATGTGTGGATGATACCGTTAGTTCTTGCTTCCTTGCTGCCAAATACCATCCCGAGGAAATCTTTACCATTGCCGTACTTTCGACTAATGGCCTGAAAAATCCCATCGTCAAGGACCAACGACTGCTGGAGAAAACTCAACCGCACAAGGCTCTGGTCTAGTAGTTTAGAGGCCCGTGCCACAACTTCATCAGATGACCCTTCTATCGTAACCACACCGTCATTGGACACGAAAATTCGGGCTCCCGTCGTATTCTGGACTTTTAATAGTCCAACGCCGTTGATACCACGAAGTACCGGGACAAAGGACGACCGGATAGTGGTGGTTTGAATCTTGGGTTTGGGCCTATCGGGGGTACCAGGTGTGAGAAGGTTTTGTAGAATGACATCAGGTGTCGCTTCTGTCACTGGATCACTAAGCGAAATCCTTGTGACCCCACGGTGGACAACTATAGGTAGGGCACCCCGTAGCGATCGCAAGGTGAAGTGAGAGAATGCACAAAGCATCGGGTCTGGTGTGAGTATGAGTGGGAACTAACCGAACAGGGGAAACGTAAGGAAGGGTGATTATCGGGTTACTTATGCAAGAGATAGAGAGCCGCGTAAAGAAAATACTCGCAGCTGCAGGTTACTCGTGCAGCAAACTTACCTCGGGGGAGTGCGAGGGAGATGGCTTTAAAGAAAAAAAAGCGAGTGAGAACAAGGATAGGTTTATTCGGGGTTATACAATGGCGATACCAATCTATCATAATCTACACACCCGCTAAGGATAACCCCTGTCAGCCAGGACATTATCGTGTTGCAAATTGTACGATAGTGTCGTGAATACTTCGCCGTCAGGGTGTAAAGGTTACCAGTTAGTATTATTCTACAGAACACAACGAGTCTGAGCCCGTCATAACGATCTACGGTTCCACTCCAAAACAAATACATATTAGTTAAACACAGGATGATGATAAAACGGGAAGTAAATGCAAAAGACCGGGTAGCTTCGCAAGTTGTGTTTCCGCCCGTGCTCGGCTACAAGTTCAACTCGCCCAAAATCTGCCCCGCCAACGCCTTGTACATCCACGTGTTCCCAAGCACCTTCTTAAACTGAACACCATACAACCCCACCAACGGCACCTTTACCAAATGGATCTCAAACTTCAACGGTGAACGGGCCTTGCGGATTTGGTTCGCGAGCTCTGGCGCAGGCTTCCCTGCACGCTGAGCACGGTGTTCGACGCGCGACGAGACCAAAATGTCACTGTGCCCTACGCCATTCATCGAATCCAACGAATCGTCTGACTCGGCGGTGAACACATTGTCTTGCACGTTGGACATTGCCGGCGACGTTGGCACCTCCTGGAGATTCGCCCCCGAGTCGGTCTTGCGCCTGTAGCTCAACAACGTAGTCCCGAGCGAAAACTTGCGACGGTGGGTCTTGCTCCCTTCGTCCTCGTCACCGAGTCCGATGGCGGTGTCATTTTCCGACGACTTCGACGTCAAAGCATTCTCGTATATCGGCTCCTCCTCTGGAACGGGGTTGGCCTCAATCGACGGCGTGTGCATACACACAAAACCGCCCTTGACCTCAGTGAACGTGACACCCAACTTGCTCAACACGCTCACAATATCGTAGCGAATGACCGGCAACGGTTTCGTGGATGTGGTCTGCACCGAGAAAAATCCCTTGAGGAAAAGCGTGCGTGGGAACTCAATCGACGGCATGGAGCCTGACGGAGCGCGCGCGGCCTGCTCAATGACCTGGCGGTCTGTGAGATGCGACTGGTGCGTCAACGTCGCGATGCTTGGAAGCGCACTCTTCTCCGGCGTTTCCCGCGAGTCGAGCGTCACATCGTCAAAGAAACTGCCATCCTTACCGTTGGTCAACGCGCCATACTGCTTCGGATCAAGGTGCGTTGGTAACGGCGGCGGGTCGAATTTCGTATCTGCGCGCATGTGGCCCACAGACTTTGCGCGCGCGGTTGGATGCATCTTGCGCTTAGTGGTCAGCTTCTGCGGTGGCGCATAGTTTCCTGAGACCACAAAGTCGTCGTTGTCGTGGTCATCTTCGTAATGCACGCCTGAGATCGGCGTGGCAACCGGAGCGGAGGCTGGGGCAGTAGGTGCCGCGGCAGAGGCCGTGCGCGTGTGGTTGGCGCGCGGCTGCAAGTACTTCTCGCCCAGGTCATTATCGTGCTTTCTCTCCCTTGACGTCACCTTCATACTCACGCCGCGACGTATAGGATCAAGGGTCATGTCCGTGACGCCAGCCCCCTTGGCTGTTTGTCCATCCATATCAAACTCAATATTCGGCAACGGAGGGAGGTCGTATCCCGGCGACACCTCCTTGGGCTTCTTCGCACTGAAGCGGCGGAACAAGTTGAACCCCTGCGCCTTGGATGGCGTGGTAGGCGGCTCGGCAGACGCCGCGCTGTCGTAGCTCTTGCGGGTAGACAGAGTGCGGCTCGGCTGCTGCTGTGGTGGTGCCATCGCAGGTGGTGCGGGGCCTGGCACGAGCGTCTGGTACTTGCTCAGTGGTGGCGCCGCGGCGTACGCTGGTTCCGGGAATGTCGGTAGCGTTACGTGCGGCTTCTCAGCCACAGGCTCAGGTTTCTCCACGGCCACAGGTTCTGGTTTTGGATCCTCCGCAGGTTTCTCTTCCGCTCGCACGGCGTCTTCTTTCGCACGCTTGCGCTTGCGCATCTCCTCCACAAGGTAATAGATGGAGATAAGCGGGTGGTACGCATTGGTAGGGTCAGGAATAATCACGCCCGAGTCGGGATGCACGTAGCTCACGTCGCGGTACTTCGCATTCGCATTGTAGTATGCGTACCAGTTGTCGTACGATGCCTTGTACTCAGAACTGGACAAGATTTCGGCCAAATCGCCAGCAATCAGCTCCTCCGTACCCATGTCGAGGTTGACCATGTCGCGCACAATCTGTTGGTCCAACGGGAGGCTGATGGGGAAACGCAACGGCATGTACGATGCAGGCGCACCGTCGAACCCCTTAACCATCCACGGATGGCTCATCACTTCTGCGAGGGTTGCGCGTTGATCAGGCTTCACCACCAACATGCGCGACAACAACGCAAGGCACTCACGCGAGAGGTGGTCCGGGTAGTCTACCTTGCCGCGCTTGATCTTCTCGTGCAACGCGCTCACCGAGGGGTCGTCAAACGGCACCTTGCCACACACCAACACGTACAACACCACTCCGAACGACCACACGTCCACCTCCGGGCCTATGTAGGGGTGTGCGGAGAGAAGCTCGGGCGCCGCGAAGTAGAGCGACCCACAGTACGTCTTGAGCAAGTTGTGTTTGTCAAACATGTTGGAGAGCCCAAAGTCGATGAGTTTAATGTCACCACTCTTGGCAATCATGATATTCTCGATCTTGAGGTCGCGGTGCACGACCGAGTTGCGGTGGCAGTAGTCGAGCGCGGACGCGATACCGCGCGCGAACTTGCGTGCATGTCGCTCCTTGAGCGATCCGTGCGACACGATATAGTCGAGCATCTGCCCCCCTTGTACGTACTCGAATAACATGTAGTAGTGGTTGGTCATCGGAATCATCTCGTAGAGTCGGCAGATAAACGGGTGGTAGAGCAAACGCCCAAGCGCGCCCTCGCGGATCGTACGCTTGTCACGCGCAACCTCCTTCTGATACTCTTTGGTACGCTTCGCAGCCTCCGCCTTGTCGAGCGGCGGCAAGTCATGCTGGTGCGCACGCTGGTAGAGCTTCGCTGCGCGTGGCACGATTTTGACCGCGCACACATCGCCCGTGCGCACGTGCTTCGCAAGCTTGACCTTCCCCATGGACCCGGCACCGATGGTCTTGATAAAGTCCCAGTCGCCAATGGATTTGCGGTGAAACTGCTGAGCAGGTTCGGCCTTGCGCTCCTCACGTTTAGATATAGATCGAGTGGGAGCCCCTGCAACCACAGGCTCCGCTCGGGCAGCATTCTCTCTTGCTGGATCGCCCCTGTAATCGCCTCTTGGGACTGGAACGTCTCCTCTGATGGGTTCATCGCCTGGAACGCCAGGCAAGCACGACACTGGGGGGTATGGGCGCGACGGAGAGCCGAGCTCCGCGGCTGGTAAGAGCGTTTTGTTATCCGCCGGTGGCACCGGCTTCCACGAGTTGGAAGGAGTTCTCAGATGCTGGTGCTGACCTGAAGCTGAACGCGCGTGCCGCGGGCCTGGTGAACCGCGTCGCACAGGCGTCACAGGCGTGTTGGACGCGATTCTCCGCGGTGTCGCCGCGACTGCGGCAGAGGCTGCGGCCGTGGCCATGGACGTCCCGGAGTAGTCCAGGTTCAGATAGTAGTCGTCGTTTTTGGAGGTCGATGCAGTGCGCAACATCCGTGGCGTGGCGGGCGCAACGTTTGACCGTGTCTTCTGGTTTAAGTTATCGGTGTATTCGTCAGGCATGGCGAGGGGTGACAACTGTGAATATTCGCTTCTAGCCCTCAGTCGTTTGAGTATCACCGAATCAAACTGATAATCGGTTTGTTTCAATTGTGGAATTGCTTTCAATTGTGAAACTGAGAGAAAGTTGGCAGTAAAAAAATAGATGAACGTAGCGGGTAAAGGAATGACGGGGCGCTAGTAATTCGGGTGGTTCGGATAAAAGAAAACGATTTGTAGTTGTTTTGGAAATGCTGAACCTGGAAGTTCGGAATGATCCTAGAATAGATGGGGAGGACGAGGCCGAGAAGAGGTGTGCGGTGAGATGCAATTGAGAATTTCGGAGGCGGTTTGCTGCTCGCCGGTTAACGCGCAAGGAGCGCTGAGCGCCAGCGAGAACGTTCGCACAAGCCTGGAGGATTTTCCGTACGCGCGCACGACCCAGCCGACTGGTTTGGCTTTAGCAACCGGTCTAAAAGATTTGGCGATTCTTTTTTTGTTCTACTAATTGACATATTACTTCATTTTTAACCAGTGGCAGCGAGGGGGTGTCTCTGTGTGTAGCAAGTGTGACTGATAGGCCGCCGGGACTCCTGCACCGAAACATGTACCATGTGCCAGCTAAATTTAGCGCAGGGAGTCTCAGGATCCGGGAGAGGGACTGGTATCGCAGCACACCAGTGCCTCTTCAAGATATTGGATTTTGAACTTTGAAGTTGTTTATAGCCCGTGGGGACGTCAGGCTGCGCCGCTGGTACACATCTTATGCAAAAGCTTGTGTGACGTAATAGAGGCAGGGCTTGAGAGTATGACGTATATACAGGAAGCGCAGCGCAGGCTCGGGATAGCCAGAGGAGAATGGCAGTGCCGCGGTTGGTCAGAGACCCAACTAAGGAATTAAAGTTTACGGATACCAATACGATTGAATCTCTGTCACGAATTTAGACGACTGGATAGTGTTTTCTTCTGAGATACAAATCATGAACGAAGTTCATACTTAACAAGTAATATACAAGACATCGTACGTGCATGTACGTGCGTACACGGGTACAGCGCTAGAAGACTCGGATCCATACCTGAGTTGGTCCTTCGGTCAAGATAGACGATTCATACGACTCTCTGTGGATATACTGGGAAATGGAGGGACATTAGGTGCGCTACCAATTTTTACGATTAGTTTAACGCACTTGCCGGTATTACTAACTCAGATTGCTTACTGGACTGGCCTTGACCAACTTTCCGTCGCATTAAAAATACGAGGCTGGATGAACTGTGAGATTTTCGCCCCCAGTTTGAAGCCGTTAGAGTACTTTATACTACGCCATTCCACGATATAATTGAATAGTTTGAATTACTGTTCTTGTTTTTTGTTTTTTTAGCGAGGAGCTATCACTCAGACTCGCACTCTTGGCCCTGACAGCTGTTTCCCAGGAGCTGTGCTGTAGAGTTGACAGGGGGTCAGTCTCTCAGACTTCTCGGCAATTTATTACCTTAACCATAAACTTCAGCCGCACTAAACGTATAAAATCTTGTCCATTTCCCTCTGCTAATTTTTGGCTTTGACCAGATATGTTACCTTGTGAGTGCCAAGATGTTGCTCCCGCTTATAGGCCATATAGCCTAGGGAAGAACACATTATGTTGTCTTCGATCCAACTTGTGGGTTGAACCAGCGAACCACAGGCGGACATTGAAATGAAATGCCGGGGCATTTCACAAAGCAGCCGTACAGAGCCATTTTCTAGTTACAAGCTATTGCATTTCTCTGGGTGATTACTAGTTTTTGCGGGTAATTGACTGTTCCAAGCCCTGTAGTCACCCCCCCTTGAGTCCCGACACAACCGAGTACGTCTCGACCACGTGACTCTCATTACCCTATGACATGTCTCTATCACAAACCACCCAACTGTAAAATTAGGGAACGGGATATTACTAATACCTAATTAGTTGTATTATCGGGTCATCATTCGATGGCAAACCTTATTGGAGAGTTTCAAGATCCGTCAAACTTCTTCGAAGCGTCTGGAAAATGCCAGTAATAGATTACTAAGTCAGACATAGGGGCAAGTGAGGCTGGAGTGTGGCTGCTTAGAAATCACCAAGCGCCCCCGTCAGCTATTTGTACCTTTATTATTAATCGAGGCACGCCAAATAACGTGAGCAACACGCGTCACCACAGTATTTTTTTCCAACGGTTTTCCGCTATATAAGCGCGGCATCCGCGCACTTTTATTCTTTACCCTCATTCCTATCACTATACCCACACACTATGGTTTCTGTTATTACATCCACCGACGAGTTTAAGACCGTTATCCAATCCGAAAACTTGGTTGTTGTTGACTTCTTCGCCACCTGGTGCGGACCATGTAAAATGATTGCTCCGTTATTGGAGAAGTTCTCCAAGGAGTACACCACCGCGTCGTTCTACAAGGTGGATGTCGATGAGTTGGCCGAAGTTGCCGCCTCTCAGGAAATTTCCTCCATGCCAACCTTGTTGTTCTTCAAGAAGGGTGTCGTTGTCGCCAAGGTTATTGGTGCCAACCCACCAGCCATCAAGCAAGCTATTGCCGCCAACGTTTAGACTGGCGATTCTATAATATATTTTGTTTCTGTTAAAGGAGTGTAGAGAGTATTGGACAGTAGCCTCATTGAGATCTAGTAATGTAGGTTTGTGTTCCATGGGATGGGCAATTTCGAGTGGTTTGTTATGATCCGTAAAGGGTGGAGTTATTAAAAGTCTCACGGGTATGACAAAGAATTATTGCCTCAGAATTTCATTTACAACGACTTGTGATTGGTGAGCTAACCCGGCTCAATTCGCTACTAAACCGAAATTTAAGTAAGCCTTTCCCAAATACTGAAGTAGAAACCCATGGTCAAGATGAAATATACCTAGTAAGCTACTGCTTAAAAGAGATGCGTGAAAATTAGCCGAAATTCCGCCTCTATCGAGGAATTGGAGTAGTCAGTGTAACAGAGAATAGCGGCGGTTTTAAAGATCATTACAACCCCCTCTTCTTACAGCAACATCTTATCTATTTTTATTCTTATGTACGACTAACTGGTCGGGTTCAACAAGGACGCCATGGAATCACGGGGAACAGATTCAGATTCCGGCACCGGCAACTCCGAGGTCAACATGGATGAGATAGAAAGAGTATGGGAAGGTATCGTTTCGGATTCAGCAATAGTAGCAGGTATCACAGGAATTTCAGAATCTAGATCGTTTTCCACCTGAACATCCTCGTTAATCTCCTCTTTCTTAATCTCCTCCTCCCTAACATTCTCATCATTGATCTCCATGCCCTTTTTCACAGCATCAGCTCCTGCCTTACATTCCACCCCCACAAACCGGTAGTCGTCCACAGTCTTAATGAGTAGTTGTACCTCTGTCGGCTGGCAGTGCACATGCTGCCACTTGCCGCACTCCTCACACTTGGTCATCTCACGGGAGTCGTCGTAATTCGTCCCATGGGCACCGCATGTGACACAGTCGAACTCCCATTCATCAGACAGAATGTTTGAGCTGGATTGGGGCCCATTTTCCGAGGCGTCAGGGGTTGCAAGTACATCCGGTGTTGCAGTTACGCCCGGAGACGCAGCTTCATCCGGGGTGGCAACTTCATCCGGGGTGGCATATCCAGACACAGTCGTGTTTGAGGTGTCTTCGAGGATCCTTCTCTGAAGAGCACGCTCTGCACGTGTCATTCCCGGCTCGGGCTGCGATCTCAGCGACAAAAAGTTGCCGTTACGCAACATTTGGCGCTTTGCAAGACGTTCCTGTGCCGCAGCACGCTCGCGTTGCGCCTGTAGCTCCGCCTCAACCGCGGCATGCTCTTCCCGACGCTTCTCTTTCTCCTCTAAGCGCGATGACCTTTTGCGGTGCATCAACAAACTCGCCATCTGCACCGTTTTGCGGCGCGCCAAGATCTGCCGGCGCCGCTTGAGATCCTGTTCCGCGATCTGTGGAATGCATTGCGTTAATGCGGTCTGTAACTTGCGGTTTTTCGTACCGGTGTTCTTTTTGATGTAATCGTGGAACTCGTAGATCCCCACCGTAAGGCACTGCCATTGCACTTCCGGCTCTATATCATACTCCTCCGGCGCCATTGTGGTGTGTTTGCGCTTTTTGGGCACGTTCATCGCAGGGTAGTTCACTCTTTGCACGTACAACCGGCTATCGTCGAGTAAATAGTACTGTTCATTCGCGTTTCCAGGACTTGTGTAGATCGCCTGTTGGCGGTATTCGATCTGCTGGTGGCTGCCCGGCGCAACCTTGTCCATCTGCGCTCTGAAGGCAGGTAGAGCAGTGACGAACTCAATCAACAAGTACAAAATCTCCACTTTTTCAAGCACATTCAACGTTTCAAAGGTGGTATCTTCTGTGTATTCGTCATCATCTTCGAGTGATGGATCGACACCCCGCAACGGCGTATCGTATCCAAAAAGGCGTCTCACGTGGGTTTCAAACAGATCTATTCCCGCACGCGATGCGCCGCCCTTGATCACATGGATCAAATTTGTCTTCAATTTACCGATAAACGGTGCAGGGTACGCGATCCCCACAAGCTCTTCTTCGAAGTTATCCACGTCAAACAGCTCGGCCGCCAATCGCACGTTGCTGCGGAAGTTGTACAACCATTGCACCACATACGCAAACTTCCAGTTTGAACGTAACGCTGCGAGCGTGCTGCGATAAACGGGGTCCTCAGTGGCTAACAGGCTCGGGACCTTGAGTAGCTGTTCGCGCAAGTCCTTGCTGACAATGGATGTGAGGTGTACCGCCGGATGCGCGGTTTCTGGGACCAGTTTTCTCATAATTAGATGAAGCGTTGTAAATAGAGTAATATTCTTATCCCGAGCTGAGCGGACATAAATGGCGATCATTATGAAAAACTGAAGACGCGTCGCGGCTCTGAGCGTGAGTTCTAGATTTTTTTTCGCGAACGCAGATGCCCGGGTAACACTGGCACGAGCTATAACACAACAGCGGATTATAGCTGTGTTACGTATACCGACAGTGCGTAGTTGATTATTCAGGGGTGTATGATATTTGTAGTTCGGACTTCATGATGAGCCCCAGGTTACATATAGGGGTGTTAATCGACGAAAATGCCAACACAACGGTTTACGGGATAGCATTATGTACTGAGCTGACGGCACGGATTGGTTAAATTTTGTATACTCGTAATCCACAATATAGTCATCGAGATAAGACATGATATGTTTACGTGATGATATCTTCCTTAATCCTATTATCAGGCTACTGTGGCCCAATCTTATAGAGGAATACTAATACAATCAAAGCATGTTAGGGTCAGGCATATCCGCTCAGTACACATGGGCGATGTCATAGTAGTTTGCTTACTTCTTAGATGCATGGAAAAATAGCCTCGCCGATGACTGCTACCAAGCGGAACTTGGGCATTTACGTTTACCGCGCGAAAGTGAGCTTACATCTCTATCAGAACATACTGATAAATTGGACGCAAGACACAAGCAGGGTAGAAGTACAAACCACCTTAAATAGGTTAGATCAAAACATATAAAACCTGCGAGCCGTCACATCATCAGCTTCAACTCTGCATTGATGCTCTCCAACATTTGCATTTCTTTGAGCACACTACTCAAGACTACAAACTTGGATGGAAGCTTGCTTCTCGCGACCGCCTTCTTCTGTCCCTTCTCTGGGACTTCCAAGCTCTCGGCCTTGACAAGCACCGGTTTGATCTCGTTATCCAACTCAGAACCGTTCACCGCATCCATAAGCGCGTCAAATGCATCCTTGATCAACTGGCGCCGGCGCTGTTCCGAGGTGGTATGATTTTCTCGCTTCTGTTCCAGGGTGAGGAGGGCCTTTCTTGGCGTGCGCTTCTTCTTTGCTGCGTTGCCGGGAAGCGTTGTATCGTCCTCGGCCTTGTTCACCTTTGTCGACGAAAATTCAGAGGACGGGGCAGAGGAGAGCGGTGTATTGTTGGTACTGATTTTGGCTGGGGAAATCACAGACCCTGCACGAGACGGATCCTGAGACAGAGCGTTGGGTGGGAAGTCCCAGTGTTGGACCTCCTGTAGCGGCACCTCGGGATACTGCTGACCAGCTGTGTAGGTGGGGAAGATCGGTTCAAACGACACATCGCTCTTAGCAAGCTTGGCCCCTACGTCGCTCAACTGCTGACCGAAGGAGTTGGCGACTGCCTTCTTGGGCTTGGAGACACGACTATTAGTTGTCGCCGGCGGCTGGGCCGGCGCACGGTAGTCACCGCCATACTCAAACGCCTCATTGATCTGATCGTGAATAGACGGGGCGCGCTTGCGAGCATACCCGCCGTCGAGATTATACGTTATTTCTGATGGAAGACTCGGCTGTGACACATGGCGTGGTTGCAAGAAGTTGCTCACGTCTTCGTCAAGCGTGTCCAAGAAGTGCTCAATCGCCGAAGACTCCGTCACCGACAACAAACTGTCCAAGTGGTTCTGCATGTCGGGGTATTGGTTTGGCGAGTCCAAGTCAAGAAGGAAATACTTCGGGTCCTGGCCGCTGAGAGGAGTCCCGCTCATCGGAATAAGCCCCTGGGATGGGTGGGTGGGCTTCAAACCCTGCAAGATTTGCTGCCGGTGTTGTTCGAAGAGCTTCTTGTCGAACTCCTGCTTAATATCATAGTCCGTATTCCCCGGGAAATGGTGGTGTGTGTAAAGGGGATCGGCCACATTGGCAGCTAGCCCTGGGGGAGCAAACTGTTGTGACTGCTGGGAGGGAGGCGGAGGCGATGGGGACGGCAGCTTGACCTGTGTCTGCTGCATCAACAACTGCTGTTGCTGCTTTTGCAACATTTCGATCTCCGATTGCGCGTGCTGCTGCTGTAACCCGTTGAACGTGGAGTACGCGGCTTCGAAGTCCATGTCTGCCGAGATCATATCCAAGGAGAAGTCGTCGAAGTCAGCGGGCATGCCTGCCATCCCATGCGACGGAAGCTGAGAGGAAACCATATGCAATGGAAGCTGTGGGACATCCGGCACCTGTATGTCTGGGTGGATGGCGCTGTTGGGGTTCTGGACGTACTCAGAGTTTCTCGAAATGTGTGTGGTAATATTCGAGAAGAACGAGTTTGTCGAAACCATGTTAAGGGAGTGGTTGTTGGAGTTGAACAAGCTTCTTCCGTGGAAGCTGTCGGGGACATCTTTCATCTCCGAACTGTTAGACTCAGATGGCGTATGGTTGTTAGTCATGGGAATAGTAGGGCCCGATACAGGGATGTATGGCATATTTGAAGAGTAGCTGGTAATACGAAGAGTGCGTGGTTCGTAGGCTTTATCTGTCTGGTGGTAGGGCGGTGCGAAAAAGTATTTTGGAGTTTGGATGACGTGGGCAGAGGCTTCCTTAAACATGTATGGGTTCCGATGGCCTTTTTAAAATTAGGAGATATTGAAGTATAACTGGGTATACTAATATCAAGCTTTTAGGGACGAGATAGCTTGGAAGGGTAACAGGTATGTACTTGGATATCAGCTATGGTTGGTTTTTGACGTCAAGATTGTGAGTCAGGGTAGTAGCGATGTGTTATTTTTGAGGGCGATAAATACGTGAGTTATTGATCGTGGACAATAACAAGCAACAAACTCCGACTCTTCAGGGGAAGGCACACCTATATATTGTTTGGTCAGACAAGAAACAGTAATCCGTCACGCCAACACCGATGTCTTTTAGATTGCAGTGGTGATGGAGTATTTTAGCTTTCGAGTTGTAATTATGCTGAGTGGTAAATTGGGTATTGCATATACCTACAACGATCAATATCCGGACTCCAGGCTCTAGTCCTACCACCGCAGATTTACGTGCCTCCCCGATACTTGAGTCTTGCGCAGAAAATAGAATGGTGCGTGCACGTCGCAAAACCTCTCTAGTGTCCACGTAATCGGTGTCTTTCTATACACCGGTGAAAGGGAGCTTCAAGCCTCTCGGTCCTAAATTGCCCGGTATCCTGCACATTGGTCTTTTTGTTAGTCGTGTGAAAACCATATAGTACACTAACGTGCATATGAGACGGCGTGACCATGTTCCCCTCACGGCTCTCGACATACAATCTGCAGGTTTGCCCGGCAGCCGGATGGAATTTTGCGCCTGTTATCCACGGCTGCATAATCAGAGTCCCATCGCTTAAGTCCTTTAGAAGACTAGATTGACGTTCTACCTGTAGTCTAACTTTAAACAGGGATGGCAAATAGATTCCTCCGCGTCATAGGCACCCAAATCGTGACCCGTCCAACCTGAGTTGTGCCAAAGTGGATAAACACCGTTATTTCCCCAGTAATGTCGCATATACACGCACCGCTGTGGGCTTCGTGTGGGGACTCTTCTTAGTCCTCGTAAAAAGTCACGAGCTGCTCTATATACGAAACTCTATCTTCGCTCCCCTTTCTCTGCAAGGTTTGTCATGGTCTGTGGGAATTGAGGATTGACCGCAATACGTTTCAGGCTCGCGTTCCCTACCCCCGGACAGGGCACCAGTTTTATGACATGTATGCTGTTGATAAAGCAACCCAACGGCATACGATCCCCCCACCATAGCCGGTAATTTAGAAAATATATTGTGGCTGTAATATGACCCAATCATATCAATATTACTGTGGCTCCGCCCCCAAGCACATCGCAATCAATAATTCTGTATCGCCAGCCCAGGATCCAAACTGAATGCAAACGTTTTATAAGGGTTTCCACGAGATTCTCAATGCATCTCTGGATAATAACGGCACCCGAGCGCTACTTTTCACACAACTCGTACTAGAAGCTACCAGTCCAGCACTGCATATATGGTCTCCGGAAGTATGGAAAATAGCGAGGACTAATGTGGACATTGGGATTTTGCCCACCCCTTCTAAATCGAGACGGAATACCCCCAGTAGAGCATATTTGGGTCTATTTCCGGGGTAAGTTACACCATGTAAACTTACGTTAGCTAACCCTACGTGCTTTGAGCAAGTCCAACTAAAGCGGATTATGTCATGGCACTCACCTCTCATCTATGCACCCCCACATCAGAAATATCTAAATATAGGAGTGTATGAAACTACTGGGATTTAAACCCTCATTACTGGCATTGATTGATCGTTCTCGGCTCCAATCAAAGTTGGCGTGCCTCCCCTGATTAAGACGATCTGACGCACCTCCGGGTATACCGGGATTACTCACGGCAACCTCATTGCAGGATCAAGCTTTTCGCCCTATGCATACCTGGCGACTGTCTAAGGACGCTACAAGTCTAGGTGAACAGTAAAAACCGGTTTTGCCTCAAGAATCTGCCCTCATCTAGCTTCTAGACCTTTGTAAAAAGGAGTATGTATTCATTGGAGCAGGTGGAGTGGGTGGCATCCGCTAAACCGAATGCATGATTAGAGTTACTCGTCGCACGAAAGTTTAACTTTCCTCAGAGCAAAGATCTTTGGTATATCCCTTCAGACAATAACCTATGGTATATGGCACGCCAAAATTGAGCACCGCCAAACTCCATTTCAATTTTGGGAGGATAATAGAAATCGGCCCCTCTAGATCCAAAGCTTCGTAGTATACAGGTTGACTAAACACCTTGATGATTGACACTGGAACGTAGCAATTCAGCCTACTTTGATTTCACTCACTCGGGACTCCATGATATGCTTTCGAAGATAATCTGGGGGGCTATCTGATCTTGTGGGGTACGTTTTTTTTATAGCAGTAGGGTCTCAAAATACAATCCCCCCCTTCGCCAGTATGCTGATTATCATGTAATCAAACCAGCTATGTGGGATGGCAATGCGGTCGTGTCAGATACAGTTACTAGAGGTAACCACAGTAGAAACTAAGTATCTCTAACCAGTTTCAGACAAGGGCAATTTGTGGCGCAAATTCATTTGCCTGGAAATTCTCGGAGTATGAGCGATAAGTTAAAACAATGAAATTTAGTCTAGGGCCGGTTTGAGATAATCTCCGGTATCTATTAGAAACTAAGGTATACTACGCCCACGACACGCAGGAGTGAACCTGCCACCTTGAATAAGACTGGGAAACGAAGGACGAACGGAACTACGCGTGAAAAGTTATTGCGTCATGGCACATTAACTCCCCCCATATCGCCACTACAATCGAAGCCCGATGATTGGAAGATTTACCATAGCTTGCTTTATTTGGTATTAAACGTGTAGATTGATTTTGATTAGACGACGGTTATTCCAGATTTTAGCACAATCATCTTGCCATGTATGTTGTACGCGGAAACCTAGATCCGAGAATAAGACTTGACGCGCGAGAAAGAGAATGGCTTTTCATTCTTCAAAGAAAAAAAGGCTCTCTCACCATTCTCCTTGTTTTCCGAGTAACTGGAGATCCACCCAAGTTTGTGATGTCTCATCCTTCCTGAATGCTGGATATTCAATTCCTCCACAAAGCGGTACTTTTTGACAGACCCTTCTCCGGATATAGTAACACACCCATCAACACTGAGACGCCACTCACATAAATACACCTTTTCCAAACCATTCCTAGCCCAGCTGTCGCGGAAAAACTTAGGGACAACAAAGTTTGGTTCGTCAGATGTCAAGAGCTTCAAAACTGTGCCATCGGAGTAAAATCTAAAGTATCGGTAGTACGTGATCATCCTGATAGGGTTCGTCCAGGCAGACGACCCCTCGGATTTACCACCTTCACTGTAGTAATTCACAACGGAGATGTAGATACCACTAAACTTGATGAAGGGTCTCTGGCGGTACATATCTCTCCATGAACCGTTCCAGCCATTCACTACCATAGTCTTTTGATTTCGCGTTATCCCGTTGAGCTCAATGGACTGCTCGTCGTAGTGTTGCTGGGGATACGTCTGCCAGCAAAGGCGGCGCCAGCAGTCGCTGCGGTGGAATCCGAGTGAAGCCGCCTTCTTGCACGTCATGGAAAAGTTGAACCACGCGGGAGTGTCTTCAACGATGAGGAGGTTCAAGATGTGTAGAAACACGTCATCTGGAAGACTGAGAAGAGGCGATGGCGATTCCGAGACTATATCCTCCTCTAATTCTTCCCCTTCCCTACGCGTCTTGGTAGAAATGGCAAGCGATTGAAACGTTTCTAACAAAAGGTCGACGTCAATGCGGTCTATCTTCTTTTGATCCAATTTTTTGTGTGCTCTCAGTGCACCCACCTGCATTTCTAAGGTCTGTATTTCTGATTCATCCGCCAACTTTCCCCGATAGAGCCTATCCACATTGGTGTTGAGCTTAAGCGCTCGGCGGTAATACTCGATGGCATCGGCCATCTTTCCTTGGTTTTCTCTATCGATTCCTCGTTGGTATAACTCAAGGGCCTGTGAATCGGCATCCATTTCGGTAGCATCTCCGACGGTTGTTTCGGAAGCAAGAAAGCGGTTTGTGATACGGTTGATATCATCACGAACATCCAAGTGTTGGATGTTGTGGAACTTTTCTTCGTCTAGCACGATTGACATGGTTGCTCCGTATATTGGGCGAAGGCGTATAACCGTATATCCAGACAAGGTATTGAGCTTCAGTCGATTTTCATATGAGATGCCGTGTGGAGGCCACCCTTACGTCTTGATGATGACTTATTGAGGTTCTATGGATGCAATTTCGATAAGAGTTTTCCGTGCACTAGTTAAGCTTCGAGGCACAGGAAGCTTCGCAGTGCGCCGCATAGTTTGGGGCCATTGTGATAAAGTATGGTGGCTTTTGATATCAGTCCCATTGCTTTGTTTTACGCTTCAGATATATAATTGCAAGTTATCCCAAGTAGCTAGCTTTTATAAACTCCTGAGTATATTGGTATTTGAATTTTATGTAAGGGCGAAAATTCTGCCTCTGTCAACGGCTCTGTTAAACCACTTAACTATAGACCAAAGCAAACGATTCTCTAGCTTTGAAGGTTGCAATCTGTGAGTAAGTACCTAAAATGGGCATCAATTGGTATACCTATTGCATATTGAATATCTTGGATGGTTTTGATAATCACCAAAAATCCTTCTCCGACTCTACGCGGTGAGTGATGCTCTAGAGTTTTATTTTGCATGACTCAGTGTCACACCCCTATCTAATTTTCAAGTAACTTTTTGAAATCTTTGAAACTTTGGGGAGTGGTTGAAGATCCACCGCATACAACAACCACAATGATATCCTCCTTTCCCAATTTCCCAAAGGCCTTTTCTAACAAATCCACTCTGTTGTACACCGATGACAACGAAGCACCACAGGCTGGCTCTACGATTCTGTCAAACTCTGCATGGTAATCTACCATACCCCTAATAGCCTCCACGTCATCAATTGCCTCCACCGTAATCTTGAACCTTTGCGCGTTGTAATGCTCCAAGCTCTGAGCTGAAATGTATGGTGAGGCGAGTGAGGTAGCCAAGGTAGGAACCGACGCTAAGTGGACGACCTTACCCTCAGCAATAGCGGTGGTAAAAGTTGGCGCTTGGATTGTTTCAACTGCCAAGACAGCTATCTCCGGAGACAACCGCTCCGCGCATCGCGTCAAGCCGTCTATGACACCATTGAAGAGGCCGCCCCCACCCACACAACACACAACGCCCTTTAGGCTCTGTAATTCCTTTTGTGAGAGATCACTCTCCACGATTTCCTCGATTAACGTACCATGGCCTTCCCAGATCAACTGGTCGTCAAACGGATGGCAGTACACTGGGTAAGTTTCCGAATCTAGCTGCGCGATGACGTCCTTCAAGTGAGCATCAGCTTCGCCCCAGTGGTTGCCCGCAATCACTACCTGCGCGTTAAGGCTCTCCAACTTCTGAATCACAATCGGCTTGGAGGTTGTAGGGAGCACCACAGTGCAAGGGGTGCCGTGGAACTGTGCGGCGAAGGCAGCGCCCAATCCCGCGTTTCCTCCGGAGGAGGAGAAAACATGAACTTTGGCCTTACCCAAGGCTCTGGCCTTTTCCAAGGACTTTTCAATCAAGTAACCCAAGCCTCTCAGTTTAAAGCTGCCAGATGGCTGCTCGTACTCGTTCTTGAAGAAGACGCGGCAAGGCACCTTGGGCGAGACCTGCGACGTGACTTCAATGAAGGTGGTTTTCACGAAAGATCTGGTGGACATTGAAAACTTGAAATTGACAAAAGAGGTTAAAGGAATATATTCCACGATTATTAAACTGTTGATGTGGTATTAGGTGCCCCGGCCGGTGGTATTCCTCACAGATCACAGATCAGTGAATTATGATGTCAACCAAGGATGCACGATGGCTGTCTCCCCGGTATCACTTGGAAACACAACTTTCGCGAAGTTTTTCACCTCCTGGTCCTATCGCTGTTTACATTTTAGTCTGTGGGGAATGGGATCAATCCTGGCTATGATAGAAATAACCATGGATCGAAATGTTAGGGTAGTTTATGGGCGTATGAAAGTCTGAATCTTGGGCACTCAGAAAAATCATTCCTAGCTATAGCCTGTCCCAGCACTCTATGTATTGCGCGGGAGTGAAGAATTCAGAGTGCATGTACATATATGTACATCTGAGGAATTTGCGCCAAACATATGGCATATCCTTATGTGTTGTTTGCCTAGATCTCTGCTTTTTCCCAAACTCCCAGGTTGGCGGATGTCCAGAGGCCTGGTGAAAAATCTTGGCTCTAACCAAGGATCTCACTAGAAGATTGCAAATGGTGAAGTGGCTAACAGTGGATTGGTATCTCAAACAGCCGAAGGTCCGAATCAGATCTGAGTAGGAACTTTTTTTCACGTAGGAAGCAGCCACCCATGGATAATTTGAGCGGAGTGTTGCCGAATGCCCTAGTTAAACTACCTTGAATTGCTCCATTAACGATGGTCCTTCACATTTCAAGCTCCGGTTGCCTCGAGGAATGGGAGTTTGAATTAAAGCATAATCCATGTAACCGGGGTCCTTTCGCGGCGTTTTACCTTTGAATTTGGTGGGCTTGGGTCTGAATCACAACTCAATTTCGGATACCGTGTTTGGAAGCGTTCCGGTCAAAAATGTTTAACAATGCTTCACATGAGCCATCTCTAAGGGCACCATTGGAAAGTCCAAATATAATGCAAAAGCACTCTATACCTGGTATCGAGAAAGCAGCTATGTTTGATTTCGTCGATTAGCAAACCCCTGAAACCCTTGCAGTTAATTGACAAGCCCCCTTTAATTTAATCTTTTATGCACATCCACCTAGCTTAACAATGACCAATACTAAGCCAGATCCCACTAATTCTTTCCATGATGATTGTACGATTTCAAACTAAACTTATATACAATACGGCGTAATAACTGAGCTCTGAGATGCGGAACCTGCAGTCGTGCACGGGGGCCCAGTCCAAGACATCTTCGAAACCTGGATACCAAGCCAACACATTCGTAAGCTATGCCTATGTAAATTCCATCACTCAACTCATATATTCACGGCGCTTATATCGGGAAAACCATCACGTTGAACTGGAAGCGGTCTTGGGGCGGAGCCTCCGCTGGAGCCTCCCCGTTCGCGTCGTTTCTGGCCCTAGCCACTCGCCGCTGGTTGACAAACTTGAAGAGCATAAAAATGAGCAGCGCGGTGACGCAAAACGCAAACAAGTACAAATCAAAGAGATCTTCATCCTCCCCTGAGAGCTGCGCTGATTTTGCCACAGGCTTCGTCAAAGTAGCCTCCTCACCTGGATGGAACGTCTCGGGGTCTTCCATGGTGTCCAAGTCATACTTATTCCCGCTCCGCGCTCTAGAGATCAACCTAAACCAGTCCCAGTACGTTCTGGGCTTTGTAACAGTCTCCTCCTTGGCCTTATCCAAGTATGCCCCACCTGCAATCCATTTGTTGTACCAGCTCCGCGCGTGCAACTTGAGCACGGCTGCCTTCACAGGAACGTAGGCGCTGGGATTCATCACCAACGCCAAGTCATAATACCGCTTCGCCAAGTGGAAGTCCTGGGGGACTCCGAGGCCGCGCTCGTACATGTAGCCTAAGTTCCATGTGGCCTGCGAGCTGCGCTTCTTGGACGCAATTTGGTAGCGCACGGCCGCACCGTCATAGTCAGGCGCGCCGTCCTCGCTCGCAAGGCCCGAGAAGTAGATGTTGCCCGCAACAATCGTGGAATCCACGTTTCCCTGCTCAGATGAGCGGGCATAGTACAACGCCGCGAGCTTGACCATCTCTGCACTTACAGACGAGTTAGCCCCGAAGTTGGCTGTCATCACAGACGGCGGTTGGTACAAGAGATATGCGACACTTGCCTGGGCCGTCTCATAACCTTGCTCCGCAGCCATCGCATATCCAAGTAATGCATTAAAAAAACGACCGCACGTTAACTCACGGAACGCCCAGTCCAAGCGCGCCACCACCGGCTCGATGCTCTCAGAAAACACCTTGAAAATGTACGTAGTATCTTCGCAGTTATTCTGCACCTTGATACCCCGCTCGTACAACTTGCCCAAGTGGTACCACGCCTCGGAGTTGGATGCCAACGCCGCGCGGTGCAAAAGATCCGCGCCATTCTTGGTGTCGTCCCGCCGGAGAAAGAATTTCGCCAAGTGGACACCCGCACTGTACTCCTTTGCTTTGAGCGCATTGGTGTAGAAAAGTTCGGCGGTCTTGGCATTCTTTGGTGTATCACCAAGGCCGTACTCGTGTATTAACGCAAGGTCAATTGCCGCCTTGGGCGACCCGATGGTCGCCACCGCAAAGTTGAGCCAGTCCTTTGCCTCGTTGTAGTCTTGGGTAGTTCCTTCACCGCGGAGGCGCATGTGGCCCACCATGTAGGCGCAGCGGCCGATGAACAACTTCTCCACTTGGTCCGGTGTACGCACACGGTTGATGTACGCCCGTCCGTCGCGTGCGCACTGGTCGAACTTCGCGTACGCGCCCACGTAATCGCGTGCAGTAAAGTACGTACTGTCGTATAAGCTCATACCCGCATGGTACGCCGCGGTGTACTCGGTCTCATCGATGTCGACCTGGATACGGTTGAAGAGGTCCTTATCATAACCTGTTTCCACGAGACTCCGGCTGATAGAGGTAATCGTCTCGGTCGCGCCCTGGCCGAAAATGCCGCCCTGGAGATCCGCAACACGGAGTGCAAAGTAGTCAAGATTCGGTCCACCGATTGCAGACTTTGCAATGTACTCCGCGGACCGGTTCGCGACGATCCCGTAGTAATGCATTGCCAAGCCGCAGTTCTTCTCCACCGCAATACCTGTCTTGTAGCGGTACGCGAGCGCCATCGTGGAGCGCACACACCCGAGGTCACTCGCCACATTGTAGTACATCGTCGCGCGTGCCTGGTCCACCTCAACCTCGCCAAAGAGGCCCGTTGCGTATATGAAGCCCAACATGTAGTAAACATCGCTGGATGGCGCTAGGTCACGCAACTGCTCGTAGAACTGGAGAGATATCTTACCGTTGGGCGGCGTCGAGAAGTTTCCATACATATAAGCCTCCGCAAGAACACGCACAGAGGGTACATGCCCATGTAACGCGAGGTTGTGCAAAGAGTCGAACGCGTCCTCGTGCACGAGTGAAAGCTTGGCCGTTGTGTATTCGTAGGCCCGCTGTTCCGGCGAGAGATCCGGTATCTTCATACTCGCGAGTTTATATTCGTCGCCGTAAATGGCCGTGTCATCGACTGGAATGGTGGCTAGCGCCGCGAGGGCTTTCTCGTGGAGTGCCGCGAACTCCAGGGAAATGTGTAACGGGGTCTGGTCGCAAAGCACTGCGGCTATTGCTAAGGGTGTTAGTAGTGTACTTGGATGACGAGAGATCAGCTACTGCAGGAGTTTGTTCTATAGTGGGGACGTGAATGCAGTGTGATAGAGGTATATATAGGAAGTTGGCTGGCAAATAGGAGACTGGTAACAGTATGTTTACCCATCACTAGCTTCACATTTAATCCGAGTATGCTTCCCTATATCTCAGGTTACCCTCTCGGTGGGGATCTTCTGTTGTCTGGCTCTCTTTTAGTGCGTATGAAGAGTTTTCCAAAGCTGTACATACCGGTAAAGCAAAGAATTCGGGTCCAGGCTACCATGTCTTGGAGTGCAAATAGTTGTGGATATCAAGATCCCGTTTTTTTTTTTCTAATCTACCTCAACTGCGGTAATTCGAGGTAGCAACAAGGGTATCGTGCAATATAATATACAGTTGTCCAATCGACCGTATTGTAGGGATTACGTGTATCGTCTGGCTCGATTTGCCATCCCGCGCTTAGCACAGACTGCACATAGCCAGCATTGCACTGCTGTCAGTCGTGCACATACCACCTTTGGCTAGGGCCACGTCGGGACATTTATGTATGTGGCTCGTGTCGTTACATAGTATTCGATTCACCAAACACCACGCTATTACACAACACAGCAAAAATGGTATGTAATTGTATGGGAACCTTCTGAAAGTTGCCACACTATGCCCCCCCTTCTTTTCTGACAATACTAACGTGACAGGTTACAATTGGAGACGCCCACGATGACTTGATTCACGACGCCGTGTTGGACTACTACGGCAAGCGTCTTGCCACGTGCTCATCGGACAAAACCATCAAGATCTTCGAGGTGGATGGCGATAAACACACCCTAGTTGAAACCTTGCGCGGGCATGACGGCCCTGTATGGCAGGTCAGCTGGGCACATCCAAAGTTCGGCATCATCCTCGCGTCCGCGTCGTACGACGGCAAGGTTTTGATATGGCAAGAACAGAACGGCCAGTGGAGCAACATTGCGGAACACGCGGTGCACCAGAGCAGTGTCAACTCCGTTTCCTGGGCACCACACGAGTTTGGCGCTGTCTTGTTGTGCGCTTCTTCCGACGGCACTGTTTCCGTGGTGGACTTTAAGGATGATGGTACCACGTCGCCAATCGTCTTTAAGGCGCATGAGATCGGAGTCAATGCCGCGTCCTGGGCCCCAGTTGATACAAACAAGAAGGATCAACAGGTGAGACGCTTCGTTACCGGGGGCTGCGATGATTTGGCCAAGATATGGCGCTTCGACGCCCAAGCCAACACTTATATCCAGGAGGCCATTTTGGAGGGCCACACCGACTGGGTCAGAGATGTAGCTTGGTCCCCGAGCTTGTTGTTGCGCTCCTACATCGCCACCGCATCCCAGGATCATTCCGTTATTGTGTGGACCCAGAAGAGTGACGGTAGCGGTGCCTGGGAAAAGCAACTCTTGCAGGCGGAGAAATTCCCAGATGTGGTCTGGCGTGCCTCCTGGTCGTTGTCAGGTAACGTTTTGGCGATCTCTGGTGGCGACAACAAAATTACCTTGTGGAAGGAGAACTTGAAGGGTGCCTGGGAGTCTGCCGGCGAGGTTGAGCAGTAACCTCGCATTTCAAAAGACCATAGATTGTCGTTTTCTCAGAGAACTATCTCTTTTTGTACCACTAATTTATATATCCGAAAACATACGCCATGGGCGCAGCGAATGGCTGTAGGTCAACTCTGGTTGGGGGGGACTAGTGTGTAAAGCATCCTTTGGGGAAGCTACGTTATGAGATTAACGTGGTGTATACTTCTAGCGTTGGGACAGCAAGTGACATACCGCAGGGACCAAAAGGAGGAAAAAAGAACGGCTAAACATCATAACCATTCAAACTGGTATTTATAGCTAAATATTCATACGGGGATATACGTAACGAATAGAGATACATGACCAGGACCGCTCAGCATATACTTCCCCAAGTGTGTAACTGCACGATCTACTTTCTCTCTCCTTGTTATCCTCTAGTTCGGCTTAGAACCCATTTCAATCTCTTATTACTACGTTGTTGGCCTGAGTACCGTAGAGATGGTGTATCAGCCCCGTCCTATTGATACACCTAGAGCCGCGGGATGATACGACTGGCCTCGGCAACCGAGCCGCGGCACGTAGCCCCTCCTGCAGCTCCTACATACTGAAGAAAAAAATAACGGTTAACGAATCGGGCATCACTTGGCTGCGTTATTCACTATATAATACGACCTGCTTCCTCCTTTTCGCTCTTCATTATTTCCTTATCATCAATAATGTCCACCCCGGAAGAAATTTATCAAAAGTTAGACGTTGCTGCCAAAGCCGTCAAGGCCCAACTAGCCTCCTCCCCAGAACTCATCACCCCAAGAGTAATGATCATCTGCGGTTCTGGGTTAGGCGGGATTGCCAGCATTTTGAAGGGCACCACCGTCGAGGTTCCATACGAAACCATCCCAGGTTTCCGCCAATCTACCGTCCAGGGCCATGCCGGTAAGTTGGTATTTGGTCTTATTGGAGAAAACAAGGTCCCGGTCATGTGCATGGTTGGAAGATTGCACTTCTACGAGGGTTACGAGCTCAGCGACACCACCTTCCCTGTCAGATTAGCCCATGTTTTGGGTGTTTCCGTGGTTGTGGTTACCAATGCTGCGGGTGGTGTCAACGCCGAATACAAGCCAGGTGACTTGATGATCATCAATGACCACATCAACTTCCCAGGTTGCGCCGGATACCACCCATTGAGAGGCGCCAACTTAGACATGTTCGGGCCGAGATTCCAGCCATTGTCTGACGCGTACGACTTGGAGTTGAGACAGATCTTTTTCCATCAGGCAAAGAAGGTGTTGAAAGTCGAGAGAGCCATCCACGAGGGTGTCTACACCTTCCTTGCGGGCCCTACTTTCGAGTCCAGAGCCGAGGTCAGAATGCTCAGAGTCTTAGGTGCCGATGCTGTTGGTATGAGCACTGTTCCAGAGGTTATCATTGCCAGACATTGCGGTATGAGAGTGTTGGCCATGAGTTTGATCACTAACGCGGGGGTTGCTGACCCTCCAGCCAGCGCCCTCGACGAGAACCCAACCCCGTTGGACGCCGGTATGGCCAACCACCTGGAGGTCTTGGATGAGGCTGACAGAGCCGCCAAGGACGTACAGTTGATTTTTGAGGCCACCATTAACCAGTTGTAAGGATATAGGGTAATTAGAAATCGAAGAGGGGACGCGGTGATCAAGATCAATGTAATTAAATAACAATATCGATAATAATGGTAGGCATGTTTTCTGGTATGATGCATCGATAGGGTTAACACTCACCTAATCTACCTTTTCAGTATATTCCGACATATGTTGGGCCGAATTGGTAAATGGCAGCGCATAAATATTCAAGTAACCTAGAGATCGTAATATAGCTTTAGCTCCCCGGTTTGGCTCAAGTGGTCTTGGTTTAACAATTTTTTTTCAACAGAGTATAGAGTTTGTGTTTCCAGAGAGGTATCGAAAATCCGGAATATCTAGGATATCCTGTGTAACTAAAACGGTATCCCTCGATGAGGTAGAGAACATAAGAAGTATACACATGGCTCGCCTTGCTAGGAATAGCGTCAGGGTTAGAGCGTCACGAACTGGAACCCTGAGTGAAGCGTATCGCCCGATTTCATAATTAGACTATATATACCTAAGATATTTACTGAATACCTTACAGTTAACAGCGTCTGTTCTATGTACATAGCATTAGCATCTCCGAAGTCGTCACCCAGAGCCCGGGTCCCTGTATAACCTCAATCTCGGATAATTATGCTTTATGTTTTAGCGCACAAAAGATGTATTAGAATAGATATGATAGTGAGAATTAATTAACTGGACAACGTAACTCCCAGAAATTTAGCAATTGGCCAAGCTTAAAGCGAAATTATCTATATTTTGTGGGCGATATAGAGTAGCACTACTGAAAGATCTGGTCATCTGAAGGCATTGTACGATCATTTTGTCTTTCTCTCAACGTCCTTGGCGACTTTCTTGATAGAATCGGCAGCCTTTTCGGCCTTGTCGGCAACACCTTTCTTGGCCTTTTCGGCCTTGTCAGTAACATCCTTCTTTATCTCGTCAGCCTTGGACCCAGCCTTCTTGGTGGCCTTCTCAGCCTTGTCAGAGACCTCTTCGGCCTTTTCAGAAGCTGCTTCTTTTGCTTCCGCAGTCTTTTCAGCGACATCTTTCTTGAGCTCCTTGGCCTCGGACGTAGCTCTGGAAGCAGCGTCCTTTGTCTTTTCAGTAGCCTCTTCAACCTTTTCAGAAGCGGCTTCCTTAGCTTCTTTAACGTTCTCCTCGATATCCCTAGCAACAGTCTTGGCCTTATCAGCAGCATCAGATGCAGCTTTCTTCAATTCTTCCTTGGTGGTTGGAATGTCAGAGTTTTCTAACTTCTCCTTGGCAGCAGATGCAGCTTCACTTATCTTACCGGCAGCAGTACCGGCAGCTTCCTTTAACTCTTCGGCTCTGGAAGAAAAGTCGGTTTCTTCCATCTTTACCTTAGCCTTCTCAGCGAGCTTTTGGGAAGCTTCAAGGCCTTCGGAGGCCAAATGGGAGGCAATCTTAGAAGCCTTATGGGCGGCATCCTTCAATTCCTTGGCTGATGTTGGAATAGCGGAATCGATCACAGTGTCCTTGATCTTGTCGGTGACGTTTTCAGTGGCTTGGATACCGTCAACGGCAACATCAGCAGCCGATCTATTGAGCTCTTCCAACTTAGCCTTGGCTTGGGCAAAAATACTCTTAGAAGTAACCAACGAAGCCGAGAGACAACGGCGAGAAGGTTGAGAAACAATTCTCACGGTGACAGCTCTGCGTAAAAGGGTGGCTCTGATCATTGCGCGTTCGTAATATGTAAGGGTTCCGGATTGAAAAGTTTAGTATTGAATTTCTGTCGAAGATACAATTGACAAAAATCCGGCCCGTTTGAACGAAAATCGATGAGGAGATGGAAGGGGGTATTTATATCATTGTCTTGATTAGACAACGTTGAATATTGTTCGAGAACTGTGGGAGCAACCCTACCTCTTCAAGTGACGTAGCAAGCATGCTGCATATATCTTGCATATATCCAAGTTCGGCAACAGGCGAGACTCTACACCATACAACTCGTTGCTCTCGAGAACACCCCGTGAGGACTTTCGAAAGGTAACAGGATATTTCGTCGTATGCGCAAAACCCCACGGCCTTACACCACTTTTGAGCTCAGAAGCTCTAGTTATAGTGGTGCAAGTTATATGGAAGGACTCCTCAGGTTGAGGTTGCCTCCGGCAGTCCCGCACACTTTCAGGCTAAACGCTTTAATCCGCACGTGTTAAATGGTTTACATTTCTAAAAAAATTGTTTATAGAAATTCGCAATCTTAGACACTGCCACTTATACCATCATTTCACGTTGAATTCACATGGCGGAGGAGTTGGTGCGCAAATAGCCCTTTTGGTATTCTCATGGTGTCCTTTTTGGCTCTGTAAGTTCATAGATACATCACAAAATACGTTAATTGCACTTGATTTTTTTCAAGCTATTAAAAAACCGCGGTACAGAGAAATCGTTTCTCGTACGGATGAGCCAAGCGAGTACTGGATAACCTGTTCTATCTCTATAGCTAGTAGCTTGTTGAAGTATGGACGGAAGCAAAACAACTTGTGGGTACATATACCGCACCGAATCCCTGGAGTTTTATCTGAAGGGTGGAAGCTCGATGAAACTAACTGAAGGATCAAAAAAAAAAGCTAAGACGACCTTCAGACACTGCAAGGCTTAAGTGGGGGGTATTATGAGAAAACTCACTGCACGAAACTTTGATAGTTCACAACTAATCAATCCTCGTTTCTTTTAGAGCTCGTGTTCCTGGACCGTATCCATATCGATTATGCTTTAGCAAACTGACAACGTGCATGTAATTTAGGCTGAGATTGGGATATTTTGCGTTAGAAACCTACCGCTTTAAACAAATACCCTTGGTGTGAACCTTGGGTTCCCTACAGTTCTTTTATATCATCCCATTCTCGAGCATCTTCACTTTTCGCTATCGGTATATTTACCGATCTTTTGCACCACCGGTGCACGAACCAGACTTTGCTGGTAGTGTTCGCATCAAACCTCACGTGGTGTACCGATCTGTCGCTCACACACGGCGCTTCATTAACCACAAAAGGAGCGTCACGCGCTCGCTTTCGTTGGGAGGCATACTATGTTTCCTTAACATGCGGCTGCATGTATAGAAGAATTTTTCGCATGATCGCATATGGGAGGGTGAGAGATAGATCGACGTTTCTTTTTGGTGATCCCCCATGTAGTCACTGATAGCGCAGGGAAGTTCGGCTTTTCATTTCCACTTGACGATAAAATTTGTTGACATTTTGATGTGATCATCTCTATCTCTGCCTCTATCAGTATTTTTCCCCGCTCAGTATTTTTCCGCCACTGAGGCGTCTTTATTTTTCCGCTTCCTTCACTACTCAGAAGAGTCCCCTAAACGATATCGTATTGAATCTCGCACCAAGATAACTCCCCTACAACTTGCACTATTGCACGGCCGTACTAATTACACTCAGCTATCCAGGCATTCTCCCCATCGTATATCCTTTCAGTCATGAAAGAGCTTGCATTATTGTCGCATCGTCATGATTTGTCACTCTTAACAAGCCTATCTTTTGCATCGGGGTATCTATCCATCGTCTTTTGGCTCTTCGCACAGCTTCCCCAGGTTATTGAAAACCATCGAAGGAACTCGGTGGAGGGCATATCCATTTCCTTCCTTGGGTGTTGGGTCTTGGGAGATCTCACCAACTTGATTGGGTGCGTACTTACAGATGCTTTGCCCTTCCAAATCATGTTAGCACTCTACTACTGTTGTATCGACGTTATCCTTATTTCCCAGTTTTATTATTACACCAAAGTTCATAAGCCAAGTCACCATCCGCACGGCCAGAGAGGCAAGATGCGAGGACACCAGAGGTTGCAGGATTTATCCCCGCCGTTTATGGGCGAAGAAACCTCTGAGACCCTACCGCCTGCTATGGCTGAGAGATTACCGTTGAAGAACGGAATCCCCTTTGTCAAGTATGACGCAGAGCGGACCGAGCCTAAACGCATTCAGATCCCAACGAAAAACATCCAACTGAGAAGAAATCTTGTACCTGGAACCGCCAGCTCTTCGGTCTCGAACCTTGCAACCGCCTCATTTATCGGCAGTTTTGCCAAGGTGCACGCCATGCCGCTCTCCCTTGCCGAAGACAAGCCGCTTAGCTTGTACCAGAAAATTTCCTCCCTTCTGATGCTCGTCATGATCTCCTCCTTCCTTACCAAGGAGAGAATAGGAATGGTGTCTGCGTGGAGTTGCACAGCCTTGTATCTCTGCTCTCGGGCACCCCAGTTATACGCCAATCACAAACGGCGTACCACCAGCGGCTTGTCTATCTACTTGTTCATTGCTGCATTACTAGGAAACATCACGTACACTGTTTCCTTATTGACATCCCCCAATGCCCAGGGTAAATACGGAAATGACTTTTTATACCTGGAATTGCCCTACTTGCTCGGAAGCTGCGGCACCGTGGGGTTTGACCTTTTCTTATTGGGGCAGTGGTACATATTCGATGTTCGTGGAAAGATGCCGTACGTGCAACAAAGCCAGTGGCACGATTTCCTGACCGTGAGAGCTCTGTTTAACGAACTGATCTTTGACCAAAAGGTTTCAACTCTGGTGAATGTTAAAACTGGGCATACTTTGTCCGTGGGCTCTCCGTCACCCCTCCCCGCTACTCAGCCTATTATTCCCAACACCCAGAGGCACCGAGAATACTCTTCTTCAAACAACAATATCATTCCCATTCTCATCAAACAGAGCCACGTTACCCAAGCCAAGATTGCTAGTAACACACCCATTACATGCATGGATTTGTTGGATATGACGTCGTCATACGGGGATAGACCGGTAGGTTCTGTGAGCAGTCCCTCGACGCAATTCAATAGCGTGCAGCCCAGCTTTAGGACATTTGGTATTCGGGAGGGTGTGCCCCCATCCTTAACGCCAAATAAAGTAACTAGGTTCGGGTATGGTAGCACGACGGACGATATCCATATGTTCGACAACTAAGCTCGTTCCATCAAAATTAGATCATATAACAAAACTTTTATGCATTATAATACTATTAATTTGTGGAATTGGCCGTCGCTTAGGCAACTGCCAGTACAGTAATTTAGGACTCATGTGAGATTTTAGCTGTCGCTGCGGTGCATAATGTATCGAAATTGAACCCTCAAGGTTGTCATGGTCTATATCTATTGGTTGGGTCGAAAACGAGGGACAGTAGCATAGTCATCTAAAGTCTGTTATCAGGTATAGTCAATCCTGAAAGGTGGAGGTTAGCGCTTTGAATCTCGAATAGCCGGGTGTGGGGGCACATAATACGCGGATCATAGCATCATACACATCTGTCGGTCAGATAAGCATTAATTAATACGAGTCTATTGTCGTATGAATTAATATCTTTAGAAATTGCTATCCACAAGATTTAGAGCTATACTTGTCCAGGGTTCCATAAACTTCCGTCGGATCAATCGCTTAAGATCTCGCGATGCAAGAAGCCCAATCTTTGGATTGGCGAAACTTTATCCGTCTACCCTCCAGTGCCTTCACTAAAAATGCAGAGCCTGTAGAGGATTTGTCTGTCTCTTTCTCGCCAGACCGTAATTAGGCAGTTCCATAGACCCAGAAGCGTGCATTGAGACTCTGGGTAGCGTAACGGTCTAGCCCCCCAAACAACGAAGCCTGAAATACGGATACACGCATCCAATGGCTACAGTCTTATAAGCTTTCTTAGCTACAGAACAAAGTGGACGATAATTTTCCGGACTTCGAATTTATTGTCCTTTTTGCAACATATCACAGATGTTCATTCTCCGGTCGAACTTGCTTCTAGCCACATAGTAATGCACTGGTGCGTTATCAATATGACACCAAGGACGCACCACGAGGTACACCCGTAGGACGAACACGCAACTCCTCCATGTTTCATAATCATGGTACACGGCTCCTTCGGCCTTTCCCGTATCTCTAAAACGATTCCGGGGACATAAAATCTTATAGAACGTGGCATATCCGAGCCTGAAGAGTCTAGAACTACCACCGGTTATATCGGGGGAGGGCCGCCTCCCAAAGCCGGAACTTGGTTCGACCTCCTTAATATTGATTTACACGTGCCAGATGCATACCCCCGGGGCATCTATTACCGAAAACAGGAAACGTTCGGTGTGGAACTGGAGACACCTTCCCCTCGGAAGCTCTTGCATGCATGTGCATCCGCTACAACACTGCCCACTTTCGACCGCCCCTTAGCGCTGGTCGTTTGACAATGTACGGCGACGTTAACTGTGCATAATCCAACTCCCATAGGTCCAACGACGACGCTTCCTTCGAGAATCACCTATAGCTCCTCTCACTAGCAAATTTTTATCCTAACCACACTTAGCGTTATCCTAGACAAGATAAATCCCAAAGAATATTCTTCCGGATCCCTTGTGTTAATCCTTTCCCGCTCGTGCATCACTCCATTTTTTTTTGTTTGCTAACGTGTAGAAAAAAGAAAAATTCCCGCGCTTATTTACAACTTTTTGCACCCCACGCCATAGTCATATCCCTATACGCTACCCATTGTCATACTCCCATACACTATCCCCCGACCACCATCATAATAGACTTGCTATGTACAACGCACACAACACGGTTAACTCCAACTACCTGTCGCACAACTCGTCGCAGGAGCACGGATTGACGAGCGCCGAGAGGTTGAACAAAAACGAAGAGACGGAGTTGTATGACTACTTGAACCTCTCGCCGCCCATTTTTGACCCGGCACAAGGCTCTGCCCACTTCCGCCCCTCCCAGAACGGCGCAGTGCCCCAGAGTCAATCCGGAACCCCTCACTCGCCAATGAACCTTCTTACGCCACAGTTCCAGCTCCAGACGCCGCCGCAAAAGCATCTTGTGCCGACATTTACCACGGAGAACACGCCGCCCGCGGCGCCAACCACCGCGTTCCCCAACGGCTTTGAGTTCGAGCAAAATTCCGACTTGGACCTGTTTTTCCAGGTGGACACCAAGCCTATCGACTCAAACAACGTCACGATGGTGAACAGCGGCGGGTTTTTGCAGGCCACCCCCAGCCAGAGCTTTCACGGTAGCAACAGCAGCAACAGCTTCAACTCGTTGCAGGGCTACTCGAACGATGTGTCGCGAAGTTATCCGAAAGACGTGCCGCGGAGTTACTCGAATAACCCGCAAGTGAACGGGTATTCAAATAGCTATACAAACACGTTACACCCTGGCAACGCCCAGTCTGGGTTTGACCTGGGCTTCTTGAGCCCGCACGCTGTAAGCAACCGCCGCTACAGCAACCATTCCAACTCCAACTCCATGGCGTACTCGGAAGTGTCGTCGAACCCGAACTCGCCATTCATGGACGCGCTTTCGCCGTCCGGGTTCAACACCGGGGCCGTGTCTCCGGGGCTCCTTGCGAATCCCGATAGCGACGTTTTGAGCTTGATCAACGGCCAGGACGCGTTCACACTTGGTGACGGTATAGACTTCCCCAGCGACTTTGACCAGGGCCCGGTATTTGCCAAGTTTGACTTTGCTGAGCAGAATCAGTTTGAAAACTCTGCCACGGCCATGAACATGATGCAGTTTGGAAACGGCGTGGCAAACAGTGAATTCAGCATGATGAACAACACTTCGGCAGTAGATAACAACTCGCAGTTTGTGAACAGCAATTCAAACAGCCCGCACATTCCGCAGATCCAGTTACCGTCGCAGGGTCAGGATTACGCCAATTCGTCGCAAACCGGCTTCCAAAATTTGCAGCCAGGTCAGAGCTATGTGGCCTCAACGCCAGCCCTTACGCTGGGCTTTGAGAGTCCAAACTACGCTCAGGGTGCTCCGTCGGGACTGCAGGACTTCTTCTTGAACGTAGGGCTGAACCAGCTCACCGAGCACAACTTGAAAACTAACCAGCTCTACTCCAGCGGCGAGATTGTGCATGCGGATACGCAGAGCGCGTACAGCGGACACTCCCCTGTATCAATTTCCATCAATCCGCCTCCCGAGGACCTCGTGCGCTCGCCTTCTTTGTTCAGCCACTCGTCCGCGCACTCGTCGGCATACAACTCGCCGAACCGGTCGCGCGCAAACTCCAACGACCCCAAGTACGGCAACTCCTTGACTCCCTTCGACAACTTACCCGATGAGTACAACGACATACGCAAGGGCCGTCAGCGGTCACACTCGAACAAGTCACGGTCATCGATCCGTTCAAAATCCGCGAACCGCTCAAGGTCAGGCTCCGGCGATCTCCGCACGCTGAATCAGAAGATGTTGGACCTCGCGTCTAACCAGAGCAACAAGCGCCAACAGAAGCACCCGTCATCGTATGCGTGCGACTTGTGTGACAAGACGTTTACGCGGCCGTACAACTTGAAATCGCACAAGCGCACCCACACCAATGAGCGGCCGTATGTGTGCACAGTGTGCGGCAAAGCGTTCGCGCGACAGCATGACCGCAAGCGGCACGAAGATCTCCACAACGGTGAGAAACGCTACCAGTGTCGCGGTACGCTTAAAGACGGCACTGAGTGGGGCTGTGCGAAGAAATTTGCGCGCACGGACGCGTTGGGGCGACATTTCAAGACCGAAGCAGGCAAGGAGTGCATCCGGCCGTTGTTGGAGGAGGCCGCGCGTGATGGCAACTTCGATGCGAGTGACGGAACATTCGACGTGATGGAAGGGTTCAATCTCGATCCGTATGCCTTCTTCCAACAGCACGGTAATCCAAAATTGGACGACGACGAGCTCAGTGAGCCACGCTTCCCGGTTCCGTCGGTCGCGATCACGCCGCCGGACTCGCGGCAGACGTTTAGAGGGATTGACGAGAATATCTATTCGTAGCCTCGCCACCGGGGCTGCCGCTGTTGTCCAGGGTCACATATCCAACACTGGAAGTGACTTCGCAAATCCTACGGCATTGCAAGTTCTGCGTGAGTTCTTGTAGTCCCAGTCGGGGCTGGTGAATCCATCAGGGGGGAGTGGAGATCCTTCTGACCAGATTCACTCTCAGATTTGTTTAATAGCTTCGATAGCCCGCCGTCGAAGATATACCGTCTATAGGGCGTATTGGTTGATTGAGACTAGTTTACCTCACTTTGGTAATGATAGCTGTATCCCAATGTCGTCCTTGTTCCCTAGTCTATGACTTTAGCTTGACACTCGAGTAACACTATCCTTATACTTTCTCTTATTTGTCCTTCCACTCACTTGGTGTTCTCTCAGTTGGCCGTGATTTTCGTCATATGCTCTTCATCACTTTGTTTGTTTTCAACTCTTTCTTGTCCGGGTTTCCCGTTTTGCACACTGCTGCTTTTCTTTGTTATCCGGCGTTTTATTGTATTATCTCCTTTCCTCTTTAATTCAGTTCCTATTCTACTGGGATGAGCGCATGTGTAGGGATATAAATGCGTAGAAGATCGCATGGAAAAGCCAAGCGAATCCATGTCTGGATGTGACTCTACAATCGATTATTGGTCTATTCGTATTGGACCTATAGAGCTATACTCACTGTAAACAATGTACAGTGTTGACTAAAAAGATGCTAATGAAAAATTCCTAGATGCTTGTAAAAAGGCGAGAAGGAACGTAGCCTAGATCAGTTTACTGTAAGTGCATTTCGTAGAAATGGCTTGGTGTGGGAGCTAAACTCCTTAGGCCTCATGGCTAGCACACCAACTGAAATTTTCAAATTATATGATTCAACTATCTAGGCCATCGATATAACCCCCTAAGCACATCCTTGGTTCTATATTCTAGGTCTAGGATGTCAGTTACTCCCAACGATAAGGCAACACTTCGTTGGCCTCTACCCCACAACCTAGATCTGACACCATTTGCCCCCAATTTTATAGAATAAAGTGGAATCCACTCTGGGTGTACTGATTTAAAGGGCTTCTGATTCCAATTGGTTATATGTAGTGGGTGCAATCTACCCGTAGTCGTAGCTGTTCGTTGGCTGCTAGTAAAGAATTTGGCTCAGTTGGTTTCTTCTGGGAATTGGCTGACCCAGAGTCCATAACGGCAACCCTGTCCCTTAAAATGGAAACATTACAGCCTCTAATGCTGCTATAATTCACTGGCCCGTAACCGACAGGTCCGGCGCCACGGTTATACTGTATTTAGTTACATGCTCGCAAACTGGTATTTATCGAACCAAAAGGCTAGAAAGGAGCCAGAGCTATGTTGACTGTAACCGGATTTACCGTATTTAGTTGCACGTTTCTAAGTTTTCTGTCTTGACGCCCAAAACCTGACTAACCGCATGAGCATTCCATACATCAATCTATTTACACAGCTTCTAATCTTGCTATTTATGTCCAACGGGCGGCCCGGAAAATCTAGCCGACCCGAATGCACGTGAGTAGGCAGTGTCAGAAATGTGCGGCGCGGTGTAGCGCTATGAAACTAATTTAGTGTCGGTTACTATGCAAGACAATTACAAATCAAGAATAATATCCCATCTTGCGTTGCTTCCTTACGGATTTGTTACTCACTACTCTTGCGATTTCTTGTTTCCTATTGAAATACCGCTATATCCTAAAGACTTATATTGCTGGGTTGTCGTATTGCCTATTGCTGTCAGTAATATAGCCGATATTGCATATTGTCTATTGCCGATTACCAATTGTGTAGTGCTTCTGCTACTCCTTTAGTCGCGTCATTCTGATCCTGCTCCAATTTAGGTGCATTTCCTTCTGCCTTACGTTTATTCCTTCATCGCATTCGGTTTCAAAATTACTCTTCTTCCTATTGCGATAGCCCCACCTTTAACCATATTGCATACCCTTTACCTTAGACTTTCCACGTTCAGCGTCTAACAGCTCCTCCTTTCCCTCCGCTTGCACTATCACGCAGGGTCTGGCATTATCCACCACAATATCCTCACCTACCCTATCACCTGTATTGCAGTTATTGCCTATTAACATTTAATATTCGTCTTGTCATTACCAACGATGGATCATATGTCGGCACTAACGCACTACCTGATCGAACCTCCGAGCAACGGGCACAGGCGTGGTGAAACGAGCGCCCTGTCTGACACGCCAAATGGTGACTCCCCTTCCGCACCCCTAGTCTCCTTCGTCTTTCCCGACTTCCGCTCGATCGGTAACCTCCGACGCTCACTCCCGCGCGACTTCTGTGCGACGGAAACGGTGCTGCTTTCGGGCTACGAGATCTACATGGTGGAGCAGTGGGCTTGTGACCGCAAGCTCAACACGGTGGTGGTGACGTACACGGGCAATGAAACTCATAAGATCAAAGGCCTCCGCATCACGATTCACCGCGACAAGGCGTTATGGCCCACGGAGTTTCAACGGTACTTCGACGATGTCTACGGTTACCACTCCAAGCCCAAAGAGACGCAGTATGGATTTCTCTTCGTGACCAACATCTCGGCATTCCCCTCAAATCTCACGTTGGTGCCAGTGCCCAACGGGGACATCCGCACGATCTCCAAGGCCTTTGAGACCAACGTAGACTTGCGTCGCGTCAATTGCACTGGCCGTGCGGGGCTCCTCCTCTGTCAGCCATCCCAGGCCACCGAGCACAAGTTCCGACAGATGTTCCGCGTGTGCCCAAAGCTAACTATCCAGTACGCGGTCAGAGAGATCGTGCTGATCGTCCAGATCACATTGTACTATTTCGATATGTTTGATCCCGCGTACGGCGACGGCTTCTTGTGCAACAAGACCGAGGCGGCTATTAATCACTGGTGGGATGCGGTGGGCACGCCGCGGTACCAGGTGGTGGAGCGGGCCACGCCAGGCGCAGGCCTCAACGCGCGCATCGTCTCCGCGTTGCTCGGAACGCTCTTGGGTATTCGCAGCCGCTTGAATTTAGTGGGTATCGACGTGCCAAAGGACCCGTACTACTACTTCGACTCGTTTGAGTCGGCGATTGGCGTGTTTCAGCGCCAGAACAAATTGCATCGGACACGCAAGTTGGACCCCGCGACGCTCGCGGAAGTGTACCGTGCATCCGACGCCAAATTGCGCGCGCATCAGGGCTCGTTGAAGTTCACCAAGGCCGTTAAGAGCACCGTGCAAGACATCAGTCGATTGAAACGTGAATTGGTACCTGCGTGCTACGAGACACTTGATATCGAGGCGTTGATCAAGATCGTCGGTGGCCGCCGCTTGGGCACCCTCTGGGCGGAGAAGAGCGGCAGCGACCGCGTGGATCCGTTCCCGACATTGGCCGAGTTAACCCACCAGAACAAGCGCGAGCTGAAGAAGGACGAGTACTATGACACCAAGAGCGGGTCCCATGGCCTCTATAAGAGCGTTGACAAGCTCAAGCTCGGTCTCCACAACAAGAAGACCCAGCTCAAGGACTTGTACACCGGTACCAGCGACGCGTTGGTGGAGGAGAAGGCACCTGTCGCGTTCTACAAACCAGCAGAGAGCTGCGAGCGCACCCAGACGAACTGTATTGACGCGTGTGTGGTGGTAGACGTCGATATGGAACAGTTCTACCAGACGGCGTTGCACCGGCGGATGTCATTTCCGTTCGTGGAGGTGGAGAAGAACTTCGCAACCACCGTGAAGCAGCTCGACCCTCAGGGTGTAAAGCATCCAGGGGGGTCGATAAAACGTCTTAAGGGGTCCAAACGCAAGGTGTCTACACGTCTTGAGAGCGCGAAACTTGTTTTGCCTAAGGATCAGAAAGTTTCAGATACCGCCCTTGAATCTGTTCTCAACGTGACAGGTCCCTGCCAGGCTTTACCATGTCCTTTGAACACACCCACGTTGAGACGCACTCACAGCTTCGGCGAGGCATCGGACTCAATTCTCCGGTATGACTACCCGTTCCTCTCATCACCGTTCGCCATCAGCCAGCGCTATCTCAAGAGCTTAAAAGATTACAAGGAATTTAACCGGTGCTACGATATGGTATTGGAGAGCGACTGCCACGCGAACTACCAGGTGATCATCGAGGACTGGCAATCCCAGTGCAATGGAATTGCGTCGCGCGCCACACAGCTCCACTGGCAGCAGGCCACCAAGACGCAGCAGATGGGCAAGTTGGGCATGAAGATGGCGGACATCGACTCGCTCTCGGCTAAGCTAAGCTACGAGTTGCGTGTGTTGGGGAAGCGTGTGGTGGAGCTCGAAGACAACTCGACGCAGTTTAGCGCGAAGCTCGACGTGGTAGCGGCGGAGGTGGCGGGGTTGAAGAAGTGCTACAAGATAGCCAGCGTGCCCCATGCTACCCAGAGCGCGTTGCTGGACGTTTCGGTGCCGTTTTACTGTGCTATGCGCCACCTTGTCGGTACCATGGAGTACCTCAAGTTGCGCATCGACTGGCAGAGGGTCCGAAGCCTCTGGCATAAGGTTGACAAGAACAACCACATCACCAATACGCTTTCTCCGTACTTGGGTTATGCCGCCGCCACCGTCGACTCTAGTGTCTCTGTAAGTGAGAGTCGATAATACGATGATGCTCGGGTTATTGGTTGTCCTCCGGCAACCTGGCGGTGAGATTCTCTTGGGCTGTAGCTCTTTGGCGTTTGCGCGTGGCTTTTATTTTCTTGATCAATAAACATATCACTTCTTTGTCTTGTAGCACTTCACTTTTGTACATTTTCGTTAATGGAATACTCTCCCCGCCTCATTCAGATCGAGCTTAGTTCTATACGCTCGACAACTGCACCTCATACTAGCCTCTTGAAGCCTAACTCTCTCCTAGGGCAGTGCACCTTCTAGCGGTTTTCGAAACTTCAGACCAACGCTCTCTCGCTTGTCCGCCTCATGTCAGAGCAATTCCGCCTGAATTGTTCCTTTTCACGTAAAAACACTTCTTATACCTTACCAATTTCCCCCCTTGTACGACTTTCTCTTGTCAGATGCATTCATAACAAAAGCTCTTACTTTTTGTCTCTTGCACTCTTTCACTTGCTCCCAGGGTCTGGCTCTTTTATAAGATTACCCATCAGGTTTTTCTCTCCGTTTTGCGGGAGATAGTGTTTGAGGATCGCTCGGACCTTGACAAAAACAGACTGCGAGAGCTTGAGGTTGTAGCGCAACAAATCGATCTTACTGTTGATGGTCTCGATTTTACTGTTGAAGAGATAGTTCTGGTTGCGGTAGCTTGCTAACCGCGTCAGGTCCTTGCTCTTCAAGAAGTCCGTCAGCATCGTCATCACCGTCTCACTTTCGGAGAGCACGACGTGGAGCTGTTTGTTGATGAACTCGAGTCTCTGTAGGTCCATAATCAGTTCCATCCGCTGTGCCTCTAAGCGCTCTATCTCTTTATCAATCAACGATTCGCTGGTCTCTGTGTCCTCGGGCTCGGCCCCCGCTTGGCGCTGGGTTTCAACCAACTTCGTGAGCGACTCCACCACATTCGTCTTTTCGCGAGACTCAGCCAAAGAAAGCGATAGGTCTTTTAATAAGGCCGTGATGGTCATAATATCGTCCGAAGGGGTAGCTTCCATAGTTGTGTGTGTCAAAGGACGAATAGTGTTGTGCTGTCTAGTCTACGCTAGTATTTTTACAGAGCTTGGGCTGGTGCGTAGATGCAGGGTATTTGTGTTTATCATTGGGTATGAACTATATCTCTAGGTAAATAGAGATTCTACTACGTGCAAAACTGGCATTTAATGATTGATCTGAAAACAAATGCTATTTGATCTTGGTGGGTCTATCGATGTGTTCCATGATATCGATCATGGTTGGGAGGCATACTCGCATACAAGCTGGGTTATCTGCACCAGAGCTCAGGTGGGTTGACTGCTTTGTCTCAAGGGGGAACAACTAGACTCATACAATGTTTTACGGGAGTATTCCATATTTTTCAGGTGTTTGGTATTTATTGATCGAACGCCATATTTGCTTTGGCGGTAACTCCTTCCTTTCATTACAGAGTTTTAGATTTTCAATAATAATAAAAACTTTGACAGAAATTTAAACGTAGCTATAACACAAAAAGATAAAGAGGATGAAGTTAAGAAAAAATGCGAACAGAAATGAGATGTTGCCTGCGTGACCGCTAGACTGAAAATTAGAACCGAACCGTCTATTTCTTAGACTTCTTCTCTTTCTTCTCCTTCTTCTCCTTCTTCTCCTTCTTTTCCTTCTTCTCCTTCTTTTCCTTCTTCTCGGACTTTTCATCGTCAGAGTCGTCTCTCTTTCTCTTCTTGTCCTTCTTCTCCTTCTTCTCCTTCTTCTCCTTCTTCTCCTTCTTCTCCTTCTTCTTCTCCTTCTTTTCAGCTTCCGAGTCGCTTTCGTCGTCAGAGTCTTCGGTGGTGGCGGCGGTTTCTGGAGCATCGGCATCGGCGTTGTAGGCCTTGGCCTCGGTGATCTCAACCTTTGGAGTTTCTCTGGCAATCTTAGAAGTAGTTCTCATGTCACGGCCTTCCAAGGCACTCAATCTGGACTCAACCTTGGCTCTGACGTCCAACCCGATGTTACCAGAGTCGTCACGGTCTTCGGCCAAAGCATCGTAACGTAAGGCAACGGCAGCCTTGGCGGCCAAGACACGGGCAATCTTACCCTTATTTTTACCGGTAGCCTGACCAACGAGGGAGGCGTGGTACAATAAACCGTACTTTGGCGTGTCATGCTTGGTCTTCAAGGCTCTGAAAAGGGCCTTTTCGGCACCCAAGATCTGAATGGTAGAGGCTGGAGCCTTGGCCAAGGAGATCAAGGAACCGGCATGGGCGATCAATCTAGCACCGACCAATTCACCGAGCAAAGCGGTCATGTTTGGAGCGATAGCCTTCATTCTGGAAGACAAGTAGTTGGACAATTGTTCACGGTAGGCGGCAAAGTCGACGATCTGGTCGGCAAGAGCCTGGATGTTTTCCAAATCAATTGGAGTAATCTCGGTACCCATGGAAACTTCAGCGGCGGTCTTGACCTGGGCTTCAACTTCTTCTGGCAAGATTTCGCTCAAGTCGGTCTCGGCACACTGGGTTCTGACACCCATGGTAAGAATGATTCTAGCGTAGGCAACGGAATCGGTCACAATCTTAGCCAATTCCGGGAAATGCCAGCCGTACCATTCCTTGACTCTCATAGCGTAGGTGTTCAATTCCTTGTCTAAGTCGTCCAAAAGGGCAATGGCCTGGACAATCATAGTGTCAACCTTGTCGGCAGAGAACTTGAGCTTGTGACGGCCGATGGAGTGGGCAAGACCAAGGGACATGGTGGAGAGGTCCTTGTCAGACAAACCCGGTAAAAGCTCTGGCAAGTGCTCTCTGATGGCTCTGTTCAAGTCCAAGGTGGCAGCATCGGAGATGACGCTGAAGTTAAGGCCCAACTTGTTAATGGCGTTACCCAACTTGGTTTCGGAGACAATCAAGGTAGCCTTCTTGTCGGACTTGGCTTCTTCCAAGAACTTGGACAACTGGTCGGAGACACGGCCCTCGATAACGGCGTTGGCTTCTTCCAAAGCGTTGGCAGCGGAAGTGAACTTGGAAAAGGCAGAGACCTTGAATTGTTCAGCGACCTTAGCGGCAGTGTTCAAGTCCTTGACCAAGGTAGCGCTCTTGTGGATCTTCTTGTCAGAAGCCTTTAACAAAGCGTAACCGGCAGCGGTTTCAGTTAAAACGTAAGCCATTATATGTGTGTAAAAACTTTGGGGGGGAGGGAAAGAGGTTAATTTGCGGGTTGTGCTTTTAAGGTCGTCGCTTTTGACTGGAAAAAATGCATAGCTCATCACAAGATGAAAAATATTTTTTCGCATAAGAAATTTTTTCAGGCTGCGATGTACCCAGTGATGAGATATGCGCTTGTCAGCCACAAAAGAATTGCTTTTTATACTGTCCACATGGAACCATCATCTGTGGCGCGGCACTAACAGCCGATCAAATCTGAGCAAGCGACAAGGGCAAAACCGTAGGTCCCAGGGTCTTATTTGGTATGGCCCATCTTGCTAAACACATTCTGAGATTGGGAAGTTATGATTTTATTTTTCAATCTGTTTTATACTAGCAGATCCAGGCAATTGGATGGAATATCCAGATCTAGTAAGGTTCATACCTCACTGGAAGCGACACCGTACTTAGATTTGGTGCTAGTTCAGGATAGGGAAAATTGGTCCATATCATAACTACGAATTTACGTACATGTAGCTCGAAGAGAGTGGTGAAGAGGGCCCGAAGATTTTCGCAGCCAGTTAGAAGAAGTCAAACTCGCAGTTTTATAAAGAATATAGTATAAAATATTTTTTTGAACATAGCATATATGCGTCTCATTGCTTTAAAGATATCAAAATAGTATATTAACGTGCTAATGTTTACGATGTATTAACCTCTATATTGCTCAGGTGGTCGTATAGGTTACAAATAAGTGATTGCCAAAGTAAACTCGACGATGCACCTGAATACCGGCAATAATTTTTTTCCATCAGTGTAGAATTTCGAATTTAAACTCCCCGAGACCCTTTCTCCCTTGATTGAAATAAAAACTTAAGTATATATATATCAAACTTATATTCAAAAAATGCATAATATATGTGTAACACAATACCAACTGCAACTACATGGCTAAATTCGATATATACCAGTATTCGTTGAGGAACCTGCCTTTATTATTATTATTTTTTCATCTATTACACTTGATAGTTTAAAGTCTTTTTACCCCCCCTTACGGTGTTGCTACTAAACCATAATCTATAACAATTCACTGGCCCTACGATGACTACCCCGTTCAGAGCGGAATCAACATTTCCCCTTTTGGCCGTGGATAGGTAAACAGACGCGACACGTCGAAAATTTACCTGCGTAAATTTTAAATCTTGTGGCAAAAAGCAAAAGAGCAAGAACTTCAGGTACATCCACGGCATGTCAGCTCCTATATCCAAGTCAGAAGATAAGCGGCGAACCAAGTACAACTTCCCTAAGAATAACCTCGGGTCGAAATCCACCCCCACATCTATCGCTGTTGCTCCCACACCTAGTTTTCCGGAGAAAAAGACTCCACAGCCCATCAAGCGCAACTTCGATGCCACACTCAGCTCGGATGACCATGTAGACTGGCAGCAGAGTCCAGAGGCGAAGCGGACGCTCGCAGGCGACTTAGCCGCAGCTGCTGGGCCGCCGGTGGTTGTTGAATTGACACCATATAAGAGCCGTCACGACCCCTATAGCTCACTCTTGAGCAAGTACTCTACATCATCCGATAACGTGGCATCACAAATGCTGCCCAGAGCCTCATCGGTGCTGCGGGCAACAATGGGCACTTTTGGCCTTGACGAGAAACCGTGGAAGTTACCGCGGCTCCTGAGCGCCCCAGCCATTTCCTCCTTGAGAAACGACAAGGTTGAGAGTGTGAATGATGATCTAGGGGACATCTTGAACCGCCTCAACGATCCAAACATTCTGCGAATCTCCGATCCAAACACCCTGACGAATTCCGTAGGCGAAAACGCCGTGACAACCCCAGATTCCATGCTGATGAAGTTTCTTTTAGATGAACTCCAGGCAAATGTGAGTGTGCAAGATAGCGATGTAAGCGACTTGGAAGGCATGTCACAACTTCTCGCGGTGAAGGCTGAGGAAACGGCGATCCCGATTAAGGCCGAAGAGATAGCGATGCCAGTGCCATTGTCTCTGGAAAGTCCAGTGAAGGTGCCTTTGCCGGTTCAAAGCTTCAAGTCCGAACTGTTCTTAGACGACTTTGACGACTTTGACGACGACTTTGACGACGAGGAGATCTGTCGGGTATTGGACCGCAAAACTGACAACGGAGGGGGGCGAGAGATCCCTGCAGAGACTTTGAGCACCGAAACAGCTGTCGAGGGAAAAAGCCTGGATCTCAAAGCCGAAGGGAGCTTCCAGGTGGAAGAGACAGGAAACGACACGTTTGGTTTTAGCAGCGAAAGTGATGATGACGACTTTAACGATATTTTTGACAAGTATCTGACACAAGCCCCCGTAGCACAAAGAGCTCTGGGTGGATCCTCGACCGGGACTCATATGGCGGCTTCGCTGGGACCCCAGATGACCACCCAGGAACGCACCGACTCCACCAGCGCCGCCATCTTCCAGCGTGATATCAAGCTCGGTGTCACGACCGAACAGCGCAAAGTCGACGATGTCAACCTCGCCCGGGTCTCCTTTCACCGCGAGGGCTTGCACCGCTATCAGATCCTTGGCGTTATGCGAGGAACATATCCCGCTGAAGGTCGCGTCAAAGACCAGGTTGTACTACGGGTGCGCGATGGAGCCGACCAGCTCAGCTCCGTGATCGTACGCGACTTATGGGCAGAGTTGGAGTACGCGATCGGTGATGTCATCCACATCATCGGCCCCAACGCCTTTCTCGCCGATAAGGACGCGTTGTTGGTGTGGAACCCCGACATTCTCATGTCCGCAACGCTCCTCGGGGACGCGATGAAGTGCGAGCGGCGTGCGACACTCGGAAACCGTTTTGCGGCCCCTGGTGACACCAACATCCACCTTATCTTGGGTTCCATCATCCATCTGGTGTTCCAGCAGTGTCTCGCGGCCCTGAACGGCACTCCAGCATTTGTCAAAGGGGTTGTGAACGAAGAAATCGAGGCAAACAAGTTTGGCATCTTCAGCATCGGCGAGACCAGAGCGAGTATCGCCCTGAAGGTGATGGAGCAGGTACCGTACATCCAGCACTGGCTCAAGACGTATGTGGGCGATGCGCCCGCGCGTGTGGAGGCAGGATACAAGCAAACGGCGCTCCTCGCGGCGAACAAGATCTTGGACGTGGAAGAGAACATTGTATCACCGATGTACGGGCTCCGGGGGTTACTCGATGTGACAGTGGAGGTAAATGTCGGTTCTGCTGGGGGAAACGTCTCAAACAATGCTCTCGCGCGCACGCTCATCCTTCCTCTCGAGATCAAGACCGGTGCGCGTGAAGACCTCTCGCATAATGCGCAAGCGTCGCTCTACACTCTCCTTCTCCGTGACCGCTACGACGTGGCCACTACTGACTACCTCCTCGTCTATACCAAGCTAAAAAAAACCACCAAGCACGCGGTTGCGCCCATGGACATTGCGCTCTTGGTCAACATCCGCAATCACGTGTCGCAGTTCTTGAAAGAAGGCACACGCGCGCTCCCTCCACTTGTCAAGCAGTCGCAGTGCTCGCGCTGCTGGGCTGCGCATGTGTGTGTCACCTACAACGTACTTGCGGAGGGCGGCACCGGCGAGGATAGTGGGCTACTTCCGGAGGAGTTCGCACACATGGCGGCGCTGTTGGACAAACCGGTGTACCAGCACTTCTACGAGCACTGGGACACGTTGCTCACCAAGGAGGAGGGGCTCATCAACAGCTTGAAAAAGGACTTGTGGCGCTTATCCGCGCGCGAGCGCGAGACTATCAACGGCAAGGGTGTAGGCAATCTCCGCCTTGCCGGCGGACAACCCCCCGGCAGCCATACCCAACACTTTCTCTACACGTTTGAGCGGCCTACATCTAAGACATCGCCATCGTTACTGTATTCGCAGTTGTCCAAGCACGACCGTGTCATCATCTCGAGTGAGGACGGTCACTTTTCCATCTGCAGTGGCTTCGTCGTCGCGATCAGGCCGTCCTCCATTACCGTTCAGGCGGATAAGCGGATCGAGACGGTGGATGTCCGGCTCCAGGACTTTGACCGCCAAGATAACCAGCGCTTCCACGGTGCGTTGCACCTGATGGAACCGTCACAGTTCGCCGCCGCGGTCGCCGCGCGCACGTACCGCGTGGACAAGGATGAGATGTTTCACGGGCTCGCGACCGCGCGCTACAACTTAATCAACCTTTTTCTTCCTGACATTGGCGACGCAAAGCGCCGTGGCTTGATCGTGGACTTGAAGCGGCCCGAATATGCGGCCACGCCGTTACCGCACGAGTTGCCCGCGCACCACACCTTCAACAGCGACCAAATTCGCGCGTTCGACCGTGTGCTCCGCGCGAAGGACTACAGTTTGATCTTGGGCATGCCCGGCACTGGCAAAACAACCGCAATCGCCCAGATCATCCGCTACTTAGTTGCCAACGACAAAACGATCTTGCTTGCGTCGTACACACACTCCGCAGTGGACAACATCTTGATCAAGTTGAAAGACGACGGGATCCCCATCTTTCGCGCGGGCACTGCGAACCGTGTGCACGCGGAGGTGCGGAAGTTTGTCCCGAACGGCGAGACTAATCCCGTGGTGACGAAGGCGGACTTTGATCGCGTTTACCTCACACCGCGTGTAGTCGCAGCTACGTGTTTGGGCCTCAAGGACCTCATCTTCAACCATCGCAAACACTTCGACTATTGCATTATTGATGAGGCGTCGCAGGTGTCGATGCCAATCTGTCTCGGGCCGTTACGCTTCTGCGACAAGTTTGTGTTGGTTGGCGACCACTACCAGCTCCCGCCGTTGGTGGTGAATCCGGATGCGAAGGGTTTGTCGGTAAGTTTGTTTAAAACGCTTAGTGAGACGTATCCGGAGAGCGTGGTGGACTTGGGGTTTCAGTATCGGATGAGCGCAGATATCATGTTACTTTCGAACACGTTGATCTATGAGGGGCGGTTGGAATGTGGGTCGGAAGAGGTGGCTAACCAGGTGTTGGAAATCCCCTTTCCAGAGAAAATTGAGGGCTTTTTTGTAGGAGCGGATTCCGGGGGAGTGAGTAATCGTTCCGGCGAAGCACCTGCCGATGAAAATTCCAAGAACCGAGGCACTCTGGATAAATATTTGCACCCTGATTCTTTGGATAATGATGTCCAAAGCCCGGTGCTTCAGAGGGCCTCTCTGACCACCAAAGGAAACCCCTCCCTGGCTCTCCCCTTACGCTGGTTCAACGCGATTCTCAAGCCTGAAAACCGTGTCTTGTTCCTCAACCATGATAACCTCCCGGCGTTGGAAAAGACCATGGGTGACAAGGTGGAAAACCCAACAGAAGTGGAGCTCATTCACCAGATCGTTGAGGGCTTGCTTGTATGCGGCGTGCCAGAATCATCCATCGGCGTCATGACGTTGTACCGCGCGCAACTCAAATTGTTGACACGCGGGTTGATCACACATGAACAAATAGATGTCTTGACGGCAGACCAGTTCCAGGGCAGGGACAAGGAGTGCATTATCATCTCTTTGGTGCGCTCCAACGAGCGCAACTCGGTGGGGGACCTATTGAAGGAATGGCGACGGGTGAACGTGGCCATCACCCGTGCCAAGTCCAAGCTTATTATCTTGGGCTCCCATCGCACGTTAAAGAACTTGGACACCATCGACGCGTTCATGAACGTGTTGCAGTCGCGCGGCTGGATGTACGACTTACCCGCACACGCCGACAAGCTCTACGGGTTTAAGACCATGGGGCCAGCGGAGAAGGGGACGGAGGTGATAACGACGAGTACCGAAATTTTGTCAGCAACGTCAAGGGCAGTTTTGAGACGTCCAGTTTTGAAGAACATTGTGGATGAAATATTGGGGTGAACGGGAGAGCGCTGCGAGTGCGAACTTAGCAGAAGAAGCGGGTGTATTAGGCTGTCTTGTGACTATATTTCATACTGGAGTAGCTACAGGCAGTTTGGTTTATGTTTACATAGGGGTTAAGACGGAAGGTTTAGCCTGAGCCGTATCTATTCCCTACGATCCGTTACTATATGCTGTTGACGTATACATATATATATAGTGGTATTATCTTATGAGGACAAAGCTGGTCGAAATATTGCTGTTTCCGTGATATGTTTCCACTCCCGAATTCGAAACCTGCCTCAGCGGCCCACTGTCGAAAAAAGAAATGTAAAGCTTAGTTCCCGCTTATGGCGAGCTTTGTCTTATTGGCCCTTGAACTGTGAGCGTGAACGGGTTTTGTGACATTTAGTATCGAAATCTTTCTGGTCCCAGTTCCCTTTTATACTCTCCTGTGAGGTTTACAACTCAGTTATAGAGGTACAGCTAAATGCCAACACTCTCAGAGCTCAAGATACAAAATAGGTGATACGAGCCAGAATAAAAAAGGCTAGAGTCAGAACTAATTTCGTGCCTAGAAAACTCTCAACCCATGATGAATTTTTTCTAAGGACGGTAAAGACTCTAAGAAAAACCAATTAGCCACACTGAGGTATTACGGTCAACTTATTGGTCTTCTTCCAAGGTCTGGGCCTCATTAGTTTCGCATATTACGCCTAAAACGTTAAAAAGTGAACAACTACTCAAGTATTGGGCTTACTGTAAACTTTTAAATCCGGTACCCCGGATACCATAATGTAGTAGAGACGACTACTTGTTGTTGAACTACTGGCAAATTTTACTTGTGTGGGGTAGCCTGCACGATATTAGCGTGCCAAACACGTGCGTGGGTTAATAAAAATAATTTGCAACTTCATTATTTTGATCTACACCCACCCATAACCCACCATGTCCTGTAAGTGCAGCCAACAGTGCGATATTGACGTTATGTCCGACCCGTTGGTCCTCTCGGCAGACCCTTCCCACCCAGCAAACTTGATTCCCGAGCTTTGCACCGTGTTCTACAACAACGGCTGGGTAACCGGTACCGGTGGAGGTATCTCTATCAGGAACGCCGAGGGCGACAAGGTTTATATTGCGCCGAGCGGGGTGCAAAAGGAAAGAATGGTACCGGAAAACATGTTCGTGATGGACTATGCCAGCGAAGAGTACTTGAGAGTGCCCCAAATTACCAAGAAGCCGTCTGCGTGCACGCCGTTGTTCATGTCTGCCTTCAAGATGAGAGGGGCCGGCGCTTGTATCCATACCCACTCTCAGAGTGCAGTAATGTGCACGCTCCTCTTTGGTGATGAGTTCCGTATTTCAAACATTGAGCAGATTAAGGCCTTGCCAAAGATTACCGAGGCCGGTAACTTGGGATTTTTTGACGAGTTAGTGATCCCGATCATCGAAAACACCGCCCATGAGGAGGACTTGGCGGACAGTTTGCAAGAGGCCATTAGAAACTACCCGGGTGCTACCGCAGTGTTGGTCAGACGCCACGGGATCTACGTGTGGGGCGAGACTGTGTGGAAGGCGAAGGTGTACAACGAAGCGATTGACTATCTTTTGGAGTTGGCGGTTAAGATGAGACAGGCAGGTATTCCGACTACGTGCGGGGTGGGTGAAGAGAAGAAGTACTTGAAATACTAGCAAGCGTAATGGTTAAGGGTATACTCAGTGATACTTATATAGATATAGTTAATGGTATTATTCTATAGAGTGAATGGGCGATGTCTCTATATAGATTGTAAGTTGAATGGCTATATTCATCGGTGAAGTAAATTGTGTGTCTGAGTCAAGGGATGCGTAGAGCTCAGGGTATGGCATATCCATATCTAGGTACATTGAAGGATATTTCACCTTTCATATGGGTAAGTTGGATTCTGATGGATTATACCCATAGCTGTATAATCCAAGATATTTCTTACAGGGGTTTTTGGTGAACAGGTACTTTCATCAAAGCGACAGGTAATATGAACAGTGTTTCATGCTAGTATACAGGTAATGTAGCGGTTATAATGGATTTTTGGTGCTTTTTAGTGCTTCCCCGCGGATCTATACCATGTTAGTAGAGTGTTCTTGAATCTTTTTTTGTAGCCACACTTACTTCATCCCATTTCGTATCGTCTTCGATTTCCACATCCACCTCTCCGATGCACACGACCGTGTCCCCCCGAATCATGTAAAGCCCTAGGTCAATGGACTCCGGGGAGTCGTCAGGATGTATAATTCGCTCAAACGACGATGCCAATATAATGTTTGTGGAATTGTCGTAACCCTTCAAGAGCCCTATAAATAGTCTCCCGTCGGTTGTGATAACCACAACTTTCTCTGCCTCGTGTTAGTATCAGATGTATCGATACAGCGTCTAACGAATACATACGATCAATAAAGGGTTTCAAACTGGACATACGGGATAACTGGGTGCGTGGTTGGCTGATAAAACACGTAAACACCGAGGAGCTTGTGTCTGTAAATAGCCCAATGAAGTGAAGCAGATGAAAATATAGAGCCTGGTTAAGACACTCCCGCATGCACCCACAACATTGCGAATGTGACAGTAAAACGGCGACTGTCAGCAAAACCGCACATTATCGATTTGTGCTTGTCCTTTTGTTTCGCCCTACCTGAATTTGACTTTAAATAGGAATTAAGGTCGGATAGTTGGTAAATATCTCGTGTAGCGCAATTTGATTGAGCATTCCGTACCACACCAAATCCCTTCCCATAATACCTAAATGCCAAACGAGATTTGCACCAATGATCCCACGGCCACCACGGATTTAAACCGCTGGGATATAAACCCAAGCGATACTGAAACGGTTTATAGTGAGAATGAGGAGACAAAAGTTCCATCACCGACACCCGAAAGCTCTCAGGTTTTCTATCCGCCTTCTCAGTTCGAAATTGCAGGCCCTCGGAGAGCCAGACTTAAGGGTCTAAGCAGAGGGCATGAATCTCAGCCCCAATCCAAAACAAAAATAGGCAAAAATGTCACTTATATGGAAGGCTGTAAATCCTCTGGTAAAAACAAGCGCCTCAGACCTTTCACGTTTTCCGACAGAGTGGATCCCAGATCTCCGACAAAAGTAGGACTGGGGCCAAATAAAGAATCCGTTCTAATGGACCCCCAGTCCAAAAAAGTACACTCAATCACTGATCAAGGTATCCTCGAGGATACCGAAACCAATTCCGTAGAGAAGCTGTTGATCCTCTGGGCATCTCGTCTCGAATTAGAGTCACTTACACTACGTGAAAACTCGGCGGATCTTCTGGATGCTGTTCAAAATACCAACCGTATTGTCCAGAAACTTCAGGCCGAGTTTTTGAATGCGGCCTCAAAGGATGGGGAATCTTCCAAAAGGTTAGCCGCAATGATTAAGGAAAATTTCGCCCGTGTATCATCGAAAATAGACACCCTCACAAACGATAGTGGAGGGGGTATAAGTGCCGATTTTATGACTACAATTCTTCAGCTGTTCTCTACTGACCTTAAAACTGAGTTGAGGGAAGTTTCTGGTGGGGATGGTATACTTTCTAGTCTACCCAAGGCCATGGATAACCATTTAAACGCCAAACTTAATACGCTTGATCAGGTGTTAAAAGCGTCGGAGGTAGCATCCCGGGCTATTCAATCTACTTGTTTGGAGGTGGCCAAGAGTGATGCCTATGGAAGAACGCAGTTTTCTGCTCTTGGCAAAACCCTCGATTTGCTCGTGTCGAAGATAAGCTTGTTGGAAAGTAAGGTTGCCAAATCAGACACACAAGCCACGCTTATCTGTGGCAGGTTTAACTCTGTTGACGCCACTCTTTCCAGGTTATCTTCACTCATCGAGAAAAATAGCCTTTCCCGGTCCACTGGATCGTTGAGACCAATATTGAAACCAGTTCCAACGAGCCTAGGCCCACCGAATAACGCTGAGGAGTTATCTGGTCCTAACATCCAGGGAAATAGGTCGGGTACTTTACCGCGTGAATACCATATGTCTACTCCAAGAAATACGCAATCGCAATCGCAATCGCAAATGCCAAAACCTTCCATTCTCCCATGTGTTTCCGTTTCTTATTCGCAACCGAATGGCCTGGCCCGGCCAATTGGAGATTCCACATCTCTCTACAGCTGGCCAAGGGCACTCTCGACGAAAGAATATCCAGATAAAATTGGAAGGAAGAAAGACGTGGTTGATCCCATCGATAATCTGTTGGAATCTACCAACATAAAACCTCGAAGAAGCATAACCAGAGCACCTACACTACATCGAACCAAAAAAAGAAGGCTTCTTTCGGACGATGACTAAGCTTCAGATAAGAATGTATATATTTCGAGGTCTAAACCAAGCTGGATCTCAACACATTCCTGCTTGGGCCAAGTAAGAGATTCAAGTTCCGCTTCGCGGTGGCCACGCAGCCCAACTGATGTAAGCTTTCGTAGTAGAGAATATAACACGGCATGTATCTATTCACAAACTTGTAAACCTCTTCGTCGCTCATTCCCCTGCCTTTTGTGCTTATGAGCTCGTGCTCTTGCTGGATTCGCCATTGATACACTGTTTGCAAATCTGGAGAGTACAAGAGGACGAAACAGTCAAACATTTTCCAGAATTGCTGGTAGGCAACTAGGTTATCATTCACGGTGTCCAAGGTACGAGTGGAGATTTCGGGATGTGAGTGGAAAAACTCTGATCCGCGGTACTTTTCTTGTACCTCTGCCTGTGTGATGTTTTGAAAACCGTTAAACCAGCCCTCGAAGATGACAATATCAACCGGAGAAGATACGACTTGCCATTGATCTTCCGATAACCTGTCTCCCTCGCCACCAAACTTGGACTTATCGTATATTGGGACACGGACGGTGGCCCGGTCAGTACTTGTCCTCAAGTCACTGAAGATCTGGGTGGCCAATTGCAAATCGTGGGTACCAGGCAATCCCCTACCTTGCAACAACGGATTATCGGGGAAGGCGGCATTGACCTTCAACTGGTCGGCGTGTGTGAGATAGAAATCATCCATAGAGATGTTTATGACATTTAAGTCGGGATACCTGGTGGACAATTCGGTGGTCAACTTTGAAGACAAGTACGACTTGCCCGATCCCTGGAGACCAGTTACACCTACAACCAAAGGAGATTTTTCGTCAAAGTCATGGTCGTCAATAATAGGCGTGAGAAAGGACAAGGAGGCGTCAATAGTGGACATAATGAATAATGGTGCTGGTGTTTATTTCAAGTACAGTGTGGGGTAGCTGCTATTTATCTCTGAGTCGATCGCGAACGCACATCCTCGGAATTTTCCAGGTTTCCGAGTCTGCTTGTCACGGCCTGCCCTACGCATTACATACTCCATAATTATATAGATGCCGTATATTCAATAGCGTGTAAGTACGGACGGTGGGACTTTAATGTCTATGCGTGATAGCAAGGGTGGTCTGAGTTATTTAATATCGTAAGCCCGCGTTATCTACAAAGCCTTGGCAGCCTGCAACTTGGCAATAAGCTCGTCGACGTTGGCAACCTTGACACCGGCACTGCGCGCAGCCGGCTCTTCGACCTTCAAGATCTCCAATCGGTTTTGGATCTCAACTTCCAAGTCAGCGGCAGTGAGTTTCTCCAATGGCTTTTTCTTGGCCTTCATCATGTTCGGTAAGGTAGCGTATCTAGGCTCGTTCAACCTCAAATCGGTGGTGATGATGAGCGGAAGCTGGGCACTGATTGTTTCGGCACCACCGTCCACCTCTCTAGTGACGGTGACGACATCACCTTGCACGACAACCTTAGAAGCATTGGTGGCTTGTGGCCAGCCAAGCAAGCCCGCCAACATCTGCCCAGTCTGGTTGGAATCGTCGTCAATGGCCTGTTTCCCCAAAATGATCAAGTTGGACTGCTGTCTCTCAACTATCTTCCTTAACAACTTGGCAACGACCAACGGCTCGACTTCGGCGTCGCCAACGTCGATCAACGTAGAAGAGTCAACACCCTTAGCTAAGGAGGTTCTCAAGACATCTTGAGCCTTAGTAGGGCCGATAGACACAGCGTGAATACTTTCGACGGCACCCTTATTGGCCTCTCTAATTCTCACGGCCTCTTCCACGGCAATATCGCAGAACGGATTGATGCTGAACTTCACGCCCGTCTTTTGGACCCCAGTCTGTGTTTTGTTGATTCTTGGTTTGATAGCATAGTCAATGACTCTCTTCACTGGGACTAAGATTTTTAACTTAGAAGACATAATGTGCACGGTGCCTGTTGGTGTATGAGTGTGGGTGTAAGTGGAGAGATGGTTCACACTTATAATCCTGCTGCTATCGGAGAAGGGTGGTTACGAGCGATGCGGGTGGGCTAGCACTGGTATCGGTTGGTCATTTTAACGACTTAATAAATAGCCGACTGAATAAACCATAAAGACAAATAAGGGCAAATATTACAGTTATGGCACGGGTTCTAAACCGCTAGATTTTTTTTTCTCGTATAGCTCTAGCTGCTCTCACGGCGCAGTGCATGATTCGAAGGAAGTCTCACTACAGGGTGATAGATAATGGGTTGTATTATTACAGTCTCGCTTCCTAGATAACCAGCAAACTACGAGCCGAGAAATACCACACCGGACTCAGATTCAAGCCATGGGCATAAACTTCCACTATGTTCCTCTTCTGACTGGAAATAGAAAGCATCATGGCTTTCACAGCATCGGGTACAGCCACATATACGTATGGCGTTCTCTGGCAAAAAAAAAATAGAAAGCATAGCTTAGACTGAAGGTCTAAGCCACCATTCACAATTTTGAGTCTCCGGCTGTACCACTTGCATTTCATTTCTTGCTAAAGTGCCACTTCTCACCCATCCTAAAAGCTCGAAATGTTGCTTCTCGATCTCGCTTTCATCTTCTCAATACGGGCCTTCAATTGTGACGTGACCTCGGCAGCCCGTCTCCAACTGTCGTCATTCGTATCAACCTCAAGAGGCTGTTTTGGGTAGTCCCTGGAGGCAAATTTGTTCTCCCGCTGCTCGTACGGGTTGTGGCCATCGATGCTGAGTCCACTCACCCGGGAGCTCAAGTCAACACTGAAGCGGCTGAGTCCAGCACTCTGCGTAGGCGGGGATGCGTCCGACATCCTCTGGTCGTAGCTGGCACCGTTTGATCCGAACGCCTCGGATGGGTGTCCTTGCTCTGCTGGATGTCCGGCCTCCGACCTCGTCTTTAGCACAGCATTCTCCTTCTGCAACCGCAACATCGCGCTTCTAATCTCGTCCAACTCGTTGTTTGCTCGGATGAGCTGAGTATCCTTCGACTTGATAGCCAACACGTCGTGAGTGTGCTCCTCCATGAGCTTTTCGTTGCGCAGTTGCAACGAATCAATTTCCTGCATGAGCCGGCTCTTCTCGGTGGCAAACTCCTGTTTCTGCCACTGGGCCAGCTCGCGCTCCTTCAACCAGGCATTCTTCTCGGCGCGCAAATCCTCCAACTCTTCCTTATCCCGCGGATTTGACACTTCAAACCTGGGTGGGGGCAAGGCCGGGGCGGTAGTGAGGATACGGCCGGTGAGGCCGCTGCGGGCCGCGGCTGGCTTCTGGGCTGCAGCTTCGTCACGCTTTAACGGTGAGGTAGCGCCTCGCTTTGTCGGGATGGACCCTGTGACGGATTTTCTAGTCCCTATCGGCTCCTCGGCCTTTCTCACGAGTCTGGTGGCGGCGGTAGTCCTAACAGCTGAAGCTGGTTTCACCAGCTTGGCAGGCCCCGTGGAGAACTTGCACTTGACCTCCACAGCCTCGAACACCTGCTGGATCTTGCTCTTTCGGTTATCATCCACCTTCTCCAAGTACGCATTCAACTCGCGCTCACCGGTGATCTTCATCAAGGTCCCGATGGCGTCGGAGGCAGCGGCCCTGACCGGCTCCTGGGAATCGCTAAGCAATTTGACAATGTCAGTCATGATCAATTCCACTTCCGCACGCTTGGGCGAGACCGTGGTGTTCTTCAAGCATCTGGCTAAGTATTTTGTAGCCTCAATTTTCACTTGTGGTGTCTTGTGCCTGGAGAAGACGATAGTTTCCTCGAGAATGTCCGAGAGCGAGCTGCACTGGAAGAGGGCATCCAACGCCCCCGCTAACGCTTCGGTCACCGACAATTTCTTCTCCTTCGTGCGTTCAAGGGTCGGGGCCAAGAGGATGTTGAGGTACCGCGCAAACTTCGTGCGCAAAGCGCGTGCAAGAAACTCAGTACAGTTCGCCGCGAGCTGGACCACCTGGACGTTCGCGTCCTTCATACACTTGGCCAAGATTCGCGCCAAGTCGGTGTAATCGCCATCGGCCACCTTGGGAGTATTCACTACCACGTGGACCTCCTCCAAAACCTCCTTGCGGTCCTTCCACTTAGTGGAATTGATTCGCTCATGAAGATCCGCGGGCATGGCTGCCAACACGTTCTTCGCCTCAATCATGTCGAATGGGTCGACGTCTTCCTCGGCGTCGTGCATCGACACGTCTCCGTGGGCCTCGCTCAGTCCCTCCAAAGCTTCCTTCTGGGACCTCAAAAGCCGGAGCTGGACGGGCGCCTTGGTCACGGCCTCAAACGCCTTCTTCAAGTCTTTCTGTTGGACCGGTTTCAAATCGGGAAAAACAACCGTCTCAAGGGTCACGCCCATCCACTTGTAGATCTCCACTGTCAAGAGCGTGGCCTCCGCACGAACGGTCTTGTCTGCGTGACTGAACAACTTTGGAATCGCCGGAATCACAGTCTTTGGTGATACCGCCTTCGCCCCGAACTGGACGTAAATCTCAGCTAACGCCTTTGTGGCAGTAGCCACAAGCTTTGGCAAGCGTGCACTTAAAAAGGGGAGGATTTCGTCCACAATAAGCTCAGGTGTATCCAACTCAACAAACATCAACAATGCGTTGATAGTTTTTTGCTTCGTGCCAGCGCGCGACGATGCGAGCCCCTTCTCGATCAACGGTCCCACGGTGCGCCCGCGGATCCGCGTGCACGCGGGTGTCCCGCCGTACTCGAGGAAGGTGCACAACGCCTGGATCCCCGCCTCCTGCGCCACCACGTTGCTGTCAGTGACGATTTTGCCGAATAGGTCACCGTTTTTGAGAAATAGTTGGAAGCAATCGCTCTGCTCATTGGCAGAGGCAGCAAACTGTTTGTCTATCTCCTCGTAGGCGCCGAGACGCACTTTCCACACCTAGAGCGTTAGTTGTTAGCTCGTGAATGACGGCTACTTTTTGAGGACATACCTTGTGGATGATTCGCTCCTCCAAGGGGAGGCCGGAATAATCTTCGTCTGACATGTAAAATGGGTAGTGTGTATTGCTGGTGGGTTGCGAATCTGTAAATGGACTGAGCGTCTATTGTTTTTCTATTTGTTTACGTTTCCGATCTGCGCGGATTTTGGGGCGAAAAAGAAGTTGGCCAGGGTTTTGCGGCGAGTTTGGCTCTGGCCCGAGGAGAGCGGCGCTTAAATATCTAGCTAGTTATGGCTATCGCACAATAGGTATAGGGTATAATCGGAACAAGGATCAAGTTTGACAGGGGTTTTCTGTTCCTGCCACCCGACCGTTTTTGGCAAAGTTTCCAAGTTATCAGACGGTGTACGGTAAGAGGCTTAAAGCTAGGAACTTATTGGATCGAGCTGCCTTATTATAAGTTATATAATATAAAGGGGCGAATATCAGCCCAGGTAAAAAGTGCAGGGGTTGTAGCACTTGTGTTGTGACAGATCGCTTTCAAATCTCAAACCCCTGTAGAAAATAGTAACAGCTCAACCAAAAAAAAAAAGCCGCGTAACTAGGCTGTTGGATATAAAGTTCGGCTCTATCAACCTCCGCCGGTTGACAAAACCGATCCCTTGATTTATTTTCGAAAAGTTGACGTTAATAAATAATATAAAATGCAAATATACACGTAAACCAAGAAGAGCATGGCGTAAGAAAATAAATAGGGTAGGATGTTTGGGGTCCAACTCCTAGGCACCCGCAGAACATAGGTCTTCTTCATCTACATCATAGGGTGGGGGAGCTCAGTACTTCCACAAGTACTCCTTGGTCTTGTCAATGAAATCTTGGGGGTGCTCCTTCCCGGCCGCAATCTTTCTCTTGATCTCGGAGATGGTTGGGAGACTGTCAAAGCCCCAGTCTTCTTCGCCCTTTCTGACGTCATAATACTTGGAGAAGTCGTCGGTATGGTATGGGTGGTTGAACCAGTTGAATGATGGGTACACATCAATCATCTTCCAAGAGTAAGAGGACGCTCTGGTGGCGGTTTTCTGGGAGTGCGGAGCCATGGTTGGTTCGCCGTATGGCAATCTGTATTCGCTTAAAGCCTTTTTGATCTCGTATCTGTCCATCTTAACCTCTCTGGCGTTTTCTCTGACACCGCTTAATCTCATTGCGGTGTGCGCATAGGCGCTGAAGAAACCGGAGATAAACCCAACAAAGAGCGAAGCTCTCAATGGTCTACCGGCAGGCATGGAGAACTTCTTTCTGCCATCGTGCTGGAGAGCCGCAACGTTGTAAAGAACTGGAGCCAAGACGGTCATGGCACCCCACTCCAAGTAGTCAGTAGCTCTCATAAACTTGAGGACACGGCCAATGTGAGGATCTTTGTCAATTAACTACCTTGTTAGTAATTGCATCGTGACTTGCCCATCTCATCCCCCAGCATGAGGATCGATGGCGCACAGTTTAATACTTACTTCATATTCAGTGGTAACCAACTTCTGGTCGGTGTATACGGTGTCAGACATTGGGTGTGTACGATGATACTCTGAAAGTCAACGTTGTGCTCTATGTATACGCTATTATGTACTAACGTTAACAATTCAACCGCATTCGGCAGACGTACTGTATAAACGACCAATCAGCAAATTTGCAAAGTTCCAAAGTTACCCGGAAAAAAAAGTCCTGCACGAAGGAACGGCAAAAAAGAAAAGCTTCCCCACCAGGAGTCGAACCTGGAATCTTCTGGTTCCAGAAGTGGTTACAAATCGTAGCCAGACGCCGTGACCATTGGGCCATGAGGAACGAAGCTTAGCGAATATGGTATTATGCTTCGATGTATTTAATCATGGCATGAATTTACTTTGATGTTTGACCAGACATATACTGAGGAGGTTTATATAATAGCTTTATGCTATTTGACCTGAAAGAGCTTACAGGTATTTTGTTTAAATGTCTCTGAATCTTTCTGGTTTCTTGATTTTCAGTTCTCGGTAACTATTGTATGTTAATCTTTTATTGTACCAATGCCAGAGTGCCGAAATTGATTTATCATTAAATATATCTAACTTTCGAGTGTATTTAACATATCATATATCATGACCCATTCTCATATTTCAAGTCATTCCAACATTTTAGAGCGATCTTTAATATCCTTCAATTAGCATCTATATTTAGTTATATATACCAACACCCCTCTTTTATAGCGCGCCGTTACCATCCTTTCAACACCGTTACTTCAGACTGTACCAACTTTTGCGCGTACGATAAGACAGGGCATCCTGCACTGATGGCTCATCAAAACATACCTGCACGAAAAAAAGATTCGATCTCAGAACCGTGACGTTGACGCGTCTCTGCCATATTTTCAAACCGGCAACGGCAAGAGAACAGATAGCGGGCATTGCTGTTAATGGTTGTGGACACCAGTTTTACATAGTATAGCCGATCACCCTCTGCTTCTTTGAACCATTTTCCACTGGCGGGTCTAACTATGGAAAGAGGTGGCGATGAAATATATGACTCGGACGTGGAAATCGCACCGATATCAGAGCTCGACATCTCCCCAAACGGGTTCCTTCACATCATCAGAAACAGATATTTTGCGCACGATATCCGTGACTATTCCAGTATCCAAAGATCAGACCTACCCACGAAACTTGCTTATCGGATTAAAACCAGCTGGCATCAGGCGTTGTCTGAGCCTGAACAAATCCGCGGGAGCAGCTCCCCGACTCTCAGTGACTCCTACATTGGATCTACCACTGAACAAACTTCCTCCCACGCGCTATCAGTCACCACACAGTGCCATGCATATCCAGAAAGAGATCAACCACAGAACCAGACATCGATCCGCGAAGCAGTCGAGACGACGCCCCCAGAGGTACCCTCCTCACCCAACAACGCGCTTTTGGATGCTTCCCCATCCGACTTTATCACTACACCCGCGGGCTTTCCATCCACTACAAGTCTCACCACAGAATCTACAGATGCGCTATTGACAGACTACTTAGACTCGGAAGGTCTCTACTCGGGAAGACTACGGAAGAGGAATTTGAAACAACGATTTCCGTTCCTTGCTGAATTGGTCTGTGACTACCTCGATATCATGCCAATCCACATCTTAGAGAACCTGTTCGAACAGCTCATGCGAAAGGAAAACGAGGATGTCAACGCGGTGATGAAGGTGTTGGTGGACGCTGCCGATAGACAGTACAAGCAAAAGAAACGGTCCAATCGGGGGTCTGGCTTATATGAGCTTGACTCCCTCTATAACCACATTGAAAAGTATGTCGGAAAGCGGTCAGCAAAGAAGCCGAGTGGTGAAACCAGCACAGAGAAAACCCTGGACGAGTCACAGGACGGAGATTTTCAGCTACCGCCAGGACGAAATATTGAAGTGAATGAAGACTTGGCAAATGTGCCTCGGATCCTGCGAGACGAACTTTTTGGCTTGAATGATTACTTGCAAGTGGGTACACAAACTCCCAGCCGCAAACGAAGGATCCACATAGATGATGGGTCTGAAGATCCCACCGTGGTCAGTGACGGCTACCCGAGTGAGGATGAGTCGCAGGAAGAGGCAGAGGATGGGTTTGCTGTGGTGAGACACAAGCAGGTGAATATCTATCGCTCCGGGGTTCTTCCGGCCATGTTCTACAAAAAGGACCAAACTGCGGCCCAGAAACGTTCCGCAAAACGAAATATACCGGAGGATCGCCCGGGTTTGGCCAAGAAGAAGGTTGCCAGAGAGCGCCGAGTGGAGGACCCGGACACTTTCATTAACGATGAAGATATCTTCGAACAGACGGAGCCCCCGTTGAACTTTTTCCCCGAGGCTCACGATACCATAAGTGTCTACAGCGCTGAGGAGAGCGGAGACGAGGTTGATCCGTTCGATTATTCTTCTGACACAGAGGAAGTGGATGCAAGTGACAATTATCGTAATTGGATCCAACAGTCTGCCGAACCGTCAATCCACAGTCCCACTGTTGAAGAAGATATTAACCCAGAGATATATGTCGGTGGAATTCTAGAGGACCATCACGAGGTGCCCACCACAGAGTCTGCTTCCCCTAGGACCTCTTCTTTCCAGCAACGAGTTTTCCGCAATCGGGGGTTTGAGGACAACCGAGTCGACGGGATGCTTGCTTCGAGCTCAGGTGCCCGATCCACAGAACCAAAACGGACCAGTCCAGGCAGCCGTAGTCATAAGGCCTCGTTCTATAAGCAAATGCTTCTTGACGCTTTTGGCTCGAGCAACAAGGCTCGAGCTCCTGGGAGACGACCTGTCAGGAGGGGCACCCCTGTGCGCGCACACAATGTGACTAGCGAGAGAAGGATGTCAGCAAAACTCTCGGCGCCCGGCTCCGGGGGGGCCTTAAACAGGTCCAAAGGCCTGTCTGGTGCGCGTCCCCCACGAACCGTCTCCGCTCCCACCACAGCCATGTTCGGGGAGCGCGTGCTCTCGAAGAAGACAAAAAAACCAAAGAACTCCCCTACTTACCTAAGACCCTCGCCTGGTGCGATCCTTCCCCGGCAGCCGAACGTCTTTGTCCCACAGCTCGAAATGGAAAATCACAGAAAAGTTTACAAACGGTCGCCCCTCACCGCCGGTGCGATTGCTTCCGGTGAAGAGTACCCAGTGTTTCCAGAACAAGGATCCGACTATGCCAGCGGTGAAGGGGCGTTGGAAAATGCTCTCTTTACCCTCAAGGGCCTCCTTGAGGCCCCTGAGTTTCATAACGACTGTTTCTTCCTGCAGTTTGAGTTTTCCAGCTTTTTAAATTTTGACAGTTGGCTGTACAGAAACACCGAGGCTCTTCTCAAGTTTGACTTCAAGGGTACGACGTTGGTATTCTCTAAGCTTAACAAACAGGAGGCTTTGCGGAACTTTATCCTTCTCCTCGACAGCGCCGCCAACAGCTTCATTTACCCGTCAGACGAGGTGTTGTCGGCCATCCTCAAGTGGTCCATCCTTGATCCAGATATTTTATGTTTTGAGAAGGTTGCGACCATTCTCGAGGAACGGTTCATCACAAGGCTTAAGGCAGTGTTGAATGGCAGCTGTGGCATTGACATCTCACGGACGGTGAAGTTTGTCGTGTTGATTTCGTGGATCAGACTTCAGCGCGATGCAGGGTTTAAGAGGAGGTTTAAGGAGGTGCTTACCTTCTTTTTTCGTTATGCCATGAGGTACTCTTATGAGGAGTACCTCCTTTCGATCAGCAAGGACAATAGGTTTACTTCCAGAGGAGAGCTTTTGTTTATTGTCCACAAGATGATCCACAAGAGTGGACTTGACTTTGTACAGCTTGTAAACTCCGCCTACAAGGCCTCGGACAAATTGATGGATGGGTTCAGCTTTGTGTACATTTTTGCGACGTTGAACGGGAGTGAGAACTGGAGCTGGGTGATTTTGCTGTTGCATGGGAATCGTGACACAAAGGCTATTTTGGTTGAAATTTGGAAGCTCATCATCATGGCTAATTGGAAGTTGAACTACCACCTCATCAAATCCGTTTTCAAGGAGTTGGCCCAGCGAGACTTTTCTGGCGGCGACGATGCCATTGCTAACTATATCATCCGGACCGTCCCTCACCCTGTGTACTCCCCCGGTGAATCCCTTTTTACCAACTTTTTGAAACTTTTCACGTTGTTTATTCGTGAAATCCCTCAGATATCCTCCAAGGATGTTTCAAAGTTCAAGGACTTGTTGCTTCCAACGGCCACTCCCACCCCTACGGAAAATTCCCTCATCAATCAGTTCAACTTGATCATTTGCTTCAACCTATTGACGGAGGAGGATGTTGCTACCAAGTTGGACGCCTTGTTGCGCTGCAACGTGAAATACTTTGGTACTTGTTTGAATGCCTTGAACATACTCTCTATCATCAACAAGGACGACACTATTGCCCTCTTGGTGACCTGCTCCGACATTTTGCGAGAAAAGCAGAAACAAAGCGCTGTTAATGCCAGTCTCGTGGCAAGGGGCTACCTGTATTTGCTCCGGACCTCGAAGATACTCCTCGAATCGAAGCCTGCGATGGCGAACGATGTTTATGACGTCGTGAGAGCGTCGGAGTGCTTTCTGTATCTCGACTTCCAGGATGGCTTACAAGCGCTGTTATATGAGGATTTCTCCACCTTTTCTAAAACGCTTTTACAACCGTTGTCCACAAGGAACTGTGTGGAATTATGTGGGGTATTGTTGACCATGGTGCAAAAGACTGCCGATACTGCTACCAACCGTCAAGTGTTCTCTCTCTGGATGTTTTCATTGCATGAGCTCATAGACATCAAGAGGGGTGACCACTGGGGCGCCTACTTGTTCTTAAGGTGGCCTACCCTTCTACAGAACCCCGCACTCTCACATTTGGAGTTACCGTTTTATATCCAGTTTTTGAGTTACTACCAGGGGAATGATGTGGATTACATGAATCAATGCCTGGACGTTTTAATCAAATTCGTCTTCAGAAAACAGAGTCCGCAAAATTATGTGTACGAGTACGTTAGGGGTTTCTACAAATCGAACCCTAGCCATGAGCTCTTGGACTTCAAGCGGAAGCAAAATTACTCGTTGGAAGGGTTGACCAAAGCAAACTTTGTGGCTACCAGGACCCAGTTTTGCCGGGCTCTCATCTCCAACATTCTCAGATCTCAAACTTGTCGTGAAAGATGGCTAGACGTGTTACTTTCTACCCTCCAAGTCACACTTGACTCGGCCCCAGCACCCGACGAATACACCGACTTTGTTTTAACCGTGGTTAAATACTTGGATGCCCATACTCAGAATTTGTTCAAAGAGTCATTCATTTCCTTGAAGCAGAGATTAAATGTTCACTGTGCCAAGCTTGAGAAATTTTCCCAGTATGTTGGTTCCAGCGAACAAGAGTCGTTGCCACAGTTCCAAAGGCGGCTTATTATTGCCATCCTTGAGAACCGAACGGACAGCTTCCTATCTCAGCTAAAGTCCTCTGTCGCGAAAGCCTTGCGAGAGGCGAACTCCGTGTTGGAAGAAGATGGTGAAGGTGAGAGATCTAGCCCGTTAACACCAGTGACTGACTTGATGAAGGCCAACATATCTCTATTAAGCTCTTTACCGCAAGCCTGGCTAACTGTCTCGTATTGTATGGTTGTCATGGCCGACATTGTTATCGAGAACCAGATCAACTTTTCCCAACATGATTACACAGCGGTTTTTGGCATGATCAAGAGCTTCGGTCCTGTTTTATATACCGAGAATGCTGTTTCTATGCTTTATAAATTCCGGTCAATGGGACTGTATTACAAACTATTGTCAGTCTTTTGTTTGACGTTGGTTTCTTATCCGGATTTCTTCCAATTCAATAAAATCGTGGAAGAACAGCAGCAAGAACACATCTCCTCGGTACGAAGTGACGAATGGCAGAACGCTGTGCTCCTTCAAGCAATTTCCCAGAGTTATTCCGAGTTCCCAGATATAAACCATACCGCCGTGCATGCCATAGATGTGGCCAAGGCGGAACAAACCTATCTTCAGAATTATGCCTGGTTTGCTGAACTACATCAACCACCCTCCACGAAACAAAATGACTGGGAGGGGGGAGATGGTTTAGATGACGTGCTTGACGAAACGGTTCTAATTTTTTAGCTGTAATTTTATTCATACACAGAAAAACATGTCTTAGTGTGGTACCCATGCAGTCCATATACGGAAATAGATAACGCCTTCAGCTTTAGAGTGTGCGGCTTAAGCCCCCGTGCAGCCTCACGAGTAATATCAGAGGCGCAGACATCTTGTACGCAAAAGTTATCGGGAAGTTCTCGAGTTTTTTTTTTAATTACAGAGTATACCGTTTCGCCATCTCTATGATACCTGACTACAAATTCGGTTTATCCCCCTTGACTCTTACGTCTCTTCCGAGAGATACAGAAAGGCTTCGAACCGAGGTTAATAAGTTTGTTGATTCGATTGCCATTGATTGGAAGTTCGAGAAATCGTTTCAGAGACCCGTCACCAGCAAAGCAACAAAGACCCAGAAAATTCCAGAAACGGTAAAAGTCGACACGTACAAGACAGTGACGAAGGATGGTACCACATGGGCGTCGAGAGTGAGTCACCATGACGCTCAGGAGTATACTTTTGCGAGCTTTGCTCACTATTTGGTTGGTGCAACCCAAAGCGCCAAAGGAGAGTCAAGCTCCGAATGGACCATTGCCGATATTTCTGATCACACAAGGTACGAATCCCAATTCTATGAGATCGTATCTGGCTGGGAACGGTTAGACCTCGCTAACCTTTCTGGCAGTGCGGAGGCGTTCGCAGACGGAACCTCGGTGTTAAGGGACGAGTTCCTACACTTGAAGGAGTGGTACGCGGTGCAGGTGGAGTTTGATTTAGGATTTCCGTTGAAGAAGCGCGAATTCAACGTGCTTGTGCATGTCACCAAGCCTACGTTAAACCACAATGGTGATCTACAATTCCTTGTTATCTCTTTCGTGTTGGACCACCCGGAGACGTCAAAAGGGAAAGTTCAAGGAAGATACACCTCCTTTGAACGTGTTACGTATGTCAAAGCCAGGAATCAAATCGAGTGGGTTATGGCCACCTGTTCAGATGCAGGGGGTATGATTCCCCGGTGGGCCCAGAACATGTCGATCTGCAAAGCGCTTGCTCCCGACGTTCCCTGCTTTTTGAATTGGTTGAACAAACATTAAAGGGGGAGTAATGCAAACAGAAGCTGTACGATATTGTCTTTGTCCAGAGTGTATCAATGGTTTGCGATTCAAGTTACGGTGTGCCTCTAACCACCACGTTGAAAAGAATCAACCAACTATGCGCTGCAACCCATGCTGTAAAACGTACAATGCATTACACTGAATAGACTGGTGCCACAGGTAGTCCTTAAACATGCGTAAATCACGGCTTGGGCAAACAACCCCCTTTCCGGTGTTATCCACCTGGGAATATAATCGATTTATAGTAAACGAAAGACGTGAAATGTAACCTCCAAAATTTTACAAAATCCTAGAGACTGTAGGGTATTGGGTGTAGTAAGCGTGTAGCTGTCACATGGTAGGGATCGATACTCTATATAAGGAGGTCGATCCCTCCCTCCTTTATCCTATATACATTATATAGGCAACCAGTATACTATTACTATAAGTAGATATTCTACCCTCGAGATAGAGGTATACCACATTGGGGATGTTATCTGCTGTCTTAAGGACCGTGCGACATACTCTTTGAACAACTGTTTGGGGAATTAATCGGCCAGGAAGAGTAATACGGAGTACCGCAAGAGACAAAATTCAGGATATTGCCTGTGAGATCGTTTATCTCATGTCTGGGGGAGGTATAGCCAATTTCAACCAAATGCAGAGCTCCACTACAGCCAGGAAACGGATTCCGAGCCCAGACAAGACCGCATGCATGCATCTCAAACAACCTACAATAGGGGATGTCGTAAACCAGACCGTAGCTGCAGGCCCTCAAACATCGTTGAAGCAGAATGTATGTGCCACTTAAAAGCAGCATGTTACATTTGAATACAAAAACGACCGAGAATTAGATTTTCTAGGGCAAGACACGCCGACATAGACTAGACACTAGACGAGCGTCTTGTCCACAACCCCGTTGCCAACGTAACCCAGACAATCAAAAAAATGGCAAATACATTTACTGATGATACACGATATCCAATCCAAATACGGCTTTCTCAATCAAGCCTTGCCTTGTAATATGGGCACATTGGCTATCAGGAATGTAAGAAGCTGGTGCAGCCCAAGCTCGCTATCCAAGCCTCGTGTGGCGCTATGAAAAGTCGAAACCTGAATTTTTACCTCACCGCGGTGGTTAATATCAAAACTCATGGAAATAATATTCAGCGGCCCTTTGTAGACCATGTATCATATCAATGCTCCTTATGGGCTTTGGGGATACGGTCTATGGCTATCGTATGCTTAGAGTAATGAATATGACGTTTTCACGTCTCGCCTCTCTGTTTATAAGAGGGTCAATGTAAAAATACTTAGATTCCTGTGTACGCTATGTCCAAGCTCTTAAAAGCCAGTGGCTTATCGCCGTGAGATTGTTGGATGGTTAACACGTTTCATTTACGAACGACCCAAGGATTTGATAAACTGCAGACTCTATTTCTCTGATATTTTGCACACAAGTTTGTGTATCGGTTTTTTTTTTTTTTTTTTTTTTTTTTTTTTTTTCGCCCAGTCCCGCCAACCTTGTATTGTTTGATACCAAGGAATATACTTTGATACATGTGAAGGACTGGAACTGGGAAAATCTGAAACTATCGGCGGTTTAACAGAATGAGAATGTTGTATGTGGGAAAACTGGGGGCTGATTCATGCCGATATGTGCATGCGTTGTTAGGTCTCTGTTGCTAATCAACAGAGTCAGTTAAACTCGAATCATCTATGTCTGACGTTTCAGCCGATAAATCATTTTCCTCAAACACCGCCTACTTCCCGCTCTCGGCGAGCTAAAACTTGGTTTATACCAGGGTTTAGTTTATGACTATATTTAGCTCCAACCCACTCAGCCTAGACACGGTATGACCAATATAGAGTATTTTTTCAATTTAAAACATAGGGACCTGTATTGAGCTCGAGGTCAGTGTGTGATCTATTGAAGCAGACGAGTTTCGTGGTTCATAGCGGTTAACATAAATACATAAACTTTGTCGTTATGGGACAAATCTTATTTAAACGGTGTGAAATAAAATAGCACGGCCGGCATTTTCCGCCATTTACATTCCTGGTTTAGCTAAGCTTAGCGTGAGTAGGGAGACCCTTGGGCCTCCGCGGAGGTGGTTTATTATGGGGCGACATATCGAATCTGTGTGGAACACTTCGCGCAGGTTTCTATCGCCCAATATCGGTGCGATGCATGCACGAACGTCTAGGCAATGTTTAGGTGCATGCCTTCGAAATTCATAATCAGCGTCAATCTTCCTTATTCGAATAAATCTATTATACAGCCTCAGCTTCAAGTAACCTAACCTTACTATAATTATCAATACTTTGTGCTAAATGGTGACGCCATACCAAGCAGGTAAAAAAAAAAAAAAAACTCGAGTTTGATCACGTAACCATGGTGTCAATACTACTTTGGTTTCGGGATGACCGGCAAGCTTGAGCTCCGATTTACTCTAGCGTGGGGGATGAGCGACGGAACTCTAAAGCGACGAAACCTAACATACCATATTACCCATATCTATATTCACGCTCATTTCCCTATTGGCAAATTAAGTTTGCTCCTAGTTATAAAAATTCAAGCGAATCGATCAAATATGTTGAGCTTACAGTTGAATTGCGGTGTTTCGACCTCTGACTCGCAATGTAACCGACCATTTTCAAGTTCCTTGACGTTGGTATCACGCTATGTAGGTGTATTTAGGGAGATGTCTTTATAGTTTATATATCTCGGTCACAGTTACAAATTATGGATTGCAATATCCCCTGAATAGATGAATGGTGGCCGTATTGGGTGTTTAGACACGGTAGGGTCTAGAAACCTCCCAATGTCGGCTCGGTTTTTTTCTATAACACATTATATATCTACCTGCTTACATTGACATACCGTGGGTAGGTATAAAATGAGCTTTAACAAGGTACCAGGAGATCTGTATGCTTTATAGGTGAAAATATCTAACCTTTCTTCACTATTGTAGACATTCAATCTTTAGTGAGAGGCTTACCTGCCACCTTGAAACAAAGGAAAAACATTAATCCAGGAGCCGGAATCCCAAATCCTACTATGCTATGAGAGTAGGGCCAAAAATAAATCTTGATCCAAGAAGCCCATCAAAGTGTCCACCTCTCATGAGCCGTAATTAATCTTTACCACTTGCAATCAGTTAATCTAATTAGAGCCAGACTTAAATAACAGGGGGGTTCGCAAATAGAAGCAACCGCATACTTACAGCCAAACCTGGTATGTTCTCATTGAAAGATGCAGTTAGAGGCATTCCACAGCATTTCTGTGGAATGCTAACTTCTGTAAATAGATTATGAAGTGCTGAGACCCGGGCGGATGATCGTGTGTATTCTCCACGTTTCATACAAGGATTCCGCTTTGTCGGAGACCCGCATTGCCTCACTCCTAAACCTCGTATCGACCTATACACCGTAATTTCCCTCATTAATAGCAAAAATGCCGTTGTACCAGCATCGACGATAGCCCGGTAGTAATAGCGTTGCCAGGCCGAATCGTCTCGTCAAACCAAAGACCGTTACGTTCGCCTCTTCCCGGTGCAGCGGGTTTCAGACGAGGAGAGGTGTTTACATGTCTGACGCGTGCAGCGTGCAGGCAGTGCAGGACTCATTCCTAGTTAGACGACGATCTCTCGAGGCAACCCTGTTGAAGCGCATGATCACTGCGGTTGTCGGCGCTGTATTAAGCTTGCGCATATGTGCTACAGGGAAAGCCGCAAGTCGGTACGTCTAAGTTGTCAAAATATTATTAGGGCGGTGACGAATATGCATGCAGATACCCCCGTAATTCCACTCACAAAAGCCTCCTGTACACAATTAGCGCACAGTGATCTTTAGCCTCCTCCGAATGAGGAAATTTGTCAATTTTCTTTCAAACACAAGCAGGATCTTGATCGTTTTGTATGTACCCGCAGAGAACAAAGGACAAGCCTTAGAGTCTTGAGGATGGAAGTATCAAGCAACCGTTATTTGATTTCATGACCGTCCGGATTGAGCAATTGCAATTGAAAATTGTCGTACGCTGTATATAACCCTACGTTTCGTCACTCTTTTCTGTCTCCCGACGGTACTTAAGACTGACGCTTTGGTTCTTTCTCTCTCTCTCCACCCTTGATACCCAGGTCTTATCCAGGCTCGGCTTTATTACATCAGAGAGACGTTAAGAGCAGCCTCACGCACCGTTTCTTATTTTCTCTCGGTTTACCACCCCCTCCACATATCCTTCATCCAACGTGCTTGCTACCCAGTGTTACGCATATTTCTACGGATACCCTTACTATTTTTACGCTTGCGGCACCTTCCTTTTTTCATCTCACATCGCACAGAGACCAGAAATAAAAAAAACTTCCGCCTAAACCCAGCTACAAAAAAGACAGGGCCCTGTTTCCATTGTGACCAAATCCAGATAGTAAGCCCTACCGAGCTGATTTCCGTGCCATCCTCCTTGTATACCTCCGCACCCCCTTTAGCATGACTCAAGTCACCGAGTACCGCCCATCCATGGCCTCGTCTCCCGTGCTCTCCTCCGCCTCTACACCCTTCTTCCAGACTATGAGCTTACAAGCTGCGACCCTTAGCACAAAAAGGGCCGCTCACTCGCCGCCCACTTTTGACTACGACGAGTACGACGACGACTTTGACGTGGATGACATCCCACTCATGGACTTGGACGAGGATATCACCGTGTTCAGTGCTCCAAAGGACGAGTCATGCAAAAAGTTGAACTTTGCCGGTAAAACTGTGTTCCCGTGTCTCGGCTCGCCCAGGGTCGCCACTCCCGCCGCCAGAAACTTCTTTAACCAGAAGACGGAGGAGAGAAAACCCCTCGGTAATATCTCAAATTTCTTCCAGTCACCGGTGGAAAAGGGCAAGGCCACCCCCTTCAACAGACGAGCGTTGCACTCTCGGTCTATGTCTGAGTTTCCGTCGCGCGGGTTCTCGCTTGGGTCCTCTTCATCCTGTTCCTCTCCACCTCCATCCCTCTCCCTCGACATTCCACCATCGATTTTCGAAGGCGAGTCCGCTGTGACGTCTGCAACCACGGTATCCTCCAGAAAAAGTATCTTCAGTGCGCCTAAGGGTGTCTTGGACTTGGACAGAAGCATCTTGGGAACCCTCATGGACGACGACGACTACGTGCGTAACTTCCAGAGCTCCGAAGACGAAACTCCAGCCTCTCCCAGTGGCGACAGACCCGTCGGGGGTTCTCCCTTGTTGCAGAGACGTGTTTCCAGGCCGGTCATGATCCAGGCCGCCAGAAAGATGAACCACAGCACCGGCGACTTGACTCGCCGTCTGGGGGCCTTGTGTCGCCGTACACATTCCATGTTCCACACTCCGACCGAGGTTGATGTCAGCAAGACCAACGCCCATTTGGGCGAGACAGACTTGCACACGTTCCACGTTGCCAGGGATCTCTTGCCAAGAATTTCTGAAGATGAGTTGGTGCGTGTTCTTTCGGGGGACTACACCAACAAGTTTGACACGTTTCAGGTGATTGACTGCCGGTTCGGGTACGAGTATAACGGTGGGCACGTTGACGGAGCTGAGAATGTGAATTCCCAGGAAGAGTTGATAGCCAAGTTTTTGACGCCGTCCTCTTTGAGTGACGCGAAGAAAACGTTGTTGGTCTTCCACTGCGAGTTCAGCATGAAGCGTGGCCCCTCGATGGCGGCACATCTCCGCAAGTGCGACCGCTTGAAGAACAAGGACAACTACCCCCACTTGGACTACCCGGACATTGTGATCTTGGAGGGTGGCTACAAGAGCTTTTACACCAAGTACAAGCACAAATGCTATCCTCAGAACTACATCGAGATGGACCACCCGGAGTTCACTGACCTCTGCAAGGAGAACTTGAACTGCTTCCGCAAGGACATCAAGAAGAAGCCGTTGGCCCGTGCCCAGACTTACCACTTCTCAGAGCCCTTCTTGTCTGAACAGCAGGTGCCATCCCACCGCTTGAAGAGACAGAAGTCGACCAACTTCTCAGGCGACTTTGACTTGCCAACGTCCGTGTCAACCCCGTCCACCACCCGCTCCATCTCCCGCAAGGCATCCTCATCCTTTTCCATGACCAGACACACACCCTCATCCTCCATCTCCTCCATCTCGTCGCCGTTCTCCGGCCAGGAGGTCAAACAAAACTTGACCAGCTTCCTCAGCGCCAAGAGCAAGCGCAAGAGCGCGGCCCCGATGGACTTTGGGTTTAAATTTCCTATGGCCAAGGGTACCCAGATGGATTTTTCTATGACTTCCATCACCGATGGTCTTACTGAGACATCCCACATCGTTTCCACCGAAACAGCCGAAGAATTATCTTTCTTCGGCCAGAGGTCGTTACAAAGATCCCATACTGCATCGACGTTTTTCTAAGGACCATGAATTCATATGTGCGTCTTAGAGCGTTATTCTTTTACACCTTCATTGTTTCATTATATGCTGGCCGTTTAATGCATACTTTTCATTTCTCATTCCGTCATCCAGCATCTTAGTCACTTACGCATAAGCGTATAATAAATACTTTTAACTATACATAAGTGTACAGTAGCATACAGGTATACCATATCCAATGGTTTCTATCCCATCGCTTGCTTCCCCCCAAGATACCCAAGGCTTGCACTTGTCCGAATCTCCAATGGTAACGATAACCCGGTCTCTTTTCCGTTCCTCCTATAATACATTCTTTTTCCGATCTAGCCTGCAGTACTAGCGTTAGCCGTTAACTCCTGGAACGCATTTGGAGGCCGATATATACAACCGCTGCTGCATTACCGCCCGACAGAATCTATCGTGCCAGATTGCGATATGCTTCCTTATAAGGCTATCCCAGAGAGAAGTTTGATCCGAATTCTATATATAGAACCTAACCTTTAGCAAGATATCTGTGACTTATTGTACACAAAACTAATCTCGACTACTGCAAGCCTATACATTTGGTGATTTGCAGCATTTCAGGTGAGAGAATGGCGGTGCGTGAAAAATCCGAGAGAAGGAAAACATAAATAACGGTATGCGCAGGTGAAATTCTTCCGGACCGAATTGGGCATGCTACCGCATCAACTTTTTTCATGTCTCAACTGCACGGAAGGAAACTTTTCCCTACATTAAGGATCGCCAGATTGCACAGATTATAGAATGTTCAACAAGGTACCTATTTGCATAAGCAAGCAGAGCCAGGAATAATGCAGAAACCTGGGGAGTTGCGGTAGAGCAATCAACCCCGTCTGGTCGCAAATCCCATGTGGTAGGCCGAGCCCGTAGTGATGTTTTCTTGTTTTAGGCGCTCCTAACCAGTTTTTTTTGCCTGGCTAAGGCTTAGATTTTCTATTCAACATCGGACTTTCCTGATCCAGGAGGGAACGGAGAATAAAGTTTTACCAGGGCTGTATGGAGCCACATTGTATCCGTATGTGGGAGGTGGGTGTCATGCGATCGCACGTAAAATCGGACTATAGCTCATAATGCATACGGATCTGGATACAATCAATAGCAAGCCTGGAAAGATCGAGTTTAGACCTAGGAATCGTGATTAGGCTCCATGAACTACAAGAGGAAAGAGTCAACACCGATCGTACGTACAAATCCCCGCATTAAATTACGAACGTGACCAACGAGAAGCATGTGGTTTGATATAAAGAGTGATCCAGGTTCCGATTAACGGCTGAGGAAGGGTAAATTTACTTGTCGAAAGATCCATGATGTAATATGGACATTAATAGAAGCTTACCATCTACTCTCAAGGATAGAGTGGTACTTTAACTTGTGTTCACAGGCTAAAGATCCCGGAGTTGAATGGTATATGTATGTACTATGTATGCGGCAAAAACCGGCTCTAGTATGTCCACAGCTAGATTGCTGATGGTTTAAACTGGATTACTCATATTCAGATATTTTGTCGAAAAGCCAAGAGTTCTCGTATTTTACCCTCAGCAATCTAAAACAAGCCATTAGATGCTACTGAATACATAGATACGAATGCAAAAATGGGTGGATTTGCGCTTTCAAATAGGAAAATCTGGCAATCACCCCGTAGCATTCCGTGTCTGTATCCTGCAAGCTAGAGTGATACATATACACTTCCATTTGAAGACATCCACGATGAGATCAAAAATTCCCAGTTACGCCAATTTCCCTTCAAACAAACACAGAGATTTACTAAAAGCATCCAGGATGGCAGCAACTGGCTTCACCAAGCTTCCGGTGCCAAACAATAAGACATATCAAGCGAATAATACACATTGATCCAAGTGGATACTTAGCCATTGGTAAATACGAAAAAAAAATGCTGCAGAGTAGCACTAGTTGACGTGTCACCTTTCGTAAAACTTAGGGAGTTCTATGCCGAAGCTATTCCTTAATTTAAGGCTTTTGGGCTCGGGTTGATGGTGACTTAGCCCTTCCACGATATTGATTAAAATGTCCCCTTCAGTCCCGACTGCTACTTCTATCACGTGATAAGGACTGGACCGAGTCTGGCTCCCAAGAACCATCACGTACAGGACAGCGCTTACGCTGACATCTACAAAAAGAATCGAGCGGTTCACCAGAGTCGTACTAGCTGCCCACGCTATAACAATTCCAAAATGCAAGGCTCTCTTCCACGTCCTTACGATCTCAAGCCTAAAAGAAAGACTGGGTCCTATGACGCCCGGAACTTCTTCACCACCCCGATGAAGAAGTTGATGGGATACATTGTGTTGTTGGTTCTCGTGGGATTCTTTATCTATGAGTTTTCTCCAAGAGAGGTCCAAGATCATGAAATAGAAGTCAATTTAGTCCACCCTGATGTTGTACTTGGTACTGTCGAAAAGGCTGAGGCCATCTAAATTTGATGGACTATTTACAATATTGACTGGTTGATTCACCTACAAAGCTAACGCCTGCCTCCTTCACCGTGGCTGACCTTTTTTTTGAAACGTTCCTTCCCAGAAGATTGGAGATACACTTTTGATGATCATAGGGTATCGTGCTCTAGGGCTTACCGGTACTCGACTCAAAATGCAAGAGTTTAGCATCCACTAGATAGTCTATTATTCCTCAATTTTGTGTTGCTGCAGTATTGGGCCTTGAGGGCGGGGTTCAACATCTGCATAGTGGTTTTATGATAGTTTGTATATATACATATACGACTTTCTTGATAAATGTTGAGGGTCTCTTTTACTTTGCTGTCTTAGTGTCACAAGCAGGGTTAACCTCATCTCACCTTCGACGTGGAGTACCCAAAGAAACAAAATCCCGGAGCGAACTAGCGGCCTTTTCAAGACATAGTCCGATAGTTTTTTTTAAAGAGACTGAATAGTCCGATAGGAGCAAGTTTCGACTTGACGAAAGTATCACACGGGGCAGTACAAACAGCAAAAAGGATGGGGTATTTATATCTTTAGCCAATAGAATACTACACATACTACCCAGGATAGTACTTGATGTATCTTAATCAGTGAGCCCATGTGAGGTATACACCACGGTTCATATCTTGAAAGGTGCCAGGTATCTGCCGTTGTGTCCTATGATTTATTAAACTGAGTATTGAGAAACATCTGCCCTTCGCTAGCTTGTGGCCAATGCGTGTATACTCGGGTATACCTTTGGCTAGCTATGTGTTTCAGCGAATTTTGACGGGAATTGGGGCTTATAGGCGAAATCAGATTCGTTTAGACATCCTCTATCGACTCAATGCCACGGAGCATTCTCTCTCGGGCTTCTCTTCCGCCGTAGCCCCTCACATTTCCCCAGCGCGATACCGGCCAGATGATCTTCTCGCAACGTCCTATCACTAGCCCATTGCTGATGGGCCCGAAGTTGTTGCTATCCACCGTCAAGCTGCTGTTGTCGCCCTCCACCCAGATGTGATTACGCGGGACCTGCACTTGTCTTTTCGGATAAGGGTGCTTTGCGATGACTGTGTCGCCCTGTAAGCCCTTAATACGCTTCACGTAGACCTGCTCGGGGTTGGTGGGCGAGCGGAAGAGAACCACATCGTTCACTTTGAGCGAGTGCCTGAGATTGAACTTATGCACCAACACGAAATCGTTGGAGACACCTTCGGGGGGGTTGAATGTGGGGACCATGGAGGCGCCCTTGACCTGGGTTATATCATAGACGTGCGACTGGAACGTGAAGGCGACGGGGACCCACGATAGTAGCGTGAGCGACACTTTGAGGTATGATGCAGTTTGTGGCCCCCAAAAAGACATGTCAGGATTTTGGAGGAGTTTCACAACTATCCGGTAAATCTATAGGGATATCTTTTGAGCTATATTAAGTTGGATTGCGAAGCGATATCTACACCTTCAATAAGCGTTATTAAGCTTATCCTGTGAACCTGGAGATTCTCAGCGAGTAGTGTGATAGACAAATCTTTCATCGTGTGATAATCCGGCATAAAACTGTCGAGGTGCGCACTGTGCAGGATATCTCACCATCTACGGATTAGTAATCTGGAGATGAGGTGATCTGAGCTATAGCTAACGGTGTCAACGTAAAGACTATTCACGAACCTGTCGTTACCAAATGACTGCTATCAAAAGTTTCCAAGTAAGTCCGTACAGGCGTCTGCCTGCTGAGTTTCCAGACTGATGACTTATCCGTAGATGGGGATATTTCCTCCTGATCTATCTCGTGATTCAGTCTTTAGACTCGGGTTTGAACCTCAATCCGCTTCTTTCATAATACTAACCTCCCCAGACCGTTTATTCAGTGCCCCTCGAATGTGGTGCCTGTGTGGAATCTGTCAGAGAAGTGTTATCCCCGTTGAAGGGGATCGAAAAGTTCGACATTGATCTCACAAACCAGAGAGTCACGGTGGAGGGGACCTGTCCGCCCTCCGCTGTCGTGTCCACCTTGCGTGCCAGTGGCAAAGATGCTATTATCCGTGGTACCGGTCAGCCCAATTCTGCCGCCGTGTGTATCTTGGAGAGCTTTGCAAAAGAAGACAAGGACCATCCGGTGAAGGGTCTCGCGAGAATCGTGTCTGTCGGCACTGACTTGTGCATGGTGGATTTGACCATCAATGGGTTGCCAAAGGGCAAGTATTTTCCGTCTATCAGAGCCAATGGGAACATCTCCCAGGGGGCAATGTCCACCGGTCCTTCCTACTTCAAGTTCCCAAGCGTGGATGTCTTCACCAAGGCGTCCTCTGAAACCACTATCGCTTCTATCGGGGCCTCCACCCATACAGACAGTGTCCAGGTATACTCCGGGCAAGCCTTCTTGCCTGCTGCTTTGGAAGTGACCGACTTGATTGGCAGATCCATGGTGTTATCTACGACCGAAGATGGTTCCAGCGCGACAGATTTGGTTGGGGTCATTGCCAGAAGCGCTGGTGTTTGGGAAAACGACAAGGCAGTCTGCTCGTGTTCTGGAAAGACTGTTTGGGAGGAGAGAAAGGACGCCTTGGACAAAGGGGTTATGTGAAGGTATGATAATTACAGTCAGATGGAGTTAAGCAAGGATTTATATTCCATTAGGAGGTGTATATTTATATGCTTTCACTAGATATCGCGTGTTGGAGGAGATGCGGCTTTTGCTCGTGATGAAGCACGCTTAGCGACTTTAGAATCTCTCTGGATCATTGCTTTGAATGCTTTCAATTTTTGATTGATAGATTCGGAAGAAATCAGATGCATTTGAATCTATGGAGATTTCAACATTTTGATATTTTTGTAATCATTTGTTCCAAGTAAAATCCAGATATTATGATGTATCGCTGTACTCCTTATTCTAAACTACTGACTAGCCTACACGCAGAAAAATTCTCGGTTTAACATCCCTTAACCACCGGCCATGTTCTATTTTCTGGTATTCTGTCAAAATACGTACACGATACATGTCTAGAAACAGATGAGGTAGTCAGTCTGATAACAATTATCAGAATGGAGTCAAGGATCCAACTGGACATCGTTATGCATACCGATCCTGGCTACAAGCATCTTAATGAAGTGGAATGAAGGCAAAATTGCAACCTTGTGGGACGCCCTGTATTGACGCTTGGAAACAATAATTACCTCTGGATATTGGTAATCATCTGACTATAACAAACATATATAAGGCAGCAAGTTATTAGTAAAATAATTAAAATAATAAAAATAAAACCATGCAATACGCTTGATTTACTACTTTGAGTAAGTATGTATCACACTAGTGATCCAAGCAAATATACCATTCATCATCAGATCAGACACGTAGTATAATACTAATTATCTGTAAAATGTCTGTCCATAGGAAGTTAGATCGGCTGACACATAAAACATGAATATTTAGTTGTAATGTAGCTTCTAAAGAGCATATCCCAAACATGAAACATCCTGGGTCTCAGGGTAACCGAAACTTAAAGATAGACTATTTCGATTCCACAAAACAAAACCAAAATGGCTTAGAATCCGGTATTAGCTTATCTTTCCTAGGTACACAGCTATAGAAAATTAAAAACGACACCATACCCCTAATGCTTCTTCTCGGCCAAAACCACTTCCACGTCTGAGGAGCTTTCACCCAGTGCCACGCCGTAGATAGCGGCATCATCCACAGTCTTACGTGGGCCATAATAATAGTTTTTAGCGTATAACACGTAGTAAATCGACGATAAGATCATCACCCCTGGTGTAATCACACAGGTGTAGTTCATAGTCTCTTTGTTCACCACTGGGATGGAAGGAAAATGTATCATGACGATGACAAACGCAAGGAAGGCAAACGCCGTCCAGCTGATGACTGGTGACCAGAAGTCACCCATGTAAAACTTCCCAGGGACAAATTTGGCCCTGCCACAGGTCAACCGCAATAAGATAGGGGTCCCCCAGGAAAAGTAGTTACCCGCAACACCCAAGGAAAACAACGCATTAGAGGCCGTAGGACCAATGAGACATAACAAACCGATGATTAAGGAGAGGATGCCACCAAAAATTACAGCCCGGATGGGTACCGACCACTTCTGGTTGACAACCTTAATCACCCCCGAAAATGGCAAACCATTGTCCCTGGAAAAAGCCCAGATTTGTCTCGAGATTGCCGTCAAGATGGAAGCCCCCATCAACCACTGACAGAAAGCAATCAAGGTCATGAAGGCCATTGCCCACTTTTTCCCCAACGCATTGAAGATAATCTGCGCCATCGGCTGGCCAAGTTTGGTGCCAACGATTGAGTCGATATCCTGAGTCATACAGGCCCCGATGACAATGCAGATGACGAGCCCCAAAACGTAGCAGACGCTAATAGAGCCGACAATCCCAATTGGGACGGCTCTGGTGGCATTTTTCGCTTCTTCAGACATGTGAACACAGGAATCAAACGAGCAAATAGTCCAGATAGCCGGCATCCAGCAAAGGACAAACTGCCATCCGGGGGTCCACCCCGTCATGGACTTTACGCTTCCAAAGATAAACCCAGCGTCGTTGAAGGACTGAGTGGGCGATCGGGCGGTCCCGATCGGAATAGCAATGAGAAACAACACTATCAAGCCAACGTTGCACACGATAGAAAAGCTCTGAAGTTTGGAGATACCCGAAGAAGCACACAGCGTGACAATTATATGGCTTATGACACAAGCAGCGAAGACGCCATAAGTCATCCCGCTAGTGATGGTGAAATCACCGCCCTTAGAGATTACCACTATGGATAAGATTTCACCCGCAAACCCATAGTTGATGGAGCAGAAGCCACCCACCAAGGCTAAAGAGTTCACGTTGCCCACCAAGAAGGAAAGAAACGTCTTCCAGTTATCGTTAGCATAGTAGTTGGTCCAGTAGTATAAACCACCGGAAGTGGGCATAGCCGACCCCAATTCAGCCATGGCAACACCAATCAGCAAAATAAAAAAAGAGGCAATAAACCAGCCCCAAACCAAACCCGCCGGACCTCCTTCAAGGCCCAAGCCTAAAACGGAGGAGATAGAAGGTAGGAGGCCCATGATAGAGAAAGCCACACCAAAGACTTGGACAGTGTTGAACTTTCTGCCGAGCTCGGCTTTGTATCCAATCTCGGCAAGTAATTCATTGTCGTCGGTCCTTGTACGGTCTACTCGAGACTCGGGGTGCGGTTCCAACAGGAAGGTGCTACTTCCACCAAGGCAAAGACTGGCGATAGTCTTTGCGTCTGTTTTGTGCATTCTTTGTGTAAGAGAAACTAACAGGGAGAAGATGGAAATATATGGGGGACATGTTTCAGATATTCGAGGAGGTATAATGCATTTATACGAAGCTGAGTGGTGGAGAAAACTTGATTGGTGAAAGACCTCTTCGACTAGCTAAGATAGATAAAGTAAAGTTGTGGAAGACTAGAAAAGGAAAAAGTGTGGCGGAGATTTCTTTAATGGCATTAACCATCTTGTGATCAGAAAAAGGTCTGGGCGATAAAAGCCCCCCGCCACAATTCTGATCAGAAGAATACCCCTCCATCAAAAGGGCTTGCTTCTCAATGCTTTAGTCAGCCCTGAACGGCGATAAGCTTTTTCCATGCTCAGTGGTAAGTAGATACCTAAAGTACCAAGCACCGTCCCTGAAAGATAGAAAACAGGAAGAAAATAGAATCTGGATTAAAACGGTATTTCCAGTTTCTTCTGATCACATACATTCCTTTGCCTTATGACGTAGTATGGAATATACAGTATGGGATATCATGTTCTATTGACTAATAGTAGAGATGCAAGCTGTCGTGACCAAAGCGATCTCTTTGCTCCTTTGTAACTCAGATAGTGTGAACGCTAGGGATCGTGAGATAACAAGCAATACACATATATTAATAGTACGTGATCTTTAAACAGTTATGCAGACCTCATTTCACCTTTGCCGGAGTTTTCTCACCTATTCAGAGAACCTTAATGGGAAGTCGACCAGGGTATCCGCAACGGTAAAGGGACAGGTACCATTGAAGTAAGGTAAAGCTAAATGAGCACACCGGAATGTATCGATAACGTAATGAAGAAACAATATGCAAGTTTTATGGATCTGTAGCCCTAAAGAAGCAAGTGTAGCCCGTAATAATAGTTGCTGTGTCGATTTCTGCATGCTCTTGAGCCACACTATTTAACTCCGACCGCTGGTTCGGATGCAACCCTCCCGATTCGGCTATCCGCTAAGGTTGGAGGTTAAGACCTGTTAGAAATTACTGATCACAAAAACAGCTCTAGATTTAAGTTATCTTTAAGGGTTTTGAAACCTCGGCCATATTAAAGTTCACTCTCAACCACAGTTTTAAAAGCTGCAGACCCAGTAAAAGCGAGTTACTCTCGTCTAATAATGTTTCAACACCTCAAGAATTGCACGGGTAAAAAGAGAATGCGATAGACGTTTACTCTAAGATGAGTTCATTATTTTTAGATATCAGTAGATTGCAGCCTTAAATGGTTTCTGTTTTAGCAAAAAAGCTTACGTTTATTTTGAAAACTCGGTGAATTAGTAGAATTTCTTTCAATTGACAGGGTAACTGGTCATAGAGTATTGGACGACATGTCTGAACTGCGGTCGTCTCATACCGGTGGACTGCTAGGCTAAGAGAATCAATTTGGTTGGATTAGATCTTTGACTCTATTTGTCAGGGTTCCTGCACCTGATGGGATTTCAGCCAGGGGGTTGTAGTCGGTTGTTGATTAAGATACTATCGGAATAAGCCACTAGATAAAATCATGATCTTCCACAAAAATAAAAATACTTTTAAACTAAACATATTTTCTATCAATGGGAGGCAGCCTTCATGGCTTGCTCTGTCAGTGCAGCCTTTTTACATGTCATATCGATATAATCCCTTAACATGCAACGTCAATATAACCTATAACTCTGACAACTATCAGGTACAGCCGGTCTAGTATAGTGGTCAGTACACCTCTTTGTGGCAGAGGAAACCCAAGTTCGATTCCTGGGACCGGCAGTTTTTATGGCATCTTATTGAAGATGCGAAAAACAGGCACTATAAGAGGCTATGCAATCAATCACAGAAAAGTACCTTTAATCATTTGCCAAAACTCACCTGTAATGCCTCTGAGTGGGATTCGTGACACGGTACATACCGAGGATTCAGCCTTTAACGCATATTTCTCTTTCCCTAATTACGTCTGGACACTAACACAAGACGTCTACAACATTGTACCTTGGGGTCGTTCAATATTTCTAACGGATCCCAGCAACAAGCTTTGCTCAACCCCATGCGTTATGTAAACAGCAGGGGTTTATACGAGTGATACCCATTTTTAAACATAAATATACAGCCCATACATATCAAAAAGAAAACAAAAAGCAGGGATAGAATCCTCTATTGAAACACCCATCGCAATATTCGTATCAGAAACAATATTAAGCTTCCTAGTTATACTCGGTCTGCTTCTTCTTCTCGTCCAAGGACAATTTGGTCTCGTTCTCTCTGCGAACACGGTTCCACAACTCAATATTTCTCCCTGAGACAAAACTGACAATGACCATGACCCAGGAGTCAATCTGAGGCAAAGGTTCGTAAAACTCGCGCGCAATGTCACGCAACGTGTGCAAACGCGTCCATGGTACAAACGGGAAATCGTGGTGTTCGTTGTGTAAGCCAACGTTCCAGGTAAAGAAGTTCAACGGGCCGTAGTACGAGAAGGTTTCCGGTTGCAAGTTGGCCGCGAGCGTGCGAGTGCTGGGGTCGGCATTTTTGGTGGCCGGGTACGAAGGATTGAGCACGTAGTGTTCGGCGATGAAGTGACCCGCAGTGGGGTGCAAGGAACCCGCGAGGAAGGAGGACATGAGGAAGTAGAACATGGCGTACCAACCCCAGTGACGCACCACGAGGAAGTCGACCGCGAGCTGAACCATCACGTTGAGCAAATGTACGGCGGTAAACTTAATCTGGGTTACACACATGGGTCTAAAGGCGTAGAAGAGGATCTGGAAGGTGGCGAAGAAGGCCTTACCCAACACGTTGGAGAGAACGACCGCTTCGAAACGCGTTGGAAGATCCGTATCCAAGGCATCGTCACCCATAAACTTGTGGTGGAGTTGGTGGTATGGTTGGAAGGAAGCCGCATACGGGATCCCAATTGGCAAGTTGTTAAAGATGCTGAAGAGACGGTTGTGCATCGGCTTTTTGAAACCGAGATTGTGAGATAACTCATGAATCGCGAGGAACACGTTCTGGTTGGCCGTTGCACCCACAACGTACGCCCACGCGACAAACTTCCATGAGAGCGGGTGTGTGTCGCGCAACACGTATGCGCTGAGGAATTGAAGAAGCACCACGCCAGTAGCGATGTACTTGGTAAGCGGCTCGTGGCCGCATAGTTTGGTCACCTGGGGGTACTTGGCGAGGATTTGCTTGCGGCGGAGAACATGTGGCTCACTCTCGCGTGTCCAGTAGAAGTCTTTGAGCTGCGCGAGGTTTTCAGGAGAGGCATCAGGTGTGGTGGTGTCGACCGCGATGCGGGACTTTCTGTGGGTGATAGTGGTCATGCGAGCGAGCGAGGCCAGAGAGGATAAGAAGCAAAAGAGAGCAAAGTGATTCGACTAAAGAGCAGGCTAAAGAAGAGAATTACCCAAGGATCAACAGCAATCGATATAGGAGGGAATTTGATGTGAGAGTGTCCTCAAGTGCAGCCTTTATAGTGGAACCAGGTGGCAGGAGGTGAAATAGAGGTCAGTAAGGCTCGAGGGCGTCGATACAGATCAGTGGTAGCCTGTAAGTATAACCAGTGTGTTAAGGGTATATTATAATAGAACGAGTGTGAGGAGTGGAAGCAAGAGATCGAAACGTGGTCTGACTTTGGTGGAAAATGGCGCCCGAAAAATCTCCGATCGCGCTGCGGTCAGCGCGGGATCTCGCATCTCTAAGTGGCAGGAGAATATGCAAGGGTGAAGAAAATACGCCTCATGCCAAATAGCTTAAAAGGGCAAAACATGAGCTACGGTAGAAAGCAAACAGGATATTGAACGGTAGAGTACTGGGAGGGGAGGTTCTGACTGGATTAATCAGCATATTATGCTATACCAGGGGAAAATCACGGAGGTAGTGTGCCATAAGATCGAAGGCCACACATACAGGAGTGTTACTAAGAAGGAACTCGAGATGAGATAGTTCTTTAGGTATTTCGGGGAAAGTGCCAAGTGTTGCCCGTATTATATGATGAGTTGATCCGTAACACGCTGTCTGACTGTATGCGATATTCAGCATTCTTAGACCAGCGTAACTATATATCTACACACGGCGATAACATTTGAGTGGCAAAGTTATCGACACTGGACTAAAATTGGAAAGTCCAGCTAGAGGGATGTATTCTACACTCAAGACGGCCCATAGCTCTTCATATTCGTGTAGCCAACGGACGCGGAGTTCTAGATGGCCCGGTGAGTCGCTTAAACAGCTATACTTCAAAGACTTCCTATCCGATTTCTATACTCCATTTATGATAGTATCATTTTTGATCCATATATGCTTGGTATATAAAACGGTTTATGAACAAGAGATATATAGGGTCAAACTCGCAAGCAAAGAGCGAGCGCAGTGGTAAGGCGAAACATCACGCCGTTGGTGCTGTCACCGACCAATGGCTTTATCTCAGCGGAACATAAAACCGCATAAAAATAACTTTAGAACATACGAATTGCTCTAGAGACCCCCGTCATATTCTCCACTCCACCAAATCTCAAGATGCAATGAGCACTACCGCAATAACTCATATTTCCTCGTTGTACTTATCTTTAGTCTTTGTATCGTTGGATTTATCCTACGTAAAGCTCTCGTATTCACTTGCAGACCCGTCGCTGTCAGAGTAGGCGTCACCGGAAACATCGCTCGCAGATGCATTCTCCTCCCCTTCCTCCGGCGTCTCGTCCATGCCAACGATACCCCATTCGACGTTTGTCACCTCATGCAAGCGGCTCAAGACGTCCTCCATCGGCGTGAACAAGCCAAACTGCTTGAATTCACCATCGTATGAGTGGAGCATGCCACAGACACCAAGGCCACCGCGCGCGTAGTCACGCGCACGCTCCGGGTCGGTTGCGGACTGCAAGTCCTGGAGTTTGGTCAAGATCCACGCGCCCGAATCACCACCCGAGGCGAACAACCCAGCCAGGGCGCGCGCGCCGCCCGTGGAGGCTATTACAAACTCGGACGTCTGGAGTTTCCCGTTTGCCCAGTACACCATTTTGATCCCATTGACACGGCCCTGGGTGAACTTGGACGTGGAGCCATACTTGAATACATGCATGCCACGCGTCTCGACAAAGTCCAGGAGCGTCACGGTCTTACGTACTCGCAAGTTCTTGAACATCAACGACGGGTCGTATTCGGCGAAGGAGACATCATCACCAAGCGTGTTGTGGCAGCGTAACGTCTTGTCCATCTTGATGATCGCCAAGTCCGAGAGCTTGTTGGTCTTGTGAAGGATCGTGCGCTCGCCCCAGACGAGTTGCCCGAAGGGCGTTGCGGGCGTGTTTTTGCCCGCATCGCCGCACGGGAAGAGGGCGTCGATCTGCGCGATCACGTGTGCGTACGCGTAGCTTTCTTCAGACTTGGCTGGGTATTTGCCACGCTCGTGGGTCAACGCCGCACGATACATGTTGATCAATACCGGCGATGGCACCGCTACGTGCGGGTAGCTGTTAACCGAGTACATGTTGCCTTCCTCGTTGGCCGCGGTGTCCTTGAGCACGACGTGGCCGCACGTCACTGCGAACACCGAGCCCGCGTATGCCTGGAGTCCCGGCGCACTCGCGGCGATCTTCGGGTACACGTAGCCACCAAGCGTACCAGAGAGCGCAGTGGCATGCACTGCGGCAAGCGAGAGCGACATTGGCGGTTCGAGCGGGTTAGTAGGGATCCGGAACGGAGGCTTGAACCCGAGCGGGCTCGTCTGGCCGCACTCCCTGACGAGGTTCTTCTGCACCGTGAAGTGTACGTCGGGATATAATGTGAAGAGAATCAGCAACGTGTCGTAGTGAGCGGAGTTTGGCTCGGGGAAGCCAAATACGATGGTGAGGACCGCGAGGCGGTTGGAGACGATCCCGCGGAGTACTGGGGCGATGAACGAGCCCTCCTGGTCCATAAGTTGGGTGGACGAGAGCGTGAGTTTCTCGATGATCAGCAGGAGCGTGTGCTCGTTGGGTAAGGAGGTAGCAGTGGAGCCGATGGCATAGAGCTCAGGCTGGGCGAGGCAGAGAGGTGGCGCAAACGCGGGGTCATGAAGGTCCCCGTGCGTATGTGCATCTGCCTGTGTGCGAAAGTCTGCATACGCATCATCCGCATCTTCTTTGAGTATTGCGCGACAAAAGTCGCCAAAGCTCTTGAGCACCAACGCACGCGAGTGGCTGTATACTTCGTTCCGTAACAAGTTGTCAATAAAATGTAACGCAATCTTCACAATCCGCCCCAACGTATCGTTTGTCGCGGTATCCACGTTCATGTCGCTTTGCGCGATGCCCGTAGGCACGCGAAAGTGTTTGAACAACTCGTGCGCCTTGATGGACGCCTTGGATAAGTCGAGCACCGACTTCGAGATCTGATCGATAATAGACGACAAACTCTCAAGGAGCATTTGCAAGTGGTCCTGGAAGCGCGAAATCGCCAAGTCTTTGTGGTCATTGGAATACATCAGCAGCGTCTCAAAGTTCTGGAGGACACGGAGCGGCGTCCCGATGTCATTAGAGTGTGGCACAAACGGTTTCCCGCTATGCCCTGTGATTTCAGTGTTGGCGCCTGTGGATGTGGTTTGTCTGCCGCGGGAAAAAAGCGAGTTGGAGTAGCTGCTAGAGGCGTTGTCAGACGCCAGCTTGGGGTAGCCGGCACGGAAGCTGGGCAAACTGTTGACCGCATCGAGGCCTTCGAGAGACTGCTCGTCGTCAGACTCTGGTTTTTTTTTGAAAAATCCCTTCATATGATTCGTAGAGCTTCAGGGCATGCGCATTGGGGGGGGGGGGGGGTTGAAACTGAGCTCGTAGAGATAGGCAAAAGGGGGCGGGGGCGCAGCTGGAAAATAGGAGAAGGGCTCGCACGTGGAGGGGGTAGGAATAAGGGGTATTAGAAATATGGATATTCTTCGTAACGTCTGGATAGTTTCTTAACTAGACATGGTTCTAGTATCCCTTTGCAGATTATAGCAGCCATCCGGCGTGACACACACTTAATGAGCTACACGGCGTTTTGCTTCCTGCGAGCAGTGCGGCGAAGTCACGTGATGTGCCTTACTCTAAGGCGGCCCGATTTCCAGTTATGCTATGATCTCCGGCATGGCTAGGCGGTTAAAAATATAACGGCTGAGGCTAATTGGTGTACCAGCTCAAGAATTTAATACCTCTGATACAATTTGGTAAAATATTTGGCTAGGAGTTCCAGGTAATTTGGCTGATAATCTTGGAATATCGACCCTGTCGATTGTTATAAATGGAAAATGTTTGCCTTCTCGAGGACTCTTCCGTGGCAATCCTCACCTTTCGATTCATAGTTTCAGAGGCTAGATTCACTCTCCAGGTACATACGGTGAAAAGAGGGGCTTGCATGATGCACCTTTAAACTCAGAGGGAAGTAGGGCTGAATTCCGTAAGACGTTAAAAGTATGTGCTAATCTCAAGCCGTATGCTTACGCTTGGCCTGGGGCAGAGGGGCGATTTATTTAACAGCGCTGCATTGATCGCCATACAACTGAATCCATTTTCCTCTCCTCAGATAACACCTTAGATTTGAAAGGAATTATTTTTAGCTTGAGTACCGTGAAATAAACTCCAATCTCAGTGTATCTGATTGTTCCGCCGCCCCTATCAACTGCACACATGTCCAGCGGATTATTGCACCTACTCTTATAGCCATACGGATGTGTTTCTGTCATTGATCTGAACATCTAGAAGTTGACTATTTGCTAAGACAAATATTTTACTAGGCTCAAAGTCTGATTTTGCGCCATGCCCATTGGCCACGATTCATGACACCCGTTTGGATAGACTGTAAACCATTACAATATTATAGCGAACCCGTAATATATACAAAGGGAAATAGAGGAGGAGGAAGTCTACCATATCTACAATTATGTCATTCATAGAAGCGGGGAAGAGTGGTATGAGCTGCACTCTGTTTCAAAGCCTGAGACCCTGACGTACATGTTGCTAGTGCCATAAACGCTAATCTCATGGATATCTATGTTGTATATCTACCACCCTGTAAGTGCCCTCAGACAGCCTTCTTTCTCGCCAGTCATTCTGCCAAAAACACCATATCTGTAATATCACTGTCAAATAAACTTGCGGCTCCAGAGCAATATCGGTAAGCAGGATGCCATCTGGAGTGCCAGTAGAGCCGGCAACTGAAAATTCCTGGACCGACAACCTGAGGCAAAGCGCCGATCAATGGCGTGCAACAAACCGAATCGGTATCGGAGGACCCAGAGATATGATAGGTATATATACCCTGGGGATGCATGCTTTTGTTGCGGGTATTTTTAACGATAAGTACAATGAACTAATTATGTTGGATTGACGCATGCGTATACGTTTTTATCGCTGGACCACGCTAGTATTCTAGTTGGTCAATTAAATTCATCAGTTGTGATCCACAAGTTCTAGAAAAAAAAAGTTTAGTCTATATCTAGACCATTCTACTACAAGTAATACCTTCACAAATGTTATATAGCATCCAAATAGGGTATCCCGGAATAGCCGCTGGCCGGAGATACCTGTCCCCGTCTCGGCGCACGTGCCACGGAAAATCGCCATACATTCTTCTCGGCTTTGGGAGCGGCGTCTTGATCCGACAGTCGCCCCACAACAGACTGTTGACTCTCTTCGCTTTCTTCTACTCTTCGAATGTACTGCGTCTACACAGCTCCTGGCCCTTCCTGTTAAGTAGCTCTCACCACGCCTAAGTCTTTACATCCGGACCAGTCTACCTACAACTGACGGCTTCTGCTTATCAAGAGGTATTACTCCCCCCAAATCACCCCACTATCTCGATCTTGGCTTCATATTTAGATCCCTGTTTGGTTTCATACATCAATTGACAAGTTTGCACATCGTTTGAGCCCCCACTATGAGTTCAAGTTCCTATTACCAGTCAGGAATCCCCCACTTGCTAAACCAGCAAGACGTGTCCATGGCGCAAAACCAACACCTCGTGTCGCTGCCGAGCCTGCCGCGTGCGCACGCGCCCGACGACTCGCGCAAACGCACGCTCCCGCTGTTCCGTGCGGTTCAGCGTTCCAAGCAGCGCGTACGCGTAAACACCGCGTGCGACCGCTGCCGCACGCAAAAGGTGAAGTGTTCAGGCGAGCAGCCGTGTGGCACGTGTGCACGCCTCGGCAAGGTCTGCGAGTTCAACCCGGTAGGTGTGGTGTTGCCGCCAATCCGCAGCGAAACGTCCCCTGCCTCAATCACACCTAATCCCGGCACCGTGGGAACTCCAGCCACCGCTGCCTACGTCTTGGAGTTGGAAACCAAAGTCAAATATCTTGAGTCTCTCTTGCTCAAGCAATCACCACGTCAGGCGAGTAATAGCGACGACGTTCGTGTGGATGATACTTGCTATCTCTATTCTAAAAACAAGTGGCGATTGCACCGTCGGTACCAGAACGTGCTTACAAACAAGCTCGGCGCGGAACTCTTCAAACAACTCTCGCCCGAGTCCCAGGCAGGCGTAATCCCACCGCGCGTCCAGTTTTACGGCTGGAACATGTCGGGGCTGCACTACCTCAAGCAGACATCGCTCCCTGCCTTCACGGACTTGATTCGCGACCGCACGGTGGAGCGCGAGCTCCTCGACTACTTCTTTCGCGAAATCAACCTGTTGTTTGCAATCGTGCACGAATCAGTGTTCCGAGAGCAATACGCAAAGTACGTTGCAGACAGTGGTGACGCGCGCGCAAGCAACCAGACGCGTCTCTTTGCAGCGATTTTGTATCTTATATTCCCGCTTGCGATGCGTTTTCACGAGTTCCAGCTCGCCGACCAGCCGTCGCCGTACCGTGCGGGCTTGGAGGAGGCGTTGTTCGAGGCCGGGTTTGCTGTCATCCAGAAGCTCTCCTTTGAGTGGGAGTCCTTCGAGCTTATCCAATCGTGGTTCCTCATATTTGTCTACCTCCGCGTGCTGCATCGCCAGACGTCGCTGATCCACGCCTTGGGCAACGCCGTGAGCATGAGTCGCAGCATGTCCATCAACTACCGCCTGTCGTCGCGCAAGCCGTACAATAACATGAAGGCACGGCGTATTTTTTGGTGTATCTATACATGGGACAAACTCAATGGCTTACAGAGTGGCAGGCACTACACGTTCAAGGATGACTGGGACATCCACTTGGAGTTCCCAACGATGGACTTTGAGCGCGAGAACGACGGCTGGTTGACATGGCCTGCGCTTGCGATGTGCCACCTCGCCCAGATTGCGGGCCACATCCAGACTTTCAAGTCTGCGTCCTTGAGCTACACCGAGGTCCAGGCACTCAGCCTCGACCTCCAGCTGTGGCACGATACCTATGCCATCCGCGACGACACGCTCTTTGATGATCCTTCGGGCATTGCGCCTGCGGTACGTGCCCAAGTCAAGCTCCACTACTACGACGTTGTCATCCAATTGCACATCCGTAAGCTCTTCAACTATGTGGGCATGAGTGTTGCGTGTCCCGGACTTTCGGTCGAGCACTTGCTCACGGCGTGCGCGGGCTCGATGGACATATTTGCGGTGCTCGAGGCGAACGGCGCCCTCACCGTTCCGTGGTTCCTCACGATGCTCCTTTTATTCCAGATCGGGATTGTGTCGATTATCTTGATTAACGCGGGCTTGCACCTTCCGCAGTGCAACAGCAACTTATCAGAGGTGATCCGCGTGATGACGCGATTGCGCGGCGCCGCAAACGACGGTGCCGTACCAAAGTACCGTTTCGAGATGACCAGTGAGTGCCTCTGGGCGTTGAAGATGCTCAATCACATGGTGTGTCTCCGTTTGCAAGAGAGTATCCACCAGTTGAAGTATATCGGAATCGATCACGGTTCTGATGAGGTCAACTCTGCGCGCTTCAGTCAGTTTGAGGTATTGCAGAGGGTGGATGCCCATAAGAGCGTTCCAGACCGAATGCTGTTCGATTCAAATGACCAATCAGAGGGACTTCAGGCAGAAGGACCTTCGTTTGCATATTCGAATGAGCGGGCTAACGGCGATCGTAGTGTCACACCGTACGACCCCGACGAGGTCTCACGGCAGTTGAGTGGCGCCTTGGATAGCTTGATCAAGGGTGAAGGCAAGGACTTTGCTGCAGATAGTTTGTTTGGCAACTTGCAATGGTTTGACCAGACCCCGTGGAACTTTGAATTCAACAATGACTAGCGAGATGCGCTGCAAAGAAATGCAATGTTTGGCGACGCTAGGGGCCATTTCGGCCTACCAGTATTATCGTTCAAACCCCGTGATGCTCACACTCAGTAATGTGTATTAAAATTAGATTAGATTAACCTAGATTTATATATGAGTATCAATATATTTGTCTCGTTGTAGCCATAATGAGTAACGGTGGATTCAGGAAGAAGGGCTGAGGGGTTAAAGCAAGCCCTTAGGCGTTGGCACGCACCAGAACTCGGCTTTTGTCCTGGGTTCCCAGTGATTGGACAGAGCTATGGATTTAGCTTTCCATTAAGCCTTTGATCATGGTTTTGTTTATTGTGGGTTCCTGTCCATGCGTATTTTATCGCTTTCTATATCTTTGATGAAATCTTATTTAATTGTTACAAGTTTTTGGTATCAACAGAACATTATGCAGAGTTGACCACTCATACATCTAGCATTCCTAGCTTTGCAACTCGACACTATGCATATACAAAGTAAATTATAGCAAATCAGAATAAAAATATTCCACATAATTTCTGCCAAACCAACCATTTTGTCTTGTATGCTTAGCATTTATTACCAGTCAGTGTTAAATATATAGCTTGGAAGTCTGAAATCATGTACGTATTTCGATTCTGTTCGTAGACCTTCATTTATTTCAACTTACAAATATACGCTGCACTGAACACGGTATTTTAAACCAAATTCGTTGTTTTAGAGATATTCCTTAAGATATAAATTCTTATTATAACAGCCACCACAGAATCCGCTACAATTACATATTTACATCCCATGAGAATCGTGAAGAGCCTTATTGTCAAATCCATGAGCAGCATCAAGCTCAAGGGGCTAGCCCGGTCGTTCTATATTCTCCTATTGATAATTCTCCAACTTGAGGCGCTAATTAACGCCTTCAAGAGCAAAGTGAGGATCCTAAAGCGAGTCATTCGAAGAAAAAAGGCGGATCATATCATCATTCAGAGTTGATCTGCTCCATCGGTCTTGGGCCGTGCTGGGACTTTCTTTTCCCTCCTTCCTTGAATTAAAGGAAAGATGGAGCCAGCATTGGACAAAACCGCCCCTTTCATACAGTTTATAGAAAACCTAATAAAGTCATTAAATAAACTTCTATAACTGTCGCATAAATAGCGTTTCTAAATAGTATACGCCGGGGCCGACTGTGGCCTTGGAAGCCACCTTGTTCAAGACACGCGCCTGTTTTACTTAAGCCCTGTTTTGGTCTTCTTGACCACTGCCATAACGGGCTCGTTGATACCTTGGTTACCCAAAGCCCCTAAACCCTCACCGTGGATCCAGCCAAGCTTCTCCAAGAGTCTTCTGCCGATGTTCTCCTTGCCAATAGCGGGAGCGTGGGCACCTACAATATCACCTTCATTGACATTGGCCTTGCTAGGGGCTAACTTTTTCTTGTCCTCCTTTAGCACCTCCTCCTTAAGACGCTTGACATCCACACGGTGGTAGATTGGTCTCTGCTTGATAATGTAGCCAATAGAACCGTAGTCGGGCAAGGAGTGGAACGTACGCTTATTTTTGACCACAACAATATGTCTCTTGAGCCCCTCGCCTAGCGCACGGTGCTTCATGTTGTAGTTATGAGCGAGTTTTCCGAGGGTCTTGTTGCCGTGGGAGTCCAATGGAGGGAACGTCAAAGCATTTCTGCTTTGGTCCTGGAGGAAGGCCTCAAACTCCTCTTTGATATCTGTGATGTGAATCATGTGCGGGTATTTCACGCTCAAATCGTGGGCCTTAATCGACGCCTTGAGCTTCGCCAGCTCGCGTTCCTTCTTCTTATCTTTCCGGGACGACTTGTGGATAAGATACAGTTCCTGTAAGGTCGTGCGAAGGTCCTTATCCCCAATACGATCAAGGTCAGGCTTCTTGTTCTTGCCCTTGGTCTTGATGGATTTAGTAGGCATAATGTCAATGTTTTCAAAGAACATCTGTTGCGTCTTGCTGAAAGAAATCAAGGCGGATAGGTCATTTTCGTTATCTGATTCCTCCTCACTGCTCTCAGAGATGTAAATATCGGAGTACGTCGGTTCAGGTTCGAAGTTTGGCAACAAATCCTTTCTCACGTACTTCAAAAACGCGTTTAAGCGATATTTGACTAACCCGTTTTCCACTGCAAAGTCTAAGAGCATGTCCTCGTCGATCCAGTGAGAATCGTCGGTACCCAAGAGAAGGGTTGACTTTACTAAATACTGGTCCGAAACGCCCTGGCGGATGTTTGTGATTTCTACCTTGGACATGTCGAACTCAAAGTCTTCAGCCATGAACCCAAACTCTGGCTCATTGTCTGATCCTTCCAGGAAAGCCTCATCTTCAGAATCGTTGATGGAAAGGTTGAACATCTTGTCTGTGTTCGAGAGGGAGACCCCGACGTCGCTATCATCACTTTCTTCACACTCGTAGTCACTTCCGCCCACGCTCTTCATCACCTTGGAAATATAGTCCCTGTATGCAACGTATCTCTCGTCCAGTTCAGATTCGTGGGAGACTTCGTCATATCTCTGAATATTATTTTGTGTCTCACGAACAAGGACCATCTTCAGTTTCTTCCTTCTCAGAGAAGGAATCTCTACACTAACCTCGTCGTTGATAATTCTGGTGCGCATGGAAATCTTACCAACGCTGAGGGTGTCGTCGTACTCAAGCGCCGAGTTGGGAACCAGCCTAGAGGCAGCGGCTTCAGAATAGGACACCGTTGGCTGGATAACACGTGAGAGTACGGAAGGCGGTATAGGAGCAGGCTTGGTTTTGGATGGCAACTGGACTGTCTTGTTTTCATGAGTGTTGAGCTCGTGGTCACCATCTTTGTCGATGAAGAATGCAAGTTCGGACTCAGAGGGAGATTCTGAAGTGGATTCTGAATCAGATGCAGCGGGGTACTGGCGAACAGGAGGTTCAAAGGCATATGGGGTTTCAAACTGTCTAGCTTCTGGAATCGTTTCGGTTATTACCACGGAAAGATACACTGGTGATTCGACTGGAGTTACCCCCAGAACATTGTCTGAGACTTTTCCTGGAGTCTTCCTTGACATCTCTTCTGAAACTTCTCCTGGATCCTCCCCTGGACCTTCTTCTGGAACCTCTCCTGGCTTGAAATACGCCGAAATTTTATCCTGATACAGAAGCTTGGTTCTTTGGGGAACTTTCACTTCTCGAGGCTCAAGGGTTGGTGAGTTCTCATCGTCGGCATCTTCATCTGATGCATCGTCTTCTTCATCTAATGCATCGTCTTCTTCATCTGATGCATCATCTCCAACTGACACTCCACCCACCTCTTCTTTATCACCCTCCACATCTTGGATTTCGTAATTCTCCTGAAAACCCATTCTATCTTCTTCAACATCTTGAAATTTAGCATCGATTTCAACATCGTTTTCATCTACCATTTCCTCTCCACCCTGAATATCACTTCCCGTCAGGCCGTCGCTTTCCGGAGAAGCCCTCTCGGAAATTTTTTTGAACAAGTCAGCAGACGGATCATACACCTCCTTGGCCTTGACAAACTCCACGGGTCTCTTTCTCATCGGAATCCCGCCTGTGGCCTGCACGTTTTCTCTCGTGTAACCGGCATCACCCATTCGGCCCGGTCTGCGGCCCCCGAATCGCATGGAAGTCTTTGCGTCGATTGGAATGTATATGCTGGAATCATCCATTACCATCGGCTGGTCGTTACTTGGACCCTTTTTGCCCCTAGTGCTCCTGGGGATACGGCCCATATTCCCACCACCTCTGCTTCCACGTTTGTTGCCCCTGCCGCTTCGTCCGCTTCTTTTCGGCATGTTTGTTTATCTGCTGTATTTTGTATCGCAGACCTGGATGTCTTGCTGTAGGGATATAATATGTTGTGTGAGTCTGTGGAAGTTGCAGAAATCTTAGACTATCTCTGCAACGTGCCTGCTAAATTGGATCGCCAAAAAATGTCTACCAGGAATTATGTAGGTTATGCGGATGCGGTGGCAAATCCAGAAAAAAGAAATATCCGAGAACCTAGAAGGAGTCAGATGTGAGGGGTTCCGGCTAAGACTCTAACGTAGCATTTAATTATTTAACGTGGAATCGACTTTGGTTAGATGGTGAGTGCCAGAAAGCTTTCGTACAATGCAGTGTGGCTGAAAACCATGAAGTGGCTAAGCAAAGGAATAGCATGGGCAACTGTGGCTAGGTATAGGCCTGCTTTGTACTCAGATATACTGCTTAAACTCTATCACGGTACTGGCCTCTTATTTTAACCTAACTGGATAAACTACACTTAAAAAACAGTGCGAAACCCCTTTCATAAGTACTCTTCTCGGCCTTTCACTCGCAAAACAGTTATGGCAAAATGCGATCGTCCCAAATTAGCATGGTCGAAACAGCGATGTACCATGTGCCTCCTTTTGTACGCCACCTCTCTCAACACGTGATCCAATCGAGGCGCGCATGCGCTTTATCTGCATCACACTTGATCAACATGGCGAGTGCCCGGCACACGCAAACACCATTAATTCATATTACACCCGCATTATGACGTCTCATAATGGATTACAAAAGATGTTTCTTCACTTTTGGGAGGACCAGGGGTCCACGGACTCTCAGCAAGACATTGTACTCCTCGGTAAGACGTACCACCTTGAGCCCGATAAGGAGAGCAACGAGGAGGCGCTGAACCCATTCAACTTCGACTCCTTTGCGCTGTTCTTTCAGAAACCCACAACAAAACCCTTTCCATCGGATTTCCTTGCCGATGTGTATACTCGTCTCTGGCTCACGTATCGCAGCGGGTTTGGTATGATTCCGCGGGCCACAGACGGACCGTCCCCCGTGTCTATCAGCTCCATCATACGCAACATGGGCGAAGTGAACCCGGCCGGCTTTACTTCCGATGCTGGATGGGGCTGTATGATCCGCACATCTCAGAGTTTGCTAGCTAATGCCCTCCAGACTATGCGGCTGGGCAGAGATTACGTCTTCTCATCTAGCACTCCGATACACGACGAGCTTGTCTCGTGGTTCAACGATACGGAAGAGGCACCGTTTTCGATACACAGGTTTGTGGAGCAGGGAGGGAAGCTCTGCGGTAAAAAACCCGGCGAGTGGTTCGGACCAAATGCGGCCAGTCGCAGCATCCAGGCATTGTGCCACGACTTTCCGCAGTGCGGAGTAAATGTCTACGTGAGCGACACTGGCGATGTATACCGCGATAGGATCCTCCCACTTTTGGATGAATCCCCTGTCTTGCTATTATTCAGTCTCAGACTTGGGATAGACAATGTGAATCCGCTCTATTACGACTCTTTGTTGCAGGCGTTGGCATTGATGCAGTCTGTGGGGATCGCGGGGGGCAGACCCGCCTCGTCACACTACTTTTTCGGCTTCCAAGGCCACAACATGTTCTACTTGGATCCACACACGTTGCAAGCAGTGAGTACTTCCCAGGAGACCTACCATACCAAGCGGATTTCGCGCATTAGCCTCCAGGAAATGGACCCGTCGATGTTGATTGGGTTTCTCGTCACCAGCAAAGAAGACTTGGAGGACTGGGTGGAGAAGGTAACACTGAATAAGATCTTCCACGTCAGCGACGAGCAGGCCCCGTCGTACCAACCATCCATTTCGATAATCAGTGACGAGGATGGAGACGATTTTGTGGATTTAGGAGCCGAGGTATCCGCTAGCTGTGGCGGGGAAGAGTTTGAAGATCTTTCGGGGTCGGTGGCGACTATCGAACCGGGCGATGGGGTGTTGGTTCTGAGCGAGCCAGAATTTGACGAAGAAAAGCCGGATGACTCTATCGTGATTCTCTCGGCCCCTGGATCCCCCTCCACATGTAATTGCAGCATACCTAAATCAGTGGAGAGCACATATACGGCTGTCTCTGGTATTCACGAGGAGCCCATCGTATTAGTCGAAGCCTCTACGTCGATTGGTGGGAGTATCCAAGTGGAAGATGTACTTTAGACGGTAGAATAATATACGGACCACTTGTTATCTTATAAAGATCTCAAGAAATATTAGCCTGGTGCTGGTTATGACCGGTGAGATCAGCTTTTAGTGAATGGACCATGATTGGTTTTGCTATGATCTCTGAACCGTAGGCTAAAACTGAAAATGCATTTCCTTACATAAACTGTCAGTGGAGCAGAACCCAAAACGATGTTCTTGGCTAAACGACGAGTGCCACTTCCTTGGTGTGCAAAGGAATAGGGAGCGAATCAAAAGTCTGAGAGCGTAATCTTCATACTACATCTACATCTCTTTAGCCAATATTGATTTATAATGACTCAGAAGCCATATGATTTACCTTTAATGCGAACACTAGTGGTCTGGTGGCTGCCCGATAATGAAATAATCTATTCTCAGCGGGTTAATGAAATAGAGAGGGACTAATGGCCTTAATCTTGCTTGTATCAAACATTTGAAGATAGCCAATTGTTCCAGGTCTGTATAAGTTCAAGTTACAGATCCCCAAGAAATTTTTTTTTTTTTCAATCCAGACTGTATTTCCCAGTACAAAATAACATAGGTCATTCTACAGGGCCAATTTCCCTATCGCATATTGGCTGAATGGAGGTAAATCTGCTCTTACTTTCATAGGAACGAGCGCTTCTATTCAAATGTGGACGACGCGGGCCATGTATTGCGCGAACACAGAGGGAAGCGCTTGGTGAAAGACGGAGGTCAAGGGTATACGCACTTCTGCGTCTCGATTTACAAAATCACTTTGCAAAAGGGCCACACTCCTAAATTATATGTGATTGCACGATTGATTTTGGCAGACTCCTCCTCGCGCTTCTGTCAGTACCTCGGCGCGGGAGGTTTGTGTGCCGAGGTACGTCTCTCTATCCGAGGCATCCCGCGGGAGCCCCATCCGGTCTACCCCAGCCCGCGGCTAGATATCGAAATCCACCACGAAACCTTAACCGAGAAAAGAAATTCCCGGGTACTGTGGCAGATAGAGTCAGGATCCAAGAAAACACGTAATAAACGGAAAGCCTTTACACACACCCATTTATATAAATAGCAGCCATATCCCTCTTTCAACTTCTGCAATTTCGATTTATTGAGAGCACTTGCCGGACTATTGTTACACTAATACGCGTTTCATCCTTACATTTACCTCCATTCTATATTTCTGCACGTCTCGGCTCTAACCACATAGCACAGTCATATCCATGACCTTCCCACGCTCCACAGATATTGCAGCTTACGCTGCTTCAAATTTCACCGTCTACAGAGGTGATATGATTCATACCCCGCGCTTGGGGACGCTCGAAGTGATTGAAAACGCATGTGTCGGGGTGGACCATGACGGCACGATTCGCTTCGTTTCTACCGGTGAAAACTACGTTGAAGAAGCCCAGAAGTTCAACGCCGCCTTAAAGGTGGATACCATCTCCGTATGCGAGCTTGGTGCCAAGACCGGCAGTTTCTTCTTCCCGGGATTCATTGATACACACATCCACGCCCCACAATACCCGAATGCGGGGATCTTCGGCGAGTCCACTCTCTTGAACTGGTTGACCACATATACATTTCCCATGGAATCGTCCATAAAAGACTTGAAGCTTGCCAATGTGGTGTACAATAAGGTTTTAAACAAGACGTTGGCCAATGGGACTACGCTTGCCGCGTACTACGCCACGCTCGACCCGGACGCCACCAACCTATTGGCCGATTTGTGCTTGCAAAAAGGCCAGAGGGCCCTCATCGGTCGTGTTTGCATGGATTCCAACTCCCCGGACTACTACGTGGAGACCTTAGAGCAGTCAAAGAAATCCACCACCCAAGTCATTGCCCATGTGGAACAGAGAGACCCTTTGGGGGAGCTCGTCCAGCCGATCCTCACTCCGAGATTTGCGCCTTCATGCTCCTCTGATTTGATGCATTGGTTAGGTGAGCTCAGAGAAGCCAAGGATATGCTCTGCCAAACGCATATCTCGGAAAATGCCGGTGAAATCCAGTGGGTTAAGGGGTTGTTTCCAGAAAGCGACTCGTACGCTGGCGTCTACGACGACCACAAGTTGTTGTCTGATAAAACCATCCTTGCGCACGCCATCCACCTTTCCGATGCGGAAAAGGATATCATCGCTACCAGAGGCTGTGGTATCGCGCACTGCCCGATCTCCAACTCCTCCATCACGTCTGGTGAGGCCAGAGTGAGGTGGTTGTTGAATTCGAAGATTCCGGTGGGCTTGGGTACTGACATTTCCGGGGGCTACTCTCCGTCTATTTTGAGCACCGCCAGACAAGCGTTATTGGTATCGAGGCATCTTGCGATGAAGAGCTTGCAGGACAATGACAAGTTGACTGTAAACGAGGTGTTGTACTTGGCCACTATGGGTGGGGCCAAGGTCTGCTCTATGGAGAACAAGGTGGGATCATTTGAAGTGGGCAAGAAGTGGGACGCTCAGTTGGTTGATTTGAACGTGGAGAACTCCCCAGTCGACTTGTTTGAGTGGCAGGTGCCACAGAACTCGTCGGTCGTGGGCAACTTCCCGACCGCGACCAAGTTTGAGAACATGGTGGCCAAGTGGTTGTTCAACGGGGACGACAGAAACACTGTTTCAGTGTGGGTCAACGGGAGAAACGTCGTGAACAAGATCTGTTGAGGGATGATAATTAATTGTATTTTAATGAGAATATGCGTTGGAAAGTGAGCTTATATGGGCTGGTAGCGAAAGGGCATAATTGGTTGATAACTTTGAATGATTTTCATATTGTTCTATGCACCATGTAATGTATGATATTTGGTTTGGCACTATACATGATTTACCGCGCTAGTTTAACATCCATATATATTTAATACGACTGGCTATAAATATTGCGAGTCATTTAGAAACCGTTTCGGCGACAGTAGGTTAAAATGAGAGTAGAAAATCTCTAGCTCTAGCTTTACATGCCATTTTCTATGACATATCTCTCCAATTCAAAATGTGGGCTGACCCAGTGTTTTCCTGATACTGACCTTTGGGCCATCGTTTCCTCTACACCCATACATACCTAAGACCGCAGTCTTGCGTACAGCTACAACTTCCATATCAGATTGATGTTTCTTTGTGATTGCCTCGGACGTGTTTCTTGTTTAGCTCTCCTCATACTCCCCTACATTGCTCTGTAGCAGCTGTGGTTATTCAAAGCACACGCTGTACAATAACGGCAAGTGTGGATGGGCCTCCTGCCACGTGGTCAACACATCCATGACGGCGTCATCAAACGACATCAGGGCATCCGCTGCCCTGCACTGCTCGTACAACTCGGTGAACCGGTTCGCAAGCTCGAGAATGCCCTGTCCGCCAATAACGGCGTTCTCATGGTCGTCCTTGATGTCTACATTGATCACATGCAACGCTTTGCCGCTTTTGCCGCTCTCGGCGCGGGTCATCATGTCGTCCAAAACACTCTCAAAGCAGCGCTCTTCACACGTGAACACCACGTCAAACTTGATGTCCCCGTCGTGCCACTTCTGCGGAGCCGTTTTAATCTTACGGTTGCGGTCTAACATGGCCAAGATCCCGTTCGCTGTGTAGAGTTTGGGGTCCTGAGCTTCCAACTCCTTGTATATCTCGTCGTACGGCGTTCCGAATGGATACACGTTGGGCTTGTCAATGGACGGACCTGGAAGACGAACCGCAGAGCCCGTCCCGAAGGAGTCAACGGTGAAGCCAGCCTCTTTGAGCGCACGGTGCGCTTCCATCGATCTACGCTATTAGTGGCTATTCAATTGGCACCTGGCTGCGGTACTTACCTATTGTTGTTGACAGCACAGACTGTGCAAAATTTCAAGTCAGACATGTTGTGTGAGGTACGGGTTGTTGTAGATCATCCGTCTCGATGTCTCGAATTTAAAGTATATGGTTCGCGCGCGCATGATTTTTTTTTTCATGCACATAAAATAAAAATCTGGCACATCAGCTGGGTCTGATTACCAGAGCAAGGGATACGACAATGTCCAAGAGACCAGAAATACCGGGAAAGCCCTTTTACAGTGCTAAGAAACAGCGTTTGTTTAACTCTCGGACTATCAGAACCGAAAATGTGGATCCAGGTGCGTCAACCATGGCTGGAGGAGAGCAAGATCGGCAGCGACTGCTTTCGACTACAGTCTTCATGTGTTTCCTTCTTGAGTTTCCAATACTAACCTCTAGCCTTTTCCGACGGGAAACTCGACGTACCATCGTTTATGGCGTCGCGTGAGTACGAGATCCGCCAATTGGAGCACGCACAGCTCCGCTCAAAGTACTCGGCATCCACACGCGTGTTCCAGAGCCTTCCGCGGACACTCAGACGGCGCGCGGCGTCGCACAACGTGAAGCGCATCCCGAAGCGCCTCCGTGCACGAGCATTGAAAGAAATGGCGAACCAGAACGCGACCAAGAAGACACATCATCCGCGCGGCCGCGCGTTGTACCGCCTCAAGATGCAGGTGCGACTTTTGAAGCTCGCAGCGCGGCACAAGCTCTTGCAGCAGGTTCTGCCGCCGGAGATGGCAGCGGGACGGCTCCAGCTTCGCCAACGCATTCAGATGCTCCAGGATCGGATCAAACTGGCCAAGGAAGGGTCGGCTAGGCTCAATAACGCAGTGGGCGCGTACGACAACTCCGCGGCGAACGCGCTCGCAACGCCACCTGTGGGTAACGTCAAGTACATGAAGCGCCAGACGGAGCATACCTGGCTCGCGACGCACGTGTGGCACACTAAGCGTGCGCACTTGGTGAAGAAGTGGGGTTTCCAGATCCCATACAAGCCGACTCAGAAGTGTTTCCGCGCAATCCACCGCGGGTCTGTCGCGGATGGTGGGGTGGTCTTCGACACGTCTTATTTCGGCACGTGTGTGGTTGAAGCGGGCTACGACGCGCTCCGCGCGATTGCAAGTGCCGTCTCCAATGGTAAGGCACTCAGGCGATACGAGACCCGGTCCTGGCACGGGATGGTGTTCCAGGAACAGCGTGCGGTAGGTGAAGGCATGGTTCTCTGGGCGAAGGACGCGGGAAAGTTGGTCGTGCGTGTGCACCCGTCGATCTATGCGGAATACTTTGCGTACCTCGTGGCGTTTGCCCAAGTACGCGGCGCAGTTGTGCACGACTGTCGCTACGCGCTTGGTAGTATGGAGATCATCGGGCCCGTGGGGTTGCAGGCAGTGGGCAAAGTATTCCATCCCGTAGACAAGCAGGCTACGGTGGTGAAAAACTGGTTCAAAGCAACGTCAGTGGCAGATGTTTCGACCATCCCACAGGGCACCACCTTTGCGTTCGAAATTTACGACCCACGGCTATGGGGAAAGCCCACTGCATTTAAGAAGCTCACCAACTTTAACCACAATGACTTGATCATTGATTTGCATGGCAACCCCGCGGCATCTGTCGACGCGGCGGCTTTGGCGAAGTTGCTCTCATCGGAAGGCAGAACGGCGTCCTACGCCAACCAGGCAACGCTCAGCGAGTTGGGTAAGCGCAGAGCCCGGACCCCGGGTCAGCCAATCCCTGTTGCGCCCCAAGACCCTACCATCCCCGTTGTGGTTACGAAGGGCGCGCTCAACAAGTGGATCGTGCTCATGCCGTGGTTTTGGGTCTTGCCGACGTGGCACATCCTCATGCGCGTGCCGCACGTGCGGTTGGGCGGTTTGCGCCAATTGCACCAATTGGCTTTCGAGCAAGGCAAGCCGTTCTACCCGTATGATTTCCCGTTCCTCCGCGAGGGACTTGTCGAGGCGCGCCTCCAGCAGCAGGAGTTAGCCAAGAAGTGGCGCCGCACGCCCGCCGGCAAACGTGTCAGCTTCAGCAAGGTGGAGTTGAACCTGGCGGATCCGAAGGGTGAGATCGGTAGCCCGTTTGCCTGCGACTGGCGCTACTTGCAGTTGTTGCAATACGCGTTGGTAATGCTCCGTGCGCGGGGCTCCGTCGTGACTGCCAGCTTCGGTGAGGGTGTCAGGGTATCTGTGTACGAAAATATGAGACGACAGATCACCCAGTTGTCAGATATTCCGGCCGTGCTTGCCCAGGCTGCGCGGCTCGATGCGGAGCGCGCGGCGCCGGCCGTTCCCGTGACTCTCGCTGTCTCCGAGATCCCTGAATTGCAGTGCCAGGAGCCGTTTGCGCCACTCCCCGTGGTTCAACTGAGTATTGTCCTTGCGCAACGCGGCCAGATCAAGGACTTTGCGCGTGTGTACAAGATTCCGCAAGATGTGTACGTCCGGACGGTAGCCACGCTCAAGAACAACGGAACTATCGTCTGTCCGGGGTTTGAGAACTTGGTGGGCTTCGTCAGCAGCGGCACGTTTAACCTCGCGCAGGGGTTTGGTACCGGTGTCGGCTGCGTGGACGCCGCATGGGCCAGAAACCAAGAAGAGTTTGTGTTGGTGAGGAACGTGGGGACTGATAAGGTGTGGCTTGCCAGGTGGAAGAAGGTGTGAAAATAGAATGGAGGGAATTAAATTTCGAATATGCGCGTGGAGTGCTGAATGTGAGGTTCCCAAGAATATAGGAAGCCATCGAAACAGATGTTTGGACTTAAAGCAGGTTTTTGAATTTGTAGACGTAAAATAAACGGAGTGTTGAGGGAATTCAGTCGAATTCGGTCGAATTCGGCATGTATGACGAAGGCAATGTAAGCGTGAGCTCCCAACAGATTCACTTCGACGGTATTACGGGTTGTACGCGTTTCGTAGATATAAAATATGCGAGAAGTATATGTGATTATTGGTCAATTAATTACTTGTATATGATAGTTCGAGTGTGGAAACCACTATCAAATGTTGATCCAAACAAACACCTCTCTGAATAAGCCATCCTGACGGAGACGTATGGCTAAACTACTGCGTACTCTGGAGATGTATATTCTGTAATACGCGAGGTCGCAAAAGTTCATCTCACCATCTGGAATGCGATATACGGACCTCCTATTGGAGGTTAAATATATTCAAATCAGGTGTATGGTTGGTATTACCCTGTAGATTATACCTCTGCCCTTCTGAAACTATTGAACTTGCCGACCACTTTCTAGTATCTCGCGTGCTATACCAAAGTGGCCTTACAGCTTGGCCGCCGCACGACACTGTGGGTGTCGCAGCCTTCGTGGCCCTAGTACAATTCTAGTGGCACGATTACCCGGAGGCCCAAGACAGTTACCCGCCCGAGCATGGCATTTAGTTTTCGCCACGATCGTATAAAAAGACCGTGCGCGCTGTATATCGATTCTCGATATTCTTTTGGTTTCTCTTCTTCATACTTACCTTGGGACGTCACTGGAGATCAAGAAGTCCTAGTGATCAGGGGCTACTGTTGGCATTGCACTGAGCTGCAGAACCCTTGCCAACCTTCCATATGGTTGGTGTGGGTCTCATAATTTTTGATTTCACCTTCACTTATACAAACTTTTCGAAGTTTGCATCGGTCGAAGTCTCGGATATGAAGATCCCGGTCGAGCAGCGGTTGAAGACTTGATCTCACTTCTGTTTGGCTGGGTGTCAAGATACATGTATCGTCCTCTCTTTTAGTAGCACGATAGCCAGATGGCAATCTGTTTTTAAAAGAAAAGCTGTAGCCTGCGGTCAGGGACGTCTACTTACGTGGTTAGGAGTTTGGAATTGGTAGCAAATGTCATGCCCATGTATAACGTTTGAATATATTTGAATCGGGTCAATTGAGGGTATATATTTATACATGCGTATATATCTATGGTTTCAGTTTTGTAAGCCACGACATATAAGATAGAATGGCCCAGTTATCGAAAGTTGATCAACATGGAATGTAAGGTGGTATACCAGAAACATTACAGATCATGATCTAAACGCGTTTCCCTCTAACAACCCAAGCATCGTTAATAAATCGTTTATTAGTGTTGGTATATGGGAGGACTCTATAAGACGTGTTTGCCCTCTAGTTAACCAATGCAATACAGCCTTTTTTTATATAGCTTCAGTGAGGTAATTCTATGGAATGTTCATCCATGTGGAACAAATCTTCAAACTCATCATCAGGGATTTCCACCTCTCTTAATAAACCAGTGCCGCAGTCGTACATTAAGCCCCAGACTTCGATCTCGCCGCGTTTCAAGGCAGCACTGGCGCTTGGGTGTCTTCTCAAAGCATGAACAGAAGAAATGACGTTAAGCGTGGATAAACGGGTACACTTCTCTTGGGCATCGCCCAAAGCGTTCAACTCTTTCAAATGGGCCGCTCTGACATGTCTGATCGGATTCAACCAGTGATCCAAAACACCACCTATCTTCTTGGACGACAACGAAGCGTGGATACCACCGCAGTCGGTGTGGCCACAGACAATCACCTTCTTCACCTTCAAGACATCGACAGCAAACTGGATAGCCCCGGTGGACGAAACATCGTTGGGAGAAATCACGTTGGCAATGTTTCGGTGCAGAAAGATCTCGCCAGGAAGGACATCGAGGCAGGATTCACCAGCTCTGGAATCGGAGCAACCTATCCATAAGGTATGCGGAGATTGTCCCTTACCGTTCGAGGGGTAGATTTCGGGGTGATTGTGGCTAACCAGGTTGGCTCTGGTCTGATTCAGGCGTAAAAAGTCTTTTAAAGTGGAATCTCTAGTCAACTTGAAGGGCGTCGATGCAGAGTTGGAAGAGGTAGCATGTGGGAGAGTCTCGTCGTTGATAGACGAATGGGAAGACATTGGAATCATCTGTGAAAAGTATCTTTGTGATAGGGTGTATGTCTTTGAGTGTATGAGTTTGGTAAGACTAGTGGGTTGTAGGACTAGTGACAGTTTGAACGGTGACACTGTAGCGTATTAGTTAAGATCGGAGCGATTTGAATAACAACGCCCACCGAGAAGAAGGGGGGCACATACTGCAATATATATATCTCTGAAGAAGTTTAACTGGGTGTGGAAGTGGTGAGGTGTTATTGGAATGTACACCCCTATCTATATCTGTCGTAATTGCGTAGTTGTGGAATGCATGTCTGCGAAATTTGTTGGCCATCTCATCGCATAAACCTGTGCGTCAAGCGCTATCGTAATCTGGAAGGTGCATTGTTTCTTTTTACGGCCCTTGTGGGTAGCTTCACGGGGCTTGACTTCGAGCGCACTTAGGTGTACGTCATGGTTTTTCTGTACAGTGGGACGTGCGCTTCACGTGAAAAGAACCATACAACGTCCGAATCGAGAGTGAAGTGCATGAAGCTTTCGGTGCCTGGGACGTTTACTCTGCAATGCCAAGGTCAAGGCTTATGCACAAAGGGGGACGTCACCTCCCGTCACCCCTGGGAGGTAGAAATACTGCACGTTTTCAATACCCGTGGTTTTAAATTACTATCCACAGTTTTACACTGGTACGAGAGAAAATTTGTCCAAAGAATGGAAGGCTCACGCAGAGTATATACTTTGTGAAGTTCTTGAGATCTCTGAATAAAGGAATCGTCAGCCAGGCTGATAAGGAATACCTCGGATATAGGACTTATATAACCGAATACAAGAATTGGATACTGACCTGCACCGTAAACTCGAGAATGATAGGTTTGGAGAACGGTATTTCGCCATTGCCTTTCACAATTCAAGTCTTTAATCATGGTTAATCGGCCCATAGAGACTAGGCGTTGATATGGTTATATAAGAGGCTATACCTCGTAGCTAGCAAACGGGGTACGGTAACTTTTCCATTGGGCTTCTGTTGAACTATAAACTAATTATTTAGCAGTGTATCTATAATTTTCCCACAATAAGGTTATCAGACGTAAGGCAGACCATACATCACTAGACTCTGCATATTATCCTGCATAAATGTTTCTTAAACGCTGACTTCACCCCTCATACACATACGCGTAATGCTAGGCACATACAACACCCCCTAGTTCCTGTATACAAGTGAGGACTCAAGCATCCGTTCAAACGACGAACATGTTTATCAGGGAGGGAAAATGTAAATCAACCGGAGCCTAAGGGATGAAATATTGCTTGCTGCCTTCTAGATTGGTGAACAGTGGGCTGGCTACTGGTATGTGCGTATGATAGCTTATAAGTGTAACATTGGCCTGGCTCGTACACGACCCAGACATTGACATCGGCTAGGGCAGATGTCTGGCATCTGCTGTGGGGGTGAGTCGTTCTGCTGCATGACGCACAGATACTGTTTTTATCACTTTTTAGCCGATACTCACCGCTCGGCCCGAGTTTTCATTTGGTAGATATGAGAAATCGAGGATTTTGTTTCAAGACATTACATTAGTCAGATTAGACATTCTCCTGTCGGCAACCGGTGGTCTGTACCGGAGGGAAAAACCTCAGCCATTCTTCCAAACGACAAGCGGGGCGGCCAAAGCTGTTTGTCCATGTCACCAGAGCCACGCCCAGTATTATGGGCAGGCCGAACGTGACTCTATTCAAGTACGGCAGCAAATATCTGCTGCAAAAATGGTAGTTTCTAGAAAAGAAGCTCCAGTTAAGCTTTGGTGTAGGCCAGGTGCTGCCTTCCGCTGAGAGATAATGCCACAAGATACTGGTAAACGCAAAGTCATCCTATATTTATTATACAAACTGCAAATATTATTCTCTCAAAGGCTACATCTAAAACAGGCTATTAGTGGGTTATGCGTGGAAGAATTTTCAGGTCTAGTCACCTATTATTAAGATCTCTCCTGTTTGCCATTCACACACTCGCCTAAAGTGGATATTCTGTGTGTCAAAGAGCACAGTAACAGAGATGAGACAGACGGGGGCAGCTAGCTCAGGTAGTTCTGGGATGGCAGCTTTAAATTCAGCTCAAACCGGCCCTAACTCTAGAAATCGGTAAAACAAACAGACGTTTACTTAACCTGGGGTTCACCTAGCCAGGACTCTGAGAGCGTCGTGTGTGTGACGGGTCGTAATGACTTTCCCAGATAGAGGACCAATAGAAAATATTTGATATATTGAGTACTTCACAAGGTAAACTCCTAGCTAGAATGTCGGAACGTCGAAACCGTTCTCTCTTTTTATTAAAAACCCAAATATATATAATAGATCAAACCTTATAATTAAGACCGTAGCTGAAGCTTTATCCGCATACTGGGATAGCACAACCTTGACACGGTTTTGGCGTACACGAAATAGTTAATTGCTATCTACCCAGATTATCATTGAAGTCTATGTATAGCATATAGCGTTGTTGTCTTAAACCTGTTTCAGACACGCACAATAGAGGGATGCATCAGAGAGTCATCGTACGAAATTTCTACACAGATTCGATACTCTTTACGGGCAATCTTAGACGACATAGACCGATCCCCTATACAAATAGTCTCTATTACCTGTTGTGTTACATCTAAAAGACGTTGTATTGGTATAATAGAACAGAATAAAGATTACGTAAATATAATAATTGCTTGCTAATTAATTTAATTGCTCTCTAATTAGAACAGTCACTACGGATCATGTGAGAAATTGTCACATGCTGGTTTAGGTTAGCTGGTAACACGTGGATTAGGCGACCGGTGACTTTTCTCGCTTCCCACAACATGATATTCCAGTCAGCTCCAGAACAGACAAGCCGCATAGCGGGTCTGTATCGATGCAATGATGAGGATGAGGAGGAACACAAAGCCTGACACATGCGAAATTAGTGCATTGAGCCGCGACATGACCCACGGTCACGTCTAAGTTTGGATACTCCCGTACCACGAGTCGACGTAAGGGAAAAACAGTTCTGTCACCCGAGGCGCCGCCTGCGCATGCATGGGCGACTTCCACTCGTTGCTGTTTGTGTTACAAGTGGGTGGAAAAACAGTGTAACCAAACGCGAAACATGAGAGTTGGTGGGAAAGAAGTAGGGCTACACAAGAAGGACATAAACGCGTGGTTTTCCTCATCTTTGCTGGAGTGAAACTTAGGACGCCCTGCTTCCGGCTGATAGGTTTAAGTGTACTGACTACGAGCTGCACGCGAATCCCGCATACGCATATATATGGCACGAGACTTTTTTCCCCAGGTTTCCACTCTACCCAAAACAATCAGGGTATCACTAAATTCATACACCGGATCAACCCTGTCGGGTTACTTCTTCCTTCCATAAAGAGCGACACCCTCTGATTCATACCCTACTTTCGGCAACCATCCAGATTTCTCCACCTTACAATCTAATCCTGCCACAATGAAATTGGCATACTTGACGTTTGGCTGCCTCCTTACATTAACCAGTCATGGCCTTGTCATTCCTCCTGAACGATCTGACCTCCAGCAGGTCTTTTCAGTTCAGGGTGTCACCAACTATGCTCTGTCACTTTTCTCCGGCCTCTGGGACAAAACACGGAGCAATCATGGAGTCCCCATACCGAGGCACATCTCCCGTGACAACTTTGGCCTCTGGCTCGAGCAGCAACGCAACATTTCCTTCCACGGCATCTTGGACAACATTGGAGGTCTTGGAATTAAAGGGCCCGACGTTTCTGTAGGAGCAGTGGTGGCCTCCCCTTCCAAGAACAACCCAGATTATTTCTACCAGTGGATCCGTGATGGTGCCCTAACTATCAACTCCTTGGTCTATCACTTATCCGACAACCCCCTGATGCTCAATGATTCCTGTCATCGCCTGTTAAAATATATCGTGGAGCAGTACCTTGCTAACTCGTACGTCTTACAGCGCACCAGCAACCCGTCGGGCGACTTTGCCAGCCTCAGCGGTTTGGGCGAGCCAAAGTTTAACATGAACGGAGAGCCGTTTAACCACCAATGGGGTCGTCCTCAGAGAGATGGTCCAGCGTTGAGAATCCTCACCATTACAAACTACCTTTCCCTTTTATCCCGATACAAACTGGAGTTACACCACGAACTCTTGCAGTCTTCGGAATGGGTCTTTGACCAGATTGTGAAACCGGATTTGATGTACGTCTGCAACTTCTGGAGAGCCTCCGGGTACGACTTATGGGAGGAAGTCGACTCGGTCCACTTGTTTACCTCCTTGAACCAGCTTTCTGCGTTGAACGAAGGTATGAAAGCGGCCCGCTTGTTTTCCATTGACGACGCTAAACTCATGGAAACGTTACAACAGGAATTTAGCCAGTTGCGTAAATTCATCACCCTGAAGGCCGGATTCACTAGAGATGATGTGTCTCATATGATCGAGACCCCTAGTTTGTTCCCACAAAAGGGATCTTCCGGGAGAAGCGGATTGGACGCCGCCACGATCATTGGCGTTCTCTCTTCCCACACGGAAGATACCTCCGAGATTCCCTTTGATGTGGATGATTCCCGTGTGTTGAACACCCTCGCGCAGATGGTGGATGATATGGTCTACCGGTACCCGATCAACCACCAGTACTTGTCCCTGAGGAAGGAGAATATCCCAATCGGGGTTGGCTTGGGGAGATACCCAGAAGACGTCTATAATGGAGTTGGCTTTGGCGAAGGAAACCCTTGGTTTCTCACGACCGCGTCGGCTGCTGAACTCGTGTATCGGTTGGTGCTTAAGTTGGAATCCTCTCACGCCGATTTAGAAATTACCGAGGACAATATTGGGTTTTACGGGAAGTTTCACGAACAGGGTACGGTTTTGTATGGCTCGGCTGAGTACAGCTCGGTTATGCGCAATTTGATAGCCTTTGGTGATTCGTTTTTGGATGTGTTGAAACAGCATGTAGACGATCAAGGGAGGATGAGCGAACAGTTCAGCAGGTTCGATGGGTATATGAAGGGTGCCCACGACTTGACCTGGAGCTATAGTGCCGTATGGAATAGTATCCGGTGGAGAGATCGAGTCATAGCGGTTTCGCTAAAGTAATGGTCCCCCGGGACAGTATCATGATATTACGAACCCAATAAAAGATGTGACACGAACTTACAAAGATTTTACAATTCTATCAGTAATATCCCTTTTAGGTTAATGCCTCAAATCCTTTGTGGTTTTATTGTGTTCGGGCGTTCCGTATCAGGGTACGAAGCAGCTGCAGAGCCTATAACTTCGATATTCTGACCATGGGGTCTGTAATAAAGATGCTGTTTAACTAGGCAGAAGTTGGCGTTCATTATTTCCTTACCTCCGATAAGCGGACACCTTGGTATCATATCCACCTCAGTATATACCATCGACTACCCTTCTCTTGTGTGTATCTTACATATGAAAAAGTATTCTCTTTTAGCTAACAGTATCCACAATTACCCACTAGATATATCACAGGGCCAACTAAAGATGTAATGAAAGATCAACGGGATGCATTTATACTCACCTCGGTCTCGGAGTAATTGCATGTTTCAACCTAGTCTCAGGGATGGCATAGCCCTCAAACATTTGAACCTGTTGATACGTAAAATGAAACCCGCACGCAGTGCTGTTCATGTTAGCCAGTTTATACCAACTCCGATATTACCGATACCCTTTATCATTCAAACACACTGGATCGGTTTCCAAAAGCGACCATTAAACGCGTTCTACACCAGAAGCTCATATTCTCTACAGGGTGGACCGACTAAAAAGTAAAGTTCATGTAGTGTATCATTATGTACGAGGGAAGAAGTTAAAACAAAGAGATACTATCAATGCGGTAAGGGAGTCAAACTTTTGACAGAAAAGCAAATGGTGCGAGATTCTTAGGCCAACTTAGCCAAGATAGCGTCGGTAAACTCGGAGGTGGTGTTCTTACCACCAATGTCGGCGGTTCTGACAGAGCCTTCAGCCAAGACGTCGTAGGTAGCCTTGGAGATGGCATCGGCGTGTTCATTCAAGCCCAAGTGTCTCAACATCAAGGCGGAGGATAAGATCATGGCAGTTGGGTTAGCGGCATTCTGGCCCTTCAAGTCCAAGCCGACGTGTCTGCAGCCCGGCTCGAAAACAGCGTACTCTCTACCGAAGTTGGCGCCTGGGACCAAACCTGGACCACCGACAAGGGCGGCCCCGATGTTGGAAAGGATGGCACCGTACATGTTTGGGGTGACCATAACATCGAACTGCTGTGGCTTGGCAACCGCTTGCATAGAAGCGTTGTCAACAATCATATCATTGACAGCAATCCCCTCGTATTCGGCACCGACCTCCTTCACGGTGGTTCTGAACAAGCCATCAGCCAACTTCATGATGTTAGCCTTGTGGATAGCGGTAACGGTCTTTCTGTTGTTCTTCTTGGCAAAATCGAAGGCGAATCTAGCGATTCTTTCGGACTTCTCTCTGGTGATGATCTTCAAGGACTCAACGACACCTGGGAAAGACTGGTGTTCCAAACCGGAGTATTCACCTTCGGTGTTTTCACGAACAAGGGCGAAATCAATCCCGTCCATTCTGGACTTGACACCTGGGATGTTCTTGATCAAGACAAGGGAGGCGTAAATGTCCAATTCCTTTCTCAAGGCAACGTTGAGGGAGGTGGAAGTGGCCTCGAAACCGGTGTAGAAGATACCCTTCAAACCAACCTTGTTTCTCTTAAGGGAAGCAACAGCTTCGGAGACACCTTTGTTGTCTTGGGACAAACCGGAAACATTAACGACTTCCCACTCGACTGGGACGTTTTCCTGCTTGAAGATCTTCTGGACGGAGTCGGTGATTTCCTTACCAATACCATCACCTGGGATGAGGGTGACGACGTACTTACCGCCGATCTTCTTTGGCAAAGAAGATTCGGAAACGGTAGCCATAGAGCGAACTAAAGTCTGAGACGTGTTAGTAGCCAATCATATGGTTGAGATCCCCAAGAATTGAGCAGGCTGGCATAAAACGGATAAGGTCGACCGTTCTAAACGCTTCCTAATTGCTGACACATACCTTAGAGAGCATTGTGATGTGTGTGTTTTGCTTAAAGAAAGAAGGAAAGAGAAAGGGAGCAAAGGAACTACTTTTAAATGGTGGAAAAAAGGGTGAAGGTTTTTTCCAAGGAGGTCAGCTAACACGCACTAAAACGCCGAGATGTTTGGCGCACGGCAGGGAGCGTTCGGAGTGTAACGGATCCGGCTTCGGTGTTTACAGGCTGTCACGAAAACAGAAAATTTTTCCCGCGTGCGTTTCTTTTTCGGAGTTGCCAGGCCGTTTTATGGGCACCTCGTGTGTACGCCCCACGTCGCTAAAACAGTAGAATACATGTCGAGTTAGCGTAGGGTTTATATAAAACCCTGCTTCTATTTTGAGATTATGCCTGAACCAATAATATTGAAAGCCGACGTGTGGTGCACGGCCCCACTTAACCGGAAAAACTGTTGACGGTTGACAGCGCTCAGGGAGATGGGAGTGTCTGAACCACGCGTTAGACATTGGAATATGTCGGCCGAAATATTGACTGCACGACTTTAAAGTCCTGCACACATGTCTACCTGATATGGGTAAATGGGTGTTGCAATCAATAGGGGTTAGAAATGGATTGAAATAATGGCGGGAGGGGGTTCTATTGCAAGGCTGAAGGATGGTATGCGAAAAATTTGATTCTGATCTAAATAGAGGGGAGGGGCTACGTTTAAAGTGAAGGTGGCACCGTGTAATCATAGAGGTTGGCGAGTGGTACCAGTGTGGATGATGTATTATTAATATGCCAGACCACTGATAGAGATTAATATACTGACTTTTAGTAAACAATATCCAGCTGGAGGCGGCGATTTATTCATATGCCAATAAAGATTATTGATAAAATTGCCAAGAATTGACATTGGCGTGCTCTCTCAATATTAACCTCCCCAGAGTTATTGTTGGCTTGGGGAAGTTGTTGACTACCCATTCACCTAAGCAAGGTCTACCCCGTTTTAATACTGTATAAAATCTTCTAATTTGTTTGAAATTCGTTGATAGGACCGGGTAATATGGACGGTCTCTTCACCACGCTATACAAGTACTTGGCTATCCACTGAAACGAGTTATTACCAGAGTCCATATGATGGTGCGGCCCCAAGTGCACGTTTCAATGCTTCCGCCGTATACGTGCGCTGTTAATTCTGTTTATGCACCAGCAAAAATTCAAAGATCACCCTTCAAATGAATGGCCAATTCGAATTCTGACGATCATTTTCAGTCGAACCTCGTTGGAATTGGACCTCTGACTTTCGTTTATAATTTCAATATTCCTCTACTGAAGTTAAGCTTAAGATTGATCCCCAACACACGGATAGACTTGGCACTGCCCCTAATATATTGACTACACAAAAACAATAGAGTGGACCTGGTAATTAAAGCTTTCTGAAATGGTACGATCGTATGGACTCCTTGAACCCTTCTAATTACTACGTGCTTGGAATCCGGGGATAGTGAAAAAATGCGTGTAGCTACCGATAAAAGGCTATCCAGCCAAGTGCTCTCACGTGCCTGAAAAATTACTACGGAAGCCTGGAAAATCGTGCAGCCCACTCGATCTCGCTTGATATGTAGATAACGCGGAGAACTCATATACGGTTTCATTAAAATAGTAAACACGATAGAAAATTCCCACCATGTCCACCTACAAGACTTTGTTTAGGCAGCTCCACAACGAGTTGTCTATTATTTGCGCCAAGTCCGGTAAGCACCAGGCCGAACAGACCTTGAAGAAGCAGACCGCGCTTTGGCAATACAAGAAGCTTAACCTCATCAAGCTCGGGATGTCCATCAAGGAGGTTGAAGAAAAGTTGTTGCAATCCAAGATGGACTCCAAGATCATTGTGCCTGCGCACCCGGAGGCCGATACCCACGCTTTGCTCGGAAGAACCCCGGAACAGGAGGCTACCGAGTACAGAGACTTGCAGCATATCGCCAACATTACCACCTTTTTGCAATCGCAGAGAGTCTACCAAGAGTTGTTAGAGAGATACAATCCTGGTATGAACATGGAACAGTCTGACAAAGTGCGTAAGACCGCCCACAGAGTTGGTTTGGAGCTTCCAGAATTGAAATAAACAACCCCCTTGCGTTATCGATAACTGGAGAAGCATCATTGGGTGCTGTTTTGTTGAATTACTGGTTTGATTAATATTTTCAAGAGATCCGGAATCCCCATAGGTTCTCGGTTTTTATATGTGACTAGCGATGAACTACCGGTAATGATAGGTGATGTGTGGTTGCTTCAGCCTAGGTTTGTTGATTTAACTGATTTGTATATATTTTGAACATAGCCTTGTAACGAGAATACTGATTAGTATAACTTGGGAAGCATGGCAAGTGTAGAAAGAGAGAGTTTCGGAGATTTAGAGAATTCAGATATAAAATAGCCTAAACTAGAGGTCGGAAGGGCTGATGATTCGGATATAGCTAGCTCGTATTATCTATTTACCAAAGAGATGCCTTGTCAATCATAAATACCACGATGTTTACTGAATCGCAACAAAGGACTAGAAGGTTAAATTTAAATGGTAAAAACACAACCTCAGAACCTTCAAGAACCATAGAATGTAGCCTAGCCAATCATTAATCCCTGATATCTCTAGAAATTCAAGACAGTACTATAGTCAAATTTCCCACCGAATGCTTTTGCGTCAAGGAGCCTAGTAGACAATGAAAGTTATCAACTCTAGTTCGACATTTTCACCAGAGCCCGTCATAGAATACCGAATAAGGCTTGATGAACTGGGCTCCCAGTTGACCGCGAACTGTGCTGAACAACATCCCTGAGATTCTCTCAAACGTTTAAATGCAGTCCATATTGAAGCTTTCCCGATCCCCCGACAGATAGAGGGAATAAACAAGCTTCACAATATAAATCGACGACGATCAACCTAAGTAAGGGGTCGAGCCTGCCGATAAGCCGAAGCCGGCCCCTCATGTCGGCGGGCGAACGGCGGATCACATGATATCGCGGCTTTCATTTTCCCCACCATGGCAGCTGTTGCTAAGTCCATGTAACGGGATTCTGATCACATTTTCCAGTCGAATCTTTTTGTCTATACTAAGCACCACCGGACGCAACTAACTTACTCGTGGAAAAAAGTGTTTAGGCCTTATTCCAACTCTTCACCTCAACCAGGTACCACCGATTTTTTTTCCATTTTTGTGAGCCATACAAAGTTTCACCGCAGCGCTTGTATTTCTACATACCTTCTATCATGTCTTCAGTCAAGGGACACTCCCCACTCGTTCAGTTGCTTCTCAAATCGCCAGTTTTCAAACTTTTGCGGTCGGTCAGATACTTGATCAAGCTTCTTTCGTCCAAGCAGTTCTACCTCAACGTGGACCACATCTTCCGTGACCCGACGGGGTTGGACTACACCCTTTCCTTCTTGGCATATTCCATGATGTTTGTGTCGCAGGTGATCCTCAACAAGTCTTACATCAAGAAGACGGTATTGCAGGGGTACAGAAACGTTGCTAAGGCGGTTTCCAATGATACCAAGGACGCTACACCACCCAAAGAGGCGACCCAGGAAGACGCTCCAGCCACTGATGTATCATCGAAACAAATCGTGTTAGCCACTAAGCTCCAGCTTGTATCGTCATACGTTTCCGATATCAGAATCTTCAACCGTATGTGGGCCTGTATCCCAATGATTCCGTGGGGGGTTGACCTTATAAAGGAATCCAACACTTTGCCGTGGTCTAACCCCGATCGTTTAATCAACTACGCACAGGTGTTTAACGGTATCGTGCTCCAATTCTTGGAGAATGTGGGGTTTGTGGGTGACCACTCGTTCACGACTCAATCGGAATCTTTCTCGCTCTGGGCCAACCTCTGGTGTGGGCGCCTTTGGGCCGCCTACGTTGTTTTGGACATTGTGCAATTGGCCAAGGTGCCAACAAAGCAGAGAGACAGACGCTGGGTGAACACCCTTGTGTACCAATTGGCGAATGTACCACTCACTATCCATTGGTCATTGGAAGAGGGATTGATTAACCGTACCCTGGTGGGGTTCTTTGGTGCTTTGGGTGCTTTCTACAAGGTCAGAGACTTCTGGGGCGCTGTTGGTGATGGTTGCTGAGGTATAGATCGATGCTTTTACGACAAAAGTTTTGAATCACACCGCTTCACCGACGATAAGCAATAATACTCTTCTGGTGCATTGCCCCGATGTTTTTTTATACGTATGGCTAAACCATTTTACTTTCCGATAGGTTTCATTGAAGTCGACTTTTTCCCCACCTACCAAAGTTTATGCCTGTCTGGTGTTACTGGTTTGACACCCCTAGTGGGCTGCCAGAATAAACTTATTATTCGCACGCCTTGTGAATCGCAAAATACACTACATATTTATGTTTTATTTACACTATACACTTTTAATCCTATTTATTGCTTAGCCTTTTTCTGTTAGCATCTCCGTGAGAAATACGTTAATAATTACACCCTGGGTTTTAGTCTAACCTATTCACTGGATGAATCCAAGATAACGTGGAGAACGAGAACTGAGAAACGTATGGAAAATATGTAACACAATAGTTGTTCCAACACACGGCTTAGAAATACACTAACGAAACCACTCTGCAAAGGTTAGGCGGTACTGTAAGCTTAACTATCAAACACACTAGGGCGGCGGTTAACAAACACAACGGCTGATAAACGTTAGCTTATGTCTCATATCATACTTGGACCCGCGCCACCAACCCCATCATCAGTGGTGTTCCCTTCGGGCAACAACCAGTCTAAGTTCCTATTCCAATTGTTGTACATTTCATCATCCACTTGCCGTGATTCCAGGGTGGCTGATAATTTAGGTAACGTCCGAAAGTCCATACCATCTGTTTTTGAATCCTTTTCAGCACGAGGAACGGGGCTATACTGGATACTATTTCCAAAGTGGAGCAACGCAGAAGCAGCAGTGGTAAATTCAGAGGTGGCATCTACCGAAGAGCTGTGTGGTGGCGGACCCCTGTCTCCAACTTTGGCGACATTCACAGGCAACTTGAACCACAGAAACAAACTGTCAATCGTCCCCGCATGCGCCAACTCGTCATGGAACTGCTCGTCCATAGTGAACATATCTTTCGGATTAGAGGGCTGGAAGTAATCCTTAACCCTATCCTCGAATTTAGGTCTTGTTCCAGCATGTCTCATCTTCTGTTCCATCTTTTTGGTCAACACAAAGTCGATGACATAGGAGTTGCATCGCATATCGAAAAATATCTTGGCGGTCGAAGAGTGATACCTGTCATCGATTTCGTCACTATCTGATGCTGACTCGTCATCCACCGCCAGGGTTCTCTCTCCATGCGTCTTTTCTACCATCACCACTTTCTTTTTCAGTAGTTCTAACTGCTCATTCATTAAGAAGGTCACTAGCTGGGCGTACTTGGTGGCACAGTACCAGGCTTTCCCTGACTTGAACAAAACATCAACTAAGAAATGCAAGTCCGGACTGAAATCGCCCCCTTCGGTTAAGGCATCGACTACCAACAACCTTGACGCCACCCAGAGGCAGAACGCATATTGCGGCCCCATGAGCGAGTAGATACCATCTGTTTGCATGTCACTAGTGAAGAGCTTGTTGCTTGTGAGCGTGCGGGCTACGGCCACAATTCTTGCAGCGCTTTCAATGCACTTTTCTCGCCCTGTTGGGGTTGAAGTGAAGAATTTTGATTGGATATGGGGGTAACCCACACTAGAGTGCAACCTGATAATCATCATATGGTACAAGGCATGGAAGTTGATATCTACGAGTGAAAAGTATGTCATGTCCTCTTCATTGTCGCTTTGGTCGAGGAATTTTTGGTAACGAAGCGGAATCGTGGCTTTCCATTTGGCTATTTGCCCACATATCCCATGGAAGTTCATCTGCCATTGTAGGACAGGTGTGAGAGAAAGAATGTCAAGGGGCTTCCGGAGAAACGAGTGGATATCCCCAAGAATATGACACACCTCTACTGAGTAGGAGAACGAATCGTAGGTCTCATTGGAGTGGTCTTGGGGAGTAGCTGGTGGCTCACCGTCAAAGGAAGTTTTAAGCCATCGAGTCTGACCTATCATCTGATACTCAGTAAGAGGTGACATGGGCTTCTCCCCTTCATCATAATCCCCATTACGCTTATTCTCGGACTCCTCCCAGTAGGAAAGCTTAGCAGGAAGAAGCAAGTTCACTTCAGACTCAGGGATCTTCAGGGGAAATGAGTTAGCCACGCTCGAGAGCTTATCCAAGATATATATACCCCAGAAAACCCGGCGACGACTCTCCTCCTCAAACCAGTTAGCTGGGGTGCTAAGCAACTTGGCTGACTTCGAAGAGATTGTGCTTCTTCGCAGTGACTGGTAGGAGAAGGAATTACTGCCATTATCAATGAGTCTTAATGGCTGCGCATTCTTCTCTCGAATGAGATTTAAATGAACAGCCCCGGAACAGGCAAGAGCAATGAATGACCGGGTCTCGGTCCCGTTAAAGCTGCCATAGGAGCTAAAAGCAAAGAGGGTCATGGCTGTGAGCTGGTCTAAGTTTGCGACGCTAATACAGTTGAGCATGATCTTCTGACAGCAAAAGTGGTAGTAATGTTCACACTCCGCAGGGGAGAACATTCCTGAAAGTTTGTCAAGTTTTATGAAGCGGAGAGAAGCAAAAAGTATGGCATAGAACACAAAGGGGGTTTTGTGAGGGTGGGGGTTGTAGTAGATGGAATCAAAGGTGTGGTAAGGATGGAGAATGGGAAATAGGGGATGCACTTTCTTGAAATAGGTTTCCAAAACGTACTTGGTTTGGAGTTGGGTAGGGTCCAGAGGCTGAGTAATAAGGTGTCGCGTGCGACTGGGATTATTTTCATGTACGCCGTTAGGATCTGGGATCGACCCTTCCATTCTTGATGGGTCTGATCCTAGAGCCTTCTCCTCGGAGAAAAGGCTTTCCTGACCGGCAGTCTCCGTAGCCCGTGCATTTTCAGACGCATTCATTTTCTGGAGCCTAGGCAGATTCGAGTGGTTGCTGGAGAAGGAATATACACCGGGAGTATACACCGACAGAGGATGGGATTTTACCAGGCTCCCAAGAAGCGTGTCGTCGTGTAACTTCTGATTATTGGAGTAATGAAGGGATACGTCTTGGTTGATTGTAGATGTATCAGAAACAGGATTCGGATAATCGAGGGAATCTAGGCCACGGATTGGGGCAGAATAAGCCAGTGTCCTGATATCATGGGGGCCTTCAGGGACAACGCCAGAAGTAGACTTTTGGTCAGGCGAGTTCTGGGAAGCCATCTCCAGAGACGCCGCAATGGATTCATCTTCAGGGTTCAAGAGACTCGCCAACGGTGAGCTAGCAGGCTTAGGCAAATAAACTCCGCTGAGTAATTTTCTCTCCAACGATTCCATCTTTCGCTTCAATAGATCAATATCAGAGTGTAACCCTCGTATATCGGATTCCGATTCCACCGACTTATCTTCGAGCAACCCAAGCCGGTCCGACACCTCTTTGCCATACCCCACGCGTAAGCCAGGTTTTTTCATCGGATTATATACACACACCAAATCGTGCTTGTTACAGTATCTGCACCGCGGTTTTGCTCCATCGCATTTGACCTTTCGGGATTTGCACAAGTCGCAGCTAGGTCTGCGGTTAGTAACCGCCCCGTAAAGGATGCTTAGTATCATACGTACGATTTGGCGAGCTTGACCTCTGAGTTATTCTCGGGTGATTCGGCTGATTCAGAGTAGCTTGGCTTCCGCTTTTTCCGTCCTTCTTGGGTATCTGACCACGAATCAGCTCGTTTGGACGCATTCATTGGAGATATTTTTTCTGGAAACTCGGGGTGAAATTTGAACGTTTAGCGCAAGCCTGTCTATTCTACACTACAATACAAGAATTATTGAAGCTGGTGTATTACATGTCGATGGATTCTCAGTGACCGTCAAGAGCTAAGAAGCTAGACGTGAGGTCTAGGGTTTCACGAATATTTTCAGTGCTGCGGGTGATCAATTCCCCGCTCAGCCAAGTTTGTATGCGTCGGAAGGGACTTCCTCCGAAAACTTGCCTCCCGCGCCACGTATACGCCTCTCTAAAGGGTGGGGCTGAGAGGCCTGCATTAAACTATTCCCCAACGTCTCATGGCTCATAAGAGGTCGTAGTGTATGTCCCCGGAAATTATCAAGCAAAAAAAAAAAGCTGCAGGGTGACATCATAGCTGAAAATTCAATTATATTCCTTTACCGGTGTCTGGGGTATATGAAGGTTGCCCACCCATTAAAGATTTGTGTCCGTACAGTTTTTCCGCTGCAAGCTTCTCGCACTGACCCAGCTATTTGGTATCAGATCCTATATCTTTCACCGTTGAGTATAACGACAAGTTGCCTATTCTAATCTTGAATCTTTAACGCTCATGTCTATACCCCGCAAACAAAGAGTCATTGATTCACACAGTCATTTATTCACCAACAACAATCTCGAGAACCTTACTTGGATGACCACCGGTACTGGCAATCCTCTCGAGCGCAATAATAACTTGGACGAATACCTCTTCTTCAATGTCTTTAAACAGGGACCTTCCTTAACTTCCACAGAGGCCATCGAGCCGGATATCCAGGGTCTTGTATTTCTCGAAACTGATATCAAAAATGAGTTAGGAATGGGCTACAAGGGCTGGAAGAGGCCGATAGACGAGTACTCCTACATCTTACGGATCATCCATGGACAGGAGCTTCCAGAGGAGTTGGTTCTGCCGTTCAAAGTAACACCGTCCAAAGACTATGTTCGTTTGAAGCAGAGCTTCGTGAAGGGTGTCATGCCGTGGGCTCCCATTCCGGAAGGTGCTGCCAAGATCGCTGAGTACGTTACATATGTCACTGCTGAGGCCGAAAAATACGGAGACAGCCACTTGAAGGGGTTCCGTTACTTGTTACAAGACAAGCCAAAGCAAACAATGACGCAGCCAGGGTTTGTAGAATCACTTAAATGGCTTGGAGAACACAATTACGTGTTTGACGTGGGCATCGACCTTCGTTCAGCCGGAATGTGGCAGTTTCAAGAGTTTGAAAGTATCTTGGGAGACTTGAAAGCCACTCCAAGCCCTGTCAGATTGGTTATCAACCATTTGACAAAGGCCAATTATACGATCCCGGCAAAGGAAGTAGAGGCACATTCGGAGTTTCAGCAATGGGGCAAGTACATGACCCTGATTGCGAAGTACGAGAATTCATATATGAAGTTTTCTGGCGGTTTTGCGGAACTTCCAAGCGAACTATACTACAACGGAAATCAGCCTCAGACCAACGAACGGTTAGTCCATATTTGTGAGCAAATTTTCCCCTGGTTTAAGCATCTTTTGGAGTTGTATGGGGTAGATAGACTTATCTGGGGTAGCGACTGGCCAGTTGCAACGATCTGTGGGGGCAGAAGTGCCGCCTTGGAGTGGTTTCAGATCACAGAGATGCTTCTTGACATGGCAGAAGTTGGACGGGAGGATAGAGATAAGATCTACTATTCAAACACCATGAAAGCGTACAACATTGAGGGTTGAGTACTTTAATCTACTTTATGCCCGCATTTACTATCGTTAAAAAAACGTACATTTTTATACCCAAGGAAATACCTAGGGTGAGTAACTATGAGATTTCTTAAAAGCATTTATCAGAATCAACCGGTTGCATGATTTACTGGTGTCACAAACACCAATTTTAGACAAATCCTATGCAAGAGGGACACACCATTGATATTTACAGTAAAGAGGTAAGAACATGTCTAAGCTAAGTCGATACAGATACAAGTTTGATTGACGCTGCAAAGGGACAGATTGTAGGTAAGGCAATGTATTTACACTAAATACACTTGATCTATTTTCGACAAATCATGCATCGGGACCGATCTCTCAGGGTCTCCCAGCCTAGACGTTTTTTGTTAAATTATACTGAATGTTGACAAATGCACCACCATCTACAAGCAATTGAGAGTCACTTACGTACTTGGACATATCCGACGCCAAAAATACTGCAGGCCCCGTCACGTCATTAGGCTCGCCTAAACGCTGCAAAGGAATTCTCCTCTCCATATACTGCCGCTTTTTATCATCTTTCAAGTCCTCTTCGTTTAGTGCCGCCTTAATGGCTTCTGGTATTAATGTTAGAGTAAGGGCGTGGACTATAACTAGAGAAGATATAAACCAATTATTTATGTACGGTCGTCTGAAGGTCCTGAATATTACAGTTAGCCGGTTGCCATTTCATAGACCTGGAGCCAATCCAAACTTTTATCTCGCCAGGCGTAGCATATACACTATTGGCCATAACCTAACAACTCCACTATTTACTTGGTATTCCCTGCGTAGTCATGGCGCGTCGGCCAGTGCTTAACAAATCATGCAGCCGCGACTCCGACATCGACACAACCCTAGCTTGAGGTACTCTTGAAAACCTCAGCCCTCAAAAAACGATACCTGAAGCGTTCAATTCGCATAATCAGTTTTAGGCAGAACGCATTGACGTTATCTAAACTCATACAAGTAACAGCTCTCGGTTAACCTACTCTTTTAATAGACTATTAAGAGAGATATACTGTAATAGCCCATCGAGCTGATCGTGACTGCGGGAGTGACACACCAACCAGGAACCTGTAAGCCTGTCTTACCTGGATCCCCACTCAATATACGCACGTGCCGCGTCTCCGATCAAGCCGTCCAGACGCGGCTCGTTCTGGCCGAGATGCAGCTCGCGTCGAGAATTTTTTTTCTGATCGACGGTCTGCACTAAGTTATAAGAGAATATTTTCGCCCCACCGCTCATTTTTTTCAACCCTCCTCTTCAGTTATTATCCGCAATGCAATTCTCTACCGTCGCTATCGTTTTGGCTGCCGCCACCACCGTCTCCGCCTACAACGCTACCACCGGTGCTAACTCTACCAACACCACCAACGGTACTACCCACTCCACTTCCAACGCTGGTTCCTCCAACGCCGTCTCTGCCGGTATCTTGGGTGCTGCCGTCGCTGCTGGTGCCGCTTTGTTGTTCTAAGCCCCTCAATTTCTAATCCAGGGCATTACCTGGCTGAAAATTTTGATAGGATAATGTATAATTAATAAAGAATGGTAATATAAGCATGAATACTTGGAAGTTACGATCGAGTCTAAACATACTGCCCTATTGTTAAAGTTTGAAATTTTAAGTTCAGAACGAAAACCGTTAACCCTAGCTGGGTGAATCACGGTGAGATTCTGAAAAATTCTAGATGAGCAGAGATTCAATCACGAGGTACGGAGACGTGTATACGGAGTCTCTAGAGGTTTCTCTATTTACTCATAACACTAGTAATATACCATTAGAAACTGGTACCATGAATTCGGCAAAATGGTGAATTGCCGGTATACTTAAGAACTCAGATAGCAACAAATAGGGGCCGTGCCAACTTAAGTTTGCAGAAATAGCTCAATAATAGTACTGCCCGCTATCGTATCTCATAACTCACCAAATACCTACTGATCCACCGGGTATCGTTTTTAATTTTTATTTAGGCTCTATTTGAGGTGTCATTTGGCCAAATATATAGACTTAAGCCCTTTGCCAATCGTACAATTGGATTAGCCGCGGCCTGGTGAGTCATTACATAAAAACTGTAGATGAACTACCAAAATGAACAAGAAATATATATATACCAGGCCTCTTTGTCAGGCAATTAGTATTATCGAAACAATTCCAAAACTCTTATCTTTATCCTCTCCTACACTCAGCTCTTTTATCTACAAGACTGGGTTTCAGTGCCATATACTTAGAAAACAATCCCCAGTCATTGCTTTGCGCATGATGGGCCATTCCCACCGTAGTAGCTTGTACTGAAACCTTTCAAGGTTGATTTGAAACGTAGCTGAAATATTCATAACCAACACGCTACAAGCAGAATGCTTGTCATCAACCGGATGCTAAACAGCCTAGCCGCCTACCATTAGCTACGCTTCAGCCGCAACTACCCAATGAGTCACGTGCAAATTCCGATATCATCTCCGTCATTCAGATTTTGGGCCATGTAGGTGCCAAAGTATGCGTCACTAATTACCTCGGTGTTGGGCGGCAAACCCCACCTGACGTATTTGCATATAAATAAGCGCAATCCCCAAAGTTATTACACGATAGGATTTCACTAGTCCATAGACTATTCCTTCAAAAGCTACACACGTGAATCGTCACACTAGCTCATCTCAATCTCAGGTATTTAGGCCCTGATATAATCACATATACATCAGACAACCACTGAATCCTACAGGCGACCAAAACTGACAAGGACACTAAAAGGCCCAAAAGCACTATACAATCTACGACAATAAAAACCTTAATATGCCAGTTATCACCAATCGAAACATTGTTACCTCCAACATTAACGATGCTGCCTCTAAACACAATCCAGCCAAGGTTGTGTGTGTTTACTGCGGCTCTGCTTTCGGCAACAACCCGAAGTTTGCCACCGAAGCTGCCAAGCTTGGAGAGCTTATTGCGTCCAAAAACTGGGGGCTTGTTTATGGTGGAGGCACCACCGGGCTTATGGGCACCGTGGCCCGCGGTACCACCAGTCAAGGCGGCTACGTCCACGGGATCATTCCGCAGGCACTAATTGCGCGCGAACGAGCCGACACCTCAATCGATGAATTCAACGCGAGGGTCCAGGAAACAGTGGACAAACACGACGGAACCACCCCTGTGCCAGAGATTTCCGATTACGGCTATACCACCGTTGTGAGTAACATGCACTTGCGCAAGCAGATCATGGCTGAGGAGGCGGAAGCGTTTGTAGCGTTGCCGGGCGGGTACGGCACCTTGGAGGAGTTGATGGAGGTTGTCACATGGTCGCAGTTGGGTATCCACCAGAAGCCGGTCGTATTGTTCAATATGGACGGGTTTTACGACCTGTTTATGGTGTTCATCAAGAATGCGATAAAGTCCGGGTTTATTTCTGAGAAGAGCGGATCAATCATCGTGGTAGCTAATACCGCAGAGGAAGTGATCTCGGCGATTGAGAACTATGTCGTTCCGGAGGGGAGATTCAAGTTGAACTGGGATGAGAACATCTCGAACATTTAAGCCACAAGACTTTATACGTCATGCACTGACAGTATTGCTAGCGCGGGAGAACGGACTCACATTCCCCTCCTATCGCTGGCTTACTTTCGGTACTTTTTTTTCATCCTTTCGCAAAGGTTGCAAAAGACCAAAATTAGGTAGCTTGCTATATAGATGCCGGCTCAATACATAAGTATCATAGATCGATGCGCTGTAAACTTCCATTCTAATCAATCACTGGGGTCACTACCTAAACGTCAGTTCACGTAGCCATTTCTGTACATGTATAAACGATTCAATGCTTCTTCTTTTTCCCCAGTCCAATTGTGTTTACAAAAAGACTTGAGGGTCCGATCCTTTTCCTCCGAGACATGTTCGGACTGTGAGCTTCTGCCGAACGATTGTTTAACGTGCTACCTCAGCAAACGGGGCTATTTTAGAAAAACTAGAAATTTAATTCCGAAACTAATAAAACTCGCCCACTTTGTAAAATACAATGATTCCTCTGGCGGGTTCTCCCCCTGGTAGCCCTTTATTTTGTAAAGGGTTACCCGCCCTTGCTTTTTGCTTTTCCTAAAGCTCACTCTCAAACGCGTCTTTGTATCAAAACATTTCATCTGACTGGGGCACGCTAATCCATCTACGCTATAACCGCCAATAACATTAACTACCGCTTCTATATTCCATTGGGTACCTGCACATCACAATGGTTCATTACAAAGAGGAAAACTACCTCATCATCCAGCCGGGTTCCCAGTCCACTTACGTCTCGTTCGGCTTGGAAGACTCGTTAGCGCCGCCAGCCTACGTGTTCCCCACCAAAGTATACCAGTCCGGGGACAACTTCAGCTGCACTGATAGCTCTCTCCCAGAGGTGTATCCTATTGTGGGAGGGGAGATTATCAATATTGAAGCCTTAAAGTACCTTATCAAGGTGATTGTTAAGTCGCTCAACAAACAGTTCCCGCTTAAACTCACGTCCCTGATCCCGCTCCTCCTTCTCTCCTCCTTCCACTGGTCGCGTCTCCACATCGAACAACTTACGCAGTATGCGCTTGAAGACTTGCAGTTTCTGGGCTTCAACATCCTTCCAACCTGTTTGGGTAACCTCTTTAGTGTCAGCAGAGAGGGCTTAGCCACCGCCACGGTGATCGATATCGGATACGAACGCACCGAAATCACACCAATCATTGACTATCTCCCTGCTAGGTTCGCCTCCACAACCGTTAAGCTTGGTGGTCAGTCCATTGACCAGGAGATTCGCAGGTACCTTCCAGACTTTTCTCCGTTGCAGATCGACGCTTTGAAAAAGTCGGACATCTTTGAGGTGTTATCGCACGCGGACAAGATCAGTTCGTTCTACGGCTTGGACGAACTCACCAAGGAGGAAGAGGGGATCCTCGACGTTGCGGCTATTGTCACCTCCAACAACACCAAAGAAATCATTGAGGGTAAGAAAAAGAAAGAAAAGACGGAAAAGCCAAACTCTGAGTTGGAAATCAACACTTTCCCAGACCCAATCTCCGGGGAAGACATCTCTGTGGGGCTGCAGCGTTTCAGAGGGTGCGAACCGTTGCTCGAGGCGATCTCGCATCACTTGTACATACAGCTTGGCAAGATAGACGATTTGGCCAAGAGACAGGAGTTGTGGGATAACTTGATAGTGGTAGGGCCAACCACCTTGATCAAGGGGTTCACTGAGGCTTTGCTCGTTCAATTAGGGGACGACTGGTTAGTGGTACCGCCAAACAAGGCGGGAAGCAACGCGTTAGCCGCATTCCAGGCCACCTCTGCGCTCTCTGCTTCTGGTGAGCAATTCAATTTGCAACAAGTGCCGCGGTCGTTGAAGCCCGTCAAGGTACCGGAATACTTCCCCGAGTGGAAGAGCGTGCCGGGCTCGTTTGAGAACTGTTTGTCGGTGTTGGGGGGCCAGATCTACTGTAAGCAGATCTTTGGCGAACTGGGCGAAGACTCGTTTGTGACGAAGGACTCGTACGATGACAAGGGCCCTCTTCTGGTGTGGGATGTGTGTTTGTCGTAACCGAATGTATTATTAATGGACTATAAAGTATTTCAAGGGGCGCCTCTTTGTCGTAAAGCCAACAGATGGATACGGTTGGGTTGCATGTCGAGAATTAGTGGTTAGGGCCGAGTACCGATGAGGAGTATTGAACGTTTACAGAGCATGTTCAAAACTAGCTAGGCGACACCAATGTTTTTAGTTCGGCTATTGCCCGTTTGGATACTGTTCTACTACACTATCAATATCTAAATTGCATTGTCAAGGGGAACGGCAAGTCTATGAGATATAGCGGCATCAACTTTTTGTAAGCACCGCACTCAGTTGGACAGATGTTTAAAATTCCGCATAGATTAGTTTTACAAAGTCTTATTCAACGCCTGTACCTCCTGTAGGTGTGCAAACAATTTTTCCTAGGTTCCTTGCGGTTGGTCGTGGTTCAAAGGTGCTCTCCCCCACCATGGCACGCCAACTTTTACCACTTCGAAATATGTCCGTTTGATACTGATTATTCCGAATTCGCACAACTTCTCCTCACACTTAGACGCCACCCTCTGCAATTTTGTCCTCTTCTAACTCCCCCTTGTGTACGTGGTCCCATAGGTTGACATAGATTCTTGGGAACACACCGGAGATCCCGTCGATGGTTCCATGGCACTCCATAACAAGTGTCGAGAGAAACGCGTGGCCCAAACCGTTGTAGACATGAAAATCTTCTCCGGCCATTTGGCTGGCAATTGTAGTGCAGTGTGCGACATTGTCGTAGGAAAACTTGCACCCGACAATGTTTTTGTGTTTTGAAATTCTAACCACGGTTTTTGGGAGGATATGGGTATTATTAGACACTCCGGGGTAAATATATACTAACACTGGGAGTACAGTCCCGTCGGAAACTTTGGTATTCCAGTTATACAAGCTCTAGTGTGTGGCAGCAACGCTGTAGTAGTTAGATGGAAGCACTACCATATTAAAGGCACCCGCATTTTGCATGTTAGAAATCTCTGTAAGCGTATCAGCGACCGAGTTAAGGGTGACCCCCGGCAAGTACTGGCAATCCAGAAATATTGCTGGTGATATTCTTAACCACAGAGTACCTTTCGGTAGCTTCCAAATGGGTATTTTCACCGATAGATCCCATAACAACGAACCCGTGGATACCGTTCTGGTGGAGGAATTGCACATGTGCGAGGTTAGCAGCGTAGTCGATGGTTTCGTTGTCTTTAGGGAAAACCGTGGGAACAGGGGTGTAAATACCCGGAGCTGGAGCAGACGACGTCATATGAGAGTTACAGGTTTGATGTCGAGTGAAATTGAGTTGACTGAGATGCCATTTATGTAGGAATTTTATGGAAAAAATGTAGGACGCATGCAAGAATTGACGTACATAGTGGGGGGGGGGGGGGGATCTCTCAAAAGGTTTGCATAGGAATTTACCAAAAAAAAATGCTGGAAATTGATAGATTCGTAGGTCAATTGTTGGTTATGGGAAGTAATATGACTCTGAGCGATGACCCCTAAAACACGCAAGCCCAAAACATAGGAAGCGGTCAGTATCATTTCGCCGAAACGTGGATCTTAGGCATGCGCGTCATGATCTCGGGGGAAGACATACCGAAGGATGATCGCGAACTTCGGAATATTCCTGAGAAATTCAGACAGGTAAACAGCAGTCGGAAATTCGAATACTAACACTCCTATTGCTCAACTCTTTGCTAGTTAAACTGCTCAAGCGATAAAAGGCCCCGGCAGGGTATACCGTCGCTGCACGTAACGGGCAAGAAAGTACAGCAGAAAAAAAAACCCTTAGGACGAATATCCCAGTCTTGATACGATAAAACAGATCTATGCAAGATCTATACCTAGTTTCGGCTCCATAATATTGTATGCACCATTGAATCATTCACAGTTCCTGGTGATTCCAGCCCGCTAATATCACTTTGGGCCAGACTCTATGTCGAGAGCCTGCGCCGTACCCATCCGTAGTAACGCCATTACTAGCCGCTCCCAAAGCAGAAAGCCGCTGAGCCGTCCCACCCCACGCTGGCCCTTCCTGCATCAACACCTCGGGCAGTCGCTTGCAGACGTGGAGGCACGTCTCTCCTAAATGTGGAGTACATAGATGAAATTAAAGTTCTATTTGACAGATAGCCCAATCAGCATTGATCTCAGCACACCATTTCAGCTAGCTCAGTTGGTCAAATGCATGACTGCAATTTGTTCCCCACTATTAGCGCTGGTTTCGTATAAATACCCCCGGTCCCTCAATATTTTGTTACACAAGCCGTATTGAATTATAACGTTAATCAGTATCCCCTACGAGATATTAACATCGATACCACTAGCAGTTTCCCCAGCATTCATATATACCGAAACTTCCCTAAACCTCCTAATGTCCTCCCCTACTACTTTCAGGGGCTTTGCCGTCCACGACAACGCCAAGTGGTCCGAAACCAAGCTCATCGAATACACCCCTAAGCCGTTTGGTCCCCGCGATATCGACGTCGAGATTGACGCTTGCAGTGTCTGTGGGTCAGACATCCACACTGTGCGCGACGACTGGAAGAAGCCGAACAACGTGATGCCAGTCATTGTTGGCCACGAAATCATCGGGCGCGTTGTCCGTATCGGAAGCGAGGCCACCACTGGGCTTAAACTTGGCGACAGAGTAGGCGTGGGCGCTCAGGCGTGGGCATGTTTGGAGTGCGACTTGTGCAAGTCCGGCAACGAGACGTACTGCGACCGCCTTCGCCATACGTACAACGCACGTTACGATGACGGTAGCGAGACGCAGGGTGGTTATGCGCTGCATGTGCGCGTGCACGAGTACTTCGTCTTCAAGATTCCTGCGGCGCTTGAGACCAACACTACAGCTCCAATGCTCTGCGCAGGGATCACGGTCTTTTCACCGTTGAAGCGTAACGGCTGTGGCAAGGGTTCCCGTGTAGGCGTCGTGGGCCTTGGGGGGTTGGGCTCCTTCGCCATTATGTTTGCCAAGGCAATGGGTGCCGAGGTGTACGCGATCTCGCGTAACGACAAGAAAAAGGAGGATGCCTTCAAGTTAGGTGCAGACAAGTACATCACTACCGACACGGCAGATTGGAACAAGGACTACAAATACGGCTTGGACTTGATCATCTGTACGGCCAACTCCACCGAAAACTTCGATCTAAACAAGTACTTACAATTGTTGACCGTTGGGGGCAAGTGGGTTAGCGTAGGGATTCCTGACAAACCTTTCGAGGTCAGTCCACGCACGTTCATGGGGAATGCCTGTTTCATGGGTGCCTCCCATTTGGGTAGCAGACACGAGATGCAGGAAATGTTGCAGTTGGCCGCGGATAAGAACTTGAAGGGCTGGGTTGAGACCTTGCCGATCAGCGTTGCCGGGATTAAGGAGGCGTTGGAACGTGCCCACAACAACGACGTGAGATACAGATTCACGTTGACTGACTTTGACAAGGCGTTTGGCGAGCATGTCAAGTTGTAGTTACCAGAATCATAGCTCTAAATATAAAATGAGTAAAGGATGACGTAGAATTGTATAAGGTATTGCATGATGGGTTCTCTGGTTCGTGTAAACCCCACTTTTGAATTTGATAGGAGCGCCTCAACTGTTGGATGCCAGGCTTGACCATGCATGAGAACGTTATGTATGTGCTAATGTTTCTAGTTCTTCTGTTGTAGCTGGTTGAGATACGGCATAAAAATCGGACATAACTATTCTTTCACATCTTTGGAAGTCTCCCCCCGATATATATATCGGTACAATCTGAATTCTGAATAATCCAATAAAATATAACAAAAACCAGTGGTAAATCATGCACGCGCGTTAACCTCATATAACTACGTGCGCCAACCATTGTTTACCCATCTGCTAATTACCTTCCGCATTAGGCGATTATTTGGCATGGCTGGTGGTCGCGTCCCAGAAATGGGGAGCTGCATGCGATATTTTCACAGTAGCCCATGGTAATTCCTGAACCACAACCCTTCTTTCTGTTCCCACCGGTAGTCATCCCACTCTCACCCCACAATCGGCTAAGCATTGTTCCTTATCTCCGTGCTATCCACTTGTTTTTACTTAAAACGCGTCACCTTTACAAAAACCCCACCCACCGCATCTGGCACTTACACGTACCATCACCCAACCTTCTATCGCGTTGCTATTTCGACACTAGCTTTTCAAGGTCCAACATAACTGCAGGTCACGCTAATAAATTTTTTTAACATGGCCCGCCTTTCGCTGGGCTCAACGCCAAAACGAGTGATCGCCACCAATCGCCGCACAGCATCCAGCACATCTGCGCGGAAGACAGTCCCTGGGGTATCATCCGGGCTTCAGCGGAACGCCCCGGGAGACCCCGTTCCCGAAACTCTGAAGAAGCGTCGCTATAGGCCAGGTACCCTTGCGCTCCGTGAGATTCGTCAGTACCAGAAGTCTACCGACTTGCTCATTAGAAAACTACCGTTTGCGCGTTTAGTGAGGGAGATCGCGACGGAGTACTTGGGTAATGAGTACGGGTTGCGGTGGCAGAGTGTCGCCGTGCTCGCGTTGCAAGAGGCTTCGGAGGCTTTCTTGGTGAATTTGTTTGAGGACACGAACTTGTGTGCTTTGCATGCCAAAAGGGTGACGATTATGCAGAAGGATATCCAGCTAGCCAGGAGAATTAGAGGGCAGTTCTAACAATGTCGGTTTCACTAAGGCAAGGAGCACCATAATGGGTCCCCCTTCCATTTATTCTCTTCTCATTTGTATTCTCTAGGTTTTTGGTTCTTGTTTGTATTATTATAATCTGTTTCCGTGTTTCAATAGATTTCGCGTTCGGTAGATAGGCTTGTAGGCCCACGTTGGTAGCGCAGCACTGCCCCATTCGAATGTACAATTTGGAGAAGCTTACTTTGTCTATTATCTAATGACCTTGCAAATATCATATACGTAGACTTTTTAAAAATTAAATTGGCATAATTCATATTCGAGTTCGACATTACGTTCGTACCTTGGTGGCTCTAAGTTGGATAGGCTTTTTCAATTTGGCCCATCTCAAACTTCTCCCCTGTGATCGGATCATACACCATCTCATCATCCTCACTATCATCCTCTCCGCTCGCTTCGCTATCTTTCTCTCTCAACTCCTTGCTCCGCAACTTTTCCTGGAGGTTAAACAACTTGTCTTCGTCATAAATATTACCGTTTGGTAACATGATCGGGTTCCCGCTGATAATGCTACTAGTGACAAGGTGTGCGAAGGGCAAATGCGTCGTCAAATCATAGAGCTCGGCAGAGCACACGGGACAGAAGTTAACCTTGAGTGGTGCTGAGGGAACTGACGACCCCGCAGATGAGCCTCTGGAGCTTAGATCAGGCGAAACAATGTCAGTGGCACCTAAATCCATCTCGGTATCACTCCCTGCGGAAGCCTTCAACCCTTCAGCATGCTTAGAAGTGATGTACTCGACGTCACATCCGGCACATGATTTAGTCTTGAGAGAGCACAACCCGGCAGATAGGTAGATGAACAAGGGATAGTTGTACGAGATGCCGTAGATCTGAAAGAAATCCGCTGTAAACAACTTTCCGAGATCCAGCCATCGCTTCTGGGAAACGAGGGTATGATAAGCGGTGACAAAACCCGGCTCCTGTGAATCATCATTCTCAGATTGCTTTGGCATGCCATCTTCTGTTTGCATAGATTTGTAAAGCAAGATACCACCAATGTTGGTGATCCGTTTGATATTTTGGTGGTAGTTGTAGTCATACGTGTAGTTCGTAAGGTCCATGTAAGCTGCCAACGAGGTCTTACAGAACCCAATGGCATCGATGATACTACCCTCAGTGACAATGTTCAAGAACTCTTGAAATTTGAGCTCAAACTCAAGCGAGGAACCATACTCCACCGTCTCTTTGCTTTTCTGCTCCTCGTCCGAGGCCACGCTTTTGACGTAGACAATTTTCTTGATTGTTAACTTGTTATCCTGGAACCAACTGTTCAACAAGGAAATATCGTGGTCCTGTGTAATGGATGTGTAAATCTTATTATACTGCACGTACACATCAAAGTCGATGAGGTTTTTCAAGTTCGGGTCCAGCGCAGCAAGCTGCTCGAGCAACTCAAGACCAATGTTTTCGCCGCCCGATGATGATTTGAGAAGGTAGTCCACCACGAGCAAATTTATTTGATCGCGGTACCACTGGCCAAGGCGAATAGACTGGGCTGTGATCCCAGAGTCTTCGCTGCTCGCCGATATTAATGTCTGAAGCTCCTTTATTTTGTCCGACCGACACTGCAATCGATGCATGAAATCCGCTGCAATAGTAGCTTTTGCCAGGAGTTTGGTCAGGAACGCATCAAAGCCGCGAATGATTTTGGCGAGTGCTTCCAGGCGCTGCTGTTTAGAGAGTTTAACCGCTGCCTGGGCCCCAGTGATTTTGGATAAGTCTGCCAAAACCTGTTTCTTTTGCTTTTCGATGAGCTTCTGTATCGACTTGAGATTTTTCTTGGCGAGCTCGTGTGGGATTTTGAAGTTGGACTGCTGGAGCAGGATGTGGAAGTCGACAGACATTACGAGAGGGGTGAAAAGAGGTGATCTGTGTGCTTGTTATAAATCTGGAGCGAATTCCAAACACCAAAGTTAGTAAATCGATTCGACAAGCAGAAGGGGTCGTAACGGATGCAACTGTGAACGGTAAAGCCGAAAGGGCGTAACAAGCACTAAGGAGTGTTGATTTGAACCTGCGAATACGTTGGAACCGTTTATCAAAACCGAATCAACTTAAACTCCGGGTAAATTTCTGTATCTGTTTAAGCCAGCTAAGTCAAACTGTAGATCGAGTGGGTGAGAATAGCGAGTAGTCTGAATACGGCTAGGGTCTGGCTTCTATGACGAGAAGGGGTGTTATTACGGGCAACTAAGGAGGAAAAATAGTCTGGTAGGGTGACTTGATGAGGAGTTTCCCTGGAAATGGCGCTTAAAAGTGTGGCCTTATTGAGGTGATTGGCGGCTAAACTTGCTGCCAAAATTGCCTCTTAAAAGTTAGACGCACGTCTTATCGGGAAACCCCATAGGGGGCGGTCACGTGCGGCAAGTACGAGATTGTCTCGGAGTACGAAGGGATATCTATTCTCGACAGGGCTTACAAAGAAAAGTTACATAAAGGACTAGGGTATACTTTATTTAAATATTTTCAGTGTCTTGGAATCTCTTGTGGTACCATTAAACTTTTTCCGACGTGTAGTATTAGTGGAAGGAGATTAAAAGTCATCTTATAACTACAATACAATTTTCCAGAAATTGGTTAATACCATTACGTATACATTACGGGATTTTAGTAGCATAGTTTAGAGAATGGAGAAATATAAATAGTATACAATGAGCTAATCAAGAATCTAGTAGGGTTTAAATCTGACATCCTTCTTCTTATCCTTCTTTTCCTTCTTTTCCTTCTTTTCCTTCTTTTCCTTCTTATCCTTCTTTTCCTTCTTGTCCTCCTTCTCCCTCTTTTCCTTCTTTTCCTTCTTCTCCTTCTCCTTCCTCTCCTTCTTCTCCTTCTTCTCCTTCTTCTCCTTCTTCCTCTCTTTTTCGTTGAAGTCACTTGCCTCACCGATTCCGCCCATATCAACATCCATATCGTCCGATCTTGGGGTAAAATAGCTCTCCTTGGCCCCAATAGCATGTGGTGTCTGCCATACCTTGACATTTCCATCTTCACCGGCCGAGTACACGATGTCGGTACCTGGAAGGGCGTATACCGACCTCACAACCTCTTCGCCGTGAGCACCAGTCAACCAGAGAGGCTTGGAGGTGTCAACGCTCTCAGTTCTCTCGTCAAATGGATACAATGTCAACTTTTCGACGGAGTTAGAACCAACAGCGACGTATCCTGGGTACATGTCCACAACGTACTCACAGTCCCATGCGGTTCTGATATCGCCCAAGTCGTTTGGCTGAGGCTCAGTGGCCTCGTCAGATTTGTCGTTTAACTCGTGGATGGCGACGGTTTCCATGTGCGACAATGTGTAGATTCTCTTGTCGGAAAGGAAGTTGGCGGAATGCACGGATGCGTAGTTGATAACCTGGTACAAGGCTTCCTCTTCATCTTCCATAGTCAAGTCGTAAACGTTGGTGTAGCCATCGGTGGACCCGCTCAACAAACTGTCCTTGTGGGTTGGGTGGAAGCGGATGTCGGTGATGTCGTCGTGGTGCGAATCGACGAAGGATCTGACAGGATTCAGGGAACGCAAGTCCCAGATGTGAAGTTCGGCATCTACGCCCATCAATTCGGTACCGGCAGCAAGCATGCCGTGGCCCGAGTCGAGAGATAAAAAGGGGCTACGCTTGGCATTGGTATAGGAGGCAACAGGTTTCCCATTAGCGACTCTCATGTCCCAGAGCTTCACAGCATCCATAGCACAAGACGCGAGAACGTGCTCATCCACTGTTCTCATGCAGTTGACAGAGCTGGAATGCGCTTTGAATGACTGTAGGGCATTGGCAGAGGTGGAAGGATCCATTGGGTACAAGGTGATCTGCCCGTTACTGAAGGCAGCCGCGAGGCCGTGTCCCTTGACGTGAGCCAAGCCCACAGCCCAGTCGTTGCCACCATTCCAATTGTGTTTTTGGATAGATCTCATGGTGATGACTGGAATATACGGCAAATTGGGGGTAAATAATACCTGAAGTGCCTGGTCTAATGTATGCAAAGGCTGAAAAATTTTAGGGATGAGCCTCCTGTATGTATTTGGAGTGCAGGACTTGCAAGCTAAACATACATATCGCTGACAGAGCGAAGGGAAAAAAGGTATAGGGAATGTAGGGTATTCATTTGGCATGGGAAGAAATTTTGTAGGCATCAGCCTAAGTATTTTAAACTTGAGTAAATGTTTGGCGTGTTACCAAGCTCTGAGTTGGACTAAATTACTATAGGAGACAGCAGCTTAGTTGGGTGACAGAAGAGGCATGGCCTGCATGTACGTGCTCCCCATGGGAAGGGCTGATCGCAGTACTTAATGGACAGGACGAACTGCGCTTATTAGGACTATTATACGTTTGCGTCGGTTTTTATGAAACGGGATACTTTGTCGGCTGTCGTTTCAACAACGTTCGAGTCTGGATGTATGTCAATGGCTCTACTGTCAGTTATAACCAACTCGCAGTTGACTAGCTATTTCGTAACTTGCACTTAGTACTATTGGCTCGTTCATGAGGTGGACATGGGAAACTCTGATAGCTTTATTTTTAAACCAATCATTCGTTCTGGTATCTCCTCTAATCCCTTTCACAGACCACTATGGGAGGAAATAGCTTAGGTCTCAGCAAATACAAAGGCTTTAATACTCACCAAAACCTTCTACATCAAATCCGTCCAGGACACGTGCCGCTTACCTAAGCATGTGCCTCCGCGCCTGAAACTTCAACTGATTTCGGCGTCAACACGCATAATTTATTTCGGAACCTTCACTATTCATCTCTAGAACCACTTTCAGCCACCACCTCCCTACGTGACAATCCATATTTTCTCGGAGTTACATATTATATACAACTTCCCATCCTGTCTATCCCCTATGAGTAGTATTGTTAGTACGTATACCACATTCCACGTTGTCACTGACATCTCGGAGCTCTGGCTCGCAGGGGCTAACACGTTCTAGAAAAGGGTACTCGTTTTACCCCCAAGGTCAGCCAGAGACGAACTCCGCGAAAAGAGGATCCGGTTTCTGAACCGCCGAGCCAAATTTCTGGTGCCGAACCTCCTGCATCTCCACTATTGAAAACCGATATCTTCAAATCTACTGAGGTTCAGACCACCAGCGTTGTCTTTACCGAAAAATACTCGCAATCTCAGACCGCTATCCCCGGCTTTGATAACGAAGACAACGATGGGGAAATTGAACAGCTCAAGAAACCGCCGGTGGCAGACTTCAGACGGAGAAGAATGTCCTCCATCAAGGTGTCCACTCCAATTTCCTTCAAGTCGCGCCAAGGCAGCGTCTCAGGAGCAAGCGCGTTGAAGGAGTCTGTGGAGCCCGTGGTACCGGTTCTGATCAGTGTGCCATTATTGGCCCCCAGTAAGCGGACCAAGAGACCACGCAACCTCTTAAGTGGTGGCGACAAGATGGCGATGCTCAAGAGATCAAACGCTACGAGAAAGCCTGAGCCAAGAGATGAAAAGGTAGAAACGGAAGAGCAACCCCAGATTGATGCGACAAAGAGAAGAAAAAGCAAGAGCCCCGCGGAGTCCGGCTCTGCGCCCCATGCGCTCAGCGGCGTGGAAATCGCGGATGGTGAGAGCATCTTCATTATCAACCCAACCACCAACAAGATGGCCAAGATAAACCAGGCCAAGCTCTCGCAGCTCAAGCTGGGCCCGGTGCTTTCTGGCGTGGATGTTTTTTCCAAAGTCATCAGAGATATGTCACAGATTCCAAACGGAATTTCCGAGGAGGATCCCAAACTCCTCGAGGAATACACCGTGGACGAGGATTCCATCTCAATGAGTGATTTGTGCAAGCCCTCTATCCCGATCGGTGCTGTTTCGTCCAATTTTGACCTCACGAAGGAGGCCCGCAGGCGCATTCAAAGTCAGAAGTTGAAGGAGCGCGAGCAGCGCGCGCAGGCGCGCCGTGATCGCATCTCGCTCGACAAGTTCATCAAGGATGAGGAAGATAAGAACCGAGAGGCGCGCATTGCGGTACAGAAGGAGTTGATGAACGTGGACCAAGAAGAGGCCAGGGGCCACAGCGTGATCCAGTTGACGTTGCAGAACGGTGAGTTGAACATTGATGAAGACTCGCTTGTAGTGGATCGTCACCAGCGTGACAACACCAACAACTTGCGCGAGAAGGAGGAGCAGAACCGGTTCGAGAACCCCGTTAACTCCCGCACCTACGGTAAGGCCCGCTACACCGATAAGTGGACCGACGACGAGATGAAGCAGTTTTACAACGCGTTGTCTGCGTGGGGTACGGACTTTACCGTGATCGCGCAGTTGTTCCCGTACCGCACGCGTCGCCAGGTAAAAGCGCGCTTCACGGCGGAGGAGCGCAAGCACCCGTATATTATCGAGCTCGCGTTGGCACGAAAGCTTCCACAGGACTTTGGCAATTACATCGAGACGTCCAACCGAAAGACTCAAGACTTCCCAAGCTTATTAGACTTCAACGCGAAGTTGGAGGACTTGAAGAAGCTGCACCGCGAGGAGTTGGAAAACATCGAGCTCGGTAAGCAGAAGGCCAAGTTGGAGGACGCCGAGGTGCAACGCCGCCGCGAGATCGAGATCAGAACCGGTACCAGAACCATGTCCAGAGCCGAAAAGATCAAGGAGTTAAGACAGAACGAGACGGTCGTGGGGACGGTTGACGATGTGAAGAAAAAGCGCGAGCTCGAGTTGGCCATTCCTGAAGAGGCATAAGCATTGATGGAGCTAGCTCGTTTGGCACGAAGTGGTTACCAAAAGGGCTGCTTGTCTCGGTGAAGGGGGGGAGGCTTTTCCCGGTGATTTGGCCTGTCTGGTATTTTATATTAGGTTTTTGTGTTTTCGGTACATTGTCTAGAATTTCTGTAGTATATCGATTTTTCTAAAGGGGCCTTTTGTCTTCTGCTGACATGGGTTGGCTGAGTCCGCTTTCGCTCTCCCGTGCCATTATACTATCTATTTACTGATAAATACGGTTTGGGATGCATATTACGTTTTAAATAGTCCCGGGGAATGTGCGTCTCTGTCAGTATGCCCTCGGTCGTTCACAATTGCTCATCACCTCATGAAGCTTCCCACAGGAGCATATACATTGTGCAAGTCTGTGCGAAGGAGCCGGCCACTCATCTGAATCCAAAGATGGTAAGCCCCAAATCCATGCTTATAGCTGAACGGCATGCTTACAAAAATGTCGCTCCGTTCTAATACCGCTTCCTTGTGTGGTGCACGCGTCTGCTCATTGGGGACGTGTCTGGGAGGCGTGCAGGATATAAACAATGTCAGGTTTCCACCTCCATGTTTAGCAAAAACCTTCTCATTTACACTACAACTACCCAACACAATGGCTATTAGAGGTAGAGGTGGTGTTAAAAAGGTATTTTCGAAAAGAGCGTCGCCAGCTGCGCGTGCATCCCTGACTGCGGGATCAGCGTTAGACCTCACAATTGACATTGGCAAGAAGAAGCAAATCACCGTTCACCAGTACAATGGGATCAGCTTGGTTGATATAAGAGAATTCTACGAGAAGGATGGTGAGATTCTTCCCGGTAAAAAGGTATGTTCAGTGCTTACTTTATACGATAGATATGTCTACTAATACGACGTAGGGTATTTCCTTATCACAGGAATCCTGGGAGTTGTTACTCAAGAATGCTCAGAAAATTGACCAAGCGTTGTCGGCTTTTGCTGAGAAGGATTCAGCTATTAAGAAGGCCAAAGAGGAATCAAAGGAAGAATCAAAAGAGGAGGAACCTGTGGCAACCAAAATAGAGGAATCCGATACCCTTCCAATGTCCCAGGACTACGCGGAGCGCTGATGTAGCATGACTGTTGTGGGTTTAGTAGGTTGGATCCTGGGTGTGAATCGAATACTCTGTGGCACTACGTCATCTGTAATAACATGGGGCACAGTTTTACCATGGCCAGCATCGTGGTGCTTATCTACGCGTTACCTATAAAAAGCTCAGAATAAATATCTACGAAGCCCTTAGTATGCATATATTTTGGATCCTTTTGTAAATTTAATGACCAACTACAACGTTGTATAGTATACATTGCCACGCAAAGCCACTTGCACATTACCTGAATACCTGATTTCTGTAGGTTTTCTTTTTTAATGACGACACCCAACCTTTGGCCTCTCTGTATAGTCCTTAAAGTAATCATAGCAACACTTCCTATCCCTGGAGCAACAAATAGTATATCACATTATTCCCCCTTCTAAACTTCAAAGATTTGCGGATCAGCGCCAGTCGCTATCCGTGGTGCACCACGTTCATGCTTTGAACACGGGAGGATTAGGGACTATTCCTCAATCAGAGTCAATCCCCACATCTCCCCCTTCTTGCGAATTAGTATAAACTGTATAATGCCGACCCAACAGCCCCCTCAGCTTTCACACAGGGCACCTGGTCTAGTTGCAGATCCCCGACTGGGCGGCACGTGCTGCCAGCTGGGACTGTATACAAGACACGCGCGCCGCGAGAATAAAAGGCTCACAACTGCAAAGCGCTACAGGCGCCTCGGCACAAGATTGCTTTTTAATGTGCTTTGCTTGATCCAGCGCTATTCCTCTGGGCTCACGCGACACTTGAAAATCACCCGAAAATACTTCACAGCTCAATTCACAGTGGGATAGTTTGCTGCTACTTACCCTTTAATATCGCGCAAAGCTGTCAACATGCTGTCCCCGAAAGACGCTGCTAATGAGGGAGACACTGGAAGGTCTAATATCATTCCAAAAGTTTCCTCTGTGCCAGAAGTGGTTTCTTCTAGTGTTCCAGCGCTCCAACTAACCCCCGAAAATCTCCACATCCCTGCCATTTCCGTTAATTCCACTAATCCTGAAACTGTTACTGTAACTCTACAAGCTGCCCCTGACGCTCGTACCACCGGCACTGGCCTCGCCTCTCTGGATGCTCTCTCTAAGATTCCAGAGGGGTTTGGTTACGACAACGCCTCCCCCACCCAAAGCATTCGTCTTAATAGAGGGTCCGGCGGTTCCGTCAACGTACACTACAAGACCGGTACCCCTTCGGGCGTTGATCTCCTTGACCATGGTGTAGGCAACTCTGAGCCTAAATCCGTTCACAGATCCGCAGGACCCACCACTATCCCTCCTGTGGGACCAAAAATCCCAGCTGGTACGACAATTTCTCACTCTCATAACCCTCCACGGAATCCTGCTCGACCTCCAGGCAGCCCAACAAGCCCTAACATGCCTTCCGGCTACCTTCCGCTCCAGAAAACCTTGTCGCATAACAGCATTGCCACCACCGGAAGCAATAATCCAACGTATTTTGACCATCGGCAGTTCCAGAACGGGTCGCAACGCAAGGCCAGACGTCCGAGTGGCTTGAAGTTCCAGCAGGGAGAGTACTCTCCACCTTATGTTTCCCCTCTTCAGCAACGAACCAAGTCTGTCTCGGGTAAAAGACGTGTTCGAAGCCAGAGTATGGCGTTCCAAGCCGAGGCCCCCGTGCCCCAAGGCTACACCCCAGGTATCAGAAGTCAAATGGCCTCTACCTACATGGCGCCAGAAACTCTTCCCCTTACGGCACTGAACCTCCGGAATTACGGCACTCAGCCACAATTGACCAGACACCAGAGCATGGCTGACCCAGCCCTCAACTTTGGGGTCTCAGACTACAACTATTTCAACCGGCCGTACCAGGACGAAGAGTTTGATCCGTTGGACGATTTTTCTCCTGACTCGGTCGAGGATGAGTTTACCTCCCAGCCTTCATCCAGGAGAATGTCCCAGGACTCCTCTATCGACGATGTGTTTGCTCCCCTTGAGGATTACAACGGCAGCGACATTGCTGCGCGCAAAGAGTGGCCAGACTTGTCGGTGTTGGAAGATTTTTGCTTGGAAGAAATGGAAGAGCTCAAAGAGAAGATCCTCAACGAACGCGGGAACATACGGCTGGTGCTGCCAAACGACTCGGGTCTGGAGCTGGGTGATGAGTACCCCGACAATGAAGAGCGGGTGAATTTCAACTACCCGCTTGTGAGTAACGTTGATACTCCGTTGCTCAACCCGAAACGGGTGAACGAGATCGAAACTGGCCTGGGGCGCCTCAGACCAGTAAGGGCCGTTCCGTGGGCTGCCGCCAAGAAGGTGAGCGGAAAGGCACCTAAACCGGTACGTCCGCCTCTTTTAACGGGTCCTTCGAATTACGAAAAGGACGAGTTTCGGTTTACGTACTTCCGCGAAGACCTTGAAGCAACCGTCCACCTGGCCACTCTCTCCGGTTTATCTCTGGGAACCATCACCTCCGGTAGACAGCCGTTGCGCGAACAGTTTGCAGAGCTTTTCCACTACAAGGTCTACACCCAAAAACCGACACCCGTCAAACGAGACAGCACGAGCACTCCCTTAACAAAGCGAGATGCCTCGGCTAAAAGAGATAGCACTCCGTTCAGGGGTGAACAAATGGATTCACCCAGGGAACTCAAAATTAGTAGCTCTCCGCCTCCCGAGGGCAACCATTTGCCCCATGCGATACCGCGAAACACCCCGTTGGAGTCACCAGCCCCCTCGGTGATCGAGGACTACCTTAAGGACCCTATTCCGTTCTGGTTGGATGTCATGGATCCTACGGACGACGAGATGAAAGCCATATCCAAGGCGTTCGGGATCCATCCGTTAACTAACGAGGATATTATATTGGGAGAACTGCGTGAAAAGGTGGAGTTGTTCAAGGACTACTACTTTATCTGTTTCCGGTCGTGGGACATCTTCCACGAGAAGCGTAAGACGCGTGCCAAGGAGTTGAAGAGAAAACAGAGACTTGAGTCTATCCAGTCCAGTGAAGCTTCGGGGATTGCCATCAAGTTTCGCCGAATATTTGGGCTCCAGAGAAAGACCTCTGTGTATTCGGACCCTGCATTGGTTTCACAAGATAGCACAAACCACAGATTGAAGAAGAGAGACGAACTTGTGCCGATGAACGTGTATATGGTGGTTTTCAGAGACGCAATTTTGACGTTCCATTACTCTGCCACCCCGCACACGGCCAACGTGAGAAAACGTATTCGGTTGCTCAAGGATTACATGCAGCCGTCGTCAGATTGGATCAGTTTCTCGATGTGTGATGACATTGTCGATCAGTTCGCCCCCATGGTGGAGAACATCGAGGATGAAGTGAACTACATTGAGGACTACATCTTAAAGATGCATGATATGGCTGATAACAGCGACGATGACTCGTCGTCTGACGACGATGACGAAAAGCCTGAACTTCGTCGCAGAGGGTCTGTGGCGGACAAAAAGTCAATCCGGTCTCATTACTCCAAGGTTTCCGGCACCTCTTCGTCTTCTAACTCATCGTCCTGGTCCCGCTCCGCGAAATGGGAGGAGCAATCGATGATGTTAAGACGGATCGGGGTGTGTCGTAACAGAGTCTCGTCGGTGTTGCGTTTACTTGGGTCTAAGGCCGATGTTGTGAAGGGGATTGCTAAGAGACTTAATGAGCACTGGGACTCGGGTCCAAGATCCGATATTGGAATGTATCTTGGGGATATCCAGGATCATATTGTCACCATGGTGCAGTCGCTAAACCATTACGAAAATTTGTTGTCGCGTGCGCACTCAAACTTCTTAGCCCAATGTAACATCAACGAGGCCAAGGTGAGTAACAACATGAACGATACCTTGGGGCGGATCAGTATTGCAGCGACAGTGGTGGTTCCGTTGAATATCGTCACTGGTTTGTGGGGAATGAACGTGGAGGTTCCTGGGCAGTTTTACGAGGGTGTCTGGTGCTTTAATCTTATTGTTTGTGGCATGGTGATATTCTCGTATCTCTCGTGGAGGTACATGAAGAGAGTCACGGGTCTTTAAGTGCCGATTTGCGGGCTTTAAACGGTGGTCATTTCTCAATTTCATGCCATCTTGTAATATGTACGTGTGATAGATAATTTAAATTTTAGCCTTTGTAACTTTTTGAACCTACCCGAGTGTTATACCCCTATTCCAATGGGTTCTGAATGGAGTGGGGCCGTTGGGTGTACCGATAGTCGTATCGGATTTAACTTTCTCGGGTAGAGTCAGATTAAGAGTATATGCATTTGTTACCGCCTATAGTGCGCTTGAATATACATTTTAATAAAAATATACCTACCATATATGATTCATCGCTTTTGCCCCATTCACCCTCCTGACCTTAAACCAAATGCTCGGTGTCTGAAAGTTTGCACCATGCAGGATGTGAAAAAAAAAAATATGTGCAATGGGATGCATATAATCGGACATAAGCTCCTATACTTTATATCCTTTGGTTCACATATAAACCCGCACAATGGCTAGAAAAAACCTCGCCAGAAAGAGACAGTCCAACAGTAAGGGTCTTCAAGCCAACTTGGCCCGCCATCTCCTTGAACAGAAGATGAACAGGACCGTGACAAAGAAAAAGGACGATCCTGTTACCAAGGCAAAGAAGGCCGCTAACAAGAACCAGAAGATACAGCCGCAAGCCAACCAGCGTGGGCTTCTTCCATTCACCCCTGAAGAACGTGTTTTGCTTGTTGGTGAGGGTGATTTCAGCTTTGCCGCCTCCTTGATCAAGGGTGGACTCATCAAACCAGAAAACTTGGTGGCCACCTCCTTCGATTCGCTTGAGGAGGTTCTTGAAAAGTACCCAGCTACCGCTCCGGAATGTATTAAGGTCTTGGAGACTGCGGATATTGCTGGTGTTCAGCACGATGTTGATGCTACCAGCTTGATTAAGACCTTGGGTTTGAGTGTCAGTAAGAAGAACAAGGGTACAAGAGCCAACTGGTTGTTCCCAACCTCTGGTAAGATTGACGTCATTATGTTCAACTTCCCTCACACCGGTAGAGGAATGAAGGACATGGACAGAAACATCAGAGACCACCAGAACCTTATCTTGGAGTACTTCCGGGCCTCTAAAGACTTGTTGAACTTGACCAACGATAACGTTTTCAACGATTTCGGTGGGTACCGCACATTTGGCCAAACCTCTGACCAGGAGGCGAGAATCGTGTTGACCCTTTTCGAGGGTGAGCCGTACCTCTCGTGGCAAATCAAGTCCTTGGCCAAGTCTGAGTTCTTGAAGGTCGAACGCAGCGGAAAGTTGGAATGGGAGATGTTCCCTGGCTACCACCACAAGAGAACCAATGGTGTCAGAGACACTACCAAGCCTGCTAGCGAGAGAGAGGCCAGAATCTATGTCTTTGACAAGTACAAGAAGAGACTCGCGAAGAAGGAAGACGGTGGAGCCTCGGACTCTGATTAAGCTGAGTGGTTGTATATTATATGTTATTTAATTAGGGGTAAATTTTAGAAACGCATGTAGGTAGTGGCTTCTTGCTGAGTGTTTTCTCCTTGGATTTTTGAGTCCGCACGCGGTGATCGTGGAAGCTGGCGTAGCGTGTGTTTCGGATTTTCGTTTCCCTCGCGGTATATGCAATGCTTGTACCTCTATGTTAATTCGTTTAAAACGCTTAATGCCTTTACGTAGAGGAATTTTCACTCGATCAACTGGATGTTAGAGCTGGACTGTGGCGTCCAGGTGAGACCCGATTTTGCTAGCAATGTTTACATTTTGGTAATTATTTCATACTGGCCTTGACCAACTGAAACCTTTCTACCGGTGAACTATAATTGCAAATCTCTTTTTTTCGGTGTAATTAGTGATGAGTTGATTTTAGGGACGCAAAAAAGTCACTCAGAAGGTCATTTACCTCACCATAGAGAGTACAGCTAGTTGGCCCTACGAACCGAAACGGATGCAGCACCCTTACTCGTATGCACTTCAACTGTTTCTAATCCCACGCTAGCTCTGTACCTATTTTATTTACATAATATACCCATATTACACTGAACCCACTAGGATTAGTTTTCGATATCAACCTTTTCAAAGCAGACGGCAAAAAAGCCAATTCCACCGTCAATCTTGGGCATGGCTCTGACACACCCTTCGGCGGTCCTGAGCCCCTCCTCCGGTCCTAAGCTGGTGAACTCCTGCGGCCAGCCTCTTCTGTGCCAGGTTGGGATAACGTTCTCTCTGGACGCCACTCTCCACCCGGCACTGCTGATATCCTCATCGGCGAGCAAGTCCACGACAACCTGTTCGTTTTCCTCAGCGTGAATGGAACACGTGGAGTAAATGACTTTCTTCACCTTCGGGAACATCAACGCGTGCTTCACTATCTTGCACTGGAAACTTGCGAGCTTTCTCAATCTCTCAGGATCGTGACTCTCCTGCTTATCCTTGTCGTCTTCCTCAAAGGCTCTGCCGAAGATACCGGAACCGGAGCAGGACGGATCGACGATAATACCTACCGTATCTGGAAAATCCTTGGGGTCGATCTTGGTGAAATCTTCGTGCACCACCTGGATCGACTTTAAGCCACCGGCCTTGTTCACCATCTTGCGCAAAATCAAGGCACGCTTAGGGTCTCTTTCGAACGCCACGATGGAGTCTGGGTGGTTGCGCATGTAGGACGCGAGATGGGTGGTCTTGTTACCAGGAGCTGCGGTAGCATCGATGATCATACCCTCACCAGGGATGGGGTTGAGCATATGGGCCGGAAAACACGAGGGACGAGACTGGATGATGACTCTCCCGTCGATGTAAATCTGCATAGCGGTGAGCTTTTCCTTCGGATGGATCCCGAATAAGTCTGGGATGTATTCATCATGGTAGATCTTTCCCGGCTCATCCAATTCCTCGAGGGTATCTACTTGGGTGAGATGGGCCAACTCCTTGAGAATTCTCTCGGTGGTGGTCTTGATGAGATTGGTACGGAACCAACGAACGGGGGTGTCATCTTCCTCGACCAAATCGAGCAAGTCAGTAACCTTGTGTTTCAACTTTAATTTGGTTAATTCAGCCTGCAAACGGGTCTTGTGCTTAAGTAACGCTTCCTTGATCGGGTGCTTGCCCGACTGGATACGGCCGGTCTTGGAAAAAAGCAAGTCGTGCACGCATAAAACGGCAACAAGCTCCGGAATTTTTGGCTTGGTTTGGACCTTCAAAACCTGTGACTTTTTGATTATTTCCAAGATGAATGGCTTGAGCTTTAACGTAGAGATGACAAGCGCATAGATATGTTTTGGGTTGGACTTGATCTTTCGTTCCTTCGCCGCGTCAAATATGCGAGTCTGGAGGGATCCGACCTTTGGGCCTGGTGCGATAAACTGTGCAGCTTCCTTGTACAACAACATTCTGGAATAAGGGTACGAGTGTCTCACCAATAAGGACTGGTAGATACCTCTTCAGTCTTGTATTATGGCTTCGCATAAAAAATTTCATGTGCGTCAATGCAGGAGAATTATGGAGACGGCCAGGCATGCAGCCATCTCTCCCTTGGGCGGTCGTAATAGGGGGAGCAGGGCCGGGTCCCTGATGACGCGGAAGCTGCGGGATAGCTGGATGTAGTAACGATGGTTTGTGGACTTGTTGCGATCGTATCCACTTTCAATATTATAATTCAGGTGAAGGGTTACTGTGTTGCTTGTAAAGTTAGAACCAACTTGAGTATGGCAGTGCCTGATCTGAACTGCTACCGCGGAATTAATCGGTTAAACATATGGCCGTTACAAGCGGGGCTTAGCACTTTTGCTCTACGTATATGCCTTGGGGTTGGAGTACAAAATACATGTACAGCTCATGTGGCAGTATGTCCTGGTTATTCCTGGTTGCACAATTAACACGCCACATAAATCCGGCCAGTAGAGAACGAGCGTATCACTCAAAGCGATCATTCTTCGGTGGTCAGAGCTAAAGTATAGCTCTTAAGGCACGATGAGGATCGTGATATACTCTTGCTTCCAATCCTCCTCGGCCAGATACCGGTAGATACTATAATGTTTCTCAAAGAAATTCCGCGTCAACCCCAGATTTTAAAACCGCAGATCAAAAAATCTTACAAGCTTCGTGTAGCTCCGTCTAACACCCCCAAGTGGGTAGCTCCAATTAAACAGTAAAAGCAGACTCCGTCAAGAAAGCTTGTAAAAAAAATGTAAAAACTGGGGTTATAATCAGGCTTATGACCCCAGTTTTTAGTAAACACCCGATTGGCTCAGTATTGACTAAATTAGTCCCAACCGGCGCTTGCCCTCAACACCCTAGATCGGCAATTTTGCAATACGGTACGCCCTCATAGTTGCTACTCTATAAGACACTAGTAACAAATATAACTAACATAATAAGTCTACTCTTTATTATATCAAACTGGGTTGGACTCGGAAACTGACTTAATAAACGCCCGGCTCAATACTACCCACTGAACAATTTAGTGTCACACTCCTCGGCTACGTGTCGGAGGTCGTGCGCTAACGCGACGGAACGTTAGACATCTGGCCACGCGTGAGGCCCAAAATGCAAACTTGAAGATCCAAAGCCCGAGCTTCTTCCTGAAATTCTCTCCCACACATCCCCCTTCGCTTTCCCTCACGGTTGTTTGTTTTCTGAGTCCACGTTAGACCGTTATATGAGCGCTGATGTCTGAAGAAACACGTCTGCCGAGCACAGATGCCCCGCCTTCCGCGGAGGTCAAAACCGAAGACGTCGAAATGGAGCAGGAAACCATGCAAGAAGCGCAGGAAAAGCAACCAGAAACCCTCAAAAGAAAATACGATGATGCCGCCGCTAAAAACGGCAAAAGTGAGCCCAATGGCAAATCAGAGGCTAACGGTGTAAAACTCGAAGGCGCTTCGACTCTTACGCCCGTGATTGTAGCGCCGCGCGCACCGCAACTCGAATACATTCCTTTAAAAACTGGCTTGGCCTACGACGTGCGAATGCGCTACCACGCAAAGATCTTCACGTCCTACTACGAGTACATCGACCCGCACCCCGAGGATCCGCGCCGAATCTACCGCATCTACAAGATTCTCGCGGAGGCCGGGCTTATCAACGACCCGTCGCTCATCGGTGCGGACGATATCGGTGACTTGATGCTCAAAATCCCTGTGCGCGAGGCCACGCGTGAGGAAATTCTCCAGGTTCACACTCCGGAACATTTGGACTTTATCGCCTCCACCGAAAAAATGGACAAGGAGGCCTTGCTCGAACGCACAGAGAAAGGCGACTCTGTCTACTTCAACCATGATTCGTACATGGGGGCTAAGCTCTCTTGTGGTGGCACCATCGAGGCGTGCAAGGCCGTGGTTGAGGGCAAAGTGAAGAACGCGCTTGCGGTTGTACGTCCTCCTGGCCACCATGCGGAACCCAACGCTCCCGGCGGCTTTTGCCTCTTCTCCAACGTCGCGGTGGCGGCCAAAAATATCTTGCAGAACTACCCCGACTCTGTGCGAAAAATCGTAGTGCTCGATTGGGACGTCCACCACGGTAACGGGACACAACGCGCGTTCTTCGACGACCCGCGTGTCTTGTACATCTCGTTGCACCGCTACGAGCAGGGTAAGTACTACCCCGGGACAACGTACGGTGGGGCGGACCAGGTTGGTGAAGGACCCGGTGCTGGGTTCACCGTCAACATCCCATGGCTGGTGCCGGGCATGGGCGACGGGGATTATCTCTACGCGTTCCAGAAAGTGGTGATGCCCGTGTGCTACGAATTCGCGCCGGATTTGGTCATCATCTCCTCCGGCTTCGACGCCGCGGCTGGTGATATTATCGGGGGCTGCCACGTGACGCCTCCAGGCTACGGCCACATGACACATTTGATGAAAGGCTTAGCGCGGGGCAACTTGTGTGTAGTGCTCGAAGGAGGCTACAACTTGGACTCGATCTCGGTGAGCGCGCTTGCAGTCGCTCAGACAATGGTGGGTGAGGTTCCGGGCGAGCTTGCAACCACGTTACCGAAGCCCGAGACGATCGAAACGATCGAGGAGGTCATCCGCATCCACGCCAAGTACTGGAAGTGCCTCCAGCCGGGCCACATGGCCGTGGCGCTGCAGTCGGAGAAGAGCCTCCGTCTCGGCGATAGCTTGCGCACGCACCAGGCAAATACGCTCTTCCACAACCACCAATACATCACGTTGCCTATCTTGGAGAGCAAGTTCCACGCGACGTTGGAGGACCAGATCGTCGCCAGTCCTGACATCTACGACTGCCAGACAATTGTCATTTCCGTGCACGACCCACCAGAGATCTGGGGGCTGACGGACGCGCTCTCTGGGACCATCGACAGCATCAACTCTGTGGTGGTGGACCCGTCGCAGCAGGTTCTCGAGTGGGCGCAGGCGCGTAAATATGGCGTCATCGACATCTGCGTTCCGTTGCACTGCGACGATGACTATACGTACAACCCGCAGCTTGCAGGCCAAGAGCTCTTGCTCTATGTGTGGGATCACTACCTTCAATTTTTCCAGGCCTCCAAGATCGCGTTTGTCGGTGTCGGCGAGGCCTACTCCGGGATTGTGCACCTTCTCGGGCACCGCGACGTGCGAGCGCTTGTGAAGGCGTCGATCGGTATCGTGGACAAACAACCGTTGCGGGCAATTGTACCGTTGATCGATGAGAACGTCACCGAGTGGTACTTCCGCAACTCGTTGGTGTTCACGTCCGCAAAGCACCCGTGCTGGGAGAACGCTAACGGCGATGCCATCAAGAAGCCACGGAAGAAGTTTGGCCGTGTTTTGAAGGGTGACAGCGTTGGGATGGTGGACATCTTTGGTGAGCGCTTCGACGAGGGCTGCGACTTTATTTTGGATGCGTTTGAGGAGTTTGACAGTAGTGATGATTAGAGGGTAGAATAAACGTAATTTATAAGGGTGGCTCCTAGTAGATCCATTGGTGGTGTCTTAGTCGTCTAGCTCGATAGGTAAGGAATGGCAGCTTCGAATAGATTGGTCTTTGAATTTATGGTTGAGTTTCGATATTTTGTACAACCTGTTATTGCCCCCGCTGCTAGTACCCAGCAATATGTACTCTTTGCTCTTTAGCTTGGGAACCACGCAGCAACGCCCAAGTCTGATCAAGTGTACTCACAGCTTTCCTGTTGTTTGCCGGGGTAAATACTGGGCGCTCGAATTCTAAGCATTGTTGACCCAAGCGTCCTGAACTCAAAGCGCGCTATTCTCAGCCAGGGAGAGCAAGCCCCCTCGTTTTCTGGTATACACGTAGAGTTTCCACCCTCTACGGGCGATCTTACAGGGCAAATATGACATCGTTAAGTCTTATATCTGGTTATATATGTACCCTATACAGCACTGGGGTACCGCTGCTTGAAGCTCTGGGTAAGAAGGTCGATGTCGGGGAACAGTGAGTCAAAATCGCTGTCGTCTTCCTCCTTTACTGGCCTGCCAATTTTCGTCGCTGGCGACTTCAAATACTCGGGTTTCTTTGGCTTCGACGGCGGGCCTAGCTTTGAGGTGGATGGGCTGGGCTTCGCGGTCTTGGAGACGAAACTCTGCGCTGTGGTAATCTGGGTTGGCGTAGAAACCTTGGAAAGCGTCGGCGAGGTCCGTAGAATGGTTGGCAACTTTGGCACCATATTTCCCAGAGATGGCTCCGCCTTCTGAGGGAAAATCACCCGTTGTGAGTTCTTGGTAGCAGCCAGTACAGGGTGAGGGGGCGAAACCTTCACTGACACCTTCGCTATAACCTTCAGGGCTCGTTTCTCCGGGACAGCCACCTTATCTGGCACTTTGAACGTGCCCTCTGGGCTCTTCTTCTGCACGGCTGGGCCCTTGACCTTCTCTTGTTCAGTGTATTTACCGTAGCCTGTAGCTGTTTTGACGGCTGGCTCGGACTTCCGGCCCAACAACTCCTGGACCCTTCTCTGGATCGACGACGATCGCTTTACCGACACCTCACTCTCGCGGTAGGCATCCATGCTGTGTCGGGCCGGATAACCTGTTTCGGAACTCTTCCTCGCCGGCTCCTGGGCCACGCTAACGTTGCGGCTGGATGGCTGCGATTTGCCCTTCTTATCGCCCGTGAGCAACGACTTGATCCCGGAGATGCTGCTTCGCTTCCAACCATTCTTACTGCCGGTGGAGATCCGTCTGATAGACTCACCGGTCTTCTGCAGCCGCCATGATCTGCCGCTATCTTGCTTCTCCAACGTGCGGAGGAACTCCAAGTTGTCGTCAATATGCTCGTCTGGCCTGTATGTGTCGCTGTCGCTAGACAATTTGTGGATAATCTCCTTCAAGCTCTTGTGGTCCTCCGTCGAGTCTGAGAGGTCGCCGTGCATGCTCACCGGTCTAGGGCTGTTCCGAGCCCGCTGCAGCTCCACACTTGCCCGGGTTCGCGGGAGCAGTCTCGAAAGCAGCTCCGTGCTCGGTTTACTTCTCTGCGATACCCCACCGTCGTATTTCAACTTTTCCGATTTGCCTAAACTGGAGGTTTCCTTAGGTTTGGAAAAGCCAGAGATGTTCTTGGACTTTATAGAGATGTCCTTTAGGTTGGTGCTGGATGACGGTGTTGACAACGAAACATGCTTGAACGACCGTGAAAGCTGCTCTACGCGCAGCGATTCGCGGGCCGCGTCTTTGTGATGTGGCGATAACGATCCAAGGGATGAGCCGGAGCTGTCTGAGGATAAATCGTGGCTAACCATCTGGATGTCCTGGAGCTTCACCTTTGCGGATGCCTTGAGGCCCAGGAAGTCGGGCTTGGGCTTTGGCACCACCTTGGCTGACTTTGGCGGGGTGGCGGGGCGGGTTAAATCAGGGGCACTAGCATTGGTCCGAGGCTTTGGTGGTACCTGCACCTGGGTGTAATCCCGGATAGGAACACCCAAACCGCGCATCTTGCACACCTCTTCGAGCAACTGGTACGCGTTGGGTCTCTTTCTAGGGTCTTCGCGGAGACACGCCGATATCACGTTCTTCAATCTATCCGAAAACTGTGGTTGATGTGGGAACTGGAAGCGCGCGTGGAGGATGGCGCGCTCCCCGGAGGTCTCGAACGGTGTTGTGTAGTAACACAATTTGTATAAAAACACGCCCAAGGCCCAGATGTCTGCCTTCTCGTCGATGGGAAAGCCGCGGTACAAGTCAACCATCTCGGGACTGCGGTACTGCGCCGTGGTGTGGCGCATGATGTCATCCTGGAGCACCTGGAATTCTTCCACGTTCTTTGGAGGGCGCAACGCGGGCGCAGCGGAGCCGAAGTCGCAAAGCTTGTAGCGGCCGTCACCGTTGACCAACACATTTTCGATCTTGATGTCGCGGTGGATCAACGGCGGTTGAAGCGCGTGGCAGTTGGCCACCCCTTCTGTGATCTCCGCCATGATCATGAGAATCTCTGGCTCTGTGAGCTTATGCGTTAAGCGCGTGTTCATAAAGTCGATCAACCCATTGCGCGAGCAGTATTCCATGAGAAGAAACACCTCGTACCCATGCACGTTCGATGTGCTACCGGGCATACGTGCCGCATGTGAGTCGATGTACAGAACAATGTGGCGGTGGCCCTTCAACCGCTTCATCGCGTCCACCTCTGCACGGAGAATGTTTAACGTTGGTTTGTCCGGCACCGCGACACGTTTCAAGCACGCAACCGACGAACCGCCGTATGGCGGCGAGATGTCTACCAAATAGACGTGTGCAAAGCCACCTAGAGGTTAGTATATGTGAGGGAAATAAAAGGATGGAAGGGAGAAAGGAAAGGAATAAAGGAAGAGGTTGATATGGAAGGTAGAAGAGTTGACCAAGGTATGGATTACTCAATCATTTTTCCTTCTCCCATCTACCTATCCCATCTTTTCTGTGGGTTCAACATACCTTCAGAGATATACTTCTGTATTGCCACCTTGTGGGACCCTACAGTTATCTGAGTCCCAGGCCGGTATGCATTTGGCGGAGGAGAGCCCATTTTATGCTAGAAAAAAAAGAGAAGGCAGGGAAGCAAATGACGATGTGGGTACTTAATGCCTGGGCACTGGTAGATGCAAAGAGGGGCTTGGGGATTGCTGGTATGGGAATTGCCGATCTTCAAAGGAGCGTGGCACTATTGTCTCAGCCGTCAGTTTTCGATCACAGTAGTATGCTTCCTTTAAAGGAGTTAGATCGATTCCACCGTGTGATGTCTCGATTTTCCAGGTGTTTGAAAGGCTGTACGTAATCAAATCGTTGGGTACGTGGATCCTATCGGGGGTCACGTGTGACATAGCCGGAACCAGGGCTCATATACACAAAGGAGTAGAGACATGATTGTACGCTTTATTGCTCAGTTTTATTGCTTGGATTATATCTTGTAAGTTACAGAGCTAAAGTAATGGGATTATTGTTTTGTTTTGTTTTTAGATTGGAAGGGATAATGAGGGGGAGCTTTGAGTGGGGTTTCCCCTCCGATGTTTATGTGCACTAGACCCACTAGCCATTTCCAAGACTAATTTCTTGGCTTACAGTAATGTACACCTAACGTGTTCATCATTTTAGGTGAATAAAGGAGGCTATGAATTGATGGAGTTAGGGTTAATGGTTTATGTCTCTTTATAAAAGAAATCACTGGGCTGAGATAATATTCTAGTCTAAAGCGGATGTCGGGTTCTGAGAGCGATAGTTCTGTGGATGACACCGGCAGAAAACGGCGGCATGTAACATGCTAATCACATGCGTAGACTTTCCAAGGTAATTATCTTTATATTGATATAGCTAGGTGATTTGTGGTTATAGTATTCTCGTAATAAAATCCTGCGGTATGTCGTTGAGGGGAGATTAGAAACCCTACAAGTGCAGTATAAACATCAATTTATTTAATACCGGTTTAAAACAATAACAACCCAAGAGAGAAACAGAAAGGAAATGCAAGGAAGCGAAAAAAAAAAAAACGGATTCAGGCATTTTACAAAGCCGGGCCGGCAGCCTTAACTTCAGCAGTGGCTTCAGACTCATACTTCTTGAAGTTTTCGGCAAACAAGCCACCGAGAGTCTTGACTTCCTTCTGGAACGACTCGGAACCTTGGGACCAGGACTTGGCTGGGTTCAAAAGCTCCGATGGAACGCCTTCAATCGCCTTTGGAACGTTGAGGCCGAAAGTTTCGAAAGTTTCGAACTCAGCGTTGGCCAAGGTACCGTTGTGGATGGAGTCCAAGATAGCACGAGTGTACTTCAATGGACATCTCTTGCCACCGGTGGCGGCAGATGAACCGGTCCAGCCAGTGTTCAACAACCAAGCGGTAGCGTTGTGCTGGGTCATCTTGTCGGATAATTGCTGAGCGTATCTCATTGGGTGTAAGACCAAGAATGGCTGACCGAAACAGGCAGAGAAGGTAGCTTCTGGCTCAGTGACACCCTCTTCAGTACCGGCCATCTTGGAAGTGTAACCGGAGATGAAGTGGTACATAACCTGAGCGTTGGTCAACTTGGAAACCGGTGGCAAGACACCTCTGGCATCGCAGGTCAACAAAATAATATTCTTTGGGTGGGAGTCAGCGATACATGGGATCAAGGCAGATGGAATGTACTCGATTGGGTAGGCACATCTAGTGTTCTCAGTGATGGCGGAGTCTTCGTAATCAACAACTCTGGTTTCCTTGTCGTAGATGACGTTTTCCAACACGGAACCGAATTTAATAGCGTTGAAGATTTCTGGCTCCTTTTCCTCAGACAAGTCGAGACACTTGGCGTAACAGCCACCTTCAATGTTGAAGACACCGTTGTCAGACCAACAGTGTTCATCGTCACCGATCAACTTTCTGTTAGGATCGGCCGACAAGGTTGTCTTCCCGGTACCGGAAAGACCAAAGAAAAGAGTGACATCACCGTTCTGGACACCCTGGTTAGCAGAGGAGTGCAAGGTCAAGATCTTGTGGCGGATTGGCATCAAGTAGTACATCAAGGTGAAGATACCCTTCTTCATTTCACCGGCGTATTCGGTACCGAGAATCACCATTTCCATGGCCTTCAAGTTGATTTCAACGGAGGTGGAAGAAGTCATACCAGTGGTGTGGACGTTCGCCGGGAACTGGCCGGCGTTGTAGATGGTAAAGTCAGGATCACCGAAGTTGGCCAATTCCTCGTCCGTTGGTCTGATCAACATGTTCTTCATGAACAACGCGTGGTAAGCACGGGCACAGACAATTCTGACCTTGATTCTGTAGCGAGGGTCCCAACCGGCGTAAGCGTCAACGACGTAAAGCTTTTCGCGGGTTCTCAAGTAGTCAACGGCTCTGGCACGGGAGATCAACCAGATGTGTTCGTCCAACTTCTTGTTGACTGGACCCCACCAGATGTCATTGGTAGAGGTTTCTTCGTCAACAATACGCTTGTCCTTTGGAGATCTGCCCGTCTTCTTACCGGAGAAAGCCATCAAGGCACCGGTGGACGAGATGGTGGTGCCTTTTTCCAACAAACCATCCTCGTACAAGGTTGGAACGGCAGAGTTGTGGCGGATGATGGTCTCTTGGGACAAGCCCAAAGAAGCAATAACTTGCTGAGATGGGGTAGTCTTGTTGGACTTTAATTGAGCCTTAATGGCATCGATTTGAGCGTTATTGGTAGAGGTCGCGGCGGCGACTGGGGTTTGGACAGCGGTAGGAGCCATTGTATGTGATTGCAGGCGTTTGTAATGAGGTATAAAGGAAAAAAGAAGATATCTGTTTCATCCTAAGAGAAAGTACCCTGCTTTTATATCGTCCCTTGTTTCCCCACCCCGGAATTATTTCCACTGCTTACGGCTAAAAATATTAATCGTGGTAAAAAGGTGAATCACTCCCGTATGCCACCCGCGTCATATGCAAGATGAAAAAGAGCCAGCTTCCGAAGACCGGATGTAACTGCACGGGTGGAGGAGAAGAAAGTTTTGTTAGTGGCATGCACACAGAAAAGCTGGGGTTCTGCGCTGCTCCGGTGCGTTTTCCGCTCCGTCTGCCCCGGGATTTTTTTCTTATATGCACACGAGCTCTACTCGCATGCACAGTCACATGCCTACACTGACGAAACTATACTGTTTATAGGGCCTACGGAAATGGGGGATGGGATCCAGTGAGCTTCTGTTTCCTCTAAACTTGCAGTCTGAGGGTAGCTGGCTCGGACCTGGTAACGTAGAAAACCGGGTACCCTCAAACACGTTCAATCCACTCAACCGGTCATGGGAAACATTCACAAACACTCGAAATGGACTAGTTGTTGATAACAGGTTCCGTCGATTGTAAAAAATGCTACAATGTTGGAGAACTTGTGTGATAGCCGGGTTGCCAGCCAATAATGAGGCTCGTTTTATCCCTACAGCAATGTTATTTATACGTGACCTTGAGTTATCACTAGCCCAGACCAAAAGCAGTATCTGTCAAAATGGCTCGTATAATCCGTATTAAGTTTGGTCTTGGCACTTAGTGTACCAATTCTAAACCATAAACATCGAACTGTATTTGACCTAGAGCTGTTACTGTACGTAAGAGAAAAGCCTGACCTCATGTAATCTACACCCTCAGCATTGGTGGTTGTTACATACACGATGGATTTACAATAGATAACAGGAAGAATATCTATCCCATGGGATCAGCACAAATGGATCCTATCTCCTGGTTGCTTTGCTTTTCACCCGGTTTACTCCTACTGTCATTAGCGAAACTCTGACAGCTATGTGTATGTGCAGGAGTTTTCCATGTACAAGCAGTTATATCCCCGGCGCATGAGAGGTTGCTAGTTTCAGTGTCGGAGGCGGGCTCGATGCGTACTTTGTCAACATACCGGTGAAGCGATAGCTTAGTATTAATTGAAGGAACTGAACTCGATCGATAAAGGTTTAAACGGAGAGTATCACTATGCTAAGGCACTTTCCGTTGGGACTAAGGACATCGTAAGGCAAACCTGCTTGTCAAGCTAGATCTAAGGCATTGCTCTTTGTATTCATATTGAAAGGCAGCTTTTTTCAACAACAAAAAACAGTAATAAGATGGGGTTCCTGGGTTGTGCATCTGTGAGACAACATACGCCCTACCAAAGACCTCCGAAGCTCGGAGTGGGACTATAGTAGATGTACTGACCCCAATTACCTAATACCCCGGAATTGTTTATGCTCTACGAAAGTTCCAACAGTGCCGACTTCACATGAGCAGCCACTACCCAGTCTATACCGGACGAAGTACTTTTCATGTATAACCTCAATAACTGTGTCGGTCATTCCATGTTCGTTTGGCTGTCTTCCCGTGAAGTAAACATAAGGCGTCACGGTCTAGATCAAATTCTGGGGTAACAGTAAGCGCACGTACACCTACACCCCGGCGAGTTTATTAGTATGGCAAAGAAAGTTCCCGGGGAGAGGGAAGGTAAGAACCCCCCTCTCTCGCTTAACATGTCATAGATTAGCATGTCACGCCTCCACCCCTGGGTCAAGGGATGTAGCGCCTTACATCTATGGCTGGCTTTTCGCCCGCACCCTAGAGCAATGTCAGTCGGAAGAGGGATCCCTTCACCCGGTTGGGTATATGCAGGACTAATATCGCCCTCTACGGGTAAATCATTAACGGCGGTTAAATTTCAGTTTCGGTCACGTGTCTCTCACATCTATCACCTCTGACCGTAGTCTCTATTGATGGTCCCTTCTTCCAGCTATACAAGCCCCAAGGTATGTGATTTACTGTAGTGGATCAGAATGGTATATACTATTAGCTTATTACTACATGAATAAAGTTTTGAACTATCCAAAACTTTATTGTAATTGTGATACAAACGATACACATGGCACTTCAATATCCGCATGTGCGTCGACGTCGGAGATCTCCTCCATCGCACCAACTGTGGATGGGTAATGTCGGGTTCTCTTGGTATTACGCGCTGCGATTGATCTGTATATTTCAACTAAGCTTTGGACGCTTATAATTCTATAAAGTGAACTTGGCAGACTTTGAGAGTTGTTTGGTTCATATTCAGACTTAACAGAAATACCGAGCCTCGAAACCCACATATTGATATTCTTCAATACGATATTAAAATTACACAAATAACAAATTAAAAGGATATGAATGTTGGGAAATGTGAAAATATACCATATATTCTGCATACGTAGTATATAGTCATTTGAATATATATAAATGCCCAGTAACAACATTTTTACCACTAGTAATCAAACCTAATACTATATATTTAATATATGCATAAACGTACCAAATACATAGTTGCATTTACGTACATATCAATAACTATGATTAATACATACAGGCTAATTGTATCATTGTATTTATAAAATCTATTTTCATTCAACCTATGTATATATGGATCCACATTGGGGCTCAAGACGGCAAAGTTACATTACATCTTGTAGCCTATAGCACCAGTGACTTGTTGTGAGGTAGTACGTTCAATCTTCGGCTGTCTTTGGATCAACTTTTTCTCCAGTTCCTTCGTCACTCTTAGGAACTCGTTTATTTGTAGTTGCCAAGTCCCCTAGGAGTACAAGCCCCGAAAACCCCACGCATAAATAGAAAACGTTTCTCAAACTAGACATAATGAGCTGTTTAATCACCATTTGGTCGGCGAAGGTCAACAGTTTCACAATATCGGGTTGCTTAATAACACTATCCACAGTAAGCGAGTTGTCTTGAATAATCTTCATTGCCTGTGCGCTGGAATTCAATCCACGCTTCAAGGTGGATGTGAACACCAACTGTGACAAGTCTGTGCATAAACAGCCTCCCAACGTTCTCCCAAGAGTAATGAAGGTGGTGGTGAGAATCATCGAGCCTGGTAAGTTCGGTGGGCTAGCTAACTGGCCACCAATCAAGTTTGTTTGGTAATGGATACCAGAAGATACCCCGAGTAAGACCTGTAATCCCACCTTGTCTGAAAATGTAGACTTAACTCCCAACAACGAGAACAACCCACAACCCACAGGACCTAGTATTCCTGCAAATACGGCGTATGGCTTCACGTACCTGGTATACCTAACCACAAAGCTAAACCCAAAGGAAAAGATCGTGACGACGGTGATGAAGGGTAACAAAAAAAGGCCAGAGGTCCAACTGCTTGCGTCGTGAATGGATTGGAAGTAGATTGCCGTGTACATGGTAATGGAAACATGGACCCCTAACAAGAATACTGCAACACAGAAAGATGCCACAACATGCGGGCTCACTAATAGCTCCGTAGGGATGATTGGGTTAGACGATAATTTGCAATTCCACACAAAAAAAACAACCAATGCAAGTCCACCAATGACGAAGAAGCAGATAATGGCAGCAGACCTCCAAGGAAAGACAAATCCACCCAAAGTTAATGGAAGTAAGAGGAATGCAAGGGCTATGGCCATCAACAACGTTCCCACGTAATCAATCATTTTGAGCTTCTTCCAAATAGACTGTTCCCCATTAGAGGCACCAAATTTAGGCTTTGGAGGGTTATACGAGAAGAACAAGCAAATCAAGATAACACCTCCCACGGGTAAATTGAAATAAAAGCACCACCGCCAGCTGACATTCGTCGCAAAGGAACCTCCTAGCAACGGGCCTACTGCTGCTGAAATAGCAAATGTCACAGATAGAGCCATATTCATTACGGGCCTTTTAGAGAGAGGAACCAACTCGGAAATAATGATAAACACCAGAGTTTGCGCACCCCCAGCTCCAATCCCACAGACAACTCTTCCCGCAAGTAACATTCCCATCGAGTTGGCCAAGCCAGCAACAAGCGAGCCTAAGAGAAAAATGGATAAGCTCGCCATCAACGTCCATTTACGACCAAATATCAACGAGAGCTTACCCCACACCACGCAAAACACAGTCATCGGTAAAATGTAGCCGGCAGATACCCAACTGATTTGGTCGAAGGAGTTGAATTCGGTTCCGATTTCTGTAAGGATTGTGGATACAATAGTTAAGTCAAGACTGATGAGGAACAAAGCCAAGAGGCATGCCGTGGCAGACGTCCAGAGCTGGACACCGGTTTGATATTGGTCCGACACCTTGGTTCCATCTCCTGTATCTTCGTGAATGGCGATTCTCTCTTCAGAAAGAGATGCTGCTTGCGGGTCTGTATCGGGTAACACTGCCGATTCTTTCAGGCGAGTACTATCTAGATCACCTGCATCTTTGTTAGACTCTGGCGAAGATGACTTAGCGGCCAAAGGATCAATATCTAGTTTTGACATTATGCGGAAAGTTGGAAAATTCTTGGATGAAGGTTTTCGGCAAAGTGCTATGATAACGAGATCTATTGGGGATTTTATAAAATTCAGACCGCTGTGCAATTTCTGTAGCAATGAAACAAGCTAGTATATGTTCGTATACCCCGTGGACAGGCAAATATTTCAGTTTCCAGATATCACACGGATTCCTTCGCATGCAGCATAGAACCGATATGACAAATTGAACCATTTCCAGCATCCTTTGAAGTGATTTAACAGCAAAACCATTAGACGGGGTGTGACGCATTTTTCACATGCGTGCAGGAAGGCCCTACCTTGCAGACCCGCGCAAGGCTAGACTCGCCACTGGCCGTAAAAGTGTATGGGGCCAGTGTGTGATACGGCGCACGCAACTTACTGATTACATTGGGTGGCAAATTCACTTAGTCTAAACCAGGCGCATATCCTAGAGTCGACTAAGTATAAGTTCAATATTTTTCTAAAACTACACAGAGTTATGTATTTTACAAAAGTAATCTTAGACGGATAATATCGAATATGATTATTATACATCCTAGATCTGCACAAGGTTAGACTTGCCTCTAGCCGTAGAAGTGTGTGGGGCCAGTGTGTGGTGCGGCGCACGCAACTTACTGGCTACATTGGGTGGCAAATTCGCCTAGTCTAAACCAAGCGCATAACCTAGAGTCGACTAAGTACAGGCTTAATGTTTTTCTAAAACTACACAGAGAGTTATGTATTTCACAAATGTAATTTTAGACGGATAATATCAAATATGATTACTATACATCCTAGACTCAGCCCATACCTGAGTGCAAATTATAGCGCCCTCGCTATACCCGTATTACACCATGAGCTACATTTGAAAAGCGAACGATGGTGCGGCCGATCTTATTGAAGGTACGGAATATGATTTCTGTCCAGATAGCAATAGAGAGTGAAGATACCAGAACGGACACTGAAAAAAAGTGAGAGACTTGTCGTGACGAATGATCAGACCAGATCAGGCGGATTATTTCGTAGCATTGGCCCCCACTCCCGGGATTTTGCTTCTCTTGGGTTCCAGTTTAATAACCACACGTATATAAAAGCTCTAGGTCACAGGATGCTACCATTTGTTTGGCACCAGATTTCTGGACCCTGGGAACATCTTTTACCAAAGCAGGTAACACCTCATGAGAATCTCTCATTCATGAAAGTGTGGATTTAGTTATGACAGTCAAGGGTTGCAGAGGATACACTTCTCTAAAACAAGCGTCATACATGACCCCTAGGATGAACTCAGCCGCGGCACGCCGTCTTGTATGGAATGGAAACTGCGATCAATGACCCCTCAATCCTCCGGTAACGTCCCGTATTAATGTGCTAGAATAAACCTCAAGAACTACGGAAAGTTGAGTCCTGGTGCCATACACTGGGAACTCAAGGAATACACCACTCCTGTTTACATACTTTTAGAGCTTTATGGTCATTAGAGTTATATATAGAGTACACTTTAGCAGGGGAAGAAAAGACAAATAGGTTCAGTCATAAAATAAATAAAAGCAACAGGAATACATATGGTCCCCGGAGCCTAGTCCGTTGAAAGGCGGATACCAGTAAAGGTTTAGTTTTAAAGGCACCTGAGTTACATGGCAGGGGGTATGTCATCCTCCACCGGCTGGCTTTTCTTGGAGCTCAACTGCAGTTCCAACTTTTCAAACTCCTTTATAGCAATAATCTCTTCCGGATCCAATATTTGCTCAACGTTCTGGACTTCGTCGATATAATGCATCAACATGGACTCGATACCGTTCTTCAAGGTATCTTCGGAGGAAGAACAAGTCTTACACGCACCCTGCAATTTCAAGTAGACGGTTCCGTTGTCAAAGTTGAAGCCTCTAAACTCAACGTCACCACCATCATCCTGGATGGCGGGTCTGATTCTGGTTTCGATCAATTCTTCGATCATGGCAACGATTTCCTCTTCTTCTTCGGTCTTGGCTTCCTTAATTCCAAACTTCGTAGTGTTTTCCGCAGCGGTCTGCTCGTAGTGTTTGACGTCCACGACAGGCTGCTGGAGGTGCTTGATATGGTTGATGATTTCTTCAGCGATATCGATCTTGATATCCATCCAGTTGAAAGCATCGTTCTTGTTCACGGTGATAAATTCGTCGCCGATCATGATGGACCTCACACCCTTGATGTCAAAGATCTTCAACGCCAAGGGGGAGTGGGTAGCCTGAAGGGCAGAGTTGAACTCAACTGTTTGCTTGGAAGGAGAGTTTTCAAGGAAGTGAATCTTTTTGTCATCTGGGACGAACTTTAACGCATTCTCATTGGGGGTAGGGAATGTCTTGAGCTGGAAGTTGTGCTTGGAGAGGAAACAGAGAGACAAAGAGAGTGGCTTTCTGGAGGCACTAGCTCTGATTAATGACAACATTATATATGAATAGTATTGCTAGTATTGCTCGTTTTTAGGGAAACTGAAAGAGACCGAAGTGATTGAATCGAAAGTAGAGGCGATAAAATTATTTGGTGAAGGCGATGGCAGCTGCATACAGGATCCGCTCGATAACAGTTCTCCCACAATACTTCCGCGCGGTTCCTCGAAGCTCTAGAATTGGAAAGCATCTATTATCATATCTTAATATTAGGATGCTAACCCCTTAGGCTGTTTCAAGGCTTACGAAATTAAAGTGCCATTTCGTAGGTCTGAGCATGCCAGACACATGTCAACCAAGCTGCTTACTTCTACGCTAATGCCTATTGGATACAGACTAAAGCCGCTTCGGAGAAGGATGGTGCTGAGCAAGAGAGAAAAAGAAGATACACGTGACCGGACGTTTTACACTGAGGAATGATAACATCCCCTCTATAACATCCTTGTATAACCAGGGAAATAAACCCCCAAGCTTTTATTCTTACTTTTTTGTACTACAAAGGTTGCAATCTGAGATTCTAGATGCTTTAGTGTGTGATCAATTTCCGAGAACTTGGCAGCTTAGTGGAGGAGTGACGTAAACCACAATAAACTTTATAAGGATTATACGATTGTTTTGTGGTTAATTTCAGACCAAGCCTTGCGTACCTTGAAATCTTCGCAGAAACGGCGAATTTTTAAATAAGCATAATTTTGTCGGACCTTTGAATGAAGCGAAAAAAAACTCATGTGGGCAGACATGCCTTCCAGTTCGTGTAAAGATTGTTCACAAAAAGTTTGGTCAGGCGCATATATGCTACCCGTCTTATGCGCAACATACATAGCCTTATATTTTGTCGTAGCCGGAGCGTGCGTGACACAAGGAGCTTGGCAGAGCTTCGGTTCGGGAACAAAATTTCTCCGATCCGTCCTGTGTTAATTAATTCACCGTAGAATTGAAAAAAAAAAAAAAAACGACACCAGCTCTTCGACCTGCTGGACACAGAAGGCCGAGAGAAATGTATTTTTAGAGATATTTTAGTGGCGCTACAATATTAACTTCTCTTATTCTATCGCCCACCGGGTTTAACTATTCAAGGAAAGAGCGATGAAATAATATCCGTTATAAAGTCCGTCCAAGTTTAAAAATAAATATACCAGTGGAAATGGCAAATGGAGGGCATTCCGGTGGCAAACGTAAAACGTGGAGACCTTGTATGCAGGACAATAATACACATACCCCTTTAACCACTACTAGTACTTAGAGGCTTGACGTTAAGTTCTCCTTGTATCGCCGTTTTGATTCTCGTTACCATCTAATTCAGAGCTGAAAGCGAGAAACTGTGGAAAGTGGAAACCCAGGTACACCAAGACAGGGCTGTGGGCTCTGCGCGCTTTTCCCTGTTATGCAGGTAGCTAGTCCTAGTTATATAACCTTATGCACCTTCTGCATTAGACTTTCGGCCCGGAATACCTTCTCATATTCCTTCCCGAGCGTAAAGGCGGGAGCAATGGGAGGTTGGACGACTCGAACCAGAAATTGTTCACGGATATGGAAACGATGCAAAGTTATGCGAGTCCCGACTATAAGACGCGAAACAGAACCCCGATCCATCACCACATGCCATGCGATGAAAGCCCGTGTCGGATCTTGAAATGACATAGGCTAGGGCTTCGTAGCAGGGAGAAAAGAAGCGGAGAGTAACGTCAAGTGAGATAGTACAACAATTGTACGGGCCCGGGAAGCTTTAATTTTCTCCAGCCCCGGTTACGTATTATAATATGCATGATCCAGGTGCTGGGTGCGTTACGCAGTCAATATTAGAAAGAAGGAAAATACACCATGCATGTCTCTCCGGAAATAGCCCAATATTATGATTCCGGTTCCGAATTCTAAGAAACTTATACCTAAAATCCTGTCTAAAATCGCTACTATAATGGAGGCTATATGACCGGTTTAAAAACAGCTGTTCAGGGCTTTCTATATATGAGCCTCTCTGCTTTGCTCTGGGATTTTATGCCACATTTACCCGACAGACCGAGATGCTTACTAAGTCCCTTGTCTTATACAGGATAACAATACTTAATCTCAAACACGAGTTGTACGGCTGACCCCCAAAACCTAAACGGGTAAGGCTGCGCCAGAATATTAAACCGAGCAAACTCCAGACCTCTGATGACTATACACTCACTTAAACTGGGCCTCAGCCATAGGTTTGTCAAGCCAATCCACTTGTAGAGTTAACCCCTCCCAGCTTTTAGTCATCTTTGCCGGCCATGTGTGCCATATCTAACATCGATGCATTCCTGCCATGCAGCAAGTCCCATTTCTTTTTTCTGTATGGAAGTTCACCCTGGCAGCAGAGGACTATTGTTATGTTTCTTTTTCCGCTCGTACAGATGGCCTGGTAAAATGAAAAGAAAGAACACATAACACCCGCCCAGAAAAGACCGTAATCGCCGTTGGGCTTCGGTGGCAAAGTTCTGCTTGTATAAATAAAAAGCACTTTCCTTATACTTTGCGAACGTCCTTATATCCAGTCCTTGTTACGTATTCCTTTATACCCCATTGTCTTGCTCTCTATCCTGTTTCGAGAACTACTTTTCGTTACACACACTTAGAACATGACTGAGTCCACTTACAAGGGAGACAGTTCGTCTTCTGATGCCGCCCCAACCCCTCACATTGAGGAGGGGGTTACGGCCTACCAGGGGTTCGACAACCAAGTGTCGAACCAGATCCAAGAGTTGGCCAGAACCTTCACCAATGCTTCTGCCACCCGCACGACCACCAACCGTTCCGTGGGTCCAATTACCTCCACCGCCAACTCTGACCTTATGCGCACCTTGACCAGCATGTCGGAGGTTCCGGGTGAGGTCCCGTTCTTTGAGGACGTCGACGAGCGTTTGAACCCTGACTCTCCAAACTTCAACTCTCGTCTCTGGGTCAAAAACATGCAGATGTTGGTCAACAACGACCCAGAGCATTACAAGCCAGCAACTTTGGGTATCGCTTACAAGAATTTGAGAGCGTATGGTAATGCCACCGATTCTGACTATCAGGCTACTATGTCTAACGGCCCATGGAAGGCCCTTTCTCAGGGCGCCCGCGCTCTCTTTTCCAGGGGCGAGTCTGCCAACCAGTTTGACATTTTAAAGCCGATGGATGGTTTAATCAAGCCAGGTACCGTGACGGTTGTCTTGGGGAGACCGGGTGCCGGTTGCTCCACCTTGTTGAAGACCATCAGTGCCCACACATACGGTTTCAACATTGGCAGCGAGTCTACCATCAGTTACGACGGGTTGAGCATGAAGGACATCGAGACCCACTACAAGGGTGAAGTTGTTTACTGTGCTGAAACCGAGGTGCATTTCCCTCATTTGACCGTCGGTCAGACTTTGGAATTCGCTGCCAAAATGAGAACCCCTCAGAACAGACCCGAAGGTGTCACCCGTGAGATGTATGCCAAGCACATGACTGATGTCGTCATGGCCACGTACGGTTTGTCCCATACCAAGAACTCCAAGGTTGGTAACGATTTGGTCAGAGGTGTCTCGGGTGGTGAGCGTAAGCGTGTTTCCATTTGTGAGGTTGCTCTTGCCGGTGCTTCTTTGCAGTGTTGGGATAACTCCACTAGAGGTTTGGATTCTGCTACTGCTTTGGAATTTATCAAGGCGTTGAAGACTTCTGCTACGATCCAAAAGGCTACCCCGCTCATTGCCATTTACCAGTGTTCGCAAGACGCCTACGACTTGTTCGACAACGTTATCGTGCTCTACGAAGGCTACCAGATTTACTTTGGTGACTCTAGAGCTGCTAAGGAGTACTTTGTGAACATGGGTTACGAATGCCCAATGAGACAGACCACTGCCGATTTCTTGACCTCTTTGACCAACCCGGCGGAGAGAATTGTCAGATCTGGTTTCGAGACCAAGGTCCCAAGATCTCCAAAGGAATTCTCCGACTACTGGAACAGCTCTCGCGATAGAGCCCAGTTGGTGGAGGCGATTGACAACCACTTGGCGCACGTCCACGACACCGACAAGGGTGGTGCCTTCCACGAGTCGCACGTTGCCAAGCAATCTAACCACCTCCGTCCAAAGTCTCCGTACACGGTTTCTTTCGGTATGCAGGTTAGATACCTTATGGGCAGAAACGTTCAACGTATCAAGGGTGATCCTTCGGTCACCCTTTTCATGGTATTCGGTAACACCCTCATGAGTTTGGTTTTGTCTTCCATCTTCTACAATATGCAGCCTGAGACTGGTTCCTTCTATTACCGTAATGCTGCCATGTTCTTCTCCGTCTTGTTCAATGCCTTTGCTTCCATGTTGGAGATTTTTGCTCTCTACGAATGCAGACCAGTTGTTGAGAAGCACAAGACATACGCCTTGTACCATCCTTCTGCTGATGCTCTTGCCTCCATTATCACTGAATTGCCCTCCAAGTTCCTCATTTCCGTTGCGTTTAACGTGACTTTTTACTTCATGGTCCACTTCCGCAGGTCTCCGGGTCACTTCTTCTTCTACTACTTGGTCAACTTCACCACCACCATCTGCATGTCTCACTTTTTCAGAACCGTGGGTGCTGCTACCAAGACCCATTCTCAAGCCATGACGCCATCTACCGTGTTGTTGCTTGCGTTGGTCATTTATACTGGTTTCGTGATTCCAACTCCAAAGATGCTTGGCTGGTCTCGCTGGATCAACTACTTAGACCCAGTTGCTTACGCCTTTGAAGCCTTGATTGCTAACGAGTTCAGTGGCCGTACCTTTGAGTGCTCTCAGTTCGTTCCTTCGGGTGGTGCTTACGATAATGTGGGCGCTCTCAACAGAGTCTGCAACACTGTAGGAGCTGTTGTGGGTCAGGACTTTGTCTCTGGTGATGCCTACATGAATATTTCATACCAATACTACAACAGCCACCGGTGGAGAAACTGGGGTATCGTGGTATGTTTTACTGTCTTCTTGTTGGGTACCTACATTTACTTGACTGAAATCAACCAGGGTGCTATGCAAAAGGGTGAAATTTTGTTGTTCCAACGGTCGTCTTTGAAGAAGATGAAGCACCAGAAGCGTTCTGCTGACGCTGAGGCCGGTGCGTTGGAGAAGGTTTCCCCTGAACAAGAAAAGACCGATGGTGATTCCTCGAGTGAGGATGCTGACAACAAGTTGTCTGGCTCTAGCGACACTTTCCACTGGAGAAACTTAACCTACCAGGTTAAGATTAAGTCTGAAGACAGAGTGATCTTGAACGACATCAGTGGCTGGGTTAAGCCTGGCCAGTTGACTGCCTTGATGGGTGCCTCTGGTGCTGGTAAGACCACCTTATTGAACGCTTTGTCCGATAGATTGACCTCCGGTGTTGTCACCAACGGGGTTCGTATGGTGAACGGCCACCCGTTGGATGACTTCTTCCAGAGAACCACCGGCTATGTTCAGCAACAGGATTTGCACTTGGAAACCTCTACCGTCAGAGAGGCCTTGCGCTTCTCTGCGTACTTGCGCCAACCGGCTTCTGTCTCGAGAAAGGAGAAGGATGAATACGTTGAATATTGTATCGATTTGTTGGAGATGCACAAGTATGCCGATGCCGTTGTCGGTGTTGCCGGTGAAGGGTTGAATGTTGAACAGAGAAAGAGATTGACCATTGGTGTCGAATTGGCTGCGAAGCCAAAGTTCTTGTTGTTCTTGGACGAGCCAACCTCTGGGTTGGATTCCCAGACCGCCTGGTCCATCTGCAAGTTGATGCGTAAGTTGGCCAATCACGGCCAGGCTATCTTGTGTACCATTCACCAGCCTTCGGCTATGTTGTTGAAAGAGTTTGATAGATTATTGTTCTTGCAGAAGGGTGGCCAGACCATTTACTTTGGTGACTTGGGTGAGAACTGTAACACCTTGATTGACTACTTCGAGGCGTATGGTGCTCCAACGTGTCCTCCTGAAGCTAACCCGGCCGAATGGATGTTAGAAGTTATTGGTGCTGCTCCTGGTACTAAGGCTAACCAAGACTACCACGAGGTTTGGTGTAAGTCTACCGAGTTCCAGGAAGTGCAAAGATCCTTAAACGAGATGGAACAGGAATTGGTCAAATTGCCAAAGCAGGACTCAGCTGATGCGAACCAAACATACGCTGCGAGTTTGTGGCAGCAGTACTTGAGCGTCACCCGCCGTGTTTTCGAACAATACTGGAGATCACCATCCTACCTCTACTCGAAGTTGGCTTTGGCTACCTTCTCTGCCCTCTTTAACGGTTTCTCTTTCTTTAAGGTTCATAAGACCATTGCCGGTTTGCAGAACCAGATGTTTTCGATTTTCATGATGTTTGTTTTGTTCAACACTTTGGTTCAGCAATACTTGCCACACTTTGTTGCTCAAAGAGATTTATACGAGGCCAGAGAAAGACCTTCCAAGACCTTCTCCTGGTTCGCTTTTATCACCGCCCAGATTACCGTTGAAATCCCATGGATGGCCTTGGCCGGTACTCTCTGTTTCTTCTGCTGGTACTACCCAATCGGGTTCTACCAGAACGCTGTTCCAACTGATACGGTCAACGAAAGAGGCGCTCTCATGTGGCTCCTCCTTGTGCTTTTCTTCGTTTACACCTCCACCATGGGCCAGCTTTGTATCTCGTTCATGGACCTTGCCGACAACGCTGCCAACATGGGCAACTTGTTGTTCACAATGTGTCTTAACTTCTGTGGTGTTTTAGCCACCAAGGACAAGTTACCGGGCTTCTGGATCTTCATGTACAGATTGAATCCTTTCACGTATTTGGTCCAAGCCATCTTGAGTAACGGTCTTGCCAACTCTTCTGTCACTTGTGCTAAGGATGAGTTGTTGAAGTTTGCTCCACCAAGTGGCATGGACTGTGGTACGTACATGAAGGATTACATAACTGCCAGTGGCAGCGGTTACTTGGTCGACTCTTCTGCCACTGTTCAATGTGAATTCTGTACCATGAGTTCGACCAACGTCTTCTTGGATAGTGTCAATGCGATATACTCTGAAAGAGGTAGAAACATTGGTATTTTCATTTGTTTCATTATCTTCAATATCATTGGCACCATCTTCTTCTACTGGTTGGCTAGAGTGCCAAGAGGTAACAGACAGAAGAAATAGAAAACATACTGCCTCTTTTCCAAATTTGGGAATACTTTGCCTTTAATATCTTTTTTTTTTATTTCAGTTCTTGCTGATTCTTTAATATTTTTGTTTTTCTTTTAGATATATGTAATTAAACTTTATGGATGTAACAACTGGTAGCATTGAAGATGAGAGTGATAAATGGATACTATGGGGTATATTTGGATAGGCTGTTAGCGCTATGAGTTCGTGCAAAGGAGCAGATGGGTATATACAGATAACACCTGTGTGCTCTGGTCAATCCTGTGGAAGCATAGTTCCTGGGAGATATGTAACTGCACAACTTTATGTTTACCGAAGCACTTTCCACCTCAAGGCCGACTGATCTTGTTTGGACAGTATCGGTTACGGCGGTGCACTTATAATTTATTATGGTCAATTAGTGACCATAGATCATACACCCCAAGCCCCTCTGAAGCCAGTATCAATATTTCTCTGGTCTACCATACTCCTCGCATGAGCCGTCTCTACAAGTCCTCCTCCGTGCAGGATATGGAACCGTCTCGAACAACCAGTGGGACGCCCCTCATCGCGAAAAATACTATATAGCAGATGCGTGGACCATGGATCAATTCGTCCCATTACTAGCTCTATTCCTCTTTCGTCAAACCACAATGTCTATCTCTATCAAAGACTCCGCGCTCTCTATCATCCACTTCTTAAAGTCTGACCAGGCCAAGAAGGAGGTTGATGCCGACCTTGTTGACTCTCTTGACGTTGCCATCGACTGTATTGCCGACGCTTTCGGCGTCAATAGAGACGACTCTTCTAAGGTTGTTGCTGCCAAGCTTAACGGCAAGAGCTTGAACGAGTTATTATCCGCCGCTGCTGCCTCTGCCCCGGCCCCTGCCGCTGATTCCGATAATGCTGCTAAGGCTATTGACTTGAAGTTGGAGGGTAACAAGGCCATGGCTGCCCGCGACTTCCCAGGCGCCGTCGCCAAGTATACCGAAGCCATTGCTATCAGCCCAGAAAATGCCATCTTATACTCCAACCGTGCTGCTGCCCATTCATCCAACCAGGACCATCAGGCTGCCGTTGAGGATGCCGAAAAAGCCCTCAAGTTAGACCCAGCCTACTCTAAGGCCTACTCCAGATTGGGGTTGGCAAAGTTCGCTTTGGGCGATCCTAAGGCCGCCATGGAGGCCTACAAGAAGGGCCTTGAAGTAGAGGGTGATGCGCCTTCCGCTGCCATGCAGAGAGGCTACGAAACCGCCTTAAACAGAGCCAAGTCCGACTTGGAGAGCCAGTTATCCACTGCCAAAACTCCTGCCGAAGCCACTGCCGAAGCCACTGCCACTGATGGTACCCCAGCCGGCTTTCCAGACTTGTCTGCCATGTTTGGCGGTGCCGGCGGCATGCCAGACTTGAGCAGCATGATGTCCAACCCGGCCGTCGCGGCTGCTGCCCAAAATTTGATGTCCAACCCCGGCGCCTTGCAGGGGTTGATGTCCAACCCAGCCATCAGACAGATGGCCGAAAGCATGGGCAACGGTAACGGTCCAGACATGGCCGAGTTGATGAACAACCCAATGCTTAGAAACTTGGCGTCTCAATTCATGGGTGGCAGCAACGGCGGCAACAGTGACGGCAACTAAGCCGTTTACCGTATTGTCCAAACATAACTTATACTGTAAACTTGTAATGTATAATGGCTCAAACTTGTAATGTAAGTCGTGTCCAGGTTCGTAATGTACACCTTTCCGCTAGGACCCCCCGTAAAGAGTTATAGGCCCAATCGCGACGAGCGGCGTATACGATATTCCTTGTACAAACACGTGAAGCATTGGTAACTCCACGCCGGATGCCATGTATACATCAAATAGTTTAAGGTAAATGCTAGTTTATTACACTCTATATAAGCCCCAACTTCTCAATCGATTCAGCCTCTCAACTTCTCCAAACTCTCTCGTAGCCCCCCCAAGCGGCATTTCTGTACCCGAACCGATTCCTGAGCAAACTGGGTCATGGCAAACCGCATAACACCTTCCCTCATGGCCTTCAAGTTCCTTAATTCGGTTCCAAAACTTGCCTGATCAAACGCAATCCGTTTATTCAAAGCCATGATAGTGGTCGTCAAGGTGCTGCGCGTCACCAACAACCGTTTGTACTTGTCATGTTTCGATTCAATCTTGACAAAGAACAGTAGCGCCGAGGCAGTCGAGGCCACTTTGCTCAAGTGCGTTTCTACTTGCACGGAGGTGGGGGTGTCTGACAGCGGTGCGGTCTCGTCAAAACCATGTGCCGTTTCCTGTGGCATTAATGAACCCGGCATGAGGGCGCTCTCGCTTGACAAGGTGGTGAAAACCGTAGCGTTATCGTCGGCATCTTCCTCCTCCTCCTCCCTCGGGCTCACTGAAAGGGCTATCTCTGGCTTCATAAGTCCTTCCAATCTAAGCAATTCTTTGTTGTTTGCGGTGATCAACCGGTGAACGGCCCACCACTCGTTGATGCGCTTGAGCGACACGTGCATTTTTCCAGCGAGTTCCTCCACCAGTTGCTTGAAAAGCAACATGTACTCCTTCAATTGGCACTGCGGGGAGCAAAGGTCACGTTTGTTGACACCGTCCAAGGTATCTTGTAATTGCGTGAGTACAAATGGCACTCCCACCAAACTTTCGGGTATAAGTTCGGACTCAGACGCAAGCAAGTCCCGGTGCTTCAAAAAGCTAAAGGTGGCCACGCGGTAAAGTCGTTCAAAAAACTTGGCCTGCTTCGATAGCTCAAGGCATGAACAGGTAAGGAATACCTCCACCGCGTTGATTTCCTGCACCAGAAACACCCTGTCCTTGTAAATGTCAATCCCGTTGGCCACCTTCTCATCAATACGAGCCTCGAGAGACTCTCGCATATCTGGAAAGTCCGGTAAGATAACAAACTCCCATAGAAGTTCGTGCTCCATGAGCAACTCGTTAAAGCTGATAAAGACAAACCACTTGTTCAACTGGTCGATGAGACGATCCACACGGATCTTTTTAAACAGCAATGGCATGACATTGCCATTCGCCGAAGGCCCCCCACCTTTCACCGGAAAGTTCTGTAGCACCTCGTCTGGCGACATAACAAGCCCACATACAAACTCACGACGGAACAAGTCCATAAGTAACCGGAAGGTAGACTCTTGGTTGTACTTGCTATACCACATGGTAGTGTGGGCTTTCTCGTGAATGGCACCCTTGGTCAATAACTTCCACTCGTTGTTGGTTGTGTCATACCGCCCATTGAGGACGCCAATTTGACGAGAGTGAACTTTTGGGACATTGGTTTCAAACCACCGAGCAGTGATGGGCATTTCGATCTCTGGAGTTTTGACAATATAGTCAAAGATGTTCCAATGGTCTCGGTTACTCTCTTTGATCGATATCCTGTCATCCTTCAACAACGTCCCGATATTAGCCGCACGGTTGTACTTGGCATAAATCATGAGCGGGGTCAATGACTTGTGGTTTTTCTGGTTCAAATCGATCCCCAACGCATTGCTCTCTCGGAGAATCCGGAGAATTCCAGAAAGGTCGTCCTGGACAATGTGGACTAAGGTGTTGCCTCGATCGTCTACATGCTTCGAATAGTCGAACACCTTTCCCTGTGAACTGTACCAGTGCAAGCAGCTGTGCAAGGCGCTTTCAATCATCCTCAGGTAGTGATGGTGGTCGTAGCTCCGGAAAATGGCCACAAGTGCGGTAGAACCGTTGATATCCTTGTCCTCCCAGTCGAGCAAGTCGCCAATCTCCGGGAAAGATTCCAATAACTGGTAGTCATGGAACAAGTAGTGACCCACATGGCGGTTGTACTGGTCGTGTCGGTTGAAATAGAGCGATAGTTCCGCTGACGTTAAGTCGGATGCAAAAAGGGTTTGCACCATCAAGTCCACGTTCTCTGTGCACTCCGATCTAAGAGCAGCCACCACTAATGTAGTGCCCTCATGATTTTCATCGGCCAAAAGGTCTTCCAACATGAACAAGGTCTCAGTGTGGTCAAAAAACGCCCGAAAAAAACCCGCGTTGGCCTGAACTGCCTTCATCAAGCACGAATCTCCCAGCTCAACGTCCCTGCTCCACAAGGCGTGCTCCGAAAATGGCACGGCAGATACTGCAGGGATTTCCCTCTCCATGTACACAGCCAATGCTTGCTGGTCCTGTGACTCAATGAGATTCCAAAGTTCACGATTGCGGGCTGAGCACTGTTGGAGCAGTAGTAAGTGTTCTGAATCTGTCAGTAAATGGTACACTACCGCTTCCACCGTGGACAACACATAGCTGAACATTCCGGCGCTATTTAAGTCGTCGGGGAAGCCAGAAAAGGAGTATACTGCGGTGTTTGGCGCTGCTTTGTACGAAAATTGGCGCAAGTATGTGATATGGACAGGCAAATGAGGGACACGTGAGTGCACAACCACCAAATGAAGAATAGAGACTAATGTGTCTGCATCGATAACCAACTTACGGTCCTTAACTCCCAGAGCAGGGATGGTGGTCAAGATATGAAACGTCTTGAGAAGTACCTTTCGTTTCAAATCGCTGCTGTTTGCCCATGAAAGTCCTCTAAACGTTTCAATGGCTAGCCTCACGTGTTTCGAAATGGAGTTAATCTCTGTGGTGGTAAAACCCGAAGGGAGCCCTACCTGGTTCAAGGTGAGGGATGCAAGGGATTCGTAGATTTCTGGCAGACAAAGCCCGTCGGTCTGGGAGCCGTCCAGCTCTACTTGTGCTTTACCGTCAATCCAGAGAAGAGCGGCCCAGATGCGATCATACATGTTGGTCTCGACGTAGTCGTGGATAACAGCGTTGAAGTCAACGTTGGAGGGGTCGGGAAACTCGCGCACAACCTCCCGAAGAAGCGATACTGGTACCTTTTGGTTGAAGATGTAGCACGCTTGGTTGTATGTAGTTAGGAACTTTTTCTCGAGCTGAGCCACGCACATCGCTTCTGTATCCTCTGGCATCGGAGGCTTTAAGGTGAACTTTTCAAAGAGACTAGTGTACTCCTTTCCAACAAATTTGGTGATCAAGGGGTAGCGCCGAAGAATCGTCTCAAACGACTCAATGCTTATATCGGTAGACTTGCGGAGCGAAGAGGTGGGGCTTTTGACAGTCACCGTACTCTCAGATATGGTTTGCTTGACGTAGACCCGCTTCAGATTCACAGGGATGCCGTCAAGTGGCTCGGAAATGTGCATCACCTGGAACAAAGCACCCATCGGGAAGTAACCAGCAAAGTTCGGGAACAAGTCCACGTGAGTGACCAACACTGGGTCTTCGAGGGAGCTGGGCCTCGAGGCGTCCACCCTAAACCCGCTGAGCTTGAAGATACGGTCCCCCTTGACGAGGATGGTTTTTCCATTAAGCGTGGTGTAGGACAAGGGAGAGGTTGCAGATGTAAACCTCCCTGGCGTGGGATCATTAGCAACAGGAGACGGTCTGGCGATGTGGGAAGAGATGAAATCCTCATTGTAGCTCAACTCATGGTACGGCTTCCCCGAAATCGAATCTCGAGAGTGAATGAGGGTTTCTGTCGGGGGAACTAAAACGATGCATTGAGCGTGTAGCTCGCTTAGACTGGCAACAATGGCTTTGAATTTGGTGGAGTGGTGTCTGGGCGGGTTGTTGAAGATATTGTTGAGGAGCGGGTTGCGAAGCAACGGCAAATGAGTGAGGGTCGATAGCCGGGGACTGGCAGCTTTAGTGTGTGAAACCTTATCAAACTTGACAGGTGACAGCATGGAGCACAACAGTAACACCTCTTGGTTCCGATCTGAATGCAGTGTCTCGTATGGGCTCGACTTAGATAAGAACCATCTCTGAAGGCGCCGTTAACTTGTGATCTCACGTGATGTGTCATGTGAGACGTGTAAATACCAATTTGGTATCCACACATAATCCTCCCCCCACACCTCGTCATCACATGCGCTGCCGCATTGGGCTGCAGCGTAGCACCAGACTTGGTTGTACCCGCAGGCTCGACGCGCATGTGACGCCAGCCAGTATCATTAAGGTTTGCGATCCTCCAGTTTCAGATGTGTGTAACAGAGACCAAAACCGCCTTAGTAAACCCAACATTTCCCTGGTCACACACCCTGACTCTCGTGTGGCACACTTGTTATCAGCAGCCACCAGCATTTATATATAGAATTCGTGATGTACATGTAAAATACCGGTGGTACACATGGGAAAACCATTTGAACTACCGGCTATATAAGGTGATATACACGTGAAATGCTAGTAATACCGAACTGGTTAGTGTAGTGTATTTACGCATTAGGCCAATTTGGCATCCGGTTTTGGTGTGGGCAAGAGGGATGTAATACATCATCAACGCATCTAAAACGCCGTTTCCCCTGAGGGGAAAAACTCCGCTATTGATCACAAGCCTCGCTAAGGAGTGAATGACTATGGAAAGGACTGTCATACACTTTGGAAGCGAAATTAGGCTTCGTCGCACTATTGTTGGAGAGACTCGTGCACATACCACCCAATCTGTTGCATGCAGCTCGTTAGACTCCAACCATTTTTCTATTTAGCTTTTCTTTTTCGTTAACTTTTCACATGTCAGCGAACGCTAGAGCAATAGGCAAATCTCACTCCACCACATTTCGTGACTCTTTTGTCGTCGAGTCTTACACCCTTCTATTTTCAAAGTTTCTACTCCTTTTACAACTGATTCATCTCCTACAAGTCATAATTACTCTGTTAGTACCAAGATAGTGACTCAACACTCTTACTTGGAATACTCCTCAAAAGACTTCTCGAAAGACTTCTCGAAAGACCCACCCTTCCATAAGGCCACCTAAACACAGACCACCATGGACAGCGCTCTGAAATTGTCCATCCATTCACTTGTGTCCTCAGATGCCCAGTCCACGGGGGCCTTACGGGAAAATCCGGATTCGGGCTTTACGCCCGCCCAAGAGCTCTCTCAGAGTCACCCCACACGCGACACCGAGGAACTTGAAGCGGTTGAGGCGTTGAAGGCCCTCAAGTCTTCCTCAAACTCTCCTAAGCCCGTGTTCAACACCGCAACCGGTGCCTACGACGCCCAGCACTCGCTGTCGTCGCCATCATCCATTCTCACTAAAATGGCCCACAACCCAATCATTTCCCATGCTGTGCGGGCGTACGAGAGTTCCAAGTCGTACTCTCCTCGCTTCAAGTATGGGGCTGAGATGGTGGAAAGAAACGCCTTTTTACCGGTCGTTAGACGCCTCGATGGCTCTAGCGCACTCAAGAGACAAAGACGGTTAGATGGCGGGGCCGAGACCTCTGCTGTCCCGGAGGAAGACCACGAGACACGTCACAAAGCCTTACCGGGTATTACCGATGCCTTGAGACTCCCTCCAAGCATCACGGTAGCCGGGTTGAACATGTCTATTGAGTCGCGCCGTAAGATTCGCTTCGTGCTCCACGTGTTGAAGTTGGCAAACCAGCAGATATCGAACAAAGTCAACGACTTGCAATCCAGCTTCCGTGAAGAAGATGCCGGAGAACCCATCCTAGTGGATAAAGAAGCCTCTGAAAACGTCTCGTCCTCTGCTTCCACGTTAAACGACACTGCGCATGTAGACGAGAGCTCGGATGAAGAGGAAGCCAACCCTGTCCACAGGCAACGCGACTCTCTGTTCGACGACCCTGAATCCTTGACGCCGCAAATTTCCCACCCCCACCCCCAAGGCTACTCCACACCCGCGGGAAACTTGCGCGCTGGCAGCTTGTCGCCAACCGTCTCCCATACCTCTTTTGTCTCCGCAGTTGGAAGCACCATCAACACGCCGTTGCAGCAGTACACCCAGCAGACGCAAAAGGAGATTGTCAACACTGTCAAGAAGATCATCAACGTGGTATCGTCCTTCACCAGCAACGGTGCCGGCGCGGCCATCCCAGGCCCGGAAAGAGCCCAAATCAGGGAGAGCATCATTGGCTTGCCGGTGAGATGGTCCTCCTCCCTCACCCGGACTCGCAGCCGCTCCGGCTCGGTGAACGGGGAGGATGACGACCGCAGCTCCTCGTTTGTGGGCACTTCGTTCGACCACATGCCTGCCGAAGGGGTCAACGAAAAGAGAGACAAGGTTATTGTGTTGGCGCAGGAGTCATTGGAAATGATTCAGAACATTACCAAAATCTTTGACGAGACGTTGTCCAGAGCGGAGGACTACGTCAAGCAGAAACAGTACGACTCTGTCTACAAGAAGCGTGCGTTGATAGAGGAAGAGCGCGAGAAACAGAGTGAAGGCAAGAAAGAGACGGATGATGCTGACAGCGAGGAAAGTGACTTGGAAATGGTCAGAGCTTGCTAGGCAATTTTTCTGTTTTTGTTATGATTGTTTCCGACTGGTTTGCCTGGTTCTGACGCTATACCCATTCTTATCCGAGCTGTTATTTTGTTTGACTGTTTTGCTTGCTTTATTATTCCGTCGTCGCCGTGGGATTGGTGTAGTGTATGTTCTATTTGAAGGTGTGGACTTCAATACTATCTATGTCGTGAAATTAATTATTGTGTTATGAATGTTGTAAAGGTTTTTAGAAAGCCTTTATGGGTCGGAGTACTGGCGAAATAGCTATTAATACTGATTCAAATCGTCTTGGGCGAATTTCAGTGCTGGTATAAAGGGGTTTCACAAAGATCCGAGGCCGACACTCTATCTTTCCAATCTGTTGAAATAATCTCTTGAGATTCGTCCCAGGCTGTTGTAACCTACAGTATGGCAAGACTTTCAGGTCCCCAATAGCCGTTTTGGAAGAAGACTCTTAAGCGCAAGAGACTTAGGTACTATATCCTCCATTAGGCTCAGAGATACCAATTCATAACGATTGGTGGGTATATATCTCATGATAGATCCATGCGCCACTCAATCCTCTTGGCCTTAGATATTTTTCATTATTGATCTACGCCTGGATCTACCTTCCTTGTAAACGTCTAAACCCCGACGCAAGTTTGACTCTGAAAAACGTCTGACAAAATATGGCATCTACGAAATAATGAAATTCATGCAAAAAAAAAACATACCCGTTAAACAAATACTGAAAAGATGACAAAAAACGATATAAAGAAAAGTGGGAGAAAAAAAACTATGCAAAGGATGGGCTACACAATTACCAAGGATGATTTTTCCTGACTCAACCCCAGATTGCTGCTGTCGTTTCGTCTCCTCTGAAAGACCTTGTTGGGCAATTCGCTCAACGGAGGAACCACTCCAGAAGAGATGGTGCTAGGCAACGAAGATGATGAGCTCTTTCCGAGCTCGGTTTCCACGCCTCTGTACGGCTCCTGCGCAAACGGATGTGGCACGCGATCGCGCTTTGACTGCCACGACGAGTCGTCGGCGTTGTAGAAGCTCTGGCCTCTTGGCGACAGAGGTGGTGACTGGCGCTGGTAGACCTCACCTCTAGTGGATGGCGATGACCCGGAATAGAAACCGTTACCCATGGCAATTGTCGCTCCAGGGCGAGTCTTGCCCTGCTGTTTGTCGATGATGAGCTCATCCACCTGGCGGACAAAGTCATCCGCCACTGGCTGGCTCAAACCGTACCTACCGGAAATCTTGCTGTGACGCTTACTCTTTGGTATTCCTCCAACAATCGACGAAGACGATCTGCTGGCATGAACGTTATCCATCTCATCAGACGAGTAGATTTCCGAGAGGTGTCCGCAGCCGTGAAACCCCTCAGGGCTGTTGATCATCGCGAGAAGCGTGGCCTTGAAGGCGTTGCGCCAGTACATGATCTCACCCGCATTGGAGGAAAACAAGCCTCCTAGACCGGAGTTGATAACCTGTTCCGCATCCCTGAACGAGAGGTACTGACTCTTGGGCAAGTGCGGCATGGCAAACAACAACGAATCCGGCTCCTTTTTAGAGGACAACAACTGGTCTGGCTTCCCATACAACTTGAAGCTGCTGATGAGGGGCAAATACGTCCTGATCATGGTTTCGACGTTCTTGACTGAACCGTGGCGCTTGGGCATGATGTAGAGTGACTGAAACGTCTGGTACTTATGCTTGGCCTCCTTCTTCTTGCCGTTAAGCGCGGGAGAAGACGAACCGTCCGAGGAAACAGAGACAGCCGAAGACGTGGAGACGGTCCTGGAGTGCGCAAAGTGGAAAGCCGGAGGCTGGACGTCAGAGGATCTCCGCACGGAGAGCGATCTGCGTTTGCGGGAATCGTCGCTCGAGTGCGCAAAGAGGTCGAGGTACTTTTCGTTCACCTTGATCCCCCCGTGGAGCTTCAACATTCCATTTTCATCCACCACTTTGTGCGTTTGTGGGTAAACGTTAAAGATGGCGAAAGCATTCTCTACGTGCGCAACCAAGTTCTTCTTGGAGATCTTGTCACTGGCATAGAGCTCCACCCGTCCGCTTTTCTTCTTATTAGGCGAGTCGCTGATGACCATGTAGCACTTCACCCACTTGGACAGAAGGTGGGGCAACCGGATGTCCACCCAGTCCCGCGCGCCGTGCTTGCTGTTCAATAAGTACGAGATATCGGAGAGGCCGAGCCCCTTCCAGGCAACCACCGTTGCGGTGAAGGCCTCGTTCAATGAAATGTACTCGAACTGCGAGAGCTTGAATGCCGCAAGCCAGCTCTCGAATCTCTTGGCCGTGGAAAATTTCATGCTGTACGACGCAAACAGGTCGGTCGATACCACTATCTTCAACTCATTTGGGATCGCCTGAACATGCGCATCGATAATGTTGATGTAGACCGAGTCGTCGGAGAGATTCTGGCTCAGCGGCCAGATGGTCAATTCGTTTCCGCACAACTGCCCCCTCACGTCCGTCCAGGAGGCAGCGTTAAAGCTGCCGGCTGGATTAGGAGAGCTAAACTTGCCGACCGGAATCTGAAACTTTCCCTCTCTGTAAACACGGATCTGCTGGGCGTTCATCAAGGTGACGATGGGAATCAACTGCTCCGGTACGTCAGACGGAAGCTCCCAGGTGCCCATGTCGTCATCGTCTGGAGACGCGAATACCAATGATTGACGAATAACCGGAGAGGGGAGACGCGACTCGCGACGACTGCGGGGCACAGACAACTGCGGGGTGGGCGATTGGGAAACAAGCGTTTCATAAGGAGACTCAAAGGGATCGTCATTTCTGTTGGTGGATTCTCTTAAAGGCGAGCTGAGCTGGGGCTTGTAGGTATCGGCTGACGGTGGCGGCGGGGTACCCGACCGTGACCGGCTGAAAAATTTGGAAAAAGCCATAGGGGAAGGTGGTTGATTCGGTTAGACGACGCTGGCGGTGAGAAAAGGCGACTAAGGATGGGTTGCTAAGTTAGCTGACTAAGCGGTGGAATCAAGAATATATATATATTTAGCAAGAGACCTCAATATAAAGCAAATTGCGTCCGTAGGATTGGGAAAAAGTATAATTTGCTGAGAAGGTGCAATTTGCTGAAGATGCGGTTTGCTAGGGGCTCAACTGGCAAACTCTGTTTCGGAAATATCTTGGAACCAAGAACGTCCAGACTTAAGATTTGCTGAGCAATATGAGAGCACTTGGATAGCGTTAGTTAAACGAAGAACACGGTAGAGCTGCTAAAGAAGGTATATTCCTATTTAGCACAAATCTGGACTCTGTTTTCACAGAAAGAAGCCCTATATATAGAAGTCGTACACAGGAGATACGGTACTCTAGTGAGTGTCACCGTGGCTACTGGGATGGTCCGGAGCTTTGGAAGTGAAAATATGTGATACGGGGAAAAAAGAAACGTGAAAGTTCCCGTGCATGGCGTTACGCATGCAGCAACAAATTACAATCTTCTTTAGAACGGGAGAACGCTCGTTCACCGGCGTTGCTGCACAAGACTTGTTTGGTGATTGCTGATTTACGCGCCACGGCCACCCATCGCTTATTCCTCAATTAGCGATGACATCATCGCAGGACTAGCCTGGCACCCCAAGATGTACCAGGACAATGGTGCATTTGTGTTTCTAAACTTTGATTCGTGGGACCAGGAGTTTTCATGATTGTTTATTTATCTTTGGCGGATGTATCTCACTGCCATATTTTTAGAAGTTAGTGCGTATTTCCTGATTTTCGCAGCGCCTGAAGCTAGATGTCTAGGCGCATTTCAATTAGCATTAGCTATAACATGTTAGCTGACGAACGATTGGCATAGTCTCTAGAAGGATGGCACGTAACGAGAGGGGCTGATAATAATAACTAGAGCATCAAGGCTGCATCAGATATCTGCTAGAGTGTGGCTGTCTAGTCCACATTTAGCAGCGTTACACTCTTACTCAACTCTGCGAGTATTATCCCTTCATTCGAAAGAAGGCGCAGCAAGTATTCTTTAGTATGCCGGATCTGAAATGACGAGACGAACGTTACAATGTCCCATGGTAACGGCTGCATCGAAAAAACGTAGAGCTCAGAGTTTGGATGCCGCACTACAAATCAAGTGGAATTAGCGCGACGCGTTCAGGTAAATATCCCATGCACATACCTAGCCAGGGGCTTATTTACTCATAGGAAGCCCGATAATCTGATAAAAAGACAAGGTTTGGCCTATATCGCTAATTTACATTAGGCTCATTTCCCTTATAATCACGTAAACGGAAAGGAAACAGGTCAATGGACCGGTCTCGCATTGTCTTTATCGCTTAGAAGTACCCCTCACTTTATAATAGCCTTGAAACTCGATTCCGGTTTGCTGCAAAACCTTAAATTTAAGCTAAGTTAGAACTCTATCGTCATGCAAAAACTAGACCCTTAACCAACGCTTGAAACCCCATCCTAGGACCTGGGCCTTGCGGGACGGTTTGTATGCCAGTGCTGTGTATCAAGGTTATTTAGGCGTGGCATACCAGGGGCGATGGATGCACATCTCCATATTGATAAACCGCTGGTAACCCGCATTCTATACCCCTAAAGTCAAACGCCGAACCAGATCTCTCTCCCGTAAATAAGCCCGTGGTTTTATAACTAGTATATTACTGGTCAGTTAGCTGGAATATGCATCCAGTTGATTTAACATATAACATTGCTAACGCCGTTCCCGTCCAATCTATTTTAGACCCCTCCCCTTTTTGTGCAACTTCACCTTCTATCCTTCAACCTTTGGACTGCCTCCAATGCCTTTACTAGTTGCTGCTCAGCGGTATCCACATCTTCGTAGTTTAACGCTGATATGGCGTACCTCGCCCATTTTTGTGCCTCTTCGATCAACTTGCCGTCTTGGATAATCGTGGTGGGGTCAACAGGAACCGGGGGCTCCCGTGACTCTTCTAGGTGTGGAGAGTGTCTCTGAACTGCTGGGAGCGTAGCTGTACCCTCCTCCTCGTCACTTGAGATACCATATTGGGAATGGTTGTTCGGTGTAGGATTGTGGGATGGTATGGCCGGGAAAATAGCCCCCATTCCACCGATAGATTCATCCTCCGAGCTATCGCTATCTGGTTCCTGAATTGCAAGGTTAATCATGCGCTGGATCTCGGAATCACTGAATTCAGTCCCGTCGGCTTGTAGTCCTTGTTCCCCAGAAGGTGCTGAGATCTCAAAACTTTCGTTTGGGTCTGTTCCTATCTTTATGCTTTTCCATATTCTCAGAGCGTGAACCATGCAATACTTGATTCTTTTATCAATTTCTGCCCGAGTCAAGGAGTCCTCGGGATTCGAGTGTTGAAGCAAATCGTCATATTTGAATGTCAAAGCGGTTAGCTCCTCGAGGCTCTTCACCTTAAGGTTGTTGGCATCGGATAGCTCCTGGTTAATCGTTTGCTCAAGCGCATTTGACTCTTCAATTAACGTGGTGATCGTGCCTGGAGACTTTAAATCAGATAGTGTGGACAATATCGCATCGTCGTCGACAATAGATGCCTCAACTAGGAATTGCTTTTTCAAACGATCAAACGAGAGATCATCTGTATTCTTAGAATCGTTCTCTGATATGGCATCCTCCGAACCATAATTTTCGGCTTCCTCGCTAGATGCCACATTTGAGACTGGGGTATTCCCAGTTGATCCGCCAGTCTCTTCTTCCATGGTAGTTTGTCTTAAATCAGCCTCTTCGGTGGGCTCTCCATTCAAACCTTGGTCCATGTCGGGATTCTTGGTGATAATTGGTTGAATTTCATTCAATTCTGGGCTTTCCTTAAGACCATTAATCGACCCAAGAGTATCAATATTACTGTCAATCTCATCACTGAGTTTAGCGACATCTTTATTGAACAATTCCAAGGCTGGACCGGGACTTTCACCTATTACTTTCATCTCAACCATTTCAACCTCATTGTCACATTCTTCCTTGTCTTTCGGCAACGGGGGCACATCGTCTACATCTGGGTAGAATCCGCTAAGAACTCTATACACCAGAGCGGTCTCGAGTAAACGCTCAAGGGTTATATGGGTAGTCTCACCTTGAATCATATCCTTAACACTCTTGGTAAGCAACTCATGAGTAAAATCTGCAAGATACTTCCGTGAAGGGGAGCCTGTATCAGAGCCTACTTCCTCCGAGATGTCCCGATTTTCATACTCTTTATCATCGTTTACCAACAAGTTGTATCTCACGTTCTTCGCCAACACTTTCCGCTTAAACGATTCCAAGTACGATATGAGATCAGATGTAACGACTTCGGCTTCCCTTGACTGGGTTTCTGAGAGGGTGCCGGATCGGGATTCCGGGCCAATGATCTCAAGGATAATTTGGATAGTGTACATTCCACAAAAGTATGAAACGGTTGGATTGGAACTCTGTATGCTAAGACATGCTGATAAGTACAGCTGGGCTGGCTTGAGATACAGCGGGAGAATGGTAACCGGAGCAGGTGAGCTGCTCAGGGAGCCTGAAAATCTCTTTAAAAAGTCCATTAGTTGAGTTGGTGGAGGAACTGATATAGGGAAGATGGCTTTCTGATGAATAATATGCTAGAGGTAGTTAGAACTGCTTCTATCGTAGCGTTCTCATGGACTTGAAATATCTTCCCCGTATCCTAGACGATGCTGGTGTGGCGCATCCCCCGATATTTCTATTTTTCCTCAGTCCCGACTACGGCTCTAGCTATCAGTGCAACAGTAACGAGTGGTCGTAGCCGGTACCTCTAGGCGAAAATGGACCAGTTAGCAAGATTGATTAAGAAATTGAGGGTATCTTTTGCCAATTCGTTAACTTGATACAGGGAATCCATAGCCATTGTTTGGGTAAGTTCAGCGAACATACAACTGTAATGAATATCAACGTTAAGCCAGAATCACGGGGTCTTACAGAAAAATAACATGATATTAATTAGCATTAATCTAAAATTACAGAAGGAAAGAAACCGAAAACAAAAAAGGGGAGGGAGCATAAAAGTGATGTCACAACCCAAAGAGAAATGAAACATAGGGGAGAAGAAGAAATATGAATCCTGAACGCTAGCCAGAAAGTTATTCACCTTGTGAAAACTCTCATTTTTTGATTGTTTAAAAATCTTCGTCAAAGGTGAAGTTGTCCTTGGTATGGGAGTCGTTACCGCCCATGACACCGGCCTTTTGGTAGTCGGAGACCCTCTTCTCGAAGAAGTTAGTCTTACCGGCCAAGGAAATGTTTTCCATAAAGTCAAATGGGTTGGTGGAGTTGTAAACCTTCTTGTTACCCAAAGAGACCAATAATCTATCGGCAACAAATTCAACGTACTGGCACATCAAATCCTTGTTCATACCCAACAAAGAGACAGGTAAGGCGTCGGTGAAAAACTCCTTTTCAATGGCGACAGCTTCGGTGATGATCCTCTCAACGATGGTTGGGTTTGGCTTGTGGTTCAAGTGGGCAAACAACAAACAGGCAAAATCGGTGTGTAAACCCTCGTCACGACAAATTAACTCGTTGGAGAAAGTCAAACCTGGCATTAAGCCTCTCTTCTTCAACCAGAAGATGGAGGCAAAAGAACCCGAGAAGAAAATACCCTCGACGGCAGCAAAGGCAACCAATCTTTCACCGAACAAAGCATCCTCGTCACACATCCATCTAAGGGCCCAGTCGGCCTTCTTCTTGATACATGGAATGTTTTCAATGGCATTGAATAAAAAGTCAGCCTCCTTTGGATCCTTAACATAGGTGTCGATCAACAAGGAGTACGTTTCAGAGTGGATGTTTTCCATCATGATCTGGAAACCGTAGAAACACTTGGCTTCAGGGATCTGGACCTCGGCAGAGAAGTGCTCGACCAAGTTTTCGTTGACAATACCGTCGGAGGCAGCAAAGAACGCCAAGATACGGGAGATGAAGTATTTTTCGTTGTCGTTCAATCTGTTGTTCCAGTCGTGGGTGTCCTTCCCCAAATCGATCTCCTCGGCGGTCCAGAAGGAGGCTTCGGCCTTCTTGTACATCTGCCAGATTTCGTGGTACTTAATTGGGAACAAGACGAAACGACGCTTGTTTTCAACTAACAATGGTTCTTCCTTCTGCAACCCCTTCAATTGGTCACGGTGGGTTTTATGGGTGTTCAAAAAATCTTGGTGTTCAGCCTCGACCTTGGAAAGGGCAGCGGAGATCCCGGCAACCTCGCCGACCTTTCTGGCACCGGCAGCCGTGATTTCAGCAATCTCAGATTCGGTTGGCTGTTCGTCAGCGAGCAAAGAAGACAAGTTCTTCTTGGCACCGAGGTCTAAGCTCTCAATGTTCTTTGCAGCAATCTTGGATGGGGTTTCTTTAACAGACATGGTTCTTGTATAGTATGATGGTAGTGGTCGAAAGAAGAAAAAAGTGGCACACGTAAATGGCACGGGATATGGGGATACTTATATAGCTGAAAGTTGGCATGTCTCACTGCGAAAACGCTTAGGGCAAAAAAAAGGAAAACCTGTACACGCGTTTTTCGTGACTATAGACGCGTTCACGTGCGCCACCAAGACATGCGCCAGGGCTCATGTGCGATGGGGGTTCCTCCAGGCACAAACACCCTGTTGCGGGACCACGCGGCTGCTAAAGTTCCTAGACATCACACTCGATTACTCACGGGCTACAGGGCACTTTATATGTACCAATTACGTCGAGTGGCTATCCATGAGAGTGTGCCTAATCGGTGTATCTTATCGATGGATCATTTCGTTGATCAGTCTAATCCTTGAGGTAAACAAACGTTTAGTCCCGTCCGACGCGCGTCACGAAAATCCAGTGTTTACAAATTTCCTAACTAAGTGCAATGCGTTTCCTTTGAAACAGCACGCGTCAGGTTGTACGGCACAATCTGAGGCCGCGTCGGCCTCAGAGCAGGATCTGATTATTTGTCGTACAGAAGCCTCGATTGCTGGTTTTGCAATGCCCTTTAGTACTCGGAGATACCTCCTCTGGAAGTATCGGAAATTGCCTTCTCACTAAGCAACCGGAGCACAAGGTTGGCATCATTGCATATGGTATTGGTGCTGCTAATACTATTGTAATAAAATAGTTTATAGTTGAATAGCAATTATTAGAAATATTCCCCGTACGGCTTGAAAAATTACATGTATCTGTCTGCAGCGTTATGTCCGCGTGTATAACGTGGTGGTTATGGCTCTCAACACTACATTAATTGAAACTTCTTGAGCATTGGATTATCGCTATTTGTGATGCCACGATGGCACAATACAATTAAACCAGTGTACCACTGAGGTACCAAAAGCAAGCATCAGTACTCTCTACCTGCTTTTAACCAATTCACAAGCACTTTAGAATTCTACTCGTCAATCAATACCTTCTCCGAAACACAGACCTCAATCCATTTTCTCTGAGTCATGGTAGAGCCTCTTCTAACATTTCATCCTTCATGCCCATATCTGCGGTGATCTACACCAATACTCTCTAGGCTTCTTCGCGGTCAAATCCCCGCTCATAGATATCTAGCCAAGAGCAATTATGTAGGAAGCCTTCAAATCGCTGGCCACCGTACGTTTCCCACCTTCAATTTCTCTCATGAGAGGCGTGTGGGTGTAGTGGTATTATTGATGTGCAACTTTCCCCAAGAATGACTAGTTGGCATAATCTATACTGATATAAGGGACGTTTTTCAAGTGGTTACCCAAGGCACTGCCGCCCCAAGTATAGATGATTAAGGAATACACTGTCTTTCGATAATTTAATGATCCAGGCCACAATACCCCAGAGGCTAGAGTTTTTCATACTGTCCAACCGGTATTGGTACTTGTCCAGGTAAATATCATCGCCCACCTCTCCGTTATGCCTCCTGATCAAGGCTCCTACAAGGAACAAACATAAGAAAAGACCCCTGTGGCTGTGAGGGATATCGTACAGGATTTCTACATTCTTTCGGATTTAATATGGTTGGAATTAAAAACCCACGGGAGACAGATTTTCATTGAAACACATGGATGACGGGTTTGCATTTGGAGCTCGTGAGACAGGCTTGTATTGGAACTCACCTTCAAGTCATGCACTCGATAAGAAGTCTGTAAGACGGATCCTGCATTTATCCACGTGACACGAAGAAAAAAAATAATCACTAAAAAATCGGCCTCATCTTACCAGAATAATCCCATCTAAATACCGTCTCACACCATGGGTAAGGGCAAAAACAAGACTAACGAAGACGAACCGAATAAACGAAGCAGAGGTGCTAACGGTAAGCCAAGGGGTGGCCATAAGCGCGGCTTCCAGGAGCAGAGACAGACGGGGGTGCCCACCGCCAAGTTCCCCGCCAAAATCGCGATGTGGGACTTCGATCACTGCGACCCGAAGCGCTGCAGCGGTAAGAAATTAGAAAGGTTGGGACTCATCAAGAACTTGCGTGTTGGCCAGAAGTTCCAGGGTGTGGTTGTGTCGCCGAACGGTAAGGGCGTGGTGTGTCCGGACGACCGCGAACTTGTGGAGACAAACGGTGCTGCTGTAGTGGAGTGCTCTTGGGCTAGATTGGAGGAAATCCCGTTCAGTAAGATTGGTGGGAAGCACGAGAGGTTATTGCCTTATCTCGTGGCGGCAAACCCTGTGAACTACGGCAGGCCGTGGCGCTTGAATTGTGTGGAGGCATTGGCGGCGTGCTTTGCGATTGTGGGACATGTTGAGTGGGCTGAGCAGTTATTGGAAAACTTCTCGTGGGGGTTGACTTTCTTAAAGATCAACAAAGAGTTGCTTGAGGTGTACCAAAAGTGTACCGACCACGAGTCGGTAAAGAAGGCCGAAGAGGAGTGGTTGACACAGCTCGAGGAGGAGTACAAGGATCGAAGAGAGCACAGAGGGCTCGAGGATCTCCTAGAGATGGGTAATACCAACCGAGTTGCTATATCTGACTGTGAAAGCGAAGAGGAGTCTGAGGAGGAGTCTGAGAAGGAGGTTCCGGGTATTGTCATCAACGGTACGTTTGGTAACGATGAGGAGTCCGATGAGTACGAAGAACTGGAGGATGATTTGCCACCCATTTCCGATCTCATGTTGAAATAAGGAAATTAAATGTATACTTAAATGAATGGTTAAAATGAAGGATATTGAATAAGGCATGCAAGTTCGATAATCCAAGATATCAGTATGAATAAATAAGCAATAAAGAGCATTATCTGTATATCATAGTACTAGCTAAGGTAAATAATATAACTGGGATTTCTGGTAATAAAAAAATCAATATAGCCCCAAATTAAACTGGTTGTGAGCTAGTTCATTGAATATAGGCAAAAGACGTATCCAAATAAAAGATTATGCCCCAGATCCGGCTAGCTCTGTACCAGTGCATATGATAGTGCTGGTCGTGCGGATACCATATAAGATAACGAAGCCGGCGAGCGGTGAGGGTCTGTTTCGCTATATTATTCTAACCGCCAAAGGCTTTGCCCCAATAATCTTTATCAAGCCGATCTAACAACCCGACACAGCCATACACACCACAATGGACTATGTTAAGAAAGCAATCTGGGGGCCGGACCCTAAGGAACAAGTACGTACCCCGGTTTTACCGCTCATGCGGATACTAACGCTGCTAGCTAAGAAGCTGCAACACGCTCATCAGAAAGAACAAGCGTCAGCTTGACCGAGAACTTGCCACATTCCCGAGACTAGAGAAGCAAACGGAAGCGTTAATAAAGCAACACGCCAAGAAGGGCGACACGCGCACGGTACGCATGTTTGCGCGCGAGTTGCTCCTCATCAGAAACCAAAAGTCGCGGATGTTGAAGTCCAAGGCACAGCTCGAGAGCATAGGCATGAAGGTCAACGAGCAGTTCGCCGCTCAGAAGATACAGAAGACGATGGTGGACTCGACCGTCATTATGCGTGACGTGAATCAGTTGATCCACATTCCCGCGCTATCCAACACCATGCGCGAGTTGGAAAGGGAGCTAATGAAGAGCGGCGTGATCAACGAAATGGTGGACGACCAAATGGACATGATGAACGATGAGGAGGAAGAGGAAGCGAACGAGGAGGAAATCAACGCAGTCATCGACAAGATTGTTGCGGGCGTAATGGGTGATAAGTTGGACAAGGTCGCGGGAGCCCCAAGCACGGAATTGGGCCACGCTGAGGAAGAGCCGGCAGACACCGTGGACGAGGACCAGGAGGCCTTGAACGAGATGCGAGAACGGTTACGCGCGTTGCAGAGCTAGAGCCGAGAAATTATAGCATGTTAAGTGTATTTGGTTTAATCGTCCGATAACGTCCGATTGTGGTGATATATTTGGTTTAACCGTTATATCGAATGGTTACAGTGATACTTTAGTCAGCCCCATTTTATTAGAGTAGGATCGTAGTTACGGCGATGAGCACCACCGCTCCCGTAAACGACCATGACCGCGCATCCAGGTTAGGCCCGGCGCAGTTCTCCAAATCGTCGCCTTTGTCGTAATAAGTGTCAAAGTTGTAGTTTTCTCTGGAGAATGGAGCATTTAATCTTACTGGTCTCTTCTTTCGGGTGTATTTTCCGGTGTGGTTCCGCGGCGGGTTTGGCTCGGTGTCATTGTTGGATGCGTCTTGCTCTACAGCCGGCTTCATGATCAATGGGCCTCTCACGATAGAGAACGGGTTACTGTTTCCAGTGTATTCGTTAGAGGAATGAACTGCGCCTTCCCAGTTGGATTCTTCGGCTGAAGGATGCAACGAAGGATCATAAGCCCTGCTAGGTTCGAAGTTCTGAGGTTCGCCGGCTAATTCTAAACGTAAGGGAATCTTATCATAACCTGGCCGTCCGTATAAGCCTTGGCTTAGTTGCAGGTTTAAAGCTCTCTCCCGATCTTTTGCCATTGCATAATCATACTGATACGCGGGAATCCGGTTCTCAAAAGTTTCACGATTAGGCGGGAAATCGTTAAGGTTATCGCCGATGTGTCCACTCCGATGATCCAGCAGGGATAATGGTGGCGAGTTCCCATCGTGGGGCGGATTCGAGATAAGGAACAGTTCTGGCAGAGGTGAGTGGGAAAAGGGCCCACCGACCTCGGGTACTTGCTGTGAATAGTCCTTGATGGGCTGGCCCACTCTTTTTGGAGATGAATCTTGGTAAACATTCCCCTTGTAGAGAGTGCTGGACCCAACAGAAGAAACAGGTGTGGTTGAGCGATGCGGAACGATGCTAGGGTCAGAATTTTTATCAAATGGCCCTACGGCATTAACGGCATAAGGGTCCACGGTACCGCCGTTCATCGGCCTATCTGGGACTATTTCAATCTGTTGAAGCTCTTGGGTGATTGGCATGTGGAACAGGGGTCCCGTGGCACCATCTTTACCAATGATAATTCCCGGGTCTTGCATATTACGATGCTCCAGACGGAAACCTTCCGATGGCGTGCGGTATTCCTGCTGGAATCCTCGAGATAGTCCATCATGTTCTCGGTGGAATTCTTGAGATGATTCATCATATCCTTGGTGGAATCCTTGGGGTGGTGTATCGTGTCTGGTTAACAGATACAGGTTTGCCAGATCTGATGGTTCCACGGGATACGCAGCTAACTGGGGTTCCATGTCTGGAAGTTCCACAAGCTTTGAAAGTTTCCAAGAATCTTCACCTTCTCGGACTGATTTTCCAAGTACGGGGTTTCTTGATTCCGCCAAGGGCTGTAAAGTATGAATTTTTTCCAAGGAATCTTCGTAATCTTTTGTCAAGGAGGTATACTGCGATGGCTCAAATGGGACAACTTTGGCAGTGGAGGGCAAGTCGCTTAAACCTGAACCCCTGCTAGGCAATAAGCCCTCGTGAAAAGATTCTTGGGCAAGTTTCAGTATTGGGTCAACTGCTTGAACATAGCTCTCTCCTTGGGAGATGGGCTGGGGCAAGACATCGGATTTAACAGCTTCCAATTCTGCAGGAACGGCTTCTTCACTTCCTTGGTCTACCCCCAGGCTTTCCATACTCATTGTTTCCTCGTATTCTTCTTTCCTACTCCTTAATTCTTCTTCTAAAGGGAGCAAGTCTTCTTGCCCTATACTCGACACTTCTTGCTCCGATAAGAATGCCTCTTCCCATACGGGTTGTGAATCTACCTCCAACTTCGTCTCCCCCGCGGTACTTGGAGCATCACCGGTAAGAACCTCTCCCACTGAGCGATTCACGTTTAGTCCGTTGTCAAGGAAAGGTATATTATATCCAAGCACATCTGTCTCCGAGAATTCCTGGGGCGGAAATAAGATGTTTAGGCCCGAAGCAACGTGTATAGGCAAAAGCAATATCCATGGCAATTTAAGGAGAAACATGGTTCTTATTTCATCTGTATGAACCCGTGACTGAACGTACATCTAGCTCCTCTAGCATTGTAGCGAGTACGATTAAGTATCTTCACGAGCCGGAACCGAGTATTCGGTAGTTAATCGTCATATGCATTAAGTTGCCTAGACACAAACAAAACGCGGCTTTTTTTTTACGTCACAAAACTGGTGCTACGTCCATTTCTGCGGGTCTCGACTATCCCAATTTGGCAATTACCTTCTCGGCAATGTCCAAGTATGGTTTTGCGATGGCTTCACTGGACGCGATCACTACTGGTCTACCCTTATCGGATTGGACACAGATCTCCTCATTCAAGGGAATGGATCCCAACACGTCAAGGTTGTGTGCTGCGGCTTCTCGCCTCGCACCATCACTTCCAAAAATGTGGGACTCATGGCTGCAGTTGGGGCAGACGAAGTAGCTCATGTTTTGCACAAGTCCAAGTAACTAATTGTGTTAGTAGTGTCTGGTTTTAAAAAAAAAAGTGTTTACGTACTGGAATCTTCACCTTCTTAAACATGGCGATACCCTTGACTGCATCGATAAGGGCAATGTCTTGGGGAGTCGATACAATGACCGCACCGTCCACCTTCAACTGCTGACTGATGGTGAGCTGGGTATCACCGGTCCCTGGGGGCATATCGATAACCAAATAGTCCAAGTTTTCCCATTTGACCTCGAAAAGGAGCTGCTGAAGCGCCTTCATTACCATCAAACCTCGCCAGACGACAGCGTTTTCAGGGGCAACAAGATACCCCATGGACATGGACTGGATTCCATAGTTAGAAAGAGGCAAAAGTTTTCCGTCATCTGAGATTCTTGGCTCCCCAGATAAATTCAACAATCTTGGAACGGAAGGCCCGAAAATATCCGCGTCGAGCAAGCCAGTAGTTTTTCCGAGCTTCTGCAAGGCCAATGCCAAGTTGACCGAGACGGTGGACTTGCCCACACCGCCCTTGGCAGATGAGACGAGAATAATTTTCGCAACACCGGGGATTTTCTGCTTAATTGGCAACCCTTTTGACATCCGGGGCATCTCTGGGCCCTTTTTAGGCAAACCCTAACAGGTTAGCAGGTGAAGCAGCCACAAAAATGGGGTAACGTACCAAAGGGTTCTCATGTCTGAGCTCACGGGTGTGGGTGATGCACCTATAGAGGAGAGTCAGCTGAAGAGATGTTCTCCTTAACCCTAGCAAAATCATGTTTGTACTTCCAGATATGTCTTGTTCTGTATAGTTTCTGTACGTCTGACCGCTGAAATCACCGTAGTCCTGTCGATTCTAATCCGGCATATAACCTTTAAATTTCCAGGTCAGATCATAAATTATCCGGCAGAGACGGGCCTGCATATTTTCCGGCCTTAGTCGCTTAGAATATTTCAGCTTGCGTCCGCTAAAGTATGATTGAAGACCTCAATAGCACGAAATTCTCAGCCTCTTTACCTTAAAATGCTCATTCAGCGAGGTTTTCGACTGGCGGTACGCCAACTTGTTTCTTATCCCTCCCAGGTCAGATCAACCTACCACTTGCCGACCATCTATGCGCTTTCCACGAAGCTAGGGCGAGCTGCTATCAGCGTGGTAAGAATCTCTGGCTCTGAATCCAAATATATCTATGAAAAATTGACGGGAGCAACCACACCTCCCAAGCCGAAAACTGCCAGTGTCCGCAAATTGTACTCACCTGAAACTGGGATAATGCTAGACGAAGCGTTGACGTTTTTTTTTCAGGGTCCCAAAACCTATACCGGTGAGGACTTGCTCGAGTTGCACCTTCACGGTGGGAACGCGGTTGTGGCTGCGGTTTTGAAAGCGATTAAACATCTCCATAACTCTCAGACAGACAACTATATCAGGTACGCGGAGAACGGTGAGTTCTCCAGACGTGCATTCCAGAATGGAAGGTTTGATTTGACAGAGGTAGAGGGGATCCGCGAGATGATTGACGCGGAAACAGAAAGCCAGAGAGTGGCGGCATTGTCGTCCATGAAGGGAGAAAACAAACAATTGTTTTTCGGATGGCGGGAGGAGATTGTAAAGAATGTGGCATTGTTGACGACGGTTATTGACTTTGGTGAGGATCACGACCTCGAAGAAGTTACCGAACTCTTTGACACTGTCGAAACGAATATTCTGGTCTTGCAAGATGAGATTAATGGCTACTTGACTCGTATCCAGCGGTCAGAAATCTTGTTGAAAGGTATCAAGCTTACCCTTCTAGGGCCGCCGAACGCTGGTAAATCGTCTCTTTTGAATAGTATTGCCAACCGTGAAGCTGCTATTGTCAGTGATATTGCCGGCACAACCAGAGATGTCATTGACATCCCGTTGGATATCAACGGATACAAGGTTGTGATCGGCGATACAGCCGGTATCAGGGCCATCGGCGAGGCCGATAAAATTGAGGCGGAGGGAATCAAGAGAGCGAAGAAGAAATCTTTAGACGGAAATTTGGTGATATTAGTGTTACCTATCAATGAGAAGTTTATTGATTCGTCGTTGATAGAACATATAAAAGAGGTAAAGAGCGATCAAAGAGTCATTGTTGTGTTGAACAAATGTGATTTAGTCGCGGACAGAGTTGAGCGCCAACAGGCTATCGACCACTTTATCACAATCTTGGGGCTACCAAAGGACTCGTTTGCTACGGTTTCATGCTTGAGCAGTTTTGGGATGGACGAGTTGTTGGAGATTCTCACGCAAGAATTCAAGTCCATCACCTTGACCGAAGATCACGACCCCATCACCATTTCCCAGCGGTCCCGTGACATTTTTCAGAACGATGTCCTTTTTGGTTTCAGTCAGTTCAGACAGTTTAAAGATGAAGAAGACATTGTGTTGGCTACAGAAGGCTTGAAACACTCGATTGAGGGAATAGGCAAGATTACCGGCCAGTCTGTAGGGATTGAAGAGGTTTTGGGGGTTGTGTTTTCAAACTTTTGCATCGGAAAATAACCTTACGTGGACCGCCTTGTTTACGGACTTTCTCAATATTGTCGCTCAATTTAATAGTATATTTCGGTTTCTATATAAATTTAGGTAATTGGAATTTTGTAGCCGCAATTCTCAGTTTTCATACGACTCCTCCGAAAAGCAAAATTCCTATTAAAGCCCTGATGGCGGTTTTCCCATCGTTGATTTGGGTGGCCCCTGAGTCGTCTATGACTATTGGCTCGTTGATCAAATGGATATGATCCTGGATGATCCCTGGTAGGTGAAACGCATTCTCGGCTGAGACGTGGCTTGAGCATCCAGGTTCGAAGTGATCTGTTTGAGATTGCGGTACCCTCATGGTTGGAGATGTTTCAGGGGTAATGTTGTATCCTAGATCAGAATGACTCGTAGGTACTCTTTCATAATCTTTATCTTCAAAAGCAAGCTCCTCCAGCTCTGTGGTGATGGTTTTAAGCTTTTCCGCCGTATCGTAAATATCAGAAATACTCTTAGTTTGGGAGGAATCACTGATACTTTCGGTTCCCGATGGATATAATTCTTTTTCTGAGCTAATTTTGAGCCCAAGGCTATTGGGAGATTTATTATTATCCTCGTGCTTGTCGGGGTTTCCCTTTGTATCATATACACCTTCCAGAGAGTCTACGGGCGCAATATCCGGAATGGATACCCCTTTCCCTCCAGAAATACCTTCTCCTGGACTATTTGCTGTAGTACCCCATCCCCGTACCTTGTAGGCTGCATCTAGAAGTAATATTTCACGCTTTCCTTTCCTTATTTCCGTCTTTTTCTCGATCCCACCGTTGATGCAGATATTAGGGATCTTATTGATAGAGTGTTTGATTTTTCTCTTCAAGGAAACTTCGGCTTGGTCGTACGGAATATGTATTTTTGAGTAAAGTTCTCCGTGAGGGTCAAGTGACTCCTCCTCGGAACTTTTAGTATCTCTTCTGCGCGAAAAACGGACACCGTGACTTCTAATTTCATTCTGGAACACAATTTCTGAAGTGGCTTCGTCATAGAGTGGACGGCTTAAATTGAGATTTGGAGGACTAATATTTGGAGGATTGAGATTTATTGGAAATATAGAGTTTTCTTCTGCATAGGCATCCCTAACAAGTACTAAGACGTAACTCAAGCTGAGAACTCCGGGTGCAAGGTTCCATGATTGCATTATCAGCAATCGGATTTACCAAAAACTGGTTTCAGATTTGCCTGATTGTAAAGGGAGTTGAGATCTAAGGGTGGATACCTCCGTGGTTAACCTGATAATCCAGGGTAGACACACGTTAATTCTGAATTTGTAATTCTGCCTTGTATAGTGGGCATTAAACACATGCATATACGCATGCGCAAGTCAGACAGATGCCACAATGGCATATTTGGGTTTACAAGATGGTAAGCCGGCCTAGAACCACCGGTCTAGGTGTAAATTAAAAATTAGCTACGTGTGTGTAGTTGGATGGAAGGTTACGCGGTTAAATTCTCGGCTGAATGTCAAATTGCAGCCCAGCTGCGTTTATAAATCACACAGGCATTATTATCCAGACTATGTACGCAGATGGCTTCATTTTAAATTTTGTAACTATATAGCCCTATACGTTACCTTAACCACTGACTGCTCCAGCTTGTCTCATAAGCTTTGGCCTATATGTAAAGGATTGTAGCAAGCCCTAAGGAAACAGCCATAAATACGTGAAGCCATATATACGGAGTGAAGATCGTTCCTGCACTCGTCTTCTCCCAGTACAAACCATGTTGGTAGAAAGATGTGGTTAAGTTTTCTCTCCAGTGGGAAGTGTCAGCATCAGTTGTCTGGCCAAAGATCGACATCACGATTGTTGAACTGGCAACATTTGTAGTGGCAGTTGAGAGTTCAATTTTTGTACCTTGGAACACCTGACTTTTCCCGTTACCGTTGGTATCTGGGTCGTCTGGTTTAGTCATTGAGGTATATTGGTGGTTAATTCCAGGAATTGAGTGAAAAATACCACCATCCCCAACGATAGAGGTTGATGGGCCGCTGCTTTCAGGTGTCGAATCAGTAAAAGCGCTTGTGGGGTGGTCCCTAGCGTGAGCATTTGCAATAGAACTCAAACGTTTCGGTATCTTCTCGGTACCTTCCGTTGTAGTCCCAATAAGTAGTGGGGGAGTATTAGTGGTCTTACTCAAGGATTCCTTAGCTGATCCTGCTAGGTTAGGTAAGTTTATGCTTTCTGGATTTTCTGTGTTAGGGTCATCGATAGTGAAAAACCAGAACCATTTACAAGGTTCACAATCTTTTTCTGCTCCGCAATCTTTTTCTGCCCCACAATCTTTTTCTGCCCCACAATCGTTTTCTGCTTCGCAGTCTTTGTCAGGCTTGCCAATATCAAACTCAATACCGAAATACAAACTTGTTGTATTGAGCATTCCTGGTTCGCGGTTTTGGTCCCCTTCTACGGGGTTCTCACTAAGAGCGTTGTAGGTAAAAGAATACCGTTTCCTGCCATGACTCTGACCTGCGGATTTTCGATTTCTAATTGGTTCCTCTTCTTCTTCTTCCTGATCTTGTTCAAAATCCCAGTCATTTTCATCGTCAATCTCATCATCCTCCGCGTCCTTCTCTTTATTCCAAGGAAAACTCCACTCCCCGTTATAAGGATTTGATATTTCAATTGTCAATTTGGCCTCTACGGTATCTTCTTCGGGTAGCAGTCTCCGAGGTAAAAGTCTGGTAGCTCCTTGGACTTCTTCCGAAACTTGTTCATAGCCATCATTATCTGCATCGGTAGTGTCTCCTTCATACATGTAGCGGCCATCGTATTGGCCGTATTCGTTGCCTGTATCGGACATAGTTTCACGAAGATCTCTGAAAAAGGTCTGGGGAGCTGTATCGCCATTGGACTGGATGCCGGGAAGTTTATTCCTTGCTTCAGTGGCGACTGCCCTTAGCGAAAGAGCTACGAGAAGGAATAAGTACTTCAAAGGTTCAACCATGACCGATATGTGTCTTTACTATAACCGTGACAAAAGACGACAAATCAAAAACTATAAAACTCATAGCTTATTTCCTTGAGATGAAAAATAGTCTGTGTACTCGTTTATTGCCTCGCCCCTGGGTTATTATTTGCACAAAGAAATCGCCGCCACAAATGCAACGAATGTTCCCACATGCATGTGTCTGCAATCCACAAATATCACTAGTAATACTGGGAAATACTTATTTTAGTCTTCGCTAGCAAGGTTCCGTGGTGCTCACGTTTTTGTCGATATGAGCCCCAGTTGCTTAAAGTATTAGTATAGAGTTGAACCCGGGAGATAGCATCCACGGTATACAGAAATATTAATATACCGTCTTTTCCTAAATAAATAAGGAAATAGGCCTAGAAAACTCAATTTATCTACTTCTCCGAGATACAAACTTGGCTCAGAGATTGAGCAAAATACCGATGAAAAACATGCTGAGAAACGCGTTATGCAGAGAGAAGACAAACGAAAGGTCCCCCGAGCTGTCATAATCATCATCCGGGGACTCAGACACCAATACCGTCACGTTTGTAACGTTCGTAAAGTTCGATCTGACTGCCCTCAACATCGTGCTTGAGTTAGCTCTGAATGGCCACCATCCGTGTGATGGGCAGCCACCGCACTCGTCCTTGCTGTGGCCACAACCGTCAGAGTCGGAAACATGGCCACAATCCATAAGATCGATCGCTAGCTCCTGTTTCTCCAAAGCTTCGGATTTCAATGGTCCAGGGGAGACAGTCTCAGCTACCTCTTCGGAAAAAACCCAAAAAAATCTCTTCTTGCTAGACTCGTTGCATCCTCCACAACTGTCATCTCCACAACTGTCATCTCCACAACTGTCATCTCCACAACTGTCATCTCCACAACTGTCATCTCCACAACTGTCATCTCCGCAAGAATCCCCACAGCTTTTGGAACCTCCTAAGTCTAGCTCCATCAGATAGTGCAAACTGGTGCTAGAAACACCCAATGGCTTCTCCGTCAGTAACACACGCATCAAAGTTTTTTCCTCATCATCGTCACTGGACCAGCCAAACTGGACCGGGCGGTGGATCTCGATCCTGAGCTTGGCCGACTCCACTTTAGGTTCTTCGTTCATCGCCACTGTCTCATTCACAGTTGCTGCATAAGCATTCCATTCGTCATTGTCGGAATCCGAATCATCATCTGCCTCAGATTCCGAGTCAGATCCGGCCATGTCTTCCGATTCAGAGTCTTCAGGGCCGTAACTATTTATAGTTCTAGCTCCCAGCTGGTATTCCCCTCGGAAGAGGTTGGAAATATCGGACAAGATTGACTCAGAGCCTACCATGTGATCTAACGGCCGTGCATTTGAGGCTATTGGCACAGAAAGCAGCACCGTCTCAGCAGTAGCACCCAAGCCTAAACAAGGGAGTAAAAATAGCAATAGCAACATGTAAGTGAGTGTAGCGTGCTGAAACTGGAATGGAATAAGATCCAGGCAAAGACAAAGGTGGTTGAATATCACCCCAGCATTAGATGTCGAAATAATGCCACAGAAGCGATCCACCTTAGGGCAGCGCTCTTTTGTGCTATCTGGCTATTGTGGCTTCAGCCTTTCAGCCTCGTGCCGCTTGAGCTTCACCTCCAACTCCTGGCTCCACTCGTTCAATTCATTCGCGAGCACTTCCAATGTGTCAGTATACGCCTCCAAGGCGTCTAGTTTGATTGCATACTCCGCGATTTCAGCGTCTGGGGGTTAGTATCGCATTAAAGGCGGTAGCTCTCTAGTTACGTACTCAAATGTTCAATGGCTTCCGAATCCTTGTCCAAGGCCACGTATCTCTCCTTCAATTCGATATATTTCAAGCTCTGTTTCCGGTTCAAGTTCTCCATGAGCTTGATGTCGATAAGCGAAATCTCCGTGTCTGTTTCCACCACCCGCTTCAAAGAGTTGACACTATCCCTTATTAGCTTCCGTGTATCGTCATTCCTCGACATTGTGGATGTAGTATAGTGTAGTTGGCAGTTGGAAGCTGGTATTATGCCACTGGTTAAATCATGGAATGTGGCATATCGCAAAACAGATTCTCCTGTAGTTAGCGCGATGCGACCAAAACAATTCCGCGTACGTCAACACTGAAGGCTTATGATTTTTGATTTCGTGTGTAATGCCCACCCTCTTGGCCATCGAACAACTAATGGATTATAGACACCTAAACGCTTGATCGTATATTAGTACAGATTTAATTATACAGCCATGCCTTTAATTCTCCTATAATTTCCCATATGCTAAAATGCTATTATAATAATCAGTACTTACACCCTGCCAATCGATAACCGTATCAGTGGTGCATAAGACATCCACCTTGCCCCGTCTCCCTACCAGGTTCTAATCAAACTCTGGTACCCACATATGCTAGTAGATTATATTCTGTCATGTAAATCGGTCTTTTCTTCACCCTGTATTTCTAACTATCTCAACCAGGATATGTATTCACCTTTACCGGCCACACCCCAGGCTCTCCGGTGATACATCTGAGCCGCACTATTGAAAAACCTCCGACGTCGGCAAAGTCTCCAGATTTAGCTGACCATCTCTTAAGTCTCAATCCGCTCACCCATTTCTCATGTCACGAGCTATCACCATCCTATACGGCTCTGAAACGGGAAATGCACAGGACTACGCGCAAATCCTTTCAAAACGTCTCCGCTTCCTCCGCTTCGCCACTACGGTTTCCACGTTGGGCGACTATGATGTGCGCAAATTGCTCTCCACCGGTTTACTCGTTGTCATATGCTCCACCACAGGCCAGGGCGAACTTCCGCGTAACTCCAAAGCATTTCTTCGCTTCTTGTTGAAGAAAAAGCTCCCCGCGGACTTGCTCAGTCACCTTTCCTTCACCAGTTTCGGGCTAGGTGACTCATCGTATGTCAAGTTCAACTATGCCGCCAAAAAGCTCCACAATCGCTTGCTTCAGCTCGGTGCGACCGAGTGCAGTCCACGTGCCGAGAGCGATGAACAGTCGCCGGAAGGCACCGATGGATATTATTCCGAGTGGGAGGCCATCCTCCTCGCAAACTTGAACGAGCAGTATCCTTTACCGCCTGGGATTGAGCCCATTCCTGAGATTGAAATTTTGCCGCCAACTAACCCGGTGGAGATTTGTGAAACTGATAATTTCAATGAGCTTTTAAGTGAAAAGTCGGATGAGACTATCTCTGGGTCTAGTGGGAATTCCCATGAAGCTGCCGCACCGGTGGCTAACTGCGCAACTTTCCTTCAGGCAGACACGCTCGGAGCTGAAACTCATAAGGGGGCCACCTCATCCCCAATTTTCAGCACCGAAGCCATCAAAGCCGACGCCGTAAACAGATCCCACTCGTTGATCCTCGGCGAGATTGTGCGCAACGACCGAATCACCGCCAGCAATCATTTCCAGGATGTCCGCCACCTTGTAATCCACGACACCAGTGGATCCTTAGATTTCCAGCCTGGTGACACAGTGGGTCTCTACCCCACTAACGACCCCGTGGATGTCTTCAAGCTCATTGAAAACCAAGGATGGGAGGCCATCGCAGACCGGCCGTTGCGGATCCAGCACGAGGTGGCGCACATTGAGGGCGGATTGATCAACAACTTGACCCTCCGCACACTCTTGACCCACCATTTAGACATCATGTCGGTGCCCAGGCGGAGCTTTTTCTGGCTTGCGTGGCACTTCTCGGATGACGAGCGTGAAAAGGAAAAGTTGCACGAGTTTTCCGACATCAAGGAGGCGGAGGAGCTCTTTGACTACGCCAACAGACCCAGACGCTCGATTTTGGAGACCATCTTGGAGTTTAGCTCGCTCAGAATCCCCGTGGAGTACCTTTTTGACTTGATCCCTACCATCAAACTTCGTCAGTTCTCTATCGCCTCGCAGCCCGACCCCAACCGTGTGGAGTTGGCCATTGCGCTTGTGGAGTACAAGACCATCTTGAGGCGGGCCAGAAAGGGTGTCTGCTCCAGCTGGGTAAAAACTCTCAACGTGGGGGATCGTATTGTGTTTTCCGTCCACAGATCCCAGTTGAAGTTTGGTGATACCCAGCCGTTGGTGATGGTGGCTCCCGGTACTGGAGTTGCACCGATGAAGAGCTTAATCGAGTATAAAGTCGGCCTCTCCCTCGCGGAAGTTGTACCTCAAAAGTTAACCCTCTTCTATGGTTGTCGTTTCCACGACAAGGACTTTTTGTTTGGGACATACTGGAAGCGGTTGGCAGAAGAGCAGAAGTTGGAGCTCAGCACGTCGTTTTCGCGTGAAAAGGGTGGCTATGTGCAACACGCGCTCTATAAGCAGCGGAAAGCGGTTTGTGAGCAGATTTTGGCCCAGAAAGGGATCATTTTCATATGTGGATCCAATGGATCTATGCCGCGCGAGGTGCGAATCACTTTCGAGGCTATTCTCGAGGAGGAGGGCAAAATGTCCAAGGAAGAGGCAAGGAAATATATTTTGCAGATGGAAAACGAAGGAAGATATATCCAGGAGACGTGGTAAGGAGGATAGATGATAATATTACGACTTGTATATTGTATGATTGTTGGCTCAGATAGAGTTATTTCCGCCTGTTTTGTATCAAGGGCTGTCTTGGAACATTCACCGTAGAGGACGTAGTCGTGTAAGACGCTGCTTATATTCTTGGGGTAGCTCAGAAGGCGGAACGGGCTTTTCCTTGTGGTTACCTTGATACACCATCGATCACTCTAATTAATCAACACCAGACAGTACGGCTCTTTCCCAGTGGGATTAACCTACCCCACCCTACATTTTCATCACACAATCCGTTGTATATACACGTCAGGTTAACAACCTGGATCACTCGCCCTTAACGCAACTCAACTTGGAAGGCCTCTGCCAACTCACTTCTCACCATCTCCTGGTACACGTTAATCTCCTCATTGGTAAGTGATCTGTCCATGGATTGGTAATTCACCCTGTAGCACTGTGAAACACGGCCAGTCTTTGGATGGACAAACTCGTCAACCAACTTGACACTCTCCACCAAATCCCCGGCGGTGTTTCTGACAATCTCCATCAAGTCATTTTCGTGCAACGGTGCCTCTGGTGCAGCGAGAGGCAACCAGAAGGAGACGTCGCGCGTGGTTCCCGGGTACTTCGAGTACGGCTTGAAGGTCGTGATCTTGCCCTCGGAGAACTGCAGCTTGAAACGCTCGTCCAAGGTCCAGAAGAGGCGGATATCCGGAATACCAAACAAAATCATCGCAATACGATCTAACCCAACCCCAAACGCCCATCCAATAGTGTCCTGGAGCCCTGAATTGGTTAAAACCTGTTCACGAACCACACCACAGCCACAGCACTCCAACCATTCGCCCTTCCACCAGACTTCGATCTCCCACGACGGAGCCGTCCATGGGAAGTACGCCTCGACCCATCTCACCTTTAACGGTTCGTTAAGATATGGCTCTTGGGAACCGGCCAATCTTGCGGACTCCTTAGCTTCGTTAAACACTTCATTTACTAGCAACTCAAGCGTGCGCTTCAAATGGGTCCCGACCAACTCTGCCTCTCTGTCAGTCATGAAGTCCTGCTTTGGGTTCGTCACGGCGTTGTAAGACGGATCCTCCACAATGATATCGGTCTTAGGAATAGCCTGGATGTCCGCCTCAAGCTTCGACTCTAGCCCAGCCCCATGCTCCGTGCGAGACCACACACGCGCTCCCTCCATTTGGTGGAATGCGGGGTAGTGCGTACGGTCGATTTCATCCCTGCGGTACACGTCCGCGGAAATAAAGTACCCCGGAGTAGGGCACTGGGTGAAGCACTCGAGCTCATGTGCCGACGTGTGGGTTCTCAACAAGTGCGTTTCATTCACGTAGTAGGTATCAGACTTGGATCTGCCTGGGTGGTCCTTCGGGAACCCCAAGACGTCAAAGTTCTCATGGGTCGTCACCACCGGCTGGAACTCGTTGTAGAAGGTGTAACCAAGCCCGGAAAACCGCTTTTCCACCAAGCTGCGCAAAATTCCGATAGGGTGGTTCGCATCGAGGTGAAGCTTGCGGTCGGTTAATGGCAAAATGGACGACGAAATGTTGGTCCATCCGTCGGTAGCGTACGTGGAGCCATTCACCGTGATCTCCTTCGGCTTTGGAAGTTCTGCGGTATTAGTGATGTTCGTGGATGGCTGAATGAATACTTACGTGCGTAACTTCTGGCAAGGATCGGCACCCTCGCCAATGTTCTAGAGAGACTCATTTTGGGGATGAGCAATAGATGAAGCATGCGTTTCTGATTCAAGGCATTTTATCCTTGATGAGGGTGAAAATATCACTGTCACGTGATAACTCATAGTATGTGATCAAAATATCAAAGAATGCTCAGCTGCCCCCACAGAGCTCAGTGGTGGTCTAATCCTATTGATTTTCGTGCTTGACCGGAATTCATATCTGGCCTTATGATTTGAATTGGATCTATTTCCAGTATATCCTCTCGCATGAGATTTTAACATAAGCGGGCCCACCCACGAAAGCGTCTTTGCTTCTAAATCCACAAGTCCGTTCTGCTTATATATCACGTGATTTTTCACATGACCTGTACTGAAAAATTGGTTTCGACGAAAAAAGCTCAACCACAAATCAAAAGGTATCTTTGGTCTTAACTCTTACGACTGTATACTCCATCCACAGATGTTTTCCCTCTTGCGCTCGTGTTTCAGCGGCGTTAAGCCTAGCCCATTTGCCTCTCCGGTTTCCTCCCTCACACACCTCACCAAGCGCTTCACGCACGAATACGCGCCTAGATACAAGAAGGTCAGAAAGCAGCAAAAGGGTAGGGTCCCTGTGAGAATTGGGGGGTCCACTAAGGGGTCTTCCGTAGAGTTCGGGACCTATGGATTACGCTTGAAGTCTGTTGGTGTCAGATTGTCTGCTCTCCAATTGAAGGAGGCTGACTCTGCGTTGATGAAGGTTATCAGGCCAACTGGCGCCCAGGTCTTTAGAAGAATGTCCACAAACGTTGCCGTGTGTACTAAGGGTAACGAGACCCGTATGGGTAAGGGTAAAGGTGCGTTCGACTACTGGGCTGTCAGAGTGCCTACCGGTAAGGTGCTTTTCGAGATCAGCGACAAGGCCCACGAGAAGGTTGCCAGAGATGCCTGCAGAAAGGCCTGGGAAAAGCTTCCAGGTGTCTACGAGTTTGTTAAGCTCGGCGACGTGGCCAAGATTGGTCTCCATGAGTACAGAGACGGTAACGTCACGGTCAACCACTTTGAGAAGATGGAGACCAACCCAACCAGAGAGTACTTGAACTTGATGAAGTCCAAGATGCCGGAATACAGACTGTTCAGAAACCGCTAGGTCCGCTCGGTCAGAGGCTTGTATATATATGGTATTCGATTATTGTTACTGCCGTGTAGGTCGGGACGGGTAAATTCTATTGTATGTCATTGGGTGCGATCTTGAATCTTTTGAGGTATGGCGAGAGGATTAAACCCTGATGATACGTAGCCGAGACCAGTTTACTCATCAAGGTAAAGATTCATACCAAGTTTATTTATTACTAAAATTATTAGTTGTCGTCTTGTATCTGGATACATTTGAATCCACCCCACGCTTCCTCGGTGTAAATATCCATGCGGTATACTTCAACCCCTGAATCAAGTACAATGAGTTGATCTTTTCGGGAGTATTGATCCAACTGCTACCCGTTTTAAATTACTATTTTATTCAGATATACCCAGCATCTAATACTGTTGAATATCTTCAACTTCAAGACTGTAGGTAAAATCTATTTAAAGTAGCTCTATGCCCGATCCAAGGTCCATTGTTTACTCTCATTTAATCTCAACACAATTAGCCACATTATCTCCTGTAAAAAGGTGTCTTGTTCTCTAGGCTATAAGGTTCAATCCATTTTAAATTTCTATGATTGCTGCGATACCTCTGCTTTGTGTTAATCAGGGTATTCAAGTCAATTCACTGTCTCCTGCTAACATGATACTCAGAGCATGGTTGCCTATTTCGTCAAATCAGTCTCATTGCTGGGAAGTCAAAAGCGCTACAATTTGTATATCCGTTAGATATCCCAATCTAGAATGATTCCTTCGTTTTATGTTTAATAATTATCTTTCTTTTTTATTTTTGCTCTACGTATTTTGGGCCAAGTTTATACCAGTTATGAGGATTCATATCGCGCGCTTCATTCGCTTCGAACGTTTTCTTGTATCACTTGCCCGTCTCATTGTTCCATCGCCACCATCACCTTCGCTAAAAATCCCTCCAAGTGGAAAATCGCTTTCTGGCCCAAACTCAACCGCTCATCAAAAACACTGGCCAATTCAATAATCTCCACCTTCAAAGAATCGCGCTGCACTCCCCGTAAAAGCTCCCAGCACACGGTCTTCAAGATTACCTTGGCCGGAATGCAATGCGACAACAATTCGTAAAATACCGTCCGCGCCAGTTGCAACTTCGCCACCGACCGCTCCTTGAGCACACTGGCAGTCAAGTCTCTGATGACGCCCTCCCAGTCGAGCTGGATAACTGGCGTTTTAAGCGACAAATGATCATTCTGCATCACCATCGCCTCAAGAAGCAAGAGCGCCTTGCGGAGGTTTCGACCGGAATGAGCCGCCATCAGCTGCAAAACCTGGGACCGTTCAGTCTCCACAACCGAAACCGACTCCTTCTTGCACACCTTGTCCAAAATTGTCGCTACCTCCGCCTCGGACGGCGCAGCCACACGCACTAACAAGCATCTGGACTTGATTGGTGGGATGATGTTCGACGTGGTGTTAGACAAAAGCACCAACCGAATGTTTCCCGAGTACTTTTCCATTGTTCGTCTCAACGCCGCCTGCGCGTCTCTCGTCAAGCTATCGGCTTCGTTGATGATCACAACCTTGAAGCGGTGCTTTCCGCTGAAGTCCACCTGCTCTGTCTGCGCCACCTCCTTCAACAAGTCCTGGATTACCACCCTGTCGTTATTACCCATGTCCGAAGGCGTGATTTCCAAGTGGTACGATGACGAAACCACATTGAATTCGAGCTTGCGGTTGCTCGCCGTCTGGAACTGGCGCACGTCAATCTTCATCTTCTCCACCGCCGGCCCGTACAACTGCTGCAATGTTGCAAGAATCCGCGTCTTCTTCCCTGCCCCCGGCGGGCCGTAGACAAGCAAGTGCGGGAAGTCGCTCGAAGAGGCCTGTTCTGTTAGTAGTGTAAAGAGAGCGTGATGTAACTACATACAAGCGCCTTCAACCGGTCCGCAATTTCCGGGTGGTAATCGGTCGCTTCCAAGCTCTTGGGTCTGTATTTATCCACCCACAATGACATGAAGTGAAGGTTGTGTGTCTGTTTTGTTTAGAGGTGATGGAAATGAAAGGGTGCGTTATCATTTTAACGCGTCGCTTTTTTTTTCGCATCCAACGCGTCAGAATGTCCTGTAGGCGGGGAAATGAAGCAGGTCCCGAAAATGTAGTTGAAAGGTGATTTAAACGAAATGCGGGTCAAATATTCAAAATTTGACCGATGATAATGGGGTGTTTATAATAGGGTTAGGTATGTGTGAAACGTACATTGACTGTGTAGTAAGCAGTAAAGCGTAGGGCCAGCAATAAAACCCAGAACTCCCAACTATGCCAACTTGGGTCAGATTATTTACACAATATCAATCATACCGGTATGTTATTTAGACGTAATAGGTTGGTCCTTAAGGGAATGGTGGAGGTCGAACTGTGTGCCTAACAGCTGTCCTCTCTGCCCTCGAACAAGAAGATTATAAATGGAAACCTGGTGCTAGAATACTATAAAAGCTGTTATATAGAACCTTAAGGAAAACACGATAAACAGTTATACTTCCATTTCAACTCTTCGGAATGAAATTTTCACTACACATAAAAAAATCTTGTTTACAACTACGACAGCCACCAGTTGGTTCTCTATGAACCCTCGCATCGTATATCTATCCCTTAAATAAAGATTTTGATTATAGTAATAATGGATTGGCCTAGACCATCCTGTACCTGCTTTGATGATTATTCAATGGATCAGGCGAAACCTGATCCTAGACCCATCTACTTTTACCCACCTAGTGGTTCTACGGCTAACTCTTCATCAGTATACTACAATTACCCAACCCGGGGTCTAACCCAAGACGGCTTTTGGGCTCCTTTGATATCCAGTCTCATTAATACGCATCCGATTGGTAATCTTAAATAACGACTTAATAGTTTAATAAACAGAAAGCATTCAAAGGATGGCATTAAGCTACGCCTACACTACTTCGTTTCGGAAAAATATTTGTGCTAGAAATAAAGGATAAAGCACTGCCAAGAAGATCATCTCTGTTTATGACATAATTAAGGCCTAGATAAGTAGTCCAATGCATCGGACGTGAAAGACCTCACCGCTATCACAAATCATACACCTAAAATATACATTCATAACTAAATGACAAACACTGCTTGTACAACGTTTTTAACGTAAATTAATAGTCCCAATGTTGCCATTATTCACTGTAACATTTTCACCTACGCATACAAACCTATATCTCCACGCACGTTTACCCCACACGGCAGACTAATATCCAAGGATCTAAAATTTCAAGCTAATTACATCCAAAGATCACTGCACTGGCGCTTAGATTAAACCTGCCTACTCGTTCACATATGCGTATACTCGACGTTTATAACTAACCTAAGACAAACTCTTGTTCATGAACTTTCTCCTGGTGAAGGCCAACCAGAACTTGCTGGCGACGCCATCAGCATAAACACGTGCGAGCAAGCGCTCTGCCAACTCCTGTCTAAACTGCTGGATGTAGCTGCGCAAGAGATCTGCCTCCAGTCTGTCTCTCGCTGGCTGGTACAAAGCGTTCAAGGGAAACCCAGCATCGCCCGGGATGGAAAACGAGTCCAAGGCGAGGTTAGACAAAATACGACGCGCTTCGGTCTCCGGGGTTTGGGCAGCCAATTTGTTCAAGCACTCACTGACAAAGAGGATACCGTAGATAAGAGTGCGGTCGGCTGGGCCCTTGATCTCAAAATTGCGGAAGAACGAGTTGGCTCTGAAGAGGTCAAGCGTTTCGTCAAGAATGTCATAGGCATCAGCTTCTGCGGGAGGGTACGCCGGGCCGCGGAATTTGGTAGCAATGGGGAGGACGGCAAAGTTTCCAATGACCCGAGGGGACGGTTCGTTGAGAAATGTGGAGTGGTAGGCCTAAACTTAGCGTTAGTAGTGAGCGATAAGCAAAATAATCGGGTAGGAGAGCAAAACAAATGAAAGAAGCCATTCGGGTGAATAGGATGAACAAACGGTTTGGGTGAGATTCCAATCTAATGAAAAAAAATGTGAGCGATATGAGTGCCCAATGGCCCAGCCAAGCAATTTGGACAATGAAAATACTCTAGGTATAAGGGATTGGTCTGAAATTAATCCGTGTAATTTGTGCAACTCATCGGAGTGACCCATCAGATTCTGATAATAATACCCAGATATCCGATCTGACACCCCGGAACCTGTACCACCATATTGCTATCCCCAACATCCATCACCTGTTCATCACATTTGTTCCAGCCATCAATCATTCTGGCAGTAATAACTTGGCTAGTCTTTATCTCTGATAGTCATCTCCGATTGGAAATTTCTAATAGATATCTCTGGTAGTCTTCACCGATAACCGCCTGCTTTCGATAAGGTATCTCCGATGATTGCTCATACCCGAACGTCCATAGCCATAAATTCATAACCTCTCTCCCATACTCTTATTGCCTTCATCGACACTCCTTTTTTGTACCACCATTATATAACATCTACTTACTGGCATTGTGGTTCCTAGTGGCAATCTCTTGGAATATTCCTCGCAACCGCAGCCTTTTAGCCACGACCCCCCGTGATGGGCGTGCGCGCACCGCTCCGCTGGCCGGCGAGAACTTGGAACTGGAGCGCCCAGCTCTTAAAATAGAACCTGGTTTGCTGATGTTGTCTCGCCCCTCTTTTGACACCGTGGATCTTGCACTTTTTTATTGCACCCATCCGTAACACTACCTGTTGCTGGAACCATGTCCAACCCAATCCCCAACTTGCAATTGCCGCCGCAGCCCGAGTATAAGCACTTCCGCAACCTGAGTCCTGATGCCTCAGGGCAACTTCAGGGATCGCCGGGCTACGGACATCCTCAGGGCTATCTGCGGATGCAAACTTATCCCCAGGGGCAACCTCAGGTCCAAGGCTACCAGGGTCAAAGCTACCCACCAGGCCACCCTCAGAGCCATCCCCAGGGGCAGTATTCACAGGGATATCAAGAGCACCCCCAACTCCAGTATCCTCAGACCCAACCGCAACACCCTCAGGCCCAACCATACTCTCAGGGCTATTCTCCGGCTCTCCAGTCGCCGATCCACCCTAGCCATCCTGTGAGAGGAAACTTCTCAAGTCAGGCGCCTGTCACAGGCCAAACACGCAGAAAACCTCCGCCGGAAGCGAACCAGACGCGTCAGCCACAAATGGCCCCCCACGAACAACCACATCAGGAGTCCGTATCTCAGTCTACGCCCCTGTATGGCCAGCTTGCACAGCTGCCGAATTTGCAGTACGAGCAAAACAGACCCGTACCACAGATCCAGCGGCTCCCGCTGCAGCTGCGGCCTCTGACCCAGCCTCTGGCCCCACCTCCGCCTCTGACCCCGCTGCAGCTGCGCCGAACGGTGCCCGTCCCTCCCCACCTCTACACGTCTTTGCGCCCGGCGCCGCAGACCAACCGCTTCTCTGAGCCCAGCTCGCCGCGCCGCGTCCAGAGTGAAAGCATGATCCGCTTGGACAAGGGCCATCCCGCCGCAGGCTCACCGCATGGCTCGCCGCAGAAGCGGCCAGTGCGTGCAGTCTCGTCGACTTCCCTCGCGACGTCGCGTGTGGGCTCGCTCACGTCACGCAGCTACACCACCCTCGCCAAGGCCAATACCAAGCGGACCAACTCATTGCAGCTGTTGTCCCAGCAGCAGGTTCAGCGCAACTTCCTGATAACATCGCAGCGCACTGTCATCACGTCCTCGCGATTCCCGTCGGTATACCCCGCGCTCCTCTCCAAGGTGTCCGTGATGTTCCGCAACCTGATCGAGACGGGCACGCGCACTAAAAATGGGTTGGAGTATAACGACGCGTTCACGGGCCGCGAGGCGGTGGATATGATTGCCGCCATTATCCGTACTACGGATCGCAACTTGGCGCTCTTGCTCGGACGCGCGTTGGACGCGCAGAACTTCATGCGCGACGTGACGTACGAGCATCGATTAAGAGACTCCTCGGTAGAGGTGTACCAATTTGTGGATATCGTTGTGGACTCCATCGATGAGGAACACACGGGTGCGAGCTCAAATATCTACTCGAGCCACATGAGCTCGAGTGCAAGCCTCGGCATGAGTGCGATAACGCTCACGAGTACAAACACCCTCGTCGACGATGGCTACTCTTTCCTCGCCAACACTCGCGACTCCCACCAGCTCAACCGTCAACAATCGCAGATGTCGCTTGCAGGCTCGCAGCCTACCGGCCAGGCGCCCGTCCCCGTCAATGGGGTCTTCACGTTGCTTTCGAACTGTTATTCGGCCACGTGCACGCGCGACCGGCTCTGTTACTCGATCGCGTGCCCACGGCGACTCGAGCAGCAGGCACGGCTCAACATGCAGCCACAGGGTGGGCTCCGGCGCTCGGACTCGCGGGTTTCGCTCAACGGCGATGACGGAATCCAGAAGGAGCTCTGGTCATATTCGGTTCCACCACTGGTGCGCGAGAGTGTGACAAAGGAAGAGCAGAAGCGCCAGGAAGTTATCTTCGAGATCATGAGTAATGAGCGTGACTTTGTACGTGACATGGAGTACCTCCGGGACTTCTGGCTCGTGCCGTTGCGCACGACGACGATTATTCCCGAAAAGGAGCGTGACCGGTTTATCCGTGTCGTCTTTGCGGGCATCACGGATATCCTTGCGGTGAACTTCAAATTCGCGGAGGCGCTCACAAAGCGCCAGAAGAAACAGTACATCGTGGAAGAGATTGGTGACATCATGGCGGAGTTCATTCCCAAGTTTGAGGTCTTTCTCCCCTGCTGTGCGGGGCAGGTCTTTTCCAAGTACGAGTTCGAGCGCCAGACGTCGATTAACCCGCTCTTTGCAAAATTTGTGCGCGAAACGCAGAATCTCGACGCATCGCGCAACCATGAGTTCATCTCGTTTCTCTCGAAGGCGTTTAATCGTCCTGGTCGTTACTACTTGCTTCTCCAGACGTTGCAGAAGACGACGCAGGAGGAATCGGCTGATTATAAAAACGTCGACAAAGCTTTGAAGATGATGCAGGCGTTGTGTAACAAGATCAACTCCGAAGCGGGGATCTCGCACGATCGTTTTAACATCTCCTTGTTGCGCCATAAATTCAAGATCAATGAGAATGACATTGAAGAGCTTTCGGAGTTGCGATTGAAGTCGGAGGACCGGACGATCATCCAGCAAATCTCGCTCAAGCGGCGGACTCAGGACAAGGACAACAGGGACATCCAGGTGTACCTTCTCGACAATGCAGTGTTGTTCATGAAGCATAAGATTGTGAACAAAAAGGAGTTAAACAAGGTATTCCACCGGCCGATTCCGTTGCCGTTGCTCTACTGTTCGGGGTATGAAGATGATCGGCCGAGCGACCGCTTCTTGGTGAGTACCGCCGCGCGTGACAGCGCGCTATTCGCGAATAAAACCTTGCCCAAGTACGATTCGAAGTATCCGATTACGTTCATGCTCTTCGGGCACAAGGGTTTCAGTTTCACGCTCTATAACACGACTGCCTCTAACAAAGGTCTCATCAAGAACATCTACGACCAGCAGATGGCACTCGTTGCCCAGAACGACATCTTCACGGTATCGGAGGTCTCCAACCGCTTCTTCGGCTATAACGGCCGCACGAAGCTCAATTGCGCAACCCCCTGCGACGGTGGTACCAAGCTCCTCTTCGGGACCGACGATGGAATCTACGTATCGCAGGTACGAGAGATTTCCAAAAGCAGTCGTGAGCGGGTTGTGTCTAACCCGATCAAGATTCTCGACCGCAACTATGTCACTCAGCTCCTGGTCTTGAACGAGTACGCGCAGATTGTTGCGCTTTGCGATAAGAGGATTGTGTTGTTCAGCTTGGATGTGCTTCAGTCGCTCGATGTGGCCAAGAACACGCGTGGCGGCCGCGAGTTGATGACCCACTGCGCCTTCTTTAAGAGCGACATCTGCAACGGAAACTTGTTGATCTGCGCGGTCAAGAGCGGATCGGCGCAGAGCATGCGGGTATTCGAGTCTGGCTCTGGGTTGAAGAAGAACCAGCGGCCGTTTGCCGAGTTCAAGGACTACAGTTTCACGTCAGACCCTGTGTCCATCTCGTTTTTGCGCAAGCAGTTGATCGTGGGGTGTACTGACGGCTTTGAGATCATATCCTTGGGGTCGCAGCAGCGCGAGCCGTTGCTCGACGAGGCAGACACCTCGTTGGTCAAAGTGTTTGACCGCGGGGCCAAGAAAGAGTTGCGGCCGCTTTCCGTGCATCGAATCCATAACGAGTTTTTGTTGAACTGCGCGGAGTTTTCGTTTTACATTAACAAGAACGGATGGAAGTCAAAGGGAAAGTGGAATATCAAGTGGGAGGGCGAGCCCCAGGCATTTGCCTTGGAGTACCCGTACTTAATCGCGTTTGACGCGTCTTTTATCGAGGTGAGGCATTGCGAGACGGGCGAGTTGTTGCGAGCGATTATCGGAGAGAATATCCGTTTTTTGAACTACAGTTACCAGGAGGTGTTGTATTCGTATGAGAAGGACGGAAGCGACGTGGTGGCCAGAATTGATTTTGGGGGGACAAAAAAGATTGAGTCCATTAGAGAGTAGGACACTGGAAGCCAAAGTGATTATAGTTCGTCAAATGCCGAGGGCAAAGGACAAAGACTGAGATTTATCACTATCCTAAAGTTAACGCACCCTCTTCTACTCCATGGCTATGTTTCTGCTCTTGGCTATGTATTTTCTAATAAAGTATCGTATTACAGATAAATTTCGAAGCAATATGTCGGTATGCCCTAACTTCCATGAACCTTGGGATGAGGGTCAAATATTGGAGTCTGAGCCGAAGCTTTCCAATCACTAAGATTGAAACTAGGGTGTTTCCTTCCATTCCTCCACAATATTATTATGCATATGTAACATTAATAAGGTATTTGGTTAGAGATAATTGGTATAGCTATGCATGTTCATATACGGAGATTTTAGATAGGGCTGAAGGGTTATACCTCAAATGGATGCAACTAGTTACTGCTAGTTTTAGGAGTCGATGTAGAATTATGCCCTTTCGTTAAGCCATCAATGGTCAAATAGAGTACCCGAAATCTTTATCTGCGCCGAAGGTGATACTGGAAGTGCTAAAATGGTATGTCAAAAAGGTTCTCGATTTCTGCCAAGGTTTTCCAATGGAAACGAAACCTCCATAGCTACATACTGGCACTATCGGTTTTATCTATTGAATATGTAAAATGTTTAGATCTGCGTCAGTAAGGCCATTGATGTGGCAAATGGCCAGAAACCAGATTCGGGTCATGTCGAGGAGTGGCTAGATTGTTGGTAGAAAACGTGGGCTCAGGTGCTTGAACCGTCAGTGTTTGAAATAATTCACGGCACACCCGCCGAAAACGCAAAGTTCCCCGGCCCACGTGTAACAACTAAGTACATAGTTGTCATGTCCCATCTCAAGTTCTCTGTCACTCTTTCAGGCTGTATTTATCTCCGTGGGTGCATGGTATGCACGACCCCCCATGTGCATTTTTCTATGCCGATAGGCGGCAGAATCACCCCACCAACTCAGAAACAAGGTAGCTGGCGGATGCAGCGGCAGCCGGGGTAGTTTTGGGTTTGATGAGGCAGCAGAATGAGTAACTAAAAGCCGTTCCGGCGGTGGCACGGCAAGTATATGCTCACACGAGTTTACTAATCTGGTTTAGCTACCCCTAACGTGGACATGACCTTTTCCGCTAGCATCCACGGGCATGCAAACCAATTAAAGGCGGAGAATTACGGCCTGGTTTAAGTAATTTCCTATCAATTGGCTGGGGGAGGGCATGGCGGTTAGTTGTGCTCTGGCGTGAACCGTTTGGATCGGAACTATTCTTTGGGGGGGTCGGCGTAGACCATCTTATCCGTTCGGATTAATGCGGCCCCAGCAGTATGTGCGCACGGCAGAGAAAAACCTTCTGCCGTGCGTAAAGTGGGTGCAGTCTGATGACCTTCAAGCCGATAATATATAGGATTCCGGGCCAGCAGAGCCGAGCTCAACCAATCCGTGGATTGTGTAATCTGTCCAGCATTCTCAATACCAACGATCCCTGAAGAACTGCATTCGAGCTAGTTTTCGTCAAAGACATTACCTCAATGGACGTATGGCCGAACCGTGCCGTCACCACAGTCTATCCTGAAAATTACCGGAATTCCCGGTATCTAGACGCATAACAGGCTATTGCATCTATGCAACCGTTTGGACGAAACTCTCACAACGCTATGGAGTGTTTGACGAAGGTATTACTATACCGTTATTGTAGTTCAACACCTCGTACGCTTGCTGTATGATTGCTGTGATGCAATACCATACACTGAATCAACAGTTAACAAGCATTATATGAGTCTTGCCTGTTCCTGAACTATTGGCTAGTTCTAATGTTCATCTTCTTAGAATCCCCAACACTCCTAGACGTTGTACCAGGTCCATCTATTTATTAGTCACGTGTCTTGTTGTATTTGCACGCTCCTTTCTACCGTGATCTGCTTAAACGCGTAATTCCCATAAAAAAAATGCATGTGCCTGCAAAAATCAGACACTCCAGCGAAAAAGAAACATCGACGCGGAAAAATCGCTGACGCCAGCTTCGACTTTGTTTATAACACCACACATAGAAAGACTCACGGTTTCTGGCACGTTTTTCCACCACGAAACTGAATTTCTGTATGTAAAATGGCTTACATGGAAAATTCTATCACCAGTTTTCTCATTTGTTCGCTCCGGTTTTCCTAAAGCCTCCGTTAAAGTGAACACACGTCTCAATAGCCTACTAACACGCCAGACAAATGAGCACTTCTGCATTCCTTCCAACCTGGTTGGAAATTAACACTCCTTCTATCCAGTATCCATTCGGTGTTCACTTGTGGCCAATTTTCAACCACGTCTTTGAGAAGTTTGCCGGGTACGAGGCCAACGACTTCACCTTTGTCTACAATGATACCTTCATGGCTAACGGCTACCAAGCCATCGGTGTCATCGTCGTCTACTACTTTGTCATCTTCGGTGGTAAGGCTCTCAGCAGAGCCCTCAACTTGCCAGCCTTGAAATTGAACTTCTTGTTCCAGCTCCACAACATCTTTTTGACCGTCGCGTCCTACGTGTTGTTAGTATTGATGCTTGAACAGTTGATCCCAATGATCTACCGCCACGGTGTCTTCTGGTCTGTCTGTGCCCCAGGTGCGTTCCAAAAGAAGTTGGTTGTCTTGTACTACTTGAACTACTTGACCAAGTACGCTGAATTGTTGGACACTGTTTTCTTGGTCTTGAAGAAGAAGAACTTGTTGTTTTTGCACGTCTACCACCACGGTGCTACCGCTTTGTTGTGCTACACCCAATTGATGGGCCACACCTCTGTCTCTTGGGTACCAATTGTCTTGAACTTGTGGGTCCACGTTGTCATGTACTTCTACTACTTCTTGTCCGCTAGAGGTATCAGGGTCTGGTGGAAGGAGTGGGTCACCAGATTCCAGATTATCCAGTTCATTATCGACTTGGTCTTTGTCTACTTCGCCACCTATACCCACTTCTCCTACAAGTACCGTGAGTCCTTCCCATGGTTGCCTTTCTCCCACAGAGACTGTTACGGTGCCGAAATCGCCGCCTTTTACGGCTGCTTGATCTTATCCTCATACTTGGTCTTGTTCATTTCCTTCTACATTGCTAGCTACAGAAAGGGTCCGTCCAAGAAGGTCAAGTCTGAAGGTGCTTCCGCCGCCGCTGCCTCTTCCGCCACCGCCACCGGTGCCGCCAAGAAGGCTAAGGCCACCAAGGCTACTTCCCGTAAGTAAGCCATCTGTGCCTGAAAAGTTCCTGGGTTATGCTCGTCGCCACTCCGCGCTCTCTCACTGTCGAGACCTCGCAAGATCTCTTCTTTTTGCGTAGTTCCTGTGTAGGACTCATCAGTTCACTTATATATAACCAATTGCCGTCATAGATAGCGACTGAACGTTACTTATCGGTCACGTTTTTTCTCTAATGTCTATGCTTAAAATTCATTTCTAATACTGAAGTCTCTACACACGGACTAAGGATATTATGAAAATCATAAAAAAATAAAATAAGATAGCTAAAAATAGGCATCTGCCCCTTTATCCGCCTTGGCCATAATCTTATCGCTTACTTTACCCGTTTACCACGTAAGGTTTCGCCCTTTATCACTTATGGTTTTAGTCACACACCCTTTTGTTTTTTCCCAACCGTGTACTTCTCGTGCACTACAAGCTTAGAAGCCACCCTCCCTAAGCCGCTCGAGCCGTGTCCCCTTTGGAGGTGCTGACGTGCACCGGAGCCGGTGTGGCATCTCATCCGGCAGATAATTAGCACGCACCTGGAATAACGCCGAACTGTAGAAGATTCCACGGCTGTACTTCTGCTCGAGATTCAAGGGTTTACGTCGACAGAGAGTATCTTGTTCTACATTTTCGGATTTTGGGGGGTGGAACGCGTAGGATGTAATAAAGGTGCCTTACTGGAAATACCAGCTAAATTCACACAAATGTTATCATTCCACCGAAGATGACGTAATTTGCGGCGCTGGGCACCTAAAGTGTCTTTGCTCTGTTGTACGTATACTCTTGAGCATAGAACAGACGTTATACCCTACTATCTCTGAAGCAAAGGCTAATATTAACGCTGTATAGAGTGAATAAAGGTTTAATCGCCCGTACGATCCTTATTCGGACTGTCCGCATGTATGTATCAAAACTCCCGGTTTAGTAGTTACTCCAGAGTTCTTGGCCAATATATGATTTGCAAGTGCTGCCCCTCTGTACAGTTGCCAAACGTGGCACGTACAGCAGAACCACGGCTGCGTGACCGGTGTCAGTGAAGATAAAGAATCCTCGGAACCGGAAAGTGAAAGTGTTTCCGAAAAAAATGGTATGTACCGCGCAGGCCATGGTTCGAAGCAAGCAGTGGCTTTGAGGGTCCGTTTAAGCTCCTGGGCAAATCCGTGCGGAATTTTATCCACGCACTATCACATCATGTTCCGCTCGGTTAGTCAGCGTAAACATCCGGAAGCATGCGGCGCACAAGTCCTGCACGTCTTTGCAACCGTACATATGGATACGAAAGTTGACTGCTTGTTAACCCCGATATCATACGAACAAAGATTAAAGCCCACTACGGTTCAAGTATTAGATACCTGCAAGATATCTCAATTCATAGATACCAGTTGACAAGTCACGAAAAGCCCAGCTGAAAGTTAAAGTTGACAGGAAGTGCAGTTTGTGGTATGTGTGAGACCTTATTGTCCGTGACGGCGGCGGCACGTCCGGTTAATGAAATATAGCCCCTTCTGACGTATGACAAATACCCGCTGGAAGTTACTATTCCTTACGTAAGGAGGGTCTCAAGCACTATTGCTGTAAGCGGCTGGCTTCCACAAGACAGCAGTTCCGTCTGGGCATCCAGAATGCAGGATAACGATAATCGGGCTATCGTACGGCGTTGTTCTTCGAGGCTGTGTTTCTTCCAAGACTCTAAATCCTGATACGAGCTTGAGGTCACCAATTGAGCCTGAAAACGCATTGCCAAGGTTGCTTCCACAGAATTTCGAAAAAGGCCGGGTGGATTGGCAGAATAAACTAGTGTAACTGTCTAATTATTAGGCCAACATTTTGTCCCACCATGATACCCTCAAGACCAATCATTTCCGGGAAACAGGCCAACGTTTTCCAATCACGTGTCCAAAAATAGATGTGTGGCGTGTTCTAGCCGTGTGAAGATTACGTAGTGGTGCGTCAACAAAGAAGGAACTCCTATTGACTACACGGAAGTAGCATGTTTCCGTCTTCCGGACTGCAGGTCGGCAAAAGTGGCATGCAAATCAGCTCGAAAACGGCGCTATGTCCACTCTCGGAACAGCTTTTGTCGGAGCGTACATTAAATCCGTTGCATGCATAGGATAACACCCAACATACGGCTGTCACACGCTGGAGACGACTGCAGGAGACGCTTAGTATAGAGGGGCAGTCATGTATGGCGCCGCGCCAGCCGAGCCTATGCGTGAATAAAAAAAAAGCAAAGCCGATGCGAGCACGGGGAAACGCACAGATGCCAGAGTATATGGCGCATATACTTCCGGCTACCGATTCAAAGCTTCAAGGCCCATGTTATCGCAGCTGTCGTTAGATTTCGCTTCTTCGTATATATACCCATCATCTCCACATACTTTCCCTAACCCTTGCGCTACAAAATTTTGAATCTCGATTTGCGCTTCCGTACAGAACCTCCAGGTCTTACTTCCCGTACAACTCTTACCTCCCATACAATTTCTATGATGAGCTCCGTTTTGCATTATCCACAACACATGAATCACACTCCAATCCTCCCTCCAATAAATCATCGCCAGGCGTATTCTAACGAAGACACATTCTACCGCCGTCCGTCGCCCCCATTGGTCCATCTCCCATCACTACACTATGAAACGCAAGAGCAAGCGGATAGCAAGCGGGTGTCTGTTTCGTCCTTAGCTTCCGGCTCCAATGATTCATCTTGGGCTCTCTCGGAACGTTCTAATTCGGGGACTCACGCTTCGGGTGTTTCAACTACCTACCCCAACACCGCCACCAATTCTCCGCCCCCCCTTGGCAAAAGCACCAGCTCTTTATTATACACTGCGATCTCCCCGATCACGCATTTGCCACCGATCTCGCGGTTGGCGTTTCCGCCGCAGGCTCAGCAACCACAGTACCCACCTTCACAGCTGTACTATTCCAGCCTCAAGCCAGAATTTCAGTACGGCGTCCCGCCACCCGCCCATGCCGGACAATATCCTCGGGAATATCCGACCCCCTCCAGCAGCGCTGTTGGGCCTCGCCTGATGTCCTCTTCCCTTCCTCCATTACACTCCAACTCTGAGCCCATCCAGTTTTCCATGAATGGATCGCCCCGGTCACAACACTTTGCCTCTGTTGCTTCCTTCGCCAGGGAACACGCCCACTCGTCTTCTTCTGAATCAATCTCCGGGACTCTCAGCTCGAAACAGCCACGCAAAAAGAGACAATGTCCGGAATGTAAGCACTACTTCTCCAACTTGGCTACTCACAAGTCTACTCACTTGACCCCAGACTCGCGTCCACATGTTTGCTCCATTTGTGACCGTGGATTCTCCAGGTCCAACGATTTATCGAGACACGTTAAGCGCCACTGGAAAGAAACGGGCTCCGACCAGGGGGCTTTCAAATGCCCCTTCAACCTCCACGTCCAGCAAGGGCATGAGGGATTCAAGGGCCCTCACGGGGAGGGTGAAGCCCATGACGATAATGCACACACCTGCCATCTGACCGGGATTTTCAGCCGCTGTGACACGTTCAAAAACCATTTGAAAGCCTTGCACTTTGAGTACCCATTGGGTACCAAGAAAAATCAGCGGGGCTATGTCTCCGGGTGTTGTAAAAGCTGCAAAATGAGATTCAACAAAGTTGATGACTGGATGAGCCAACATGTAGAGGCTGGGAAGTGTCCCTACGGTGCTGGAAATGGGGCCTAAACTTACGATATGTTAACCTCATATTTTTGGTTCATTCGATTACGATTTGACAGGTACTTAGAAGTAAATGCTCTGTTGCTAGCGACAGTCTTTTGTATGGAATTTTTTGTCTCAAATATTATGGTTTCTTTCCCACTACGTTTCTCTCCCTCCGCTCTCGGGGGGGGGGGGGGG